GATCCCGTATCTTTATACGAATTAGGCTAATATAAACGTTCCGCTAGCTCCGGAGTCGATTATTACTATCGTTTCGTATCCTTATATAATATATTTAGTACGTAGGACTATTACTAAAGTCTATTAAACATTCGTGTTATTAAGTTCCCGTAATCTGTTCTTACTAACGGGCTCTCCTAGTTTTTTGTCTCTTAAGCCGCTAGAAGCTCGGGGTCTTTAAGGTAGACTTCCTAACTAAGGGGTCCGTCCTTAGGCTATAGTATAATTTTTCCTCGTTCGATACTTGTCGATACTAGTCCTTTAGTTAATAGTAATAATTTACCGAAAACCTATCCCTTCTATACTAGTAGTAGTAGGATCCTATAGGTTATAGCGTATAACTATTTATATAATATAGTCTTATACTACTAGATTATCTCTTGCTCTATAATAAGGTCGTTCTACTAGTTTTCTTATATTATATAGATCTCGTCGAATCGCTATATAAGTACTTTAACGTAGTCTCGTATATTCTTACTAATATAGATCCCGTCTAGGGCGTAATATCCTCTAGATCCGTCGAACTTGCTTCCTATCGGGGGTATATCTCGTACGTAGGGTTGTCCTCCTTCGAGGTTAATTTGTCGGTAGTCCTAAAATTCCCTCCGTAGGTTATTAAGTAGTAAGTCGAAGTTTTTTCGATATAGTCGTCGTTTCCCTTATACCTTCGGGAAGACTTCCTCGTATTATCTAACTATTATAAGAATTATTCGTCTAATTAGTTCTAGTACGTCGATACTAAAGTTAAGTATTTCGTTATCGCTATTATTATCGTCGTCGGTATATTCGTATTTTAATAACTCGGGCGTGTCCTCGTAACCGTCCTTAGAATCTAGTATAATAGGGGTTAGCGCGAAGCTTCCCTAATCGTATACTACAACTAGTTATCTTAATTCTTCTTCGTCGTCGGATTCCTCCTTCTAAGGTTGTTATATTTCTTATAGAGTTATATCCTCCTACCTAAGTAGAGGTAGAGACCTTCCTCGGGCGTAAATACCGTCTTCTCTATCCTACTATAGTTGCCGTTATCGAACTAGTACTAGTTTAAATATAGGGGGCTAATACGTAGTACTATTAGATCCCTATAATTCTATTAAATTAAACTCTCGATAAGGCTTACTTAGGAACTATCCTAAGTCTACCTTACTCGAGTAGTAAGTCGTATAGGAGTCGTTATAATATCCTATCTAGTATAGTTATTTATATTCGCTATCTAGGTCCTTTCTAATACTTCCTCCGATCTTTATTATCGTATCGCGGATAATGTAAATATCGTCCGTAGAGACCGTTCCGAGTAGTTCGAGGAACTTATTCTCCTATTTAATAATTTCGTCCTTACGGTTAGGGTATCGCTTCTTTATTAAGCCTATCGTATTAGCGATCTCGGATTGCGTTTATCGTATAGCGTTACTATTAGCTAATTTCTTACTAACGTACATTCCTAACTAAATAACGTTAATAGCTTCTTAAATATGTTCGGTAAATAGATTACGTCGTTCTATAACGTTAATCTCTATAGCGTTAACCTCCCTAAGATCTACCTTATAGTTCTACTATAGTTATACCTTACGGCTACGGTAGTCTCGTACGTAGTATCCTTCCTTTTCGTACGAATAGTACTTTAGTCCTTACTTCTTACTCTAGGTATAGTTCTTGCCCTTAGCTCCTGCTCTATTAGGTTTACCTCCTCTAAACTTGCGTTAAGTAGCGTTAAGTTCTATAGCGTTAGGGTCGCGACGTTACTATCCTCCGGTCCGGCCGTAGGGAGTATAGCTAGTTCGTCCGCGGTCCTAATTAGTATTACGTTTTTCTATATATCGTTCGTAGAGTATATTATCTACCTTAATTATAGCCTCCTATAAGTATTCTAAGGTATCTTAGCGTCCTCCGTATCTTATAAGCTCGTCCTTAACGTTATCCTTAAGTCCTCGATAGTATATAGATCTTAACGTATTGCCGTCCTATCTAGTACGAGTAGAAACCTCCTTAAACTTAGCGGTATACTAGGATATAGAGGCCTTCTACGTAATATATTAGATGTTCCGGATAGCGACTTGCTAGTTATTACTAAATCTATAAATTCCCTTAACCTATTTAGCGAACTCCGAGAAGTCGGTAAAGATCCCGTCTAGGTCTCTATTCTCGAGTAGGACTATAGTTAATTTAGGACGTATCTAGCTTTAGGCTTCGCCTCGAAGGTAGGATACTACGATACGGTAGCGTCGTTATTCGCTTATAATACCTTTAAGGGAGAAGTATAGTATAATCTAGTTTAACTAGTTATCGAGCTTATTACGATCCCTATAGAAGAAGTCCGGTTTAGCGGAATACTTTATCCTATCTTTATTAGTAGAGGTACTAGCTCGAGCGGTCGAAGCTATACTAACGTCTCTTTCGTTATTAGGAGCTATTTGTTTACTTAGGGTACTTACCTACTATAAGGGTATTTAAAATATTATATACCTACGGTATAAGGGGGTTAGAGCTCGTTAGACGAGTAAGTTCTAAGCGATAGGTCGGGTAAGTAACTACTCTAAGGTTTAACCTTTCGGCGGGTTAGTAACTTAAGTTAAACACGAACTACCTATATAAGAAACGCTTATTCTATATATATAGGAGATTCGTGTCTCTACTAATCCGACTAATCGTAGCGCGGTTAGTTTAGTTAGTAGTATCTAATCCGACTAATCGAGGGAGTGTTAGTCGTATTAGTTGTAGGAGCGGAAGCCTCCGCTCCTAACTTCCTATCTACTCGCTTATCCTACTAATCGTGTTATAGTGTCCGTAATACTTATACCTAAGGTATATAATATTAATATAGATTTATAACTTTATAGTTACTCTATAACTTTCTATTTAGGCTTAGTGCTAGAGATTCTATAAGGCCTTACTTATAGTAGTACTTATATATAAGTATAAGTTACGTATAAGCAACCCTCGCTTATAGTAAGCTAACAGCCCTATACGGGCGTAGGTAAATAATGGTATGCTGCAGCTGCTCATGTAACAAGATTAGAACTCGATGATCTTGCACAGGAGATGCGTGACAATAACAAAGGAATGGACTTCCTGGTGCACTCAATGCTACGCTATGTATCAAGCCATTGCCCGACACGAGGAGTGCTGGTGGCATGGTCGTTCGTTCTATGGAACTCAATGCGACTGTCAATGCGACCCTTGATGCGACTTCTGTTGGTCTATAGACCTGTTGTGCTGCTCCTGAGCTCAAATCTCGGAGGGAAGAGCAGATTGTACACGTCTAGTATCTAGACAATTAATGCGATTCTCGTATATATGGCGAAGAAAAATGATGCGTATAGATCTGTTATGCACACCAAATCCACTCGATTTAGCAGAGCAGAACGGCAAAGTTCCGCGCGATTGGCAAACATTCCTCACGGTGCCTCGTCGGCAGCCGCAACAAGTCCGAATCCACGCCTCACCGTTACGAAGTTGCGCAATCAAAATCTCCAATGTTTGATGGTGGGTCTGCCACATCGCTGCCGCTTTCAAATCATGGCACGTTCTCGCGGAACGCTGCTATCGTGCACAGAGCAAAAGATGAGCCAGTAGCTGCAGTAGGTGGCGATGGCTCTTCCTTAAATACTTTTGATCAGACTCGAATATATTCTCGCTTGTGCCAAGCTGGGAGGCCAAGGGTATAAGTGAAGGCGCGCTGTAAACACCATCCGGTCCGGTAGCTCAAACTCGCATACAATGGAAGGCGGAGTACCACGAGATCACCGGCCACTGGAGCCGGAGGAGAAATTACCACCACCACGTCTGAATAATGATGATGATGACAACGAGGGCTATAAAGCTCAGAGAACGCAGACACAGGAATCTGGCCTACGGCATACCATGTCGCTCGAAAAGCAGGTTCCCTTAGCCCGCGAGGTACTTGTGATCGCCATCGTCTGCTTATCACAATTCTGTACCCAAGTTGGTCTAGGTCAGACCCTCAGCATACTACGAATCATCGCTGATAGCTTCGGCATCGACGATCCTGGACTTCAGAGCTGGCTGATCGCGGGCTACTCATTGAGCGTCGGAACTTTCATTCTCCTCTTCGGCCGCATGGGCGACGTCTTCGGATATAAGCACATGCTCGTGATCGGCTACTCGTGGTTTGCTTTATGGTCGATGGTTGCTGGTCTAGCTATATACTCGAACTATGTCCTGTTTGTCTTCGCGAGAGTACTTCAGGGCATCGGACCTTCGATATGCTTACCGAACGGCCTCGCACTTCTCGGTGCACTGTACGAGCCTGGACCTCGTAAGAACATGGCTTTTGCAATGTTTGGAGCTTGTGCGCCTGCTGGATCTATCGTTGGAGCAGTGTTTGGTGGGCTATTCGCTTTGGTATGGTGGCCTTGGACTTTCTGGTCGTTTGCCATCACACTGGCGGTCATTGCGCTCGCTGCTGCCTGGCTAGTCCCAGATCCGCAGGTGTATGGCGAGAGGCCACGAACGGTCAAAGGCTGGATCGACGAGCTCGATTTGGCAGCTGGGACGGTCGGCGTTGTCGGACTCATCTTGATCAATTTTGCCTGGAACCAAGCACCTATCGTTGGATGGCAGTCGCCTTACGTCTGCGTATGTCTCGTACTTGGCATACTACTTGTGCCATTGTTCTTCTGGTTGGAGCTGAAGGTGTCTCCTAATCCACTCATACCGTTTAGTGCCTTCACCAGTACCAACGCGTTTGTGCTGTCGTGTATGGCATGCGGATGGGGCAGCTTCGGTATCTGGGTGTACGAACTTTGGACGATCTTGTTTGTGTTGCGTGGCTCCAGTCCGCTTCTGGCGTCCGCATATCTATCACCGCTGGTACTTTCTGGCGCAATAGCTGCTGTCGCGACCGGTTTCTTGCTTTCGCATCTCAGGCCGGCTTATCTCATGGTGATTGCAATGTCAGCTTTCTTGACGGGCAATCTGCTTATCGCGACTGTACCACCACATCAGATATATTGGGCTCAATTTTTCGTCACGAGTATAATCGCCTGCTGGGGTATGGATATGAGCTTCGTGAGTTGCCTATACACGGGGATCTTATGGTCGTTTGCTGATGATACGTGTACAAAGCCCGCTGCAACCATATACCTGTCGAACACGATCGAGAAGTCGAAGCAGGGTGTCGCTGCCAGCCTTGTCAACACGATCGTGAACTATTCGATCAGTATCGCCCTGGGCTTTGCTGGTAAGTACACATCGATCGTTAGTAGCACATATCGCTTAGCAAAGGCTGATAGTCCCAATCAGGCACCGTCGAGGCACATGTCAATCATGGAGGCCAGACGGACAGAGACAAACTCGATGGCTACAGAGGCGCACTATACATGGGAACCGGTCTTTCTGGTATGGGCCTGGCAATCAGCATCGTCTTTCTTGCGAAAACATACTGGGAGGATCGTAAGCAACGGCCAATCGATCCGGAGGCGAAGTCATCACCAAGCGAGGAGACCACTTGATCGCCTGATACATCGAATGTAAGGGCAAAGTGAAGATGGTGGCAGGATCTTATCCTTGCTGATCGAAGCTTTCACCTCAAATCGAGCTACCCCGCAACACCCCACGATTTGCATGTGATGATAAATAGGGCCGACGTCAGAATGCTTATTAGATCATGCATCAGCCGTCCAACCCAGAAAGTGTTCTATAGTCTCGTTCCATCTGGCAAGCCATCACGAGATCGATTGCATTCCATCTTCTTACATCGTATCACGACTTTTTCGACCTCAACACAAACCATGTCTGAGTGGAGTGATCGCCGAGGACTCTCTCAAAGAGGCAAGGAGGTCCATGTACGTGGAGAAGCGAGAGAATGGCCTGCTCCACGTAAACAGTCTGGCGCTGGTATCATCGACGCAGTCAGACGAGCTTCCACGAGCAGCTCCGATGGGCTAGACAAGACGATCAGTAACACGAGCGGAGCACCAGCCTCGCCGACCAGTGGCCGGCGAAGGGTGAGACGTCTTGCGTTATTCATATCATGAGTGGCATGTTCGGCTGACAGTTTTCACAGTCATCGAACACAGCCTTATTCGCCAACCTGGAAAGCCACAAGCGAGGTAGCGAGGACTATGGCGAACGCCGGCAGAGCCATAGCGAACACGCATCTGCGGGTGTGTTCAGTGGTTGGTACAATTCTACTTTCCGTGGATACGCGAAGAATGTTGCGCCGCCCGCTCCGATCAAGGAGGTGAACCAAGAATCGAAGAGAGGTGTCATGGAATGACTACATGACGGCAGTACTGGATGATGTGGCTTCGACCTTCAGCGTACAAGTATCGATGTGAGATGACTCGTATTTTTCAGCTCCTTGTATAAATGTATATTTCGATCTTGCAATGCAAACGGTCTCATGGTATCTGGTTAATACTGCTGACCAGCTCGATATCTATGGCATTGATCTCGGATCGTTACGCGACGCTGGCTTGATATAGCTGCTTGCGTAGACGATTCGCACTGCCAAGTGGTTGGTGACCTTGCATCCCATACCAGACGTTGAGTTTCAGATGGTCGTCCCGGTAAGCTCGTCTGTCCGGATGGAAGACATCTTGACCTTTGGGCAATGTGAACTTTGCTACAGTCTCGAAGGGCTACTTTCCTTCATCCCACGTCTTGGAGCAGTCTTCGACACTTTGCTCATCGAGACCACGACATAGCTGTATCCCGAAGTCGAAGGTTGCATCGTGCTGGTGGAAGTACTCTCGTGGCCACAGCGAATGCTGGTCAGGATCGCTGTCATCTGTGATCTTTGCCTGTGCGGCGAGCTCCTGCTGCAGTCGGCTGGTAGGGAACATGGCATACTTTGCCACGTAGTCTCCGTAGCGGTAAGCAGATTGGCTGTACATGGTATATGCCATAAAATGGTGATTGTGCAGGCCTGCAGGCGCAAATTGCAAATCCTTGTCCTTCCGCTTACTCAACTCTGCTTTGAGGTTATCCGGATCGTCAAAGTTTCGCTCCCTGATCGTAAAGATCTCGAGCGTAGTAGGCAAATCTGGAAGCTCTAGCAATGGGGCGTTTTTGAAAGTGAAATCTTGTGTCTTGGTTCGCCTGCAAGCAGAGTCGAGGAACGAACCTCCGTCGACGTCAAACACTTTCATACCACATCCTCTCGGACCTGGTGCGCGATCATCCTGCAGGAAGCTTGGTTCATTGGCATATCGGATGGCAAGTGGATAGGTCTGACCCGTTCTGCTGAAGAGTCCTTGGCTAAGGTGGGGTGGCAAATCCTTCTCAACGACCATCGATCCTTTCACAATGGCCTGCGTCTTGACATGAGTGTCACGAAAGCCATGCCGATGATGGGAAGAGTTCTGGATGCGGCTTCAGCTCAGGCTTCGACCGGGTTGGCAGGTCATGGAATGATGAACTCACTCGTTGCTGAACCCTGTTGATAATCTCACACACTTTCTGTATCAAGTCCGGCTCGTTGGCGACCTCTGGCTCCACTTTGGGGTCAACCCAGGAGATCAGAGTCTCCGGCATCTTGTTGCACTTTCTTCTACAGACACGGAAGATGAGGACCCAATAGATATTGCTTGTTGTATGAAGACCATGACCTCATTGCGAAGCTAAATATGTGGTCTGTCTACTTGGCTGATCCCAATGACAGTGTTGCCTCTCTCCCCACTCATGATACCATTATATCTTCCGTGATACTATCATATCTTCGTGAGACAGGACCTCGATCAACACGCTGGGCAAGCTGATTGCTGCACAGGCTACTACTGTAGGTGGGCCCCCATCCAAATCACACCTCCTGCTCAGAACGAGCGTCCAGGCTGATGACTTCTACGCCTGTGGCGTTGGCTCCATCGACATCGTTTGCGTGGTGTACAAGGTCGGTGTCAAGGTCATCGTCCCAACCTTCGCGATCGTCCTTTGCTCGCCTGACGAATAAGACATCAAGCAGAAGCGCGTTTATAGCAATGGCGAAGCCGAACCAAAGTGCTGACCGGTATCCGAGAACGCGATTGGTTCTTGATCGATTCACTTGCGTCTCGATGGTCTGAATTAGATGTCAGCACTGCAGACTTGCTCTCGAATAAGGGGGATTGTACTCACACTTGCAAACCCAAGGCCAAGTGAGCACCCGAATAGATTGAGCGTTCCGATCAACGATCCAGCGACACCTTGCTCACTACGTCCGACCGAATTGCTTGCAATGATCTGAGCAGCAGTGTAGACCAGGTCCGGCGAAAACGCCATGAGGATCCATGCAGGAAAGACCTGTGCCCAGTAGGTCTCTTGCACCGGCATTGTTGCAATCAAGAGTGCTGCGGAGGCGGCGCTCGCGGCTCCAATGGCTAGGACCCACTGGGCAGCAAGCCGTGGAACGAGCCAGCCAGCGAAGACTGCAGCGAACGTCCCACATACCACAAATGGACTGAATCCCAGTGCGCTCGTCAAGACTGACTGTCCTCGTACAATCTGCAACCACGAGAGGCCATACCAGATGGTCGTACCAATGCACATGTAGTTCAGTAGAACGACAAACAGCAGGACGCCTAGTTGTTTGTTGAAGATATGTGGTGGCATAATTGGAGAATCCACGAAGCGTTCCCATAACACGAAGGCCGCCAGGAGAGCCAGTGACAGAACCAGACCGCCTATCTCGTAGGGGTACTGCCACCCCACTGCGGGTGCCTGGTTCCAGACGAAGTTGAAAAGTATCAGAGCGCTGGTGCCAAGTACAGCTCCCAGCCAGTCCACGGCTCCTCCTTTATCGACAGGGCTCTCGGGAGGCAAGAGCCACCACAATGGCAGTAGTACTGCTGCCGTGAACAGAGCGAGCAGCAGAAAGCACCACTCCATCTTGTAGTACTCGATAAAGACGCCCACAAGGACGCCTCCAAGATAGCCACCTATTGGTGCCGAGGCGCCAAAGAATCCATAGCTGACATTGCGTCCGCTGCCTGGTGGATTCGTGATCCCAATCATTGCAACGCCATTTGGTAGTATGAATGCTCCACCGATACCTGAGAGAGCTCGGAGGATGTTGAAAGCGATAAAGCCCGGTACGAAACCGTTGACTATCGTGCAAGCGATGAACCAGGCTCCGCCGAGTAGTAGCATGGTTTTGTGTCCGTAGACGGCGCCAAGTCTACCACTCATAAGTACGAACGTGCCTTGTGCTAATCTGACAAAGATTAGCTGATATCGACATGACGTGTCGTGCTTAGGTACGGGTAAGAAGCCGCTATCCAGTTGGCGTGGACACCGGTGACACCGAGCTTTTTGGCTATAGCGAGCCCGCCAAAGAGACCAACACCGTTAGACACCATCTACAGAGGTAAGTCAATGAAACAGGAGTGAGAAAACTGCCCAGGAGAGCGTACCTGCATCAGATTTGCCACGATGATGAGGGTTGTGACTGCGATGCGGCGCTTGCGGTTCGTAATGTTGGAAGGTGCGACATCGAAGACACGTCGATGGCCGGGACTGATGGGACTGAGGTTATTGCCGTTGTTGACGGGAGCAATGGACAATCCGAGTGGAATGGTCGTTGTGGTTCGAGCAATCGGTACGTTCTCGTATAGCAGGGCTGGCTGTGGATTCTGACTGTCCTCAGACGACGTGGATGTGCTCATTGTCGCCATCGCTAATAAGTGAAATCTTTCCTGCGCGAAAGTCGGTACGAGAGAAGTGCGTCAAGCAAAGCCTTGGTGGCGCTCATAAGGGCCAATTCCACCTCGATTTTGCATCAAAGCGGTCATCCGTCTTATCGTGCGAACAGCAAAGGAGATTGACGGCGACGACTCCTATAACTCATGATCCGCCGAGAGAATTGTTGAGAAATGTAGGTGAGAAGTCGTGGGCGAGCGGAAAGCCCAAAGAGGAAATTGCGCCCGCCATACAGATACGATTTGCAGATATGGTGGAGACAATGTATCCTTGACGTGTAGATTTGCTATGTGGCCATACCGGTAGCTCCATGATATGCTTGGAGTTTGCTTGAGCCTGACTCCTTGTACCAGCTCAGCAAGATCATGTCCGCCGAATACTACACTCTCACCTTGTGAATCGGGATCTCTGGCTCCATGATGTGGCAGACTATTCAAGCGTCCAGCGCGGGCAAAGAATGGCTTCGCAATCTAGATCATACGCTGCTTGCCCGTCGTTTTCGATGGAATTGGACCATCAAGTGGCTCTTGATGCAAGGAGTGTCGATAATCAAGGTCTCTCTGACACGAATAGATAGTCCTTAACGGTGCGGCCCGGTCTGCAGCCGCGTCATCGCCGAGCTGCCAATTATGAGCAACGTTCTTTCACGTTCACCAAGCGACTTTGATGATGCTCACAAGGAATATTTTGTTGCCGCGTCGCCGAGTGCTGTGGCAGTGCTACACTCAAACACGCGTCTTGTTTGCTATTCTGCTAAAATCGTGATGGCGATGGATGGTCAATGGTAGGCAATGCTGTTCTTGCACACACACACTCATTAACACCATACCCTGCTCTTTTCTTCGTCCAAATCTCATCGGCAAGTTCTCACATTGTCTTTGACAAGATGAGAACCTTCGTTGCGGCAGTAGTCAGCCTTCTGAGCACCTCAGTCCTTTCTCAATCCATCACCTCTACATCACCGCGCCTCACATCAACCGCCACTACATCCGCAACCAACTCTTCAGCCTCAAGCTACACGACGAGGACAGTTTGGCTGCCCCTAAGCAATCTCGGCAACCCGGCCGCCTCAGTCGTGACAGCTGCACCAGGTAGCACTGTTTACGCCCTAGCATGCCTATACGCGAGCACAACTGTCTGCACTGCTAGCCCATCGATTACTATCACGGAAGGGTCGAGTACTCTAATCTACACTATGATGTTCACTGGGTAAGCTGGCTACTTTTCGCATGATCTACATTATGTCACAACTCACATCAGTACTAGGAGTGATGGCTCCGCGACTCGAGGACCAGCGACAATCAACTGCACCCTCAGCGACAGTGTGGGCAGTGCTTCGGCGATCTGTGCTGGCCAGACCTCTCTATCGGGACTAGGGGTAGTCACTTCAACCTCGACGGTGGCAAATACTTATGTCCCGGTATCGATCACGGCGGGAGGCGACAACTTGCTCTCTGTTGCTATGCAGACAGCGAGCACTGGCAGCGGGGCGAGCTCGACTAGCTCCGCTGGGGGCTCCTTGAATACTGGCGGATGGTGGGCTGCTGGAGGTGCTGCTGGTCTGGCCGCTCTTGGTGCGTTGTGAGATTGGCTTGAAGCTGGAGAGATACTACGTACGCTATGCGGTCACGTTCAATTGAGTTACATACTCGGTGGCGGATAGCAACGTTGCGTCTGCTCCATCAGTAAGAGCTGTGGCGACTCCCCACGGCCTTGTCACGGCAGTGTCCGTTAACGGGACTAGTACATATGTACAGGTCATTTTAAACCAGACAAGACGAGTTTGTCATGGTGTCGCCTTACGTTGTGATACCACAACTCAAGACATTGATGCTTCCACTGGCTCCAACGTGCGATACCAAGGCAGAAGAATACGATTGCAAAAATACAATGCCATATCATGAGAGCTCAATCGTCTCTCGGCGATGCTCTCGAGGACTCTAGCAAGGTGAAGATCTCTGAAACACCCACTTCCTATCCTCTATTCGTCAATCATGCTAGTCGGGTACTTCACCACCCCTTCAAAGGATCCTTCAAAGCCTTCTCATCCACCTTAACAAACAGATGCTTCCAGAACACATTCCCAATATCTCCCAACTGCCCCAAGAAAGTCATCTGCTTAGTACCCTTTAGCCACCACTCAGGCAACTTCTCCTCGGTATACAACATCGTGATATCCTCAACACTAATAGTCGGGCCAAAAGTCTGAAGCAGAATACACGTCTGACTCCACATCGTCACCCACAGCTTCGGACTGCCAAGAAAGGTCACGCCGGCTCCATGGCCAGCGAGCTTCTCCTCTTTGTCCCGGCGGACTCGTGTTCGCGCAATGCTTTGAGCTGTTATCGGTCCATCCTGAGCATCGGCGAGGAAGGCACGGAACATTGCTGGTTGAAAGGTGTAGTTATCGCCTTGGCGGGCATCTAGACGGGTGAAAGAGGCATCGTGCTCCACGGCATTGTGGCGACGAAGATCGACCAATGTGAAGGTGCCGTCTGCACGGGTGACGGATTTGACGACGCTGGTCAGGACGTCTGCAAAGAGATGAGTGCAGTTTCCCGAGACAATGAGAGCTGCTTTGAGTCTGTCCCGAGTGATATTGTTGCCGTCTCGTGGGCTGGCGTCCTGACATTAGTGCTCCGCGCGAGCTGGGGGTAGGTTTGAGGTCTTACAGATAGTTGTGGTTGGCGAGTGAGTTTAAGAATGGACATGGCGAACGCTGCGATTCATCGCCACGAATGTATGTGTGGTCAGCCTCTCGTACAGCCTGTATTTCGGGGTTGGGAGGCTGGCGAAAGATGCTGAGGATTGGGGTGAACAGTGAGGACAAGGTGAATCCGCCCATAGCTAGACGCTTGCTGTTGGTCACAGTTGAGTAGAGAGGCTGTGGCAAAGAAGGAGGAGCTGGAACGAGTACGGAATGAGAATACTTGGCCTACTGGTGTCACAAATGGTCTAGGCATGCCACTCTTGTACCACACGACGACTCAACGCCTGAGCAGCCTTAGAAAGCTGTATGTGTAACCATGCCAGACAAGTGGCTGCTGACTACAGCTTGATTAGCTGAATCAAGGTAGATGATAGGATGATCGGTCTTCAGCTGCTCAAGCGAGGTGAGATTCGGGGGCTGGTCTGAGCGTCCGATATGGCACCGGACGGCCGACCTCTCTCAAACCATCCTCTTTCGGCCTTGATTCTGACAGCAGTGTCTGCCTTTGCCATGATATCGGCAATTCAATTGAAGAAACGGAGAGTGGATACATCGCTCGATCAGATCCGTGTGGACTGCATGTGTACAACCAGCAATAACGATCGCTTTGTTGGTCAGACCATCCACGACTAGCATGTGCTCGTACCATGGGCCCATGTACACCGATATGCAAGCCTGCCGCCGTCAGCTCTGCAACAATGTTATATATCAGCCTCACCATGCCTGAGAGGCGGCAGCCACTGGCAGAGAATCAGTAGACAAGGCTGATGTGTGCGACATGCATGAGTACATCGGGATCAGCTGAGGAGCTGTAAGCAAGGGCTTTATCTCGACTAGGAACTGGTAAATATGGTCTCAACATCTACCATCTCTCTTACTCCCACCACATTTCTGTCTATCAACCCCAATCAGCATCAACATGGTAGACCAAGCCGACCCCATAAGCAACGAATCCTGGTCCTTCGAACTCTCCCTCGCCGAGAACCTCGTTGTCAGCTTCTTCAAGCTCGTGAACAAATATATCCCCTGGCACAAACTCCCCACCCTCCTGGCAACCTTCAACCTCCTCGCCTTCCGCTTCGAACTCCGCGCCAAGAACCTCTACGATGGCTACGCCACCAAGGAGCCGCAAGCAAGCCTCGAAACCGACCCCTTGCTAGACAAGCGTTTCCTAGGAACCCGGAACTCAGATGGCGAGTTCAACAGCCTCGAGATGCCTAAGATGGGGTGTGCGGGTATGAGGTTTGGCCGGAATGTGCCTCGGAAGTGTGCCAAGAAGCCTACGGAGGAAGAGATGATGACGCCCAATCCGAGGTTGATTAGCGATACGTTCATGAAGAGGACGGAGGAGGGTTTCAAGCCGGCTACGACGTTGAATTTGTTGGCAGCGGCTTGGATTCAGTTCCAAGTCCATGATTGGTTCTTCCATGAGCAGGTATGTCCACAAGTCCTGATGTGGGCGTGTATAAGTATTATGTGGCTGACTTGTGGTTCCGAAGCAAACGGGAGATAATTACCACATCCCTCTCCCACCCAAAGACGACTGGCCGAGCAAAGATGGAACGATGGCATTGCCCAAATCAGTCCCAGATGCCGTTCTTGATCCTTCAGACAAGGCATGCCCGGGCTACAAAAACGCCAACACGCCATGGTGGGACGCCTCGCAACTCTATGGCAATTCAGAAGACCAGACGAAGTCACTACGGACGAAGCATCCCGACGGTAAGCTCATGTTAGAGGACGATAACAAGGAGGCTTTTCTGCCGCGGGACGAAAAGACAGGACTACCTGTGACGGGGTTCAACAACAACTGGTACTTATCTCTCTACCCCTCTGTGCCTGTTCCTCAGAGCTGACGAGACAAAAACCAGGTGGATCGGCCTAGAACTCCTCCACACCCTCTTCGCGCTCGAACACAACGCCGTCTGCACCACCCTCCGCACCGCAAACCCAACCTGGACTGGCGACCAAATCTTCGACAAAGCCCGTCTCGTAATCTCCGCCCTCATGGCCAAAATCCACACCGTAGAATGGACGCCCGCTATCCTCGCCCACCCCGCCCTACAAATCGCAATGGATACCAACTGGTGGGGTCTCGTAGGCGAAACGCTGCACAAACTCGCCGGTAAGATCCCAGGAGGCGAAGTTCTAGGCGGGATCCCTGGATCAGGTGTCGACCAAGATGGGGTTCCTTACTCCCTGACCGAGGAGTTTGTGAGTGTTTACCGCATGCACACACTCATACCAGACAACATCGCCTTCTTCTCCGCCACTTCCGGTGACCACGAACGCACCACCCCAATCCAAGATGTAGTCTTCGGCAAAGCCCGCGATCCCCTCGACACGGGCGTGAGTTTCGCAGATGCATTCTATTCCTTCGGCATCAACTACCCGGGCGCTATCACACATAACAATTACAGCTCCTTCCTACGCGGGCCAATGGATCCGGGGGATGGTGTACCAAGGGACATGGCTACGGTGGATATCCTTCGGGATCGCGAGAGAGGGATCCCACGGTACTGTGAGATGAGGAGACTTCTGCATATGACGGCGCCGAAGTCCTTCCTCGAACTCACAGGCGGCACGGGCAAAGCCGGCGATGCGGCGACGGCACTCGCGCAGAAGCTTGAAAGCGTGTACGAGGATATCGAAAAAGTAGACTTACTGATCGGAAGCCACTGTGAGCCGCTACCAAAGGGCTTCGGGTTCAGCGATACGGTGCGTTAATCCCTTCCTTTTCATGACTCGCACTCCATGAATCATCATTGCTCTCAATTCAGATCTCACTGACCGTCCAACAGGCCTTCCGCGTCTTCATCCTCATGGCCTCCCGCCGTCTAAAATCCGACCGCTTCATCGCTGGCCAATGGGACGTCGAAACCTACACCCCCGAGGGTCTACATTGGGTACAATACACCACGATGAAAGATGTTTTGATTCGGTAAGTGAATGTCAAGGTCCGAACCCAACCTAACCATCGTTCCAAGCCCCAAATTCCCGTGAGGCCCTCATGGTGCGAGTGCGATTTTCCGGGGACTGACGCATAGTCGCATAGACATTTCCCCGAACTCACCGACACGCTCAAACACAGCAAGAATGCTTTCGCGCCGTGGACGCAGATGGAAGCGAGTAAGACTTACAAGGGCAGGGAGACGAATGCACCCAAGATGGCGAGTTAAGGTAACTTTCTTCATGGTACTGTCAGCAATTCCCCGGATGTGTTGTTCATTGAATATAGGCGACGGATTCGATGGTAAGGTAGTATTCAGATCCAGAATCCCAGACCATTCACTACGACATCGAAATTAGGGGTCGTCCTTGCTTCTTCATCAGTCTGCGTTGCGGTTGGGTCAATAAGGGCGCCAAGTCTGGAACTTTGTGATGTCTTGGGGGTGCATTGAGCCCTTAGTCGTGGTCTGCGAGACTCAGCCACTTTCAACGAGGAGAGAAGTCGATGCGCCAAGAGCAGGTGGTTATGAAGAGTAGATTGTGCGTGCAATCATTACAATGGCAGATCTTTCATACTGCCTACCATCGTGTCCAGATGTGTTGCCTTCATCAGCAACGACATAGGCAGAAAAGTCAAGACAAGTACAGGAGAAGTAGAGTTGTGCGACAGTATCTTACGACGGGCTATATAGTCACACCCTGCGAAGCTATTACACTAAGCATGGCGAAAGCACGAGCACAGGGCTTTCCCCTTTGACATACATACGATGCATGCAAGGTATCTTTCCCTCATAAAGCGCCCGTACCCTCTGAGTATGACCTCCGCCTTAAAACACTGTCGTAGTAAAGATTGATGCCTTGCTGTCTGCGAACAAGCGAGAGACTGTCTACCAGTTCGTCTCGGGAGCAGCAGGCTGAGCACCAGGCTGCTCGCTCCAGCCCTGGTTACCCGTCTCCACCGGCGCGGAAGCAGCAGCCCAATCAGCACCCTCGGCATCCCATGTGCTAGCCGCCTGACCACCGGCGGTATTCGTACCAGCGGTGAAAGCACCGGCACCGGCACCCGAGACCTCCCACTCGTTGTTGAAGCCGGACTCGACTGCGCCCGGGCCAGCCTCGTCCACACCGGGGACCTTCTCTTCCGGCTGGTCGGAAGCATCCTTGTTCTCCTCCGCCTCGGGGTCGCGGTAAAAGTACAGATCCGTCATGACATCCCACTCGGCTTCGCGGGAAGCGAGGGTGCCACGAAGACGCAGGACCTCACGGGCCAACATCCACCAGATCAGACCGATGGCGTGACGACCCTTGTTGTTGGTCGGGATGGCCACATCCACGTACTCGGTCGGGGAGTCGGTGTCGCAGAGGGCGATGACGGGGATGTTGACGTACGAGGCCTCCTTGATGGCTTGGGCGTCGGTGCGCGGGTCGGTGACGACGATGATGCGGGGTTCCTTGAAGGAGCGGGTGATGTAGTTGGTGAAGTTACCGGGGGTGAAGCGACCGGCGATGGCCGAGGCACCGGTGTGGGCGGCGAACTTGAGCACGGCGCGTTGGCCGTAGGGGCGGGCGGAGATGACGGCGATGTCGGCGGGGTTGTCGATGGTGACGAGGATGCGGGCGGCGAGGACGATCTTCTCCCTGTTTCAGAAAATTAGCGAGGAGGAAGGTGCGACGGGGTTGAGGAGAGGAGGGGGAGCCATACCAAGTCTTGCCAATGTTCAGGACGTTGATGCCATCCGGGCGTGTCTTCCACAGATATGGCTCCATGTGCACCTGCAAGTTCTTGCTGCCGATGTGGCATTGGGCGGAGAGAAGCATCTCGATGTCTTGCGACGTGGCATTGAACGCGGGGGGAAGGTTCTTGGCGGCCATCTTTGCGGTGTTTGTTGGCAGTGTCGAGAAAGGATTATTATTGAGGGTGTTTCGCGAAAGGGAAGACTAGATTTCGTGTGTAGCTCAGTAGTGCGGGTGAAATTCGTGAAATTCGTGAAGCGTCAAGCGTGCGCCGGCTCTTCCCCTGCTTATCTTATCTTCAGCCTCATGTCCAGCATAGAACTAAGCCATTCCTGTTCAGACCAGCGGCCGCGGGAGTGAATGTCGTGAACATGCGAGTGGAAGTGCAGTGTAGAAGTGTATCATCACCACAATGCCGCCACGACTACCAGTCCCCCAATGCCTTCGGGCTGATGCGAGTATGCATATCTAATCCCTGTATAATACATGTAATAAATGTATACTAATCTTATACAGCGTCCTACACATGCATCTACACCCGCAGCTTCACCTCCTCCGTCCCATCCTCAGTCTCCGCCTCCGCGCAAGCCTCGAAAGCGGCCCAGCATCGCCGAACACATGACCCCTACGCCATTGCCCAAGCGAAAGCGCGAAAAGCTGCAAACCTCAGCCGGCGGACAGTATTAAAGGAGGAGAGGGCAGCCAGTCTTGGCAACGCTGTGCTGGGCATCGAGACCCCCTTCCTCCGCTCCTTCGACACCGCCACTAGATCTACCGCGTCAGAAGATCAACCTCGCCACACCGCACCTACAGACTCCACCCAACGCCGCAACTTCTTCCTCACCCAGCAAGAAATCGACGCCGAAATCAAACACAGCGAGAAACTCTTCACCCTCCACCCCGACGACCCCCGCGACTACGATAACGATTACACCACCGAATCCCAGCAGCAGCAACAACGCGAAGAAGACCAAGCCACCGCCTCCGAAGCCCTCAAACGCATCTCGAGCCTCACCCTCGGCAGCTCAGAAGACAGGAGAAGAGTGAACATCCAACGCTGCATCTCCACCTTCGGCCGCCACGCCACCGACAACCACCTCACCAGCGTCTCCCGTCCCGACGCTCCCATCGCGAAAGTCGAGGAGGAGAAAGCCGATCAAGGGTGGGTGATCCCGCGTGTAGGGCCGGATACGGGGAGTAGTGAAGTTCAAATCGCTATTCTCACCGCCAAGATCCGCACATTGTCCGAGTTCTTGCAAGGGAGGGGCAGGATGGACAAGGTGAATAAGAGGAATTTGAGATTACTGGTGCATAGACGGCAGAAGTTGTTGAGGTATTTGCAGAGGAGTGATAAGGGGGGGTCGAGGTGGCAGCATTGTATTGAGATGTTGGGGCTGACGGAGGGGACTTGGAAGGGGGAGATTAGTTTGTAAGAAATTTCCTGGCATTGATATTTCTTGCATTGCGGAGGGCATGTGTGGTGTGTATCTTGCCCGAAACCTTTCAAGCCAATGTTGCTGCGTGTGCTGGGCCTGTCGGCTATGGTATGAACGTTTGAAATTACAAGATTATGACAAGGGGTCGCACCTGCCATTATCGATATCTCTCCAGGCGTCGCGCTTGCCGTTCCCAACAGAGTGCGATGATGTCGGTACACCACTACTCTGCTCTGATCATTTCAGCATAACACTCAGGATCGACCTTGCCAATCTAGCACTACTGCCCACCACCACCATTTCCACCCCCTCATCGAAACGCCACAAATTCCTACCCGGTGAACAAGGCGAGAAGTGTACAAAATGACCCTCAAAGACTTCTTCCACCTCTCCGAATCCGACTTCGCAGACCGCATCTCCAGGCTTCCCGATGAGAAACTACTGAAAGACGACATCCACAACGTCCGCGCCACGCACTCGGGAGCTATAGGAGCTACACTAGGTGCCATCGAAGCCCCCGCCACCGCCGGTCTGAGTCTAGTCGGAAGCGCCATCGGGCTGCGGAGACGGAAGGTGGCGAAGAGGAGGTTAGAGATGATTCATGCTGAGCTCGAATCGCGCGGTCTACCCAGCCATCGGCAAACGAAACGGGATTTTTTGATTCCACTCGCTATATCGGGGGCTACGATGGGGATCGGAGGCCCGGCTGTTGAGGGGCTGATGGGCGCGATTCCGGTGCAGAGTGTCCTGGATGCGGGGATCGATGCGGGGACTACTGCTGCGAGTATGGTTGTTGGGGAGGTGGCGGGCAAGTTGACGGCGGAGGTTGGGGGGGAGAATGTGGTGGATAGGAGTCTGCCGGGGACGGGGCGAAAGGGCGTTTGGAGGAGGGCTTTGGGGATTTCGAGGTCGATCGAGGGGTTTGGTGGGGCGGTGGAGAATGGGGGAGAGGGGGACAGGGTTGAGTCGCCTGTTTTGGCTGTTTCGGCGCCGGGGTCGCCGGTGTATGAGATGGAGGGTCCGCCGATGTTGCCGCCTAGACCACTGCTTCTAAATACTGGGGCGGATGTGGTTGGTACAGTGCCTGAGATTGTGGTTACGGCGCCGAAGCCTGACGACGCTGAGCAAGCGGCTTCGTGCAGTCGGAAGATCTTGCGAATGCCGGTTACGCAGTGATGGAGACGCTGTTTACTCGGCTACACATCTGGAATGAAGTGTTGACAGGCCACCACAATCACTCAATTCTCTCCTTCGCAACACATGGTCGATGGACATGCTGTCGTGCCAATAGACACGAATGTGATCTGGACTGCACGTCCGTAGATTCGCTCGTCCTTCTACATCTGGCATGGCATGGTTTGCGGAAAGCCTCACAAGGCAGAAGTGCTCGACACTGTTCAGGCCAGAGCCCGGGCGGTTGGGGGGACTCCGCGACCAGATCTCGACAAGACCAGTGAGAAGGGGCGAATGTGAGCAATCTTAAAAGGCTTCAACCTGCAGGCAGCGCCGAGGACTTCGACACCAGACATGAAGGTGGTTTGAAGGACAGATGTCGAAGTTCTTTAGAGCAATCTTGTATCAGCCTGGCCAGATATGGTATCGAACGGCTTGACAGATCACTACTATTGCCCAAATCGGTTCAGCAGTATCCAGCCGTTTGTCCCTTTCGATCAGTTCTGCTTCCTTCCCATTAGAAGACATGATAGAAAGATTAATAATCACATCGGCACTGCCACCATCAAGCTCTCCGCCGGACAATGAAGCGTGCTTGACCCTATGCCATGCGAGTCATAGTTCGACGGGGTCATCAATGTGGATGCACTGTAAGCCTTCGCCTGCCAGGGGAGGAGTGTCCAAGAGCAGTCGAAGCACGACTGGGTCGATATCGATCATGCAGCATATAACGTAGGCGAATGTGTGTGTAAGAGGACTTCACGCTATCACATCTCGTACTCCTTCTCGCACTTAAGAGGCCCGCATCGGTGTCTAAACCTCCCTCCATGACCATGCAGATCTCGCAGCTATTCCCCACGGCTTTGCTAGGCCTCGCATCACAAAGTCCATTGACGTTCGCCTCTGAAGCTACCAAGTCAGAAGTCACCTCCTTCAAGCAGACCGGCTTGCGACATTCGTATGGCGGCAATGCCATCTGCACGACTGGCGATGCCACTGTCACCGTCAACGCCACCGATCTGGTCTTCTCAGGCTCGACAACAGCCTCCCAATACGAAATCTCGGGCATCTTGCGAGAAGCACTACAGATCAACTCTACGTGGACTGCGGATCACACCAACGGCACCGCCGCAGTGACAGGTCCGTTCAAGATAGCTGTCCAGCTCTGCCTGCCTACCAAGAGCACCTCTGAGGTAAAGACGGTCCAAGCCCTCACACACGGTCTTGGTCTCGATCATACGTACTGAGATGTTGCGCAGAACTACAGCTATGTGAATGCTGCTGCCGAAGCCTGCCATGCCACTCTCATGTATGATAGACTCGGTCTCGGCGGATCGGACCTTCCTGATCCGAGTATCGTACAATCGTTTGTGCATGTTGAGGTTCTTGCTGCGCTAGTTGGTGCATTGAAGACGGACATGTACGGATCGCACCACTTTAGCAAGGTTGCTTGCGTTGGGTAAGTATCAGGCTGAGATGAAATCAGTAATCAATCATCTGATCACAGTGCTACAGACACTCCCACGGCTCCTTCATACAGATCGGTCACGACGTAAAGTACCCTAACGTCGGCGACGCTGCGATCCTCACAGGATTCGGCTCAGACCTCACACATGTGGCTCAGAGCGTATTGGCCGGCGACGCCACAGTAGCAAGAGATGTGGATCCTGCAAGGTTCGGCGATCTTCCCGATGGCTATTTGACGAACCCCAATGCAGCGTCGCTGATGGTACATTACCGCTATCCATACTACGACACCAGATGTAAGTTCTAGACAGTGCCCACTCTCCCATCTGAGGCTACCTACTGACCGAGTTCCAGTATTCGAGCAGCAACTTCCCATAGCAGGTTCCACCTTCTCACTCGCCGACGTAATCACTTCAGGCCTTGTCCTTGCGTCTGCCAAGGGCCACACGAAACCCGTGCAAGTCGTGCTCGGACAGTATGACTTTACTTTCTGCTCGGGAGACTGCTCGAGGACTGCAGATCCTACGATAGGTGCCGTAAAGACATTTTATCCTGACGCTGAAGTTGGAGAGGGTTATATCGTCCCGACCAGCGGGCATTGTATCAATAACCATTATGCTTCTGGAGAGGCTTTCGCGCACATGCTTGGGCTCTTGAAGGAGCAGGGGTTGTGAATTCCGTGTTGGAGATGAGCGGGTAGTAGAGCAGCGCTGGTCTACTGAGAAGGGCGACAACGTAGCGGTTGCGTAGCCCTGCATGCATAAATTGACTTCCGGATATTACTGGGAAGAATGTATTGTAATGGAAGGTGTAGTTATTCCTCGTTCCTCGTATGCAGTGGAACTTCGTGCTTGAAACGCCGCAACCCGCCAACTTTTTACGACTTCGCCTTGCGCCTGGATGCCTTCTTCCACGGTGCTGCACTTCTGGTCGTCCACATACCAACACGGGCCTGACCTTCATGGCCTGTTGCTACACTCATCCCATTCAGGCAGGTCCGATCAATGCCAAGTAGACCAATTGGGGTACCTGTCTTGGCCTCATCTTGGCCTGCAGGAACCTCACCACCGTCGATCCAATCCGCATCAGCATAATCAGCACGCTTCCCACAGGTCGAAGAACATGCTCTCAGGATGCAAGGAACCATTGGAGGCTGAACCAAAAGTTATACACGGCCACGAGGATATGCTCGATGCACGATGATCAGGCCAAGCAGTGACAGACCGAAAAGCTCACCAGGCTGCAAGAGAAGCAATAATGTCTTGCGACGCTATAAGTGTAATCTGAAGGTAGGGTTGGGCCTCGCGACTCAGCACGAGGTAGGTATCGCAGCTCTTTTGTGACTATGCTATCTTCTCTCCTCACCGTGGCCGCTTTGGCCGTCTCAGCCTCTGCCAGCTGGGAAGGCAATCTCAACTACCGCAGTCCATCCCTCCACCACAACGCCCTCGGTCTCGATGTCCCGAAGATCCACAAGCGAACGTCCCTCGAGGCCCGCCAAGCTGTCAACTTCACGGACAGCCAGCTCAACTTCACTCATGGAGTAGCTTCAGGCGACCCGTACTCCTACTCTGTGATACTATGGACCCGTCTCGCCCCAAGCCTCGCCAGCGACCGCTCGAATGTCACAGTCAGCGGTTACGTCCCATTGTACAGCCACGAGACGGAAGAGTACATTCGTGCCTCCAAGCACCGGGTCTGCCTTAACTGGGCCATTGCGAGCGACAAGAATGTCACCAAGATCGTGAGCAAGGGCACGGCATATACAACCTCGGACATCGACTTCACGGTCAAGGTCGAAGCGGGCGGTCTTCGCCCATTGACTACATACTACTACCAGTTCACGCAATGCGGAACGTCCAATAAGTCTCCCATCGGCCGCACGAAGAGTGCACCACACCCAGATGATGATGTATCCAAGATCGGACTCGCCGTGTACTCTTGCTCCAACTACCCGAACGGCTACTTCAATGCGTATGGCAACCCTGCCCGCAAGGACAGTGTAGACTTTGTTCTCCATCTTGGTGATTACATCTACGAGTCTTCGACCGGCGTGCTCGGCCGGGACCCCAGAGCTACCAATCCCAGCCGTGCTCTCACGACGCTTTATGACTACCGTACGCTCACCAAAATGACCACGCTTGGATTCTCCACTGACAGTCATCCGACACAGGCACTCGTATCGCCCAGTACCGAACAGATCTCGACCTGCTTCTCTCCCACCAACAGTTCGCTTGGATCCCTGTCTGGGATGTAAGTGTGCCACGTACCTTCGAGACATCAACCGACTGCTGACATGTCTACTCAGGACCATGAGCAAGCCAACAATGGCTACAGAGATGGCTTTAGCGCCATGAACAACACTGAAGACTCCTTCCTGCACTTCGGTGGCGTTTCCGTTGATCAGAGGAAGATGAACGCTGTCCGAGCTTACTTCGAATGGATGCCTCTGCGACAAGTCTCCATGGACGACAACCTCCGAATCTGGAGGTGAGTGGTACAAAATCTTTACTATATGGGCGGGTCGGTCACTAACTCGCCATGACAGGGACTTCAAGATGGGCAAGCTGTTCGACCTGATCATGCTCGATACTCGCAACTACGACCGCTCAATCACTGACCTCAGTACGCGCACTTTAACCCTACCTTGTCGAATCTTGCTAACGCACTAACAGCCTGGAACACCGACTACCTCTACGAAATCCGCAACGACGCCAGCCGCTCGCTCATGGGCTCTCAGCAAGAGAATTGGTTCTATCGTCAACTGATCGACTCCCAAGACCGCGGCGCCGCCTGGCGTATCATCGGCAACCAGATCGTCTTCTCCCGCGTCAACATCTCGTCCTGGTTCGGCACCTTTGAGAACCCATACAACGAAGACCAGTGGGATGGCTACCAAGCCAATCGAAACCGCACTTTCCACGCCATGTACGAGCATGGCATCAACAACAATGTCATGTTGGCTGGTGACTCCCATGCCAACTGGGTCAGCGATTTGGTATGGCTTGAGGAGCACAAATACAACCCCAAGACCGGCGAAGGCGCAGTAGGTGTCGAATTCGCCGGCACGGCTGTCACCTCCTCGGGCTTCGGTGGCACTATCAAGAGCGCCAACAACCAGTCCTCCCTGCTGGTCCGTGACAATTCGGAGCTCCAGTGGAATGAGGGATACTACCGTGGTTACTTCGAGCTGCAAATCACCAAGAACCGGGTGGACGCAGAGTACTTCGGTCTCCCGACCGTCGCCACCCGCAATCCTCTTGAGATCAGTCTGGCGAACTTTAGTGTTGCGGCTGGCGCTAACAAGCTCACGCGACCTGTCGCTGGGAACACAGTGGAATCGGGTTTCTTGCAGAATGGACAGGTCAAGATGACGAATCTGACTCATAATACTGCGAATAACACTTGGGCGGTTAGGAATGACTTCAATCAGATGTTCATCTCCTATCCCAAGAGCACTTAGATGCTATTCATATTAGGCACTGGACAGCATGTGATCATGACGGCAGGAATCACGTAGATTGTGTACACATTGCAGATATGATACTCTATGCATTTTGCTCCACCTCTACTTGGCTACCATCGTGGGCTCGCAAGCGAGGAGCATCCCCGCGTTGAGCACACCACATGGTCTTACTCTGTCCACCGCAAGGCTCGGAACCGCGGGTGAGTAACATGGAGCTTGGCGAAGTATCGCTTGCTCGTGTCTTGACAGAGACGAACATCGTGTTAGCCCGAATCCTGCAGGCTTCGATGCTTCAGCTCATTGTATCTCCGTCGAACATCTTATGAGGGCCTTGCCCGGAGGTTCGATATGAAGACCTCCCGGATCCAGCCATTTAACAAGTGAAGAGACCGGGAGTACCATCGGAGATTTACTCTACTCGTCCGCAAGATAGTTGTAGAAGCAACCTAGATCAGGCGATGATTACCCACGTTGCCACACCCATCAGAAGCCACAAAGTTTTCTGCAGCGAGAGTGTGGTTGCCGCCGAGACCGTCTTCGAAGATGAGCTGGATGGATTTGCCGCACTACTTGTCGCCGCTGCGGACGCCGCAGCAGCAGAAGCAGAAGCCGCCGCTTCAGCCACGAAATCCTCCTTCGGACACAACGCTTGCGTAGCATTATATATAGCCTCGTACCACTGCCGCGCCATCAACTGATACCCGAGATCAGTCGGATGCGTACCATCCTCCGCCATCTGATCCAGAGGGACCACATCGTACATCTCCACTAATCGTGCATGTTGGCCCTTGCCAGCCGCAACTTCCACTACAGGACGTAGAGCTGAATTGACATCGCGTATGCATTGGTCTTGCGTAGGGTTCGTGCTGGGTATCAGAGTAGAAGGAAGCACAAGCGCACCAGGCGCTCTGGCGCTGATACTGTCGAGGAGGTAGCTATACCGCGTTGCAGCACCCGTCCCATTCTCGCCTTGAACCCACCAGCAGTCGTTAGTACCCACATTAATGAGAATGACATTAGGTGCCATGTCATACACGCCAGAATGATAAGTCAAATTGTTGAGTTCGGAAATCTTCACGCCTGGATAGGCCTCGTGGTGGTTATCGGTCATGTTGCCGGACCACTGGGTGCCGACCATCGTTGTTTGAGTGCCGTTGGCTCGAAGGAGATCTTGAAGGCCGAGGCGGAAGCCGTTGGCGTCTGCGGAGAGGAGGCCGTAGGCTATTGAGGCGCCCATGGTCACGATACTGAAGCTGAGACCGCTTGAAGAGGAGTTCTGTAAGGAGATGCCCGCATTGGGAATTGTATTGCACCAGGCCATGTTTTGTGTGTGGACTGCTTGTACGGCTGGTGGCGTTTTAGTAGAGTCATGTGCATCCTAACAGATTCGTCGTGCTTACAGAAGGACAAGATTAGCAGCTGTGCCAAACATAGCCATCCTGAGATCCTGCTCATCATGTCGTGTTTCTTTCTTGGAGTACTACACTACTAGCGATCAAAAGTCCCCCGGGTCGAAGAACATACAAAGATCGATTTAAAAGATGTCGATGAATCGCCAAGCAGGCGCCACAACGGCTGCAGGCACGCTTTGACGCTCTGTGAGACGATGCGGCGAAGTCCCAAGATATTGCAAATTGCGTTATTGGAGATCCAAGGAATCCTTTGAGTGGATGCCTTGATTCACGTGCCGTCCATGTGCAGGCTCCTGTTCACCCACACCATTCGATATGGTGGCAATCGTAGATATGTGGCGAACACCACGAGAGGTTAACAGGATCTTCCGGCTGGTGTCGACTGCCGAGCATCAAGAGGAGCGTTCATAGATCGTAGCCAACTTACCCACTGGCGGATGGAGGATTGGCATATCGTCCAGGGGCGCAAAGGCGTGATGATGGCAGCGACACGGACGGCGACGACGCGTTCGCTTATCGTCTATCGCTGATGGTGGTCTATGCTCAAGCTCACGCGACCAGATCCACCTTCCCAAGTGGGAAGGTATATTGACATTGATGGCCACGAGCAGGGTACTACATCACAAGTGCCCGGTCATCTTCGCTCTCTCACCGTTCTGTCTCCTCTCGGTATCCTCCCCAATCAAACATACGCCATGGGTAATACAGAGAGCACGCTTGTACTCCCATCGCCGGCACAGCAGCCGATGACTCGTCGACAACCACAACAGCAGCGACATCGATCGTTCACTCCCACCCAAAGTTTGGACGAAAAGTTCGACGCCGTCCGTATCGCTCACACCTCACCAACAGCCGCCGGCTCCGTTCTGGCCCATAATGCCGCCAATGTCAGCGCAGCCAAAACAGAACAATACGTCCACGAACTTCTCAAAGACCCCAAGAACCGTCTTGGTCTCTCCGCCCTCAGCACTGCGAACCCTTCCGCTGTCCTTGAGATACCCTCCGCAATCCTCAAAGACACTCAATACTTCAACATAACCATTCCACACGAGGGAAGTCCAGTAACGAACCAGCGCTCCAGTGGCCGATGCTGGATCTTTGCCGCTACGAATGTCTTTCGCATCGCCATCCAGAAGAAGTATGACATCCAGGCCTTCGAACTCAGCCAAGCATATCTGTTTTTCTGGGACAAGGTCGAGAAGGCAAATTATTTCCTTGAATCCATACTCTCAACAGCAGAAAAGGAAGCAGTAGATGGCCGGCTCGTATCAGCGCTAATGGCGAGTCCCGTAGGCGACGGAGGACAATGGGATATGATTGTAAATCTCGTGAGCAAATATGGCATAGTACCGCAGACAGTGTACCCAGATAGTTGGAACGCCATGAATAGCTCGACCATGGATCGATTGGTGACGACGAAGTTACGGGAGGACGGACTGAAGCTACGGAAGATGAAGAAGGGAGGAGCGAGTGTGGCACAGATAGCAGATGCGAAGGAGGTTATGATGCAGGACGTTGTGCGAATCTTGACATTGTGTCTTGGTCCACCCCCTTGCAAAGATGAGAAGTTCACCTGGGTAAGTGCCTTCCAGCGAATTCGCCCGGAAAGGGTTGCACTTACAATGAAACAGGAATACTACGACTCCAAGCACAAATATCACAAAACATCCCTCACACCACTCGACTTTGCTGCTTCGGCAGACGTGAAGAAGTTCATCTCGCTAGTCAACGACCCACGAAATGAGTATAATCGTCTCTTGACCGTCGATCATTTAGGCAACGTCTGGGATGGACGACCAATCACCTATATCAACGTCGATAAGATTGTGCTGAAGGAAGCTTGCGTAGCGATGTTGAAGAAAGGCCTTCCCATCTTCTTCGGCTCGGACGTAGGAAAGCAATCTGATTCCTCCAAAGGGATCATGGATACTGATCTCGTGGACTACGAGCTAGGCTTCAACATCAAGCTGGGTATGTCAAAAGCTGAACGCTTGTTGACAGGTGAGAGCCAAATGACGCACGCTATGGTTCTTACCGCTGTCCATATCGACAGCGAGGGCAAGCCTGTCAGGTGGCGAGTCGAGAACAGTTGGAGTGAAAGTGCTGGGACGGATGGGTATTTTGTTATGAGTGATCGGTGGATGGATGAGTTCTGCTATCAGGCTGTCGTTGATCCTGAGGTTGTGGCTAAGGATGTCAGAGATGTACTAAAGCAGGAGGCGAAGGTGTTACCACTATGGGATCCTATGGGTGCGTTGGCGTAGGTATTGAGCGGATGCTACGAGTATGCAATACCTGTATCACGATTTTGACGGCCGGTAATGAGAAGCTGTTGACTTCGGCAGACGGGAACAGTTTCTTGTGGCGTTTGATGTGCAGCTAAAACGACCATTGGAGCTCCCATTCGCCAGTCCCAGGATACGCGTCCAACAGCCTAAATCCCTGCCGTTCGGAGCGTAGAGCCTGACAGGCATATCTGGGAAGTACCACCTCGTGGGAGGCAGCTCCAGCATTCACGGTCACAGTATAGGAGTGAATTGCGCAGTTGATTACCTGATCTCAGGGGTGCGTGCTCGGCTTCTGCTCGAAGGCTGAAAGCACGCAAGACCGGAAATGTGGAACTGCCACGGAAGCGGTATGTCGCTCATTCGTCTTCGCGAAGTGTTCGGCCACTCATTACTGCAGTCATGACATTTGACGGAATCATGGTTTGTACTGCCATGTCCATTCGCTGTCATTAGAAGTATTGTCTACGAAGACGATTACGTCAACTTGGCTGATGTGGGCAACCATCTGGTCAAACTCTCGCCAGACCTTCATCCAAGGAATTATGGCTTTCACCGTCTTCAAGACTTCGCAGTGGCATCAGGAGTTATGGAGGTGAAGATGAAGAGCCGATTGAAGGGGCCACCGATTGCGTTGATTTGTTCGCAGGAGTAAAATATAGGGAGTATGTAGGATTGCGGATTGTTGGTGAACCCTGTGATGAGGCGCATGCAACCGGTCTGGTTGCGCTACCAAAGGGACTCGCCTATCTGCCATTCTGCCTAATCATGGCCGTCTTATGATGCTCACGGTAGAGTCCTCATGCCTCCTTCGTGCTTGCCTTGACCAGCCGAAACCCGGGCAGTGCAATCAGGTGAGAACGTACTCGTCTCGCACATGCTCACCAACGTCCTGGAGATCTGGCGCCCAGCCTTACCTCACCTGGCCAAGACTCGCCAGGAGGCTTAACCGCGCCTTTGTGATGGTACGACAAAAGATGATCTTGAGACAAAAGCTTGAAAGCGTGATGGCAGCATCAGCAAGCATACGCGAGAGGCACCAAGAAATGGACACGACCGGGCGCTGGTCAGCATGAGCGTTCCATCAGGCCTGTACAAAAGTAACTGTCCGCCGTATCAATGTATCGGAACCATGCCGATGTACAGCTTGTTCGGCAACCTCATGCACTTCCACGAATATATCCTACCCCATATCGTCAGCTCAGCAAGACCTCGGGCAGGTGGGCACGAAAGGCTGTTCGAAAGACTCAGGACTAGCGCCACCCCGCACATATTCTTCCGTCAATTCAAACATGCACGATGTAACTTCTATCCACAACGAGTCAAAGGTATACGGCATGATCGTCACGCGAGATGTGGCTCTGTCTAAGTGGTCTCCGGTGGGTGGCAGGAAGTCCATCGACTGCAGACAGCTTGACCCACCGGCCGCCACAGGCATTTGCAACGTTATACCGTACATAAACTGCAATGCGATGTGAATCATAAGCGCACATCGGACTTAGCGATTCCTTTACCAACAGCAATAGTCATTATGCCTCGACTGTCATCCCTTGCTCTCGCTGCTTTTACGGCAGTGGCCAATGGTGTAGCTCTTCAACCCAGAGAGACGCCCGGCCCAATCATCAATTTCGCCAATAACACCGGAACGCCGAAGCACTTGGCTTCTGGCATACTGTACGGTCTGCCGGACAATCAAACCCAGATCCCCAGTGCGCTACTAAGTGGCTTTGGTTTCAACTATGGGCGTGCAGCAGGCGCACAAGTTGGACATGGTTGGAGCTGGAGCCAGCCGGAGTTTGAAGTAGGACACTTGTAAGTCCATCGAAAAATAGAGCTCTCGAGCTAACAAGCATATCAGATCAGATTCAAAAGTGCGTTGAGCAACTACCAACTTACTCGCTCGCACAACGGAGGTTTCGTTCTGTTGCTAAACGATCTTTGGGGCTTTGATACGACTCAGAACTCATCATCTCTGGCGCCGGGTGACAATGGTGACTGGTCATCATACGACCGCTTCCTCGCTCGGCTAGTTCAGCTGATCAATTCCAACAACATGAAGGCTGGCCTGGTGATCGACATTTGGAATGAACCCGAGGGCTCAGCGTTTTGGAACAGAAGCATCGACCAGTGGCTTGCGATGTGGGGACGTGGGTACCATACGTTAAGGCACGTATAGGGGTATGCACCAGGATGACGAGGGCTACACACTGACTATCTCAACAGACAAGCGTTCGGAACGAATAGTGTCCTCCTTTCGGGTCCAACAACAGCTGGTCAGCCTTCACTCTCCTACAACTGGTGGTATGAGTGGGCTTCCTTCGTGAGCAGCAACGCGTCTGTTCCCGATCAATACGTATGGCACGAAGAGGCCGGTACTGGCTCTTCACTTTCCAAGTCCTACAACGGCCTGACCCAGATCCAAGCGAAGTACAAGCTTCCCAAGAAGCAGATCAATATCAACGAGTACGCCATCTACAATGAAGAAGTGCCCGCCGGCTCGGCCTTCTGGATCTCCCAGCTTGAGCGTATCAATGCCATTGGCCTCCGCGGCAACTGGCTCGGCGGAACAAAGCTCCACGACTTTGCCGCCTCCCTACTGTCAAAGCCTGACCAAAACAATTATGCCGCCACAGGGTATTTCACCAACGGCGACTACCAGGTTTATAAGTACTATTCGCAGAACATGACAGGCTCTCGCTACGGCACCAGCGTCTCTCCCGATGGTATCATGGATGCTTATACAACAGTCGACTGCGGCCATGTCCGTTGTCTGATGGGCGTGCGACCTCCAGCTACAGGGACATACTCAGTCACCTTCAATAATCTATCGAGTTTGGGTCTGCGAACCAGTGGGTCAATCAGTGTTCGCACCTGGAAATTCCCGGTTGCGTCCGATGTACACTTCGGCCGAGTCGATGCCCCGATTGACCTTGGAACGCTATCGCATTCATACTCTAATAACCAGCTTGTGCTTCCTTACTATTCCACAGACAACGTGACCACGTATGCGTGGGAGTGGCAGGTCTAGACTGGATCTCGAGACGAAAACCTGCGTACGTAGAGATGTTCAGCATTGCATAATGTGACTAGGAATCTGTATCGCAGCTTCGCAACGTCTGCTACGGACAACGGGGTCCTGGCTACACCCCTGTGTTGAGAAGATGAATAGATGACAAATCGAACAAACAAACAATACCCTGTAATCCGTCCTTTTCTCTCGACTTCAAGTGCTCGCTTGTGTAGTCTTGGTACTAGACTTCATGAGTCCGGAATTTGTTAATCAAAGTACAAGCTAGTCTACTGCATGATAACGCCGACACCATCTCACCGTGCCGATGGTTGGATCGAGAACACATGCGAAATGAGTGCATTCGTTTGTAGTCGGGTAAGCCTGAACCAATCTGACAACGTCCTTGATGCCGGCAGACCTGGTGACAAAAGGGTCGCGGCCACATGATCGGGCTGTGATACTCTGCCAACTGTCCACAGCACATCTCTCTCTATCTTTGGCTTCTGCAACCACTTCGTCCAAAGTTACTTTGACCGACTCTTCTGTGTCCTTGACAGAAGGAGATCGCCTAGGCTGGGCTGAGGAGGTGCTGTCGGCGTTTGTCACGACTATGAAATCCTGACTCGTACGTGACGTGGCGCTCCTGTAGTCTTTCTCGACGACAACGGTCTCTTGGCCGCTGCAGAAGCATAGATAGCAGACTGTGGTCATCAGAATCGGCACGATCATGCCAGTCATTGCGCCGATTATGTCCACGAAAGCTGGAGGAGAGGTCTGCGCCGGCTTGGATGTCAGGGAGGCAGGTTTCATAGCGGCTCGGGGCAATAGAAAACTTCGCAGAGTCGACGAGATGCTAGCACGGAGTCCGAGGAGCACCAGGACCATATGCAGGAAGTAAACAGCATCCGACCAGAACTTGCCGTTGTCGATGCGATTCGGTCGGAAATTGAGACTGAGGCTGAGACCAGGACGCACGCCGGTAAGAACACCAACGAATCCTGCGTAAGTAATACTGCTTGCTGTGATCGGTCCATCTCTTTCGAGGCAAAAGTCTAGCTGGATCACAATCTTGCGCAGCGCGGGCATGTCCTGAACGAAGTCAGCTTTCAGTATGCCGAAGCGGTGGACGTCCGTAGTGGCGACAGGTTCAGTAAGTCCTATCACGCACCGCAACTTACCCAGTCCAGTGTACGAAAATGCAACATCTTGCTCCCACCAGTCGTACTTTGCTCGTCCCGCACTCGAGCCCCACCACTGGAACAACCCATCATCAGGTCCAGCAGCACATTGAAACACACGAGTAGGTACATTTCTATACCCACCGCTCGACTGATGCCTATAAGCTCGGCATTCTCTTCATCGTTGTAGATCCGCCTCAAGAACATCTTGCATAGAAGTCTCAGCCAGCTCAATGGCAAGAAGGTTACCATACCGCCTACAACCTCGTCGAAAAGTGCCGTTAATTCGAGCATCGGTTCTTCGAAAGCAGCGCAGACCTCCAGGTAGCGTTGCTCAGGCGGCAGTGAGAGGTTGATGATGAAGCGTGGCGGCTCATCAGATGTATAGCCTCTCGATGCTTTGCCATGTCTAGAAGAGTGGCCAGATCTGGCAAAGACCGTCGTCGTAGAGTAGTCATCCTTCTGCGTCTGCCGAGCTGTACGCAGGCGCAGCCGTGAAGTAGTGATCGCCGGGTCATGATTGTGGCCAGTGGCAGCGTCGCGTCCAGAACGCTGACTGCGTGTGACTGGGGCCATAGCGGTCCAAAAGTCCAATCATTCCGACTGTAGGCGGACCGTCCGACTCTCAGGGATACATCGCACCGGTACGGCGATGCGTGTCGCGTAGAGATCGCAGTCCTGATAAAGAGGATATAACGTGGAAGATGGATCGAATTTTGCTGCAGCCAGCCAGCCGCACTCGTGACCCATCAGTTCACCGATTCATGAGAAGACAATGACAACAACGACGAGCTATGTTCAAGATATCATGTACACGTGTGGTGGTGTTGGTCATATTATGGATCAAAACAAAAGTTGACGATATATGCTGAACACCATTTACGTATAATGTCGTAGCAGAAGCTGTCAGTCACTGTGTACCCGACCAACCCTCAGCCATTTTCTCCCCAACGCCGTTGCACCAACCATCCCTACAGATTTCCCAAAGCATAACACCCTAAGCCTGATAACTGGCACCCCGAGCAATAGGCCTCCGCGTACCACCCATGCGTATAGCACGCCCCGAGTTCCACTGATCCGCAGCTGCACCCTCCTCTCCATGCAGCCCGTCATCAGGCAAAGCGACAGGACCACGCTCGCCCTCCAGCAACACCGAAGGCTTCCTCGTATGAGCCTGAGGCCTCAAACGCATGGGAGTTTGTCCATTAGTCGTGGGCGAGGTCGCCGTCTGTCCATTGACAGCCACAGCCGGAACGCCATTCTGAGATTTGTGCGCGAACTCCTCGTAGGAGTGTCTACTCTCTTGGAGACGTTGCTCATCGCTCGTGGGACGGCGGACATCGTCGTTCTCTTCGCTGTTGGGGTTGGCGGTTTCATATTCCGGGGCCTTGATAAATTTATAGAACGCAGCAGCGAGGAGAGAGCCAAGCATTGGGCCTAACCAGTAGACTGCGAGAGGTGTCAGTGACCGGTTGGAAATCTCGTCCTCGTGCATACTCACTCCAATGATACCTCTCGAAGCTCTGGACAACCACAGCCGGCCCGAAAGATCGTGCCGGGTTGAGGCTGCCGCCAGTGAAGTACACTCCCGTGAGCTCAGCTACGAAGAGGGAGAGACCAATCCCGACAGGAGCGATATAAGTGCCCTTGTGTTTCTCAGCGGCCAGCATGAAGATCGTGAAGATCAGTTGGGCCGTCAGGATCATCTCGATAAAGAGACCTTGGGCGATTGATGTACCACCCCCAAGCTTGGTAGCGACGGTGAGGGGGCCAGGAAACATGCAGGAGACTAATGCCGATGCCACGATCCCGGCTATAATTTGTGCAAAGAAGAGGAGGGCGCCGCGGAACCAGGGTAGGGCACCGATAAGACACATCTAGAGAATATTGTCAGCTTTCATGATGTTTTCACGAATGATGATTGAACACGATTGCACTCACGCCGACGGTAACGGCAGGGTTAAACAGCCCACCACTGATACGGAAGAAGACCCACGCGTTGACGGCCAGCGAAAAGCCAAAGCATAGAGCGATGTACTGCAATTGCTGCGGGTTAGCGCCAATTTCGCTCACCGTCAAGCCGGACGACGATGGGATGTTGTTGGCAACCTGGGTTCCCGAGAGTGCGAAATAGAGGAACAGCACTGTCCCGACGAACTCTCCGAGCATAGCGACGAAGTGTCCACGGAAGGCATCAGGGATAAGATGGGCGAAGGGCACCCGTGGTGCACCAACTGCGTCGACGACTTCATCGCGTTTCTCAGGGTCGGCCGCTTTGGTGAAGGGGATGGCTATGGTATTGCCAGGAACGGGCGGCTATCCGACATGGTCAGTCCCGTATTGATGGCCCACTTCAACTAGCAAACAGATTCCCTACTCACATTGATATTCATCTTGGCGGGTCAAGCTATACTGCTCGCAGCGCTGGGTCGTATCATAGACAGGGGCGGTCAAAGGAGGAGACACGAGGGCTAGGATACAAGAATCCGGCAGGTCTTCATATACCGAGACAATACTGCTGACTTGTACTCTGCCTTGCGTAGGCGGCCCAAGGACCTTGTACATGGCGTTCGCTAGCGCAATGACGTTCACCTTCATTTGACTGAACTGCATCCTCGCCTGCTCCTGCATGCAACAGCTTGTGAAAGACGGCCAGCATGCATGTTGAAAAAGCTGGAGCCAATCATCCTCCATGCTGTGGACGCCACGAACAGTTGCGAAAGGCCTGGAGCTCAGGACGGGACAGAGAACTGAGATCCAAGCAGGATTGGTGATTGAGTTCCGCCGTTCTGAAGTCCAGGCGGTGTCACTCGTGCTCATCAGACCCCACACGTGCGGCCTCCCGCCTCAACACTCCGCTGCGGATCGGTAGAGGCGGCAGGTGTATAGGGAGAAGAAGGAACGATCTGCTGTGCTCAGGAGGGTGTTTTGTCGAAAGATCCCAAGCGGTGATGACGTCTGCTGATTGCAGCGACAGGTCTCCTGGAGGAATGGCTTTCTCGCCTCGCGTCAGTGGGAAGCGCTTCATTGCTCCAGGGCTCTTGTCACCAGTCACGACTTCGTCCAGCCAGAAGCTGGGAGAAGTGCGGTGGAAGTGGCTTATGGGTTTAGTCTGAAAGTAGGCTAAATCTAAAGTCTCTCGGACATTTAGAGGCTTCTTTCTTGAGATAGACTTTGTGCTGGACGATTTGTATTCTCCGAAGCCGATCATGAGGCGTACTGCGTCATCTGTCTCTTAGAGACGCAGCGGTGACAGATCACCGCCAGTGTCGGTGATTCCGTGGATAACCAGCATGATGAGAATGATCTTGGAATGGTCGGGCGGTCTGGTGAACCGCTGAGATAGACAGAATACGGATGGAGGGTGAGGTCAAGGTCGGGGAGGATGTGCTCACTGCTCATGCAGGTCTAGGCCGGCTCGGAGATTTTCTGCAGCCAAAGCACAGACATATCTGCGCGGAAATGCCACGCGAGCTTCAGGTGCAAATAAACAGTTCATCGACAACTTGTCTGCTACGCCACACTACTCTGAATCTACTGATTTAGAGAACATGCAACAACCTTCACCTTCCGCTGAGACGGAAGCATTACTCGCTAGGCTGTCGCATCGACCGGACGTCCAAAGTACCCTCGTATTGGCCCGCGACACTGGCGCTATTGTACGCTCATCCGGTCTGATCACGGCAGAGGATGTCGGGATGGAAAGCACTGCATCCACCGATGGCACAGCGAATGGTGCTGGCACTGGCGGCGAGACCCTGACAGGCAAGGGCACAAGGAATGTCGACGAGGTTGCAAAGCTGGTCTGGACATTCGTAAAGAGTGCCAGTAGTCTGGTGGAGGATCTGAATGGCTCGCATGACGAGGCGAAGCTACTGCGCATACGGACGAAGAAGAACGAGATCGTGGTTGTACCAGATGCGAAGTTCTTGGCTGTGGTTATACACGACACGCCTCCGGCTTGAGCACGAAACACTGGAAAGAACCGATTTCAGCTACAAGGCCGCAATTGCAGGCCACAAGCAAGGTGCAGAGCGGAGCCATTCACTCCACAAGGAGCTATATGGCCTCCGTGTGTTCAGATCCACGATGATTACGGGTTCGAAGAAGCGTGTGAAGCCCGATCGACGAACGCATGTCAAATATGAAAAGGCATCCGATTCGAAGCATTGGCCAGGCTGATCATACCAGAGCAACGATATCAATCTCACCAATGCTTCTCGGAGATGTCAACACTATTCACATCCACCCCATCCTTGAACCACCGCTCGTCTTCGGAAATCTCAACATCATTCCCACTCATCATCCGCTTCCGCATCTTACCAGCATCTGCATCGTCATACGTCCAGTCCTCGAGACCATAACACCGCTTCCACTTCATGCCGTCGTGAGAATCCTGGTACTCATACCAGAACTGCACGGCGATCTTGTTGGAGGAGAAAGTGAAGAGTTCTTTGCGGAGTCTACATACGATGGTGAGTAGACAAGTCAGTGCGGCGCGGAGAAAGCAGAGGAGAGGCTGAACGGGCGAGGAGACGGACTTGTAATTCTTCTCCTTCTGCCATTTCGAGGTCAAGAATTGGGTGATTTCTTCTGTGCCGGAGAGGAGCTTATCGCGGTTGCGCCAGATGGAGTCGGTTGTGTAGACTTTGGCTATGCGCTCGGGATCTCTTCTTGAATGTCAGAAGCCAGCAAGCCAGGGAGCGTGCATTCGGGGTATAGCTGCCGTGTATTCCATAGATCCTGCGCAACCTTGACTTTCTTGTGTGCTGTCTCGGCCGTGAAGGGTGGAGCTAGAGACATCGTTGCCTGGACTGATGAGCTAGTCTTCCGAGATGGTATTTTAAGTTGCTATGTGACCTCTTCTTCCAATCAAGGTTCCAGCTATTGTGTCTTTCGGGCAGACCTATATGTATACATTTGCACACACGACGCCCTGGCGTTTCCTATCGCGAAGGCTGACTCATGCGTCATATCACGAACCGCTGGAATTCGTATTTGACCCTTCGCGCTCGCTTCTTCTCCACAACTCGAACGATCGAGTCGAGCTTTTCGTCGAGGGCATATGACAAGCTTATGCTTACCTCCGAAGAGGATGGCGGTGACCCGGGAAGTGGCTGAATCGCGCAGCCAGCCTGATGACTTGGTCCAAGCAATACCAAGGCTGTCAATCAAGGTAGGAGCAACTTGGCGTTACCTCATCACCAGAAAGCAGGTAGGTATGGCTGGCTGTGTAAACAACCTACGATTCCCATCGCAACCTTTCATTGTCTCCAGTCTTCTCTTCCTACACCAAGTCACAAACATAACGCGACAGTGATACAATACACGCGACACACTTGAAGAGGCTCACTGCTTCACCAATACATACGCGACTATAACCATCAAGCCAACAGCAGGATGCCTTTCATGTGGACCAAAGGCTTCGGAGGAAAGCATGCGGGTATGTTCCATTGTCTGCGATCGCGAATACTTCTCCTACTGACCACGATATCTGAACAGGTGGAGGAGTGATCGTCGACAAACACGGCCCACGACGAGCCCCTTTTCGATTCTCGCTGGGCCGATTCAGCTGCTTCCGCTAAATGATGACTTGGCATTAATGGAAAGGGTGGAACGGCGTACGGCAAATATGAGATTCTTCTATACCCACAATTGCGATTACCAAACAACAGCCTTGGCCTACGACGATAGGAGATCAGGTGCTGGAGGACATTTGTACAGCTACACCCCCGCAAAGGCAAATCGCCCTATTACGAGCTGCAGCTTGGGAACACTATTGATCCTACCGTACAAGATTGATACCAGAGGTGGTAACTGCTACCGACGAGAATCATACAACCAACCTCATAGTTTGGATAGTCGTCCGTAGGGCGTGTACTCATGCTTTGACGCCATGATCATCAGTGTACATGTCACTTGTTACTCAGGCATGCTGCTGAACTCGATGAACGTATACAAGCCCGTACGGGACATCTAACACATCAGTGCCACAAGACTTGAAGCGATCATACGAACAGACTCCGAGCCAGCTCATTGATCTACTTTTGCAGCCATGACCTCCAAACCAGCAATAGCAAAGCTCCAGAGCTCAGACGACTTCCTCCTCTGTAACGCATGCGGCACGCAATACCCAGTGAACACGCAGAGCAACAAAGACAGCTGCAAGATCTGCGATGACCCTCGCCAATTCGTACCACCCGAAGGCCAGACTTTCACAACCTTAGCCACTCTTCGAAACCAAGGCCACCGCAATGTCTGGTGGCAAGACAAGCAGAATCGCAAGATCTGGTCGGTCAGAACAGAGCCGCAGGTAAGTTGACCGGTCGTCAATCTCATCTTAACCGCTAATCAGATTCGTTCAATGAAGTTCGCAATCGGCGAGCGAGCAATGTTGTTGCAGACTGAAGCCGGGAACATCCTCTGGGATCTAATACCTTTCCTTGATGCCGAGACCGTTGACCGCATTAACGACTTTGGAGGCCTGAAAGCAATCGTGATCTCGCATCCGCACTACTACAGTACCTGGGCAGATTGGTCCCGCACTTTCTCCTGTCCTGTATACGTCGGCGCACACGATAAGGAGTGGTTGGGGCAAATCCATAGAGAAGGGACCGAACTGCGGTTCTTGATAGATATTCACACGCCCCTCCTGCATCCCGAGTCAGGAGTGACAGCCATCCTGGCGGGTGGCCATTTTCCGGGCTCTTTGCTCCTGCACTGGAAGCAAGCTAAAAGCCTCTTCATAGCGGACACCATCTTCACCTCACCCTCCGCCACGAACCCTGTCCCAGGCAAGGAGGGAGTGATCAGTTTCACTTTCTTCTGGAGTATACCGAATCGGATCCCTTTGCATCCGGATGACATCCTCATGATCTGGAACAAGGTTAAGCACTTGGAGTTTCACTCCGCGTATGGTGCGTTCAAGGGCATGGATGTGTATACTATGTCCAACGAGGCTGGGAGGGGCACGGGAGGGGTGAAGGGGAGGTTGTTGCAGAGCTGTAAGATCTATGTTGGGGCTATGGGGTGGAGGGAGCATAGTGTCTTTGAAGAGGTCTTGGAGATGCCGTAGGGTCCGACCTATGACTCGTTGCTCATGAAATCGGTACATAACGCCCCGTATATGTATCTCCTGGTAGCGTCAATAAAGCATATTTTGACTGCTGTGTTTCGTGCTACGCAGGCCCGACAGAATGTGCGGTCTTGGAACGTTATCCTATCGACTTAAGGCTCTTTGCTTTGCTGGACGTTTTCCTGACCAGACGTCGCGAAATCTGATACCACTCTCGATGGTACAATTTACACCTTCACGAAGGAAACGCTTCGTACATCGACTCGCATCACGGACGGCGATAGCGAGATCAGCCCCACTTGCTGACCAAGAACGTGAGTTGGGACCCTGCATGAAGCACCATCGACGACCAGGTCTGATCGCGGAACGGCCACTACTATACCGCTCAGGCAACATTCGTGCTGAGTAGTAATTAAATGCGCTTCCATACCATAGTATCATTCTGCAAGGTCATGTTTGGCGAATGAGCACAGCAACGGATGCAACATTAAGACGACTTCTACGTTCACCGTCGTCGACGACGACGACAGTTGCTCAATCTACTAGGAGGCTCTTTGCGCCATAGCTTACAAGCCTATAGCGACCAAAACCATGGCTACCAACAGCGCGGACAGCCTGGCGCAGTCTCTCCCCGCCAACGCCGCGCACCACCTCAAGCAGAAACGAGCGCGCAGCCAACTCTCTTGCACGCCATGTCGCACTGGAAAGCTAAAGTGCAATCGCGAGAAGCCGCACTGCGACCAGTGTATCAAGCGAAGTCGGGAGGGACAATGCCTCTTCGTGCCGCCACCCGCCAAGCACAAGCCGGTGCAGAATGTCAAGGGCCGGATCAGGCAGTTGGAGGAGCTGGTGGTGGATTTGATGAATCAGAATCGTAACGCGGCGGGAGGGCGGCAGAGGAATGGTGCGCAAGGTGGGGAGGGAGAGGGAGGTGCTCGGAATGGTGCAGGCCCGTTCGAGCAGCCAACACCGCCTAGTGATAGTGACACGAGCCCTCAAGGTCTGACCGGCTCGAGTACTGGGTCCCACCAGGCGCAAAGTACTAGCAGCGGCAATGCGCATACGCCTCCTCAAGACGATGTAGATGAAGCGACGACTCCATTCGGACAAATGCATATTGGTAAGGACGAGATCTCGTATGTAGGCGAAGCACATTGGGGCGCCATCTTAAGCAGTATTTCCGAGCTCAAACGTGATCTGGATGATGACGAGCAGGAAGAAGAGACTGGTCCGCAGCTCAACGAGAACCCACTTGCTAGAGGCGACAACAGTACTGGTGGCTGGCCAGGTACGAATCCATGGCACAGTGAAAACCAGGATTCCGTCAGCTCAACGTCGGGTCTTGGATTCATGCTGGGTAACACTCCGTCCTTGACCAAACAACAAATCATTACTGCCGTGCCGGAGAAGCGCGTGGCGGATCGCTTGCTGAGTTTGTGGTTTAACTCACCTGACCCTTTCAAGAGTATCATTCATGCTCCTACGTTTCAGGACGAGTACAAACGATTCTGGAAAGACCCCGTAAAGACACCTACTATGTGGCTGAGTCTACTATTCGCCATCATGAGCTTATCAGCAAGTTTCGGTCTTCGAGACGTGGATCCGAGCAGTGAGCAAGCGAACAAGATACTAGATCAGGTGAACAAGTATCACTCGATCAGTGCCTCTGCGGCAGTATTATCCGACTTCACGAAGCCAAAAGAGCATACCATCGAAGGCCTGATCATTTACTCAGCAGGCTTGAGAAGCAACAACGCCTTTGTAAATGTCTGGCTGATGGTAGGTCTGATTGTTCGTCTGGCACTACGAATGGGCTTCCATCGAGACGCAAAACACTATCCGAACATCACGCCCTTCCACGGCGAAATGCGACGACGAATCTGGAGCACAATCAGCATGATCGACGTGCTTATCAGCTTCCAGCTAGGCCTCCCGAGCATGGTCAAGACAATCCAGTCTGATACAGCTGCTCCACGGAACCTGCTGGACCGCGATTTCAATGTCAATACCACTGTGCTGCCACCTAGCAGAGGTATAGAAGAGTTGACACCTTCGAGCTATGCACGCGCTAAGCTGGGTATCACTCGAGTCTTCGCTAACGCCGCCGAGCTGAGCCATGCGACGATTCCACCTGCATACGAGGAGATGATGGAGCTAGATCGCCAGCTTGAAGTAGCGAAGGCAGCGATACCACCACTTCTGCAGATGCCAGATATTACTGAAGTCGTCACCGATCCCGCCGAGCAACTGATGTGCAGATTTAATCTGGACCTGTTGTATCTGAAGACGAAGATCGTGCTTCATCGTCGTTACGTCGCCACTCCGTTGGCTCAGCTCAGTGAGGAGGAGCAGAAAGTCGGGATCGGGCATAGTCGCAAAACCGCCGCTGACTGTGCTCTGCGTGTCTTGCAACACCATCATACTATCTACACCGCCTCGCAGCCTGGTGGACAACTTGAGAGTGTGAAGTGGTATATGGGCTCCATCAGCACGCACGATTTCCTGCTTGCCGCTATGATCATTTGTCTCGAGTTGAGCCAGCAGATTAATGTTGAGAAGTTTGCTGAAATCAATCCGAGTGGCTATCAATGTCCGCTCAGGGGTATCATGATGGACGCACTCGAGCGAAGTCAGAAGATCTGGACTAATGCTTCAAGCAAGAATCGCACCGGGGCTACGCAAGGAGGCACTAATGGTGCCATGCCGGCCCAGTATGCTCCGCCTGGCACCGCTGGCCTCCAAGGTAGTAACGCCAACGCTGAGAGGAGCGAACATATCTTCAACGAGACTGAGAAAGCGGCTCGAGCTATTGGGGTCATGATTGCGAAAGTCCGAGCGCAATTCCCGATGTCCGTGCAGCAGCAGGCTGAGGGCACAAAGTATGAGCCAACGAAAGGCCAGGTGACAAGCGCAAAGGAGTTCTGGAAGTCGGCCACGCTGGCACAGTACTTGAAGACGCCGGAAAGACAGGCGGAGAGTCCGTTCGCGGGGATGGTCAGTACGTACAACTGGGACATACCCGAGGATTTCGACTTTTCTGCCGTTGTGCAACAGAGCGATAGTGCTGACGCGAGTGTGCTGACGAGTTTGATGCCTTCTGCTGCTCCGGGATCGATGAGAAATCCGGCTGCTAATCCTATGTACTCCGCTAATAACGACGCCATTACATCCTTGAACACTGATCGTAGTGGGAGCTCCGAACAGGACGAATTTATGATGGATGCTGGAATGGCGGACATGGATTTCTCGATGATTGGAGATATGCTTCAGTTCCCAGCAGCGTACGAGAATGGTGGCAGTGAGGCCAACATCGATTGGGAGATGTGGGATGCGCAGATCAAAGCAGGATCGGGAGAGGTTGGGACGCAGGCTATGTCGGGCAATGCGTTGACGGGTGGTACGGGTATTGTGGAGGGCTCACGTCTTCCGGAGACGTGGTCGGTCGATGATCAAGTCGCGAATGGCGGCGCGGCAGCTGCAGCGACGACCACGACTACGACTGCGGCTGGTGCGAGTGATGTCCGGACAACGGTGCCTCATGGCCCGTCGACTGTTGCTTTTGGTCCAGTGCCCACGTATTCTTGGTCGGTCGACGAATCCTTCGAGCTACCCAAGCTTCCGCAGACCGGATCGCCAACAATGGATTATGATGGCGCTGACCTTGCAGACGTCGATCTCGGTCTTGACGGATCATTGCAGGATTATAATCGAAATGGAATGTACCCGGCCACGCAAGCAGACTGGCAAGATTGGTGGCGGCGGAAACGGACGGGTACGACGCCCAGTACCGGATAACAGAAGCAGTAATCGGTAGTTACTGTGAGATCAGTCATCAATTGGTCTGGTCAGACATATCATGTTGTAAGATATGCTACATCACAACAGCCGCTTATTGTGGGATCTATGAATGGCCTCGAATCTGAATCATGGGTATGACGGGAGCCACTACATGCTCCAGCGACAACAAGTGTTTGTGACACCGCCTACAAGATAATGGAAAGCCGCGCGCGAACGCTCAGAGAGCTCTGCCACGGAGGAGTTGGGTTGGACCAAATGATCGGACATGAGAAGCTGAGGCATTTATGCCACCGAGCGGTGCGTACTAGACGTCCTTGACATTGCGGCATTTATGGTGCATTGCGGCATTTATGGTGCTATGTGACCACGAATATGAGTAGCACTTGTACGAAGGCAAAGAATCCACTCTGCATCATTAGTATTATCTCAATCATGCTATTCTGGCTGATCTTTTTCGCATATCTTTGCCACGTAGTGTTTGAGATGCTCAAAGCTAATCACGTTTCAGGAGGAACTGTGATAGTACCGCACCTCAGACGATTGGGTCACACTCCACAGGAGATCACGAGGGATCACGACTATAGCATCTGAGACACCGAGCAAAATGGTACGCGGTGTACAGTCTCATGATGGCGGAATAATCTTTCGCGAACAGCATAGCCTTCGAAGGGTACGATCGAGCAGCGTGAACAGCTAGAAGCAGAAAGTGGTGGTCGGGTTGACAGCCAACAGTACAGCTATGGTTCGCAAGACCTACGTACGCATTTAACTCTTCGACAGCAACCAGGCACGTCATCGTCTACGATTGACGAAGCGTGCCATCAGTTGTCGAGGCTCCTCGCCACCATCCTCAAATGCTTCTGCAAAAGCCTCTACTCCGGCCTGCACACCTTCGTCCACCGTGCAGTTCTCCCACTTCTGCATCAAGCGCTTCTGGCTTCTGATTGCAAGCGGACCCATCTGTGCGATCTTGCCACTCCAATCTGCGACCGCATCGTCAAGCTCGGACTTAGACCTCACGACACTCTCTACTAGACCCCATCGTTCTGCTTTTGGTGCGTCGATGTTCTCGGCTAGATATAGCAGGCGCCTTGTCCTGCCTATGCCAATCAGACTAGGAAGGAGTGCCGCTTCGACAACAGAAGGGATACCTATCTTCACCTCAGGCATACCGAAGGTGCTACCCTCAGTACAAATCCTCAGATCGCATGCTGCCATGATCTCTAACCCAGCACCGAGACAAAAGCCGTCTACACGGGCTATCACGGGCACAGGCAGGTCTCTTAAAGCTTTGCAGGCCTTGTGAACATGCGTGATGAGCTCGCGAGCAGCGGCTGGAGACGACAGCTGATGCATCTCTGCTATGTCCATGCCGCCGATGAAGGAAGGAGCTTTGCCTTCATTTGTTGGGCCGCCTGTAAGAATTACAACACGAAGACTGGTATCTTTTGACAGTTCTTGGCATTGGTCGGCGAGGTCCTGGAGGAGTTCGATATTGACAATGTTGAGTTTGGAAGGATTCGAGATGGTGATCGTGGCTGTGTTGCCACCATTGATATCAGACCGCGCTACATGGATGCGAGCGGTCTTGTCTATGCGCCCAGAGCTAAGACGGCGGGCAGACTTCCAACCAGGCCATGTACCTGACGTGGCAGCGTATCGAGTCCCAACATGGTGGGAGGACAGCGAGGGCAGCGAGGAGAGGCCAGAAGCTGGTCTGGCTCGCCGTATTTTGCCAGGGAGGCTCATGGAAGCGGTATTGGCGTTACGACTTGCGTGCGCCAGTGTGCTTGATACTCCACAGCGAGAGCTCTTAAATGTCCGCCCAAGCAGGAGTCGAGGCTGTGCCATCGGAACTCACAATGCCTGCAAGGCAGCACGCGGCAAGCATGCAGACTTCCCAATCTCTTAGCCCCGACGATATCTGTCCTCGGTAGGAACTAGAAATACTCGACACAGCTCTCAGTGTCGAGGCCCATCACCCGGCCATCCGCCGTGCGGGCAGCTACAGCGTTAAGTTATGGAGATACATGCACTCCACATCGCGAGCGCGTAACCTTGCAGCGCGGGCAGCTCTTGCCCCGCATCAGCCACGAAGTGCCGTCTCGTCTATAAAGATGATCATAGAGGGGCAATGAGAGAAAGTGAATTGAGAGGATACTACTTACAACACTGTTGTAGGACCATACGGACGAGTACAATTAAGGATATATACCACAATGGCGTCTCAAAACAAGATGAAGGCGTTGCATTATGACGGACCATTCAAGGTCTCGATCAAAGAGATTGATCTGCCGAAACTGCTTCATCCAGACGACGCTATCATCAAGGTGACCACCTCTTGCATTTGTGGCAGTGACCTGCACATGTATCAGGGGCGGACAGCTGCAGAGTCAGGCCTGGTATTTGGTATGCATGAGTCGTGCGTGCGAGAGAGCATTTCGACCATTCGCTGACGACCACCAGGGCATGAGAACATGGGTATCGTGGAGGAGCTTGGCTCGGGTGTCACACTGCTAAAGAAGGGCGACCGCATTGTTCTACCGTTCAACGTCGCGGACGGCCGTTGTCAGAACTGCGAGGAGGGCAAGACGGCATTCTGTACTGGCGTGAACCCAGGTTTTGCAGGCGGAGCGTACGGTTACGTGAGTTCGCACACGAGCACGGTAGTGTCGGTCAATGCTGACGATCACGATAGGTCGCCATGGGTCCCTACCAAGGTGGTCAGGCACAGTACCTGCGCGTCCCCTACGCTGACTTCAATGCCCTCGTCCTCCCACCTGGTACCGAACACGAAGCAGATTTCGCTCTCCTCGCTGACATCTTCCCAACTGGGTGGCACGGCCTAGTACTCTCAGGATTCAAGCCGGGTGAGAGCGTGGCGGTCTTTGGTGCAGGTCCGGTCGGTTTGATGGCGGCATACTCTGGTATCATCCGTGGAGCCAGCCAGGTTTACGTAGTCGATCAGGTGAAGGAGCGACTCGATGCTGCCAAAAAGATTGGTTGCATCCCTATCAATTTCACCGAAGGCAACCCAGTGGACCAGATCATCAAGCACAATGGTGGCATGGTTGATCGAGCAGTCGATGCCGTCGGCTACCAAGCTGTGGACAAGGGCGGCAAGAAAGAGGTGCCAAACGTTGTGCTCGACCAGGTTATCATGGTTACGAGACCCACAGGCGGCCTCGGTATCCCTGGTCTATACGTTCCAGCGGATCCAGGCGCGCCAGACGAGCAGTCAGGCAAAGGCCAGATCCTCATCAGCTTCGGCAAGCTCTTCGAGAAGGGTTTGAGCTTGGGCACAGGTGAGTCTCTCATCAATACACATTCTGCTCATGAATCCTGCTCTTCTGATACATCTTTTAGGACAATGCAATGTCAAAGCCTACAACCGCTACCTGCGAGACCTCATCATTTCCGGCAGAGCCAAGCCATCGTTCGTGGTATCGCATGAAGTGAGCTTGGACGATGCGGTGGATGCATACGATAGATTCGATCGTAGGGTGGACGGATACACCAAGGTGCTGCTTCATCCCAATGGACCGCTGAAGTAGTGGATGGAGGGAGCCAGCAGCTCTTTGTGCATGGCGGACCCCGCACGGTGTAGCAGCTTCGAAGGTACGTGCTCCTCATCGCCCTGATGTAGCATCACCGCCTCATAAGCCAGTGCGTAGTACACACCGCAAGGCGCTCTGCTCATTGCCTCGCGCATTCTGCACATGCAACATCCTCACGTATTCATGTTGGCTAGGCGGTGCAATGGCGCTCTCACACAGCGTCCTCTCCTTCAGCCACCCGAGCCTTGACTATCTTCACCTCCTCTAACGGCCTATCCTCGCCGTCGGTTTTCACCATGCCCATGCGCTGCACAATCCTCATACCACCCTTTACCCTCCCAAAAATGGTGTGCTTCCGGTCTAACCACGGCGTGGGCGCAAGAGTGATGAAGAACTGACTCCCGTTCGTGTTCTTGCCCGAATTCGCCATGCTCAAGATACCTGCACCAGTGTGTTTGAGATCTGCTCGAATCTCGTCCTCGAACTTCTCGCCATAGATGCTAGCGCCACCACGACCAGTCCCAGTCGGATCACCACCTTGAATCATGAAGTCCGGAATGATCCGATGGAAGACGGTCCCATTGTAGTAGTTGCGCGCAGCCAAGGTTGAGAAGTTTTGGCATGTCTTGGGCGCGTGGTCAGTGTAGAGTTCGCAGACGATATTGCCCATGGAGCTCTCGAGCACGACCGTCGGGGACATCTCCGAGCCTCCCGTTGCCCGGCTTACACGAGTCTTGAGTCTTGAGTCTTGAGTCTTGTTATTACGTGGGATGTACCGGTAGTGTCAAGACTATCATACCACCAAAATGAATAATTTCTGGTCACCGCACCAACATTGTGATTTGAGACAGCAACCAAAATCAAGATGTTAGCCAGAACTTCGGCACTGGGTCCGTATAGCGAAAGCGGAAAATAAGGTGGGGTCTTGGTTTCTACGGAGCGTCCCCACTCTGTGTGTAGCCAAGCCACATGCACATATCAAGGTCTTCTTCCGCATGAGATCCGTCGGTGATGATGTTCGCTCAACGTGCGCCCGCATCAGTTGACGAGAGGGTCGACAACAACGTCACAATCATGTTGGTGGCACTCGCCTACACAGACAACGTGGTAGCGAGACGGTGATCTCTTCAGACGATCAAAGGAAGCCGCTTACGCCGATCGGCCCCGTTTGGCGTCCCCTGGCTTGAGAATTGATTGCCTGCACGATTCATGGCGCAGGTCAGATCTCCGACTTTCGTGCGCGTGGTAGACGTTGCTCCCAAGCCTGCACCTGCAAGCAGAGGAATCCTCGGTTTGCATCCCTCTTCGCGTAAGAGCCCCGAAGACCCCATCGTCGGATCTTGGGTCATGCAGCCAGGCGAGCGTGTCTCCGGCAGCCCTCGAGCGGGAGAGGCTGAGAGGCCATATTGAGACCCCGCATAGTGATGGTGAGTGGTGGCGAGGAGCCTCGAAGGGTTCGTGGAAGCTTCACCACTGCACCGATGGACAACCATATGTAATCAAGAAGCTTGTTGGCGAGATAGCCGTGTTACACGATGGTATGCGTGCAGCTCGACCGCGTGTGAAGCACATGGTCTTATGCAGACCACATTCTAGTCATGACAGTGCATGTTCAATGGCCATCGTTTCGGAGCGGTGGAGGGAGCGATTCTTTGCCTTTGCCACTGTCTGTAGATCATTTGCTTGATATTGCCAAGTGAAGTCCGCCGGCGTGAGGTGCCAATCGTGCATGATTTCTGAACTCCGAGCGACGATCCCATATAATCCTTGTCCGGTTCGAACGGGTCTGTGGTCGCGCTAACGGTTTTTCCTGCCGGCTCACGCTTGCTAGGATCAATCGTCGCGCACCTCAAGCTTCGACATCTTCTGGTTACAGTGGGGATCGACACCATTCTCCTCACGATAACAGGGCATCATCTCGACACCATTCATTTGGCAAGTTTCATCCATCGTGCACCGCTGCCGCATAATAGTCTGACGACTCATCTTACATGCTCGAGTACCGTTCAGCGTGAGCATCCACTTTTTGCTTTGGCGTCGCACGGTACCACCTGTCTGGATCCTCTGCTTCACCTGTTCCTAGCCGTATTGCCTCTCGGGGTCTAATACTCCCAATACACATAATACTGGCTGCACGATAGGACCTGGCATCACGACAATGGGCAATGGAATCCTCCACCGAGCTCGGTTCGCTGCAGTCTCGCGCCGAGCAGTTGATACGGGCGCTCATTCACAATGTTACGCCGGACGAGGCCGCCCGGAGAATTGTCGAGCTTGCGACAACACCACAAGATAATCCCGTACGAGAACTGTTTCGCGCAAATGACAGCCTCGTGCCACATGCGTCCGGAGACAGTCGACCACCAGAGCCAACCTCACACAGATCCAAATTCAGCTTGCGCTTTTCGCGCAAGGACAAAGGCAAAGCCAGCTGCATTACGCTGTCCTCCGAGAAGGCCACCGGCAGCTACCAGAATGTCTTCCAAGCAGACGTCAAGCCTGCTGTAAGTCGCGACCTTGAGATCGTCAAGCAGAACTTGCGGCGTGAAGGCATTGCACTTAACGCCGCCGCCCAGTCATTCAAAGGAAGGGCACCTTCATCATCTGGCCACTATAACTGTGTCTTCTGCCATACGGACTACACAACCAAAGGAACATGCAAACGCCACATCGAGGAGATCCATGTCGCCAAACGATATTTCCGATGTGTCATGTGCAGGCAGAACTTTGCCACCGCACCCGAAGCCAGGAAGCACTGCCAAAGCTGTGGTGCGGGAGTACTTGGCTGGACTGTAGAGACACCAGAAGGCCACAGGATTTACAGCTCGGAGTTTGAGACATCTAGATTATTTTCGACCCAGCAGGCATATATCGTACATCTGCTGGAGCTGTCAGCACAACCACTCGAAGGACGGCCATTGCGCAGTTGGCATAGAAAGTTACGAAATTTGCTGGAGCAGAGCCACTGTCTTCCCACTGTTCAGAGGTCCAGCACACGCTTGTTCGGCAGCCTGGACGGCTGGTATAATGTGCGATGGGAGCACGAACGAGTGAAGAAGGCTGTCAAGGAACTTGAAATGGGTATCCTGGACGTCGACTTGGCACCACATGACCTGCTCAAGCTCCATCGAGCGGACGATTTTGTGAACGATCTCTTTCGAGACAGAGTTTTGGCAACTACTGTCTCCGCTGAATCGCCAGCGAGGGACATATCCGCGCACGATGAAAAGGCCACGATGAAAGTCGAAGAAGAAGAGATTCTCGACCAAGACGAAGAAGTCTTGCCACAGACTGCACCAACTTCAAAGAGGCCGCTTTCGCTAGAAAGTTCTGCTGTCTTGCCGCATCGGGTGCCACCAGGTCCTCCGATGCCACCGCCTCCTATACCACACGCGACACCTCAACCAATACAGCAGCCAAGTCGTGGATCAGCCTATCAATACGAACATGCCCAGCCTCGGCCATTGCATCGTGTGCCCAGTGTAGACTCGAATGCATACCATGTTCAACAGATCGAGCAAGACCAGCGGCCAGCAACACATCATGCTCACGAGCCGAATCCGCACTGGCTAAATGGGCAGCAACCACCACCTTACGAGAATGGTGGCCACTTCCAGCAGCAGCCGCCGCAGATCCAAACACCGTTCACGAACCAGCCGCCACAGATCCAGACATCGTTCGCAAACCATACACCACAGCAGCAGAACTTCATGTCTCCGACGGGCCGAGGCGGTTACCAGGATGCCGGCTTTATGTCTCTATCCGAGCTCTCGATGACATCCGCAATGACCTCTCCGATCGTGTACATGCAAACTCAAGACGATAACAGCATGTCACTTTACCAACAGGCGCAGCCGATGCACAATTCGCAAATACAACAACAGCAGATCCAGCCACAACAGCAAGATTATAGAGAGATGCCCATCTCACACGACCAGGCGACGAGTGGTATGATTGCATACTCGCCCATGGCATTCTCGCCAATGCACATGAGCTATCATCAGCATCACGGTCAAGGGAGTGGTACACCGGATGTGGAGCATCAGCAGCAAATGCACCAATTGCGGCAAACACAGCAGCACAGCTACGGGTCTATGTAAGACGTTACCCTCTGCCAAGCTGAGTACCAAACCGTCCGGAGAGATTTTGGATGCATCGGGAGTGCACGCAGCAGACGACCTTCCAACAGTATCACAATGACGCTATTGATCGGAAAGAGAGAAAGGAAGGGAGCAGGGAGATTCACCATGAGCATTTATTGTAAGGCGTTCGAGGGCGATTCGGGATCTCTAACCAATTCACCACAATATACCCCCTGGATTAGAAAGAAATGCCGTGTCTTGCTTATGGAGGTTGACGTCTCGTTCACTTTGTACAAAGTTCTGCATCGGGGGTAATAATGAACTCGCTACTACACACTTAGGTATCCTGCATATCATATGACTAAGACTCTCTCAATACATGCGTTTCCCACTAGTCGCGGCTCCGGTCTACGAGTATGGGACGCTTCATATAGTAACATATGGCGATGGTCTTGGACCAGGACATACTCACACGGCCTCTCGTAGTCCCGCACCCCTCGCGTCCAATACAGATCTCAAGCCTCACCACGATCCTCTCCCTCACAATTCTCACCACCATCACCACTTACCTCCTTCCCACAGGCCCCTCCAACCCTCCAACCCTTTCCAGCGCCTCAATGCCGTGGAAACTAACATGCCAACAAACACACAGCCTCGCCATCACGGGCTCGATGGTGACATCGTACTTGGCCCTCAGTTTCAGATTGATTTGGAGAATATGCCGTGGACTCATCCCATCGTATCCGACATTACGATCGTACAGGAAGAACAACAACAGCATCCGCCGTTTCGTCTCGCCTATATTTGCGAGCCATTCAAGGGCAGGGAGGTCGTCGGTGCCGCTGCAGTAGTGCATCCGGAAGGTGTTTTGGCCGTAGAAGATGGGGAGGGTGAGGTTCCTGATCTGGCGGTTCGTCTTCATGAGGCCGGGTTCGTGAGGGGCGTGTTTGGTGCCATTCTTCCAGGCTTCGGTGTCTTTTTTGAGTTCCTTAAAGTTGTTGCGGTAGGAACTGTTGCAGGCGCAGTTCAATAGTAGTGGTTCTGGAGATGCGACGGCGAGTTCGTAGATGGTGAGTTGGAGTTCGATGGGGAGTGCCAGCAGTGGCGAGACAGAGGCAGAATGCATCTTCATGGCTATTTACAAAGATGAGAATGCGAAATGGCGAATTATGGGCAATCGGATCATTTAGATGACATGATTGGAAAGTACGTTACTTTATGAAGAGTGTGAGGCATTGGATTCGGAGTCACGAGGCTTTGGTCATGCACAGCCCGCCTATCAAGGCAGCCATATCTTCCTTGGCTCGCTTCCTGGTCGTTGCCTTGCTGTCCGTTTCACAGAAGCTGGGCGTTCAAAAGCATGGCCTATAAGTTTTGACAATGCTATAGATAAAACGACGACGATCGGAGTAGCCACATCGAAATATCATACTCGCCTCGCGATTTCATGTCACCTGCAGACAAGACACCTTGCAAGCAGTCAAGCCGATGAGGTGCCCAGCAAATCGTTCAGCTCTCGCGCAAGACTGCTTCGTACGGGTCCGATGGCACTCAAAATGTTGATGCTGAGGAGAGCTCTAGCGCAACGAAAGTCATTGTCGAGACGGCGCCAAGACCCGCTTTTGCTCGAGATGACCAATACGGGGGCCATGCTGCAGAGGAGGCGAGAGTTTCCTGGTCAGCGCTGACATGATCGTAAAAGCCGCGCTTTTGAAGACGATTAGACACAGTAGGTGAAGGTGTACTTGTGGCAACAGAAGGTCGGAAAGATGCATCAGGTACATGTAATACATGCATATTGAGAGTACGGTATGGAATCTTCAAGCGTCCGCTCGGAGATATTTCGAAGATATGTCCGCGACCGCATTGACGAAGACCCGGTGCCGAGAGCGAGTAGTAGTGTTTGTTATGCAGCCCCTGCTCATGCTGATGAAGTGAGATCCGCCGTGTTCCTGCCATGCAGTAGAAGGAGATTGTGGAAGTGGCCGTGGTCGTGACCATCATCATTACTCCTTAAGCCTTCGTTTGAGATCATCAACAGGCGGTCGTTCAAGCCAATGCGACACGAGAAATCCCTATTTTATATTTCTGCTTGATAATAGTTTTGGGTTTGTCAGGGAAAGCCTCAGCTCGGCAAGCTGCGCCGCTAGGGCCAATTCACGAACGCCATACTGTACGCATCAGCATCGCCGTTGACAACCCTAACGTTCGTTGCGAAGACATCTCACACCTATTCCACCACCCTTTTGCGGAGCCTCGACCATTAACCCTCTACTACCACCACGTCGCTGTTGTTGTCGTTCTGGGCTGGCCATTGCTCGGGTGGCGAAGGCGTGTAGAGAAGCGGAGGATAGGGAAGGCCATTGACACGCGCTTACTCACACGCCCTGCGATCGAGTAATTTCACTTCATGCCGCTCGCTACACTTCGGTGACCACGCGCAAAACCGCTTGGGTGAAAGAGGGCGGGGAAGCGCATGGGGCATATTGTTTCCACCTCCGACCTCACCACTACCATCGCTGCCGCCGGCATCCGCCGATCGTGGCTTCGGCAGGACCACCTCCACTCCCACAATGGCGGTCGAGAACAGTGAGCGATCAAACCCGGTGAAGCGAATACGATGGGCCACTCAACGGGTGACGGGCAGCAAAGGCGTGCAGAAGCGGAAGTCCATCTTCAACCGGCATCATGCGCGATCGAATGCTAGTGAGAAGCGCAATTCGGCCAACACCGACCTCGAGTCTGCCAAGCCGCAGGACGAGGAGGCGGCGGCGATCGGGGAGCACAACGCTGCGATACAAGCACAACCTGGTCGGACCATCTACTTCAACGTCCCATTGCCCGATTCTGCCAAGGACGAAGAAGGCCGGCCACTGCAGCGATACAAGCGCAACAAGATCCGGACGGCAAAATACACCCCTCTCAGTTTCATACCGAAGAACTTGTGGTTTCAGTTCCACAACATCGCCAACGTCTTTTTCTTGGCGGTCATCATTCTGAATGTACGTATAGTCAGGGTGGAGTGGGTGGCGCAGTACTGACAAAACCCTCTCCCAGTTCTTCTCCATTTTTGGAGCCACTAATCCCGGTCTATCCGCCGTACCACTGATCGTCATCGTAGTCATCACATCAATAAAAGACGGTATAGAAGATTGGGGGAGGACGGTCTTGGACAATGAGCTCAACAACGCCCCCGTTCACCGACTCGTGGACTGGAACAACGTCAATACCGCCGATGAGTATGTGAACCCGTGGCGGAAACTGAAAAAGGCCACTTCGCATGCCATTCTGCGAGTGTGGCAGGGCACGAAGCATAGGAAAGCGGGGAAGAAGGCGAAGAAGGAGGAGAAGGCGAGAGGTCTGGATGAGGCTGGTGTGGATGAGCGACCTGCGACGGATGGCCGGCGGTTCAGTGCGCTGACACAGCGTCTGGATGAGACGGAAGCGGGTGAGGATGCGAATGGGGACATGGAGATGACACCTGTACCTTCTCCAACGCCTGGCCAGGAGCGGAGTGGTGAGAAGGGTTACAGAAACTCAATGCAAGATCTTGATAGCCCGAGTGGAGTGGGACGAGGAGATGCTGGACAGTCTCTGGAAGTGCCAAAAGGTGATGAGCATATTGGTGGCGCTGCTATGTCCACGCCATTCAAGAGGTTCTATGGCAGTCTGTTGGACCCCACGATACAGGGTGACGAGGCGGCGCGTTTCAAGCGGGACTTCTGGAAGAGTGTGCAGGTCGGCGACTTCGTGCGTCTATACAACGAAGAGGAGATACCGGCAGATATTGTGGTGCTATCTACCAGCGAACCTGATGGTGCGTGTTATGTCGAGACGAAGAACTTGGACGGCGAGACGAATCTGAAGGTCCGAAGCGCGCTCCATTCTGGCACCCGTGTGAAGCGAGCACGAGACTGTGAGCGAACAGCCTTCACACTGGAAAGTGAGCCACCCCACGCCAACTTGTACGCATATTCTGGAGTTGTGCGATGGGAACAGCGAAACCCAAAGGATCCCGAAGCAGAGCCACGGCAAATGTCAGAACCGGTTGGCATCAACAACATGCTCCTACGTGGCTGTAATCTTCGGAACACCGAGTGGATCGTCGGAGTCGTAGCATTTACCGGCGAGGAGACGAAGATCATGCTCAACTCCGGTATCACCCCCAGCAAACGCGCCAGAATCTCAAGGGAGTTGAATTGGGACGTATTGTACAATTTTCTCATCCTCTTCGGCATGTGCTTCGTCGCTGGTGTGGTTCAAGGCACAACCTGGGGCAAGGGCAATGAATCACTAAATTACTTCGAATTTGGTTCCTTCGGCGGTACACCAGCAGCCAACGGCGCCATCACTTTCTTCGCCGCCCTCATTCTCTTCCAGAATTTGGTTCCCATTTCCCTCTACATCACGCTTGAGATCATCCGCACCGCCCAGGCCTTCTTCATCTACTCAGACGTCTACATGTACTACGAGCGAATCGACTACCCCTGTACACCGAAGAGCTGGAACATTAGTGATGATCTTGGCCAAATCGAGTACATCTTCTCCGATAAAACCGGCACGCTGACGCAGAACGTGATGGAGTTCAAGAAGTGTACTATCAATGGGAGACCGTACGGGGAGGCTTATACGGAGGCGTTAGCGGGTATGCAGAAGCGACAAGGGATCGATACCGAAAGTGAGGGGAAGAGGGCGAGGGAGCAGATTGCCAAGGATAAGGTGACGATGTTGGAGAGGATCCGAAAGATGCATGACAATCCTTACCTCTCGGACGACGAACTCACCTTCATCGCGCCGGACTTTGTTGCTGATCTGGGAGGGCAGGATGGGGATGTGCAGAGGGATGCTTGTGCGCACTTCATGTTGGCTCTTGCGCTCTGTCATACCGTCATTACGGAACGAACACCTGGAGACCCTCCACGGGTCGAGTTCAAGGCACAGTCACCCGATGAAGCAGCTCTAGTTGCAACAGCGCGCGATGTCGGCTTCACAGTCTTGGGTCGCCAGAATGACAGCATTATCCTCAATGTCCTCGGCGAGGAGCGCGAGTACACTGTCATGAACACGCTCGAGTTCAACTCGGCCCGCAAACGAATGAGCGCTATCATACGCATGCCGGATGGAAAGATCGTGCTGTTCTGCAAAGGAGCTGACAGTGTCATCTACTCCCGACTCAGGCGAGGTGAGCAATCTGAGCTCCGAAAACAGACGGCGGAGCACTTGGAGATGTTTGCGCGAGAGGGCTTGAGAACGTTGTGTATTGCTCAACGAGAGCTGGGCGAGGAGGAGTACCAGAGATGGAACAAAGAACATGACCTCGCTGCCGCGGCTGTCGTTGAACGTGAGGAGAAGCTTGATGCAGTGGCTGACACAATCGAGCGGGAGTTGACGCTTATTGGTGGTACAGCTATCGAGGACAGGCTGCAAGACGGTGTACCGGATGCAATACAGCTTCTGGCATCTGCCGGTATCAAGCTCTGGGTTCTTACTGGCGATAAAGTGGAGACAGCGATCAACATCGGCTTTTCCTGCAATCTGCTGAACAACGATATGGAGCTTATCGTCCTCAAAGTCGACGATGACAGCGTGGATGCTGCGGAGAACCTGCTTGATGAGCACTTACTCAGCTTTAACAAGACGGGCTCGGATACGGAGCTGAAGCTCGCGAGGAAGAACCATGAGCCGCCGGCGCCTACTCATGCCCTCGTCATTGATGGCGACACCCTCAAACTCGTGCTCGACGACCGCCTCAGGCAGAAGTTTTTACTGCTATGCAAGGAATGCAAGTCTGTCCTCTGCTGCCGTGTCTCTCCAGCGCAGAAAGCGGCGGTCGTGCAGATGGTGAAATCCGGGCTGGACGTCATGACGCTTTCCATCGGTGATGGCGCCAACGACGTCGCTATGATTCAAGAGGCTGATGTGGGAGTGGGTATTGCGGGTGAGGAAGGAAGGCAGGCGGTCATGAGTTCGGATTATGCGATTGGACAGTTTCGGTTCTTGACGAGATTGGTGCTTGTGCATGGGAGGTGGAGTTATAGGCGGATGGCGGAGACGATTGCTAATTTCTTTTACAAGGTGAGAGACTCGGTGACTTTCTCGTGGTGCAGTCGAAGCTGACTATTCTGACAGAACATTGTCTGGACCTTCGCCCTCTTCTGGTACCAAATCTTCACTAATATGGACTGCTCCTACGCGTTCGATTACTCGTACATTCTACTTTACAATCTGGCTTTTACCTCGCTTACACCTATTCTAATGGGTATCCTGGATCAGGACGTAGACGACAAAGTCTCCCTCGCTGTTCCTCAACTTTACCGCCGTGGTATTGAGCGATTGGAGTGGACACAATGGAAGTTCTGGACATATATGATCGATGGCCTCTACCAATCCGTCATTGCCTTCTTCTTCACCTACCTCATCTTCCTACCGGCTAACCTGACCACGGAAGATGGTAGGAATATCAACGACTATAAGCGGATGGGTGTCTTTATCGCGAATCCGGTTGTCGTGATTGTCAATCTCTACATGCTACTCAACACCTATCGCTGGGATTGGTTCTACCTCCTCATCGTCAGCATCAGCGCCCTCCTCGTCTTCTTCTGGACAGGTGTGTACACGGCTTTCACGGCTGGTTTCACCTTCTATAAGTCTGCGCCGCAGGTCTACGGGAGTCTTAGTTTCTGGGCTACGGCCCTACTAACAGTCATTCTCTGCTTGTTGCCGCGTTTCGCGGCCAAGTCGTTTCAGAAGATCTTCCGGCCCCGGGATGTGGATATCGTGAGGGAGCAGATTCGCCAGGGGAAGTTTGACTACCTCAAGGACATCGACCCAGCTACATTCGATCCTGTTGCAGCTGCGGCACGACACGATAACGGAAGGAAAGCGAATAGTATGTCCTCGTCAGAGCCCTCGGATATGAAGAAAGGAGGATCTGCCAGTAATGGACATCAGCATGTGATGTCCGATGATATGAGGCCGATCTACCCGCCGTCTGTGGCTGCGACGGCTACGACACATAATCCGCGGAGCCAGAACGGGAGTGATGGGACGGAGTATACTAACCATCGGGCGAGTCTTGATCGGGCTTTCCCGCCCGCCTACAATACTAATGCGGCAAGTGGCATCAACACGAACGTACCGAATGGCATCAGCACCGCGCATGGCACACCTGCAACACCCACAATAACAACAGAGGACTACGGTGACCCGCTCGCAAGTCGACCGAGCATGGATGGGAGACCACGACCCTCGTTTGATCGGTTCAGGAGCAGTATGGATCGCACACGACCGAGTATAGAAGCAAGTCGGGACTTCACGTCCGCAGCCTACTTGGCGCGGGTGGAGAGTAGTGAGTCCCGGGGTCATGGACAAGGGCAAGATGCAGGGCCGGGGGGAAGTAGATTGAGGGAGCAGATATGAGAGGTCTGGGGCAGGTTCGCGAGATGGTGACGGTCATTATTATCTGGGGCGTGAGGGAAGCTTTCCGCTTTGTTTAGATGGTGTTCCGAGGCGTTAAGGAGGGAGGGAGGGAGAAAATCATGCGTGATCCGCCTCTCTCCTATTTGGGAGAAGAGGGTAGCGAGGGTGTAAGGCTTTTTTGTATATGACGACTTCTTTTATTTTGTCCTCATCCAGACTGTCGTATGACATTCTAGAGCATGCGATTAGCTCTTGTGCTATCGCACACATCTCGAGCATGTGAACACATTTTGTACTCTCGAAGACCATCGTAGTAGCGTTTTGTACGCTGTCGCTTCTAGGAAGCACCGGCCTGTCAGTCCATTTGCGTAGGAACACAGATCTGTCGGGCGATCGTAAGTGATGGATCCCCAGTGGACAGCAAATTTCTGTACGCTCAAAGCCCGCCATAGTAGCGCTCTGCATGCAATTGCTACGGGGAAGCACCGGCTTGTCAGTCTATTTGTCGAGCCATCGTAAGTGATGGATCCCCGGGGGCAGAAAGATTTTGTACCCTCAAAGTCCGCCATAATAGCGTTTTATACGCTATTGCTTCTGGGGAGACTCAGACCTGTCAGTTCAGCCGCATCGGAAGACAGATCTGTTGTTTCATAGTCGATAATGGATCCCAAGTATGCAATCAGGGGTTGTACTCTCAAAGGTTGTCATAGTAGGGCTACGGACGCTAGCGCTGCTGGGGAAAACCTCATCTTTCGTCTCTACTCATGCTGGTTATAGCCCGATTCAGCGGTCCTGCCCTGCCTCAACTTCTTGTTCATCATCTTCACCACATTCTTCGCCACATCCTGGCAGGAGAAAGGCATCCGAGAGAGGAATCCCGACTTCTTCGGACCAGTCATCTCGACTTCAATCCACACGCCCACCGGGCTCTTCACTTGCCACCACACAGTCCTCACCTCACGCGTCTTGACGACGACCTCGTCACCGCCCTTGCCCTTCCACTCCACCAGCGTCTCGTCTCCCAAATCAGATGCACTCAGGATGCCTGAGGCATCCTCGTACTGTGCGTACGTCTCTTTTGTCGTTTTGGGACCAGCCTTTCGCATAGCCCACTCTAGAACAGCTACATCCTGCCACTGGACGATAGCGCGAAAGACAAGATCACCATTCTCCTCGACTTTGACGATCTTACTCTTCAGACCAGCTTTGCCTTCGCGATTGTACGAGTTGGGACGGTGCGGACCGGGCACGAGATCGTACCCGCCGACATGAACAGACGGATTGGCTGGTGTATCGGTAGACAGTGCATTCACCGCACTCTGTTTCTTCGAGACGACGCGCTTCTTGACTTTGTTATGAACCTCAGCAGCTCTCTCCTTCTCCTCGGACTTCTTCTCGGGTAATACAGACTAGTCCGTAAGGAAGGGAGTTTTAAGGAAGGTATAAGGAAGGATAAGGAAGGGGGTTAGTTTCCCTTCCTTATAAGGCTAAGATTAGGATTTATACGTATAAGGAAGATTAAGACTAAGGATCTAGCCCCTTCCTTCAAGATCTTGCTATAATCTTAAGATCTTAAAGGAAGGTAAGTTATTTCGCTTATATAAGCAAGGAAGGCAAGACTAAGATCAGCTCCGATTTGCTTAAGGAAGGTTAAGACTCGGCCGATCTTGCCTTCCTTCCTTATAGACCAGTCTGGGGTAATGTACTAGATTCACTGTCAGTACTACAACGGCACTGAACACGGCTGGGACAACATACGGCCTGTTGATACGCCTGTCTGTAAATTTTGGCTTCACCTTTCCAGCCTTTGCCTTCATCTTCTTGCCCAGCTCCTCGATGTCGCGTTTCTTGGCTTCGGCAGTGGCCTTCTGCTGGATCTTGGCCAAAGCGGTGGCATCGCGTCGAGGGAACATGACGTGTTGAGTGTGTGCGAAATATCCTAGAGTGCCTCACCGATGAGTTTGATGTGCTGGTCGAAGGCGTGGGGAAGTGTTTGTACGCTGCAATGATTGTGCTGATGAAGGTCGAACGAAGCTTCAAGTAGCAAAAGATGTGAGTGTTGCTCCTGCCAAAAGCAGTTTCGAGGTCACGAGCTCGTCGACCTGCATGATTAGACTGGCACTTAGCCTCTTCTGGCTGTGTGTGCAACCTGAGCTTCATTCACAAAGGTAGCATGTGACGTTCACTCACCTCACCGGTCACCGGCCCCAGCCCCCTTCATTTCCGCTAGCGCCGCCAGCTGCCGGGCTTGATACTTGAGACTCGATTGTTCCCTTGAGCTCCTTCTTCCTCTTTCTAATATCGACACTCAGGAGGTATCATCGGCGTCAGCGTTTGCCACCTGCGCATATTGGTCTCCTTGACCGCAGAAAGGATCAGCCCGGAGGTCATTGTCCTGTGCCCAGGGGCGAATGGACTTTGGCAAGTACTCTACGGTGCTTACCTTGACGCGGTATCAACCCTGCCGTGATGCGGTTCGTCCGGGGCGAAGGGGGCTTTCAAACGCAAAGCGTGATGTGCTAGCCACACTGATCGCGGCGTGTGCGAGAGCATCGAGTTGGTATGCTTCATCCACTGGCCTTGGCGGGCTGGTGACCACGAGAGGGGTCGTGCAAGAATGGTCAGGTTTGATTGCCGTAACCGTTCGTCCGTTAGGACAACCATGTGGGCGCTTTTCTACAGCCCTTGGAAATATCTTTGAAACTCGCTGCTTCGGCGGCACATTACTTTTCCATCGTACTCGTGTACCTTGCACGATTCCGGAGAAGAGGCATTACCGTCCATGAAGAGAAGCATTGATTAAGCTACAAACGAGTGGCTCTCGAGCAGCGCTGTGAGGCACTGCAGACACGAAGTGACTACCAATCGTTGACCTACCTCTCTGAACCTCATCTCACTACACACTCTGTGCCCGGCGAACTTGGAAGGTGGTTATCGATATTGGAATGGGTATGAGCAGCCGCCTAGAGGCATCGAGTGAGGTTGACAGCCGAGATACTGTAGACTTTAAGCTCCGGCTTCCTCCGATGAGCGGCAAGCGTACACCGTCCTACTTTCCTTCGATGTCACTGTGCTCTCTGTGGAACTTGGCAAACATCCCGATTTCGCCTAGAGCATCCACTGCACGCTCCTCGCCGTACGAGCAAAGGCCTGCTCAGCGCAACATCCAATCGATTGGAAAGGGCCTCTTGCGCATGGCTCGACTGATAATGCTTGCATCTGGTCTTACCGCGCTTCTGGCTGTCGTGCTATACTTCGATGAACTCTCCTCGACTCGTGCATCTGCCTACAGCCTGTTAGGCCAATGGAGCAGTCTCTTGCAGCAAATCCCGGGCCCATCGAGCGAGCTTGACCTTGACAACAGCACCAGCATGGCATGGGATATTCGTTACCACCTTGGCGGCAACAGCCCATGGATACCCAAGGCAAGAGGCATAGTACCCGACGGCATCAACCTCCCTATAGGATGCCGCGTAGAACAAGTACATATGGTAGGCTACCTGAGAGTCTGGGTGCAGTAAGTATGTCTCTGACTCTGTTTCTTCTCCTTCCCAGATGTCTAGACATGCTGAGCGCTACCCTACTGTGCTGGCAGGTATACGTAGGTCTCTCATTATTCCATCGATTTCTTAACTTTGCAACAGCACTGCAGTCTGACACACCCCAAAGGCATGCTCGAGCTGTATCACCATATTCGAGGTGCGAATGTCACGCTGAACGGTACCCTGGCATTTGCAAACAGTTGGGACTTTTTCATGAAGAATCCAAGCGAGCGCCTGGAGAACCTGGTTGCTACTGGTCCGTACGCCGGTACATTGGAAGCTTTCAACACAGGCGTGAAGCTAGGCACGAGGTATGAGCATCTACTTGATTATGCCATTGAGCACAATGAGACAGCATTTTGGGCCAGCGGATCGAAGCGCGTGGTTGAGACAGCACAATACTTTGCAGCAGGTATGTACGGCCTTGAGTGGCAGAATACTTCAAGACTTCATATCATCCCGGAGACGGAAGACCGAGGTGGAGACACTCTCACCGCCGGCAAAACTTGCTTCCGCTACTTGCACAATGCAGACGAGTTCGGCCGTCAGTATGGCTATCGCATGTGGAACGAGTGGCGAGAAGTCTACCTGCCACCCATCACGAAACGTCTTCAGGAGCAGAACCCTGCCATGAGCTTCACTACGAGCGAGATATACAGCATGCAAGAGCTTTGTGGCTTTGAAACAATCGCCAAAGGCTCCAGCAAGTGGTGTGACCTCTTCACGCACAATGAGTGGTTGCAGTTCGAGTACGCTCGAGATATTCTCCACTACTACCGTACAGGATCCGGAAACCCATACAGCAGCAGCATTGGCTGGCTATGGCTCAATGCCACGGCTACACTGTTGCAGCAGGGTCCAGCTGCTGGCACGCTCTTCTTTAGCTTGTATGTATACCCTCCAATCGACGCAACGATGATCTATCACAACGCTAATATCACAGCGTGCACGATGGCGATGTCATTCCAATGCTGACCGCGCTTGACCTCTTACCACACGAGAAGCAGCACTTGCCTGCTACTCATGCACCGCAGAATCGGGTCTGGCAAACCTCAGATCTTGTACCGATGGGTGGCCGCATCATCTTCGAGAGATTGGTACGAGGAGAGCCCAAGCAATGCTGGGACCACGCAGAATACGGCTATCCGAACCATGTATACTGCTCACAGAGCACGGAAGAGCACTTCGTCCGCATCAATGTCAACGATGGTGTCGTGGCGTTGCCTGGCTGTGATAGCGGGCCAGGCAGAAGCTGCCCGCTCGATCAGTTCCTGGAGAGGATAAGTAAGAAGGGTGAGGAGGTCGGCGACTTCAGAGAGGTCTGTGGTCTGCCCAGGTCTGCGAAAGCTGGTATCGAGTTCTTACATCAATGAAGACTATCTTTTACCTACTACTACTGAAACTCGCATCTCCAAATGTCGAATCTGCAGATCACTCACTTCGCAGCAGCACTAATGTTTTTAAGTTGTGGAGGAACACGACGTCGAAGAAAGTTGACTGCCACGACCGGCCGCCACTGCTCACGTGCCGTTCCTGACAGCGCCTTACGCAAATGATGAGCCAGCTCACATGCTCTACTCACAAGCCATCACCTATTCATCTTCTGGCGGGTCCTGGCTGCCGCCGACTGAGTCTCTAACCACCGATATGGACTACCTCGAGCGAAGAGAAAGACCGTCATCCAGCACACAATGCCGGCGAGATCACATGTACGGGAGACCACAACAGGTTATGGATGAGGCGACGAGGCAGTCTTCACGATCCTCGCGAGAACCAGCAGATCGCTGGTATCTCGGGCGGACGGACTTTTGCTCGAACTGTAGTTGACTTCACTCTACTCAACCTCACCTCAAAATCCGCCAAGCCAGATTAACCCGATGCGGAAGCCCACGCCGCAAAGCACAGACTTTACCCTCGCACAATCGCCTTCCTATTACCAAAATTGCGTCTTCGCTTAGCCATCACAACTCACTCGCTCAAATCCATCCACATCATCTCTCCGGACACATATCCTCATCCGGCCTTGTGGACCTGCAATCAGGATCTACTGGCCATCGACCACTCGACTGCTGGCTGCTGCTGCCACATTCTTGTCATCGAGCGTAGCTTCAGCACCAGGAGCACCCTACTCACTAATTGTGAAAGAAGCAGACTTACAACTGAGCTGTTCGCCTGCTTCGGCGACCCGACCCGCTTCGACAAGATACACAGGGCTCAGTGCCACAATTTGTATACGGCGCAATACAAGACTAGTTTGCCTGCACGGAATTTGTGGATTTTTGGCAACCCTCAAGAAATCATCGAAATCTATGCTGGGAGACGACCGAGAGGGGTAGACAGGAAGACTGTTGTCGAGAAGGTCAGTCACTCGAGCCTCCAGTCAGTCACAATGCGATACTTATCTCTTCTACTGTCGTGGTCAGATGCTGCATGGCTTGAACCATTGGCCCCTCACTCGACGTGCCATTAAAGACCCCTGCTAACATATTTTAAGAACAGTATCATAACGCATACATTCGTTCAGCACTTCGTTGCTCGAGCTATACACCAGCGAGGGGAGACGGCCTGAGAGCCAAACACAGCAAGCCGACCGAGCCATTGAAGATATGTCGAACCACCTTTTTATGTGTACATGATTTTGGCCGGGCAGCTCTCACAAATGCTTGAGTGTGCCCGCCCCAGCTTCACCCTCTTCAAGCCGAAGCATCGTCCATCGCGCCTTCCCTCTTTGCAAGCTTTACAGACAACTAATCTCCGGCCTCCCGCAGATCATCAACAAGCCAGCAAAAGCTGCAGCCCAAGCGTCGAGTCAGGTCGTGTTGACGGCAGAACACCTTCGCCCTTGCATTCGCCTCGACACTCACCACCCCTTCTTCCGCCACTCGTTCACCCCACCCTCACTCATTCGCTCCTTTAGACGTCATGTCTGGCTTCATCATCAACAACGTTATCGAGGACGGCGATTCCACACCGCGTGGTCGTCAATCCCTCACACCCGTACCAACCCGCCAGGTCTATGTGCCACCACAACGCCGTGCATTCGCCCACTCAACCCCTGAACGGCCCGAGTCTGCCATGTCAGACGCTAGCTTCATTACTCAAGCACCAATGAACGGCGGTGTCTCCCTTCGCGGGTACACGAACAACACGCGCGGCTTCGGCCAGGCCGACTTGAGTGGTAAGTTTCATCACGCCTTAGACAGTGATGGCATTCCCAACACACACGGCATTGAGGGTAGTATGATCGGCAATCGTATGGGTATGTATGGAAATGGCAATCTCGAGAACCGTGGCTACGATGGTGGGTTCAATGATCGATCCGGCGGCAGTCGTGGATTGGGTGACGGATCAAGGGGTCAAGCTTCTCCAGGCTTTCAGCAGCATCCCAACCAAGTAAGTCTGATGATCTCGCTGTCCGCCCACTTACACGATCACTGATGTACATGAGCAGGACTCCGCGTTCTTGCCTCCCAACAGCCGTGGAGCTCTGCCAAATTATGGTGCTATCGGCACTGCTGTGCCAAGGCAAGTTCACCCTCTACCGAAAAAATTGCGATAATATCATTATCAGCCGCTGATTGATGACAGTGCCATCGCTTCTGGTCTGTCTACCGGCTCTGCTCGTGACTCTGCCGTTGGCACATCCGTTGTTCCCACTGCCCGTCAGCTCGCCGACCTCATTCGCATGGGCCTCTGCGATCCCAGCGACGACGATGAGCACACCATCATTGGCTCTGGCACTCGCATGCACACGAGGAATGCACACACGGCCGCAGCTATGAGCTTGACTGCTCCACCTCGCCGTCAGAAGTATAACGTCTCTGACGCTCAGCTTGATCCCGTCTACAAGCCGGCCTTTGCCACCATTCGCGAGCCAGATGCCAAGGGCAACCCTTCCGCCTTCGTTCAGGTCATTCAACTCAAGCTTCCGGAATGGTTCGACTTTGCGGCGAACGGCATCAAACCGAGCACCGAAGAAATGTTCGATGACCTGCCTGTCGTTGAGGCCTGCCGTGTCGCCGTGCCCAGCGATGCCGGTGTCATTCGTATCCGCAACATCCCCTACGCCACTCCCAAGGCCGAAATCACTGCCATCGTCAACCGCAACGTCCAGATCATCAGTCAGCCCGCAGGATCTCCATACTTCGCCACCCACATTGTGATGGAGCGCGGGAGCGGCAAGACTATGGATGCTTTCATCGAGGTTTCCACGCCCTATGAGGCCAAGCGTGTGGTTGAGCAATTCGGCCGACGTGCCATGAGTGGTCGTCCTGCCCGCGTTGGTGATCGTGTCGTAGAAGTGGAGACGTCTTCTCAAGAAGACTTCATGAGTGAGATGTTCCCGCGCGCGAAGAACATCGTTTGGCATGGTGCCACTCCCAAAGTTCTGCTCAACACTGAGGAGTTCTATCCTGGTCAGCTGTCCGCAGGCTTCACCGGTTTCATGACTCCGGAAGAGATCGTAATGGTTGTCAAGCATGCTGAGGCTCCGCATCGCGTAAGTCACGATCACCGCCACCGTACTGCAATACGCTAACACCCTGCAGTCTGTCTTCGCCTCACGCATCATGGTCCGTGTCTACGAGAGCCTTACATCCACCATTCACAAGTACCCCTGGTTCGCCCACGAGTGTGTCAACATGGTCGAGCGTCGTCTTCTTTACGACTGCTGCATCTCCGTTGCCAAGGCTCTTATGCTCTTCCTACGTCGCACCACTAGCGAGCGTCTCGACAACACCAAGCCCACTGCCGCTACTCTCAAGGAGATGTCGGTCGCCGTCTTAACCTGCCCAGGCTTCAGCGAGCAGCAGAAGTTCCACTACATTCAGCATCTCGGCGCACAGGGTTACGCTCACTTCAGTAGTGCCCAAGGCTTGAATGTCGTCTTCGGCGGTACTTCTCCATTCGCGTCTGCTTGGCCTTTCATGGTGCTTGCCCGCAATCCCGCTTCGCCTGAGCGCATGGTTCAAGTAAGTCGTTTTGTCTCCTAAGCCTTGGAACCTCTCTAACATGCTTTACAGTACTTTGCGAGCCTGATCAGTGATGCGATCAACGGTGGCCGTCCGCTCACTTTGGCACAACGCTTTGCGATGCGCACGTCTGATGTGGGTCTTCAAGGCCCGTTCGGCAACCTCACTATTGCTTACGGTGATGCCAAGAGCCTTGCGCAGGTTGGTGAGATCGAGATGCAGACGGTGGAGGCGTTGTTGCGTCGTGTGCTGCCCATCTCGCGTAGTGCATCCCAGGTTTAGAGTAGTAGGACGGCCTGTGGTGGACTCTTGACGATTGATGATGATGATGGGGATGACTGTTGTATGATGAGACGATTGTATAAAGAAAGCAAGCTGTACTGATTCCTTCCCAATCCTCTTCACTATCTAGATACCACCAGAGTCCTTCCTGCGTGTATACTGCTCGTCGAACGTTTTGGGGATATTTCGTACAGATGCTCTTGTCGGAAACATACATCTGGAAACACGGAGACTTTCACTGGCGTTCACAAATCTCCGACGCCCTAATATATACATATATTTATCCTCCCACCAAGAGTGCAGTTGCTTCTTACTACTTAAACGCCCCTCAGCATATCAAAAACGACATCGTGTGGCAGGGAAAGGCGGAATACTCAGCCTTTGTTGCAACGCCACATCGTCACTACGACCATGTCGGCCTTCACAGAAGCCAACAGGAAAGCTTTCGAGTACTCTCCTCCTTCCATAATACCCTGGGAGAAGCATATTGACACAACACAGCGAGCTCGCAACGATCTACAATACAAAACCCTGGCAGCAAGCTCTGTCTGCACAATTTACCAAGGAGCTACATACTCGCAGAGCATGGCTAGGTCTCACAGCAAACTCATCCGAAGGCTCAAAGCTCCTTGACTATGCTTGTGGAACCGGCGTCGTGACGAAAGCTCTCGGCGCCGACTTCACTACGATCCGTGGCATTGACATTAGTGAGAAGATGGTTGAGCTATACAATGCCGCCGCCGCTCAGTCTTCGGGAGACGAGAGACCAGTGGCTGTGGTCGGCGATTTGCTATCCACTCCGCACTCCGCCTCTCTCGCGGGCTCAGAGTGGCGGGACTTCGATCTAGCAGTCATCTGCGCCGGGTTCCATCATTTTGAGAGCCCAGGAGAAGCTGTGCAGCGACTGGTCGAGAGGCTGCGACCAGGAGGCCAGCTTTTGATCGTCGATTTCCTGCCCTTCGATGATGAGGTTGATAGAGAGAGGAAGTTGCGAGAGCAGATGGAGCATACTCATGGTCCTGGACATGACTTTCCAGATATGACACATACTATCAAGCATAGCGGTACGTTTGTCTTTCAACATCACTCCGCCCTCACTTCATCGCTTCCCAGTGAAGGCGAACGACCAAACTGATTGTTCTCTATTATCAGGCTTCAACGAGGCGCAGATGTCAGAATTTTACACGGCGGCTGGACTGACAGACTTCGGCTTTAACCTCGCAGCAGAAGCGTCAAGTATGGAGCTGAAGAATGGCAAGGTTGAAAGGTGGATGTTCTTCGCCAAGGGAAGGAAGGCTGCATGAATGATTCAGGCTTGCTGTACCTGTCTGTCACCAAGTCATCGTACATACACGAATACTACAGAGTACCCCAATCGATGCAGCACGAAGTCCAAGTATTGTAGTACTGCTTTGAACTCCATGGAGGCTCACATCAGCTCCATGCTCTGCCATGTCTACACAGCGTAAGGCCGTAGCCTTTCTCTTAGTCATCGGCCACGCTCGCATCATCAACAAAACTCGAGTTCTGTGACTCCTGCCTCTCCATACCTACCGATCCGCCAGCGCTGATCAAACTTGCTGTCGAGCCAACTCGGCTCAGTTTCTGCCTTTTCGCCACCCTAATCGCACCCTCGTCTTCGTCGCCCTCGTCACCGAGCAACATCTCGTCACGATCTCTCTTGTCCGCCGACGCGAGTTGTGAAGGCGCAGGACTCGTCCGCGAAGCATTGCTACTCGGTGGACGTTTCGCAGCAAGTTTGCTGCCGTTGGCTTTGCTCGTGCCGTTCATGCGCTCTTTATCCTTCTTCATCTTGATGTTCACGCTCTTTTTCAGCAACTTCTTCTTCATGCTACCCGAGCCTTTGACCGCTAGCTCATCCTCGTCTTCGTCATCCCCGGCACCATTCTTGTCATGGCTGCCGTTCGGTGCTGGTGTACCGGCTCTGCTCCCGCCCGGCGTCGAGCTCATCTTCTGCATAGCGTTCCTACTCGCCGCGCGTCCAGATAGGCCCATACATTGCTCCAAATGCTTCGCAAACCGCGTAATAAGCAGACTACGCTTGCAGCTCGGACATGTATGCCATGGTACGTAGGTACCACTTTTCAACTAGAAGATTGGAAAGTACACGTTAGCTAAACTCTTCGATTGAGCTGGTCACCTAGAGTGCCCCAGGCAAAGTAAGATATAGCGGTCATTTGGACAGCGCAAGTATCGACAGCGGGTGTCATGGGACGAAGGTGGCGATACTCAAGACTTACTAGAACAAAGTTAGTGTACTGAGTCAAATCTGGGTGTCTAACAGTGGAATACATGCCTTTTTCATCGATCTTGGAAGCCTTCTTCTCGCCCTTCTTCGTCGTAATCTCTCCGTTCTCGCTCGGACTCGGCGGACCAGTCCCATTCTGCCCACCAGCTTCTTCGCTAGCAGGTGTGCCGTCTGTTACTTTTGCCTTTGCTGCTTCTCGCTCTTTCTTCGTAGGCGGGCGTCCAGTTGCATCGGCCTTGGGGAAAGGATTATCGTAGATGTCGTGCCCGGGTCTCCTCGCCCAGGGTCTTCGCTCACAGTACTGAGTGCTCGAAGAAGGCTCCGTAGTCACGCCTCGCACTCTGGGAGCAAGAGGCGGGTCCAGCTGCTGAGGAAGACGGCAGGTCTTGCAGTGTGGGAGCTTGCTGGTCGGGTCGAGGGATGCGAGCATCAGCTTGTGTGCGCGATGCTGCTGTATAACTGTGTTATGGATGATGCGCTGTAGAGCGTCTTCGAAGACCTGGGCCGCTATCTCCTTCAAGTCGATATCCGCCATGGCAAGAGCGTGTTCGAAGCCTAGTGACTCGAAGTAGTTGTTATGTTGGCATCCGCTGACTTCCTACCAGATTTTGCACTCGTGGTCGCCGACCACGACAGGTCTTCTGGACCTCGACGCTGCTTGTCTCCGCGACTGCGAATTGTTTGCGACGGCTATACTGTAAAGACTCGAGCATGTGACAAGTAATCACGAATGCACAACCACGTCGACATGCATGTGGTTAGTGCTCCCCACGATTCCGGGTTCCTGCAGCGGTCAGTACGGTGGCGGGCCGACCGTTGGTGGATCCTTGCTCATCGAGAAGTGTGAGAAGCAAAGCAGTCAATGTCATAGAGATTGAACAGTCCTAATGTGCTGACAGTGCCAATATCTCCTGCGACGACATGGCAAAGAGAAGCAGAAGCAAGACAATCCTATTTGGCATCTTACCAATTCTAACGGATCTACAGAGCGCTAGTCAACCTCTGCAAAACCATCGAAGCGATAGCCGTCCTAGCCCGTTCATCCAACGATGCTACCCATCGCATCAAACCTTCTTCATGAACCTGCTAGCAAAGCAACCGTTGTCCAGGACCAGCGTGCTTCCGTGCCAGCGTGCCAGCATGCCAGCTGCCGTCTTCAAGCCTGCGAACCTCCCTCATCGTTCTAGCCAATCTCGAAACACACGGTGCATGCCCACCACGCAATGAATCATTTTGTAATAATTAATCAATCTCGATGGTATCCGCCTCCTCAAGCTTCATCGGAGCTTGACGCAAGCCGCCTGTCTTCGTCTTCCTCTTCTTTGGCTGCACGTCGAGATCCATAAAATCCTCGTAATCATCCAGTACAATCACAAGCTTCTCCTTGCCCTTACCCTTGCCCTGACCACGCAAGCTGTCCTGCAAGCCCAGCTCCTCCTTTAACTCTTGCTTCACCTTGCTCTTTCCCTCGCCACCCTGCAGCCAGACTGTCATCTGTTGATCGCCATGCTTCAAACTCTTCTTGATCTCGGTAAAAATGTCCTTCGCGGTCTCCATAGGCACCATGTTCCCGATGAGCCTTTTTAGCGCAGTGATGCCAGCCTGACAAAACTTATACGTCGCTGGCAAACCCATGAGCAGCGCGAACTCCTGGACCCTGAAACCGCGCTTGCCGGTTGGATGCAAATCGCCTTCGCCACCACTGCATGTAATAGCGCCTCGCAGCTGGATGTTCGGGTCGTAACTGGGGCCTGCTCTCTCGGTGTAGACCTGCATATGTCGCGGGATGCTGCGAAGGGGCGGTAGATTGTCTAGGCAGTCTTGAATCGTGGTCTTATGTTCGTGACGTGGCGAAGCAATTGGTGGGAGTGGTTCGCCGATGCTGTGAGCAGATTAGAAGCCGTCGATACACAACACAGGGTACGAATGCTTACCATGAGCCTACACAAATCAATCTGTTCCTCGCTTGCACGTGGCGGTGCTCAGAGCAGTCGACTACCTCCCAACCAACGCTGTAGTGGCAGTGCGTAAGTTGCATGAGCAGTGCGTGGAAAGACTGACGATGACGTGTGTACAGTCCACTTGTCTGCTCGAGAGTCATTACACGTGGCCGCGACTTCTTCAGCAGCGGTATGGCACTGTAGCCGCTATCGACGTTCCTCTCGTCGTTCTTGGCCATGCCTTTCCAGGTGTTTGCCAAGCTATACGCCTGGCATGGAAAGCTAATGTGTAGCACAGCAACCCTATACCGCTTCCTGTTAGTCTCCTTAGTGAGGAAGTCGTGGATGTCTACATTCAGCACCTTCATGCTTGGGAAGTTGAGCTTGATAGTCTCGCATGCGTCTTGCCAGAAGTCCACGCCGAAGACCATCTTGAAATTGGCCTTGGCAGCGCCGGCGGTCACACCACCTGCACCGCAACAAATGTCGCCGGCGGTGTAGGGCTCACAGTATAACAGTCCGAGCTGCTCGAGATCTGTAGCATTAGTATGCAAGGCGGAGGATGTACGGACTTCTGCTTCACTCATGGTAACGCTTTTACGCTTCAAAAGGCCGTGCCTCGGGTCAAAGGTGGAGCTGCTCTGCGAGGTTTTCGTCGTCGTTTTTGTCATGTATTCGTGTCGTTCAACATTTGCTGCTTTGGTCTCCCTGCGTCGCCTTGATGCGTCCGTATCTGCTTGTGGAGGCTGCCCCTCTGGTCCCGCTCCAAAGGCCTCCAACATCTGCCACCAGTAGCTAAGCGCAGCATCCGACATACTCTTTCCGGGATCACTCTCGGTTTCGCGGAGACGTATAAGTGCGCCTTTGTTAGGCTTTCTCCCAGGCAGTGATATGTACTCGACAAGCTTCCAGCGACACACTAGGATGCTGTGTTCCCTTGTGGTATACAAGTCGATAGCTTCCGCAAAGGCGTCACGAAAGCTATGATCCGGAAACTTGCGGTATGCGAAAGGCAGATTCGTGAAGGTGACTCGGCGTACGCACATCACGTCCGATTCGGGGATTGAGACCATATGGTCGTTTAAGTCAGGGTTGACAACATCGCGGGGAACATCTACCAGCACTGCGTGGACCTCGTTGACCTTTCGCTCGAGCATGCCGCTCGTCCTCCAATGCCGACGTAGTAGGATGCCTTTCAACAAGACTTCTCCGGTCGGCGTATCACGATAGATGGATGCGATGCGGAGGAAGTTTTGGTCCCAAAGCTCGACGCATTTTCCAGCTCGAAGCTTCACGCCGCTTGCTAGGGTATGACTATCCAAGTGTTGTCGGGGCCGAGCAGTGTCCACCTTGATCTCATCTTCGACAAGCTCAAAGTCGAGTAAGCTTTCCGCGTCATCGTCTTCATCATCTTCAAGGTAGATCACAGGTGGTGGCTCCGCCTCTTCGTCCAGCAGAAGCGAGCTTGTAGTTTCGGCAAAATCGCGAATGCTGTCTGTGTTTCTGTGTTTTGTCTTCGTCCTCGGCGCGGCTCTCGTGGTCTTGGGTAAGCGATCCATCGCAAGAGTACGACTGGTATTAGTGAGCGCAGAGTGAAGCTTCGAAGAGCTGTTGAACGCCCCAGGCACCAGTACTGTCGCTCACCGGAGCCAAGCAACGTCGTTTGCATGAACCTGGAAGGAACGTGCATATGATTGCGGATAGCGACCTTAGCGCGGCAGGTGTCCGAATTAAGTGACAGAAGCAGTCCACAATCGATGTGACAGATCGTCAGAGAGGGGCGCGAGTCTTGTGATTGATCGAACGCACAAGGTAAGGGACGTCGCGGTTGTGCTTGGAAGGCGGCCGTGTGATGTCATCACAGAGGATGCTTCAGATGTGCACATGAGCTGACGAGGGGCTGGCGACGGCTCGAGATTGTCTTGCTCCCTAGACCATGAAGAACAGGTGAAAGATTTCTATGTTGGACGGGATTTTCTGTCCAAGAACCGCTATGAGAATGGCAGTTTAAGGTCAAGCGAAAATGATGGAAGTGTAAGAGCACATACTGTCTTGCTTTGGAGTTAAGCTTACATGTGTTCCCAATCTATAACCTCCGTCGTACCACCCAAAGCTGAACATGTTGACGGAATACTGATTAGCTCCCTGATGCTCTGCTCGCACTGTGGAAAAGAGCAGGTAGCGCGATCTACTGAAGCCTGCTCTCTGCTGTTGCGACCCTTTATCCCGAGCTTGACACGGCGAGGACACACATTCGGCGTCGCCAGCTCAGCTTCGGGAGCTCACCTTTGTGTAGAGTGATCAAGGTATGAGTGATGCGCCCTGCGAAGGTTTCCAAGCTTGATTAGTCGGCAAAGACTTGAATGCCTAGCCGCTGGGCCCGGAGACCTGCAGCTACGCTCGAAAGCATGTGCATTAGGGCATGCTCGTCCAGAGCCCCCTTTTTGGCTTCCCACAGCAAGCACTGTTTCTATCGTGGTGAAGCTGCGCAGGTAGCGCCAAGCATGCTGAGGACGGGCAGCCGTCACCGAAGTCGCGGGGGACCCATATGCGCAGCTGATAGCAGAGGTCGGATAGATGCGCTAGGCCTTCACCAGAACTCATTGTTGGAGCGCGAGATTGTCACGAAGAAGGTCGAGACGACAGAGAAAGAGAAGTGCAGTCGGATCTGCCGGGATTGCCCGGGTCGTGCCCGGCGAATCGCAATTCTACCGGCATGTCCAAAAAGACCTTCATAAAATTTACACAGAATGGCATCAATCGCCAAATCGTTCCGAACACGCGCTGACGAGGAGAGAAGTGGAAAGGATGAGTTTGGCACCATCATCCGTCCTCAAGTACGGAAGCTGAAGCATCCTCACTCCCATTTCTATCCGCCACCTTGATCGCAACCGCCACGGTAAGTCCGGCCTCGTAGCTTTTCTCTAAAAAACCCGCATGATGAATACCAAGTACTTTAAAGATGTTAGACTTAGTCTCAATGGCTTCGGTCATAATGGCTGCACTTCACTTCCTGACTGCCCACATGAATCGCCCTTCACAAGCCGTTCTGAGAGCAGAGGAGAGAAGCTGATCAGCCAAACAGACCATCACGTTACACGACGCACAGAGGCTCGCAACATGTGTGGCATAATAGCCTGTATCTTGGCTGCTGAGGGCAACGACGTCGCAGCAGAGATCCACCAAGCGCGTTAGTACAAAGACCGGGTTCGTCCGGCACGACAATCTCACTAACGACGTCTAGTCTACTACCTCCAGCATCGCGGTCAAGATGCCTGCGGTATCGCCACTTGCTCAAGCAGAGGCAAAGTCTTCCAATGTAAAGGTAACGGCCTAGCCAGCAAAGTTTTCCACGATGGTGAGAGGGTTTCAGATCTTCCAGGTTACATGGGACTCGCTCATCTTCGGTACCCAACAGCCGGCTCGTCAGCCAACTCGGAAGCACAACCTTTTTACGTCAATTCTCCCTACGGCATCCTCATGACACACAACGGCAATTTGATCAATGCTCCCGAGCTCAGGGAATATCTCGACCATGAAGCACATCGCCATATCAACACTGAGTCGGATAGCGAGCTCATGCTCAACATCTTCGCCGATGAGCTCAATCAGACCGGCAAAGCTCGAGTCAACCGAGATGACATCTTCTCTGCTCTCACACGCATGTACGAGAAGTGCAAGGGTGGCTTCGCTTGTACTGCCATGCTTGCCGGTTTCGGCTTGATCGGGTTCCGTGACAGCTACGGTATTCGACCAGTTGTACTTGGCGAACGAGCGTCTATTGACGGCAAAGGCACTGACTATATGATGGCATCGGAATCCGTTGCACTCAGCCAGAACGGCTATGGTAACATCAAGGACATCCTACCCGGCCAGGCTGTGATCATCGAGCGCGGCAAAGCACCAGTCTTCAAGCAAGTGAGCCCGCAGATGTCCTATGCACCTGACATATTCGAATACGTCTACTTCGCACGACCTGAAAGTATTATCGACGGCATCTCTGTATACCGATCTCGTCAGCTCATGGGGTACCGACTGGCCGAGGAGATTCAGAAGCAGCTTGGCCCAGAGCAGCTCAGAGAAATCGACGCTGTCATTCCCATACCAGAAACGTCTCTGGTCTCTGCCTACGCCGTAAGCAAGCACCTCAAGAAGCCGTACTGCCAAGGCTTCGTCAAAAATCGCTACATCTTCCGTACCTTCATCATGCCCTCTCAACGTGCTCGCCAACGCGGCGTTCGCGCAAAGCTGAACGCCATTCCCGTTGAGTTTAAAGACAAGAACGTCCTCCTCGTGGACGACAGCATTGTGCGCGGCACGACGTCCCGCGAGATCGTCAACATGGCAAAGGAGGCTGGAGCGAAGAAGGTGTACTTTAGTAGCTGTGCGCCACCCATTACTCACGCACACATCTACGGCATCGATCTCGCCTCACCTTCAGAACTCATCGCGCATCATCGAAGCAGCAAGGATATTGCAGAACACATAGGCGCAGATGGAGTCATCTACCAGAGCCTCGAAGACCTCAAATCCGCGTGCGCGCAGGAGAGCCCGCGAGATCCCACGACACAAAACTTCGAAGTCGGCGTCTTCTGTGGCAAATACGTCACACCTGTCTCAGAGAATTATTTCACTCACCTCGAGCAGATGCGTGGCGAAGCGCGAAAGCTTAAAGTAATGGATAAAGCTCGTGAGGCCGTGGCACGAGGCGACGCCGACGAAGTCCAGTTCCGCATGGCCTCCAACGGTGTACAAGTCGACGAGACTGGCGATGTGGTTGCTCGAGATAGTGGCTCAGATGGCGAAGCAAGGATACCGAAGCGACAGAAAGTCGAGAGGATGCATGATGAACAGGCGAACGGGCATGGTGAAAAGGAGAAGGATCCCGAGAAGTCGGCGAGGAAGCCAACGCCGGCGCAGGATGTTTCGCTGTACAACATCAATGATACCTAGGCTAGACGAATTTGTGCTTCGCGGCACTTGGGAATGGTTGGTATCTTGGAGTTTTGAGGCGTACTTAGGTAGAGGGAGACATGGCTCAGAGCCTGAACCAGATTTGACTCAGCTATGGTCTGTATCACACCACTCGCATTCATCGGACCATACATCGCTGACATAGTGATCCCTGTATTTCGCAACATGATCGCCGCCTACGAAAATCCTCCGTCGTTCCAAGGTTCTCGCTCGTGGCTATGCGTGGATGGACACGATATCGTTAGGTCGAGCTTCCTCATGCCATGAGATGTCGACGAGGACTCGGCCCTGTACAAACATCAAGGCGTGCGACGGTTGAGGAACAGGATGATGTATTTCAGCTTCTCATGTATTACTCGCCTAAGCTAGAAGGAGTGACAACCTCACCCCATCCATCGTGAGATCACAAGCCTCGATCATAAATGCCTCGCCCCACCCACCTCATTGGTATCATATGCACACATCAAGGATCGTCATGAAGATCTAAACCCACCTCGTGCCCTTGTCCCGATTGCGCCGAATGCATTGAACCCTTATCCCAGCCCCATGCCTTATATACCATACGCCATGCAGAACCGTACCCAGTAAACCACGACTTCGCTCAGACCTCTGTCTTGCTCACACCAGTACCTCACTGATCCCTCGACGGCCGCGGCGAAAGCCTCACAAACTCATCCTGCTCCTGCGCCGGCGTCAACGGAACCCTACTATGTCTCGCGCTCGCGCTGGCATCCTCTGCACCAGCGCCAGCTTGTCGGTACGAAAGCTCGTTAAGCCAATCGGTGCTCTTGCTACCCTCAGCATTCTCACCAAATAATACCCGACTATTCCTCTGTGAGCCGTAGGTCCCGGCTCTCGGCCGTGATACCGGCGCTGGAACCTTGCCGATCGAGTTGCGCGTACTGACGTCGCCACCAATACGTAGGGAGTCGTTGCTCACCTGATCCCTTAATTTACTCGGCATCGTCGCCGAGCGTGAAGGCGTGCGCGCACCTTTTGCCGCGGCGGGAGGAGCAGAGAGCTCCGAGTCATCGATCGTGCCGCGCGTCATGTCCACAGGTGTCTGTGTTCGCCCATCCCAAGCCTCGAAGTCTCGCGTGCTCCAGCTCGGGCGATGCGATCTTGCACCAAAAGGCAAAGTAGAAGAACCGGCCATGCTGTACACGCTCGGTGCCCTTGCGTTCCTGCTTCCACCGACAGGAGTGTTGATCCCGCTCCGTATGCTGCCCGCCCGACTACCCTGCTGCCGTGGCGCGGGAGACTGTTCTTCGAGACTCAAGTACGAGGCCGTGGGATCATGTAACCTCAATTCAGAAGCAAACTCTTCGTCTTCGTCCTCGATCTTCGCCATACGTCGAACACCTTTCATCTCGAAGTTTGGCTCTCGAGGCTCTTCGTCCACTTCTTTCACTGGAATGGACTTGGGCTCAGGAGGCAGGTCGTTGACCGCCTTGTCGAGGTGATTGAAGTACTTCTCTCTCAAGTTGACCCACTTCCGCGGTCGGAAGTTCTCGTGGTTGCGCGAGACGGACATGTAGCTACTAATAGCACCCACGACGATTGCAATGAGTGTCAGGATTGTCAGGATACCTTGGATGACAATTATGACAATGCCAATGACAGTCGTGATAATGCGATCCAGGTTCCACCTTGTGTCGAAAGCCGCCGCAAGGGCGACCGAAGTCACCTTGCTGAAGCCCAAGGCGTAGACCACCAGAAGATTCAGACGCTGACCTTCGAACGGCCTCGCCCAGACGATGAAGGCGAAAGCAAAGACTTCGATGACCAGAAGACCGAAGACTTGAGCCAGGGGATATCCAGAAGCACCGCCAAGGAAGACAGCCTCCAAGAAAGTGTAGAGCAGCGAGGCCGTGAAGAACCACCATCGTGTACGTCGGAATCGTGCCGCCAGCCATCCAAATCTCGTTGTGAACTCCTCATTGTCGTGGATACTGTGCAGATATCCATCCACATCAGTAACACTCCCATGGGTCTGCTGCCTCTTGCGGAAAGGTCTCTTCATCAAGCCCTTCTTACTATCGCGCTGCTCAAGCTCAATGCCCTGCTCTTCCGCAGGCGCCGCTGCCTTCTTCACACTGAACCACGGGATCTTGCCAAGTAGCATCTTACGCTCCACTTGTCGTCCGTTCGCATGCTGCTCGTTGTCGATGGATGCCTTGTAGATGCACGCGTAGATCGCCAGACCCATCATGCCGAAAAGGAAGATGATGAAGACGAGTGCTGCGATGGCTTTGACGCCTCCGGAGGAAGTGTAGGTAAACTGGAAGATGGTGAGGAACATCATCAGGAAGAAGGCCAAGTAGCAGATGCGAAGAGCAAGGGCGGCGCTGTAACCGAGCCAGTGGTTGCGGAAGTACTGGAAACGGCCTTCTTTGAGCCATCTCACCTTTGCAAGGCCCTCGAGAATCCACTTGAAAGCCATCAAAGCGGCTACCAGAAGGACAAGCAAGATCAGAAACCAGAGGAAGCCGGTCATAAAGGCGTTGCTCGCTCTGATATTTTGCTCCGCGAGTGTTCCAGCGAAGCCAGAGTAGTTGCCGGGAAGTGGTAGACCGTTCTCGACAGGCTTGCCGTACCACCTGTACCCACTTGTAGAATTCTCGAGAGCGCGACGCTGAAGAGACTGCTCGACACTGCGCTGCAGCACACCCCGCTTACGCACGCCATATGGTTGGCGGTATATCTCAGACGCCCCATCACGCATGAGCGGGTGAGTGTGGATCTTGTTGGCGCCATAGCTAAGCATCCGCTTGTAGATCTGGGTGATGTCGTAGCCACCAGCAAGAGTATCCTGCGTGGAGCCAGTACTTGCTGCACCGACTTCTGAAGTGTTGCCGACATTATTGCCGATCAGATGATTGATGCTCGTCTGCATAGTCGGGCTGTAGATCATACCACCAGCCCAGGCAAAGTTACTCCACCAAGCGACCAGCACGGAAGGCCAGTTCAGCGATAGCGCTCCAGTAAAGAAGATGTGTTGGAAGACGGCGAAGACGACGCCAACAGACAGCGAGTGAGCATAGTGCAATCTCATGGTTGGTACTGCCTCCCCATATGCAGCGGTGGCGAAAGAGGCAAGGAGGGCCACAGATGTGAAGATTCCAAGTATGCTGCCGACCGACGCTGGCTGGCTGAAAGAGTTACCATTCGTGACGACGGCAGAAAAGCAGCCAATCTCGGTCTCGGTGCTATTGGCGAAGATTCGAAGGACTGCTTCGCCTTCGAAGTCTGGAATGGTCAGAGCAATCGCCGGGATGTTAGCGACGTCTTCCTGGGCCACAGGGATCAAGCCAATAGCTTCGATAGGCACGCTGCTGTTTGCCGGACATAGACTATAAGGTGTCAGTCACTCTGCCTGGTCTTCGCCATATTCCACCTTTACTCACCTGGCAATGTTCGCCTGACAAGGGTTGAATACCAAGTCGAATCTGCTCGATCCGTACGCATAAACGCCAATGTACATCATCAGACTCTCGTTCTTCAACCCAGTGTTTCCAGCCAAGTGGAAAAGCACCGTCATGTTATCCTTATAGTAGGCGGCATCGAACCGGGTGACGTTGATGGCGCTGGCACCCCCTAAGCAATCACCAAAGTTGCCCGTGTACAACGCCGGCTTCCGATCGTTCGCGAGGTAGAGTGTCGTGCCATCGCTCGCTGTGTATGGAATGTAGGACTCCGTGGAGCTCGAGCTGGAACTGCTACCACTGCTGGCGGCGAAAACGGAAGGTGCAAGGGAGAGGATGCTGAGCATGGCCGTGGCGGCCGATGCTATTCGAGGTATCATAATGGGTGATGTGTGATGGTATCGACCGATATCCGAGTGGATTACTACGCTCGCAAGTCGAAAGCGCCAGCGGGTAGAGGTCGACCTTGGCCCACTAAGCGAGCGTCCTCAGGAATGTTGTTGATGCTTCGTTCGCCGCCAAAGCAAAGAGTGACGTTATTGTCGACGATGATGCCCGACTTTCTCTTCTACCAACTCCTTTCCCACCTGAACTGAGACCTGTTCACTCTGCTCCCTTGCTCTCTGACACCGTCCTCAACCGTGACAGGGTCCACCTGGCTTGCTGATCACTAACGATCACTTCACACCTGCACGCCTCCTCCGGACATACTTCGAAACGGTCGGAGAATTAACGATCGTAGGATTGTTAGTTGTGTGCGAGTATGACCAGGGAAGGTGGAATATCGTGGTAGGAGTAGTTTGTGAGATGGCGCTGTCCCCAGCACCTACGATTTTTGGTGTCGAGCTAAAATCCCGTGCATTGACCCAGGAAGTAACGGCTGGCCGCCTTTGCGAGCTTGCCGAGAATCAATGATGCGGATTTCAATTGGCAGTGAATATAAACTTCTGATATTGTCCGCGCATTGGTAGGGATACATGTTCACGGGGCGCCTATCTAGAACTTCGCAGATCACTTCACCCTCGGACTGCCTGTAGTGTATCGAAGACACGACATGCCGTACAGTACAGCGAAGATACTGTGGTGGCTGACGAGACAGCTTCTTCGGCTCGACGCGGAAGCCAAAAGGACTTCATCCCGCCTTCACCAGCCATGTCCGCCGTACTGCACGATTCTCGCAACGGTAACAGCACATACCGATAACCCGACCCTATAGTCTCCTATACTGTCCCGTGTCCAGCTAATAAAAGATGATGACATGTGTCAGACAACGCACGCCCGCGCAAGTCCTTCCAGATCAACGGCGAAAAGGCCCGCCGTCGCATTCGCAGTCCAGCAAGTTTCGAAGCACAAATGTCAGCCAATAGATGCCATTCGTTCCACAAGGACTGAAGTACATACGCAAGCCATGCCTGTCACCTGCTACTCTTCTGCCAAGCTTCGATCGCATGGATGAAGCTCGCATAAAGTGCTTGCAGCTTGCAGCTTTTCGCGTCCGCGGGACCTGCATCTCTGCCTACTGTACATCGCAAGATTTACCATTTTGGTTTTTGGAGCTCCTTTCCTTGGCGGAGACATTGGGAAGCCTATTCATTCTTCTCCGCACTCACTCACTCTTCAGTCGTGCCCGCCTCTGGACCTTGTGCTGCCGTAGCCCTACAGTAGTGTCTGCTGCAGAACACGCGGCCTTGTGTGAATCTTGCCGGACAGCCGGGCTGCTGTATAAGCTTATATTAATGATATCGCACGATCCGATAGCCATGTGGAGATCCTACGCTACAAAACTATGCACCTCACATGTGGTGGCATAACGACAGTGCTGTTCCGCTTGCTTCCGACTTCTGTCTTCACTACTCCGCGGTGCCAGTAGCATTGGTGCCACAGACTACTTGGCCTTGGTGAACAAGGCGAATGCACTCCGCAATGTCGAAGCATCGAGGACTTGGCATGTCTAGACAGTTGTGCAAGAAAATCAACCGTCTTGCCCCTGCACAGCCTGTGTACAGACGCTATGAGCACGTTCCCACAGAATGCACATTGACTGCAGCTAGCAACGCTAGGGTTGCTTCTCTGCTGATACCTGAGCTCGACAAGACTGGCATATATGACCTGGACAGTATGATACGACAGAGAATACCCGAACTCTACTTCGCCATTCAACTGTCAATTGCTCTCCACAAGAATCAGTACTTTACAGCCGTGTTCTGTTGAGCTTGCCCGATAGCAAACTGAATTTGACCTCGATGTCTCACGAACTACCGTCAACCTGCACTCGAAGCTATAGTACGGAGGGCTCGCAATCTTGGCAGTCTCGAAGTCCGACTTGTGCAATACGAGGCTCCTACTCTTGCTGGCCTTGCATCGATCTCAGAGCTTATCGTCCATAAGCACAAAGATGGGTTCTGTTCTGCTTGTACAGTAGATGGTGCTCGGGGTGGCAATGGCCTTAAAGAGGCTCTGTGCGGTCTAGGTATGCTAAGGCCACAGGTTGTCGATGTTTGACCTGTCAGATTTGTTATTTGGTCTCACGGGAAAGCTGATGGTATGAGAAATCCAAGCAAAGTCAAACAGTGTATGAAAAGTCATTCAATGCTTGGGATGAGTATATGCTCACTGCTTAATTCTCCTTTCTCCTCCCTTGTCTCTGTCACTACTGGGTGCTTCCTCTAGCCCGTGTATCTCCTTTTCTTCAATGAGCTCTTTTGGCCTAGAGAGCCTTATTTACGATGTCACATCCTCGTTCACGAGCGTCCCATCGGCTGCTGGATCTGTCTGACAGGCACCTATCGAGTGCGGGAAACCCATTGGCCTATACTACGTCCTTCAGTCAATGACCAGCAGGCGATGTGGTTGTTCACTGCCACCCGAATAGGATACTGCGCCGATAAATCAAACTCTTTATCCTCTTTTCCTGCTTTCCTTTCCGCTTCAACAACGCTCTTCTTGGACCCTTCGCAGTCTCAATTGATGCAACAGTATTGCTCGAATCAATTCATCGACCATCTTAAAGTAATCAGCATGTCAAGCCCACGACGAACACCCTTTGACAACAACTCACATGATCTACACGGCCGCGACATTTCTTCCGCCTTTCACACGGATCCATATTCCACGATAGACAACAGTATAGGAGAAGACCCTTCTACCATCGATGAGTCGAAGCCAGTATACCTTAAGGACATCTGCGCTACTGCAAGTGGATCAATTGCATCTGCCGTAACCCCATCGCCCATTGACTCTGGCTTTGTGAGCCCGTCTGCTCTCACCCACCCTGCGCACCGTGACTGGCATGGGTTCTATGACCACATGCCACTGCGGCCAACACTGTGGCGAGCAGGGCAGCTACGCGATCTGTTGGCCGCTCAAAAGCTTCCATACAGTCCCACTGCTCCTGACTCACCAACTCCGTCGACTTGTGACACTGCCTCAGACTGCGGCATGCCCGAGTTCGAGGACGATCTGCCCGTCGGTTGCAGGTTGTCGGACATAGTCGACCGACGAGCTCTTATTGACTGCGGCGATGGCTACTGTCTACACGAGAGCATCTGCGTTGATCGGCATCACACACCGAGCAGCCACGTAGTAACACCTCGACGATTCCGGTCCGCAGACCCATGGCTACAGACACCTCGCCTTCCGAGGCCAGCACCAGATCCTACGACGGAGCACGAAGATCTGGCGGATCAGTTGCTACAGCAGCTCGATGATCTGCAAGGTCTTTTGCAGCAGACCACCGTTGGCACCATCGGAGCTCTTCTCAATGAGCAGGATGCGCTCTACGACGTCTTAAGGCATACTGAAGCTCGGGATGCTTTGGCCGACGCCTATGTCGCAGCCACGGTACCACTTCCAGATGCAGATGAAACGACAGCGTTGCAGGAGGACAGATTCATCGATTCGGAGGCAATCGACAAGGGAAGCGACCATGACTGGGAGGTCTTGGACACAAGCCTTCCCAGCGTGGAGAACGGACGGACTTGGAAGCAGTGGCTTTGGGGTCGATAAGTCCAGTCTGTAGGACAACCCCACCAATGACAATGACAAGGACAACGATAGCAGTCTACAACTATCTATGCTCGAAATACAAGATCCTCATTACGCGGAACAAATGTCTGCATGATGGATCTGAAGTGGCCGGACTCGAAGTAGAGGAAGATATCTCTTCGGCCTCGTCGTATGCGTATCTCCTGACAGTCCGAGCGATCCGGTTGTGCTGATTGTAGATTCGTGACGACTTCCTCTACCATATCATTGTCAAATCCGAGGTGAAATAGTAAACTACTCAAACCCGTCTGAAAGGGATTGGTAGACGTTCGTCCTGCTGCAATGTCTGGCTGGACAGCGGCTCTAGCAACGATGGCGAAGTGGGACGTAATACTAGGAGATGACTGCAGGCCATGGTCATCGAGGCGTTGTATCGCCAGGTTCATTAGTTCCAGGTCCATAGCATGTAATGCAACAACTATGTCTTTAAGGTACCAGCCCTGGTTCATGAGCCAAGATCCAGGAGGATGAAGAGCATATCGCTTCCGAACCCCATCTAAAACAGTACCATGCCGTAGCATAATCTCGGTACCCTCCAGACCATGCAGGGTAGCGTTCAGCATATGCATGTCCCAGACATTGATCTCTCTAAGCAGCAGGCAGTTCTCACGCCCCAGGCCAGATAGCCATTTGGCTAGAGGCATTGCAGGACTGTCGTCGAGGTGAGCGTTGAAGCGAGCTAGGGAGTGGTACATCTTCAGTGACTCTTTGCGAAGTTGTCTGCATGTCTTTGTCAATGGGTGCTGGGTTGAGCCTGGTTGAAGTGTCACGGCGTAGGTACTATCGAAGACGAAGGCGTAGATTTGGTTTCGAAGTTCCGGAGAGAGGCGGATAAGGTTAGAGACTTCCATGATATAGAGTCCGAGGGTTCCAATATTAATCGGCGCAAACGCCTTGTCATGTATATCTTCGACTAGACGAAGGGCTGAGGGAGATGAATGGAATGGAGTTATGCGGTCTATCCTCGGCCGAGATCTGGGCGAGGATACAGTCTGAACTCTGCATCCTTCAAGCATGACTTTGAAGCTCATCTGATTTTAGACCAGTCCATAAGCAGAGAAGGACCCATGATGAGTGTGTCCAGGATATTGCAGCCTCGGGTGCTGCGTCCAAAGCTATCACTCCGCTACCAATATCTCATACGCGCTCAGTCAACCACAGCAGCACCTTCGCCCACTCCCTCACAGTCAGGCTTCCTAAAAAGAAACCGCTCAGCAATACTATGGAGTACTCTCGGGTTGGCTTTGGGACTCACGGGCGGCAATCTAGTAGCTCACACCATCGCACCTCCACCCATGCCAAAGCCCGGCACACATGAAGACAGCATCCTCCTTGCCGACCTGAACCACCGCCTCGACGACGAATTCAAGGTCAAAGTCTGGCGAGGGAAATGTTTGGGCGTAGGGAGACAGCTGAAAGGAGCTGAAGGGGGCTGGGTCGAGATTGTGCCGCGGCCGGCGGAGGACGACACGATGCGAGGAGATAGCATGATTAACAATCTCCAAGGCGCAAAAGCTTTCGGCGCGGAGAGACTGTTCTGGGATAGAGATCAACACAGCCTAGTAGCGATCATCTGGTTCGGGGGTGCAATCTCAGGCTGGCCAGGCGTGACACACGGCGGAGCAATAGCAACAGCACTCTCAGATAAAGCTGCTCTAGCAGCGACATTGGCCGAAGGGCTAGGCACTAGTATCTCTGCTGCAGCAACACCTCAACGGATGCCAGGCACAGGCTCCCATGCTAAGATCTTCGTCCCGGAGACTCTGCACGACGATCCGACCCAGATGAGTTTGAGTTATCTGAAGCCTACTTACGCCAACAACTTCTACGTTGTTCGTATCGGACCATCGCTTGATCTCGAGCAGGATCCGGTACATATCGTGCCCTCTCATCCTGCTGGAGTTGAGGACTATGAGGCCACGCTTGAGGCCATGGATGGGAAAGTGTGTGTGAAGGCTAAGTTCAAGTTTGCGCCTAGTAGCAAGCTACAACAGGTTGAGGATAAAATCTTGGATGCGGCGAAGTTGGGCTATGGAGAGTTCAAGCAGTGGATGTGGCCTTCGCGGCAATCGAACTCGCAGGCTGGCTGAGATACGAGTCTCTCGAGCATGGTCGACGGACTCTTGTCATGCAAAACCAGCGCCCAAGCATGTGCGAAACTGGCCCTTGGCCATGGGTTCTACTCAGAGCGCCAGTCCTCCGAGTTCTGGAGCAGAGCGGGTAAGAGCTACCACCATCTGTCAAAATGCTCCTCATAGCATATTGATGGCGCCATGACGTTCGCACTTTGCACCCATGAACCGCCCGCTCCTGCGAAGGTGTGTATCAGGCACTACGATAGTCCAGGAACACCCCACACACCTTCGTAGCGTATAGGATGATGGTCGTGGTTGGGTACATTACGATGAAGGCACATCTCTCCCCTTTATTAGCTACTGTTGAGCCTAAGATCCGCCAGGCCTTGAAACTAGAGCCTGTCCGCGAAGTTATGAGTGGGTACGATTAGTTCAAGGATCCTGTCGCACGACCGCATGGCCCAATCGATACCGCATGCTAGGTGATGAAGTCAACAATACTCGCTGGTATCGTAGGAGATAGCGCCTCCTTTGCCGGTTATGGACTGCAGCACTCGCTTGTTCTGACAGCCGCCAGCTCCTACGTCACAGCTTCACTGCCCTGGTGTCATCATCGTCAGATCATATTACCACAGCGGCTACACGATGTTGGAGAATAAGCACCAGTACAAGCGCGCGGCGACCGTGACACTTCGCGGTGAGCTGTAGTATGCCGCAGATGAAAAGGCCAACATTCGATCTGCAGGTACCCGCATGCCGTGCATGGAAGCGCAGATACGCACTGTGAACACTCCTGATACTCCTGCATTCCCTCTTGTGTTTCTCGAATGATGGAGATGTAGTATCAAGTGAGGCTACGATGCTTCCGGCCATTCACAGAGTGATTATGTCACGTGAGATCGCTTTTCGGACCGAGTCCTCCGTCTCCATCACACTTCAAATGCTCGACATCATCTCCATTTCAAGTTGTCGAGATCGCGAACATCATGTTTTGTGCAATCGACGTGTGTATCTCGATCGGCACACGGATTGTACAGTATATGAAGTGCATATGGTCGTCACGAACTGACAAGCAAATCACGATTGATGATCCAGCCAAGCCGTCAAGTGGGCGCGTAGAGCGAGAAGACGATTCGTCTGCACTGGAGCAGCCACACCCGATGATCCTCTTATCCCGAGCGCATAGGTCTCCGAGCCTGACAGGTCATGGCCTACTGGACATGCCCAAGTTGTCGGTACGACAGCGTCTTGCATCCCATGGCACCACTTCCCTGCTGTAAGTCAACGCATGGTGCTGCTTCGAGCATTGTATCAAGGACACGTCCGAGCCAGGAGAGAGACAGGATGTGAGGGTGTTGCCAGCATGATTGCACTATATCACACTGTTGGTCCATGACTCCACGATTGTGATATGGCATGCTAGTCGGTCTGGCCCATGAACTACCAATATCACTTTCACAGCACAGGGTTCGTTGCATCCACATTCGGGAACGGCCCTCCCGACGGCGTGGTCGATCACACTTGCAACAACCAATCCTCTCGGCATAGAAAGCGCGTTCCTTTCCATTCGCGAAAGCATGCCAAGTACCCTGCTCTCTTTTAGCTATACGGACACACGCATCGGGAAGGCCAAGGTCGTTAGTAGAGACATGGTTGAATGATCGTGCAAGCGAGCACACGCTTCTGCCATAAAGTGCCATGCAGTTCTTGTGCATGAGCCCTTGCATCTGGACCAACCGTTAGGCCGCGTCACTGATGTGCATATAGTGCCAGTTTCATCTGCATACCCTCTCTCATTGACTGTTCCTTTATGATGTAGCTTGATGCCGCTCCGTCTGGTTGTGGAGTACTCATGTCCATACGAAGAACTTAGGGACACGACTGCCAAACTATGGGAGATGGGAGCAGCAGCACTGGATTAACGCTCAACAGTCTGAACATTACGTCTTCGACCTGACGGACCATCTGGAAATAGCGGCATTCGCATCTGTGCCTGGCATTGACGGGATGCAGTGGAAATCGTCGAGGAGCTGCCTCTATTTCTGAACACAAATCTGCTTGACGTTTCGAACTTCACGACACTGTATCCAGGATGCCAGCTTTGCCGGAGGTCCTTGCTCGACGAGCTGCCATAGCAGTTGAGCTTTTACGTGACTCTGCGACAGAAGTATTGGAAGCAGCGTCACTGGAGAAGCGCATCAAGATCCCGTGCTGCAACAGTAGTTCTCCAGCTGGACTTGTCGAAGCTGAGACTCGTGATCCATGGCAGAACAGCGGCAAGTACGCACTAGGATGGATCTACTTCTGTGTCATACTGCTAGCCTTGACAGCGGGCCTGCGATGGTATAATTACTGGAACGACAAGATACGGGTTGCTATCCACAAGGACAAGGTGGAGGAAGCGATCAAGACTGGCTCTCCTGACACCGACTATGAACTTTCTGCACTGGAGACCGATAGGAGCACAAAGAAGTTCTTTCCGCGTGAGGGACCACTACCTCAGTCAGCAACCAGCCAGGTGAAGCAGGAAGTTGAGGAACAGTCTATCACCAACCTTCGAGCACTGAACATGGTGGTCGCAGCGTGTCGGTGGCTTTTCTACCGACCTGTGCCCACAATTCGTCTCCGGAAAGGGTGGATGCCTATCATCACGCCATCAATCTCGATTGTCGCCATCGTGTTCGCAGCTTTGGCTTTCGTCCTCCTCTATTGCTTCATCCCGCAGCCTCTTTTCTGGCAATCGATCTCCTTCGGCTCTCCTCCCGTGGCGATACGAGCTGGCATGATCGCAGTTGCCATGGTTCCATGGATTGTGGCGTTGAGCATGAAAGCCAACTTTATCTCAGTCATAACCGGTATTGGCCACGAGAGATTGAACGCATTGCATAGATGGCTGGCATACATATGCCTGGTGCTGAGCTTGGTGCATACTATTCCTTTCTACGTTACACCAATCTGGGACGAGAATGGGTTGGTCACTTTCAAGAAATATTTTCAGAACCAGCACTTCTACATCTACGGGACTGGTAAGCAACGCAATTACCACTAGACCTAAACTTGCTAACACGTCGCAGGGCTCGCTGCGCTTGTGCCACTTCTGTTCCTCTGTGTCCATTCCCTCCCTCTCTTCCGTCGCAAGTTCTACGAGCTCTTCGTTACAATTCACGTACCTGTATCAATAGCCTTCTTGGCGATGCTCTTCTGGCATTGCCACAACTACTTAACGTCCTGGGACTACCTCTGGGCTACTGTGGCTATCTGGGCAAGCTCCTATGCCGTCCGGCTATTCTACCTTAACTGGACGAATCCTTTTCGAGTCTCCTTCATGATTGGGGAGGAAGCAGCCGTAACATTACTTCCCGAGAACGCCCTAAAAGTGACCGTGCCGACGCAGGTCAAATGGAAGCCGGGTCAGTATGTCTACCTACGAATGCCAGGCATCAGCATGTTTGAAAACCACCCTTTCACAATAGCATCGCTCTGCAGTGATGACTTTCCTTCTGTGTATGGAGAAGAGTACCGGGATATGGTATTGGTCTTTCGACCTTTCGGGGGCTTCACAAAACGTGTGCTGGAAAGCGCGCTTGATCATGGCCCTTGGCACACATATCAAGCTTTTCTGGATGGACCATATGGCGGCATGCGCCGCAGCATTGAGTCATTCGACCATGTGGTAATGTTTGCAGGAGGAAGTGGCATCACTGCAATGGTGTCGCAGCTTCTGGATCTCGTTAAGCGCATGAGGGATGGTAAGGCGGTCACCACGACAGTGCAGGTTGTCTGGGCCCTAAAGCGGCCAGAGACCATGGAATGGTTCAAAGAGGAGTTGCGAATTTGCAGAGAATTTGCACCACCGGACACAGTGACTTGCCAGTTCTACGTAACGGCCGCAAAGCGATTGACCAAGGGAGGGGCAGTCGTCAGTGCACAGACACCAACAAGACCTGTCAGTACGATGTTTCACGACAAGGTCAATGATGTGTTTCAGAACATCGCGAGTAACCGCTTTTCGACGAGCTCAGCCCAAAGAAATAGTGCGCTCATCCGTGAGGAAGCCGGAGGCGACCAGGAGCGGGAGAAAGAGCTACGTCAGGAGAATGAAGATCGACTACGGCCCCTTCCCCCGGCACATATGAAGCCTGTGCGGTCAGTCTCGCCAAGTCACTTGTCTCCAGAACAAAGCTGGAGGGCCAACAGTCATGAGCAACCCCGAACTCGCTCGCCGGATAACCGTATGGTAGAAGAGACACCTCACATGCCGCCGCATCCTACACTACACGAGAAGCGACGATCTCGACAACTGTCACTTGACATTAGCCAGGCACAAAATGCTCAAGCTACCCAGATGCAGCAGCTTCACCAAGTACAAGACCCACAACAGTTTGACTTCGGGTTCCCGTCGACTCCGACAGAGTTCCAGAAGAACTTGATGCGTTTCGCCTTCATGCCAGCAGCAGTAAAGTCTAAGAAGACCGGGTGGAGTACGGAGTGGGGTCGTCCAGATATCCGGTACATGCTCAAAGAGATGAGCCAGGAGTGGACAGGCAAGAGGACATGTGTTTTCGTCTGTGGGCCACCGAGCATGCGTGTCGATGTGAGTAACTCAGTCGCCAGTCTGCAGTCCATGGTCTGGCAGAAGACGGGATTTGAGGAGTTGTATTTGCATGCTGAGAACTATGCTCTGTGACGGGAGGGCGTACCATTCCTTGGCGCTGGTTTGCTTGCTGCGTTTGAGCGACGTTCGTATTGTAGATTACAGACAGAGATACCCCAAGTTGTATAGAATAGCGTATAAGCACCGTTCGTGATCTTTAACCGAACCCCGATAGCCGTGCCTCCCTTATCAAGATCTGCCTCAAATAACCTCTAGAAGTCCGGGAGCATGATGGCATTGAGGCACGACGTGTACATGTCGATTTGCACTAAGTACGCTCTTGAGAGCGTTCTGATCGTACACAACTCCGACCTCAATCCTCGTCTCATCTGAAGCATCATTATGGCATCGCCATTTACGGCTACCTTCGACGGAACAGCAAAAGACGCACTTGAATTCTGGCACATCCCAGGCGCAAGCTTCGCAGTCTTGCATGGTGCAAACTCATGGACAAGAGCCTACGGCAACGCAGATCAAGAATCCAAGACACCTACGACATCGGAAACCCTCTTCTATGCTGCCAGTACAACCAAGGCTCATCTCTGTGCTGCTTGGGGCGTATATATAGACTCGGACCTCAATAGAGGTAGACCGAAGAAAGATCAAGTTGAATGGTCAACACCGCTCGTCGAGATCATTCGGGAGGACTTTGTCTTAGCGGATTGTGTTCGTACCGCTCAAGTCACGCTAGAAGATGCCTTGTCTCATCGCACAGGTCTGCCGAGCCACGAGTTGAGCTACGGATACGATGGTGTGAAGGAGACGAAATCCGTCACCCGCAATTTACGAAATCTGCCTTTGAGCAGCAGCGGTTTCAGGACCACGCTGGAGTATTGCAATACTCCCTTCATCGCTGCCTCGCATGCACTAGAAGTTCTTACCGAAAGACCGATGGCAGCATACTTGGACGAGATGCTCTGGAAACCATTGGGCATGACTCAGAGCTTCCCTGGCTATCCCAAAGCCGCAGAAGCTGTCAAGGATCGAGGCATGACTCTGGCCAAAGGTACTGTATGGTCAAAAGCTCCGGGGTCGAAAGACGAACACGAAGGTCACCTGGTCGAGGAAGAGCACCAGGACTTTCCGGAAATCTCTGGCGCAGGGTATGTGATTAGCAATGCGAACGACTACATCAGATGGATGCGAGCATGGCTAGAACCTGGCTCCGGTCCACTGAGGCCGGCGCTCATCAAAGAAGTCTGGACATCCAGAACGATTGCACCACCGGACGATGCAGAAATCGAGTGCATCGATGGCGTACTCGCGTACGGTCTTGGATGGTACATTAACATGTACAGAGGTCGTATAGTATACTGGCATCCGGGAGGCCTGATAGGGGCGGGGAGTTATATCATGTTGTGTCCTGACATTCATTGGGGTGTGACTCTTTTTGCCAACGGCGAAGGCGCGAGTCTGAAGATTAAAGGTCTTGCATTCGAGCTTTTGGATGTTGCGCTGGGAATATCGGAGAAGGACAGGACGATGCGAATACGATGTCAAGATCGTGCTGTCAAGATCTACGCAGATTCAAGAGAGAGCCAGAAGAGGAGGAGGGAGGAGCTCTGCCCTGATGTCCCCGCAGACCGTAAAATTCCTTTGGCAGTGCCTCTGTCCGCCTACACTGGCCGATTCAGCCACCCTGGTTATGGTCCTCTCACATTTACGGCAGTGCATGTTACCGCGGATCAAAAGGTCTTGCATGTAGACCTGACAAGCCGTACATGGAGGAACTTGCTCATATTTGAGCATGCCAATGCGGAACATTGGCTCGTCGAGAAGCAGATGGGACAGAGTCCGTTGCGGACGATACTGCGCGCCGAGAGCAGGATTGGAGTGGATGGTACAGTGGTGGCCTGGGGTATAGCGTTGGAGCCTTCGTTGCCGGATACGTTGATGTGGTTTGATAAGATCAGAAACTAGCAGTCCGTATAGCTAAATCATCGGCAGAGCTCTCCGACACACATGGCCTCGAGTCCGCTCCATGATCAGCGAATCAATGGTCTCTTCTGTATCCGCACAGAGAAAATGTTCTTTGACAGATGTCTTTTCGGGCCCACTTGCTGCCCGGATGTCAACGGATCGTGATACCCCGCCATCCTGATGATTTGCGGAAAGCAGATTCTGCGGTGTTGTCTGGTCGTTGAACCTACACAGATGCATCTTCTTCCTGTACAACCGAACAAGCTGGCAGCTGCTATCTAACGCATGTCGTGAAGCATTTCCTCAAAACAATGGCTGTGCACTCACGCCCGATGCTTACCGGGAATGGCTACAAGCCTTTCTGGGGCCCACAGACAAGTGCGGTGAAGTGAGAGATACAACGATGCATCTTTTGATGCCGTAAGGTAGCTGACCATGGCTTTTCATAGCTTTTGCGAGGAGGTACGTAGTCAGCTCGGACCGCATGCAGCTTCCATTCCTTCCCAAGAGACCTGCAGGCTTACAGTCATAACGAACAGGACTATGTGATTACGCATCTGGTTGCCGAATTCTTCAACACAGTAACAAGCTTATTGTACAGTATGTTGTTGGACTGTGGATTACCGTCATTGGTGATGTGCTGGCGAGCTGATTCCTCTCGTTTCTAGTCGCATATGGTGTCCATGGCATCCGACGGTACAAGCGCAAGAACGTCAATGTACTCGCCGATGTCAACCTGCCTTACTGGGGACTCGTCGGCGTGGGCGTCTTCTCAGGCGCATACCATATGACTCTGAAGTATCACACTCAGATGTGTATGCTTAATCCAACCATCGAAACATCCAACGCTGACATGTTGCCAGCTGACGAGCTATCAATGCATGTTGCCACCGGGACTGTAATGCATCAGCTCTTTACCTTCAAGCAGCCACCTGAAAGAAAGCGCCTTATCCGAGCAGGACTACTTGGAGTCTTGATACCCTTCGTAGGTGCAATAGGCTGGACCCACATCGAGAATACTCACGGGTCGGCGCTAATACGTCTGATAGTACATTTACCATTGTCTGACTGACGAGTTCACGGTCCATGTCATCCTCTTCCTGAGTATGGTTTTTACCGTCATCTGGAAGACGCGGAAGGAGATCCAGATACACATAACCCGCCCTGAAGACCGCAGCAAATTGACGAAGTTGACAACGTTTGGAAGCTTCTGTGCTGTGTTGGCTTATGTCCTTTGGAACATCGATGTGAATTGCTGCGCAATGTTGACAAGGTGGAAGCATCAAGTGGGAATGCCCTGGGCTGTGGTGTTGGAGCTCCATGGATGGTGGCATGTGTTGACTGCCATTGCTTCGTATGCTTTCATGGCCATCATTGAGTTCTTGACCTTTCCAGATGACTTGAATGACAAAACCCGATCAGCGCGAGGCATTGGCTTTGCATGGCCAGCCACGACTGTGATGCGGGAGCTGGGAGGTGCTGCAAATGGTGGTGACGGAGATGCAGAACGTCGTTGACGGAGGCCAGCTCTCCGTAATCCTACATAGATCAAGGGTTCCCGAAATAGATAGACTAACTTTGATAACATTGAAAGCCTCGGTGCCGGTAGCGAATGGGATATTGTCCTACTGTAGTGTCAAAGAAGAGTTGCCGTTTCATCTCATATGATCGGAGGGAACAGCCGCCGCTACTGTGCTACAGATTGCCTTGGCAGGGGCTTCATCACGCAACTCGCGTAACCCCAAGCATTCCTACAGCCACCAAGAAGTATTATTGGTAATGCACAGTATGAGTTTCAGGTAGGTGTAAGCACACTTTCGTTCATACCCTCACTCATGTGCCTTGAGCACCAGCAACGACAATGCCAATGACACCTCTTGAGCGGCGCGCGACCAAGCGCGAGCAGGCACGATGGAAGCTGAAAAGGACTGTGACCAACGACGACTCTGACGCTGACTCTGACTTGAACACATGCGACACAGCAAGTGACAATAGACGGTGGAGGAAGGCTGGCGCAGAGAAACGGGGATTGCTTGCACGACCAGGACATGACAGTACCCGAGCCCAAGGAACCATATCATGGCGAAGATATTGCGCTCCGAGCCGACTGTGTTGTCTGCTAATACTCCTGTTCGTCGTCTCACTTTTGTCAATCTTCACGGCGGGCGGTCTATGGGTAGTGAAGAAAGGCGTGCCGGAGTATGGGCAGAGTGAGCCTTGGTACCCAACGCCGAGAGGGGGGACAGTGAAGCTATGGGAGAACAGCTATCAACGAGCCGCTGAGCTGGTGGGTCAGATGTCTTTGCCAGAGAAGGTGAATATCACTACGGGTATAGGCTGGAGCATGGGGATGTGCGTTGGCAATACTGGTCCTGTGGATCGCCTCGGCTTCCCTTCCTTGTGTCTGCAGGATGGACCACTCGGTCTGCGATTTGTGGACAATGCGACTGCCTTCCCGGCAGCAATCACTGTGGGTGCAACGTGGAATAAGCAGCTCATGTATGATCGTGGCCGGGCCCATGGTCTCGAAGCACGACTAAAGGGCATCAACGTTCTGCTAGGACCATCGATGGGACCTTTAGGACGCTTGCCCGCTGGTGGCCGGAATTGGGAGGGCTTCGGATCCGATCCCGTGCTGCAAGGTATTGCAGCCGCCGAGACAATTCGTGGCATACAAAGTGAAGGTGTCGTTGCGACCGCCAAGCACTACGTGGCCAACGAGCAGGAGCATTTTCGACAAGCATGGGAGTGGGGCACACCCAGTGCCCTCAGCAGTAACATCGATGATCGCACGATGCACGAGATCTATGCTTGGCCATTCGCGGAGAGTGTGCGCGCAGGCGTTGGCAGTGTCATGTGCTCATACAACCTGGTCAATAATTCCTACGCATGTCAGAACAGCAAGCTTATGAACGGCCTGCTCAAAGACGAGCTTGGCTTCCAGGGATTCATCCAGTCGGACTGGCTTGCACAGCGGTCGGGCGTGGCGTCCGCATTAGCAGGTCTGGACATGACCATGCCAGGCGACGGCTTGGGGTGGCAAGATGGCAAGAGTCTATGGGGTGCAGAATTGACCAAGGCCGTCTTTAACAGCTCGGTGCCCATGGATCGCTTGAATGACATGGTGTTGCGCATAGTCGCAGCATGGTACCAGCTTGCCCAAGATGACACTGCACGCTGGCCCAACACGACTTCAGGTGGTGGACCGAACTTCAGCTCCTGGACAGACGACGAATACGGACAACTACATCCCGGCAGTCCCGACAGCGAGGAGACCGGTGTCGTAAATCAATTCGTACCAGTCAGACAAACAGAAGAAGGTGGTGACCACGATACTCTCGTCCGAGTTATGGCAACCGAGGGCATCGTAATGGTGAAGAACGAGCTTGGCATTCTGCCCATTCCGCGCAGCGTTCAAGGCATCAAGACCAAGGGCTCAGGAGGGAAACTCCGAGTAGGTATCTTTGGAGAAGACGCATATCCGAATTCGAAGGGCAACAATGCCTGTCCCGATCGTGGCTGCAACGAGGGCACACTTGCCATGGGCTGGGGATCAGGCGCAGTGGAACTGCCCTATCTCGTCTCTCCTGCGGAAGCACTACATCGCGAATTCGACTCCGAGACCGTAGAAGTGACAGATTGGAAAACGAACTCCATCAACCGTGTAGACGGTACAGCCGCAGCGCAGAACCTTTGCCTCGTCTTCATCAACTCCGATGCAGGCGAAGGCTTTATAAGCTGGAATGGTATCAAGGGTGACCGTAATGACCTGTACTCGCAGAAAGGCGGAGATGACCTCGTGAGACAAGTCGCTGCTAATTGCGGAGGCAAGAACGAAAATGGCGAGCCCGCAAGCGACACGATTGTAGTCCTACACACCGTTGGTCCAACAATAATAGAGAAATGGATCGACATGCCTGGCGTCAAAGGCGTGCTAATAGCCCATCTGCCTGGTCAAGAAAGCGGGAATGCTTTGGCGGATGTGCTGTTTGGAGCGTACAGTCCTAGCGGACATCTACCATACACGATCGCCAAGCGGGAGGAGGACTATGGGCCCACAAGTGGTATCTTGCGGTATCCTAATGCTGTTGTGCCGCAACAGAATTTTACGGAGGGATTGTATATAGATTATCGATACTTCGACAAACATGACATTACGCCGCGGTATGCGTTCGGGTTCGGGCTGAGCTACACGACGTTCGAGCTCGACAAGCTTGTCGTCAGCGCTCCTGCCAACCTGACGGGAACCGAAGCTCCTCCAGTATCAAGCCACGACCGCCTGGAACCACCTCATCTTGACCCTAGCATCCCAGACGCGAAGACGGCACTCTGGCCAAAGGGTCTGAGGAAGTTAAAAGGGTACGTCTACCCATGGATAACAAGCGTGGATGAGGTGCAAACTGGCCATTATCCGTATCCTGACGGGTATGAGCACTGGCATGCTCCATCCGCGGCAGGAGGTGGCGAAGGAGGCAACCCGGCTTTGTACAAGACCGTTGTCGCCGTGAAGGCTTCGCTGAAGAACACGGGGAGTGTGACAGGCGATGCGGTAGTGCAGGTGTACGTCTCTTTGCCTACGGATGCGCTTGATAGCATGGACAACACCCTTGACGTTCCAGTCCGGCAGCTCAGGAACTTTGATAAGTTCTCTCTTGATGTTGGTGCGGAGCTGGCGGTACAAATGAACTTGACGAGGAAGGACTTGTCGTATTGGGACATCGGAAGACAAAATTGGGTGTTGCCAAAAGGCGAGTTCGATATCTGCCTTGGATTCAGCAGTAGGGACGAGAAGATGCGGTGCGAGAAGCTTGCGCTTTTCAAGGATGCCAAGAGGGTAGATGAGCGTGCGAAGAGACATGCTGAGGTCAGAGGGCATCGTTAGGCGTCGAACGTGACGACGCTGTCAGGCGTGGGTTTGATTCATGTAGCGTAGGTGTTCGCGGCGTAATCCATCATGTTGCCACTCCTGTGCAATACTTGATCTTTACAGACACATCCCATATATTTCATCCGTCGCACATACGTCCAATGCACCTCATCGTTCAATACAATGATGCCTGTCAGTCCTGTAGACTTCACCATCGTATTGAGTGGATGCACGATTGACACGCGCGGCTGTTACCACATCAACTGGATTGAAGTGAAGCTCGGAAATCCGGTCCAGTCGGTCCTACTGGTCTGCGAGCAGAAGGACAGGAAGAGTGATGCGAGTTATCCCAGGACTCGGTGCCGGGTCATACTACATGAATGGTACCAAAAAGCAATGGGTAGACCTGCGCAGAGCTCATAATGTAGAGCAAGCCTCCGGACGTGATCACCTTTCCGATGGATACAGTGTGAATCTGTACGATGGAGAGGCCTTTCTGTAGCACATTGCGAAGCATCACTCCATCATTCCATCGCAGATACGGTCGCATTGAGCAATACATGATGGTAAACGGTCTCATTGTCATGGGATCCGATGTGTGACACCCGGTGGTATACGACGGCGCCAAAGATCGACCATCAAGGCTAGGCCGGAGCTGAAGTAAGAAATGAAAGGGCGGACCAAAACGAAGGCAAGAGCACATCTGTTGTGATGACAGGGGATATCATCAGTCGAGGAAGTTGGACGTCAGTGTGACACTCCTATGTGCTTATAGCAGTCCGATAACAATGAGACATTAGCTATAAGATGTATGGCACGACCGAGCAGAGTGATGATCTAAATTCTCTAGTGTGTACGCAGACCAGGACCGGCTGTGGACTGCGACGACGGGCAATCATCATGTCGTGGAGGAACGCGAGATCAAGTGAAAGAGCGACGCTTCTTGCGGCCTAAGTGGTCATCTATCACGGGACGAGATCTTTCATATCACGTGGGATGTTGCATCGCTACATCGACTGCTTAGGGTGATACTGACAGCATCCGTCGACGCAGAAAATTGCAAGTCGATGGCAACAGCTTTCAGCTAGCATTGATACCGACCGTGTGCCATGGTGGTCAATCGAAGAACAGTGCTGCTTTAGTCATTGTTTCTTGCTTGTATACTATGTACACCCTTGCTCGTCCATACCAGTGCTCACCATCTACTTCTTCTCCTTGGGCGCAATCATCAACTCCGGCCTAACCGCCTCATCAAACTGCTGCTCCGACAGCGCCTCAAGCTCCATCGCACTCTCCTTCAACGACAACCCCTTCTTATGCGCATTCTTTGCCACTTTAGACGCCATATCATACCCAATGACCGGATTCAAACAAGTGACCAGCATCAAACTCTCCTTCAACAAGGCCGCGATCCTCTTCTCGTCTGCCTCTAATCCCTCCATGAGATTGATGCGAAAGGAGTTCATGCCGTCGGTCAGGAGACGGGTGGAGTGGAGGAGATTGGCGATCATGACGGGTTTGAAGACGTTGAGCTCAAAGTTCCCTTGACAGCCGGCGAAGGTGACGGCGGCTTGGTTGCCGAAGACTTGGGTGCAGAGCATTGTCATACTCTCACACTGTGTGGGGTTGACTTTACCAGGCATGATGGACGAGCCGGGTTCGTTCTCGGGGAGTTTCAGCTCACCCAGACCACAGCGTGGGCCGGAGCCGAGGAATCGGATGTCCTGTGCGATCTTGAAGAGGGAGGTGGCGAGGGTGTTCAACTGGCCGTGCGCTTCTACTATCGCGTCGTGGGCGGCAAGCGCCTCGAATTTATTCGGTGCGGTTTGGAATTCGTGGCCTGTCATGGCGCTGACCTCCGTGGCGATGTCCTCGGCGAAGCCCTTAAAGGTGTTCAGGCCGGTGCCGACGGCTGTGCCGCCTTGGGCTAGGTAGCGGAGGCGAGGGAGGGCAGATTGGATGCGGAGGACGCCGTAGTCGAGTTGGGTGATGTAGCCTGAGAATTCTTGGCCGAGGGTCAGGGGTGTGGCGTCTTGGAGATGGGTTCGACCGATCTTGATGATGTGTTCGAAGGCCTGACGTTTCTTCTCCATTGCATCTCGAAGTGCCTTGATAGCGGGCAGTAGTTGCTCTTCGAACTCCAGGACAGCCGCAATATGCATGACTGTGGGGAAGGTGTCGTTGCTAGATGCGGACATGTTGACGTGGTCGTTAGGGTGGACGGGTTTCTTGCTTCCCATTGTGCCGCCCAAGATTTCGATGGCACGGTTGGAGATGACTTCATTGGCATTCATGTTCGATTGGGTACCAGAGCCGGTCTGCCAGACGACGAGAGGGAAGTGGTCGACAAGTTTGAGGGAGGCGACTTCGGAGGCTGCTTGTTGGATTGCATCGCCGAGTTTGGGGTCTGTGTATGCCATTAGATACAGCTTGTCTATAAGGGCCAATGACTTCCCTACCTAGTCCAAACTTGGTGTTGACCTTTGCTGCCGCACCCTTGAGTATACCGAATGCTCGTACAATGGGCGGCGGCATGCGATCTTGTGGTTGGTTGATCTTGAAGTTCTCCAGTGATCGCTCCGTCTGCGCACCCCAGTACCTGTCACTCGGCACCTGCACCTCTCCGAACGCATCCGTCTCTGTTCTCATTGATGCTGCCATTCTGCTGGTAGTTGTGAAGGTCCTTGCCGAAGTAATAGGTATTGATCGGATCGATTGTGATCGTGGTACGGCGAGTCGTGTCTTTGATGTGGATGTGTGCTTCAATGAGGTTGCGAAGGTTCGCTTGGCGCAGAAAGCCCCAGATTCATATGCGATCGCTGTTCTCGGGATGGCTGTTCGCAGCATGTTTATTAAAGAAGTGCTATACTTTTCTAGAGCTCAAAGCTTGGTGATGAGGAGAAAGCTCCAACAATGAAGCTCCAATGCGTCGATCCTACTTATTCCGAGGCTCCGACATGTGATCCCGAGAGATGCCGCACTTACTTTACTCCAAGCCCGTTCCCTTCTGTTTAGCTCAAGCTCATATGCGTTCTCGATGAAGAGACAGAAATGGACAGAAATGGACAGAAATGATTCCATATTATTACTAGACTTGTGAGGTCAAGCTCGATACGCTGGACTATTGTTGTCGAGAATGGTGCATCAAGAGTGCTTCGTAAGTTGTACCTCTTCTGTCTCGAGCTGGGCTCTCTGCTTCTAATCTTTTGCCGACCGTCATCACAACAGATTGACACAGTAGTCGAATGCTTGAATACCTTCCTACAAGAGTATCAAGCAGCCTCGATCAAGGAAGAGAGAAGGATGATCAGCCAATACTTCCATCTCCATCTCAACGCCACAATGTGGCGCGGTGCGTCGCAGATTGCAGATTGCAGATTGCAGATTGTTAGTGCGGGACAGTGATTGGGTGTGAGTATTTACATGGCCAGTTCATGCACAATACACGACCAGGTTTTAATCTAAACTCGCGACTCGCCCTCCTTGAAACGTGTGTCGCGCATGACGTGGAGATAACATCCATGTCCCCGTCATGCACACGCGTGGCAGAGTTGGAATCGTATGTGTTGGTGGTGTGTGTGAGTGTGAGGTAGCGAGGCATATGCGGCAGCGCTCACCTCAGAGCCACGTACCTTATATAGCCATATACAGCACAGCCTGACTCGCAGCCTGATATACTGACCAAGTGGAGAGGATTAGTGCAATGAAGTGAGAAGGAGGCTTCCGCATTATCATCCTCGACTTGGAAGTCAGCGAAATGGCTTACGATGCGAACTCGGCATATCAGCCGCCGCAACGAGGATATTATGGCCAGCAGGCGCAAGGTCGACAGGAAGCTCCGGCATATGCCAGGCAGCAGCAGCAGCAACACCAACTGCAGTATAGTGGCTATGACCAAGCATCGTATGGGCAGGACTATCAGCAAAGTTACGAGCAGCAACCGCAACAATACCACAGGCCGGATGCGAGGCAGCCACAGCAGTATGAGCAGAGATCGCGTGGGTACGAGCAGAGGTCTGAGCAGCAAGGGTATGGACAGGATCCAAGGCAGGGACACCAACAACAGCTTCATGGGCAGGACTCGAGGCAGCAGCAATACGGTGGCTCGAACGGCTACGGCTACGATCAGCAGGCACAAGCGCAGAACTACAGTGACGGCTACGATGGTGGGCATAGAAAGCCAAGGCCTGTGAGTGGCGAGAAGTTGCGACGACAGCAGCAAGAGGCCCAGGCACAGGCCCAGCACCAGTATGCCGAGCAGCAGCCGCAGTATGATCAAGGCTATGATTCTCGATATCAACAGCAACAATCGCAGCCCGAGCCGCAAAGACATATTCCGGCCCAGCAGCACAGACAACCACAACCGCAGCCTCATCAGCAGCAGCAGCAGCAACCACAATTTGCCGAACAGCCAGAACAGTATGAGAGGAACTACGATCCACGTTATCAGCAGAGACCTGGACGAGCCACGCCGCAGGACAATGGCCAGTATCAAAGCCAAAGACCTCGACCACCGCCACCAGATCAGCAGTACGAGCAGAAAGCTCAGGCCCAGCATACTGGCAATCGTGCTCAACCGACCGCGCAAAGACAGCCCGTGTACCAGCCCAGCACACCCATCCAGACTGGCATACAAGGACAACCGCATGATCAACGCAATGGGCAGACACTACCTGTTGAGCAGACCAGACGGCCTGCACCAGTCACTGCAAACACAACCAGATCTCAGCCAACACCACCTCCTGCACCGTCAGCCGACCAGAAGAAGAGAACGATGGATGAATGGAAGGCTGCCGAAAAGGCGGCCCTTCACAAAGCAATGGCACCAAAAGAGACTTTAGCTCAAGACAACGCTTTCCCGACGTTTCCAGCGAAGAAGAAGGAGCACCTAAAGCCCGGCGATCGTTCGAACAACGAGAGCGCAATGAGCATGAGATCTAGTGGAGAGCAGCCCAGGTTGTCAACTGACTCAAAGGATCGTGAATCCGTACCGCCGATGCCGCAGAAACCTCCAATGTCGCGGGACAACAGCTATCAGCAAGAACGGCCGCAGCAGCAAGGACGGTTGGCACCACAAGGCCGGCCGTCAATGGACCATAAGCCGTTCTCTTTCGAGCCTCTCGGGAAACGTGATGAGCAACAGCCGCAGCAGAGTCGCGAATCTGCCGGCTCAGCACGTCATGTGCCAACACAGCAGGCTCAGTACACCGGCCATCACGAAGAGCGCCAGCAGCAGAGGCCTCCACATGTCGCGGCACCGAGACAGGATATGCGTTCGCCACCGCAGGCACAACCATACTCGCAGCCTCCACCTGTACAGGAGCAGCAAAGGCGTCCACAGTATGACGAACGCCAGCAATCATCGTACAGTGATGGCAGATCAGTCAAAGAAGCAAGCAGGCCAATGCCACCGACTATCAACACCACGCAAGCCATGCGACCACAAACAGTAGAGTATGCCGAGCAACAACCAATGAGCCCCGCTTTAGTGCCTCCACGACCGAGCACTGGTCAAGGCAATCGACCTCAACTTCGCAATGTACAAGCGGCGACGAGCCCGCAATCGCAGCTCTCTTACTCGCAAACGCCGACTGGTTATAACGCTCCCGGAGCACAAGCAGCCCAGCTCGCCGTCCACGAACCTCCACAGAGCAAGCGTGAAACACTCAGCGATTTCTATGCCGACTACCACGACCAGCCGCAGCCTCCCCTCCCTCAACCACAGCTCCCATCACAAAGGAGAGATAGTGAGATCGAGCAGGAAATGCCTGACTTTGATGGTGCGGCGCCTAGTCAGCGTTCGATGGCAGACAAACGAAAGACGCTTGATAAGCATTTAGCTGAAGCTCCGAGAGCTGCGGCGCCACCACTGATTCCGAGGGTGTCTGATCAAAGTGTACAGTCTTTGCCTAACATGCATTTTCAGCAGCCTCATCAGCAGCCGCAGCAGCAACGCGATGTATATCGGGAGATGGTGAATCGAAAGCAGCCGCCTGCTGATCGACGCGGTCCTCAGGCCAACTACGGGTCGCCGCATCCACAACAACAACAACACTCACAGGACCAGCCGCACTCACCTGCAGGACAGTATCCTCCTCAGCAGTTTCCCGGTCAGACTCCGAAGCCGCCGTATGCCCAGGAGCCACCAGTCCGACGGTCGATGGACGATGGGAGACAGACTGATCCTCGACAAATGCCATATCGCCAGGGACCTTCTCCGGGACAGCGTTTCCCAGGTCAAGGTCAGCCACCGAGAGGTCCGTACCCCCCTCAGCAGCGTCCTGGTATGGAGCAGCGTGGTGGATCTGGCCAGACAGTACAGACAGTGTGGTCCGATCCTGGTCAGCAGCGCGTGCCAAGTGCGCCGCCATTACAGCAAGGACTACGACAACCACCCGGTCCATTTGGGGCGATGCAGCCGATTGGACACCCTCTATCGCAGCAGCGCTCTGCACCCGAAGATGGACAGTCTCGTCACAGCAATCCTGATGCGCTTCCACAGCATCCAGTACCCTTCAGACCTGGACTGACGCAGGAGTCTCAAGTGAGCCAGCCCGCCAAGCCACATCCTGTGCGCAACTACGATACTGCTTCCATTGCAAGCCATGGTCGGCAAGCATCTCTAGCCGAGCCTACACAGCCAGTCACACCGCATGAGCTGGAGCAGCTGCGAAACGTCGTGAACAATAACCCAGGTGACGCCAAAGCTTCCTTCCGTCTGGGTAAGAAACTGGTCGAAGCGTCCAAATCACTTGCTTCAGAAGGTGGCCGCGCAGATCCTAAAACAACAACGAGGAACTACGAGAAATACGTCCTCGAAGCGCACAAACGCATCAAGAAAGCCGCCACGGCGGGGTATCCCGAAGCCCAATTCTACCTAGCCGATGCTCACGGCCAGGGCTCCCTAGGCCTCGAAGCCGATACAAAAGAAGCCTTTAACCTCTACCAAGCCGCTGCTAAAGCCGGGCACGCGGGTGCCGCATACAGAACAGCCGTATGTTGCGAAATGGGACCCGAAGAAGGCGGCGGGACGCGGCGAGATTATGCCAAAGCAGTACAATGGTATCGGCGTGCCGCCGCGCTCGGCGACATAGCAGCCATGTACAAACTCGGCATCATCCTGCTCAAGGGCTTGCTAGGCCAGCAGAGGAATATTGGGGATAGTGTGAATTGGCTGAAGCGGGCGGCGGAGAAGGCGGATAAGCATAATCCTCACGCCTTGCATGAACTGGGGATGTTATATGAGAGCACGAATACTCATCCGGAGATCCGGGCGAAGATTATCGCGGATGACAATTATGCCCGGGAATTGTTCACGCAGGCTGCGCAGTTGGGGTATAAGACGTCGCAGTTCCGGCTCGGGCAGGCTTACGAGTACGGGCATCTGAATCTACCCATCGATAATCGCGCGAGTATTAGCTGGTACTCGAAGGCTGCGGCTCAGGGCGAGCATCAGGCGGAGCTGGCGTTGAGTGGATGGTATTTGACCGGTTCCGAGGGCATCCTGAAGAATTCGGACACGGAGGCTTATCTGTGGGCACGCAAGGCGGCGCAGAGTGAACCGCCGTTGGCCAAGGCGATGTTTGCCATGGGGTACTTTTCAGAGATGGGGATTGGGTGTCCGATTAGTATGGAGGAGGCGAGGAGGTGGTATGGACGGGCGGCTTGTAAGTCCTCGCATCTCGTTCATGATCTCTTGGTTTCGATCGGAGTCTGTTGTTTTGGTTTGGTTCGAATGACTGACTCTTCTTCGGCAGCATATAAATTCCCCAAGGCGCTGGAACGGCTGGAGGAGCTGAAGAAGAATGCGAAGAGTAGGCCTACGCCAGGCAATGGGAAGTTGAAGCGGGATCAGAAGAGGGATGAGGCCGAGTGCGCTGTTATGTGAATAGTAATGTGTTGGATATTTCATGCTCTATGTTCACGATATCTGGAAGAGGTGGACGCAGGAAATGTGCTGCAGGGCAAATAGGTTACGCTGCTTATTGCGCAGCGTCACTTACTCGCAGTGTAGTGCATGAGCAGTATTTGGACACTTCCGTGGTCCGTTCCAAGCTGCGAAGGTTGTGCTATCAAGACGCACTGGATGTTGTGCAACACTTTGGGTGGCAAGATATGTGCACCACTGCTGAAACAATCCGAGGCCCGGTAGCTCGAAGCACTATGACGCTCCTTGAAGCACCGGTATTGATAGCCACGAGACCCGGACCCACTGTACTCAAAGCGAAGAAGGAAGCTCGATCAATATGGTCTTGTGGTCTGAGATGCAAGTGCGGCTTCCGATTCATGTCCTTCACCAACCGGCCCTCAGGTCACCATTGAATGTAAGGCAGCCGTACGCTGTCCTGACCGCTGTTGCGAAAGTTCCCTGCTCCATACAATATCCGGCTTCAGCTTCGAGTGAGGAAGAACATTTGCTGCTGCTCTTGACAGCCACGGCAGGACTCATGGCACATTCCATTGTTGTGTTCCATGCTCGCAATTTGTGGCGAGCAGTACGCGAGCTCCAGCAAATTCGCTTTCACGACGGTGCTTCACGCTTCATCGGAGAGTATCCACGGTGCTCATTAGACGTCTCCTGTGAGCTTCATCAAACTGCCCTGTTTTGCAGAGATTGTCGTGTGAATAAACAGGTACGGCGCGATTGTGTACATGTCCTCAGCCGCCCTTGAGGCTGGGAAGATGCCGTCCTGCGTGTTTGGCAGTGTCTGACTGATGATGAGCGGCAGGATTGGTTGCCCACCAACATCCGTGATTATTGAGGGCGGCGTGGGGAAGATATGTACGCGCCGTTGATATTAATCTATCCGGTAATGCGCAATGTGGGACAGTCAGCCACTGGCGCCGACCATTCCAAATTCATATATTGTTGTCGACTTCGCGCCTTGGATTGGCAGTCTCCATTGCATTTTTCGACCAACAAAGAAGGCGATTGCCTGATTAGCATTGACATATGTAGTAGGCACACCGACCTTGCCAATCAAGCGTGCATCCGAAGAGAACCCATACAGGTCAATCTCGACAGCCTGCCCCGTTCTACAGCCTTGTGAGCAAGCTCATGTGATATTTGGCAGGACGTTCCAAAGGCAATTGGCCTTTCCTACCAGAAGTTTGCATTGATATTCGTCTTTGTGATCAACGATATACACGGATTGACGGCCCTTGAGCCTATGTCCATTACGCCGAAACGGACATCCCACGCCGGTTCATGGTTGGCAAGGACTCTCAATCGTGTAGATCCTTTCAACGGTGTCTTTACAACGTTCCTTGTTGGTGACTTTTGTCGGAGCAGCGGAAGATCGACAACGTTTTTCACCGTTCGTGCAGGGTATAAAACGCGTGGCTATTCTGCCAAAACTTAGTCCGGGCAGCTTGGGACGACGATCTGGAGAAAGCCGGATTTCAATACAAACATGCTGAATGCCAGGGAATCTGGTTTGGTGGGATGTCAGGGATTGTGAGCAATTTAGATCCGTCACAACCGAACCATGCGAGGATGTGGTTATTCATTGCACTACAACGGAAGGCACATGACACCTACTGTCTGTCGAGCAGCTCATCAACCCCCTGTTCAGTCCTTTATCAAACCGGTAGGATCTCCATTGAGGAGACGAAGCCTGTCCAGTGGCTCGGTGCCTTTACACGTGGCTGGCTAGTCTATCCTTGGTCGATCTGACGCACTACTATAGAGCCTGAATAGTCGCGTGTTGAGATCGTACGGCGGTGGCATCTCGTTGACAAGGGCAGGGATTGATCTATTAGAGAGGCACAATGAACGAAAGTCCCTGGCAACAAGAGCCAGAGGGGTCGTCGTGGCGCCTGTCCACATCATTCGGTGTCGGCAGTTTTTCTAGAGCTATGCACGTAGCGTACCTTATCCACGTCGCTGTTGTGGCCGCGGCTCCAAGGTAGATCGCACACGATACTGTGGCTGAGTGAGGTGGCAAACGATGCCCGCTGCACGATGAACCGCCTGGCTCGTGTCAACCCTGCAGACAACGAGGACGTTCCCAACTTCTCAGTCTCTCAATCCTCACGAAGGGATCACGCACGAGCCCGCGACGAAGACGTATGCGGCTTACGGGTCGCATCTAGAGTTGCTTTAGCGTCAAACCCTCCTCCAGATGTGGCGTTTCTCGCTCTCAAGCCACCTTCGGCCTGACGTTATCTCTTCAAGGCTCGGGCAATAAAATGATATGACGACTTCGTCATGATTACATCGCCCCAAAGAGGATGAAAGCATTGGTCGACAGTGCTAAGCTATCGCCGTGCAAGGCACTTGCCGTTCATATGGGTAGTTCTACAAATATGCTAGCCAGTAAGACGCCCCTTCGTCTGTCGATCGCTCGACCGGATCAGTACTGTTGGTGCAGGTCATCCTTACCACTGACCAGCACTTCGGAGAGTAGTGGCTCAGGGGCTCGGCGATGTCTTCCATATCGCGTAGACTGTCTCACTAGCGCGCACGCAAGTGACAGACGTCTTGCATTACCAAGGGAGGCAGGTGGGTCAACAGGATCGCAGGCTGTATTCAGGGAAGTGAGGTATTCAACATGAGCAAGCCACTAGCAAGTGTATTTACGGTAACCACTGAGCCTCGTAGAATCATAGCGCGCAATGCTCTGTGATCCTGGGGTCCATCATTGGCCAGTCTTTCCAAACCATGGCTGTGCCACATGGATCGGAAAGCGGCGAGGATCTGGTCTCCCGGCGCTTCTCTCGAGCCCTTGCAGCGGCCTGTCGAGGCTGGCAGCAAAGCTTGGATGGGCTCAAGCCACCGAATTGTGGGCAGGGCTGTGGCGAATGATCATGGCCTCCGTCTCTCATCAGAGTCATCACGCATTAGATGGGGCTCAATTGCAGGCCGACTGCCTGTCGCCAGTAGGCTACATCTGGCTACTCGCGTGCGCAGATCTCGACAAGTTCTGCTTTGGTGCCAACCAACAAGCTCGATATGCATCTCGACCGTTTCTGGCATCCTCGCTCATGTCGTCTCGACTAGTCAGTCCATTCGACCCTTGTTACGTCTAGCTCGACGCCACGAGTGTGGATCCGCTGCCCCATGTATGGCTGCTCATAGACTCTTTGATAGCTGGGTCTTCGAGACGTGGGTACCTACAATACACCGTTTCGCCACAGTGCTTCTTGTCTCGGCAGTGGTGCTGCACTGTGCATCATTACCTACCTGAGACGAAAGCAAAGAAACACACTCTCGGAGGTACCGCTCACGACAGGTAGATCTTGTGGGGTCGACAACCTTCCTTACGACTCAAGGACCTTAGCCTGATTGCGTTCCGTTACCCGGCTTTGACCTCCTTCGCATATGCAGTGCTGACCGACGTCAAGATATCAACGACACCGTCCACTTCAACTGTAGCCCGCCTTTGGATTATTGACTTCAGGACCTGGCTGTCGTGCCGTACTGGCTGGTACCGAGTGGCGCACTGTTACCCAGAAACGATCTCGCACGCGGCTCCTGGTAACACAACAATCGAGATCTCTACCATCAAGGCCCATCGACCTGGTTGTGTCCCGTCGCTGTAACAGGATCAGTCCTGTGGAAGACACACACACTGCTTGACTACAGCATACATTCAGATATTGGCCTCTCTGTAATAGTTGCGTGGTAATGAGAGACAACATTGGACCCCAGACCAGCGACTCCATCTTGCGCGCCCACCCATGTGGATCCTCACTCAACTGCTAACCAAATTCGAGGCTCCGTCTTCAAAATGTCCAACATCATGCCTGGCGGTGCCCACTCCTCAATTGCTCGTGATACGGGTGTAGGATTACCCAGTGGTCTGGGCATCGATGGTGAAGGCTACGAAAACTCAGACCAATCCGGGATGGACGGGTCGCAACTATCGCCAACGACATCTAACGAGAAGCGACGAAAGTCATCCAAGTACAAAAGCAACAAACATCTTGGTCGAGCAGTCTCAACGCCGCACATGCGTGATGGAGCCATGTCGGACGATGATAAGAAGCGCAACAAGTTGGGCTATCAGAGAATTTCCATTGCATGCGGTACGTCAGATTCTGCGATCAGCCAGCTCTACCCCGAGAGACTACAAGATGGCTGGGCTGTGCCAGGCTACTGCCTGCCATAATACTGACATTCGTAGCTCACTGCCGTCGTCGAAAAATCCGGTGTGTCATTGCCGACGCTGATCCACAACAAAGATGCCAGAATTGCATACGGCTGAAGAAAGAATGCGTCTTCTACCCCGTAGAGCAGCAAAACGCGCTGGACAATCGTACCGAGTCCTCGAGTAAAGCAGTCACTGACTCGGGGCCATCGTCTGTCGTTTCTGTGTCCCCGCCAAATAATGCTACGGACCGGTCGTTCGAGAGCACGCGAGAGTTTCCTCCTTTCGCTGCGCTGCCTTCAAACGCTTCCTCTACGTTCCAGGGACTTCCTCTGGAACCAGGAAGCGCAATATTTGGCCAAGGTGAGTATCCTCTTCACGTCAAGATCGCGACGCGTTTGACGATTATCTTGCAGGATATGCTATGAAGGACTATACATACCGGAGCGACGCGTACGGCCGGACATGGCCGTCGACTACCTCAATGGTCACCGACAGTAGCGATACGACTTCAGCCTCGTCTTACTCCAGATATTCACACGCGCCGAGCGTCAATGGTGACTTTTCTCCCTTTCCGGCGAACGAGCCAGTGCAAACATCGCCGCACAATCCTCACCCACCGTCATTTGATTATGCAATGGGCAGAAACGATATGAGCTGGCAACCGCAGTCGCATCATCATCATCAACATCATCAACAACAACAGCAACAGCAACAACAGCCTCCATTACGATCAATGTCATACGGCCATATTGACCAGTCACAAAACAATCACGTGCCATATACGCCATCCTATCCGGCAATCGCGAGATCGCCTATGTTAGCAATGCAATATCAACCACCAGTCCTCCACACCCAAGGCATGCCACCAATGAGTCAACAGCTCGCACCCCATTCTGCACCCGTCGGGACTGGCAACCCAGCATTCGCGCAGCCTTTGCCTTACGCGTTCACACATCATGCGGAGGCTATAGAGACCAACCACGGAGCGGCGCCAATGGTCAGCCAGGCTTTCGCGAATCCCTGGTACAACGAGCGACCTGGCTTTGCGAGCCTGACAGAAGAGCTGGACAGTGATGAGGGTGCTACGCGTCGGAGGTGAGGAATGCGAGGATTGCATAAAAGACATGACAGGAAACAATCCCGATCAGGATGAGCTCTAGAGGGCCTTGGAGGCTCACCAGGGCAGTTGAGCGAAAGTCTGTGCGAAGCATCAGGTAATGCGGCTAGATGATAGACCTCAGAGGGACTGAGAATCGATTGATGGACGGGGGAGGTCAGAGGTGCTTTGAGCAGCATTGGAGGCGTTATGAACACGAAGGCTGGGATCGTATATCAGGCGGTACACCTCAGGGACTCCTTCGAATAGGAGCTGAACTACGATTTTCGTAATTTGTACGCGTACACAGCACGCTCAACAATAGTTTACGGAGCCTCTCGCATCTCTGGCGTCGATCTGATTTCCTTCTCGTATACGCGCGCAGTACAACATGGCCATAATCAACTACACAATACGCAGATCTTGAATGCTGTGCCAACAAGGCCAAACCTCTCTCTTAGCGGCCAAGCGGCTCGATTTACGAATAGCAGAAAGGTCGAACGAGACAGATACGCTGGCCACCTCTGTCTTAACAAGGAACCGTGTCGATCAGACCGCGATCATGATTACTATTTTGCGGCAGATTCCCTGCAAGTGGAAAATGCATGCGAATCTCTTCACGCGCCAACGGCGACATCTCTTGTGTTTCACTGGCAATCTGAACCTATGGTTTCGATACCTGGATTGTTGGCCAACATCAAACATGGTCGGGCAGGGGCGGTGTCGAAAGCATTTTAGGGTGGCACGCAAAGGGTGGGCTATTACCTTGTCAGAGTTGATCCGACTGCTCGATGGCAATAACACAGAAGGACATGGACGATATTGGACTTGCAAGTGGATTTGATATGGCTTGGAGAACGCATACACATGGCTACGCCAGCAGGACATACACCTATGTTACCTAGCGAATACTTCCAGATCAAAGGAAACTGTCCTAACACCAACGAGATGTGGCTTACAGTACCCTCTTGCAACCACTGGACGACCTTGATTGTTGACAGTCTATTGTGTCTACGTGACATACCAACCCCCAGGCCCGCCCATGATCGAAGTGTGTCCCGTATGCCTCTTTTTCCAACCCCCGTGGATAGTTGAGGGCGGGCTGGGGCTGTCATTCACTGAACCATGATCTCGGTGTGATACAAGGTCCGGACGCTGGACAGAGCTCGTAGACCAGCCACCATCTCCAATGCGTCCAGAGGAGCCTTACTCAAGCAAGTAGAGTGCACTGTGGTAGAGCCACTCACAATGTCCTCACTACGAGCGTGTTGCTGCACTGCCCTCGTCTCGCTGCCACATCTCCAGAGGCATCCAGTGCTCTCTAATGCCTCTGAGTGAAGAACATCGATGGCAGCAAAGGAAGAAGTAGGTAGAGGCGACGCCTCACCAAAGTGAATATCTTTAGATGCCGGAATCAAGAAAATGATGGAGTTCATACACGACTCTGATAAGTATATTGAGCCTAGAACCACATAGGCAGGTTAACAGAGTTTACACGTACCGACCACATCCCAGTCTCAGTCCACAGCCTCGATTCCCGTCGGCCGCTATGCCATTTCCTGACATTGCTATCATCGACGTGCCTGAAAATCCAGGGTGCGGCACGAACAGAGTGCAAGCGAACGCGTGGGACAAATCTGCATTGATCACATGTCGTTGTCGGTAGTAAGGGTCCACCAGGACGATTCGTTCCTAGCATTAAGAGAAATAATACAGCCGAAGAACACACCTGTCCTCCATCATCGCCGATGTCCAGCTCCTGAGTAATGCAGCCACGCTGTGGCGCTCGTCATGATGACGATCCAAGCAGCAGAAACAATGGAGCTCTCATGGCCCTCACGCGGTGTAATTGGCCACCCCACCTCGCCGAGGCTCCAGAACAGTGGCCTGGGTCGTCTAGATGGGCGCAGGCAGCCGTATCCACATGGGTCAGGCGCCTTTGCCTGGTAGCTACTGTTGGTTGGTGGTGGGTGTGGGTGTGAGCGTGGGCATATGACGTGAAGGAAACGTGAGCCTTGCAAGTGAGGGGCACGCGAAGAGAAGTGCCCCGCTGACGCCGACTGTTTACGCCTCTTCCTCTGCCACACATTAAAACCCTTTTCTTCTCTCCTTCATGATATAACATTAACACACACCACACATACAATACTTCAAACCAAACTACAACTCCCACGCAACAAACTTCAAGATGTCTGACTCCATGTAAGTGGCTGCACCTTGAAAGCATTCTCGAGAGAATTGGTACTGACAGCCTTGCTCTAGGCGCCAATCCACCACCGACAAGGCCACCTCTGCCTTGAAGCCCGACAGCTCAAAGTCCTCCACCGAGAAGGCCGGCGACTCTCTCAAGAGCACAGGTGACTCCATCGCCGGCTCCGTCCAGCCCAACAGCGAGAAGTCCGCCACCCAGTCCGCCACCGACTCCGTCACCGGCGGCGGCAAGGACGCCTCCAACAAGGCCTCCAACGCTGCTGGTGATGCCCAGAACCAGGGCGGCAGCATGATGAACCAGGCCAGCGATGCCATCGGCAACGCCGCTACCCAGGCTCAGGATGCCCTCGGGATGGGCAGTGCGTATCACCCTCCTCGCCTTGACACAAGATGATACATGCTGATGAGTTTTTTTTTGTTGCAGAGAAGTAAAGGCCGCGTATAGCCATCACATCCCGAATGCTTAGTTTCTCTCAGGAGGAATGGTATTGGGTGATTGAGCTTGCAGTGGTCCTCGGTTGTGATGTTCATGGCTACTGATTCCCAACATCACGAGTAACGACGCACCCAGCTAAGTAGTCGTCGTCTGCTCAAGGAGAGGTACATAGTCTCGGATAACCTGATGATACGACCCTTCCTCAATGATCTCTGCTGCCGTGCGTTGTCTGTCCTGATTTCGGTGATTGTGGCCGACTATTCTGCGCCCAAATTTCTGTGCTATATGGTCGACGTGCTGATGCCATGAGTTCTGTAGCAAATTGAGCGCCAGATTTGGAACGTGGATGCTTGGAAGAAGTCGGCGATGACTTTCGGCTTCGCTACAAGATTGACAAACTACAAGTCCACCTCATCAAACCTCCCGTCCTCCTCCGCCGCATCAACCATCTCCTGCACCGAAGTCTCTGTTGGCACATCCACCTGCTCGTCCTCTTCTTCGTCCTCGTCCTCGTCCTCCTCCTTCGACGCAGCAGCAGCAGCAGCAGCCGCCTTTGCTCTATCCGCCGCATTAGCAGCCTCAATAGCCTTGTGATCCGCAGCCTCCTCGTCATCTGCATCTTCGTCTTCCTCGCCTTCATCGTCTTCCTTGCCCTCATGCTCACCATCCTTCTCCGCCAAAGTCGTGCCTGCCAAAGATGGAGCAGCTGCAGCACCCCTTCCACCCCCTCCTTGCCCCTCCATGGATCCACGACCATCCGCCGCCCCGTTCTCCCTCAAAGGCAGACCTCTCTCCGGCCTAACTTGTTCAGGCGTGGGCGGCGTATGCTCAATCCTCGGACTGTCCCTCACACCTCCAATACTACCCCTCTGCCCTCCACCACCGCTCCCTCCACCGCCAATACCTTCTTGCTGCTGTTGCTGCACACTAGGCCCCACCACCCTCTTACTCGGATCAGCATCCAAGTAGTACGCCCTCACACCCACAATCCTGCCCTCCCTCTCACAACCCAATACCCAATCCGGCACCACAACCGGAACATTCATCTCCACCGCCTTCTCCCACTGCTGACCCCGCGGCTCCGTGCAGACGAAGTGCGTAGTATCAATCCTCACCTGATCAACCAGCTTCGCACCGATCCGATTGACCGTCTCACTGAGACTATCGCGGAGCTGGGAAGGCATGTTCCCGGGCGAGATCGTAATCCCATGCAAATCCGTCATCTTGTGCGTCTTCACCGTCAACTTCTCCGAGGTGTACTGTCCCGCACTAGTCCTCAGCACGAGATGGAAGGTGAACTCGGTATCCAGCGGCAAGCCCGAGATCTTGGTGCTCAATTTACCCAGAGGGATATTGCCGGCTTTCGCGCCATTGCGGTAGAGTGACAAGCTCCTCAGCTCCGCCGTGGCAAGGGAGATGGGATCCCATTCCAGCACTACACTTGTCTGGGTCGCATTGCGGCAGCGAAGTACGGGTGCGGAGGGGGAGTGCGTGCCAAAAGTGCTGAAGAGGTCGGCTTGCAGGGCATTGAATTTATCTTCGGCGACCGTTTCGGCCGAGAAGTTGCGGGAGACGTTGATGTCTACGATACTGCCCGAGTGAATGTCGGGCGGGAGGAGGATGGATGGGAACTCGATCTAGTATAGTATCACAGTCAGCTCGTCGCGTACCTATTGGGGGAGAAAGGTGGTAGGGGGCCTGCTTACGAGGCGCTTGTCTTCTGTCAGTAGGACAGCGACTCCAGCGTCGACCTTGCCAACTGTCAAAGAGACCAACATGGCTGCTTGTGAACGCGTTGCTGAGTGTGAACAGCGGTATCAACAGATCGTCAATACCAGGTCAAAGAATATGGAGAGGTACCAGCTGGCGCAACTCACATAGCCCTTGCTCAAACGGGTCAAGTGGCTGCCATTGGCAAACTCTCTGGTCTTGGAGCGGTCATCTACGAACCGAACACGATATGAGTAGATAGTCACATTATCCAAGGCTTAGACCTTTACCATAGTCCAGTGAAAGGTTCACGAAAGGTATTGACCATACTCATCAGAACAGATGCTTCTCCAAGCTACAAAGAGTAGATACAGCAGTGGTAGCTACACTCCCAGAACACCGTGTGCTCCGTCCTACGTACATAGAAAAGCAGAGTTGCACGCGCCTATACACATCCCATAGCCCGAAGGCGAAGATCAAAATGTGCGGCGTGGTAGGTATAAACATCGGGCTGAGCACATCATTCCCTTTCCATCTCACACGTGATTTCGTTCGCCGAAGGGTGATGAGCTACGCCACCTCGCCCCACCGTATAGCGGACGGCGACGGCGAGATGCTCATCGTAGTAGCAGTACAACACGTCCGCTTCTTGCCCTCGTTCTTCTGCATAGGTATCCTTGCGGCCTTCTGCTTCGCAAGTGACGGCGAGGGCTGTGCCTCGACCTTCCTGCCATACGCATCTTGCGATAGCATTCGGGTAGCATAGTCCGTCGCGGGAGATGGCGAGACATCATCGGTGTCGTTGTCGACATCCATCATATCATCATCGTAATCCTGCTCCAGCTGAAAGCGGATCTCGTCTTGTAGGTCCGAGCGACGCCCCGCCTTCGGTCTCGCACGCTTGCGGCCTTTGTCGGTCGTCGAAGAGGCAGTAACAGGCTGCACATGATGAGGTGCATGCTTGCTATGCCTATGAGGTGCATGCAAGACTTTATCACTGACCGTGAAGTCAACAACCTCCGGGCTCAGAGTCATCTCGGTATCATCAGCGATGACGATAGGCTTCGCAACAGATCCCTCTTTCTCCTCCCTGACAGCGGCAGGAAGACCAGTCAGGCGTCCAGCGTTCCGACACGTCGCCTGTCGAGCCAAGCAGGCTCGACCGAGCGCCAATGACGAAGTCGTGGAGACTGTACTGACTGAAGAAATGGATGAGGCGCGCGAAGAGCGCGTACGATCCGAGATCATCGACTCCGGACTGGAGCCGGTAGACATTGCACTGATCGAAGGACGACGAGAAGTGTAGCGATCCGAAACTGGGATCGCGAAGGGGTATGCATCGTAGGCACATCGATTCAAGTTCGCTTTCTGCATGAGTGCCACTGCCGCATGCATGGATGATCGCCTTAAGCCGCAAGCACTCACTGCAGGAGTGCTTGAGCCCACTGTCGAAGGCGTCATCTGTGGCGTTGGTAGAGGACCCATGCGAGCCAAAGCTGGCGTGGGAGGAGCAATGTCTGTACGTGGCTCCAGGAAGCGTGGCAACATTGCCAAAGATGTGGGTGTGCTCTCATGTGAAGTCGACTGAATGTCGATAGGGTTAAGAGCCATCTTCGTCGGTGTCGGTGTTACAGGCGAAGAGAAGTCGTAGTTCGGCACAGAGGGTGCCGGTACTGGCGTCTTCGTCTCTGGCATAGGGACAGTATCAAGCTCAGCGGTGAGCACGGGCACAATAGCCTTCCAGGACATGCTGAAGCCAGGCTGGCCAGGTGACGGCGGATGGCTGTGGGGCGAGTACTTCAGCACGACGTCTGTCCATCGCTTGAAGACTGCTTCAGCGATATGTAGCTTCCAGCAGATCTTGCCCAGGAACGTGCGCTCGTTCGTGTTGATCTCCTTTACGGGGAGGCCAGACATCTTGCTCCAAGCTTTAGCAGAGTAGTTGCGATCCTGTAGGTACTTGGAGGCAAGGATAAGTGCTGAGAGAAACATTCGGCGTCCACACATCAATGCGCGACTCGCCGGACAGTCCATCTCCTGTTCCATCGTGAAGTCACTCTTGGGCACGAAAGGCTTGATGAGTATCAAGTAGTAAAGTGCCACCTGCAGAGTCGAGTAGCTTGTGCGAGATCGTCGCAATGTCTCCTCGATATATGTGCGCAGTGGCAAGACAGCGCGTCCGCTACTGCTTTCGCTGCGACATGGTACCACTGACAGGGGCCAAATGACTTCTACCATTTGAGTGGCAGAGTCTCATAATCCTTAGCTGATGTTCTAATCTTACGAGTGATTCAATACGATGTGCTTACCGACAAGGTTGTCAACGAAATTGATTTTCCGTTCGCATTGACGAATAAGCTGGGGTGGCTTCTGCTTTCGTTGCTCCCATGATGAGCGCCGTGGATGTTGTCGTTGATCCACTGGTACTGAAGTGACGTCTGCATATGACAATGCATGTGCGCCGTGTTGTGCTCTAGCTGCAGTGAGTATTTTTTGCTGTTGTTCGGCTACAGTGTGGCCTGACTTGGCCTGGTGAGCCAGCCATTGTTGTCGTGGTTCTTCTTGACTGTAGCGAAAGTCATCCGAAACAGAACTTTCAACAGAACTTTGTGTCGAAGGAAGATCTGCTGAGAAGATGGAGTCCTGTGAGGACGATGCGCAAGAAGCGATCGAGGGCTCATATGGCCCGCATGACTGTGGATTAGGTAGTCTGAACCTGTCAAAGCTCGAATGTATGTCGGCCGAGCTCATCATGTGTTGTCGTTGAAAGGTGGTTGATTAGGGTGATAGTTGTATGTTGGGAGCAGTATCCGTTACGCCTTCCAATGCTGAAGGCCGTCTTCGCTTATACGTGCTCACGCATGTGCTCAGGCACGTTGATGAATGGTATGTGGTGTAGATATCGTATGCGTTTCCGTGACGCCGTGGTCCTGGATAGCCTTCTGCCTTTGCACGCGCAATCGTATTGAAGGCTATCAATCTTTCTGATGGTATATGCTATCGCGACTCGTTGTGTTTGAGTGTTAGTAGCGTGATATCTGGATATGAACGCAAGTCTACGACTTGAAGTTCATCTCAAAAGAATCGATAGACTTGATAACGATGTTGCGGCTGGCTTCGGACTTGATGATCGTGAGGGGTGGAGCAGACATCGTGTTCGTATGAGGTATTATGTTGCTGACGTTGTTGGTGACTGGGTAGGCAAGGCTAATTAAAGCTGCTACTATGTCGGTCGTCAGGGTATGACTGAGTGGAGAGTGTCGTGGTGGCTCGTCGCGTGGTCGTGCGATGACTCGAGTCGAGGAAGGGAGTTGTTATTAAAGGTCGATATGGGGTGGGTGAATGAAGTGAGGCAAGCTCAGGACAGTCTCGCTGGATGTCGTCGGCGCGAAGGCTGAGTTCGTCGCAAGCTGAAGCTGTATCCGTTCCTCGCTGCCGGGTCAGAAAGTGCGTGGAGAAAGTAGCGTTGTCGTGTTAGTAGTGTTATAGGCGGGATGAGAGAGTTGTGGCGTGAGTGGCGATGAGTCTTTGGGAGTTGCCGCAAGTGATGACTGGTTCAACAAAGATAGGCAGAACCGTCAGGCGGCACGCTCGTGGCGTTGGACCGCGACAAGGCGGACGTGTGTATGGCCAAGAATCGCGTGCACATCAAATCTTGCTTCTAGTTGATAGATCGTGGACAAGGTAGCGGAGGCATACTGGTGTGCATAATCGACATCTCTGCGGCAAGCAGGATATACAATAATACTCCGCTTCCTTGACTGTGGCGAGGTGATGTGACTCAAAGGTAGGGTCGGTCGGCTGTCGTCTGGTCCGTGCATCCCAGCGATCGCTGTTCTCGCCACCACCTTTACACGTCAAGGCTGGGCAGCACGAGCACTACTACTAAGGTACACAATATTTGCCACATTTGTATGAGAGGAAAGACTAGACAATATCTTCCGAAAGACAGTTGCACTCCATAGACGTGGGACGATCCCTGGGTGGTTTACGATGAGCTGCGATGGATGCAAAGTTGGGATAAAGCAGCATGCTCCAGCAGACAAAGGACTTAATCTGCCCGTTGGCGAGGCTGCCTGTTCATCAAGCTATCTGCGCACCAAACCCGCCTTCTTCGACATGATCGTGCTTGTTCTCCATGATCGTCGTCTGTTCCGAGAAGGCACCCGTCTTGTAGGGCACAGCGACGAGTATACCAGGTCTTTCACGATGACTGTGTCTATTTCATCGCAAGCTGACTGGTCCAGCTCTAACTAGCAATGCAAGCTGAGCTAGCCGCAGGCAAAAGCCCCATAACTGAGGCTCGCACAGAAGCTTCGTGAGCACATCATGATAAAGCCTCTTCCATCTCTCGCTCTTCGCTTGTTGGCGATGATAGAATGAATATCCTCACAAACAATCAGTCTTGAACGAGAGTGGGGGCGAAGTCGAAGTTAACGCCAAGAGCCTCAGCCATCGGAGCGTCCCGGAGCCAGCCAGCGGTTGTTCTCGGCTCCGCAGAAATTGCGTGTGCTTGCCACCACGATCGACTGCGGCTCGATTCTCGGCTTTACGTGTCTATGTAGACAAGGATCGAAGAGTCAGTCACCCTGATAAGAATATCTAGACAGAATGACTCCCGAAGGGGAAATTTTGCAACATCAGCAGCGGCGCAAGTGTACGTGCGCGGTCAGCAAGCAAGAAAATTCTTGAGTTGGTGTCATGTGCTTCGTAAAGGGTTGGCGCTGCTGCCTGTTCCGTGCAACGCGGCGCCAGAGAATCCTCGGAGTGATGTGAGCAGCAGACGTTGATACGGTGGAAGCAGTGAGTACACTGAGCGGACTACCGCTCTGGTCTGGGAGCATAGCCGTTTTGGACGACGACATCGCTCGATCGGCACTATCCTCGTAGCCAGTACGTGGCCGAGGGCAGAAGTGACCATGGTTGTGCCGTGAAGTTGCTAGCCAGTACGTGCAATCGAGTGAGAACAGGCAACTAAGGCTGAAGACAAGCTTCGCAGTCAGCACGAAGAAGTCATCATTGTATTGCGTTCGATCACACCGGATCTGCCCAACTACGGCTACATACGTATCAAGAACTTAGACAGCGTTGCAAGACTCATTCCCTGTTCATCAAGAAAGGACACTCGCCCGCTCCAATCTTCGACATCTCCTCGTGCGTCAATCTCGTCTCCTCAGACTCAGCCGGTACAGCTACAGCTTCTCCCACCTCAGGCTGCACAGCCTTCTCCATGTCCTTCGCATGCGGATGTACTTGATCCGCCGAGCTCTCCAGATGTTCGTCAACGGCATCACGGATCTCACGAGACTCGTCCGTGAAGTCACCTGTCTGTCCAAGCTTGATGCTATCCTCAACATTCCCTGTCACAGGAGAAGAATATTGTGACCGAGGTACGTCCGTCGGCTCTTCCTTCGACTCGGACTTGGTAGTTCTGTCATTGCTAGGGTGCTGTGGCTGGTGCTCAGGAGCATCATGGAAGTTTGACTCTGGGTGCGAAATCTCCATGCTCGCTCCTTGGGTGGCAGCAGCTTCCAGAACAGGCTGCAGAGCCGCAGATTCGGCAGGGTTAGAGTCGGCAGCGGCTTTCTCGGTATCGGCGCCCTGATGGGGTACGAAGGCATCCGCAGGCTGGCCACTGCTGTTCGATATGTGTTTCGGGATGAGGTCCTCTGGATCCTGGAAATTCGCACCTTCTTTGTTATGCGTTTCAGCTATCTTGATGCCATCATTAGAGGGCACACCAGGCGCGACGGCTTCAGGATGATCAGTCTCCTTCGTAGCAGCCACATCGGCCTCTGCAGCCTTAGCATCGCCATTGGTCTGCACGAGATCATCGACATCGAGGGCAGTCTCCATATCGACCTTACGATTCATGACCGTCTTATTGATGATGCCTTTGGGAGCGATCTGTCGAAACATGTCCAGTGGATCGAACCACGTGTCGACACTCTGCAAGCGGACGGCATCGTCTACTTGTGCAACAGTAACACCGTAGATCTCTATTGGTCCGCCATGAGCTTTGGCAACGATCTTCTCGCCCTTGCTGTACCAGGGGTCAGCCTATGGTTACAAGCGCTGCCGCTATTTGCTTAGCAAACAATAGGATCTTGTAACTTACTCGTTGAAACCCACGTAATCATTCTTCATGACACCCCAGTGTCGCCATTTGAAAGCGACTTTTGGTGGGCCACTGTAGACCTCGGTCACCTCCCATGCAAAAGTAGGCATCATACGCTTGAAAGTCTTATGGCTAGAGGCAAAATCCGAGTTCACGGGGCTGTAGTACTCATTCGGCGCAATGATGGCGTTGTAGGTGCCGACCTTGAGCATATGCTCAGCTGATTGTGGCGGCCCGCCATTGATGGCGAAGGTGTAGTTGGCATGGTCGATCGTGCGCCAGTCTTGCAATTTCGTCTTGAAACTTGCCTCGACTTCCCAGTTCTTTACGAGGTTCTCGACCATTTCTGGTAAGGTACCAGCGGCATGATTCGACTTCTTGCCTGTGACTTGTAGTTAGCTCATGTTACAGACTCCAATGTCTGGATCGCCGGCAGTCTTGATGTCGAAGTTAAAATCTCCTTGGCTCCCAAGGTATGCACCCTATTGCAGGCGGCGCAGCTACCGCATCGAGCTCCACGTGGCGTGGTGTGCAGCATGCCGTGCGACCAGCCCATGGACGCACTTCAACGCTGCGAAGAGTGGCGAATAGACAGGAATGAGAGTGAATGTACCTTCTTCCCAGACCTTCCTGGTCTTGCTGTAGTCTGGCGCTCTTCCATACCGCCACTGTACGCCCTCGTCGTCGAAGACGGCATTAGGCGAAACAAGATAGTCGGGTAGTGCAGGCGAGGGCTCGGCGGGAGAAGTCTGGACGTCTGCTGCGGCCATGGTGTAGTACGTCGTTCGTGTATCGTCTCTTAGGCGGTGTCCAGTCGGTCGAGCAGCAGCAGTCTTAAGAGTAGAGCTAAAGATTGCTCAGACGTGTACACCTCGTGATAGTTGTTTGCGTAAGACGAGAGGTGAGTAAGAGATGACACTCGTCCGAGGTACAAAATCTTATATGAGATGCCACATGGCCAGACTCTCCAGCTCGGACAGTGAGGTGCATTGCATATAGGATTCGACAAGGTACCCAGAAAAGGATGAGGGCCGAACTATCGAAGCCGCATGGCGGCCATGGATATTCCTTGACTCCACGGGGCGAAATGGACCAGAACATTGGCTGAGCATCGAAAGTCCAGATCGTGTGTAACGTAAATCGGCTGAGTAGAAGCGCTATTTGATCGTTCGCTGCAGCTACGCACAGGACGGGCAATTGCACTGAGTGAGGCGGAGCGTCTCATCTACGCCAAAGGTAAACCTTAGGAACAGGTCCAATGGGTCAGGCCGTGAGTGCATTAGGATGCAGTTGCTAAGGTCTATCATGTTATCAGACCCATACGATGCTTCGGCGCCATATTGCCTGCCCTGGAGCTGCAGAAGAAGGGTCAAAAAGGGAGGGCCGCGCCTCCATCCTTCGGCGTGCTGATAGTGTGGTTGAAACAGGTGGGCCTGGGCAGACCAAGCAAGGGATTGATCTGCATATGGCACGGCTGGAGGGATGTCGTAAAGGTCGATGCCATCCGATAGTGCATCGTCTGACTGACGTGCTGTAAGTAGACCCAGCCGACTCGCCTTCGACACTGTGCATGGACACTTACCAACGGTGAGACTCGACCTGCCGAAGGACAACTTCGTTCGACCTTCAGAGCACGATCTTGGCTATCGGTCAACATGAAGATCAGAGAATTCGTAGTTGCATACGGCCCAGCGCAAAACCCGGTATTGTGCCACCGACTAAACGCCTCGCAGGCTCCGCCCCTGCATCTCTATGCAACATGCGGCATGGATGGCCCCACGCACTTGCACTTTTGCCGGTGAGTAGCGACGCCGCATGTTGGTCGCTGTGTTTCAACAGGACTTGAATAAACACAGCATGTAGCACTGTCGAGAGGTTCAACTGAACTCAAGGACAAATACCCGCTGGCGCATCCATTTCCGGTCATCAGCGACGAGAAGCTGTCGAAATGCAAACACAAATCAACACTAATATCATACCAGATGCGATGCATCGTTCCAATGCTGGAGTGGACTGCATCCCAAATCTGCAGATAGCCGTTGGCTATGACGAGATCGAAGTTGTTTTGTGACACTCTTCTTCGGACTATATACTAATGCTATTCGACCGAGCTTCTGCGACTCATCCATCATCTCGACCACTGCTCACATCGTGGCGAGCTGTGCCATATCGTTTGCATGTCTGCATGTCTGCATGTCTGCATGTCTGCAAGTCTGCATCGTGCGGCTAAAACCGTCCACTGCATGATCATTGCTGAGTGTACGGCATGTGTCTACCTCGTCTTCGGGGATCTCCAGCTTCGTGAGAGACATCCTCGTTGGGCGTCTATGCCCAACGTATCACCCGAGTCAAGCGTACTGCTTGCTTGCAAGCCCAATGACTGAGCGCGAGCTGGACCAGTCGCCTTGTCTCTCCAATATTGCTCGTGACCATTAGTCACGACAGCTCTTGACATGTGTCAGAAATATGCGGTAGCCATGTCCGGGGACCATCCGTATCAGCGACGCCACTGCCTATCGTACACAGTGTACCAGCTTTGCGATGAACGGTGTGGTGTCTGTAGCCTCGTATGTCGTCCGGAGGCACGTGCTACCCATCGCTGACAACGAATGAGTGCTCAGCCTGTTAGTCTATTCTTGCTCGAATACGCCCGTGTGTGGAGCCATGACAGTCTTTGCTTGCGATCCAGTCTTGACATACGCTATTGTCCCTCTTGCTGCTTCTGCAGTCGATTTGTCTGAGAAATCGAACCAAGCTGATGATACCCTGTCTTCAACAGGAATATCTGCTGCCGTCTTGGGAGGAGTACCTGGCCCGTCTTCCTCGATACGAATGATGAACTATTTGGAGTCCATTAGCTAGACGTGGCACCATCAACTTGCTATTACTCACCTTGCCAAGCTTCCAAGCTGACCAACTACTCCACAAGCAGTCTTGTCTAGGATGGCGTGCTAACAGATTGAGAGCTCGTCTTCGCAATATTGGGTCCCGACACCGCACACATACTTCGTACAGCGGATCGACAATTCCCAGTGTGAAGGACAATGAGGCTGCTGGCGAAGAGATAAAGACGCCACTGGTCTTCCACCTAGCTTCGATCGTCGACAAATCGCCAATCTTGCTGTCTTCGAGAGCTGCTTCTGCCAGATCTACGATGGCCTTGAACTTTGGAAGGAAGACATCCCATCCAAGTTCGCCAAGAGACAGATCCAGCTCTGCTAGGATCTCTGTAAAGACATGATGTGCTTTCAGAATCATCGCGCCTTTGCGTTCAATAGGCGTGAACTCGTTTTGGTGATTGACAAGGTATGCTGAGAATGCTTTCTCCCAGTCTGCCAGCCATGGTCCTGTGTGTCAATGGTCAGCGGACCCTATTGTTATCGTACATGGTCATACATACCGAACAGTAACTCTTTCTCTGCATTGCTCACAGCCATGTCGTAGTAATTGTCGTCAAGCTCCAGATCCATAATATACACGGTCAACTGGTTGAGAACGAGCTCTAGTCCTTCTCTTGCCTCACGCATCGATTCGAAATCTGTTGGTCTCCGAGTATTGATGGCTGCCGGGTCTGGTACGATATTGATAGTCTTCGCCATTAAACCTTTCGACTGCGTCTGAAGTCTCCGCATGAGTATGGTGAGTTGTTCAAGCTCGACTGCGAAGGCTTTCATATCCTCTTTACCACTAGCAGCACATTGCTGTAGAATACCATAGCCTTGGGTTGCGTGCAATATCGCCTGCTCGCAGTGGCCTTGCAAGGCTTCAAAGCAAGTGAAAAGGATGCATGTCGTCAGTAGCAGCTTCAGGTTTGGTACTGCGTCAGCTACGAGGGGGTCGACTAGGTGTGTTATACTTTTATTGCATTGCTCGAGCGCAAACTTCGCCCTCTCATCTTGCAAGTCGGCATCATATTCAATCGCTCCAAGGAGTAGCTTCTCATGCAACGCTCCAATAGCAGCAAGTGCATGCTTGACAGCTGGTTCGTGGCGAGCTGCCTGCAGTACCGTCCGCTGCCAGAACGAGGAGTCGAAGTATCCCGCCAGCTGTGGTGCACTATTTGAAACAAAGAACTGTAAAGCATGTTGCTCAAGCTGATTGCTGCTCCACCACAATTCTCGAGCTGCTGGTGCGTCATCAGCGGTTGGCGAAGCCGCTGTTCGAATGTGAGGAGTTCTCTGCGTCAGTCGCTTGTGTTTCTTGGGGCGCAATGCCCCTCTAGAGCAATCGTCACAGAGTTCGAGGTTGGGAAGTTTCTTGCTACGCTGGCTAGCCTTGACTATACAGTCATCGCATGGTATCTTCGGTCCAGGACGACGTCCGATCGGTTTGGCAGATCGTTGAGCACGATATGACATCGTGGGTAAAGTGATCACTGATTCGAGAGCTTCGAGGGCAGCGTCAAGCTGGCTGGAGAATTCGCTTGTCACAAGAGACTCCATGAAGTCCACTTCGGGGATTGCCATTTCCTTATATTCATCCGAAGACCACATGGACAGCTAAGCTCGGGCCGCGTATGGTAGTAAGCATGTGTTGCACGCATGTTCACCAGGTCCGAGCTAACAATCAGCTGTCTTGCCGCATAACACCGGGGGATACCGCAGCTTAATGGAGACTCAACTCAGAGTTGGGGCGTCGATCAAAATAGGGCTGCAGCTCACCATGAACAATGCATGAGATTTGGAGGCGGTGGAAGAAAGGCAGTAGCAAGTCTGCTTACAAAGTGAATGGCCCCAACCGAGCATTTGCTGGAAGCGCGACTAATTCCGCTTATCAACCACGGTAGGGCTGATAATTCAGTATTGTAGTACGAACATGCAAACGGCAAGATACCCTGCTACCGTGCCTGGAGATTGCTAGTCTAAACGGCACGTCATGCCTCCGCCTTTTGCGACTGCCTCTCTGGCAACGGTACTCTTTCAGGTCTCCGCTCGCCGTCTCGAAATGCCTTCAATAGATTTACTACTCCATTGCTGCGCGTTCTGGACTTCAGCTTGACACCACCCTTTGTAAGAGATCGACGGCGCGCGGGTCATTTGTCAGGCCTCAGATTCGATGTTTCCACCTTCGGCACAGCCAGTGCGCGAAACCGCCGGCTCCAAGGGTAGCGGGAGTTATAGAAATTGCGCGCTCAGCAGATTTGTTTTGCGTGCCATGTAGCACGATGCCGTAGGGCGGATTCATGAGCTTATGTTAGACGCACGTTCAGCCAAGCTTCAATGCTGCTCGCCATCGCGTAGTTCGCTCCTTGGAGAGATCCAGAATCTGTGCCAAGGCAGTCTTTCCAATCATACCACCACCTCGCTTCTCTATTCGTACGATATCGTCGTCACCTTCCGACTTACTCGACAGTGTAAGCGTGATTATCTCGGTGCAGAGACCTTCCTCAAAGTTATCAGGGTCTGCAAGCAACCAATACTCTGCTATGCTGCGTTGCTTCAGTGGGGACAAAGTGCTGAATAGGGCGAACGTGGTCGGCACTGGAACGCTACGCAAGCTAAGTCCATGGGCATCTTTTGCAACAGGCGAGCAAAGCACCATTTCCCGGTCTTGATCCCACCAAGCTTTGGGCAGCTTGCAGTTCTTCAACGCTGCTATTACCGCAGTCCAAGCAGCATCGAAAGCGTTGCCATCAAGTGCTATGCATAGGATGTCAATGTAGAGGGTCCAGTATGCTTTTATCACGGTCGCCGGTCCTTGATCTGGTATGTCGTCACCTGTCCGCGGCAAGACGTATTCGACGTATAAATCGCTTGGCTGAATGAGCCTTGAACTGTAGAGCAATGATGAGATTCGATAGGAAAGTGATTGTGCTAGGCTGCCAGGCGGACTGCCAGGAAGGTGATCGGGAGAGCAGCCGGTGCTAAGCTCGCAGTTTGGAACAAGTAGACCCAATTCCTCGATGGCTTCGTCCTCAGTGGTGTCCTCATTCGGTGGGCTTGCAACAGAAGAAGCGAGGAGAAGCTCGGCCCTAACGCCACAAACAATAGCAGTATCGCCAAGTCTTGCGACGGCACTACCATTGCAGTGACTTAAAGATCCCGTGTTTATGACAGGGTCTCTTGATTCCTCCAGTGCTCGTCCGTTGGGTCGGATAGATTGAGCTTGTTGAAGATGTGCTTGCAAGAATGGTGCTGGCGTGAGCTTGGCGAAGGTCTCTTTCGGAAAGGCCAAGCCAGGTAGAGCTGCTGCACCATTCGCCATGCTGAATCTATGGCCACTGGAGTGTCGTGTCCTCGATCCTCCACGCTATTGCCGGTCTTCTACAGTCTCAAACATGGTTTGATATCAGTGGTTCTCCGCTCATCGAATTCGTTGCAAAGCTGCAGCTGCGCTAATGCAGCGGAGCGGACCGCTCGCCGCGCACTAAAGGCCGCCATACAGATTTCGCGAAGATACTTGATCTCTATATTAATGGCACCAAATGCTTGACGATGGGTGCCTTGACGAAGAAGCAGAAGGAGAAGAAGTCTGACTTCAAGAAGACGAAACTGAAAGTGGGCAAGACTCGTCCGAAGAACACCAATGCAACAGATACGAGTTTTGCGGCCAAATCGATAGTTCTCAAGCAGCAAAATCTTGGCGAGACCGGACGTGATGCGACCGCCCTCTTCAACCACAACTTAAGCCTACTGAGCAGCAAGTCCGAGACCCAGAGGCGAGATGCTTTGCAATACCTCACATCTGCCTGTACGACCATCGCAACTGCCAAACTGCCACAGTCAGCCGCTGCAATTATCGCGAAGGCACAGCCACTCATCTTGGATGGCAATAGTGCTGTCCGGGGCCAGTTGCTGAAGTTGTTCAGGTCATTACCAGCCGCGCAAGTGGGCTCGTTGGACCAAGTGCTGCTATATACAAGGGCAGGCATGGCGCACCTTTCGAACGATATAAAGCTATTTGCACTCGACATTCTGGACTGGTCGATTGGAACTAACGCAGATACTGTGATGTCATGTCCTGGAGGCTGGATCAAGATGTTACGGACTTTTCAGAACCTACTCGCTTGGCAGGGTGACACGATCAACGGCGTGGTCACCCACGGGAAGTGGTCCGCCACCAAGTCCACGAGCTCGAAGCTAGGCAGTAACAAGCTACTGGTACACCAACTCAACACTCTCGCGAGCTTCCTGACCGCCGCCATGACTCCACCACCATCAGATCCATTCGCAGAGGCCAAGAGAGCAGCGCAGATCTTCCCTTTGCTAGAGACTCAGGCACATTTACTGCCTGCGAAATCCAATACTTTTGGCTACCTGAATCTATTTGGCGCGGTGCGTGACCTGGAAGGTGAGGTCTACGCTGACGCTGATGAGCGTATCGAGATATTCAACGAGCTTGGCCTGCTGGAAGATTTCAGAACCGGCACCCTAGAAGCGAAGAAAGAAGCAGGTGAGGTTGGTAGAGCCGCAAGTGGTGTCGATAAGGCACTTAGGCTTGCTGAGATCGGCTGAGGTGATGACACGCCTTTCAAGGGCGACGAAATATCGGGCCAACCATGAGCAATTGCTCCAAGTATCTAGCTTGAGGTTCGACACATGGGCACCAAAGCTCGCGAGTCGGTGCTGGTCGCTTATACCGGATGACCCTTGCGACGTACAGACAGAACGGCCCCTCTGGCCCGGGAGCCGCCTCTCTCTGGCTATCGACGTGTCTTTTGACACTCTCGAGTGGTTCTCGAGACACCCTTGGATCGCACTCGGTCCGTACCTGGGTTAGCTCTACATACAGGACTCTGCTAGGTGGCCAATGTTAAAGTACTTGTGGTGGAGTCGTACTGACCCACAACCCATGCAGCACGCCAAGTCCCGCAAAACGACGCTTGGCCTCAAGCGGGTAAAGGTGCATTGATATGCCAGCACACCGCTTACTTCCTGCGAATTAAATCGTGCGGTCTGACCGCAGCTCAGAGCAATTATACATTGACTACACGCAATAGCTGTGTGGTGTTTCTCCAGGCGTATAACAGCTCGACACAGCACCGCCGGATCACAAGACGGTGATTGTATCGATAGGAGCAGAAGGGATCTTTGTTTGAGCACTGGTTACGGGTTGTTGAGAGGATTTGCCATGTGCCAACATGCAACATGAGTTCAGATCAAGACAGTACATACGGATATCACTGACCTCTTGAACGAATACTGCCCTTACCCCACTTTGAGCATGTTTGCCACGGCCTTTGACGTGGTCGGTCACACCGTCGAGATCGCGAAGATCGAAGACAAGCATATAGCCCCACTCTGGACGCTGTTACAGGAAGAAGAAAATATTAGACTATATCGTCAGCTCTACCACATTGACCCAACCTCTGAAGAAGACCTTGGGCGAGATCTGCTTGCATCAAGCCAGAATAATTTGGACACGAAAGCCACACGAGCAATCATCAACAAATTTACTTCTGACGTCCTCGGCTGGCTGATAGTCCGGTCACAAGATCCAGACACTTCAGCCATGACGGCAGAAGCAGCGATGTTCCTACCTCGTGCTCTACGATCCGAGCGGGGGACAGAAACCATGTACTATGTCAGCCACACCGTGTTCGACAATCTGGATTACGAGAAGCTGGAGTTTCGAGCTGGCACATCATCCGAAGCATGGGGTCCTGGCGGTGGCCAGCTGGGAAGGTCATTGATTGGTGTGTTGACGCGACAGATGCTTGATCGGGGTCGGAGTGCAGAGTCTGATCTCTTTGTTGTCATGAAAGCGCAGTGGCCGGTCATATCGCTTGCGATAGGAGCATGGCTTGATAGTAAGGGCTCTACGAAAGTGGAGCGGGCGGTGGGTACATCATCGTGATAATACTGGAAGAAAGATGGAGCCATTGTCTACGACTTCGCGACGTGAAAGTGCTTGCAAAGCGATGGGCACGGTCGTCGAGCAGTTGACAGCGCAACATTCAAATATGCTGCTGCGGGCCGCACAGTCTACCTGGCCACGTATTCCCTCAGACCGTGTCTTATCTCCTCCCCTCGGATTCAAACACATCGCCGCTCGAACCGCCTTCCTTCTCTCGCTCGTCCGTCGAGCTTCCGCCGACGACCTGCTCGCTCCACACGCAGCAATCTCCGACCATAGCGCCTTTCCTTCTCGACCCCGCCAATGCGCACACCACCAAAAGCACCGGCATACTCGTGCCGACCTCCTCGGTCACGATCCCGACTTTCCCTGAACCATGCCTGCCAACTTGCACGATCTTGCGCCAAAGTACTTGTGCTGATGACAGTACTAAGGTCTGTAGCCTGGAGACGTAGCTGTCCATGTTCCATGATCGACATGAGTGCTTCGCATTGCTCGATCTCAGGAGATCTGGCCGACTGCGGGATTGCGAAGGACATGGTGCTGTAGCTCGGTGCCGGCACATCGCGTTTGAATGGAGCCATGCTTTTTCGCAGGGCTTGTCGCTTACTAGCTGGCATGAGAATGTTGTCGTCGTCGCCAGTTAGGTCGATGGCTTCCGAGACTTTTCTCTTCATACCACGACTTGCCACTGTTCCTGCAAGAGTACCACAGCCACTCGCAGTCGATGTGCCATTTCCGCCAACAGGTTGTCGAGGTCTAGCATCAACAGATATCAGCCTGCTCTTCAAGGGATTCAAACTGCACATATCCCTTTTCCTCATCGACAAGAACCAAGGCACCAAATGCATCTGCACCACCCCACCCGCCCACACCATCCCCTGCCCTCCCACACCCTCGAACGCAGCCGCCAACCTCACAGCAATCGCCATCTCCATCTCTCCGACCTGCCAGCTCCTCCCGGACCCAAAACAATAAGCTCTTAAAGTCTTCAGCGCAGAATACAGATGCACACTCCTCCTCTCAGCCTGCAAGCCCAACTCAGGGCTCAAAGAGTAAAGTCCCCGATCCAGCAACATGTCAAAGCCCGCCGTACTACTACCCGCTCCGGATAAGACATCCGTATCGATCGCCACCCACTCCCCGGCATAATCGATCATCTCGCCATCCCTGTTCGTCCGGGTCGGCATACCCGTCGCTTTGATCAGATCGGGAATATGATAGAACACGACCTTTCCGGCGGTTGAGTCTCGAGCGGTGGCGGTATTAAGACACGTTACCTGGATATTCGTCCAGCCGGCCGATTTCTTCTGGGCCGCGAATTGGAGGGAGAAGTGGAGGGTGTCGGAGAAGAAGAGGAAGCGGTTCCGTGAGTTGTGGCGGCCGGCGAGGACATTTTGGAGCTCGGTGGCTGTGGATGAAGTGGTGGTTGTGGGTGGTTGATATGAAATGGGGGGTTGATGGGTGGGATGTAGTAGTGAGGCTGGGGAGAAGTGTGATGTGGTGTTCAGACCGTGGGATTGGGGGGACCAGGTACGCCAGAGATGTGTTGGTGGGTCCATTCTGGTGGTGGTGTTGGAATCTGCCGGAGAGTCGCGTGTGTTCGTGGCAGGGGAGAGGCCTTTTGCTTGGTCTATCAGAGCTTGGAGGAGTGGAGGGATGAAGAGGTAAGAAGAGTGCAAGCTAAGGCGATGGCCATGGCCATGCTCATATAGCTGTCCTGTTGTATGGAGCATCTACTTGCCAGGCAGTCCATCAAGGTCACGTGGACGAGTGAGGGAGCGGGAGGTCGCAAAGTGAAGCATTGTGCCATGCAAGCGACCTCGAAGTGAGGCGGCGAGCATTAGAGTGAAACCATGGGTATGTCTTGGCCTGTGTTCATTTCCGTCGACACCGAAGGATAGAAAGTAGCTTCATCCGAGAATGGAAGTCTATGTATGGTATTATTCTCGCTTCACTCACTTTATTACCTCGGAGTCAAGACATGGTGTGCTATGAAGCCGGCCATGGAGTATCTTGGAGCATGTCTATTCCATATATATATATGACGTATAGGACTATCTATGGGTACAATCGAATTCATGGCCAGTCGTCTCATCGGCTAGCAGTACCTGCAGAGGAGAGTTCGATCATGCTTTCCCGTGGTCTGTGAGACTCGTGAAGCATGGCGTTCGCGTGGGAGCTGCAGGCCGCATGCAAGCTCGGGACCGAAGTTCTCGCTGGCCCTCATTGATACTTCCGATACATCATCGTCGCATTCCCACTCTGCTTTGAGATGTGATGGCGGAAATGATGTAGACGCCCAGATTCGCGCGCGGTAATGAAACGAGAGTGATCAGCGCTCAGACCAAGCATCGCCATGAATCTTCTCACTGCACCGGTCAAGCTTCCCCGATGCCGAAGCGGCAAGAGAGCTTGAGGTAAGGTGAGTAAGGAGCAGGTCATCTGTTTCGACCTGTGCGACGGTGCAACCCCAGACTAGCCTGCTAGACAAGCCGTCGCCTGTCGCTGGACAAATATGGCCTCGAACAACGTGCGCCGCGTGCTCAGCCCTACCGAATAATCATCCCGACCTCGACGAGTGAGTGTGTGTGTGTCTGTGTGTGTGTGCACGAGCGAGGGCGGCTGGTCGGCAGGGGAGTGAAAGTAAGTAAAAGGTGAAAGGTGAAGTTTGCTGCGACTCCGACTACTACTACGACGACAAGACATGCGCGGTCTGCACTGTAGTCGTGGAAGAGGTGATGAGCAGAAGACGTCGAGCTGGCTACGGGCCATAGAAGTCCCCATAGCGACAGATCCCACCTATGCCTCCAACCGCCCATCCACATACACAGCCCCGTGCGCGGTCTTCACAACAGCAGCAACAGCAACAACAACAACAACAACAGCAGCAGACGACCGCACCGACGTCGATCCCCGACACCCGTCTCGGTCTCTCAGCGCAGGAAGTCGCGACCCTCCGCCAACACCAACAGCTCGCCCATGCCCAGACCCGCAGTCCCGCTGGTTCCCAAGCCAGCAGTCAAGGAAGACTACTACTCGACCCGGGGAGTCTGACACTGCTATCACGACACTTTGACCGGGTCATGGGAGCAATCTCCCAAAGGCTAGAACAAGTACGCACCCACCCACCCGCCCACCCTCCCTCCACAAAACCTTTGTTCGTCGTCAGAACTAACTTTGATGTCGTTTGTCCCAGCTCAACAGAGCAACAGAAACGGCAACCCAAACCCACTACGACCGCGCCGGCAACGCCATCGAAATGGCCGATGCGGAAATCGCGCGCTTCAGAGTTATTCTCCGTCAGATCGACGAGCTGGAGACGGAATTTGATAAGATTAAGCATATACGGGAGATTGTGAGGGGGTTCCGGGCGAGGGTGGAGCAGATGGAACGGCGACTTGGGTGAGTTGATGGATGGGGGAGAAAGGGTGGGATTGAGTGAGCGGGATTATTGAAGTTGGAGAGGGTGTTGCCATGGCGTTTTCCAGGGAAGATATGGTGCGTTGAGCCTCACGGCTATGATTGTATTTGATACTTGGGTTGTTGTCGCGTAGTGTAGTAGTCTGGGATTTACTGTCACCCAACAGCCTATGGACACGTAGTTTTGAGAAGGATTGATTAAGCAATTCTTTGGTCCTGCCTGTGTTATATACGCATAACATTGGCCGTGTCATTGCCACTCATAGCTTCGACCCCGTGCCAGTCCTGGGAAGAAGAGTGCCCATCAGCTTCTCTCTCGTCCACGCCTAGACACTCACCTACACGGTGCACATCAGAACTCGAGCATGCCCATGAATACCACCACGGTGACAAGGGGACATTCGGAACTCACATATTCTCATGAAACCACGTCAGCACCTTCCCATAAGCCTTCTCATAATCCTTCCTGACCCCCTCATCCTTCAAATCCCCCCTTGCAGCCATGAACCCATGAATCTGGTTGTCATACCACTCCACCTCATTCTTGACCTTCACCTTCTCCTGCCACGCTTTCACATCATCCTTCGGCTCGTCTTTGCTCGGCAGCATGAGGAATGGAATGGTAATACCGGGCGCATCATTCGCGTCGACCATGGCCGGATGGCATGAAGCGGCGGCCTTGAATAGAGTGTCCTTTTGCGAGGCGAGGTTCACGATCTTGCCGCCCCAGCAGAAGCCTAGGATGGCCCATTCTTTGATCTCCGGGCGGTCGGCCTGGATGGCTTTGAGGACCTTGGGGATCCGTTCCAGGGTTTTCGGGGGTGCGGCCGAGGTTTGGAAGAATCTGTCCTTGCATGTCAGAGACATTGTTCTCTAGCCTAGTCTCCTAGGCAGAATGGACTGAGCAGGAATAAGAACATACTCCCCAAGCTTCTCCCCCTTCTCCTTCGTGTCCGGCGGGTACCACTCAATGGGCACGGGTTTCCCGTCGAAGAAATCGGGCATGAAACACTGGTACTGGTGGTCCTGGTCGCTGTGGGCGAGGATATCCGCGCCCTGGAGGGTCTGCGGGAAGAAGCCGAAGATGTCGTAGACGATCAGGACGGCAGACTTGGCGCTCTTGGGTCCCGTGGCGTAGGTCTTCATGCCTTCCACTTGCATGTAGTCGCCTTTGGGCTTGTAGCCTTCGGCCACGACCGGGGGAACGGTGCAGCAGGCTTTGCTTTGGGTGGAGGTCATGGTTGCGTAGGTTCGCAGTGTGCTGTGGTGTAGTTTTGGCTGTGTTGGTGGGGAGTGGGTGTGGAAGGGGGAGGGGGAGGGGAAGAAGGAGTTGGGGGTTGTATGATGTGAGAGTGGGAAGAGACTACGTTTGCAGAGCTGCGATGATATCACTGGGATGCGGTACATATTTCCAGACACCTCGCCTCTCGTCCGCTCTGGAGATAATGTTGGTTAAAAGCCGCCGCCATCGGAAGCTCATCAGGAGTTGTAGAGCTCTGTTTTATTGATCAATGGGAAGCTCGCTCTATGATGGCGGGGCAATAATGTTGACGTCGATGCTGTCATGTTTCTGGGTGGGGTTTGATGTAGTGTGAGGATGGCCTTATTTGAAATTGTGCCAATCTGCCGATGAGCTTGAGGAGAACCATTTGCACGTTCCTGCTGCTCCATCAATCAGCCTCTTGTTGTCCAGCAGCGAGCAAGATCCCAATCGTGTTGGAGATGCTCGTTTAGCGTCAATAATGGGCGCATGAAGGAAAGGCTTGTTTCCAGATGGCCGACCGACCGACCGACCGACGCGGGATGGCCTCCGGACTGAGCATACCATTATCTCAATGGAGGCAATCACAGCACATGAATACGCTGTGCTAACCATACCAAGGTGTTGCCCGACATGACATAACATCGCGGCGGCAACACACAGCCTCCAGTTGGTCCTTCCTCCCGAAAACAATTACTGCAGCCATGAACGAATGTGTGCACGAGCGCTTTCAAGCTGCTGTGCCGCCGACGCTCAGACGGTCTGGGCCGAATGGTGGGCCTTCCCCATCTGCCACCCAACCCCGATAAACGAACCTCATGCATGTTGGCGGTGCGAAGCTGCTGCAAGCCTTGCATGAAACCATATTATTGCCCGCTCCGGCCTTGCGCTCCATCGCTGGCGTGCTCGAGGCTAGTACGATTGTTGTGCCGCACGTGTTGCAACGGAAAGTATTAGATGCGATGGAGCCGCCGACCGCCTTTGCTCTTGCCGGATCTTGTCATTTCATACCGGATGATTATGGAAGGTTTTGCTGACGATCTGGAGGACTGGACGAGTGCATAGTACCAGCTAATTAGATCCGTCGGGAATATTACTATATACCCGTCCCGATAGAGACGCCAATGGCAGAGCAGAAACCATGTCTATTGAGCCTACCACTGGAACTCCGAGAAATGATCTGGCGAGACGTCCTGGTCGAACCCGAACCAATCTTTACCTGCCTGGCCCAACATGCAGTCACCCGACCCAGAGATTCGTCCAAGCGCGCACGTATCCGCGCATTCTGGAGCGATCGGTACTCCCGGACGCCCACCGCCCCGGAGACGAAAGTCTCGCTATGGCCAAGACTACCAACCTTATCGCGAGTCAGCGCCCAGCTACGTCGAGAGGCACTCGAGGTGTTCTTCCGGGACAACGTGTTCCTGTTCCGGCTGGACTGCCATATGTCTGACCATGATGTCCAGCGGTGGCAGGACTCGCTGATGGCGCAGTGGTCGCCGAAGATGCTCGGTGCGCACCTTTTCAAATCATGGACGTTGAGGCTAGAGTTCATGGTGCAGAGCCAGACGGGCGGGATGCGGCAGCCCACGGCGATCGACTGCAAGTTGGGCGCCGCCGATCGACTCCTCCTCAGCTTCAGCGGCGCGTTGGAGCAGGAATGTACGTGTCGGTGTCGTGACGGCGCCGAGGGTCTCAGTAGTGAACTTGCTACGGCGGAGGCTGGTAGTGCCACGACGCTTGCGCGATTCGCCACGCTGGTGGAGGAACAGATGAAGTCTGATTGGGAACGCCGAGGCCGAAGGATGACTCCACCTTGTCCCTGCGTGCGATGCGGTCTCATGAGGTCGGAGAAGAGGACGCCGGATGAGCTGAAGAGGTACTCGGATCAGTATTGGAAGGCTCTTGGAGCTAGTCAGACGGTGATGGAGCCGATGAATTATCGTAGTGGTGGCAGACTTGTGGTGTAGGAAGTCGTATAATGTGTCAACGAGACATGAAAGCAATGAACAGAGAGTTCTGACACGTTGTTCGGAGTGAGCCACTACAGCTAGAAGCCGCAACCAAGGATAGAGGTGTGATGAAGATAGAGACATATATGCCTCGTCCTGGGGTAGTCTCGGAACGTATATCAGGGGTATCATCAATCTATCAAGAAAAGTCATAACATCGCCACATCGACCAAGACCGTCGCCCATCGCCGCCGAAGTCTCCGTTGCCTCTTCTTCTCTCGACACCTCCACTTCATCCACTCCACTCCACTCCCTCGTCTTTCACTCACCCATCCCTCACTTGCTCCCTCCACTAATCAAACTCAAATACACACCCCAAAGCAACCCGACGAAACTACCGACCAGCGTCCTCCACTCGAAAGGTACCACGGTAAATTGCAGAATACTCACCAACGGCCACAGCTTTTGTCCTGCGAAAATCATAGGCCAGAAATGCTGTTGTACATCTGCCTGGATGGAGGCGACAGTGTGCCCGCGGAGTAGGGCGATGCCGGAAATGAAGAGGACAGTGTTGGCTGCCGCGCCGATCGTCTGATCGAGGGAGAATTTGATGGCTGTATTGCGGAGGTTTAAGGAGCGCTTTGCTTTCTCTTGTTGGCCTGACACTGTTCTCGGGGTATTCTTCTCCGTCATAGCGCCATTGGAGCGGTTCGTGATATTGCCATTGCTTTTGTTGTCTGTGGCTGTGCTCCTTCCACTCACTGCGCTGTCGACCAGTGCTTCTTTCTCCAGCTGAGAGAGCTTCGTCGCGTATCCCGGGAATTGTCCTTCGAGCCAGCTCTGCCAGAGGTAGTTTGGTGGACAGGCTAGGAGGGAAAAGAGGGCGAAGTGGAAGAGGGCGGTGGGGTTGAAGGAGGAGAGGAAGGTTTGGAGAAGGGTTGGGGCTTGGGTGGTTGTTTGGAGGTGGGGCTGTGAGGGTGGCTGAGTTAGTATGAGTCTGGGTTTAGGTATGGGTTTATGGGGAGAGATACGTTTGAGCGGTAGACTGTGATGGCTTGTGCGAGGATGTTGGAGATGCCGCTGAGGAGGGCTGCCTGCAGGGAGGCTTTGACGATTGGTGAGTCCATTGTTGTGTCGTAGGCGTTGGTGTCGAGGCTCCGGTTTGTCAGTGCTCGTGGCGGACGAGGAATGTGCTCAGGGTGAAAGCCTGGCTTTTACACCTGGTACGTGGTGCTGCAAAGACCAGTGACTACTGCTGAGAGGTAATATGGATGGCATTTTGGTATGGATGCAGGTTACAATTTCCATGAAAGAACGCTTGTTTACCCGAATCCCTGTCAGCGATGACGTAGGGAGCTATCAATAAGAGCACGGATGTACAGCACCCAAGTGTGATGTGATCGGAGCAAGTCCTAAGATCGATCATGATGGAAAATAAGTCACGACCGTGAGCAAGCTGCCCAATTGTCCCACCACCGAATTGCACACCTCTGACATACTCCCTCCGTCTTGCCTGGTCCCTGTCCTTCTTCATGCCTCCCTCGACTCAACCACCGCACCACCCTTAGTTTCACTCGTCCATACCTATTGTTTCCTCATCCGCTGCAATTGCTGGCGAAGCCTCAAACTCCCCATGTTCTTCCACATCAGCACCAGCAACCCCATCCGCTTCTAACTCGGCCATCACAGCACCATCAGCAGCATCAATCGCCGTACTCACCGCACCAATCCCCTGCAAAGTCGTGCTGCCCGCCATGACAACCTTCTTTTTCAACCCGGCCTCCTCGCGCTTCTTCGCCTCCTCCTTCTTCGCCTGCGTCGCAGCCTTCGCCTTGTCCCGCCTGTCCTGCTGCTCGTCCTTATCATACTTCGTACCCTTCACTCCATTCCTATTATGCCTCCGATCCTCCGCCTCGTACGCTCTTCCAGTAGTAATGTTATGCGTACGCACCACATTCGCTGGAAGCGGCGGCAGACCAAAAGCCGCGCCGGCGTCCCGAACGAGGTCAAGATACTGCTTCATGCCGGGCAGATTGTTCGCGATGTGGGTAAACCCAGGCTAAACGCCACCAGTACCGTCACCATAGAGGTCGAGGACATCTGCGGCCGTGTAGTGAGCCTTAATCCAGGCTGTATACACTTCGTCGTTCCGGGGCCGCTTTTCAAAGGTCAGGAAGGAGATGAAGATATGCAGATGGGGCTCAATCTCTGCTGGATCCTGATCGTCGGCGATGGACATGAAGTTGCGCGTCAGGGACTGCACCCTTGTCAGCAGCGCGATTGTGAACGGTACGATCACCGCGCAGTGCTCGTATGAGTAGATTGGCTTCGGGTGCTCATCCGCGAAATGCCGCAGGTCTGGAAGGTAGCCGACGGTGCGGAAGTACATCTGCCCGCCATACAAGCCAGCTCTCTGATGGTCCGGCGGAACACGGAAGGACGGGAAGATTTCGTACAAGCCATCCGCCATCAGCTTCTCAGTGTGCACTGGCTTGATTTGGTCGTCTTCGCACCTGACGATGTGATGAGTCAGGAACTCCTGGGTGAACTTCCGAGCATGCAATCTCGTAGGTTGTCTGCCTTTCCAGAGTTCCGCAGCTGGTACTTGGAAGGTATCATCGAGATCAAGGGCTGGATAGAAATCTGTGGGCTGGTCCTTCTCGTTCTTTGCCCGGCGTCGGTCGTTGAACTGAATAGTTGTGCCTGACTGGTTCTCGTGGTTCCTGTCCAAAGCATGCACGACTAAGAACAGAGGATCGATACTCCAGGATAGAAACTCGTCGGACGGCTGGTCATACCACATCAGGTGATGACCAAGCATGTAGATCAGGCCCCCCTGGGTGTAGTCGCCGATGGAATCGTGAAGACCCTGTCCTGATTCGATCGTTGCGGCGGGAACCATGCTCTGCTGCGAGGTGAAACCATTGGACGCTTGCTTGAGCATGTCAAAGTTCAGGCCGGGGGCTAATGATGCTGTCCGCCCAAAGTAGTTTGGGCCTTTCGTCTTGGAGATCTCGACTTCCTGAAGCTGCGCTGCGTTCGACTTGACCTTTGAGAGCTTGTCTGATCTCTGAACATAATCTGTATTTCCAAAGTTCTTTCGCGACGCCTGGCCGACCACATCGCGTGGCTTCCTCTGTAACTTCGCCTTGCGATCTGCTAGCTCTTCTTGCAAACGCCGAGCACGAGCCGTAGATCGGGCCTTGACTCTCTTAGCGGCCGTCTTCTCCTCCTGCTCGAGTCTTTTCTCGAGCCGCTTTCTCTTGTGAGTCTGCGTCCTGACGCCCGAATTGTCGCTGTTCGCGTCAACCTCGCTCTCCACTTGCTTCGCCTGGCTAATGTCATCCTCATCGTCCGGCTCCTGGCTGAGCTGGAGCTCGATAGCCTTGCGTTTTCGTGCTTAGCGCTGCTTGCTTTTGTCCTCCCAAACTCTATTTTCCATCTGGATCGCAAGTTCGAACAAGTCTTGAATTTTAGCAGGCAATATAGTCTGCAGTCCGCCAACCCTTGAAGCAGGCGACCGGAGTGGGTTCAGCGCCTGGTCGAGTGTTGACATGTTCTGGAAGAGAGGGGTGCGAGGCGACTGAGCTGTCATCGGATCTCTCTCGGCGCTCTGATCAGACACCACAGGTACACGGCTATTCGCGTTTGCATTGTCGGCACCGACCGAAATAGCTCCGGGGCCAGCGTCGACTGGTGCTGAAGCAGAGGGAAGCGTAGAAACACTGCTGGAGGATTCAGGACCACTTGAATTCTGAGCTGTGCTCGCCAAGGGCATATCGTGCTGAGGCTTGACGTCAGCCTGGGCTCGGATCTCCACGAGCAGTGCAAGACTTGCGACGCTTCCTCCACGCTTGATCGAGGCACAGCCGTTTAAGCGAGCTTTAGCAATAGCTTGGTCCAGAGCAGATACTGTCATTGCCTGGAAGCTGTTGCCCAGGCCGGCCTTGTTCATCAGTCTGCTGAGGTCGGGTCCATCTTCATTGCCCGAAGTATTCATATTCGGTTACCTCAGTATGTGGCGCGTTCTGGTGTGGGCTGGAGATAGTCAACGCGGTAAGTGTTGGAGAGGTTAAAATGTGGTGGGAGAAGTGTGTCTAAGGGCATGGCTATGCTGCATACTTATAGCATGTCTACAGTAAGATAGCCTAGTTGCTGAGAGAGACAGCGCACGAGTGAAGCAGTGAAGTGTATCGAGTGAAGACTTCCATCTTACCATATGGTGAAATGTGAGGAAGCGGGAGGTAGTCTGTCCTAGTCGAGTGAAGTATACATGAAGGCACTGCCGCAAATCCATACTACTACGGTAATGAGATGAGAGCAGTGATGTGAGCGCATGGATTGGCCGACCTCGTTCGTAGTGTATGCAGGCGAGAACAGTGCGCTGGTCGAGCATGTATTGGTAGTGTGTGGTAGCATCGTGTCACCTGGCCGTCTTGACCCCTCCCGATCATGTCATTTATACGCCGTCCATTTCACGATCCTCGTCATGCCAGATGAGACCTCAAAGCGATACGGAGCAATCACAGCCAGAAGTCCTCGGTGTGCCTGCAGTCGAAGTAGTGAAGAGGCTGAGGAGAAAACCCTTGGTCAAAGCTTACGGGCTTGGCATTTTCGCCGCAACCTCCAAACTTTTCCAGCGTGTGTTCAGAAACGTGGAATATCACAATGTGTATCTATTGATTGATTGACCAAATGACTCTGCTTGGCCACCTTGGACATGATGAGCACGACGCTGCAGACACCTGAATGGTAAGATTATCCCTCCCTCTACCACTCTCCCTCCTACATGATTATGCAAATTTGCGGCTGAGGGCCAGTACCGGAGTTTCACGCCTGATTCTCTCAACGGACCGACCTCTATGATTTTGAATATCTTACATATTATGATCGTACTCTCACCAAGACACACACGCATACCTGCCGAGTCCCTTCGAAGTTGGAGGCTGACACAAACATAGACATCATAAGCAGTGCCTTCTTCGTTTCGAGACCGAGGGCAGACGACACGACTTTGCTCTGGAGCATGATGTAAGTTGAGCCCGTTTCCTTTTTCCACTGCCACATCATGATGCATAACCAAGCACAATAGATAGTATCTGATCCTCTGTGATTACTACCATACCATACCAAGATCTCTGAAAGACAAGTCACACTTCTATTCTTCTACAACATGAGTTTAGATGAAGCATCTTCTGACAGTCGAAATTAGTGCTTTCAGCCGATGAGCATATGGCACGACGCTGGACCACCTCGAAGCATATAGCCTCGCCCAATCGGCCACATGTCCCAATTCACACCGATCGTTGTCCGTGGCAAGCGCTCCGCCACTCGTGATGAGAAGTGGACCTCCGGCAAAAGACATCGCAACGGCCTCACGATCGAAGCATTAGTCTCGGTAGACATATCAGACCCTTCCAAACCATATGACTCAGCCGAGGGATCTGGGTCCAAGCCACGCAAGCGCAGACGGCGTCTCGTATATTTGTCCAGGCTCGAGGAGCTTCCCACGGAAATCCTGCAAGTCATCTTCGACTACTCAACCAACATCAACCTCGCCTTCGCGTCACCACGGTTGAAAGATCAGCTTCGTAGCCAGCATCTACATTCACAGCTGACGTCGCATATTCTGGGCACTGTATTGAATCGCGATGACGATCACATCACCTTAGATACCGAGCTTGCTGCGGCCACCAGATTGCTAGGCTGCAAGTTTATGACCTGGGACTTCTTCAAAACATGGCTGCAAGAGCAGCACGCAGGTGTCTATGGGACGACCGACCACTACCTGACGGCCTGGTCTGGATTACGGCCAGCTCAGGGACTTCTCCCGCCAGTCAAGCTGCTTCACGGTCCTTGGACATCAGAGCGGACAAGCTTTCTTCGCATTTTCAGCCGCGAGGTAGGTGACCTTGCGGCTCTCAGCTCGATACATCATGAGACTGCTGCCAACGGAATTTCGCAAGCAGTAGCTGAGAGTGCGAGGGATGCTGTGGGGACGTTGCTGTCAATGGGTGTGAAGCCCACAACAGAGCTTCTCCGTCAAGCGGTCATAGATCATGGCTGCGACAAAGACATCGTAATCGCCTTGCTATCGACTTCCACGAGCAACCATGAGCCCGCACGCACAAACTCGTCCACCCTCATCGATCTGCTTGACGCAGCGCTTTGGGCGTGGGCGGACAACGCACGTCAAAATGGCGATGAAAAGGGTGTCTGGCTTGTACGGTTGCTAAAGTCGAAAGCCACCGACTACTCCGTTAGCAGAATGCAGCTGCACGATGCCGAAGTCAATGTCGCTGAAGCATAAAATCAAAACCTTATACAGATATACTTGCATCACGTGACTCGGCAAATCTTACTCAATCTCTCACTCCCGTGCCGAAACATCGCCGCGCCTGAAATCATTAAATTGTCTCACCACGCGTTTCATATCCCTGCTGTGTGGCATCAAGTTTCTCGCTACAGCCAAGTCTTGGTTGATTGCAGTTCGCTGCAAAAGGCAATCCCGCCATGTACTTGCATGGTGCGGGTGTGATGGCGGTGATGGACACCGGCTCTGCAACCAGGTTCTTCCACATTACCGTGACATCTCACTGGCCAAACCATGAGTACGGTACTGCAATATGCTGGTTGGGGCCGTGATCTCGTGGTCATGGCTCGCATGGGTATCATGCTGTAGTTCGCGTCGCGCAGGTGTGAGTTGTCTGTACTTCCTTTCTTGACATCAACTACGAAATCGCCATTGCTATCCACAGGCATGAAGTTTCGAGCGTCTTTACAAGTGCCCCGCCAGCCAAACGAAGACACCAACGATGGCAAGACTGCTGCGTTGCCTGGTCTGCCTAGACTTCCGTTCAAGATGAGCAGCTTACGACACAAGAAATCGAGTGCGTGGTTGGCATCCGAGGAGAATCCCAATGCTCGACCTGCAGCACTACTTCCAACACAAACCGAAGAGAGGGACGAGACCGAGCCACAACTTCAGCAAAATAGACGGAAGCAGGCAGTACAGGACTTCTTCCGAAAGACTTCATCCCGTTTCAGGTATTCAGGGACTAATAAGAAACCGTCTGACTCCGGGAACAACTTCACACGCCAGTTGACCGTACGCAAGAAGACTCGTGTGCAAAAGCAGTCAGCTAGCAGAAATGTCTCAAAGCGTGATAGCCAGCTTCGCTCTTTCGACATCAGTGATGAGGTGCTCAACCGGCTTGTGGGTCCTGTCAAGCCGGAAGAGCAAGGGAAGATCCAAAGCAGCACTTTTCTGGTTCAGCAACGCGTCCGCGCCTCTTCCAGACAGGCTAGCTCTTCAGCGGCGATTAGTCCGTTGAAGACAAGCAGTCAGGTTGAGCTAGATAGGAAAGCTACCAGCCAGGCTGCGCTGGATAGACATCCATTGAGTCAGCGTGATGTCGAGGAGATGTTTGTGGGAGCACCCTACTTCCAGGTGCAAGAGGATGGTGACGGGCTGTGGAGACCACAGGTCGTCTTCCGAGGGATCGATGTGGAAGCGAGCAAAAGATATGGCACTGATCATGCACCCCTGCTTCATTCGAGTTTCGGTGCTTCGACACTCGGACTACACCGAACCCGGGAGACAGCGGATGGCGAGTTGCCAACAAAGTATGGCACGAAGCCCACCGACCTCGACAGCGATATACTGGAGCTACCGAGCATGCTTAGTGCAAACGGTCTTGATCCCGGCACGATAGGCTTCGAGCACTTTCTGCAGCTGGCGATTGCGGATAGCGCAGTCAGGCCGGACGAACCATCATTTGATACCAAACGTGCAATACTCTCTACCGATCCGGAACAACTCGGCTTACGAGAGCTGAATATGGAAGTCCTCATACATCGACTGACGGAGCTCGGCGAGCTTGATGCAGCACAGCACGACCCAGATCTGTCACAGCCAGAATGGTCCGAAGCAAAGGTTGAGGAGATGGGTGAAGAGTTGTTTGGTAGACTACTGGATGGCGAGCTTGGCACAACGGGCGCTGGCACGGGCGATGTGACGCTCAGGACGCAGATCACGGCTCTTCAGAAAGTGCTTGGTGAGAAGGAGCTGTGGTATAATTTCAGCCAAGTCGAGTGGAGAATACGGGTAGGGCAATTGTTGTGGGCTAGTGAAGGGGCGGAGCCTACGGGCGCAGATGACAACGCCCAGCCATCCGAGCGGGATGTTCTGCTTCTTCAAATTACCCTTGCGTCAGAGCTGCTTGTGCGTCTGCAGGCCGTGAAACGAATGTCCGGAAGCTTGTCCGATGACGAAATCGATATCATTGACGCTCGCCAGTCCAAGAAAATCCAATGGGATCTCGTACTTAGCAGAACATTTCTCAAGAACCTCATCATCCGTGCTAAAACCCTGGAGGAGACGAGCAGGGCAGACAAGCGAGTCAGCCTGTTCAGCGCCTTCTCATTCCGGACGGCCATAGAAACACCAGAGGAGGCTGAAGAGCAAATCGTGCAACCAGTACTTTCGCCACGAAATCAGGAGCAACAGCTTGCTGGACTATTGACGTTTGCAGAGAAGCTGCAGTGGCCCCATCTGGAAGACGTCCAGACGCAGCTAGAAGCTCGACTGTCCGACACTAAGATGCAGACGCGTGGTGATGCTCTTGCAGTCCCGGGCGTCCAGCGACCAGTCAGTGGCATCAGTACATATGCCACCCCGCTGAGCAGTCCTCGTTTACCAGGATACACGCCGTCTGCCAACAGGAAGAGTTGGCTGGGTGGCCTGATGGGTCAGCACCAAGCACGTCCTGGTCTGAGCCGAATGACTACTGCCAACAGCATCCAGCTCTTGGCTGCTTCGCCGTCGAGTGAGGAACACGGAGATGGCTTTGAGGTCGGAGGCTGGCTATCTCGGTCCTGGCTTGCTGGTCTCGTTTTGCCGGGAGAATCAGCAGGTCATTTCCTTATCTCGACCCTACTTGAGAATAGTTCGCAAGCTATCGAGGCCCTGGGAGACGAGGCAAACTTGTACGGCGGCTTCATATACCAAGGACGAGGTTTCTGGAGCAAGAGCTGTGTGGTTGGGCGTGTGCTGGCCGCTACCAGAGGTTCTCAAGACTGCATGAAATGGTTGTCTGTGCCCATCATTGCAGACAGTGGCAGGATTGACGATGGCTGGGTCAGTCTCGACATCAAGGATGTACCAAACACGGACACGAAGACACTTCGGATCAAGGACACGAGAGCCGTGGCGAGCGACTCGGATCCTCTGCACGGAGCGACCATCAAAAGCTTACAAGCTGGAGACTTCTCTACACCGCTTGATGGGCCGTTTGTCATGGGCAACGATGTCAAGTATCAAGGACTATCGTTTGATACTACCCACAGCAGCTCGAAGCTGATGAAAGTGGAGGAGGACCAAATCGACGTGACGAGCACACATGTTGCCACAATGATCTTCACAGCACCTGCTAATACGAGACTGGGAAGCTTGGAAGTACCACTCACTTATGATGTGAATTTCGTCGCATCCTACCCATGCCATCCACAGCCCCGGAAGCCCACAAGTCCGACCACTGAACCAGCGGACTCATCTTCGCCTACGGCTGTAGATCTCGACAGCGCCCGTGGAGCAGTGACAGGGGCAGCAGAAGCGACTAACCCGAACAAGTCGGAGCTCGTCAATGTCAAATCGGCATCCACATTCACTGACACATCACGCACCGACAAGTCTTCTCGTCAAGCACGAGCAGACGCGGCGCGCGCCTCAGGGATCACACTTAGTCTCGTCGACATCGAGAAGGAGTTGCCTCCACCACCAGCCCATCCGCTGCACTTCGAGCACCACTATAGCATCATACCAGTGGCCTCGCTACTATCTGCAGGTCCCGAGAAGCGACCTCGTGCTCTCTCCTCACCTGAGGAGCGAGGTACAGGAGGGTGGGATGGTGAAGTCGTAGTCCTCGACTGCAGGGGCACACATGACCTTGAGTTACTTGCTAGAGCATGGTGTGCTAAGGTAGGAGAGAATGCACTGGTTGGTGCGAAAACGAGAACCTGCTTGGCATGCTGTGTCAGGGAGGCGAGAGGTTTGGGTATAGGTGTTGTAATCAGAACGTGATGGGCCTCCTGTGGCGGGCTTGTAGACGGCTAAACGCCATGTGGGCATAGGCAGGAAAAAGAGACTTTGTAATCGTACTGAACGTCCGAAAGTCAATGGCTTGGTAGCTGCCCATGGGGTTGACCGAGCTTAATTGTATGATTCTGCGGGGGTGAACGACATCACCCTCGGCCTGCTCCCAAATCTCACCATATTCCCGTGCTGACTGAGCGGCCTTCAGCAGTATTCGCGGCTCATTTCTGTCGGACAACGTTATCCTCCCCACGTGTGATGTGATATGAGCAGTTGTGACGGTGGGGATATGGATGTCATTGGGTACAAGGCATCTGAGAACCCACTTCTCGGTATGCTTGTTAGCCTAGTGGGGAGGCTCAAGGCGATCGCATAAGTATCTGATTATGCCTCTAAGAAAATCTCGTGGGTAGTCTCTCCTGTTGTACCTCAACATCCCTTCGCAAGTTGTTCACCCGAAGTATCTGGTTGTGGAGACAAGATGGCGGTCGAGAAGGACGGCAGAGTGCTGCATCGACAGAAGCTCAATGCTTATACCTTCTTCGTGCTATGTATGCTTGGCATAGGCTCCATAAGCTATGGCTACTCTGCGTCCATTATCGGCACGACTTTGGGTATGCCTGATCGCCATACCATGCTTGTCCAAACCTGACATAGCTGCCAGGTCAACCATCTTTCATTACCTACATGAAGCTTGATACCCGCGCCGATGGGACAGATCTGCTCTCAACAACTAATGGGCTGTTCCAGACAGGAGGTGTTATTGGTACGCTCATGCTGCCCAGTATTGCAGACAAATGGGGTCGACGTTGGGCTTGCGCAGCCGCCTGCATCCTACTCGTTATCTCTGGCGCCGTCATGACTGCGTCTGTCGAGATCGGCATGTTTATTGCCTTCAGGTTCTTCGCCGGAGCAGGAAGCTTTGGCATTCTGGCCGCCGTGCCCATTCTAATGAACGAGGTACAGATTCATTAAGCAAACGCGCAGAACGGGAACCTGTGCTGACACGTCAATAGTAAGTTGATGAACCTCCAACCTTTGTTGCTTCCGACTTGGCGATGCCTTCTGCCAGCGCATTCTCAACTTGTCTGATTTGCAGACACACATGCATTTGCTCGAGGTGATCTTCTCTTTCCGGCATGCAAAGCTAACGTGTTCACCATTCAGGATCGTGCCCGTCTCGATGCGCGGTGCTCTTGTCGACATGCATGCCATCTTCTTGCTCATCGGCTATATGGTGCAAGGATGGGTGGGGTTCGGCTTCTACTTTTGGAAAGGTGGTGGGAGCAATACCTGGCGTCCTCCGATGGCACTATCGATCTTCTGGCCACTGTGTCTGCTTGCTGGCTTGCCATTCCTGCCCGAGAGTCCCAGATGGTAAGCAGAGTCTCGACCACGCATAAAGCACAACACTGATCTTTCGTGATAGGCTCTGCATGCAAGGTCGTGATGCCGAAGCAGAAAGAGTGCTCGTCAGACTGCATGCCGATGCGAGTGATCCAGATCACACCCTGGCTGCAGCAGAATTCTACCAGATCCGCAGACAAATCGAGATTGATCGCACGTTGGGTAGTTCGTGGCTGCACATAATCAGGAAGCCGTCCTATCGGAAGCGCGCCTTGCTAGCCATCGGAATATGTGGCATCTGCCAATGTTCTGGCGTCCTGGTCATCAACAGTATGTGCGGACGTTCTCCAGTAGGTATGCCCTTGTTGACGAAACGACACAGACTATGGTCCCACTCTTTATAAGCAGCTTGGCTTTTCGCCTGTCAAGCAGTTGCTATATCCTGCAGCGTGGCTCACATTCGCCTTCTTCATGAACCTTGCGGCACCATTCTTCGTCGATCGATTTCCCAGGCCAAAATACATAGCGTTTGGCGTACTAGGATGTATGGCAACGCTGATCGTGGAGGCTGCTCTGGTAGCTACGTTCGTGGAAAACGCCACATCGACCAATACCTCTGCACTGCTCGCCTGCGTTGCCATGTTCTTCGTCTTCCAAGTGTTCTACGGTCTCTGCTTGGACGGAACACAATTCTCCTACCTTGGCGAGATATTTCCGACTCATATCAGGGCCAAAGGTGAGAAACAGAGAAGCGAGTCTGGGAACAGAGCTAACCTCCTGCCTCCCAGGTATTTGCTTAGGGGTGGCCATGATCAGTTTCATGAACATCGTCTGGCTACAATCAGCCCCAGTTGCATTTCTGAGCATCGGCTGGAAGTTCTAGTAAGTCCTCTCTGTCTCGACCGCCGAGTAGATACTGATGACCAACAGCCTCGCGATGATCATTCCCGGCACGATCGGCGGGATTTGCATGTGGGTAAGTGATGAGATGTCATATTACTCTCGTGGATTGGAGTGGTGCTGACTACCATCTATAGATCTTCTTTCCCGATACTAAGGGTATATTGGACCGGGAGGCCTCGAACCTGGCATGATCCATGGCTAACGCACGCGTAGGCATCCCACTCGAGGAAGTTGCCGCCATTTTCGGTGATGCAGCTGAGGTCGCGGTATATGAGCGCGAGATCGATATCGACCCAACAACTCACTCTATCATTGCAGGCCAGAAGGGTGAGAAGATCGAACAGATCGAGCGAGAGGGCAGCGACGTCTAGCCGCGCAGGACTTGTCACGGTTGAGTGTCGGGAATGGACCATGATGCTGTCTCATGGTACCTTTAAGGAGTCGTGTAATCGCGGTGGCACATAGCGATGGAGTGCTAGTCATACAGTCAGCTTCTTGTGTTGTATAGAGGAGTGACAATGCTTACATCTTAATGTCGACGACCCATTGTGAAGCATGGCTTAGGCTAAAGCATGTCCCACAGAACCACTGTATTCGTGGAATCGTAGCATGATGATGGTTCTACAAATGCGAGATCACGCCTTATAGCTGATCTCCGTCCTCGAAACCAGACTAGTTGACGGCCTTCGATCATCCCCTGCCCACTCTGGATGTGCTACAAGAATATCGAACAAAGCCTCACAAAACCCGCTCATCAGCTGATCATCATACAACAAGCTCAAAAACACAGCTCTCAATTGCGGCCAGGCATAGATTCTCATCCTATGCAGCGTACTAATGAGCAGAGAATCCTGCAACGGGTCCCGCGCAATCGCGCACAGCATGAATCTAGCCCAGAGGGCAATGTACTCATACTGCGTGCCCATCAGGAGCTCTGTTTGGAGATGCCGGCAAGAGCTCGTATGGATTATCATTCCATTTTTCATGTCGAAGTTCCAAAAGATCTTATGAACGTTCATGGTATGTTGCAGTAGCACGCCGCAGATGTTTATGTTGGCTGCACGGACGTGGTATAAAGCAGACAGGACAGCTGGGTCATATGAGTCTTCATAATCTGGACCTGGCTCAAAGCCGTGCGTGTGGGTGGGACTCCAGGACATGTTCTCCAGGGCTACATGTCTGAGGCGCATCGGCTCAGCCTTGGAGTGTGGATCGTATAGTGCCATTTGCGCGACTAGCGATAGCAGACTGCGCATCTCCACTCGCCGCATGTCGAAAACCCGAAAGCCGGCGGGTAAGGAGACCAGATGGCCCATGGATCGTGTGCGCTGTCCACCATCGTCCAAGGATCCACGGTACATCTCCAGCGCCAGATCGGTCAAAGTAGCCACGTTCTGCTCCTCTAGACTTCGACCAGCAATTGCCAGTGTCTTCCATGCTTTCATGTGAACTTCATAAGACTGTTGATCGCCGTATCGCCTCTCCCAGCCCGCGAGCAAAGCTATCGCCACAGGAGCAATGCTTTCCGCGTCAGCTACGGCAAGTTTCTCCTGGATAGCATTAAGTGATGCACCCCGTAGCACTGCTAGTCCAGCTCCGATATGCCTCAGAGCCTGGCGTGGAAGTCCACAGGTGTTGCTGTAGGTGCCAGCCAAGAACAGAGAGACCTGGAATAGCGTGGTGTTGCCCGTCATGGCGTTCCACAGCATCGATCGAATCGAGCTATGCGCCAGCGAGATCTCGCCTTCTTGGCATAGAGATGTAGGCCGGTCATCCAGGAATCGAATAACGATGTCAACCATCTGCTGAAAGTAGACCTGATCAGGCGAACTCTGCGTCTGGACAGCATGCCTGACGACCGCTTGTTCCAGAGCTGCCACGGTATTCGCGGGTCTCTGGGGGGATAGAGTCGTAATGATAGTCGTCTTAGCAGGTGGAGCTAGCACCGGCAGGGATTTCCTTTGTGGCGGCGATGGCATTGGGAGCGAAAACACTAGCGATCCAGGTTGTTGTCCTTGTCTCGCTGCTTTCTTCGCAAGGGTCGCTCGTCGTGCGGCGGCACTCGCTCGCGCAGCCTGGGAACGAACATCTTTGCGGCTACGATCGGAGGAGACAGCATTAAAGTCGATCCAGGTACTCTCCGCTCCAATCTGGTCCTTCGGATCACCGCTGGAATGACTCGACTGCGCAGCAGCGCCAGCATTGGTAGGTCTCTGCTGAGGTTTCTGTATCCGGGAAGATTCCTGACGACCGCACCTGTTAGTGTTATCAGCGGGCATATTGATGATGCCGAGCGTGGCCCGTATCGGTGGTCAGATCACGCCACAGTCGTGGATCATGCAACAGAGCTGCCGGCTTTCGAGCCGCAAAGGATATGCGACGTCTCGCACGCATGAGTTGCTGTCGCGAAAGGCAGGGGTAGTCTGCATTCTCTGCCCCCTCATGGCCTCGCGTACCATACCTTGTCAAAATACGGTTTCACGGACTCACAGCTCGTGGATCCTGCCGTCAATTGCGAGCCTTTGCCGAGGCGGATCATTGCTGTCTGAGCCGATTATGAGTGGATGGTTAGACGAACCAATCCCGTTCGAGTATTTGCATGACCGTTTCATTGAACTCTGTTCAATCTTGTCCATTTTCGACATTCGGACGCAACGATATATTTCGAGTTGCTATAGCGCGCCAGTCGAAAGCACACGACGACAGGTTGGTGTAGAAGTCTGTTTCCTTTCATGGGAAGATGCTCGATAGCAATGGCTCGGAATCAGACGGAAAAGAAAGTGACAAGGGAACGTCAAGCGCGCTCACTGCCCAGAGAGAGGTCCGCCTTTACAAATCATCCGAAGACATGGCGCCGGTTCATGCATACTCTAGGTATACATTGCTCACTACAGACTGACAAGCCCATGCCGTCCCAAGACCAACGCCATCCCGCAGAAAAGAAGTGGAGTTGACTTCCTCTTTTGTACAAACCATCGAACCCTTACCCTCTGCCATGAGCATTTCTCACACCAGTACCAACATCTTTCCATGCTCTCTGCACCTCACCCCATTTCTTCATCCGATCCGCATTTTTGACAGCCTTGACAGCTTCGCCCAATGACCTCGATCCGTCTTCCTTCTCGGCGGAGGACGTCAGGCGTAGCATATATCGATCAGACTTAGTAGTACTACTTGGCCTCATCCTTAGTCGTTGTACTTTTCGTAGCTGTCGTAGACCGTATACACAGGCAATCATGCTGATGACGAACGAGAAGCCACTCACACCCCAGAAACCCCAGTTTGTCTCTTCGATGAAGTTTTCCAGATTCATGCCGTACAGTGCTGCAACGAACATGCCTACGCTGATGCCCATGGTTCCTATACTCACTTTCAATTCCAGAAGCATTAGACTATTGCGATTGGCGTCAAGGATAGCGCGGACGATTTCCTCTGTGTTGCGGATGGCTGAGACTAGGGCGCTGGCAACTTGCACAATCTCGTCTGCAACTTTGTGGTAAGACTCCAGCAGGAGCTCGACGTCCTCATGATTGTCTTCTTCGCGTTCGTGACCATTGGCTTTCTCGGTGAGATACATGGCTGCTAAGTCATCGTCTGCTTCGAGTAGATCGTCTATGGCGTCTCGGACGAGACGAGCTTTCTGTTCGAAGCTGGTGAGCTTTTTACTGTAGATGAGGAGATGGCGGAGTTTGTCGCGGTCAATGTCTTCCTCCAATTCCTGGAGTACTCGTACAACAGGCTTTCGCACGTTGTCAAGCTCACTTTCCAGTGCTGTGGTGACTGACTGGAGCACAGCCTCCAGCGCCCGGAACTCATATGGCAGGTTGCCAACTAGAGGAGAAGCTTTCTGCTGTAGCTTGCCTTGGAGATCGTAGACGAAAAGACTTTGTGCATGGGTCTGACTTGAGCCGTAGGAGTCGAATATGAGAACGCGATTATGCTTGATCAGACATCTCAAATGCAGCAAGTTGATTAGGATAGCTGTCGGCCGAACCATGATATGCGGCAGAACGCTGCTATCGATCTTTCGCAGATCACGAGGTAGTAGCGAGTACTTTGTGCCAAGTTCGGTCTTCTTGAACTCTCCAGACATCAGGATAGGCTTCCCGTTCTCGTCAAACTCCGTACACCTCAACATGAGCGCATTCGCCGGCTTGATATTACGCGAACCACTGCCGAGACCAATGTGATCATCCATGAATCCCGTCAACGTGGGCATACCATCATGTCCTCCTTCCCCTCCGCCGTGATCTGGTGGTGGTCGCATCCGTCTCCATAGCCATTGTCGTAATTGAGATGATGTGGTAAACTCCCGAGTCTGCGGCGGTCTATCGTGGTTTGAATGACGGTCCGCGTGCGGTGGAGAGGCAAGACGTGATGGAGATGTGCTTGGGGCGCGGCATTGTCGGCTAAGGGGGACTTTCGGTCGTCTTATCTGGCGAGCAGTCGATATGTGGCGTTGCGTGTGGACTTGCGCATCAAGCTGGCCTCGCAAAAACCGTAGCAGAGATACGGAAGGCGCGTTGAGACCACATGCGCCTCTCATCGCTGGTCGCGGTGGCTGTCGTCGAGTCTGAGATGGTCCAAAGCACGCGCAAAGAAACATACTTTTTGGCTTGACATGTGACGTAGATGGATTCGCGTAGGGCTGACTGCCGGGCTCCGAGCTTTCATCAACACAAGGCATATATCCCATATCAATCCTTTTCACAGACACGAATTTTAACAGGTGTATATGACATATGATACAATACATGGATATGCACTACAACAAAGATGTACTGTTCACTAGGACTCTGAGAGCGACCATGCCTCACGAACCACACCTGGTATGCCTTCGCATAGAACTCTCAGGGTAGGTGGACTCGACAAGGCGGACTCGCCCGCAGCCCATCAACGGGCACTCTGCCATTAACGGACGTTGCTTAGCCTTGCAACTGCCATCCTTCGTGTAACACTAAGTTCCGCAAACCCTAGACGAGTACACGGCGTGCTGCTGCGACACGTGTACAGCAATCATGATGGTAGGACCACAAAAACTGGATGCTCGTGTCCATTGCAACGCTCGTCCGACTGCTGCGGCAGTGCGCCAGGCAAGCCTGTCACGCGGAAAGCACGAATTGTACAGTGCAAGGAAAATCGGAAATTATCGTACACGTGAGCTGGAAAAGAGAACGAAACTTTGTGTCTGGCCTGAATGTGTAGCAGACTGGATCAAACCATTAGTTTGCAGCTACCTCAGAGATTGCCGTTTCAGGAAAGCCGCAGAGAAGGAAGAACGCTCGGTGGTAGCCTTGAAGCATGTGCGTCCACGACCATAGGTTTGTGCTCCTTCTGCAAACGTACATGTAGAAGGCGCACAAGCAGTGCAGGTAGCAACCACATCCCCATTCTCCTCTTCCTTCTGATCAATAGTAGTCGTGGATTCTCACTCTCGAACAATCAGCTCTACTCACATTTCAGCTTCGAAGCATATCTTCTACTACTATCCCGCATCAAGCAGATCATCCGCACCTTCAGCCGGCCATGGCTCAAATGCAAGAGGAAGAATGGCAGAACGGCATCTGCTCGCATGTTTGTGGCGGTGACTGCGGTACTTGCGTATGCTCCCGCCATACAGAACCGGACGGCTTGACGACTGACGAACCTTGACAGTGGGCAGCCTGGTGCTGCAACTGCTTCCCTTTATGGCCGGGTCGATCAACGACTCGAACAGTTCCCAAATAAGTAGTCCTTCAGGCTCTGTCTCGCACTCATTTTAACATCCACCAACACCCTTCTCAGCAATAAAGAAGACCTCAACCTTTTCTCCTCCGGCTGCTGCATCATGTTCGTAGCCGACTACGTCCACTGCCTCTGCATCCCGCTGTGGCTCAAACCTCAAGAGTTCCGACGCAAGTTCAACATTCGCGGTAATGGCTGCACCGACTGTCTGGCCAGCTACTTCTGCCATTCTTGCGCACTGTCGCAACTGAATACGGAGCTCAAGGCTAGGGCTGAGCAGCCTCAGATCGAGGCCAAGGAGGCGCCGATGGGTTATGTTCAACCAGCACCACCGCACGGGATGATGTACGTGCCGCCTTTGTAGACTCGGCGTGGAGATGATATTCACGCTAAGGCGGTCATTCGGCTGGTGTCTGTGGTGGAGATCATAACACAGTGTTCAAACAGGACCTGCTATCAATATCAGGACACGACAGTCTTCTTGGTTAGCTCTTCGTTTTTCCTATTCTCAGTGGCAAGTGACACGGTCAGATATTTTGTAGTGTACCAGAAGTTCTATCACGCCACCGCGCACCTCTTCACAATATGAACGCGTCCTTGCTTCGGACAATACCACCTCAATTTTCGTCTCTCACTCAGCGCTCTGGACGTTTCGAAAGCGTATGATCCTTATCTGAGGAGCCGTAAGACTGTCTTGCTGTTGCTCGGAGCTGTCACGAATCACGATAAGCCGTTCGTGAACCTTGCATGAATGCAGACCCCCAAAGCTCAGAGCGTTGGAAGCTCGACATAATTCGGATCTGCATTGCATGCAGCCTTACGCGAGATTTGCTTACCAGCGTTGAATGTGTTGGAAATGGCAGCCTGAAATAAGATATTGGTGATTCCGGCCCCAGGATAGCCGTCTCTAATACATTCTCCACAAGCTGCGTAACATGAACATAGGTATCTCATGGTCGGCCATGGTCGTGGGTCGATGCGAAGTCGTGGACTGCAGAAAGAGACTTCGTCGATCGTGCATATCGATAAAGTCTACCGATACTGAGCTGCATGCAGGTCGCGGACAAGTCTTCACCTCCAGAGCTCTGACTGGCTTGACACGCGACAGGCAGGGGAGCGGACAAGCTGAAGCGGTTGCGCTCCCGATAGCTGGGGTGTGGGCGAGACCCAGGGCTAAACCTCACCAACAGATGCAATACTGAATCTTCCACTCCGAACAACGACGGCAACGTTAGGACAGACCGTTTCGCTGTCCAACACAACGCTGCATCCAACAAGTGAGTTGACTGGGCGCCGCTGATGACATGGAGGCCTTGCGACCGGCGATATACTTTCTGGTGCGGCAATGAAACCTCGCCGGCTGAGCTGAGGCGTCGAGCGATAGTGGATCTTCCCCAAGCTTGGGACACCCAAGAATAACCACCGCTAACCAGACTGTGCATTAGTGTCTGTGCTAATCCACTACAGCCTTGTAGACCAACACCAAAAACATCGCGATAGGCTTGCGGCATCACTTGCGCTCTACCACTTCCGGCTGCCTCTCGCCTTTGCCAACACGGCATCCAAGGTATCCGGTGATACGATAGGCTTACCCTGCGGAAACGACAGTCGCTCATGGTGGGGGCCTGGGGCTAAGTATATGATCTGCATGACTGTGGTCTGTGGTATTATTACAGCGCAGGAGAGCTCCCAGGTAGGATCATTTTTGTTCAATCTCTTTTGCTGCCTTTCCTGTTCGTAAGTCAGAGCGCTCATTGCTGCGCCTTGTTATCTTCACCCAAGGCTCTGGTAGCTTCGCGTCGTAATTGAGGCCTATCACCTGCCTGGTGCTTATACTGTGTATATACCCTCCAGCCTGAGCTACGTGGGCATTTCTCCTCCAACTGCAGCTTCTTGGACGGCCCACTCTTGCACTAGTCGACCGATAACATGGCTCACTTCGCATCCTTGAACGGTGCGACAGAGTACGCCCGGACTGTCGAGGATGATGAGTTCGACTTCAACTTCCAGCCCAACCCGGAGACTATGGCACGCCGTAGCATCTCCATCTTCAGCAGAAGAGGCACAGAGACGCCTGAGCCGAAACTGCCATTCATTGCGCAGGTGGCAGTCTCACATGAGCTAGTCCCTCAGCTGAAACGCCAAATGACCGACCGGCAAAAGAGCTGGATCAGCAGGACCAAGAGCGTCTGCGGTGGTAGGAGCTATTCGAAGACCACTACTCCTAGCGCTGCAAAGAAGCCGAGCGGGACTGTACTACGCTCGGTGCCACCAGCCAAGACTATCAAAATGTCAGCCTTGGAAGAAGAAATGGCTACGAGTCCAAACGAGGAGATACTGTCTGCAGTAAGCGAGCGTCCACGTTCGCCAGGGAATGTCACGTCTCAAGCTCCTCGCTCTGCTCAACACTCGTCCGTGCAGCAGCAGCATCATTTCTCGCAGGCTCCGAGCAGTCCTGTAGCACAGCGCACAAGAAGTGAGAGGAGAAGAAGCCATGACAATCGCATTGGCATCTGGGCAAATGGTGTAGCACAATGGGACGACCAGCTGAACACTAGTGTACCTCATGAGCAGCATCGCGAACGGGTTGAGGAAGCAATACGGGAGAATACAGGTTTCATGCCACTTTCCACTGACGCTCTCACGACTGCTCCGTCAAATGGCCAAAAGCCCACGCTATCGGTCGTCATTCCTGGTAACGATGTCAACAAGGCACGAACAATGGCTTTATCCACGATCGTGCAGCCCAGGCCTCAAAGACCCGTCAGATCGGTAGCACCTGCCAGTCTCGTGAGCAGGTTCGGCATTGCCATGCCTGCCATCACTGTAACGCCTGAGCGGATACAGGAGCACATCGTCTCACCGGTAGAGTCCATCCAGCATACGCCGCCTCCTGGAGCGCAGCTTGGATTCGTAGCAGCCGTATTCTCGTCGGAACATCTTCGCCCAAAAGCATCTCGTGAATCCACTTCGAGCGTCGAGAGTACCAACAGCGACCAAGAGGACGCCTCAAGCCTCAGCAGCAAACGCAGCTCGGCTACTTCTATCGAAGCGGTGGCCATCCCTTTGCCAAAGAGGAACAGCAAGCGTCTTTCTGGCATGGCGCTTAGCGCAGCACGTCGCTCAAGTACACCCATGGACATTGCGAGATCATCTCCGCTAGCTGAGCTGAACAAGCCGCTGCCGCCACATCCACTTCCACAGCCGCAACGCCTGGCTCCCACGCCAGCAGCTGCCAACATCAGAGATCTGAGGCGGCACAGCTCGGCTGGTATTGCACCTAGCCTAAGCGGTAGCAATCTTCGTAGGAGAAGCGCGGGATCTATGGTGCGCCCGAGACTTTCTACGAGGTCTTTGACGCGACTCGACAAGCGTGATAATGGACGCGCTTATGGTCATGAGCATCTACAGTATGTGCAGGAGTCGGACGAATCCAACTCAGAGGTGGAGGAGTTCCTCACGCCCACACTGAGTCAAGCGGAACGGGAGCTGCAAGCACATCTTGAACCGACCAAAATTGTAGTAGCGGCTACACAAGAGCATAATCCTCAAGTACCAGACGATCTTGAGGATATTCTGGCAAGGACAGCATCGATCAGACGTAACAACAGCGTCCGCAGCGTCATGCAGCCACCTGAGCGTGCACCGACTGTGCCCAGAAGAAGCAGAAAGAGAGAATGGCGTGCTAGCACCGGAGAGGCTGTCATGCGCACTACGTTACCGACGAGGCACAAGTCGGATTCATACATGCGCGAGAGTGCTAAAAATGAAGACGCTGTGCACCGCAGTCTGACAGTCATGCGTGCTGTGCACAACGATGACTTCTCCCAGCTGTCTCTTGTGATCCCGACACTGCACGACCTTGTCACCAAGACACCAGACCTGTTCGTTGAGGACGTCGATGCCTTGACACCAGCCGCAGCCGCAGCCGCTTCCGTCGAAGATGTCCTTCTGAATATACTCTCGGCCCTCCACAGCCCAGAAGACCTCTTGAACACTGCCAGGATCGACAAGGGTATGTATCGCGTCTACAAGGAGAACGAGATGTACCTCGTTCAGACCACCGCCTTCAATCAATCACCTGCTTGCTGGGAGTTCAGACAGTGGTCACCACCAGATCGCAGCCTATCAGACTCTAGCAGCGGAGCGTCCTCGCAGCTGGAGCACACACCGCAATCCTACATACGTTGTCGGCGCCGGGACGAGGAAACGATGCAGGCTCTAAAGGTAATGATCTTGGCCGAGTGCGTGGCTTTTGTTCGCCGCGAGACAGCCGCTGTTCTCTCCGCACCAGATCACCCGAAAGCTCAACGCTACAACGATGCCTTCTGGCGTATCTGGTGCTTTTGCAAGATCTTCGGCTGCGACAAGGGCCGCGAAGAAGATGTTACTGGACAACTCGACTGGCTGAAAGGTGGACTTCTAGCCAACAACCAGGACGTTGCAGCTACCATGAACATGAATCTCGAGTTCGAGATGTCTAGTGTTCTGCTCAACCCACCTGATTTCTTCGCGAAGGGCAATGCGGATGGCTTGAGCGCGCAGCAGTTGTATGATGTGACTGAGCTCTGGGGCTGTCTGTCATCACTTCTGCAATGCTACCAGGGACAAGTGGGTGAGGCAAGGGAGGCCGGTGTCTTTGGCTCATGCCAGGATCTTGTGGAAGGCGACTTGGAGAAAGAGGAGTGGATACTAGAGGAATGGTTGTACTACCTCCTCACGCTTGGTCCGGATGTGGTGCTTGAGATGGCGGAGCAAGCTGCTAACGGGACATCCGCTGGCTTCTCCTTGGCCAAGCTGAATGGGTGGACTGCATGGACACTACCAAGCTTTAACGGGAGCCGATCCACTTTCTTGCGCGAGCCAGTGGCGCGACTGTACGAAGAGCGCATAGCCGCTGCTCAGGAGGCGATCGAGAATCCACGTGAGCAGGAGAAGAAAGAGGTCAGCCGCAAACGCGTAGCCAACCTCGCTGCTGAGATCCGTCTGCAGCGCCAATCGAGCAGCTACAGACGCTCCTCTTACACCGACATGCACAACGAGCGAGCAATGAGCGCGATGTCTCGCCGCAGCAGCACCATGAGCCACAACACTGTCGGTTCTCGAAATAGTATGGTCTCGCCGATGACGCCAGCACCGCAGTACACCTACGTGTCACAGGGCACCATGACACCAATCTCCACCGCTCTCCCAAGCTTCCCACACTTCCAGCATCATCCAGTCTCCACCACGGTGCCTAACTACGCAGCATGGTCGCCCCGCAAGATCAGCCCCATCATCGAGGAACGCGTGGTCAACTTCAATCGACTGTCACTCCAGAATACATTAGCAGGCGAAGTGGAGAACACCTCTGATACGGCTGTGAAGACAATCACGGCGATGGGTTTCACCGTTGTGCAGGCGAGTATGGCGTTAAGGATGACCGACATGGGTGATGGACTGAGGGTCGACAAGGCCGTGGATTATCTTCTAAGGCAGAGAAGGTGATGTGGAGGCACTGCTTGTTTTATTTTAACGGCCAAATGTCTCCTTTTGTTCAGCTGTATGTGATACCCGAGTCTCTAGACCGGCTACAAGAAATCAATTGCAATCGTCTCTGCACAAACCACGTGGTGCATGCTTTAACTACATGGCGTAACAAGACGTTGCCATTATGCTCAACCCGATTGTGCTTCCGTCTGCTGTAACGGCGCTCTGCATCTGCAACATTCGCAGTAGACAGTCAACGCTCCTATCCAAGACCTCTAGTCCCTAGCTTCGTCACTACCTTTCGCAGCAGGGTGGCAGTTTCCCGAGCTCGTGACTCTTGGAGAGGGCGGAAGTATCTCCCATCGTGAATGATGAAGTGGAGCGGACATAACTCCGTCGACAAGGCCGAGCAACGGATCTACAGCTTCGGATCTTCACATCTCCCATTTAATTGAATACAGAGGGTGGAACTAATCGATGGACCCCCTGTCGACCGTTGCAGAAAGCACGGAGTCACTACAGACTCGAGCAAAAGCAGACTGGCGTTCTTATTGGCAGATCTGCAAACGGCAGCTAGCAAGGGGTCCATCCGTTTATTCCACCCTCTGTAGGCAGGCACAATATGGCTGAATGGGACATCTTCATCTATTTTGTGGAACCGACTCGTATTCCCGTTGGTCTGGCGTATCGGCTTCGTGATTTTCTGTCCAGTTGTCGCGCATAAATCAGGCGCTAGAGGCGGTTCGGAACAACGCCGCAACCCAATGCACGACCCTGATGACGCAGGGCAAAAAATATTGTCGAGCCCGCGATCGTGGGAATCGGGGACAAGGGCATCTTATCGTGGTGCATCTGAGACGGACATGAGATCTCATGCTGTACTCGTCACATGGCTTGGAGCTCTCTACTGTTTAGGGGTGTCGGAAAGAGTCCACCTGATCTGTCCATGACAACCCTCAGTCTGTGCACGGATCCGACAACCGAAACCCTTTTCAAAGCGGCAAACGATGTCGTAACGCACTGTAAATTCTTGGGAAGCGAAAGCTTTTCTGGCGCGTGAGACCAAGATCTCACTGGATCTCACAGCATCTGCAGCTGCAGATCTCCATCTACGATCTGGGTGTCCTGAGCTGTGTCTTTGCAATCGCCATGCACTTGACCCGAAGTAGTATGACCTTTCTGCACACGATTTCGAGCTTCAAGCTAGACATACCTTGATTCGGTGTAACCGTTCTCGTCACCGCGATCATCTCTGTCGGTAGATTGTCGACGTCGTCGACGTCGTTGCCGCTCGTTCGTCCTGTGGAGAAGTGGGCAAGGACTGCACTGTGGTATGACACCGTCGACGTTCGGTTCTATCGATCTGCAGGGTAAAAGTGAACAAAATGTCCGGGCACGCCATGTCCATCTTCCGTGCTTATTCCTGCGTCCCTCAATTCAGCACCGTTCACAAACTAGCACATCGATCCGCTGTTCGACTGCCCTCCGTGGCGAAGTTCGCCTGCTCGCAAATCTTGATCTTGTGCTCGCCCTCCGTCCGCATATACCTTTGTGCCTAAGACTAATCGCTGCCACCAAATCTTTCCTTTAGTAACCTGTCTGGCGGCACCTTTTCTTGGCCGACACTACACTCATTCCGACGAGATACGACGGAACAGGACACTCCTTACTGGGGCAGGACGCCTTCGATATTATAGATCTTCTAGGACGAGCACGCGACAGCCTGCATGCGCAAGACCTGCAGCTACGAGTTCACATAATGTCACGAACGTCACGAGTATTGATCTACTTGATCCGACGAGACTTACGACTCGCCGATAACCCAATCTTCCATGAACTAGCACGTCTACATGGCCAGTCGCAGCAGCCATTCACTCACGTCCTGCCAGTCTTTGTCTTCCCGGCTAGCCAGATCGAAACGTCTGGCTTTCTGGCTTCGGAAGGGGAGAAGTCGCCGTACAAAGAGGCCAGAAGCAAAGTAGCAGGATTTTGGCGTACTGGAAGGCTTCGCGCCAAGTTCGTTGCAGAAAGTGTATGGGATCTGAAACAGGATCTAAAGCAGATTGGTAGTGGTTTGGAGATCCGCGTTGGATCCGTACGAGATGCAATACAGTCGATTGTGGAAGGGTACAAAGCTCGTGAGGATACAGAAGTCCACGGATTATGGATGACGAAGGAGGATGCATGGGAAGAAAGTAAAGAGGAGGACGAAGTGCGGGATTTGACCAAGAAGGAAAATATCGACTTCAAACTCTGGCATGATGAGAAGTACTTTATCGACGACAGAGATCTGCCGTTCGACAACGCACGAAAGTTATCAGATGTTTTTACCAACTTCCGTAAAACCGTTGAACCTCTGCGACAAGGACCGCGGAAAGAGTTGCCCAAGCCCAAAAGACTGCCGCCTTTGCCAGAATATATACCTCGACAAGCGTTGCCATTCCAGATCCCCGATTCGTTAGAGAAGACCATCGATGCGCTCCACAAACCGCTAAGCAAGGATGCCGATGTCCCTGGTATGCACGAGATGCCTGAAAAGGCACACTCGGCACACCCTTTTATCGGCGGCTCGAAAGCCGGGCATGAGCGTATTCGCCACTTGATAGAGTCGGGCGCCATGTCGTCGTACAAAGATAAACGGAACGGTCTTCTCGGTCTCGACTTCAGCACAAAGCTTGCGGCCTGGCTAGCATTGGGCTGTGTTAGCGCACGACAAGTTCATTGGCGCCTCATTGATTTCGAAGACGGTTCGACGGCGCTTGGCCGAAGCGCAACGGGTTATGGTAAAGGCGAGAACAAAGGGACAGCAGCCGTTCGGTTCGAGCTTTTGTGGCGAGATTACATGCGCTTGTGTACTCGCAAGTTCGGCACGAGGTTGTTTTATTTGGCTGGTTACAGGCATGATGATAATGCCAAGTTCAAGCTCATCAGCAGTCCGTACACGAAATCGACGGAGAAGAAAAATACGAAGGGTGTCAACGACGACGATACCCGTGCCACGCTTGAGCGTTTCTTGCGTGGTGAGACCGGCACAGGTTTGATCGATGCATCACAGCGCGAGCTCTTCGTGACGGGCTGGACGTCGAATCGCGCTAGACAGAACGTGGCTTCATACCTCACCAAGCACCTCGGCATCGACTGGCGGATAGGTGCGGAATGGTACGAGAATAACCTCGTCGATTACGATGTGCATAGTAACTGGGGCAACTGGCAGTATGTCGCAGGCGTTGGCAACGACCCGAGAGGCGATGCGCGAGTCTTCAATCCAGTCAAGCAGGCTGTGGATTATGATACCAACGGTGATTACGTCCGTGCGTGGGTACCAGAGCTCAAAGATGTCGGCAAGAAAGCTGGTAACCTTGAAGGCCTGATGGGTGTCTTCCAGGCGTGGAGGATGCCGGAAGAGGAGAAGAAACAGCTTGGTTTGGCAGGCGTTGAGTGGGTTGAGAAGCCCCTTGTTCGCATCAACTTCTCTGTCAACAGGAGGGGAGACGGCTCGAAACGTGGTCGCGGTGGTGGCGGTGGTGGTGGTGGCTGGCGAGGACGAGGTCGTGGACGCGGTCAAGGAAGAGGCCGGCAAGATGACGGTCGAGGTGGCGGTGGGAAAGGTCAAGGTGAACGCTATGCCGCATCGGAGGGAGGTGTGGCATTGCCTTGAGGCAGTCCAAGTAGTCGAAAGTTGGGCCAGCAAAGAAGCTCATTGTTAAATCAATCCTATATTCCATCGAGGTGCGGTCTCGTTCGCCCTCTCTCCGTGCCGGATGCAAGGGCACGTGGACAGTCGTATGGCTTCGTAAGAGGAGTACTGACCCATACGCTACCACCAGTACATTCTCTCGCAGAAGCATAGCGCTCATTCCGCCATCTGCAGCCCTGTTCTGACAAGATGCTCCATTTCGCGATGGGCGAAAAGAGCATGTGAGAAAGCATCCCAGCATGTGAAATGAGCCTCAAACTGTCCGAATCCTGAAACGATGCCACAATTCCACGAAAAATCCCCGACTGGCCAAAGCGACGCCTCAAACAAGAAATAAAGTTGGCAGCAACCCTGCCGGCGATCGTTTGCTCATCTGCTGGTTAGAGGAGATGTCAGACCACACCTCCTTCCTCACGATGCTCGGCGTGCGTTGCGATCTTAAGCAGAGTCACATTCTACGTAAAACAAGATTGTACAGACGATCCCTGCCTTGGGCTTACATCTCTACCTTGGTTTGGAGAGATGGGAGACTCGTTTGGGGTACATGGTGGGTCGCCCTGGGTCCATTTCACTGCCGATGAGGAAAATCTTATACTATATGATCTTCCACTGGGATGACACTGCTGACAGCAAAGTCATTGCCGTAAGTGTGACGTACCAGAAATGTGCGTCCAAGATCAGTGCCTTGCCTGTTCCACGACAGCAGCAAGCGCGACGTGCCGGGACCCGCCTGTCAGTCCTTGGATATCTTAAAGGAAGTGCATTCTTCGTTTGTCAAAAGAGTGTAAAAGTTCTTCCCTCTCGCCATCACTTTTTCAGGTCATCCAGCAAAGTCCAGCATCAACACCAGAGCAGAACCGCATCAAAGCATCAGCTCGACAGGTATATACTGCTCCATGGGGATCACTCTGTGAAGTCAATTGACCAGATTGTCGTAGAACACCTTCGACCTCCACAACAAAGCCCTCACAACCACCGACAACGAACCTCTTACCGCAAAGATGGGCGCAGTAATCTCCTGTATCGAGAACATCTTCGGCGCCATCGGCAGCTGCATCATGGCCGTTGTCAACGCCATTGCCTCGATCTGCAAGGCCATTATCAACGTACGTCGCCAGCCCACCATTCCTACGCTTCCACTCTTGCAGGGAGCGATGATTCGTCCGAACATACCAGCTGACACCGCATTAGGGCATTGTGGCAGTAATCATGGCAATCGTCTCCTGCCTCACCTGCGGCCGGGCGGGTAAGAGAGGGAGAGGAACGACTAGTGCTGTTTAGCACAACTACACCGCAAACTCGACCTTAGCTCATCATCGCGGTACGCCACTTCACTCATTGTCCCAGCGCGTCGCTGCTCTTCACCAGCATGCCAAGGTGGCGGAAGAAGTGTGTACCTGTCAATGGCGGGCATCGGTGAGTGTGTAGATCGTGGTATATCAGCAAGATGGTTTGGCGTAGGACATGGAAGCTTTGTTTCAGCGAGATTCAGCGAGATTCAGCAGAGATACCCAGGTTGTCTTCCATAGAGGCAGCCTTTTGCGCAGTACGATGAGTGTATAATGTAATCGGCGTTCTTCATTCCCTTGCAGCCATTTCTTATTTTCATCACGTTGATCGTCGTTCACCTCATTGGCCGTCTCGCATCTGCCGGCGCGCACGGGCCAAAGTGCCACGACCGCAAGTGAGGCTTGGTTGACAAGTTGCTCCTGCGTCTCGTCTGCATCTTACAGACATGACCTTGTCCCCATCAGTGTGGCGTACCACCATGAAGCGTATGCTGGAGCCTGCTGGCACAATCGCTGATGAGACGCCAGATCGTCGCCTTGAATAGTATCTGGTAGTGGTATTGTTATGCTTGCGCCCACTGCGTCAACGTCATGCCACGCCGACCAACTATTGTATGTGATACGAACGAACAGCAGATTTGCTATAACTTCACGTGTCTCCCCCGTGCTAGTCAAAACTACACCAAGCATTTCAGAGTCCGCGACACAAAAGCTCGTACGACTGCAATCCCATCTTACAAGCCCCAGCCTCACTTATCATAATAGCGTGTCGTTCATACTATCAGAACCGGGAGACTACCTGCCATGGACCACGAAAAGACACCAGTTGCCCAAGGCTATGGAGACCAACATGTCAAACACCCTGTTGCATATGAAGCGCAGCAGCCTGATCGCCCACCACGACAGACCTACCACGATTCAACCAGTGCGCCTGGCCAGTATGCCGGAGGATCACAGACAATGACCCTGCAGCCACCTCCACCACTCCCTCACCGTCTGAGCGTCGACCAACAGCAAGACATCTCATCTCCCATTCACTACACAAGAGACCCACATCGCCTGGTAGCCTATCTTGTTCCGTTTCCCAGGCCACAGAATGCTCCAGTTGGAACGTACCCAACTCGCTTCTTGATCTACACGCCTCCTCCGCCACCATTGAGTAAGCCGGCAGAAGGTGAGAAGGAGACCAAGATCCATAAAGTTCAACGCAAATGGCAGGATGAAGTCAAAGAGGCCAAGACAAGCACAGCCAAGACCATGTCTTGGAAGGGTGTGAAGAGCAAGGCGACCAAAGGGATCAGCTGGGGCATGTGCCAGACGAAGACGAGCAGTCTGGAGTTTCTCAACCGGATTGGCGCGGGCGAGCAGACTCAGCAAGATAATCATGCCGAGGATGGCCATAACGAGACCGAGCAGACCAAAGCCACAGTCAAGCTGGAGGAGATGCTCCTCGTATACCCAGCAAGCATGCCTGGTGACAGTACGCAGATTCGAGAGGAGTTCGTCAATACCATGATGCGCAGCAAGTCCAAGGCGGAGCGAGATGCCGTCATCGCCACAGGTCTCATGCCTGTAGCGGCTGCCATCGACATTCTAGTCACCATCATTTGGCCTTTCGGAGGTCTCCTCGAGGTCGATGCTGTGTGGGCATATGCCAGTATTCGCGGAGCCAAGACCAGTCGCTCGGTGACGAAACGCCTGACCTCGACATCCACGACCGGAAAGCATGAGGAGGATAAACTGCACCTCAACTTCACGCCCTCACCCCGGCTAGAAGTTCTAGAGCGCTACTTGGCTGCTCGGTGCCATGAGCGTGATGGGACACATTTCTCATACGTTGCAAGTGCTCCGACGGAGACTGAGGTGCTGGAGGCTATTGGTTGGTTCCCAAGCAGTAAGGGTGGGGCGGAGCAGAACTGGGAAGATGAGCAGTGGGAGATTATGGAGGTCAAGGATGATTTCAAGCAAGTTATGGGCAAGGGTGCCAAGGAGTGGAGCAAGTGGTGTACTCTGTACGATAAGACGCCAGAGAAGGCGTTGAAGAAGTGAGGATACGAGTATACTTGGCTGTATGTATCATTAAATTGTGATAGTAACCCGGAAAAGGACATGGTCAATTGCATCCACTGTCACGCACTTTTGGAGTCAGTCGCCTCGTCGACACATCTACGACATTGACACGTGAAGCCCCAGACCTCACTCAATCTTGCTCTACGCTCCCTGACAGCTAAATCCTTCTCATCGCCACCTAGATAAGTAATACAGCACTGATCGCCCACCGCGATCTCCCCTGCGGCTCGGAACACCCATCCACTACCAATTCGCTCCTTGGCCACATTAGGAGCACAAGAATGGTTGAAATAGCTAGCAACAGGCCAAATGCCATAGCCCATGTACTCTTCTGCATCCTCCCCACCTGCTCGAATGCCGAAAGCATTGTGGCTGCCCGCGTTGACCAGATTACGGCAAAGGTCTGTTGTACAGCTTGACAGCAGCTCAGGAGGAAGAAGGGGCCTGAGCTGTACGTAGCTCTGGCAGTAAGTCTCGAGCTCTTCGGCACTTTTGTATGGCTCTGGATCCATAGCGAGTTCATTCACTGCGAGACATGTCTCTCCATTTCGAGCATGTTGCAGTATGCCAGCCAGGAAGTAACCCAGTATGTCGACGTCGACTTGTGTATGATGAGATACCTTTGCTCGCTTCCTTGGTCCAGTGAACGAGGCATGCTGCTCTGCCCTCTGCCAAGCTTCCTCTATCTCATCGACAGTTGGTCTCGGTGTTGAACCCATCACTATGTCGAGTCCTGCTACAGCTTTGGCATTCGTCCGGACAAAACTATGCAGTGATCGCCATGCCCTGACGCCATGCTCACCTTGTGCAGCAGACCAGTCGGACTGGCATTCGACGGAGCAAAAGACTTTGCCTGTATTCGCGTCTCGCACAGGCAACGTACGGCCTCGATCATAGGCAAAGCATTGTGCGCAGACCTCCTTCCGATATTGTCGAAATATGGTATGTGCAGCTGGAGCAGATGTCCTAAGCAAAATGGTGTTTTGGGATATACTTTGCTTGGATAGAACGCCTCTGCCTGCACCCGGGATTTCTCGGACACTTATCAATGCTGAGTCTGCAAAACTCATTTGAGCTGTAGTTCTTAAAGGAGAAGTGGTGTTGTGGAACAAGAGTTGTGTTGACGCTTGGACCAGCTCGCAGAGCACGAAGAACTTGTCATCTTTTCCTTCCTCTATCTCATGCCTATCATCACACTGGGGAGCGTCTTCTGTACTTAGGCGATTGCTTTGTAAGGCGCCTCAAGCTTGTGGCTATTAAGAGTAGGTCAGGTGCCTGTATGTGGGAATCTTAGACGGAGACCGTGTGATAGCCTACGCGGTGCCAAAGCATCATCCCCAACTCCTCGTCGTATTCAATAATTGGGTGGGAAATACAACGACTTAACACGGTTCTAGAAGCTCGGGACGTCCAATCGAGCAGTTGGACGAGCTCTATCATGGCGTGCCTCGGACCCGGCTGGGAAATGACTGGAATGCAGGCGTGTTGTCGCGCGTCTGGCTCAAGTTTGGACGTCTACCACCATGTGTATCCGCGTGCATCCCTGATTTCTCACACCACACATTACCTACACAGCAATGGCAAGACTTCGTGGCTTCCGTAGCCTTGCTCAGGCCATCACACTGGGTTTCCTTGTCCGTGCTACAATAGCCCAATCTTGCACCGGCACTGCAAGCTCTGGACTTCCTGCTACCTGCGGAGCGTCACAGAGCGGTAACATCGGCACCTATACGGATGCCTGCGGCAGCAACTATACGATCTTCTGTTCTTCCGACTCGCAACCAGGCCCCGTCGGGACTGCCACGGCTTTGACTATACAAGCATGTATGCAAGCTTGTGATGGTTATTCTGGATGCGTTGCGGCTGTTTTGCAAGGCAGTACGTGCTCCTTCAAGACCCAGCTCACGACCATATCCACCGCTGCCAATTCGATCGTGCTGGTGAAATATGCTCCAAACCCTGCATACCCGTCCCCAGTACCAGCAGCAAGTTATGTCAACGCTTCGACAGGCTGCGGATCAGCATTGCCTGCAGGACTATCTCCATACGGACAGAGCGTGCGATATAGTATTATCAGCCCCGCGGACGGCCTCAACCGCACCTACCTCGTCAAGATACCCCAGTACTACTCCGCAAATGCTGCGTCGCCTCTCATCCTGGCATTTCCCGGGCATGGCTCGAGTGCCGCTGCTATTGAACAATTGACGGGTCTGAGCGGCAGCTCCTACAATTCTTACGGCATTGTGGTATACGTCGATCCCTACGGACCACCTGGAGGCTTCGAGTCAGATCCTGACTACGCTCCTGGGGGCATCGAAAGCTCTGTTAACGACATAAGCTTCGTAAAGAATCTTATTGCGAACATGACTGCCTCGTTCTGTATTGATACTGGAGCTATCATGGCTACTGGCCATGACAATGGTGGCGGTCTGGTTAATGTGCTTGCTTGCGACCCGGTCACAAGTATTAGCATAGCAGTCTTTGCGCCCAACTCTGCCGCTGTGTACAGTGGCATCCTGAGCAGCACCAATCCCAACGTCTTCACCATGAGGCCCTTAGGAACACCCGTGCAGGGAAATTGTACACCGGGCCGCAACAATGTTCCTATAATCGAGTTCCACGGCACAAACGATAACAGCATCCCCTACTTGGGGTCGATCACACAAGCCTCGTATGCTCTACCAGCTATTCCGCATTGGGTCCAAGCTTGGTCGGTACGACAGGGCTACGGCAATGCGAGTATTTCCACCAACATAGCAACTACTGTACAAGGGGACTCAGTCACGATGTTCCAGTTCGGCGGCAACTCCGGCGCTTTGGGAATTGTAACTCACTATCAGCTAGGTAACTGGACCCATAATTGGCCCAATCCTGGAATCGACAACACAGCACCTATCAACGCCGGTCTGCTTGCGATGAACTACATGTACACGTTCACCAACTACACCCGTACGCCGGTTTTCAATCCTCCGAATAGCACAGTAGGTGTGCTGCCGACCGCCTCACCAACGTCGAGTACTACATCGAGTAGTAGTACTTCGAGCAGTAGTACGTCGAGCAGTAGTACGTCGAGCAGTAGTACCTCGAGTAGTAGTATATCGACATCAGTTTCCACTTCTTCGGGCTCATCTGCAACATCCGGCACAGGCTCTAGCCTCAGCACGAGCAACGTAGTGAGCTCGACCTACCTCACTACAACAACAGTCACTGCAACATCATCCAGATCCACTACCGTGACCACGAGTGTGACCGTCACTACATCTCTAAGCAGTACTTTCACCAGCCAGACTGGGACACCCACAACGATTATTACTACGACAACTATAGCAACTTCTTCAGCCCCTACGACCGTTACGACTAGCGTTACATTAACCGTTTCGTCGTCCACTGGCTCTAGTCAAAGTACTAGCCCATCCTCGGGCTCTAGTTCTAGCTCGATTCCTATCCCATCTTCTAGTCCATCTTCTAGCTTAATCTCGAGTTCGACTGTTAGCTCTGGTTCTACCCAAAGTACTAGCTCTGCCTCTGGCTCTACTTCCACCTCGACTCTGAGTTCGACCTCCACTCAAAGTACGAGTATTTTGACTGCTAGCTCGATTTCCAGCTCTCCATCTACCTCCAGTCTGAGCTCAACATTCAGCTCAACTTCCGGTCTGAGTACAAGCTCGAGTCTGAGCTCCACATCATCGTACGTATGCCCTTTGTTCGTCTATGTGGCGAAGAGATTGTTGCCTATCAGAAGGAAATGGCCACCCGCTAATGCAGGATTGTAGGTCAACAACGAGTATTGATACTGCAAGCTCCTCTGATTCCTCCGCTAGCTTTTCTGGTTCCTATATTACAAGCCTGACGGGATCCACAGCATCTTCTTTCCCAACGGCGTCAAGCACAATCACCATATCTACCCCGTCTCTCAGCATACCTAGCCCTACCTCCACATCCTCATCTACCTCAGGATCCAGTAGCGTGTCGACTTCAAGCTTGACAACTTCGCCTTCCTCTTCCGCTAGCACATCTGGTCCAACAACTTCGTCCTCATCGACATCGTTGAGTAGTAGCATATCAAGCAGCACTTCCGGGGCCCTGACCGCATTCAGCACCTCATCCGCGAGCAGTAGCACGAGCACCCTATCCAATAGTCCATCTAGTTCGCTCTCGAGTAGCAGCTCGAGCTCGCTTTATCCCCCTGGCAGCGCGTCTTCTCAGACTACTCGTACCACGCAAACGACGACAACGCTCACTGTCACATCTTCGGCACCTACCACTATCACAACTTCCGTTATTACCACAGTTCCCTTAGGCTCGACGTCTGGCACAATCTCTTCGCCAGCTACTACCATGAGTAGCTCAAGCAGCACTTTGACAAGCTCAAGCAGTATTTCCCTCGGGGTCTCTTCACCTAGTGGTTCGAGCTCGTCCACATCCACACTGTCAACTCCTATATCGAACTCAGTATCAAGCAGCTCCTCCTTGCCCCTCTCCTCGACCAGCACTGGGATTAGTAGTGCCAGCTCTGCTTCATCAAGCACCAGCAATCCACAAACGACCCCGTCTAGCTCAATTGTGGTTATTACAACGTCATCGACTACCTCTTCTTCGGCATCGGCTACATCGTCTGCCTTGTCGTGCCCGGCCTCGAACAATTCGACGTATACTGACAGCACTGGTGCAATGTACATGATCCTCTGCAATACGAACACCTTTCCCGATGCCTACAGTACCGTCACGGCGACTAGCCTTGCGGCTTGCATCAATGCTTGCAGCTTGCAATCGAACCCCAGCTGTGTCGCCGTGACTTTCCAAGGCGTGGCATGCTACTTCAAATCGGGCTTCCAAAGAGTGTTCTCAGGACAATCGAGCGCTGCTGTACTGGTCTCGGCATACAACGCAGCCATGACTACTAGCACCAGCAGCTCCATGTCATCCACGTCCCTTTCGTCCAGCGTTGGTATGAGCAGTTCCCAACTCTCGACCTCAATTTCGACTAGTGGACTGCCTTCGAGCTCCGTTTTTAGCACATCAACTCTGACGGGAATTTCAACAAGCAGCTCTGGCTCATCATCCACAGGTTCCGCGTCTAGCAGCATAAGTGGCAGTTTGGGAAGCTCTGCTATTACCAGTCTTACCACGACATCAAGCTCGTCTGTTTCGTCGTCAAGCTCATCCGTCTTGACAACTCCTATTGGCAGCCTGAGCACATCCATCTCGTTGGTAACCGGATCGTCATCTGGGTCATCTACGCTGTCTAGTATCTCTAGTGTGGCCACCACAGCTTCGACACTCTCAAGTTCGACAGCTAGCGCCGGCCTGTCAAACAGCACCTCCACTGGTCAAGGATTGAGCGGATCTTCCACGACGAGTGTGTCATCTATCGGATCGCCTACATCCTCCATCACCTCCGGTGTCTCTCTGTCAAGTCTGTCCACACCAGCGTCCAGCTCACCGTCGAGTACCAGCACCAGCCAGTCGATCAGCAGCAGCACTGGTACCAGCCAAGGATCCACCACGTCCTTGTCGACAATTGGGACCCTCTCTTCGTCCGGAACTTCCAGCAGTACTTCAGGCACGTCTTCAAGTGCCACCGCAAGCTCTAGTACGATCTCGTCCTCCTCATTTTCTGGTACTACTTCGTTATCAGGATCTTCTACAGTCTCGTCCGTAACAAGCTCAAGCCTGACATCCTCGACAAGCAGTACTTCTACGCCATCGGCGACTGTCTCAAGTAGCAGCAGTACAAATAGCGCTAGCTCGGCGGCTGTCAGTGTATCATCAAGCTCGTCATCTTCTGGGACACCACAAAGCACATCGCAGTCAGGACAAAATGCAACTCCCAGCTCCACGACAAGTTCATCTACGACGAGCTCCTCATCAGCGCCAAGCTTCAGCGCTAATTCAAGCACTGCTCAGACATCGCAATCGAGCAGTGGATCTAGCTCTGTCGTATCTTCCTATTCGACAAGCGTAAAAAGCTCGTCGACCCCATCTCCGACAAGTAGTAGTGTTGTTATCACCTCGACTCCAGCCCAGACACTTACCTCTACACTACCCTCGTGTGGGGATCCTTCAGCAACAGCATCTGCAGGCTCATCCGGCTCTGCTGGCAATTGCTCGGATCCATACGGCAACACGTATAATGTCGCGCCAAAGGGCACACAGTATACAGGACATGTCGCCACCCGCGCTGTCAAGCCCAATATCAACTCCTGTCTTACAAGCTGCGACACCACCGTTGGATGTCAGGCTGCGAACTACAACTCTACGAGTGGGGAATGTGATCTTCTAGACCAAGTCAAAGGTAACCAGACTGTCACTGGACCAGGTGCAGCAGATATCCAGGCCGTACAGCGTCCGTCTGATGTCTCGACCGTGTATACTGCTTATCCGACAACTACAACAACAAACACCACCACGAGCCCGTTATCTACTTCTAGTACACAATTCGCCTCGGGCTCTGGTCCAGGTCCTGTTGATACTCCGACATTGTCAAGCACGTCGGGATCACCTTCGACAGGTTCTATGTCAGTCACGGGAAGCAGCTCTTCTGCTGCGAGCACTGGCCCAGGGGTTTCACCGTATGGACCTTCTTCGACCGTCCCGGTTTCGTCAACACCTTCTCATAGCATGACGGCCTCCCTGTTGTCTTCAGGCTCAGTAAGTGGCACGGGGAGCAGTGTGAGTGGTTCCTCTTCGTCATTTGGAGCTTCTGTCATTTCAGCCAGTAGCATGAGCACATCCTTGTCATCTATCGGCGTATCACCAATCGGCACGACCAGCTCGCTCTCGACTACCAGTCCACAAAGCCCTATGGCAAGCGTAGTATCGAGCGTATCTCAAGGACAGTCCAGCACATCTCCCGTAACCTACACGGTCAGCCCACTCCCTGCATCTTCAAGCACAGGTGCCACAATCTCTGGCAATACCTCCGTGATCAGCATGTCCTCGAGCATGGTGATATCCAGCATGTTAGCTTCGGCCTCTGCTTCGGCATTCCCTAGCCCTGGACCACCATGCCCGAACTATAATAACGCAGCATACACCGACCAGTCGCTGGAAACGTACGACATCACCTGTAACCAAACCTACAGTGGTACAGTCATAACATCTCAATCCCAAATGAGAGCCAGACGACAGACAGGTGGTGGCCCAGCCTCGACTTGCATGAGTCTGTGTGACACCTACAGCAACTGCATCGCCATCTCCTCCAAGTCAACAACCTGCACCTTGTTCAGCCAGATCACGGATCTGACCTATGAAGGCGGCAGTACTGCGGCTTTGCTGGTATCAGCTGGCAACCAGACTACGCCATCTGGTGCCGTGAGCGTAGTGACGGTGACGCAGCATGTGTGTGCTCCGCGTAGCACTACTACCGTGTTTACGACGGCGACCATGACGACTTGCGCGGCCAGCGCCGGGTGTACTACCATGCCGGGGAACATGAGGCTGGGTAGCGGATATATCGGGAAAGGAGGATTGTAAGATTGGATTGCAGATTGCATGAAAGGTTTCGGAAGAGCCTTTCGCATTAATTTAATGGCTTTCAATTACATATGATATGGAACAAGCGATGGCGCACGGTACCGTATAAACTGGTTGCCAAGACCATGCTCTGCCACAAGACCACCTGCGCTTGAAGACTACGTTAAAGATTAATAAAAGTATAATTAAATCTTATAAGACTATAGTCTTAGCAACTAGTTTATACGGTATTACTATATGCTGCTGCTCAGTGGCAACCAGATAATGTGAGTCCCAAAGAATACACATTCAGCACATGCTCCAGGCATGACTGCGAATCATGCACCCAAACACCGCGCATCATAAGCATCATGCAATAAAACGACCGCGTTCCATCACCCCATCCCATAGCTTGCAAGCCGAAAATGAAACGCCATCCACCCATGTAGCCCTGTCTACTAACCGATCCATCCAACCATCCAACCGACCCTCTGTGACCCTACCTCACAGGCGCCTCCTCCCAATACTTCAGCATCTGCGCCAGCGCAGCACTCCACTCCTTCACAAACGCCTCCGTCAACTGCGCGACACTCTCCGCCAGCGGAATCCTACCTCCCCACATCTCTGGTCTTGCGGCTTGCGCACGAGCGTAGGCTGGGATGAGGCGGTCCGTGTGAGTCTTGGCGAGGAGAAGCCAGCAGTAGTTCCAGCTGCGGTTCGAGGCCGGGTCGGCGTGGACGCGGCGTTTGGCTTCGTCTAGACATTCCGAGCTGGGAGGATGGATCAGCTGGTTAGGGATTTGAAGTGAACTTTGTGGCTTCGCATAATACTTTGGTCACATACCTGAAAGGGTAGTTTCGAGTCAGGCCGCGGAGCTCAGTTAGTAGGCTGTTCGAATTGACATAATGGACTCCTGTACATGTCAGCCGGCGCATCTCCTCAGAAGAAGGTCCTGTCAGGACATACAAGCAGCGGTCATGGGTTGCGTAAGGTCAGAAGAACCAAGTGTAGCGAACACTCTTTCGACCCGACGAAGCTCACCGATGGTGTTGATCCGATGCTCGTTGAGCGACTGTATGAGGGCCTGCTTTTGCGCCTGCGGGATTGTGCGATTAGTGGCTGGCATCGCGAAGATCGCAAGTCAGGCTCTTGGAACTCCGTGCTAGGGGAAGGAGATGGCGAGAGGTTGTGCAATGCATGGATAAGTGACAAGAAAGAATGAATTCTGCTTTCTAGGAGATGAAGACGAAATAGGAGATTGACATGAGAACAACAGCAGGAGACAGGAGGGCCAACCTACTTCAGTGATCGAACTGGCGTCGAACATCATGCCGAAGCGACTGGAGCTGTAATCTCTTCTCTGGTCGTGGCGATGACAATACATAGGGATTGGATGACTGGCACGTACCTGTTGTCTAGCAGCCGACAAAGCCGCCAAGGAAGAAGAAGCTGACGGTCGAGATGACAATGGCGGTCTCCCGCCACGTGTGGTTGACGACACTGTCGTGACGGAGATCGTGGCATCATTCGTTGGTGTTGTTGCTGGGAGAGGAGGATATGGTGAGACGTAGTCTGGGAGAGGTCTAGTGAGCATGCGTAGTCTGACTTAGCGTAGATCTGTGTGTTGTAGGTCGTGCAGGTACACAAGGATCAATATAGTACGGTGATCTCCCGTCATGCTTGTTTGGAGGTGCAGGGCTTAGTGAAAGAGCCTACCTTGTGTACCTTGCTGTTGAGGTGAGAAGGAGTAAGAGACGGAGTGACGGGCTGATGAGCCGTGGCTGCCATGCGAGAGATGGGTTGGGTAGGGACTGGTCGTTTGACTGGAGTAGCCAGAAGAGCTGGAACCGGGAGATCGGTCGCTCATGGTGTGAGATTACGAAGATCAGAACGGGGTGCAAGGGGTAGGTTGGTGTGACGAATCAGATTCGGTGGCTGATGACAGATCGCGCGCCTGGTGTAATCAAGGTAGATCAGTAGTGCAGTAGCGTTCGTGCTGGTTCCTGATGACCTTTCTTACATTTCAGTGCGTATCTACAATTTGTGAAGGGATGTGGGAGCATAATGTAAGATGTCAGTCCAATGGTACCGTATACTGGCATCTCTGCACCATTGTCAAGGTGGTAGTAGAAGGGCTGAGATCCTGAGTGCCTTATAACCAGCAAAGGCAAGAGCTCATCTGCCATTACAATGCCACGGTGGCTCGTGGGTGGTGCTTTAGGACTCGGACTTGGAAGAATAGACATTGGTCATCTTGCTTGAACAGTCGACCAGATAGCCGAACGAGTCACAGTACGCCGTTGCAGAGCTTTGTGTACAGCATAGAGAATGAATAGCATTCTCTTGGGCGGCCGGGATGGGCAGACAGATCCTCCCTATTTCCAGCACGTGGCTCTGGTGTAATGGCTTAGCAAGAACGGAGCGAGCGAATTTGAGATCCATCTGATCCTGCATGGACAGTAAGCCAGATAGCGGTTCGCTGTATGGCCAAAGCGGTGGTCACAAAAGGCGCACTCCCATGTTGTGAGCATCATGGCTTGAATTGCAGAGGTGTGGTGTCATCGATTAAAAGCAAGATCTGATGAACTGAGCACTAGTCGTATTCTTTCGGCGACCACGTAGAAGTGGACACAAAGCTGTCTGCTTCACCGCTGGCTATGACCGATGCCGCAATTTTCCTTCGTCTGCGTTCCGGTTGGTGGCATCGAAGAACGGTAGGAAGTGTTGGTGAGAAAGAGGCTGAGCAGACAGCTGAAGTCTAAAAGTCTGAAATCATCGCTGCCACGGAGCCGCACTAACCATATCGGGCCCCAGCGCAAGCCACTGGTGCGGCGTCACAGCCGTAGACCAATGCAACATAACCCGCCACGAGGATGACCGTGCTGTATGTGAGATGACAGCCGAAAGAGGACATGGTGTCGCGTGGTGCTTACTGGTTTCTTTCTCAGGATTGCTTCCGTGGTAGACAACTGGGTCGTGAGAATGCACGAGTCAGCGATCAGCCGAGCCTCATGATCCTTCTCGTGATGCAACACGGACCAGAATCCGATCTCGAAAGCTGGAGGCTATGATCCAACATGGAGAAGAGGAGGAGGCGCGGTAGTGAATGGAGGTCAAGGATTGGTGATTATCTGTACAATGCAACGAAGCCAATAGCCTTACCAGTCGCCTACCAATGCGCCCAGCCTATCCAGCCATTCTGCCTCCTTCTCCTCTGCATCTGCACTCTCACGAGCATCCGATGCCTTCCTCTTCTGCTCACCTGGCAATCTCGCACTGGCCACCTCACCCATCGTGACGTTCTTCCACTCGTCAACAGGCAGCCATCCGATCCTCGCACGATCCCCGAACCCACCAAACCAGTAAATATGCTCGACCACCAGTCTCATGTACTGACTCGTGTGTATATCGTTACCTGGTTGCCAATAGATGGAGTCCGGATGATGCTGCAAGAAGCAAGCAGAAATCAAGCCCGCTGCAAGATCTTTGGCGGATATTGGCTCGAGATAGCCATGTAGAGAGAAGCGAGGTAGTGCAGCCGGCGTATGTGGTGTTGGTATTTCGTCGTCTTCTTCGGGGTCGATAGGCGAAAGAGAGGCTGTGTAGGTGTTCTTGGATATGGGCCACCATCTTATTGCTAGACTTATGTTCGACCCAGCTGCGTAGTTCTTGTACGGTGTCGCAATGTTGATCGCCAGTAATGTCGGATTGCCTGTCAATGTTTCGCAGTCGGCATAGTACTCCATCAATCCAATCGGGCTTCCAGCTATCTCCTCTGGCCTGTTCTCAAAGGCAGCCAGTTCTCCATGGTCATATGATGACGCGGTATCGCGAGCTCCTGATCGTTCTGGGAACGTGGTTGTAAGTGTGCCGAGAGTGCTCAAGTGCATTATCCGTCTCGCCATGACCGTCGATTCGTGGATGGTCGGGACTTTGTAGTCTGCATCTTGTATAGGCGTCTGCTCGGAACTTTCTGATGCGATGGATCGAGCAGCAGCAGCTCCAATGAGCACGTGCAGACCGGCGCTGACCCTCATCGTTCCAAATACTGATGCTGCCCAAGACAATACTCCGTTGCAATGGTAGAAGATGCATAGACATGTACACTAAAGGCCGAGGCGTTCGCTTGTGCTAGTGCACGGCCGATCCCGCAGCTCCGAGCGCCAAGACTCACTACTGAGGCAGAAGGAAGCGGAGAACCTCAATTTCGACACCTCCAATCCAAGTCATCGCCAACGACACCGTCACCTCGCCTGGACATCGACAACCCGACAGTGAGTCATCACCCACCATCCCAAAATACCGAGTCGGGTCTGCAGAAGTGCTCGCATTCTTCTTCCACGGACACTGGACGCTAATCACGACATCGCCACCACAGAACACGCTCATCACTACCACACAAACAACAACCCGCAAACATGGGTAAGGTCCACGGATCGCTGGCGCGTGCCGGTAAGGTCAAGTCGCAGACACCAAAGGTATGATATGTCAATCAAGCAAGCAATAACATGGGACATGGGCAGGCGGCGGAGGCTGATGATGAAACTACACAGGTCGAGCCACAGGAGAAGAAGAAGACGCCCAAGGGCCGCGCGAAGAAGAGAATCACATACACCCGCCGCTTCGTCAATGTCACCATGACCGGTGGCAAGAGGAAGATGAACCCTAACCCGACTTCGTAAACACCTTCACAAACATGATGGATGGAGTGGGAGAGGGTTGGGAGGTTGCGGAGAAAGAGGGGTGGAGATCCAGCGAAGGGCGGAGGTGGAATCGGATGAAATGCCGGAGATCTAGTCATTTCCGGCGTTCTTTTGCAGAATGGGCTGGGGATGTATACAGGGCTCGTATATCTTTAGAGCGGTCTTGGCACGAAGTCGTGCTGTGGCGAAGCTTGAAGACGAGATCGAGCAGGGTGGTATGATGAGTTAGCTGTGTGGTCGTGTAGAAGCGACACATATGCTGCGATGAAATGCATTTCCCACCAAATGATTATGTGTCCTTCATTCTCTTCATTTAATTCGATGGAACTTGGTCAATGAGTCGGTTAAGAAGTGCGTACAAATATCTAAGCTACCGTATGAACTGGTTGCCAAGACCATGGTCTTATAAGATTTAATTACACTTTCATCAATTTTTGACGTAGTCTTCAAGCGCAGGTGGTCTTATAGCAGAGCATAGTCTTAGTAACTAGTTTATGAGCATATGTCAAACACAATCGTTACAATCAAATTCGATCATGCGCACTAGCTTCAGCTGTGGGTCACCCCTGCCAAACTCTTCTGACCGCCCATGTCGACTTCTCTGATTCCCACAACCGTTGTTGCCTTCGACAGTGCTTACCATCGGCCCTTCGATCTCGGCTTATACATCGTATCGATTGTCCTTCGCACAGGTCGGATGGTGTAGTGGCCCACGAGACTGCTGAGGGCGCCAAAGGCTGCCATTATTAGCAATCACAACCGCTCTACCAAGGTTGCTAGTTTGGGTCCAGCGCTGGACTTGGCAGCTCCAGATTGAGGACATAAGGCATTTAGAGACCCTACGGACGTAATCGTGCTTGAGACAGTTGCTCTAACAATAATTGCGATCGACATTCTTGGTGTGCTTGACTTCACGGTATGCAACACATGTCTCTCCTTCTTGTTGATATGGCTGACATAGTAGCAGGTCAGCATTACTACCTCAAAGGTGTAGCTCTGCTACGCCCGGTCTGGTAGACGCAGTGACGGTATGCAGCAGTTGGGCTTCCTCCTCGGGAGGAAGTCGCACTACTCAAGCCCTCTTCCCGGCGTGGTTCTTGACGACACGCTGGCGAGTTGTGGTTGTGCTCATCTGAGTATGTCCCTTGTGGGACTGCTGCCTGCTATTGCTTCCTCGAACGCATGTTGTCCGCCATATCGCTGAAGAGGTTCTTCGTTCTTGAAGCTACCAGGCGTCGCCACGCTTGCCTACAGCGTATTGCGAGAGAGCGTTTGGCCGGTCTGCCCTCGCCATGGCCAAGGCTTGAGTGCCACTACATAGGGACTGGGGGTCCTGATTGCCTTCGCGCGTCAGGAAGACATGAAATTGACGGTGCCTGTGGGATCGTGGACACTCGCGGCGGCTTCGGCCATCTCTGACTTGACAATGTCCACGCTGTTCAGATTGCTCTCACGAGAGTACGTCCACTGCTTGTCAGTCAAAACACTTTTTGGAACCTCACGGTCACGCTTTGCGTGGCTGACACTACTTTTTCATTGTTCGTCTTGCCTTCGGCAGGGCTGCAGAGGAGAAGGCCATTCATGCTAAGTCGACTGTCTCACGGTCTACCTCATCGGTAGCGCTCCCGCAGATGCGTTCTTCGGAGGCTGGTGTTAGTGTGCGCATGAGCATCGATTGGAGAAGAGGTGTGTACTTCCGGCATTGTCTTGCACCCACAGTGGACACGACTCATTGGCATGGGGTCGTGCGGAGAACCTCGCGCATCTTCTCCATCCTTCCTCTGACCTCCAACTGCCCTGCATCCCTGAGCGACCGGGTCACGGGATCATAGCACCTCGTAAACAATGTAGCCGAGTGTGCAGCACTGCGGCATGTAGATGACCTGCATTGCCGATCTACATGACTCTATGGCTGATAAGGAAGCTCACCACTGCTCCCTCCTTCTAGCTGTCTACGCCAACTTTGGTCCCACGACACAGATGCTAGGACGATGAGCACCGATACTCACGAGCACAACGGCACGGCCGAGACTCACCATGACGAGAAGGTAGCACGTACCGAACATCACGAGTTTGCAGGCTACGAAGACCCTCACAAAGCTGCTCTAGAAGACAATCCCGAACATGCTGACAAGCTCACCTGGACTGTGGCTCTCTCCGCCTTGTTCTTAGGTACTTCATTTCCAGGACCTATCATTTATGGATTCGTGTTAGCTTCTTCAATCTTGGTGCAGCTATCCCAGGAGCTTGGCGGTGCGAACATAGACTTCTGGATACCTTCTGGCTGGGGTGCCGCAGCAGCGGTAGGCTTCTCCATCGCTGGACGACTTTCCGACATCTTTGGGCGACGTTATGTGATCCTCACCGGACAATGTATGACGATCATCGGAGGTGTCATCGCTTGCACGGCGAAGGATATGCATCAGCTTATTGCTGGTGAGGTCGTTCTTGGTGCAGCCATTGGCACTGTTTCAGTAGCATATGCAGGTTAGTGAATTGTTGCTAATTCACGCTATGCAGTACTGACACAAGACAGGTATCTCGGAAATCCTGCCGAACAAGTATCGTGGCATAGGTCTGGCATGGACGGAGCTCAATCTAGCAGTAGTAGCAGTACCGAGCACATTGCTGGCCACGGTCATGATCTCGGACGCTACCTGGAAAGTTATGTTCTATGTCGCCATTGGATATGCTGGCTTCTCACTCATTGGCACGTTCTTCGTCTACTTCCCACCGAGCCATCCTCGCCCCGATGGAAAGACAAAATGGCAAGAATTCAAAGAACTAGATTTCATCGGAGCATTCCTCTTTGCTTCAGGTCTGGTTGTTTTCCTCTACGGCCTCAATTCGGGTGGTAGCACTTACCCATGGAAGAGCGGTGGCGCATTGGCACCACTTCTGCTAGGCCTCGCCGCATTCTTAGGGGCATTCGTGTACGATTTCAATGTGGCAGGCGACCCTCTCTTTCCATGGTACCTCTTCAGGAACTTTCGGGAGTTTTCAGGTCTTCCTGTTCTGGTCTTCGTAAGTGTGATAGGCTGAACCCATCTCTGAGACAGTCATGGGTCCACACTAAACACTTCCTGCAGGTGGCTGGCATGGTGTTCTTTGCTGCTTCAGCTTTGAACGCGCAGACCATTCTGTACCTTCACACGGCAGACCCGATCAAGATTGGACTGTACTCAATTCCTTCTGGGTACGATGCATTCAGTGTTACAAGACGATATGGCGCTAATGGTCCCTAGATCTTCACAGCTAATTGGCGGTGTCTTTGTGCCTGCAATGGTGTCGTGGATCAAGCATGTCAATTACCAGCTGATCTTCGCCGTGGCGATGCGTGAGTACATTGTGCGCCAGAGCAGATCGTGTCTCGTGGCTGACAATAATTGCAGAGACCATCTTCTTCGGTCTGGCAGCTCTGATCACTCCTACCAACCTTGCGTGGCTTATGGTCTGTCAATTTCTGGCTAGTAAGTACCTAGCACGGTGTAAGTGTACGATGCCAAACACTGACGAATCTGCAGTGTTCCCATTCGGCTGGATCACCCTGAACTGCTACACAACGGCTTCGCTTAATGTACCACAAAAGGATCTTGGGGTAGCCATAGGTTTGATTGGCACCTTCAGATCTGTGGGCGGCTCGATCGGAAGCGTCATATTCTCATCCATCTTCACACAGGTCGCTGCCAGGCGTGTAGCAGCCGGCATAGCAAAGAAGACACTCGAAGCTGGCCTGTCACCCGAAGCCATTCCGGAGATCTTGGAGGCCGTCGAAATGACGCTTGTAGGCGTGCCGGGCGCTGCCGCGAAACTGACGAATGTGCCGATGGCTGTGTTCGAATCTTGTTTGGAGGCGGCGCGATATGGGTATGCTTACGGCTTCCGCATTACGTGGCTCGCCTCCATACCGTTCGGGATCATCGCGCTGCTCTGTGCCATGGCTGTCAAGGACTGCTCGCGTTTCTTTACAAACCATACTGAGATTCATTTGAACGAGAAGATTGGCGGAAAGTACGAAAGTGGAGTACATCCTGCAAAGAGCGAGACGGCTGTTTGAAGGACGTATAGCTACGAAGAGCACTTCGAAATATCATCTGAGAACACCTCCACCGTCTAATGATAGATTAGTTGTGGACTTGCGCTTGCTTGAACTTGACATACCAATAGTGATCAGACTGCCGGTAGCATAATCAGCCCTCACAGCATACAGATATGCTTCCGCGATATGCTCTGATGTAGCACAAAACCCGACTGGGAGTGCGTTGCCAAAAGCTGCAAAATCTTTTTCCTGATCTTCCTTCGTCTTGCCCATCTTGTCCCACAGCTCTGTCGCAACCATTCCAGGCACGACACAATTGACACGAATTCGCTTCTCGGCAAGCTCATTTGCAAGACCTTGGGTCATCGTCTAGAGAAAGTGTTAGGGAGAACTCATAAATGTCTCAGAGTTGGGCTCGACCCATCCCACTTACAAACAGACCGGCATTCAAAGCACCACCAATTGAAGCAGTCTTGCCAGGATTCATGGCACCAGTCCCGGATGTAAGGGTCAAGGAGCCACCTGGTGAGATGATGTCGTATTTTGCCACAGCCTTGCCGCACGTTGCCGCACCCCAGAACTTGACCCCGAAGAGGTGTTTGCATTGGTCGAAATCTGCGTCGGCTATTGACCCTCTGATAATCTGCAATGCTTTGGGTTATCTCAAGCTCCTGCCAGTACTGTACCTCACAAGCTGACGTTTGGGAACGCCAACGATTGCTTTCCACAAAGTTACTGTGCTTACCCTACGAAGAGTCAGTACAAGTAAGTAGACACGACAAGTCAGGAGAGGCCTCACTTATCAACTCCAGAAAAGACGAGATGGTCGATCGGTGCTAGCGAGCGGAGGACTGCAATGAAGCTCTCTTCGTCTCGCACATTGCCGACCTTGCCAGTAAAGTGTGGATCATCCACGTCGCTGGTCACAGTCTTGACCTTCGCCTCCGAAGAGGAAATGATAATTACATGTGCGCCGTGCTCGAGAAAGGCTATGGCTGCTCCATGTCCGATGCCTTGTATGCTTATCAGTAAGTTGCTAGATTCACTAGATCCGAAGACGTGCCTGAAGAGCCGCCAACCACCACGATCTTCTTGCCTACCAGCTTGTCTCGAGAGCTGACCATTGTGGTGGCCTCTTTCCTATCCTCTTCAACCAGAAAGTAAGAGACATTACGGCCTTACAACTACATGTACAATGTCGTTGATCTATCAGGACCCCGCAGTCAGCCGGGTGATTGCCCTCGCTGACCCGAAGTCGGCAATGCTTGACCAGCCGTCAGATAAACGAGCCCGGTCGCAGCAGTCACGCTTGCAAATGCTTCTGTGCGAGCCGAGCTGATGATGGTGTTAAGTAGTGGAAGGAGGACAAATGTGACCTAGTCATCAATGGCGCACGGAGTCTTGTCGGACCGTTCCGCCTCGTGGCAACGTGCATCTCGAAACCATGCCTTTCCTTTGACCACAAGACGCCACTACAGATCTTCCCAGCCACGGGTCGTCTGACTAGAGGAATGCCGTGATGACGCCTCACAGCCACCTTTGTGTCATACGGACATGCCGCCAAGACCCATCAAAGGCCCAGCAGCCTTGGAAAGAGCCCGCAAGCGAGCCGCCACTTCGGTTAAAGCATTGAAGGAGGCGAGGGAGCGACGACAATGTGCACTTGACAGATCATTGACCACCGTATGCGACAATGTTGTACAGCCGTCCAAGACAAAGCAAGTATTGGTTAAAGCCACATCTCCGTCACCATCAGTCTTGCAGGGCGACGTCAGAAGCTATCAGTCAAGAATACCGACATTGACAGCTGCCAAGGCCTCGCAAAGTGCGTACACGTGGATCAACAAAACGAGACATTGCTGATCATCTAACAAAAGCAGCGTCATATGCTGAAACCCAGCCACCAAACCTGAAGCTTCGACCAATTGTGAAATCCTCTTCACCGATTACAAGTCGTTTTCAGCGACTACGGGAACGCACTACCAGGCAAATCAACTCCACCTTCACCCAAGTCCGTTCGAGATGGCAGGGCTACCATGGGTATGCCACGATTTTCGAGCTGCGGGATCTGCTCGGACTGCCAGGTAGCACAAGAGCTGGCCAAGGCCCCGCCCCTAATTCCGTACTCATCGCAATCGATACCGAATTTGAGCGCCTGGGTCTAGTCAACCACGTCGTAGAGATTGGCATCACTGTTCTGCGACTCAAAGACCTCGTTGGGGTTGAGCCCGGAACCAATGCTAGGGCGTGGCTCGCTAAGTCGGAGCATCGACATATGGTTATCGACGTGACACAGCAGCCGAAAACAAGGATGAGCACCAGTCTGTTTGGCAAGAGCCATTTTATTGAACCTGCTGGGGCTCGTAGAATGGTACGGGCGATTTTGCAAGCTTGTGCAGATGGGAAACCCTTGCCAGAAACATATGACTTGATCGACATCGAGCCGATTGGAAGACGAGATCCTTCCATCGTCCAGCCAGCACCACAAGCGGACCTCTGGTTGGTCGGACAGTCCATCAGGGGTGATCTCGGAGCCTTAGCTGGACCACCGGTGGCACTCGATATCACCAAGCCGGCTGCACTAGGAGGTGTCGCCGTCGGCTCAGTGATTGACCTCTTGCACTTCGGCCAACATGCAGTGTCACTAGGTGCACCTTTACGCTCCCTCAAACTTGGTCGCGTTGTACGATCACTTGGAGCCGATGCTGTATACCATGATCCTAAAAAGCGCACGATTGTCGGCTGGCACAACGCAAGTAATGATGCTGCGTACTCCATGATGGCGCTGCTACTGTATGCGGTGCGGTGGGATAAGATCATTGCTTCTGCGCGGCCTGCTGCTCGTATGGAACCTGCTCGTATGGAACCTGCTCGTATGGGACCTGCTCGTATGGGACCTGCTCGTAAGGGACCCACTGGATGGTTTGGAGCCGTACAATCAGACTCAGCACGAGGTGTAGCACGAGAAGGAGTCCCAAGAAAAGATCGTGGTCGACATTACGTGGTCTGGCGCCGTGCAGCGGTGCTGCTAGCTGCTGGAGGTGGCATTGCTGGAATTTCAGTCGTAGGCTATGAGTCATTCTCGGGTAACTGAATTTAGAAGATTTGGAATATCACCAACCCTCCACAATTCTCAAGCAGTGCCGCTTGACGTCGCTTTGACCTCTGGCATAATGGAAATCGCCATTGGGGTTTTGAGCACCGAATAGCTAGCGAACTAGAGTTCAACGGGTCTGATGCGGCCCGTACACCGTACCCTTCCGCCTCCGCGATCGTCTTAACTCAATGTGTCTTCCGATCTCTAGCCCAGGTCTTGTAGTATTGGTGTCAACAACTTCTCCATTATCATTATGAGTCTCTTATCGTTCTCGCGACTGCTGGGCTGTAGTCATGCAGCCATGGGCGCTCGTAACGCCCGCATCACGCGGCATCGGTCTTGAATTTGCAAGGCGCCTATTGCAAACGACCAACATTCCGATTGTAGCAACAGCACGCAAAGATGTGGATCAGACGGCGGAGAACATACTTTCCGGTCTCGACAATGTCGTAGAAGAGAGGCTCAAGATGTATAAGCTGGACGTGTTGGGTACAAAGCCACAATACTTCATCATACGAAGGACTCATGGGCTGACTCAACAGCAGACGAACAATCCATCCACGATGCAGCCGACCAGGCCGCCAATGACTTCCCGAAGAAGACCTCATACCTGCATCTTGCGCTCTGTCTGCCCGGAATACTCCATCCAGAGAAGTCACCAACCCAGATAGACTACGACAACGCCCTCGTGACCTTCCGCACCAACACTCTCGGACCAATGATGTTGATGAAACACTTCTCACCTTATTTGCCACGCAAAGGCACCCCATTAGACCCATCAGATGGTCTCCCGAAGCAAGCAGTCTGGGCAACAATGTCCGCCCGTGTCGGCAGTATTACAGACAACGGCCTAGGAGGGTGGTACAGCTATCGTGCCTCCAAGGCTGGAGTAAACCAGTTGGCCAAGACCTTCGATAACCACTTGCGGACATCAGCGGGAGAGAAAGCAATGAGCATCGCTTTGCATCCTGGGACGGTCAAGACAGGACTGAGTAAAGAGTTCTGGGGAGGCGTCAAGGAAGAGAAATTGTTCACGCCTGAGTTCTCGGTGGAGAAGCTGATGGAGGTCATCTGTAGTCGTGGGCAAGAAGATAGAGGAAAGTGTTGGGACTGGAAGGGTGAGGAGATATCGCCGTAGAAGTCTTGTGGGAGAAAGCAAGTCATTTCTGGCATATCCATGCTGCACTTAGTACCAAGCTACGTCTTCCAGCTTTGGTGCTGGACATCCAGCCGGCTATATCTCTCACAGCATTATATCCGAATTTTCAGCTCATTTTCGATGGTTTCACTTGTTCATCTCCTCAGCCTTCTTCCTCCTCTCCTCCTTCGTGCCTTCCATAGGCTGGTCGCCGGCCTTGTCCGCACTCACTGGCCCGCCCGACTTCAAAGGCCCAATGCCACCGCCTGAGGAGCCTTTGTCACTTTCGATCGGCTGTATCTTGATCTCTGCAGAGCTAGTATTAGAACCCAGGCTACTGAGACACGTGATGTTCTCAGGGTAAGGACTTGCCATCTTTGCCGTCGTTTCTGGGCTGTTCGGGCATTGTTGAGGTACTTTTGGCAGTGCTTAGTATGTACAGATGATAGAAGGTCTTCAGTACTCCTTGTTTTTGTACAATGTAGAAGTTCGTGTACACAGGCTGCCATATTCGTACGTGAACTATGTATGGTGGGGCACTTTGTGATGTCATGGTATGCACGCGTGACTTCCTTCCAAGTTTGCACGAAAAGTCTGCACGAAAAGTCTGGCCGAACCATTTGTCGATTGACCATCGTTGCTCAGAGTGGCGTCGTCCACTCGACCACCGAAGACATCGACGGCACAGCGAACTTTTCAAAGTTGTTAACCTTGATGTGGATCACATCCCCAAAATACTCCTCAGCCCGCCTGCCCTTCTCCTCCAGTCCTCACCATACCCCACTTCCACAACACCCCTCCCCATCTCCCAAGCACCCTTCCGCATAGGATAGTCCAACTTCGGCGGGATACTCGTCTTAATCAACCCAGGCCAGCGATCCTGGCACACAGATTTAGCATTACACAAGCTCCGTAGACCCTCTTCACCAGCAAACCTCCCGTAACCACTCCCCTTTACGCCTCCAAAGGGAAGCTGGACGGCGTAGAAGACGGCGAAGTCATTTATGGCTACCATCCCGGCTCGGAGTCTCTCAGCCACGTATCGAAGATTTTCATGAGCTGTGCTTGAGGTTGTAGGGCCGAAGACTGAGGCGCCAAGGCCGTAGGATGTGCTGTTCGCTATTGTGATGCTGTCTTGCACGCTCTCGGCTCGCATAATCATGCAGATGGGTGCGAAGGCTTCCTCCTGTGCTATGCGCATAGTCGATGTGACGTTGACCAGAAGAGTGGGCTCGAAGTAATGGCCGTGAGGATAATCTGGGTGTTCGTGCCGATGTCCTCCAGTCAGGCACTCAGCTCCTTGCGCAACGGCTTCGGCAATCAATGCTTCCAGCCGGGTGAAAGAAGCTGGTGAGATCATGGCTCCCATGTCCACCGAGCCCCCATCGTCCGCAAGATCGTAGCCGAGACGCATAGCCTTGACCCTGGGCTCCAGCATGGCAATGAGTCGTTCGTAAGCCAGTGACGTCGCAATCACTCTTTCAATACCAATGCAATTCTGCCCACCAGACTGATACACTCCTCGCATGATAATGCTCGCAACTCTTCGCATCTCGCCCTCGCTTGTCGCCTTGCCAGCCGGATCATCAAGTACTATCGCAGGATCTTTGCCGCCAAGCTCGACGCACAAAGGTGTCAACGCTTTGGCCGCCTGTTTTGCAACTTCATGCGCCACTGGTCGACTGCCGATAAACGTAAGATGGCTGATACCGGGGTGTGCTGCGAAGTACGCCGCCGTAGCTGGCCAGCACGAGACTGCGTGGACAAGGTCAGGATCGTGACCACAGATTTTGAGTGCAGAGCAGACAACGTTGGCGAAGTAAGCGGATGACCAAGCTGTCTGCTCGCTGTTCTTGATGATTATGGCGTTGCCGCTGAAGAGTGCTGAGATTATTGGGCCTATAAGGTTGTGGAAGGGGTAGCTAGAGGATGTTAGTCGAAGAAGCAGAGATGTGTTGATAGTAGAGCTACTCACTTCCAGCTCACACATGCGCCAACCACTCCAAGAGGCTCATACCGCACCTCGTTCTTCTTGTAGAACATGAGCAGGTTAGTCGGCCGTCGACTAGCTTGCAGTGCCTTCTCGCCATGCAGGATAGTCCATTTCAGCTTCTCAGCCGTGACGAGCACTTCCCCGAATAGGGCATCGACTCTCGTCTTCCCAGAATCCAGGCATGCAGCTCGAACGATGTCATCTTGATAGTCAAGGATGAAGGTCAAAAGCGTCTTGAGCACACGTCTCCGTTGGCCGAATGTAGTCCTTGCCCATGTCTGCTGGGCTTTCGCCGCTTTGGCAATGGCTCGATCGATACCGTCTGGTGTTACTGGGTTGACCACGCCGAGCAATTCGCCAGTGGCTGGTGCATAGCATTGTATCGTTGTTGAGCCGGAGATCTTGATGGACGGCTCAGCCAGAGTCTTGCCTTTCCATCTTGGTTTGAGCTGTTCAGGGGCATGGACGGTGTATGGTATTGCCTTTTCCAGGTCAGGCGTAAGGAGGATATAGAGCAGCCATGCCAGTGTAGGAGCCCCTAGACTGGCCACCACGATTTGCACGACTCGAGTGGACGGTGACCAGTCAAATCTATCCATGCTGTAGAGTGTTGTACGCAAGATCGAAAAATCAAATGCTGACAAAGCGCCAGCGGCCTGGATCGTCCAAAGTGGATCTCGTGGCTTCCGTATTGGGAGGGAATGGCGTCAGGGCGGTATCGGGCTGCATGGCGGGGCAGGCACGGTGAGAGTGGGATGTGGTTGCCCTGACGGACGAGCTCGGGAATAGAGTTAAACAACGTCGTCCTGTCGAAACATTTTCTGGTGAACACAAAATATAGTATAAAAAACAACACAACAACTCTCAGCACACTATCAACAAGATGTCTGCAGTTACAGCCGGCGAGCAATTTCCTGGAGGCGTCAAGTTCGAGTATGACAGCACAGTCTGCGCAGATATCTAATAGTGATGGCCATGCTGACATTTGTCGTATAGGTGGGCTCCTATCACCAGCCCCGACCCGTCAGTCTGCGGCATTCCTCAAACGTATGATGCCAGCGAAGAGTTCAAGAACAAGAAGGTCGTCCTCGTCTCTGTCCCTGGTGCATTCACTCCAGGCTGCCACGCCAACCATGTCCCGCCATACATGAAAGACTTTAGCAAGCTTCAAGAGAAGGGTGTAGATCTCGTGGTCGTGATTGGCTTCAACGATGCCTTTGTCATGAGTTAGTCTCATATATTATATTCCTAATAACTGTGGCACTGGACTGATATCTTCCACAGACGGCTGGGGCAAGGTCAACGGCGCCGGTCCTGACAGCAAGATCCTCTTCATGAGCGACACCAAGAGCCATTTCGCCAAGTCCATGGGCTGGATGGCTGGTGTTGGTGAGCGCAATGCACGATTCGCCATGATCATCGAGAAGAGCGGGATCGTCACCTACGCTGAGAAGGAGGACAGCATTGGTGGTGTATCGGTGAGCTCTTTGCACACTGACACTGTCTGCTCCACACTGACTTTCGTGTTAGGTCTCTGGTGCCGATGTCGTCCTTTCCAAGCTTTAGGTCCATAGACGCTTTCAGACGCTGTAATGTGAATAGACTATAGACGCAGAACGTCATATCAACTCACATCGCCAGCCTGGAACACATTCGCCGCACTACGTATGTACCAGTTCATCTCAGCCCCAAGGCTCAGGCATGCTTTTCAGACACAACTGACTTTGAAACTTGGGTTATGTGTTCACACACGCTGTCTGCGCTTTGCCTTAGCTGCTTATTACCAGCTTCTTCCACTGACCCTTCAAAACCACGAGCCTAGCCCACTAATCGACAGGCTTATGACTCACTGGTTGAGAACTACTTCATCCCTGCCCCAATGGGTAAATTCTTGGGCTCAATGACCATCTCATCGATTACCAGCAAGCAGAAGCTAAAGCCATAGCTGCTGTGATACCCCCCGAACGTAGCAAACGACGCAGACGCAAACGCAGACGCAAGAAGCATGGCGGGCCTCTAGATCCATGCTTGTTGTCTGCAGACCCACGTACCGGAAAGAGAACAGCCAATCGATCTACTAGTCATGATAGAGACACTCGCATGAACCTCAGTAGCGCCCTAGAGCGATTTCTCATTGGCATGAATGCGAAAGAGTCGTACTGCTCGTGACCGCTGGGAGAGTGTGCTTGGTCAGAACAGTGCATATATTGAGTGCTACATAGTGTGCAGGCAATGTCGTCGAACATAGTACACATGTTAACAGCTTCCAGACAAGCTGAAGAGTCCCATCACGTACATCCCCGACCGTCAAAGATCGTTCCATGCTGTAGATTGCCCCGATCTGCTTGTATGTCTCACAGGAGCACTCTTATTCGATTTCAAAATTGCTTCATACATTGACGCCATCAGCCAGTCATGCGGCCTACGCCTAATTTTACAGCAAATCGTCCAGCAGCCTGGGCAGCTCAGACGCCAATCTCACGCATGATGATGGCACCGAAAGCCTCATCCTGCTCGACCTGCAGCAGGTTCTTCGTGCCGAGCGCCAGCACATAGAGCAGACCCTGTGCAGCGACTATATGAGTATTGCTCCCCGGTGGCAAGAGAGTCTCAAAGTTGACACTGCCTTTGAGGACTTTATCCTCTTCATCGCCTGGGCTGGCAGCATCATGAGCATTGTCGGCTTCGACTATAGCCGCTTGCACGAAGCCGAGGAAGTTGATACTTTCACCGTCGAGAATCGGGCGTTGCCATTGCGACTGAGCTGCTGTCTGAGTATCGACTTGTGCAGCAGGACCGTACAACTCAAAGTCGTCGAGACCATTCATGATCACGTCCTCACCGCCAGCTTGATCGCTATAGAGAGTTTGTTGGAGGTCTTCGAGAGCGGCGCCAGGCGGACCACGGCCCGTCAATGGCGAAGCCGACAGCAACTTGCTACCGCGGCGACTGAGTGCGCCAGCTTGGCCGGATCCAGCCAGAGAAGCAGAGGTGAAGTGACCCGTGGGGCGTCTGGTGCCGATGCTCTGGTTCCATGGGAATAAGGACGAGATTCGGCGGTCATCGAGTGGAGTGGGTGCTTCTCGACCTTGTTCGACGCCGGTGTAGTCATCGCCAAACATGGGAACGTACCCGTCGTCGTTCAAGAATATACCACGGCCCTGCTCGTCCGATGAAGGCTCCTGGTCTCGGGACCGCTTGCGTGCACCTTGATCGCCTTCATCTTGAGCATTCCTGCCTCGCTTCCCACCAGCCCCGAGAACGTCGAAGCCGGTAAGAGCTTCGAGGAGCTTGGCGCCAGAGAACATCCCGAGCGGTCCACGCATGAGCATATCACTCTGGTTGAAAGCGCCAAAATCCGCAGCACCCAGCACCCACATTTTAGCGTTCTCCTTCGCGATAACAAGAGCTCTTGCAGCGTGCTTCTGACGCATTGCGTCGTGCATGTTGGCGACGTAATCAGTATTCCAGCTGGCGAGATCACCATTGCGCAACTCCATCGTTAGGTCGGGCATCAGTACTTTTGCTTCCGGTCTTCTTCGATGACGAGCAGGAGCTACGGCAGTCACCGTTTCGGATGATACCTCTTGCTCACGACTTTCCTCATTTGTACGATGTGAGAATGGCTGAACATTAGGGCCTAGCTGGAAGTCGTCGTCCAGCACAGGCATAAAGCCATCGTCATCTGGGCGATAAGGCTATGGTAGTGTTAGTATCATGGTTGCAAGACAAGGGCAGGCACCACAAACCATCTCCTGATTCTGACCGCCGTCGTCGAGTCCACGTCTGCCCGAGCCGGCGCTGATCGAGCCAGCAGACTGCCTGACAGGCGCATCACTGAAGTGCATTGTGCCATCAGCGTCAATGACGAAGCCAAGATCGTCCTCCAGAAGCATTGGTGCACGCCGGCCAGCACCAGAATTGCCGCGGATGCTGAAACTGCCGCTGTTGCCACCGACTGGACCACCTATGAGTGAGCTGGAGCGGCCGGGAATCTCGATGCCTGGTAACGTCTGACGAGAATCGCTTGTAAGCTGTGAGTTGTATGGAGACAAGGCTGAACGCTGGGAGTCTTCTAAGTTCGTGCTCAGATCGAACTTTAGCTGATCTGGGACCAGTGGTAGCAAGTTAAGATCCAGGAGGAAGTTCGGATCGTCTGGCAACACGAGCTGGTCGGCACTGCAGTGGAGGTTCAGCCTGGGTCTCTCAGACGTGATCGGGCGAGAGTGCTTACCGTCCCTTATGCTGCCCTTCAGGCTCAAGCCCACTACTCTGCAAAGCCTTGAACATAGCACGCATGTTGTTCTTCGCCGTCTCTGCGTCGGCAAGCACATATCCACACTGCTGTGAGTAGACGCGTGCCACGCCATAGAGCAGGTTGCTCTGCAGCCTCAATGCCATGGGCGCATCAGGCTCAATGATCGTCCCACATGCTCTCTGCACGTCCACGTCTAGGATGGCTTTGCGGGAGACGCGTTTGTGTGTGGACTTTGAGCCTAAGGTCGCGACGAGCCAGACTGTTGCCACGCCATATTTGCGGCTCGTGAGGACTGAGACATGTCAGTGATCCAGTTGTGTGCCTTCGCTGTCTCCAGAAGGCAGTCATGGACGCGTCATTGACGCGATGCGCTCGCGTCGAAACGGCGACGAGATGGAGGCATACCTTCGTGAGAGTAGAACATGGTCAGCTGAGGGCACGTAGGCTACGCCTCATATGTCAGGTGAATGAAGTGAGAAGAATGAAGTGAATATATAATGCAGAATGCGAGAGCAGAGATGAGGTATATTATCGTGCAAGAGCAGGAAATCAGGGGCGCGTGTATGGGCTGCGTGAAGTGACGTTGACGGCCAGACGGGCCTCAGGCAAGACGCGATGGAAAGCATGCTTAACAGGGAAGGAGCGACCATCAGCAGGGTAGAGAATCATCGTTGTGGCGTTGAAGTCATACTCATCTATGGATCTAGTCGCCAGGCATGCAAGACCACCATCACCGCTGTGAGGTCTCCCCTTCGCTCGTTCATGCCTTGAAGCCATTGGCTTCTTCGATCTTCGGCAGCTCGACAGCACGATATAGGAGGATCAGTGCCGAATGCGTCTCACCACCACCAGCGAGGGTCTCGATCTTCTCGGCCTCAACCTCCTGGACTTTCTCGTCGTTGAACCACCACCACTTGCCGTCCTCGGGCTTGCCAGGAGTGGCAGACTTCTTGACGTACGCAGTATAGTGGCCGGAATCTGCAGAGGAGCCTTGGTGAGTGACAAGAGCGCGAAGTTCGTAGAGACCAGTCTGATTGGCGCTCGAATCCTTCTTCATATCCTCGTGCACAGCCTCGAGCACGTTCTTCTTCAGCGACAAGACCTTTTCAGCACGCTCCTTCTCGATCTCGTCGTCAGTCTTATGCTTCTCCTCCGTACCGCCCATTTCGGTGTCCTCTTTCTCCTTCTTGGCATCGCCTGCAGATGACCCATCCTTCGCCTTCTCCCGCTCTGCCTTCTCCTTCAGCTTCTGCATGGGCTCATCTGCGCGCACTTTGCCCTCGTTGACAGCCTCGACTTCAGCTTCCGCCTTCATGCGCTTCTGTCTCTTCTTGGAGCGCTCCACATCTTCTTCCTCCTTCCTTACTTCTCGTATCCGATCACGAACCGGAATTAACTTCTTCCTGAGCTCATCCGTGCAGAACTCTGTGACATCGATCTCGTGCTGGAAGGTCACTTTGCGCAAGATCTTCGCCTTCTTCTGTGTGTCGCGGCGCCAGAAGAAGCGAATCATGTGGACAGGCATATGCTTGGGTAAGCGGGAGATGCGAGATGTGCGTGTGTATGTAGCTTCGCGATCCAGGGTTGGCGAACGCTTCTCGAGCTTCTCGTTCAAAGCGATGCGCATCCCATCCGCCAAGTGATTCACCTCGCTATTGATATTGCACTTGAGGTCATGGAAGGTCTCGGCCGCCGTGGTGCTTTCCTCCTCGGGTGCATCATCGCAAGTTGTGGTCACCTCGTACTGCCCACCCATGTACTTCTCAACCCAGCTCCTAAAGTTGCCAGAACCGTCGCCAGGAGGCAATTTAAGGGAGTCGTGAAGCGTCTGCACAACCTGTGTCCACACCTCTTCAGCATCCTGCTGCGCAAAGCCATGGCCACTCTTAGCTCGTTCCGCAAACTGTGGGAACTTCTGACGGAGGGTAGTGAGGAACATGATTGGAGGAAAACCTTGCTGCGTGTCGCCCATCTGCTTGTAGAGGTCCTTCAGAGCAGCCGTTAAATCGTTGCCTCCACCCAGCCCGCCAATGCCATGCTGCGCGAGCTGATCTGCCGAGAAGAGTGATGACGAGGACGAGCCGCTTTGCGCGATCTGAGGCTTGTACCCCAGAAGCTCTTCTTGCAACTCTGGTATGCATCGTAGTGTTTGGAGGGTGGCGTTTGCGTAGCAGGTGTTGCCTGTGTTCTGCAGCCCAGCCGGTGTGGCGCCGTCTTGCTGCGCAAGCTCTGCCTCTGTCATGTCCTCGCTGAACTTCATGCGCTCCTTAGGCAAGTCCATGATGATGTCAGCTGAGGGAGCACCCATAAGAGTGATGGTGGCGCCGCTCTTCAGTCCCAGCGAGGACAATGATGTGTCGTCCTTGACCATCTTCTTCGCCAATACTTTCTGGTTTTGTGGTTCGACATTTGTGAGTGAGTAGAGCTGCATCTTCAGCTCCTCACCCGTCGAGTCTGTGTCAACCTCGACATCATACACCTTTCCCATGTGCTTCACTTTCACAGTGATCTCCGGCATCTTTGCGGTGATTGTGTGCGGTCGTGAACAGGTGGTGGATGGTGAGCAATCTGTGTACGTCGAGAGAGTGGTCGAGTGCGTGGCGATCAAATGTGCAATCGATAGAAGTTCAATAGAAACAGAGAGATTGTTGACATGACGAAAGCTTAAATGTGGAGGCAACCAAGCCGCGTTGTCGCGGGCCTAAGGCAGGAACGTTCAAAAAGGGAAGGAACGATCAACGAGAAAATAATCTATAACACGTGACATTGCAGTCGATGTATACTGATGTGACGCATAATGTGCAATGGTGAACCAATCGTTATAACAGCGTTTTATGATTGCTAATCCCTGATGGACATGGTTCGCCTCACAAAGAGCCTCCTCCTTGTCACCACTATGAGCTACATGCCAACCACGGCCATCGTTCATGCAGCTCACCATACATACACACAGCCTTGCATGTAATGTGCCAGGCATGTAGTCCTGCCTGAGAACAAATTACTGCCTCCTGCTAAGCGATGTCTGTCAAACTCTTGCGGAGACAGGTTCAATCGTTCCTTTGTATGGGCTGACCCATACCTCAGTTGCGCCGCTATTACCAGCAAATGAGCCATTGACTTCGGTGTTGATCATCGTGCTGAGCGGAGCCTTCTGAAAAATGGTTGGGGATGTGGGCGAGCCACTCCATCGCCGCAGAGTCTTAGACATGGGACAATCGTGGTTGGCCAGCTCTGTATTTGTCTTGTATGGCAGCCCAATTGTGTCACGAGTTCCTTGAAGTTTCGATCAGACACAACAATGGTTCGCTTCGTTGACCATGGTCGGGAGCAGTCATGCAGACTAGAGCCAGGAGGCTTCTGCTCGTGGGTGGGTCGCCAATGAGTTGATGTATTGATGGCTGCACAAGATATTGTAGGACCACTTCTCAACCAGCGGATGGTGATGCTTCAGATTTGGCAGCCTCAGCCGTCTTTGCAGTCAATTTGTCGATCTTGTTTTGTAATGCCATCTTCTGGCTCGTCAATCGTGTTTTGGCCAGCTCCATGTGCTCAATGCGCTCTGAGATGGGCGCTTCGAGTACCGCTTTCCGCTCCTGCAAGTATGGTGAGGTTTATGCTGTTTAGATATTCTCGAATATGCATACCTGGCCATAATCTTGTCGTGTCTTCAGGCCGGCACCATACCAGGTGCCAACCGCTGTGATAGCCGCAACAGCCCCTGTGATGACATAGGTTCGTATTGGATTGGCCGGTAGTCGTGCCATGATGAAGATGCTATTCAAGAGTCGATGGGCGAAGGAACAGACATCCATACTGATGTTTTTAAACTCGCGGGAGCAGCCGACGCGCCACTCACGCGTACTGACTTCACGAATCAACATTACCTTCACCCATTACAAACCAAGATCACCTTGCAAGAAAATACGAGATAGAGTACCTTGTGAGACGGTACCAGATCGCAGCATACGATGTCAAACTCTACGAGCCGCACTCCAAGTGCAACGCACAATCGTCTTTCAACAGTGCCAACCTCAGCATCAAAGTCGCGCCAATTATCACATCTCCATGCTCAGCTGGCACAACTTACAGCCAACATGTCTGATCTGGAGAACCTTTTACGTATGACCGCGGTGCAAGCGGAAGGCATGCGTGGCTTGGGTGGCTATGCTGGTGGAATGTGAGTGTGTTCTTACGTCGTTGAACAGATCAAGACTGACTTGTCGTTACAGGTTCATGGCTGCTTCCAAAGTACTCGGCGAGGAGACTGTCAGTGGTGGTGGCAGTAGTGCTGCTGGGCAGGCTACCAACAAGCAGGGAGACAAATGATCGATCGACTCTGCACCTATCGTTGGCGACGACGACAACTCAAGACGTAGAGCCTGGGGTCTGGGTAAGACCACCACTTGTCCAAGCTATCAACGCATATCATCCTATGGGGCCGTGGCACTACTATTCATTGCCAGCTGCAGGTCTGCTGACCAGCCTCTTACCTTCACACAGTCAGCCGGTGCTAGCGAATCTCTTACTTTACACGTTTCGGTGGGTGTAGCTCATATGGACAAACGTGGACGTGGCCAGCGTTGCGCACGCATTGCTACTCACCCTTTGATTAAGGCATATGATACTGTCGCTCGTTCACTTTCTAATGCAAGCCCACAGCCACAGCTATTCATCACACATGCTCACTGCTTCCTTTCAGCTCGACACTCGGTATCGAAAATGGCGACCAACACCTACGCCGAGCAGCACATTACTCTAATCAAACACATATTTGCCGAGAAAGACCGCTTGATCCTGGAGAAAGACGAATTAGTGGCTTCCAAAGATCGCATGTGGCGGGAACTGTCTGCCATCATTCGTGAACGCGATGCTGAGATTGCACAACTACGACACGCAACCCTGATCAAAGCCTCGAAGTATGAGGGCCGTCCAGAGCCTCGAGATGCGAGTACACCGGAAGACATCAGAGGCTTGAAGCAGCGAAACGCAGCTCTTGAACTGGCTTTACAGGACTTGTGCGACGGTCCAAGCGACGACGAAGATGGTGAAGAATCCTAATTGGAGATCAAACAAAGCGGCGGAAGCATTGTCGAGATGGAGGGTGTTTAGGACGATAGGTATGTCGACGAGACCAGCCACCTATGCTCACACCACTAATAAGCTACAGCGGATCTGAATTATTCGTGGGTCTTGAATGTGACCCTCTGGAGTATGGAACTGCTAGCCCGCCGCATCGTCCGGCTGCGCTGCGAGGATTCTCTGCACAGCAGTCGTCGGCTTCTAGAAGTCTGGGCCAGCCAGAGCGCTCTGCCATGACGAGCAGTAGCCGCAGCCTTCAGGCAAAACAGTGCTTGGCCAGTGACACTGTCCGTAGGCTTACGGCGAATCTCACCTTCGCTCCACTGATAGACTCCGCGATGCCTGGCTCACGCCGATCTGGACAACATTGCCAAAGTAGCGCCCATGGTCCTTCAGTCTGTCAACGAGCAAGCACAACTACACCAACAGTGAGTAGTCGCGAAGACGTCCATACCATTCCCGACCAAGCGATTCCACTCTACTGGCTGCATGTGGCATTGGATGCACAAATGTACTTCAGACACGGTATGGACCACCGACAGGACGCACGACTTCACCTGCGCTGCTTGTTTCAATTCCCGACGCGTATGCTTGTTCTGGTGTGGCAAAGGCAGGTGGATACTGCTACCTCTGCCGCCACAAGTCCGGAGCGCTGGGGTAAGATGGGAAGACGAATCATACTACATTGCGCCAGGCGAAGCTGTCGTGAGTCGCAGAGACTATCCTGGCGTCTGGCTCACAGCGAAGTCGCACAAGAAGAAATAGAGACAAGTTGTCGGTTCTGCGCAAGGCTGATCGTCCAGCTATATCCTTTCAGTAGTGCTGCAAGGGATCATGCCCAGCCATCGTCACGGCGCGATGCTGACCTGCCCAATAGGAGCCACAAGCAGTGATCAGATAGGAACATCGATGCCAAGCTCCTTGACTCTTCTCGTCAACATCTGCTTTCAAAGCACCAAATGCTTCGGCGGTACGAGCTCTAATATAGACAAGCATAGTCGTACTTTTGCGCGGCAACCCAGCGAGTCAGTGCAATATCAGGCGATATCGTATACCGTTCGGCCTTGTCTGCTTCCAGTAGACGAAGAGTATATCTGTGGCGTATTATGCCTAATCTTAAGCGTTTGACGCTTGCCATGTGTTGGGAGAGGCTTGTCCACTTTGGTCATTCCACACTTGGACAAATAAAGATCGTATGTATAACTCGTACCGTGAAGAGATTATCAGACGGCTTCGTGCTCCTGCCGAGAAGCGTCTGCGCTTTTTCGGGTATATGAATTGCCGGATCCATGCGTGGAAATGATACGGAAGAGTTGTGTAAGGAATGTGCCGTCTGACAATGGACTGTAGTCATGCGCCACAACACTATTCGCATCAGATCGTTCTACGACGACAGGAGAGAAGTCTGTTCATAGTGGCGCGAGCACTCTGCCTGAGCCCGCGCACGAACGCGAATGCGTAGGGGAAGATCTGCTGGACGATCTTATCCGCCATGGTATACAAGCACCATTAATGAGCTACATGTTTCACGTTTTCCGAACATGCAGGTACAACGCATATACTATCAAAGATCGTCGGAGCACTTTGTGGTGGGGATTATTGTCACACGAAGGCGTTTTCAGGAGAAGTAGAAATCGGGGATGGATTGCGGAGCGGGCAGTGACATTCGTCGCTTTCATTCTCAGCTTGGATCGTCGACAGTTCGAGATGATCAACAATCCGATGATGCCATCAGTCTCTGAACGGAGCCGAAGCCGTTGAATCGTTGCGGCCACCGGACAGCGGGAGATCGTCAGAGTGTGGCGAGCAAAAGGATCTGCTTCTTGCAGCCGCCATGCATCGCTATTTCCGTCTTACATGCATTCGCAGCAAGCACAACGAACATGAGTAGTAGTGCGATTGAAAGGCTGTGTTACGGAATGAGCCAGCAACGGATATAGGAGGAGCTCGATGCTGTGTGCTTTCGACACGCGCCGTGCCCTTGCGTTCATGTCGGGTCCGGCTGGCAAGGATTCAAGTGCTGTCAGATTTTACGATACGAAACCGAGTGGTGACATTTGTCATGAGCATGTCGTTCAAAAGTCGTGGTACGTTCACCAACGCTTGGTCAAGTCGTGCCCATCAGCCGCACCGCAAAAACAAGGTCGAAATGGTAGAAAGTTGTAAAAAGTTTGCAAGCGAATTGTCGATGCTTCGAGCGCCTCTTCATTTCACGCGACCCTCATATGTGTCTGCAAGCGGTGAGAGACGATAACGACTGACCTTCCTTTGTCTCACTCTCAATCTGTCGGCCACCGAAATACCACAGTCGCGGGCGGGAACATACAACTGCCATTAGTCTGTCGTTGTTGGACGGCTGGGTTCGTCGTGGCGCGAACGCCAAGCTGTCAAGTTTGCGAGCTTCTAGAGCTTGCTATACCCGCAATAAGCGATTCGGGAACGGAAAGGAGAACACAGCTCGAGCGGAAAATGCTCGCGGGAGTTTGAAGAACATGATGCTGCTTGCGTGTCTCTTACAGCATGTCCACAGCATCTCCGACATCAGATCTTGACCATAAGTCGTCAGGAAGATCTCCAGTAGGGTGAGAGATGGGCAGTTGACATGCAAGCGAAAGCGACGGCTTTGATGATACTGTAATAACAATAGTAATAATCGCGCGCTGTCGAGAGACCTTTTCGGGCATTCTTACAGGCTATCCGATCCTTCTCGAGCTGGGGTGAGCGGTGATGCACTTGAGTGACGCGCGGACTACCTTCACCAGCCTCAATCCGCGGGTGGGAGCACTTTTGAGTTGCACCTCCACGAGCCCTGCCTTTGCCACGCGCAACGTGAGAAATGCTGGGCAGGAGCACGGCCAATGGGTCGTACTCGCTATTCACTGTGCAGCCGGCATGTGAAAGGCATTCGTTCGCGCCTGTCGCTGAGAGAAATGTGTGATCTATTGCGGCGTCGGGCATTATTGCTATTTCTTTGTATGATTATTATTGCAAGAGCCGCCAGCCCTGCGAGCCAATTGCCGCGCAGAGTCGGTCCTAGGGTGCTTCCAGTCAGACCATGGGAAGGCGCTCAACGACGATCAAGCGTCGCCCGCTGCTAGTTGCATGTCAGGGTAGTCTATAGTGCATGCTTGCTCTTACTTCGTCGCCTGCAGCTAGCTGTGCGTTCCACGTTGTCCATCCATCCACGCATCAAAACCATCGCTTATACTGCTCGAAGGCTTTTGGGTGTCAATTCAGCGCTCTCTACCCTCTCCACCACGCTCGTTATATTACCGTCCTCTCATCAGCGACCCAAGAAACTTTGGCCCAGGATCCAGGAAAATTTTGGGCCCGCCAGGATTTCCCTTTTCTGAAACTGCGACAAAGTCCGTAGCTTCGGGCACTAATCTGCGCGGCATCAAAGTCAGTGCCAACCGCTGCCGCCGCCGACGCCGTGGTGCCTGTTGCTGGCCTGCTCTGATCTGAGCTCGCCCAGCAAACCACGCTCCCACGCACCGTCATCCCCGTCCTGTCATTACTGGCCTGGATTGGCGACAGGAAGGCACAGCAATAATAATAATGGCGCCGACGACTCCTCGATTACGGATCCTCTCAGGTGCGTGCACGATATCCATATCCATATCCCTCCCTATTGCTGCGAATCTATCCCATCCCTATACCATCTCACCATCCTGCCGGCCGTACCCACTTTTAACCTCATCCGAATCTTCAAGGACGCGACTCACGAAAGATTGGGTTGCACAGGGCTCCAGACTACTCATTTGCTTGATCTTGACTTGCATCCATTGCCCACGACCTTCACAATGGCGATGGACAACGACGATGAGCTAATGCAGCGCGTGTGTACAGTGGGTGGAAATGCGGTCTCTGCCTTCCTTTCCTGGCGACTCTCGGCCACGAATGCCTGCGACGTGACGCTGGTATGGAAGAGTGGCTACGATGCCGTCTCACAGTATGGCGTATCATTCAGGTACGGCAGGAGCAGAGACATACGCAGCTGTGAGACATGGCAAACAATGCTGACGGCGCATACAGATCTAGCAAGTTCGGCAATGAGCGCTTCAAGCCGAGACACGGTAAGCAGTGCTATACAACCTGTGATACAAGCAACAAAGACTGACGTCTGTCGCAGTGGTGCGCTCACCCGAAGAAGCCGCCGGCATATCGCGAGCCTCCTTCGACTACGTCGTCCTTTGTGTCAAAGCCCTACCCGATGTCTACGACCTCGCCTCAGTGATCGAGCCTGTCGTAGCGCCACAACACACCTGCATCCTCGTCAACACTACCCACACCCTTGGCATAGAAAAGTACTTGGAGGAGCGCTTCCCTACAAATGTCGTTCTTTCCTTGGTATCGGGAGCAGAGATTACACAGATTGGCGCAAGCGAGTTCGAACACAAGGGCCCCACAGATTTATGGGTGGGCTCGACACAGAGTGACAGTCAGACCATACCACAATCTATACAGCAAGATATGGCCGAGGCGCTGGCGATGACGCTGAAGTCTGGACAAGTCGATTGTGAGGTTTCGCCAAATATCAGGCAGCAGCAATACGACCGGATGATTGGGTAAGCGTCACATACACATTTCAAAACTGTCTGGACTCCACTGACGTGTGCTAGACCCATTGCATTCCATCCGACCAGCGTCATGTTCGAAACGCCATCCCACGCCGATCTTCTGGAGAAGGTTGGCGTCCGATCGCTCATCTTCGGCATCATCGACGAGCTCATGGCACTCGCGCAGGCACAGGGCTGCGTGTTCCGACCTGGTTTCCGAGAACAGATCATGGAGCAGATGGTCGTGTCATCAGAAGCCAACAGCACCATGTACCAAGATTTCAGCGCCAGAAGACCAATGGAGATCGAGACCTACCTTGGATCGCCAACAAAGCTTGCACAGGAAGTGCAAATGCAAGTGCCACGCATAGAGACCATGTACGCCATATTACACCAGATCAACATCGCCAACCAGCAACGACCACAACAATCCACATCACCCGTAGCAGCACAACAAGCTCCCCCGCCACCAGCGCGAATGTCCCAGCAACCAATGCCTCGCGGCGCGTCGTATGGTCAGCCTCCGCCCAATGGCGCACCCATGCCGAGACCTGGACCTGGCCAAGGTGGACGTGGCAGCCGAGCGCCTTCTGCAGCTGGTGGACCTCCTCCTATGCGTGGAGGCAGGCCATCTATGAATGGCTACCCGCCACGGATGAATGGCAATGGCTACGGACCAGGTCCTCGTGGACCAGGCCAGATGTCACGGAGACAGTCGTTCGAGAACAATGATCTGGAGGAGTTCAGTCACCTGATGCTGTATGACGGAATACCGGATGGGCAACTAGTCGAGGCTGGATATGACGGCATGACACCTTCGAACTCTGGCGATCTGCAAATGCGCGAGCGAGAGCTGGCATTACGGCAGAAGGAGCTGGCTTTGAGAGAGCGCGAGTATAACGTGGGTAGAAGACGAGGCCCGCCCCCGCCTCCTCAGCGAGGTGGTGGTGGACGTGGAGGTGGAGGGTACGACGATGATGATGATGAGGATGGAGAAGACTTCTTCGACCCAATGGGCGGTGCGCCCGTGCCACACGCAGACGTCGACAATCTGGACATGATGAGCGTCACCTCACGGAGAACACGAAAAGCTCCTAGTGCGAGCCAACTCCGCACTAATCCGGAATTGATGACTGGAGGACCAGGTGGACGTCAGAGTCGTGGCCCATTCAAGCAGCGACCACAGCCGAAGAACAGGACGAGCGCTACAATCATGTCACAAATGCCAGGTCTGCACGAAGAATTGATGAGCAACCCACTCGTTGGCTATTCGTCAGATCGCTATGGCAATGTTGACCGTATGAACATGGGCGTTGAATCGAGGACGAATTCACTAACAGCAGAACGATTGAACGAGCTACAACAAGGCGGTCATCCGAACGGTAGCTATGGTGGCCCACCACCAGGCGCCTACCCACAACCGCCCATGTCCCGCCGTGGTAGCCAAAGCCCAGGCAATCCACTCAGCCCCAACGGTCGCCCGGCCTTCCGCCCGTCACCACCGAACGGCTACGGCCCACCACCCCCAATGGGCGGCCACCCGAATAGTCGGCCTAGCCCTCCGAATGGCGCAGTACGCGCCCCAGTGCCTCGCCACCCGCCAGGTCACGGCAACAGCGTCGCTCCGCAGCAGATTGAGCAACAAACAGGGGTGAGCAACTTATACCCACCCAAACCCATACATGGTGCCCAAGTACGCAGTCTGACGGGTTCCGCTTCGGCTAGCGCGGGGAGTGGTGATAGTAATCGTTCCGCCCCTATTGATTCGTCGGAGCCGAGCGCGCACAGTTCGAGTAGTTCTTTGGGGCCACGACATGCTATTGGGGTGCGGTAGGATCGCTGAGCTCTAGCATGAGCAGGGACGCCGAAGAGGTGAGAGAAAATGATTCGGAAGGGCCAGTGAGAACAAGGGTATAACACCATCCGATTCCAAACGAAGTCGCCATCGCATCATTTCTTGAGCTTACACGAAACATACGAGCATCTCGCGAGGTCCACCAGCTACTTCGACATCTTTCGCTATTCATCAATAATTTTTGGGCTCCAAAATAGCATTCTCATGCCGCAAGGCAGTGGATTGGCGTGAGGTCGAGAACAGCAGCACCAAATGGACTCTAGAGAAGAGAGGAAACATCTACGCCCACATCCGACCACTCGATACAGTACGACGTACATACACATAATCCTTCTCAGCAGGCAAAGGACTCTCACTTGTCAGTATCATCCTTCAAAAGGCATTGTTCACGGCGTTCTTCTGGGCCTGGCCATCGACACGGGCATCTTGCATTTTGCGATGACTGGATTTCTTCTTTGTTTTGAATGAGGTTGGGTGGGTTTGTGCAGCGCTTCTATTCTGGTTCTGGAATTTTTCCAGCCGCCAGATGTATCTTTTGTCGCCTCGGAAGGGCGAGGGACCGACAGGTCAGATTGTGGTAGTGTCTTATAGCGAGCAGCACGACACGCAAGCTCGTGGCGGTGATCAGCGCGCAGGTGGTCTCTTAGTGTGTACGAAGATGGGCTGGGTTAGAGTCAGTATCAACTGTGGCATGGCGTGGTTAGGGATCAAGGCTTTTTCCATCCCAGCATCTTCGGAGGATAGCATTAGGGATATATACGCATGTCAAAGGAGTCTTATCTTCAGTATCTTTTTTCGTACGCATTACCGCTACCATCACGCCTCTCCGATACCAGTCGCCGATCATACTGCTTGATCGTGCGCGTGTGTCTGTATTTGGCATGGCGTAATGTCCGAAGCCTTCCGCTCTTATGCAGCCTCATGCTTTGTCACTCCTACGTCAGTCCGCGATCACGACCTAGAGAGCGGCGATTGCCTCGTGTGAGGTACAAGGCTGCTGGGTGGTCCGTAATCCTTTTACAGGGCTACTTCAGCAACCAGGACACCTCGATGGCATGTATATACTCTGACGGGGAGTGACGTAGCAGACAGGCCCCACCAATAGCTCAAGGTATATTGAGACGATAGGAACAGTGCTTTAATCTCTGATCTGCAATTGCTCTGTGAGACTTGAGAGCTGGGAAATTGGGACGCCAGGTTATAGCTAGACACGACGACTGTGACCATGACAACCCCTCGCGTCTTCATCATCCGCCATGGCGAGACGGAATGGTCTCTGAATGGCCGGCATACAGGAACGTCAGACATCCCGCTCACAGCCAATGGCGAGAAGCGTATACGAGCTACAGGTCGAGCACTAGTAGGAGCAGATCGCCTCATCGTTACCAAAAACCTCGCACATATCTACGTCTCGCCTCGCAAAAGAGCTCAGCGGACTCTCGAACTCCTAGGTCTGGGTTGTAAGGAGGGAGACATACCCTGGGACAAGCACGGCGATATCGCCGAGACAAATCAGGGAGATCGAGTGGTGAAAGGTCCTGGCGTAGGAAGTGATAGAGACGGTGGTGCGGAGAAGAGTATTGATGGTAGGATAGTGGGGAAGGCGAACGGTGGTGATATAAGAGCGAAGGTTGAGGTGACGGAGGCGATACGAGAGTGGGACTATGGTGATTATGAGGGCATTACTTCGAAGCAGATTGCGGAGCAGCGGCAGAAGGATGGCGCGGAGGAGTGGAATATCTGGCGGGATGGGTGTCCTGGTGGAGAGTATGTTCCTGTTTAGCAACGCTTGCTATGCTCTACGGGCAAAAGATACATGAATAGTTGACTATGCTTTAGATCACCACAGCAGATCACACAACGTCTCGACGACTTGATCGACGATATCCGGACACGATTCCACGCCCACGCTATTGGTAAGCCGAAAGGCTCCGTCAAAGAACCATACGATGTCCTGATCATCGCTCACGGCCACATCTTACGAGCTTTCGCTGGTCGATGGGTGGCGAAGAACATCGCGGACAATCCTAGTCTGATCCTTGAAGCCGGTGGTGTTGGCACCCTCAGCTACGAACATCATAAGCTGAATGAGCCCGCTATTCTGCTTGGAGGGGCGTTCATGAGCGATGTGATCGAGGCTGTTGAGGAGGAAAAGAAGTAGCTGTGGGAGCTGCAGTAATGCTTTGCTGCTCAACTATCCTGCGCATGTGATGAAGCGATATACTGATAGATTAGCATAGTGTTATACGAACATAGTTACTGCTGCAGGGACATTCCACATGTCATGGAAGCGCTCCTTCCCAAATCGGCGAGGTGAAGCTTGCGCACGGACTCTGCATGTGCAAACAAAACCGCCCCCTGCCAGTGCAACCTTGACTTAGCACCACCACTCTCTGCACTTCTTCGCTCTTGTCATTTTCTACCTGCAGCAGAAGAACACAACCACACTACATACAAGGCGGGAGACATAACGCTAGTTACCCACTTCATGTCTGTTTCGGCGGCCTCCAGACTCACCCTCGCCGGCCTAAGAGGTGCGAGAAGCAAGCTAGAGTTCTCCGGCGCCAACTCGACTCCACGGGTGCTAGGAGATCGTGGCGTGCCCTCTCTCGTATCGCACAAATGCTTTACTACGAGCCTCATCGCCAGCGGCAAGGCACAAGAGGATCATCTCGGTCATGCAGCACCGGCGATGATTCCAACTTGATTGCTGGACTAATTGCGGAACTATGAGGAGCGGAAGGATGTAAGGTGTGGTCTCTTCCGACTCACGATCTTCCTCAACTACAACACCCCTGTCTCCGTGTATACACGTGTCTCCTATTGGGCGGAGGAACACCTCATCGCTGCGTCCGTGAAGCCATTGAATGAGAAGGTGAAACACATCATACACATCTGTTCGAATCTGCGCTTTGGCATACTGACTTAGAGCTATACAGACATAGGCCCAAGATTTCTCCGCGGCCGATCATGTGGACCATGAGCCTGGCGCCACCTTCGGAAGCTATGATCAAGATGTCGACGTTCCAGCTAATGGTCCGGCCCTGCACGCCATGAGGCTGTCGGTCGACTCTGCGATAAGTCAGCTACCCAGCCATGCCGCAACTGATCGGGTCCTTGACATGGACTTCACGGGGAAGGTCAACGTGCTTGTGGGCCCAGGTTGTTGGCTTCCTATGCAGATCAGCAAGCTTACCGCAGTGCTTGACCAGATTCGGGAGGCGGATGAATGCATCCGGGGAGTCGAGGCGGAGTTGATCTACAGATGTGATGATGCTAGCGGTCTGGCGCAGAGGGCCGAAAAGAGCGAAGTGGCTTCCGAAAGTTCGACGAGCTGTGAGGGTCGAGCTGAAAATGCGAGGACCGCCGCCCGACCGATGGACTTGGAAAGCTATCGAGGTGGATTCAGACTCATCGTTGTACTCAGTCCAGACGACGGAGCTGGCGATGCAGATTGTGCGGCGACGAAGCTGGAGGTGGAGAGGATAGTGCAAGAGCATACCGAAAGCTATGGTGGGGTACGTGTCTTGCCTCTTCGAGCACGTGGTTAAGGGAGCAGAGTACTGATCCGATTCCATCGTAGGTCGCCGAGTCCGAGCACCGGTTCTTCCCAGACGACTTCAGACAGGTGGGCGCAGTATATACATTCGGGGCAGGCGTTGGCGTAACACGCATCCGGCCCTTCTACAGACCGTGGCTTACTGATTTCTCATGGGCGGATTCGTCTTGCGCAGGCTCGCACGACTTTCGATTGGCGGACGTCAAGTATTTTGTCCTGCCAGTGGTGTTCATAACAGAGCCTTCCAAGGTCTTCGGCTTGCTGGAGCGTGTGGCTGCGGTGTATGGTGTCGTCGTCGTGGAGGCCAATCGCTTGAAGGTTGGGAAAGACGTGAGTCTTACGCAGGCTGAGGTTGGGTTTGGAAGCGAACTTCTACCGGTTCAGCGTCTGGAGTTCGAGATGGGAAGGAAATGAGCAGAAGTTGACTGGTGACGGTCCGGGGAGCGTGATGGCTTCGTTTGCAGAGCGTTAGTGGCTATGGGGGCGCTGAGAACTAGATTGTACTTCACACATAGGTCTACAGGAGTGCCATACTCTAGCTCGGGTGGCCAAGCTGCGAAGTAGATTGGTCCCTCCAACCGTCACTACAAGACATCATAAAAGCTGAGCGATCTTTCAACGCCCGCCAGCGCAAGCTCTCGTCAAGCATGCAAGCTATACCTTTGAGAACATCGTCACCTAATGCAGCCACATCACGCACACGCACTTATATCTTTGCTCCTCAGATCAGCTCGAAAAGTCGAAGCCTACGCTTCGCTGTCGTCCCGACCCTTAGCACCGCTTCATTTCGGTGAATCGCTACCGAAATATATGCCGTGTCCACCAGCACCACCAGCACAGGAGCGAACGTTCGACGCCGGAGAGAACGAAGATGTGCAAGCAATCCTCTGAGCCCACCCCGGAGACAGAGTCACAATGACGAAGGAGAGAAGGGCAAGATGAACGACCACGACTCGATTTGCTGAGATGTACGTACAGGTATCAACGATGCTAGCAGCAGTAGCAGCCGCCGGCTATCGCGTCGCCTGTGTAAGTGCGTAGCATATATACAGGGTGCACGACATCAGTCCGTCGTTACCTCCTGTCAGACTTCTCACACCCCGGGAATCCCCTCAAACTCCGCATACCCCAGCCCCAAATTCATATTCTGCAAACACTGCGTCGCGGCCCCCTTCAACAAATTATCAATGGTAACATTGACCACCACCCGCTTGCCAGACGAGTGGACCGCGAACCCGCCGATTTCCACCCCGTGTTTATTCGCGATATTCTTCACCAGGGGCGATTGGCCCGTGATAGTGATGAGGGGTTCGTTGTGGTAGCGGTCCTGTGTTGAACCAGTGATGTCAGCAGGGAGATGAAGTGGGTGTGGTGGGAGAAGTGAGGAGGCACAGGGGGAACAGGAGGGGGCGGCATACCTGAAACAAATTCCTAACATCGCGACTCGCCATCTTCTCCTTCAACGGTATGGAAATCGTATGATGAATACCCGCGAACCAAACGGCCACATGCGGGATAAACGCCACTTCCGCCCCTAACTGGTTACTGATTTCCCGCTCGTGGATATGGTCAGTCAGGGAGTAAGGGATAAGATTGTCCGTCAGATTCTTCACGTCGTTCTTAGGAGATGGCTTAGTCCCTGCGCCACTGTACCCACTCACGCCGAAGACCGTCGGGTGTGCAGGCGAAGGGGCGAGGAAGGGGAGTAAAGGGGCGATGCCTAGTTGTGCGGCGGTGGCGTAGCAGCCTGGGTTTGAGATGCGTTTTGCACTGGCAATTCTGCTTCTTTGGACGAGTTCGGGGAGTCCATACGTCCAGTTCCCATCGAAACGGTAGTCCGCCGACAAATCCACGACCAGCGCCTCGCTCGCCTGTCCTGACTCTTCAATAGCCTCGACAAATGGCGCACAGACTCCATTCGGCAACGCCATGATCCAGCAGTCTATCTCCTTCGCCTGCGCCATACGTCGCACATCCTCTGGACTTAAGTTTGAATACTCGAGATCCTTCTTCGTGTATTCTTTTAGTTTCTGGCCTGCGAGTTCACGGGAGCTGACGTAGCAGAGATCCATATTGGGGTGGCGGTTTAAGAGGTCGATGAGGGCTTTGCCTGTGTAGCCGCGGGCGCCTATGAGGGCTATGCGGGAGGGGTAGTTCTTTTCGGAGTTGTGGATGCCGAGGGGAGGGTTCGGGTTTGTGGTGGCGTAGTTTCGTTTTTGGTGTTGGTTGGCTGGGTGGGAGCGTCGTAGTTGGCGGGTGCTGGTTGAGAAGGCACGGGCTTGCTGCTGTTGCTGTTGATGAGCTGATCCTCCTGGCCTTCTGGCAATGATGCTCGCGGCGCCAGCCCTTATTCTCTCCGCCGCAGCCGCAGCGCGGTGAAGTTGGCTCTCAAGATTTACATCACCAAACATTTGTCTACCATGCTGCACGAACTCGGACATGAGTTGGCGCACCTCCTCGGGGTTGTCGACACCATACCAGAAGAGTACCTCACCCTTCTTGGCGATACTGCCGTCCGCCTTCTCGCTAAACCAAGTCAAGTTCTCGTCGTCTTGTTTCACCGTCCAGGCAAGATTTGGGTAGTCGCGTTTCAATTGCTGGAAAACATTATCAGCAATGTTGCTAAGCCAGGCTGATCGTGTCATCGTGAGGGTGGAGAGGTGTGCGAGCTGGTTTGTCGAGCCGGGTGCTGGTGGAAGGACAATAGCTAAAGCCTCCATGTTGTCGTCAAAGTAGGCGCGGAATGATCGCGACTTGAGCGTATCAAGATACCGATCCACCACAGCAGCCGAGTCCAAACCCGCACGATCCCTCACAAGCGTCTGCTTCAACATAGCCAACCCCTGCGTATCCAGCTCCTCCAACGACGAAGCCTGCTGCAACTTCGTCCCTCGTCGTATAAGCGTCCCAGCACCCGAGTGAGTAAAGAGCTCACGCTCCAGACTTTCAGGATGAATAATCGCCACAGAAGAGGAACGTGGAAGATCATCCAACAAAGTCTTGATATCGCGAATCTTACTCTTTGTCCCGTGAATAACCCACGACTTCTTCATGTACTCCTCATATTCCTCATCCAGATTAATCGCCTCGACCAGCTTCCCAGTCTCCTTGTCCGTGATCCCACCTTTCTCGGACAGGTAGACAATCTTGAGCGGCACCAACGCACGCGCGAGTTCGGCAGCGGCTTTGTCAGCGTTGACGTTCAATACCTGCCCGTCCTCGCTCTCAGCCATACAGGTCAAGACGGGAATGTAGCCATCCGCGATCGCCGCCTTGATACTCGGCGTATTAACCTGATTGACCTCGCCCACAAACTCATACGTCTCCCTGTCCTTATAATCTGCCATCAGCACGCCCGACGTTATCGGCCGTGCCCGCACACCCCAGCTCTCCAACGCCTCGACCAATTTCAAGTTCTCCTGCAAGAACAATTTCCTCGCGATCCCCAACGTCTTGCCGTCTGTGATGCGGATGCCTTCCTTGTACCTCGGCTCCACACCCGCCTCCTCCAGCAATTTGTTCAGCTGTGGTCCAGCGCCGTGGATGATGACGGGGAAGAGACCCATCTGGTTTAGATTGCGCAGGGAAGCACATAAATGGTCGATGTAGTCCGTCAAGATCGCCCCGCCGACTTTGATGACGGCGAATTGTTGAGAGGAGACGGAGGTGAATTGGGCGAGGTATTGTTGCACTTCACGTTTGCTGGCGATGTTGTTCAGTACGTTGATGACTGCTGAGCGGGCGGAGCCGTCGTCGTGGCGGGAGGTTGCTAGCCTGCGGATGTGTTGTTGTTGACGTGATGGTGTTGTAGGCGTTTGCAATTGCCGTGTGAGGGCCGTATTGCTGGCTCGTGTGTATGTTCGTGTGCTGCCGTGTGTCACTCCTCTCGCAGCGGCCTGCCTCAGCACCGGCCTGCTCAATGCCTGCATCTTGTCTGCTGTTCAATTGTCTCTAGCCCATGCGGCAGCTTCTCAAGTCAGTAGGGAGTAGGATCTCTTGTACTCGGGCTCACTCAGAAACGAATGTCTCGTGATCTACTGCTTATCGTAGGAAAAAAACTCCAATGCTTGCAAAACTGCAAAAGTGCTGTGACTGGCACACCTTCGTCTCGCCGTCCAATCGCTGCGATAACGGCTCCCGGCAACAGGCGGTTCAAGCCCTAATCCCTCCACTCGAAGCTCCACATCTTCCACTCTTCCTCAACCTCACTTCACGAAGACACATGTGATACTCACCTAAAGCGGCTGTATGTTGTCGGGAACACTATGTACTGGCCATGATAGGACACGCACTGCAGAATGTGCGACCACCAGAGCCCTTGTAGATCCCAAGGAAACAGCACAGCCTTGTGGCATGCTGTACATAACACCCTTACATTCGCCCACCGTGGACCTCCACGTTCCACTCTTCGCCCTATCCTTCAGCACCATTCATCCTCGTACTACAACAAACCCTTCCGCTCCTCGTCCAAAAGCCGCTCAAGCACTGGTCCCGAGCACGGTTCCACATCCACACCCACCACCCCCTGCACCGTCGCCACAGTCTCAACCAACAACTTCACAAACACCCAACGCATCTCCAAAACTATCGTGAACACGAGGCTCGGTTCCTCCTGGGGTCGCTCTCGGTCGCTGCTGAAGGAGCTGTAGATGCGTGTGTCCAGAAGGGCCTCGAAATCGATCTTGTTGGCAAGTATCTCGTCCATTGTGAATTGAATGTTAGAGAAAGTTCGTTTGGTCAGCTTGTTCAATACCCAGGTGTAGATTCATGCGACTGAGAGATGGTCGATGTACCTTGTCGACCGGGTACCTGTACCCCCTCATTGCAGACAAGACGCATGCTCGCATCCTCTCACGCTCGATCCCGGTGGTGCTGGGTTGGAGGAAACTGTCCAGTTTGAGGGCCCCGAAGGTGAGGAAGGAGCTGCCATGTGTGTCGGTTCCTGATTCTAGGAGTGTGTCTAGGCTCGAGGACACCGGATCTTACGCTTGAGTGATGTCGAGAATTCGATATGCTTTGGCAACAACGCAAAGGTCGCTACCTGTGGAGCGCGAAGGACGTGTGCCAGAAAGATAGAACTAGTCTGTAGAAGAAGACTTGTCGCGCAAGACCGACCGCGATCTTCACCGGACGCTGTCCGTGCTTAGGCCCGTACTATTTCGTGGAGGAAGGCACGACCGGACTTCGGATTACTGGCGAGCATTCCTATTTACCTATCTGGATACACACGATATCCATGTACGACTTATCACACAGATGATACGATGATATGTGTCCAAGGTGAATGTCAAGACCGATTTTACCGAATACAGCGCCGCGTGAGCATGGCTCGCTTTTCCTTTCCAGGGCACGACGCTTGCTGTATCCATGTCTCTGGAGCTAGTTTCCATGCAGATATGAGCATCCTAGCACAAAGAGATAGAACAGTATGGCTCTCTAGAGCAAACCTCACCGTGCACCAAGGCCTCCTTTTATCAGTGCGGGCGTCTGTCTGGAAAATGATTTGAAGGCCGAAAAGACTGGTTTTGAGGCCCACAGTAGATATGGACAAACATTGTCAGTCCGGAAGGACTGTACACACGCTCGACCGGGTTTGGCGGTAACGACGACCTCGGCAGATACGCCAAGGAAGTACGATGGCGAATAATGACCAACCGCAGATCGAGAGTGAAGACTTCCCTCGCATCAAAGCCCTCATCACTGACCCTCCATCCACGCTGCCCGAGCAAGGACATCAAAGTCTACATGGCCAGCTTCACTCAGCCTCGCCACGGAGGCCGAGCTTGAAGATCTCCTTACCCAGGCCTAGAACTCGTGGTATCTCGTCCTTGCTCGTCAGATTCAACTCCGTGGACAACAGCTTCATGACTTGCAGGCTAAGCTGTCACGACTTGGCAGGAAATACCATGCCTACTCTTGCTAGCCTTGAGAATCTAAAGGGTGATGTGGTGGTCTGTGTCTTGCAGCGACTTCGGATTGAGAAGAGTGTGCAAGAGATGGGTGGCTGACGTGGTAGATGATTGTTTCGGCATCTGAGTGGGAATGAGGAAATTGGGCATGTAATCTGGAAGATGTGATTGTCTATGAACGGGCCATTTTGTCAGGAGTTGGTTTTGTAAGCATGGATGATTTGGTTGTAGCCACGCCTAGATGGGTCCAGTCGGATGTGACTGTGACACTGGGGCACCGTAGCTCAGAGCAATATCGATCGAGAAGAGTGTATCAATCAAGCCGATCTGCAGGAGTCCGTATGCTGCCCTTCGTGTTCTCTATCAACTTAGGTAGCTTTACATTGCGCCCACATGCTCAATGATGCGGAAGCTTTAGCAATAGGCTCAATGTTGGAGGCAATGATGACAGCGAGCAACGATGCACTTCATGGCCAGATCTTTCGTCAAGCTTCCAAAGGTTTTGTCCCTGGGTGATCTGAAGGCGCGACAGTGATAGGCTGACACAGTGACAGGCTGACACACAGGTCTTCTCCAGGTATTTCGCGAGTCGACTTCGGCTAGTGGGAACGACACACATTGCTACTTGCTCTGTGAATTCTTCAGACCACCGGCGTTCACAGAGTTCATTTACTCCATATCATACTTGTAAGATGCAAGGCGGGTGACAAAACCATGTAAGGCGAAGAGGCACATGGGCTTTCAAGGCTGATCCCATTACCCCTTTCCCATGATCTCGTTTCTCCCAACAGCTAGAAGTCCTCTCTCCTGAAGACGACAGAAAACCATCGGGCTCTGCATGATACCTGTCTGCCGACAAAGGAATTGCAACGACCAGTAGTCCTGACTACTATTACTTGCTCTTTCCATGGGTTCGATAGGCTGAGAAGGGCGCCTTCCCTACGCTCGAATGCAGAGGTTTCACTTCGCAGTCATCCGCCCCGAGTCATACTCGGCTCGGCTCATATATATCTTTACTCACTGGCTCGGCAGTTCGCCCAGTCACTCGTCTGGCAGGCAAGGTCCACAATAGAGCATCTTTCCAGATCCACAATCGGAAGCTCGGAAGTCTTCGGTCCAGGCCGATTCTGTAGAAGACACGATCTCGATGTCTACTGTCAGGTATTTTGCTTGACGTACTCGTGGGCCTTCGTGCTCAGCACCGCCACTGGTCGGACTGCTGCAACGCCCATGCTTGCAGCATGTTCATCACGTGTATGGCGTGATTAAGCTCATGCTGAACTCGGAAGTCAAACATTCATCGGCCAGCGGCATCCGACATACATCCTCGATGTAAATCATGATCTTCAAAATCCCATAGACAGCATCAGTATAATCGCACCAATTACCTGCTCTGTCCTGACGAGGTCATGCAGAAGGAACGATCAGAGCCAGTGATAGACGACCTTGCATGGACCAGGTACGAGGGAGGCGTCGCGGCGACAAAGCGCTGCGAAGCCAAGGTACGATAGATTGATCGCAGACGCACAGATCGATACTTTGTGCCTCCGTATAGCGGACTTCCTTCCACTTTCGCGGCTAGCCTTGCCAGCCGAGTCAAGGCTGACGCTCTGACGCAGGTCTCACTTCCTTCGCCGGTTGGTGATAGCCGTTGTTCTGGGTCGGCCGCTTTCGCTTCGGTCTTGATTCGCGCAAACCATGTAGGCCATCTTTGCTATCCACGCCACGCTGGTCGCAAACCTGGACAGAGACACGACGACTTTTCTCCATGATTCAGGTAACAGTTATTGATCAGATAGTACCCATTGGCGATTGTGATGGGGACAACAAGTCGTTGCTCAACTTGACCGTTGAATGTCCGTCATATATTGTGCTCGTAATAAGCTAGTACGAGATACGAAGTGGACTCCTGCGCACCTCGCGGCGCAGCCCCATTGCCCGGATGATAGTCTGCAGTTGCCTTACAGCAAGGATCATGCAGACGTATATTAAGCTGTCTGCTTGAGGCAATCGCAGAGCTTTCTGCATCTTACCACCGCTCGTGATAAGACTTTATCAACGAAATGACGTACACTCGCCATACGATGTAGAAAATCAGCATTGTTGGACGCTGCTCGCGCCGCGCGTAAAACCACGCAAACCAGCTTGCGGCATATCGTCGCTGAACCATCAATAGCATGGTGAGCCAGTCAAGAGTCCACAGGACGAAGTGTCAGACCTGCACCCTGAAAGTCATGCTTCGCATAGACTGATGATAACCTCTGCACTGATTTGCCGGGCTACTCCTGCTTATTGAGAGGTGCATTGTTCGGTAGCACCCGCCCATATATTGGCTTGGTCTTGGCGTCCGTAGAATGCTTTCCTGGGACGATATCATGCATGAGTCCGGTGCGCTTGGAAACAGGGTCGTCTTTGTCTGGTGCTGCACATATCAAAAATTTGGACCTGCCTCTCATGAAAACCTGTTAAATAACGTCGCATACGTGGATTTTGCGGTGCGAACAAGAGTGAGACATTCGGCTCGTGGTACTCACGTGTGGCTGCACGGATTTCGTTCGCGTGCCGGCCGATCGCTGCAGCTTTGCTTACGCTAGGGCCACGCAACGAGGATCACTTGTTTCACCATGGTTTTTGATCATCATGTCTCATGATGATTGCGTGTCTTTGATATGCGGCCGAAGGACGACCGATCCCAAAGAGACAAGGTAGTAATGCTCCGTTGGTAGACCTTGGCACGTGTGCTGGAAGTTCGAAACGCTGCGTTCAGAGACGTATGGCTTTTCGACAATTGATCCAATCCAAAGTCTGCGGGTTTGAGGGAGAGGAAGCTACCCAACGAGAGAGAAGGTCTTGCGGCAGTTGCGGCACGGAGACATCTTGTGGTCTAGCGGATGCTGTGCTTGCAGTGGGCAGCCATATATGGTAAGTAAAGGTAGATCCTTGATCTGCCGTATTCGGCGATACCATGGGAGATCTTGCATTAAGCTCCAGTACCACGTTTGCCGTCCGCACGCCAATGGTGCAACTGCTGTGCCGCAGCTCGAAGGGCTGTATGTAATAATCAGATCCCGAAAGGCCGGGTAATCTACCATGTTCTAACCACCAAGCTTATGGCAACATTACCTTTGCTAGCAACACCATCCAGTGGCAGAAGAGCGCTCAAGTATGCTCGGCTTTCTGCGTACGAATCCACGAAATACCATCGTCCTGGCGTACCCTCTGATCAACAATAGTCTTTCCGTCGCAGATCATCGAATCCGAGAGGAAGGCGGGGTGTGAGAAGGATCGACGAGTTAGTGATGCATGACAGGGTCTCACGAGCTCGCGTGGCGTCTGGCATCTCCACTCAACTGTCAGGACGGCTTGACGGGTGGGTTTTCGAACTTCGGCTGCGCGCCAACCTTGCCGGCCACGATTCTGCTGATCGACGCATGGCATGAACCAACGTCGCTTAATCATAAAATTACGTAGCTCTGTCGGCACTACTGCAACCCATCGAGGCTCTAACAGCCGCCATTTTCGTCCATTCTTCCGTGCTGGCCGGCGATCTGGTAGTGCTTCGTAACCGGCCGTTGTTCTCTGAAACATACAATACCACCTTGACTGGCCTACCCTGCTTTCTTTGGCCTGGAGACATGCCTTTATGTAGATGAGGATGTGGGTAGGTGCTGTAGGCGAGATGAGGGCACGATTTAGGCAGTCTTGACAATAGAAATAAGCTCGGCACAAATGTGTGATGAGAAGGCAGGCTGGATACACTCAAGGCTACATGCGGGCGATCTACGATGCATGCGGCAAAGCAAACCACGCCCCGAGCCAACAAATCTATCCGATGGCGATATTGATCGGACGGATGAATCGGTTCGAATATCTCGTAGCCAGGCACCTCATTCGTACGCACACAGAGAGTGGGTTGATCTCACGATCTGCGCGCCATGCGTATATTGCTGCACCCTCCACATGGCCCGAGCAGAATCTACCCTGTCTACTGCAGGCTCGCCAGCAAGGATCAGATTCGACCGCCATGCCACCACAAACCGTTACCGTTTTCGCAACCTCCGCCGTGCGCTACGTGCTTAGTCCTTCCATCTAGCGAGCCCCTCCTCCATCGTCGTCACCCCAATCCTGAACGTTGGCCCGGCCCCCATGCGACACCAGAGTCGTATGCTCTATTGATGAGGGTCGCCATGATTGTGCGTTCTGAACTAGCGATCCTTCACTATCTGTTCCTTGGCGAAATGTGTGCTGCCACGTCGCCTCGGTCGGTTGACCGTTAGGGGCAGAAGGTCCATTTGTTGCTGCTTCGGTGCCAGACGCCATCGTCAGACGAGCAAATTAAGTTGTGAATGGATCTGCTCTAACCGCGACCCTGAACCATTTACCAAGGTTTCTTCATATGATTTCCTTCTGGCGATCATCATTGCTATTCCCTCACGTCGATCGACCTGCCGAGCTCTCCCTAATTCGACCCGTCAATTTTCCGACTTCGATTGATTGACGGACCGCAGGGTTGCGTTGCGATTTTCACTGCTCTTGCCAGCTTCCCAGGCATTATTGGAAGTGCCCGCCCCATCTACTTGACGGCGATAGTTCTAGCGCTTCGGAATCTGCTTGCGGGATCTACCACTCGGTCACCTTCATCTATCGAAATCAGGCCAACGTTTTTAGCGCCTTTGTTGCGTGTTCGAATGCTCGTGCATGCAATCAATACTTTCACCTCCACGAATTCCCTCATTGATTGATCAAATCGGACGCTCTGCGCATTGCACCTTCACTCCGACTATACACATCATCGCCGGAATTGCATACACTCATTTGAGCCGCGACTGAAAGGCGACGACTACACCTTTTGCCCCACCTCTATTGCCATTGGCTGGCGGCATCCCGAAGCAACAAGTCATCCACCTGACGAATACCCTTATCACTCGGACTAGGTGACGAGCATGGCATATCCTCAAGCCGAAAGCTTTACCAGCTTTCCACACCATCAGGCGATGTACCAGGCACGATCGCATCACCCTCGAATACAAGGCACTTGGTCTGTCGGTATCAGTTCGTACAGCAACTACACAACTTCCGCTGGCTACCAGCAACCTCAGACTTCGACGGCCAGATTCTCGGAAGGTTCAGCTTCACCAGCATTAGATGATGGTAGTAGACCCTGCCTACCATCGATCTCGAACCTGCTTGGGATTGCTGATGGCGAGCGGCATGAGGCGGAGGCTGGTATGTTTACGTTAGGCTAAGTACAGAGATCGATCACTGACTTTGCTCAGATCCACAAGCTGTGACGCAAGTGCCACACCAGCCAACTAGGAAGCGTTCTCAGATGAGTCTCGGAGAACAACGCCAGAGGCAGATGTATGCCAGCCACGAGCCTGCTGCCGGACAAAGAATATCAATACCGCCTACACCACCATTGCGCAACGACTCGGTGACCGAGCATATCCACAGTCCATCCACAATTTCAACTGGATCGTCCTTGTCGGCGCAACCTTACTTCCTCGGCTCCTCACTGAATAATGTTGAGGCCGACCAACAACGAGTAGCACATTCTAGCATGCTCAAGCGACACTCCGTACCATCACAACCACATCAATCACCATACCGCACATCGCCGTACGGCACATCACCCTACGCACCATCGCCAGGTGCAGTATCAAATGGCTCGTACTACTCGCCCGTAGATCCAAACTACCCAGTCTCCGGCCTCTATCACCAAAGACCGCTACCCTCCAACTTTCCACCACATTCATTACCACAGTCTACATCGATAGCGTCCGCATCTTCGGCACCAGCGAGTAATCCATGGGAACACCACCACTACATTAGTCCGTCTTCACAAGCGACCTTTCCACAGTCGCAGGACCGATACATATGTCAGACATGCAACAAAGCTTTCAGTCGACCAAGCAGTCTGAAGATCCACAGCCATTCGCATACTGGCGAGAAGCCCTTCAAGTGCCCGCATGCTGGGTGTGGGAAGGCATTTAGTGTGAGGAGTAACATGAAGAGGCATGAGCGGGGCTGTCACACGGGTTCGAGTGGTGGGATGATGTCGATGTAGGCATTGAGAATATGCGCTGGGTCTGGGTGTGTTGTTAAATGGGTTGCTTGATTTTCTCGTCTTCGAGCGCGGCGCTGAGGAGTCACATTTTGCTAGGGAAGGATTGTCGACGGGCTGATAGCCTGATCTTGACGAACTGGACGTTATGTCTTTCTTGTTGGTGCAGAATGCTTCGGCGCACTGAGTGGATGGGAAAGGCTGCGCACATCGCGCCACTCTGACTTGGACATAGATGTGAATAATGCGAATGATTGGTTCAAAGACTAGATTTCTAGCTGAGAACTTCTGATGATTTCAACGACCCCAATCTCAGCAGCTACCTAACCATCTGGCTGGATCCATACCCACAAGACACACAGTGCGAGATCATAGACCGACTTCGCTTGTTGAGCTCGTCTGCCTTCAACCATGCAGCTTTCCCTTGACCGAGAAATGGGCAATGATGTAAATCAGATACACCACAAACAATACCACCAGCACAGCCGCAGCTCCATTGCAGTAGTTCTGCGCTTGGCGCCTGAGCTCCTGCTTCTGCGCTCTTCTGATCACGTCTTCATTCACCACTTGCAGGACCCTTGACTCCTTAGCCTCAATGTCAGGCGTGACATTGTACTGCGAGGCGGTACTTTTGCCTTGTGGGTCGTAGTTGGCGAAAAGCGGGTTCATCTCGTATGCCGGCAATCCTTCTGGGGTGTTTGAGCTCGAGGCTTGAGGTGGTTGGTAGGCTGGTGGCGGCGCGGCTACGTCCAGCGGATGTCGCGGGCGGTGTTTCCGAAGGCGTTTTGGCTGCCTAAGTGTCGAGCGCGAGGAGACCACATTTGATGCTTCTTGTCCTACTTGGTTATTTCTCGTTTGGAGGCGTCTGGCTTGAGCGATGATGGGCCCGGGCATGTTAGGTGGCATGGCGGCAGTGAACATAGCGAGAATCTCCACGCGGTGTGGCGATTGTTTGATGGAGGAAGTTGAGGATGGACGGATGTACTGGGTTCAGACGAGCGAAGGAACATGATTCTGATCACCAGGTGAAGTAGTGAGGTTAAAACGGGTGTGGAAAGCTATTTCGTCAACCACAAATCTGAGCCCTCCTAAGCAAACCCATAGGTAAGCAGGTTGAAAGTACACCATCACTGCCTCAAGCAGTACCTGGACAAGTCGAGCACCAATGCCGTGCATGCACTCAGTCCCATCCAGTCAAACCTCCTTTACTCGTACCCAGCAATGAGCGGCACATAAGTACTATAGGCAGGCCCACTCGTAGGCTCAACAGAGAACATATAAGTACCTAGAGCACCACGAGAGACGTCAGCGAAGTCATCCTCAACCTCACTGGACGAAAGTCAAAAGCATGATGGACTCACCCCACCACGGTCCGGCAGACCACCAAAGAGCGCCAGTCCAAACATCGCTGTTTTTGTCGATATAGGCCAGCATATCTTTGACAGCGGCTTCGCAGACAGAGTTGACAGCGCCAGCATACTCACCAATCAGACCTTTCTTGCCGTTCGCACGGAGCCAATTCGTGGCTGCGACAAGTCGAGTAGAGCCGATTGTGGTATTGACACATGTGGTCGCCGTGCCACTACCATCAGAGTCGAGATACTGGTGCATCTGGCATCATCGTCAGTATCGGGAGAAAGTCCTTCGAGATGGCGATACTAACCTGATAAATGAGCTTGTTGCTGGAGTCAGTCAATGATCCCATCGTCTGCGCATTAGTTTTGCCATCAGTGCCTGTGGCTGTCGTCCATGTCCAGGCTCCAGTATAAGCATTGCCTTCAACTGTGATATACTGACTCGTGGCACCGGCAGCACGAATACCATTGATAGCAGCCTGGTTGAGCTGAGCAACGAGCGTACCAGACATGTCATGGTATTCGTTGTTAGTATCGAAAATGACTTTGCTGTTGCCCTTGAAAGCTGTAGCAACGGTCTTCCAGAAGGCTTGAAAGTCGCTGGTAGAGGTGATGATGTTGTTATAGTAGCGTCCATAGTTGTGTGGGCATATGATGGCATAGGCACCTTTGCCTGTGATGTAGTTGACCTGCTGGGTCAGGTTGCCGAGATAGTGGGTGTCTGCTGGCCCAGTCATTTTGTTGGGTACCAGGCGTTCCATCAACAGGTTGAGACGAAAGGTATTGAATCCATCCTTGATGAAGGTGTCGTACGTGGACAAGGTGTACCATGTGTAGTCCGTGCCTGTAGAGATACCTCGTGAGCACATCTTCGGAGCCGATATGACTCTCGTAGTCAATACTTACCATATACGCCAGGAATGTTTCCAGTGCCAAACTCGGCGCCAGACTCGTTGACACCGAAGAATTGAAGTTTGCTACGCTTCTTTAGAGCAGAAGGAGCGGCCGCCGCGAAGGCCAGCAGGCAAGACGCCGTCAAGTATGTGGACCAGCGCATGTTGAGGCTTGGAGGAACGAATGGTATAGTAGAATTGAAGACAAGAGAGTGCTTGTCTGCAACAAGACGAGGATACTTAGTCCAGCTACGTTGTTGAACATATACTCCTGGTGGCGCTGCTGAATGAAACAGCTATGGACACCGCAGGGAAAGCAGATCAGGACGCCGTGCCAGAAGAGGATATCACGTTTCGAGGCCTGATGACCCTCACTAGTAAGGATGGTCGTCTTCCGTCTTCTCGTGGCAACGATACACGACTTCCAGATGTCATACTTTCAGTATATGGTCCACTCAAAAGTCAATACCAGGGCCGTGAAGCTCCTATATTAGATCGTCTGTATCATGAGACCATTTCGAGGCGGGCAGGGCCAGTACAGGCGAAGCTGAATCAAAGCCAGGGACTAGTAGACACGGAGATCGTTGGTCCGTATGAACTAGACTCGTGGCAAAGTGAGACTCGAGCCAGCGGACATATTGCAGCGATGTCTTCATGTGTTTCAAGGATAGACTTTGCAAGTAGCAATGTAGGTGAAACATCGCCGTTAGACCTCGGTAGGCTCGATCGAAATGGTGGTCGGCTTCAGGGAGCCAGCGATGTGGCAAGGCTTCGAGTAGATCGCCCGCGAAGTGGATTGAGATATGAGGACGGCTGCCTACATGGTCTACCACAGTAACAAATTGCCTGATAATGGCAGCTTGGCCATACCTGCAAAGCCATCTCTAGGAGGGATGTTTGGGGAGAAAGAGAGTGAGGTTGCGAAGGACGAAGGAGAGTGGTTTAGGCGCGCCACGTGAGTGGCACGTGCACTCGTCGAATTGTGTGCGAACCTGGAATTCGAACTTCGATCGAAGACATTGAGGATGTGGAATTACTGCCCACCACAAGGTCTTCGTGTTGACGCCGACTAAATGTATGTCCTCCATTCATAAGCTGCAATTCATTGCTGCACTGGCCAAGAGCGCAATGGGCTTTCACGAGCCGCACAACTAACATCCTCCGCAGCTCCTCCTCCACCCATAGAACCACCCAACATGGCCAACCCTCGCGTCGAAGAGCTCCCCGATGAGCCTGAGAAGGTCACCGCCCCCGAGGTCGAGGACGACGATGATAGCGACTCCGACGACGCAGGCGAGACCGGTGAGGCCAACATCCCCGCCGGCGCAACCGTGGCAGTCCACAACCGCAACGAGAAGAAGGCACGCAAGGCCATCGCCAAGCTCGGCCTGAAGCACGTCGAGGGCATCACGAGGGTGACTTTGAGGAGGCCCAAGAACATCCTCTTCGTTATCAGCCAACCGGATGTTTACAAGAGCCCGAACAGCAACACCTGGATGTACGTTTGGAATATATAACAGCCATATATGTTACAGTATTGACTCATCCTTAACAGCATCTTCGGCGAAGCCAAGATCGAGGACCTCAACTCCCAGGCCCAAGCCTCCGCCGCCCAGCAACTCGCCGCCCAATCTGCTTCCGAATCCCAGACTCAGAATGGCAGCTCCGGCGACAAGGGCAAGGCTGTCGAGGACAAGAAGCCAGCCGAGGAGGAGGAAGATGATGGCGAGGAGGTCGATGAGACGGGTCTGGAGGGCAAGGACATCGAGCTCGTCATGGCGCAGGCTAGTGTGAGCAGGAAGAAGGCGGTCAAGGCGCTCAAGGAGAACGATAATGATATTGTCAACAGTATCATGGCTTTGAGCATATAGTGTGGTGCTGCACTACACAAACTCAAAACGTCAGGGCGAGTGTAGTTGTTGGTGTGTAGATTGCTTGCTTGTTATAAAGCATGCTTCGCGCATTGACCTACTGCCTGCCGCACTTGTGAAGTGGTCTTTATAGTTCACTGTATAGCTAAAGACTGCTAAAACCTGCTGCGACCCCTCTACCTTTTGTGACCATCATCACTGCAGGCCGTCATGATCCTCCGCCTCATGAGCGACTCGACATGCCCCCAAGCGTCTTTGACAGAATGTCTTGCCGAGTCTCGAGCTGCGAAGCCGTCTCCCAACTGGTACTTCACACACATGCAGTCGCTACGAAGCTTCTTTAAATGATTGGCACAATGCCATGCGTCTCACATAGCTTCTGATAAGCTCCTAAGCTCATAGAGCTCTCAATAGCATCAACAGGACTTCTTTTACCATACAGAACAAGCAACGACTTAATCCGCCTACAACGCAGTCCGCAGAAAGCGTACATAAGCGGATCAAGATGATCCCGAGCAGGTAGCGGCCTGTCAAAATGATCAAACAGAAGCAGGAGCTCGAACCGTTGTATACTGAGCTTCCCAGAATGAGGAAGGGCCGGTAAGATATCCACCTGAAGCGGGTTCACAAGTCCCTCCATCTTCACGGAGTCCGGGGGATCTGAGTAAGTAGATTTCGAGAAGCTTGGGAGCGTGATGGTGAGCTGCTCGATGTTGTGGAAGCGTGTCAGGAGATCACAGGAGGAAATGTGGCCGATGTCTTGCCGGATGAGGCCCTCGGAAACGCCGCTTTGTCGGCATCGAGGATCAGCATCGCCTTCAAGCTCGCGTTCGATACCTAAGAAGACGTGGCAGGCGGTGTAGGAGATGGGAGTCGCCTCTTCGCTAATCAACTTGCTGGTCTGGAGGATTGCTCGGCTTGCATTATGGCGTTGCAGATTTTATGTTAGGCACACACGTGGATATTGTATGGCAAGGTTGTATATCTCATTTCCGAAGAGGCGCTCGTAGATACGGACTCGAAGTTCAGCAGGCAGTGCGAGAAAGGAGCATGGTCCGAAATCTGTGGATTGAGGAGTGGGGTTTGGTCTCGCTGCTAGTATGTCCGCCATGTCACAGTCTAGGCGATGGTGACAATATGGTCAAATAGCATTAACTCTTCACGACGAACCTTTCATACTAAATGGGGCATTCTTCGATGTGTGTTGCAAAACAAGGTGGCGAGAGATGAGCTTGTGGCATAAAAGTACAGGGTCACACAGTGCATGGGCCGCTAAGCGGGACCATCCGGAATGGAAGGACGCTTCACGATCAACTCACTGGGATAGTAGCGCCTGTCACCAGCCCACTTACAACTTCTCACACCTTCACAATGGCGGCCACAGTGAGTACATACCCTCTACGGACATACTAGCAAGCTTCAGGCCGGCCATTGGCGCCTACAGCACTTCTCCGCGCCCTGCACAGTCACAGATCAGTCTCCTAACCAAACCTCTCCTCCAGCGCTCCGCCTCCCTCAAAATCGACTGGGCAAACCTCCCCACCAAACTCGGCATCAAAGGCAGCACCGCCCAAGCCCTTGCCGCCTTCAAAAAGCGTAACGACGACGCGCGCCGTAAAGTCCAAATCCTCTCCGAGCAACCGCAAAAAGTCGACTTCGCCGCCTACCGCTCCCAGCTCCGCAACACGGGCGTCATCGACGATATCGAGAAGCAGTTGTCTGCTTTCCAGCCGAAGAAGTATGATGTGAGCAGGCAGTTAAAGGCGATTGATGCCTTCGAGGCGCAGGCCGTGAAGAGTGCCGAGGCGACTAAGGGGAAGGTGGATGCGGAGTTGCAGGACCTAGAGAAGACGCTGAAGAATATTGAGACTGCTAGGCCCTTTGAGGATCTGACTGTGGTATGTATTTGCTCAGTATCTGTGGACGAGATGTGCTTGTCACGTGTTTATGGGATGGATGCTAATGTGATGGATAGGACGAGGTTGTGGCTGCACGTCCCGACATTGACGAGCGTGTCTCGCAACTTGTCTCCAAGGGCCGCTGGCAAATCCCTGGCTACAAGGAGAAGTTCGGCGATCTTTCTCTGTTGTAAGTGGGAGACGTGGTGGTGTAGTATTAGACAGATTTGTAGATACTGGAAAGGCGTGCAACTTCAGTTATCATCGTACACGTCTCAACACTACGCACCGACAGATCGTGTCATTTTCACAAGGACCACAGACGCACGTCTAGTTGGGTGTCAGATAGTAAGCATCTTACAGGGTGTAGGGACACTCAAGGCTAGCAGGTGCACTTGTACACGCTATGGAGTCAGCCGAAGACTTACCGTCCAGGTCACGACTATTCTCAGAGACATTTCGTGCACACTTTTTACCTATACTTCGAATATGGACGAAGCTAGCTCTCCCGTCGTCTCCATTTCATGCATTATACGCAGCGACGCCCTCCAAGAACCAAGGCTAGTCTGTGCTCGATCTGTCCCACGACAGTAGTAATGGAAACAAAGCAAGACGATCTATGGCGAGTTGTTGGCGCCCACATGGCACTTGATGCGAGATACCACATATGTGTCTCATCTCCTCGGCTACCTCGATCAAACTTACGCTTGGTGCAAGGCCTGCCTCTGAAATTGGCTGAGTCGCCCGTTTAGAAGCTCTACACTGTATGCCGTGTCTACTGCCTCTATTAGGATGTTATTGCACCGAAGGGTCTTGTTGGTTGTTGGAGGTGTCTGATGCCCACGTTTGTGTGAGATAGAGCATATGGCGACTTAAATCGAATTAGGGTGCGCGGAAAGCACGAACTGAGGTTGATCGGACACAGTGGTCCGGTGTACAGCCGTGCTTTGCCTCCTTGTAAGATACAGGTTGCACGTGACGTGTGCTTATGTTATTCAGTTTGAAAATCAGGCTTCTACGTCCCAGACACGGCTTAGCGACACTCTATGCTCGAATGCAGCAATAGGACATATATGCTCAACAAGGAAGGCACAACAGCTATCTCAATTCGGTAAGTCTACAAATCATTCCCACACATATCTGTCCTCACCGCCACCTCTTGCCGCACCGCACACCTGTACCACCGCCGTCGTTCTCAGAGATCGCGCGATCCGCCGGCCAGAGAGCACGCCGACGAGCATCGAGCCAATAACGTGCTGCTCTGCCATTACTCTAGTGTCACTAGTTCCCAGCGGCTGAGCCTGAGAGGGGTCGATGCTCTGCAAAGTACAAGACACAGCTCTCTGCCGCAGACCGCTCGCGCTACTTCCATTCGCTGCCTAGTTGTTACTCCTTCAAGACTGCGAAGGTGTTGCTGACTCTTGCGAGCTTAGCCCAATACACACTTTCCGGACGACGCACCAACACGCTCGTTCTTGCTCATTCGATAGCCCAACGGGACTGTTTCCGCCGCCAAGACCCGCTGTCGCTGCTGCCGCTGATGTGACTGGCTGCGTGCCTGTTCCTCTCGTCGCATTCCTTGTCAGCCCCTCTCGCTCCCCAGAACCTCGAATCTTTACCCAACTCAGACCCCCCGGCGGCCTTCCCCATTCATCTGTCCACCCACATCAGAGCGGCCTAACACCAATCCGCACAACTCACAGCGGGCGCATCGTCTCAGCGATCCCGCCGCCGCCGCGAATTCGGAAGCTCGTCGTAACAGGCAATTACTTTTGCTCCACCACCGCGGCAACCGCAACAGGTTAGATCGCGACACTTTGCCATTTACAGCTTTACAAACTTGCACACAGCCAACCATGTCGGCCGAGATCGTTACGCAAGATCCAATCAACTCTCACGACGAGCACGACGACCTGGAGAATGGTGCCGGCGAACCTCGCGGCATCAAGCGCTCGCGCACCAGTGCCGCTGCCGACGACGATGATGACGACGACGACAAGCCTGGTCGTGAGAGGAGGAAGATTGAGATCAAGTTCATCCAGGACAAGTCGCGTCGTCACATCACCTTCTCGAAGCGCAAAGCTGGTATCATGAAGAAGGTACGCCAATGCATCCGTCTGCGCGAGATTGCGACGCGTCTGCCTTGACGCGACAGACCACAACTAACGTTCACCTCACTTCAGGCATATGAACTGTCCGTCCTCACTGGCACACAAGTACTGCTTCTCGTCGTGTCCGAGACCGGTCTCGTCTACACCTTCACTACGCCCAAGCTTCAGCCATTGGTCACCAAGCCAGAGGGCAAGAACCTCATTCAGGTAAGCATTCACCACAGTCTATATCACTCACGCGTACCATTCACTGAAACCCCACCCACCAGGCCTGTCTTAATGCTCCCGAACCAGCCGACAGCAACGGCGTAGATGGTGAATCCGCGGTCGAGTCACCAGAAGAACAACACGCCGCTCCTCCACCAATGCCACAGGCCATGCCACCCCAAGGCATGCGCACCCAGCAAGCTGCCGCTCAACCTCCCTATATGACCGCAGATCAACAGCAGGCATTACAATATCAGGCTTACCTGCAGCAACAGCAAGCGGCGCAGCAAGGCGCGTACCCGATTCCGCCACAGCAGGGCATGCATCAGCAGCGTTAGGAGCTGGATGGTGAGGATGTTTTTGCCAAAGGTGTAGGCACTGGCTCGGGGTCAGGTGGGAATGTGGGCTCGATCCTCAGTGGTATTGATGCCAAATTCGCGAGACTTGTGGGTGATGCCTTGAGACATTGCCCTAGTATGTGAAAAGGATGGCAGAAAAGAGGACTTAGGAAGAGGAAGATGGGGGCGAGGGTGCTTGTCCAGAGGGCACCCTTCCTGCGAAACTTGTATGCGGTGTTAACGGCGCTCATCCTAGGGAAGCTCCTTACTCAAGAAGGATCATCGACAGGCTCGGTACGTGCCTGGCTCGAGGTGGCTATAATGCGTGATGTATATCATGCTGTCTTTATGCTCTGTAATGCCACTTCTCTTACTTGTTCTGAATTCCGTTACATCCATCTGAAGATAGTGTGTTCGTCCGTGGTTGCTGAACCATGATTTTGGAGATACTGATTGGTTTGTAACACAGTCTCTATACTGGTCCTTTTGGTAAGAAGAGCCTACCTTGCCTTCGCAGAGGATCAGCGAGCATCAACGGGGCAAAAAGGCCCGTCACGAAGCAAGCAGAGGCTAGATCGCGTTCCTCGGCCGAGCAGGCGGCGCGTAACGTGACTCAAGGATGGAATGCACAGGCAAGTACTTGATGTATGTTCGTTTCTGAGCTACACAGCTGACAACACCTTCCTCCCTGGTGAGTTGTTTGACCTTAGCGGGATGCTTACGTGTCCACGCCCCAAAGCCAATATGATTCAATCAGTGCATGACAACAGCAACATGGTCATCCATATACTTCCCAATATCACCCAAGAAGCACGCCGCCACAATGCTCACAGCTCCGAACGCGATAGAGACGTAGTACACGTACTTGTACGCCTCGGCGTACGCCAGCTGACCGGCATAGACCACGAGTTCGTACGCTCCTGGAACGCCCTTGATACCTTCGAGTTCTTGCAATGCGGGGAGAAGCGAGGCGCCGGTGATTTGGATGGCCTCGGTTATGACTGCAACGGAGGTGATGTTGAGTTTCAACTCCATGGCGCCACCGATGTAGTATGTTGCTGCTGGGACGAATCTGGGGTGGGGTGTTAGCGGTAGTTCTGATGGTGCTTCGGGTGCTTGTGCACTTACTTCGAGATGAAGACGTTGTAGTAGACGCAGTAGCCGATGGAGCCGCCGATGACGCGGATGGCCAAGGTGAGGGCCGTCATGGTGGCGATGAGATCGTCTGGGCAGATGATCGTGGCTGTTGCATTGTTAGCGAATGCCCAAGAATCTTTCACTCGTTTGCAGGACTTACTAATGATTGAGGCAGGAACGACGATACCGCCGATGCCGAGACCAGCGAGGACGAGAATACCCCAGAGTTTGTAGAGATTGTCTACACGACCGATCGCGAGCGCACCACAGCCAGCGGTCATGATGACACTGGAGGCGATCAGAAGCAGCTTGTTGTGCCCTCGAAGCACGGAGAGTGCCCAGAGCACGATACAGCAACCAGCTAGAATCGAGAACCCGACTGGCAATCCACGAAGGCCAACACCAACGGGATCATGGCCGTAGACATTGAAAGCCTGCGTGGGCCAGAACATCAAGATGGAGAAGAAGTTGGCTCCGCTGATGAAGGTGATGACCCTGTGTAGCAATGTCAGCGTACCGCACAGGACAAGGAAAGCTGGCATTCCACTTACAGTGTAAGACCGAGGATTCGTGGATCCTGGCGAATGCGCTTGGGAAACATGGGATAGGTTGCTCCGTAGCTTTCCCAGACGAAGAAGCCGATGATGAGCACGGCGCCGAGGATAAGAGGGACGAGGACGTGGGCGCTGGACCAGGGGTATTGGTAGCCGCCCCATTGCATGCCCATCATGAAGAGGAGCTGGTTGAAGTATGTTAGCGAGTGTACATCACTATCTCGATCATGGTGGGATTAGACTTACCATGCCCGGGATGCTCAAAGCACCACCAACCCAGTCGATCTGGCGTAGAATTTGGCTGCTGGTCAAACCTTGGCTGTTCACACGTGGCGGTGGGAAGTAGAAGACGGCCGTGAGCATGAGACCGACGAAATTGTAGGCACCGCAAAGAGCACCGATGTAGCGCCAGCTGTACCTGGACGCGATAAGCTGTCCCCAAAGCACAGACGGGCAGAAGGGGATGATGGTGAAGATCAGAATGGCGACGTATTTGCCGCGCTTAGCCGTCGGAGCCAGCTCAGCGGTCACAGCCAGAGCAGTCAGTTCGTTGATGCCGGCGCCGATACCAGCGAAGACCATGCCGCCGATGAAGATATTCATGGTTTTGGCCGTGGAGCAGATGATGTTGCCGATGACGAGGAAGATGGCGCCGATGATGGCGACGTAGCGGCGGCCGATGAGATCTGAAATGGAGCCGACGAAGGGGCAGATGGCTGCGAGGGAGAGGAGATTGGCGAGCACGAACCAGATCCATCGGTCTGTGCCGCCTATGTCGCCGTAGATGTAAGGTGGGACGCCGCCGAAGAGGTAGACTGGGATTTGACTGCCAGTCCAGACTGCGGACTCTGTTAGTATGGAGGAGTCGTTGAAGAGGGATGATAGGCATGACTTACGCAAGGCCATGGCGAGCAGACTCATCGCACGCCTGAAGGTCATCGGCGGCTCGTGGTCGTGGTCTTCGCCATCACCGTATGTTCGTAGACCGTCTTTTTCGTAGTAATTGCCATGGCCGGGTACACGCTCGTTGGTGTGGACCTGCTCGACATGCTGAAACGCCGCCTTCTCGACGTCGTCGTGGCCTCCGGTCGAGCCATCTGACAGTCGTTAGCAACTGACATTGCCGATATGGAGTCTAGACGTACCTGGGCTGCTTTCAACATCGGCCATGATGATTGTGTAGTCTGCTCCTCGATCGAATAAGGTCGAAACGTAGCAGTAGGAGCAAGATCTCCGTAGCAGTGGTGGACACGAAAGGAGGAGAGCAGATCTTGCAGCTGTTATTATACCACCTACCTACCGCTTTCGTGTCTCTCACCACCGAGGCAAATCTCCCGAAGTTTGACCAAAGGTACAACGGTGGCAGCAAGAAGGTACGTACACAACGCCTCCCCCGCTAAAGTTTGTCCTTGTGCATCAGTACTCCGCGTTCTGGGACGGCGAGCAGGGATGGGACGACTAGACGGCGCTCTGCGGACGATCTTAAGGCGCACACTGGTCTCAATTCGTGGTAGGTGCGAGTCAAGGTATGCATCCTTATCACTGGTCTGGAGCTTGCAGGGCAGTGTCACACGCAATCTGGCCGGGCGCTGGTGCTTAGTGCGGATGCCACAGGGTTTCATTTTTGAACAAGATGCACCCGTCGCATGCGCGTGCGAAGTTTACTTGGTCGAGTTTCTGCTTTCGCCGCGTCCGAAAGACTGGTGAGCGTTGTTGTGCCGGCAGATGTTGCAGTTCTTAGCCGACAGAGAGTGCACACATACGTGTATTCACCCTACGCCTTATCTATCTACTGTATCATGTTGCACTTCAAGATCTTCCTCACCCAATCGCAACCTGGATATTGGTAATGCTTGATCCTCGTCAAGTCCATCCAAGCATCATCCGCCGGTCTCCGATGTTTCTGCCAACGAATGAGTGGGCCTCGGTATAATTCCCTCCTCGTTAGCGCACTGGTCGGCTCAGGTGTTCGAGACATGCAAAAATGTGGCGAACATTTGACCCAACCCCGCAATCTCTTCTCCACGTGCCATGGGGTCGAGATTTACGCTTAATTTTGGAGAGAACAAGAGTTCGACCAGTGGACAGAAGTGCAAAGTGTGTTTGCTTTAGCAAATATAGACATAGTACCGTGAGTGCAAACAGGCGAGACAGTCACAGCAGCCTCTGCAACTCTGCTGATTGGCAAGAAGTGATCGAATCCTCGTCCTGTTCCAGCTTTATGGCGAGTGGCGTTTGCCCGCATGCACATGTCGAGCTCGGAAAACGATTTCAGAGATACGATAGCTGCAAGTAAGACGTAGGCAGCATTGTCTCCGGCCTGGGAATATCGTTTGCCTGACACGACAAGCCATGAATTGCGGAGACGTTGTCGAGTGCGTGGCATGTCTGCATCGACCTTCGAGAGCTGACCACGCCGGAGGACATCGATGTCGGGTCCTTCGGCGACGGCTGAATGCGGATTGAGCTCATCTGGGAAGCCGAGAGCTATCGGAACAGACTCGTAAGAGCACAGCTATGACCAGATCCGCATGTCTTGGCGACTGTATCGTCCAAGATGTGCCTCGGTGCCTGGCATCAAGGTGTCTATGATTGGACGTTGCCGACCAAAGTTTTGATCTTGTGTAGGGAGTCTCGAGCGCGAAACGCCTCCTTTCATGCAGCTGCACTATTGCTACAGATATGCTATGTAGATCAGTAGATCAACGCTCCCGCCCGAAGCATGTGGTCGGAGGATCTTGGAGGGCAATGCTGGTGAGATGTACAGTCTCCGAAGGCTTCCGGAGGTCACTCACAGCATCTTGATACTGGCTAGATTGGACACCAGGAAAATCAATCCGTTTCAAGGCTTGAACGAGCTGTCCTCGGTATCTTCAGGGGCCAGGGCGTTGGGTAGGATGTGGTGGACAGGAGCCACAGCTCGCAACGCCGATGATAACTCAGTGAAGACCTTGTTGGGCTTATCCTTATCTTAGGTCAAGGTACTTAGCCAGATCACGCATAGCCATTCATTATTAGAGCAGGCGTGGTGACTAACCAGTAGCATGTCAAGACGAGGGAGAGGCCCCTGTTCTACACCTGTTGTGGGATGCAGACCGCTGTGTTCCTTCCCTCCTCAGGCGCGAACGTGCAATTGGCGGGTTCGATGTAGAACAACTCAAATTGGTGATATTCTTCGATGGCCAAGAACGAAGAGCTGGAACGGTAGGTCGTACATCCAATATTCGTGTCGGACTCGATAGCCTCGTCAACGCCATCGACGGCCTGGGTGAGCCGGTAGATGGTGCTATCACAAGTCGGAAGCATTTCGCAGTCTTGTGGAAAGTCAGTCAAGCTTAAAGTTTCTACAGCCGCGACTACTTGCAGCCGACTACCTCGGTCTCAGGCGTGGCATCTGCCAGTACGGAGTGATTCGACCGTATTCCTATGTAATCGCCACTCGCGACTGTGTGCTGACATAGTTGCAAGTCCTGCGGGAATCTGGACGTGTTGTTCATAGGGGACGACGGCGTCACTATGGGTCGATATTCTGTCGTTATCGATGGCCAAGTAGGCAGCACAATCGCATACAGGCCCGTTGTGACGAATGTCAGAGTTGTCCCCAGGTACCACGACGGTGGGAATTTGCTGATCGATATTCGGTCCAGGTCTCGTGTTACGACACAACGCATTTGTAGTCGATAGTGCTGTACTAGGATACGAGGGATTTGCTGAGAGGTACATCAACTCGACTGAGGTCGTCCAGCATCGGTCGTTGGTAAACACGATAGATCGCGACGGCAGCCACGCACTGCGATGTTCGAACCACGATCAAGTCCCGTAGGATATCTATCGACTTCGCTCGGCTGTACGAGAACCGAGCCAGGCGTAGGGTGCTGGTAGGCAAGACTTTGAGTCCGAGATCGAGGGCTTCTCATCAGTCCACACATCGCCGACTGACCCACAGCCGAAGGCATTACCAATATCGACTGGATAAAGGTGAGACGCTGAGCCTGTGAGAGCGATCTTTATGGCCAGTACGACCAGCATGAGGATAGCGGGAGGTAAGGGTCCAAATTTGGCCAGCCTCTGAAGATAAAGACCAGGGTGTTTACGAATGCGGCGCTGTCCTGTCGGGCTCTATCTCATTGTTTTACATGTCATACCGCCTGAGCTGTCACCAATTCCATCATCCTCGAATTTCTGGTAGGTGCGTGTCAGAGACTTGTAGCACAAAGCATCGTCGCCAATGTCTGGCGAGGGACCTGTCGATCGTAGTTGCGAAGTGTCAGCAGAACGTCCATCTTCGATGAGCTGGATTATATGTCATCTACGAAGCGGACAACATAGAGATTAGTGAACAGTCCATGTCCTTCAACGGCTCGGCTGTGGCTGCGGCGTTGTCTTCATGCGCAAGAGTGGCCAGCCTTGCGGACACCCACTCCGCTTATGCAATGCACGAGCTTGCAGATATATGCTGCAGGAGGGCAAGGCATAGGTGATGTCGAAGTCCGAGCAGCCATTGGCGATGGGAATCTTCTGCAGTGTATTACCGCTAAGGCGTCTGGAGTCGTGGTCGCTTAGACGTCTACCATTCACTCACTTCTTTGCTGGCCTCAGGCATTATTTTTACGTCATCGCAAAAACGCACCACTATCAAACTCTCCAAGTGCACGAGCTTCTCCCGCGCGCGTCATTCGCTTGACGCGAGCTACGCGCCATTCAGGAAGGTAAAAGTTTCTCTGCATGGTGGCAGATGATCTATCCTGCTTGACAATCTGTTGACCGACATCATGCTCTTTTGATCCTCGTCGTCGTTGCTGCAGTTCAGCGAATATCGCATTGTATAGACTCATTTGCATATATCTTGCAAGGTCAGAAGAAGTTGAGACGAGATCTAGCTAGATCTTGGTGGCGCACAGCTGGCGGGACTGGAACGAGATAAGATCGTATCTCCAGATCGTACCTACAGCACCTTGATAGGCCTGCCGCAGGGGCAGTGAGAACTTGAGCCAAAATGGAGAAGATCAAGAGCTATTTCACGGACAAGAAGGCGCAGGTAAGAATGACTCGAAGAAGAAGACATGCAATGGGGATGAGACTCACCAAAATATCTACAACCAGGTCGTCGTCTTCTCCTCCACCGCCATCGCCCTCTATGGCTACGACCAAGGTATGATGAGCTTGATCAACACAAATGCCAACTACCTCTCCACCATGGGCATCGCCGAAGAAGATCCTCAAGTCGGCGTGATCGTCTCAGTCTACTACCTAGGTTGTGCCATCGGCGCCATCATCTTCTCCTACCTAGCCGACAAATACGGCCGCAAACCCGCCCTCTTCGGATGTCTGGTTACTGCTTCTCTTGGTAACTTGATCATGTTCTGCTCCGGACTCGGGTACAGCAAAGGCGCTCTAGCAGTAATGTATCTGGGTCGTGTGGTGATGGGTCTCGGGGTCGGAGGCGTGGACAGTGTCGTGCCCGTTTACAGCTCCGAACTCGCATCCGATGGAGCTAGAGGTAAAGCTTTGGCTCAGGAATTCCAAAGCAACATCTTCGGCTTGAACATGGCTTTCGCCATCAACCTGGCAGTGACAGTCCACCTAGGCAAGTACAACGAATGGGCCTGGCGAATCCCAATCATCTCCATGCAAATCTACCCCGTCTCCCTCCTCGCCATCTTCGGCCAGCTGCCGGAGTCACCACGGTGGTACATGTTCCACGACCGCACCGACGACGCCAACAAATCCCTCAAGAAAATCATGGGCGAGGAAGACGGCAAGAAGAAATTCGACGAGCTGACCGAAAGCGCCAAATCCGAATCCGACCAGAAAGTCGGGTACGCGGATATGTTCACACCGGGCCACCCTCAGTTCCATCCTACCATCATCACGATCATGGGCCAAGTCAACCAGGCCCTGACAGGCTACGGCGCCGTGTCAGTCTACGGACCCCAGATCTTCGAACTCCTAGGCTACAGTACCAGGAAATCCGAGTACCTGACCCAAGGAAACTACATCTCCTACTTCTTCCTCATGACCTTCGCCTGGCTGCTCGTGGATGCCGTGGGCCGGCGAACAGTCCTGCTATGGGGCTCCGGTGTCCTGACCATGTGTTTCTTCCTCCTCACACTCTTCGGTGGACTCTCGATGAATGCAGACGGTCTCGGCTTGACTCGTGAGGGGGTGGCAATACCCGGTATCATCAGCTTGTTCGTCGCCACGGGGGCCTTCGGGATCGGCTGGCTCGCCACCATCTGGCTCATCCCCACCGAAATCTACCCCACCACTGCCCGCGCCCAAGGCACCGCCGTCTCCGTCGTCATCTGGGGCCTGGCCAACTTCACCGTAACACTGCTCACGCCCATCCTGTTCAATAATCTAGACTACTGGCTCTTCCTCGTCTTCGCGCTGACGAATACTTTCGCGGGGTTGTGGACCTACCTTTACACGCCCGAGACGGGCGGGAGGAGTTTCGAGGAGAATCAGGAGTTTTTCGATTCGGCCAAGGAGGCCGGGACGTGGAGGGTGGGGAGGGTGAGGAAGGGCGAGTTTATGTATATGCCTTATCCCAAGCCGGATGGGGAGGAGGGGGAGTCGCAGCCGTTGTTGCAGCGGATACAGGAGCAGTTGTAGATGTTTCTGCTCCTGGGATGGGCAGTCAGTGCAGAGTGATTCTGGGAGGAGGCCTTCGCAATGGCTGTCGATGTGTCTTATAAGAGATGGGGGTAATATATAGATCGGATACAGAAGGGATTATATAAGCATAGTAGTAAAAGCCTTCCAGGACCATCATCTCCTCGCATCAAATGAGACTCAATTCCCCTTCCTGCTCTCATGCCCATCTTTCTGCTCCCACAGAGGCCACATCCAAGCAGAGCCCATCACTCTCAAACCCCAGACGAAGCCCGTGCTCTGTCCATCTCACACTCATAGCAGCAACGAGTATCGCCGCATCATTGTACGCCACACCCAAAGCCTGCACCGCCAATCGACCCTCACTCGCAAGCGCAGAAGCAATTTCGAAGGACTCCTCCGGCTTGAAAGGTTTGTGTAGAAAGGTTACATTCCCTCGATTTGCCCGGCTGCCCTAGGTTGAAACAGATGACCTGGATATCGTTGCTGTGGATGAGAAGGCGGCTGGGTTCCGAGGGGGTGAGGAGAATTGTGTTGCCAGCAGGTATGATTTCGCGGGCAGTTGGCGCCGTTGTATATGTCATATCGTGGCCTTGGTGTGGTTGTCATGGATCCTGCAGCGCGGAGCTAGCGATCATGTAGCGGGGTTTCCGGGGGGGGTTTCAGACGTCGTGTCTTTTCGCTACGGCCGACGAGGTTGGGTACAACAGCGGACCACCTTCCTCCGCTTCACACCCCAAACCCTCGCCGCAGAACATCCCTCCTCCGCCGCCGCCGCCGCCGCCTCCTCAGATCCTCCCCATTGCACCGTCCTCACAACCTCCACCTCCTCGCTCCCCCTCAGCGCCTCAACCACGAACCCGACAACTCTCCTGTACATTTCCATCCGCTTGAACTTCAGTAGTCCCTCCAATGAGACGGCTCTATCCCCTTGGCCGCCCGTTAGATAGAGCATATGCCGATCATTGTAGGACATTGGCGTCGGAAAAGTAGCATTCGATTTGTTTTCTACCGGTCTCTGGGTCGAGAGGGCGCGAGTCCTACTTCCGTCTTCACGATCTCTTTCGCGGTTCGCGGAGGAGTTGGTGCTGCGGAGGTGCCGGCCTTGCTGACCATGATGTTCCTGCCACGGCTGCTCGAGGGCACTTTCACAGCATGACCGGCCCTCTGCTTCTGCGTCTGTCGCCCTCCCTCCTGCCCCTGTTTCTCCCTCACCCGCTCCAGAAGCCACTCGACGCTCTGCCTCACCTCTGCATCCGAAGCAGTCAGGGAAATCTTATCCTTGGTCAAAATAACAAGTAGAGCACCTATCCACCCCTCCCTCTCAGCAGCAGCAGCAGCATCCCGAGCGCCCTCAAGTCCTCCACCTCCCTCTCCCCCTCTCAATACCAACCCGTCTCCCTGCCGCCTCCCCAACGCCGCTCCAATCTTCCCTCTCAACACCTTCCCAACTCGCTTCGCAGCCCAACTGCGCACGAAAGCGCGCTTGGACACGTCGACGGGACATTGGACCCGCCAGTGGAAATTGTCCGGGTCGAAGGCGGCTAGTTTCCTCTTCGTGCGGATGTGGAGGGGATGCGAGGGGTCGGTGGCGAATTCACGGGTGGGGAAGAGGGTGGTGCAGTTTATTGGGTCGGGACGGGGTTCGTATACATAGCGGAGGAGGTGGGAGGGGTGGAATGGTTGGATTGGTGGTTTGCTATTGCCCGCGATAGGGGCGGTAGTGGGGGGATTTACATGTTTGCTGAGGAGTGTGGGGGTGCGGCGGAGCATGTGTTCCTACTCATGCACCGTTCGATATATGGAACTTGACAGGTGACAAGTGACTGGAATATTTTAGGGAATAGTCGCAGCCCCAAACGTGAGGACAATCCAGGGTCCAGCCAGCCAATCACACAAACACACAACGGGCAGCGCTTCACCCCGCCGAAAAGCCGCCACGAAGCGCTGTGTCATAAACTCACAGGCGTATATATATAACAACACACGCCCACCTTCCTACCTCTCTACACCGACAAGTCCCGAAAGACGATAACGCAAGGCAACGGAGCCGCACGAACTCTCAAGCACGACCGACTGCTACGGCATTAGCAGGCAGAAGAGAAGATGCCTAAGAACAAGGGAAAGGTGGGTGAAGGATGAAATCTGTGGAGGATAGTTTCTTGTGTGAGAGAGAGGGTATTGTGCTAACGAGATGGTGGTCTACAGGGAGGTAAGAACAGGAGAAGGGGTAAGAACGAGAACGACAATGAGAAGCGCGAGTTGGTGTTTAAAGAGGAAGGGCAAGGTACGCAACATCCCATCTCCCGTCATAGTAACCACCACCACTACACGACAAACCCCACTGACATGATATGAATGGTTGACAGAATACGCCCAAGTCCTCAAAATGCTCGGCAACGGCCGCCTGGAAGCCCTCTGCTTCGACGGCTCCAAACGCCTCGGCCACATCCGGGGCAAGCTGCGCAAGAAGGTGTGGATCAATCAGGGCGACATCATCCTCTTGTCCCTGCGCGACTACCAGGATGAAAAGGGGGATGTGATTTTGAAGTATTCGGCCGATGAGGCGAGGAGTCTGAAGGCGTATGGCGAGTTGCCTGAAAGTGCGAAGATTAATGAGACGGATACGTATGGTGGGGAGGAGGAGGGCGGGATTGGGTTTGATTTTGGCGAGGATGAGAGTGGGAGTGAGAGTGGGGGGGAGGTGGATGTTGATGATATCTGAGGAACTACCTTGAAGAATAGAAGTACGGCGTTTGATGACACAGACACACACACACACACACAACGAATAAGATCTGACCAGCATGTCCGGCACTGTTCCTTACTCGGCTTACTCATTCTCACTGTAAACACGTCTATATACACTCGTTGTATTCGTCTTGTGTCTCGTGCCTCTTGCTCGGTTTGTGTGCCTGAGCTACATAGCCGAAACGCGACGGGCTTGGCGCCACATGAGGGTCCGGCTTCGCCTGCAGCGCATACGTCAACCTCCATAGCATGTATGTAGGTTGTTGTTCAGGCTGCTGTTTATCATTTACTCTCACAATAATCACACCGCTACCTTTCACTAGCATTGCCACGAATAATACCACACAGCAATAACGAACACACATATCCACACCCGAGTGAGCACATGCCCAGCTCACTCACACACACCATCCACCATGCCCTCCATCCTCTCCGACGACGACAAGCAAACGGTCAAACGCACCGTCCCCAAAGCCACCAACAAAATCCACGCCGTCGCCGTCGCCAAACTCTACATCTCCCTCCCCCAAACCCCGCATCCAACCTGGCAACCCACCAATCTCCAAGGCGCCCTCGTCCTCGCCAACGACCTGGTCGGCAACACCTTCTGGCTCAAACTCGTCGACGTCAGCCCGGCCAACCGCGGCGTGATCTGGGACCAAGAAATCTACGACTCCTTCCAATGGTTCCAGGATCGCACGTTCTTCCATTCTTTCGAGGGAGAGGAGTGTCTGTTCGGGTTTTCGTTTGTGGATGAGAAGGAGGCGAGGCAGTTGCGGAAGAAGGTGGAGGAGCGGGAGAAGAATGCGGCCAAGGGGACTAAAGGGAAGGCTTTTGCGTTGGGGCCGCCGCAGAGTGCTTATAGTTCTGGTGGGAGGGTGCAGAGTTTAGTTGGGGGAGGGCTTGCGGGGGCTGGTCTTGGGGCAGGAGGAGGTGTTGGTGGTGGTGGTGGTGCGGCAGGAAAAAGTCATGGGAGGTTTGGGGGTCTGTTTCATCGGCATAGTAGTGCTAATGCCACTGCGCAAACCGGACCATCACAGTCAATCATCCCGCCCCGGGGCGTGGAAATCCATAATAGCAATTCCAACAGCTATAACGCCTCCCCCAATACCTCCCGACCCGCGAGCGCAAGCGGCATCGATCTGAGCGATCCGGCTGTTCAGGCCGTCTTGCAGGATCTGTTACAGATGGGTATCACGGAAGATCAGATAGAAGAGCACGCGGATTTCATCCGCACATATCTGGAACAGAACAAGGCCACGGCGGCCGCGAACCAGGAGAAGAAAGATCGTGCCGCGAGGGCCCCTCCGCCTCCACCCCCTCCTCCTGCGGCAGCGAATCTGAGCCCGCAGAACACCGGCTCTAGTTCCGGGACGTCGAAACGCGGGCCCCCGCCCGCTCCACCGCCTTCGCGTCGTGCCGGCGGCGGTACGACATCTACTCCTTCTTCAGCTATCCAACGCCCTCCAAGCCCAAGTCCCAGTCCACCACGCGAACCTTCCCCCCCTCGACCCCGGTTCCGCGCCCCGCCGCCTTTGGCCGATGCGGGCAAATTCGCTCAGACGCCTGAGTTGCCCACGAGGGGGAGGGCGGGGAGTACCGCCAATGCTGCTCCTGCTGTTGGGATCCCAGGTCCGCCGCCGCCTCCACGACCGCCGAAGACGCCGTTGATTGAAGATCAGGGGGAGGCTGCGGCGCCTTATGCGCCGGCTTCGCGGTTTGCCGTCCCGCCGCCTTTTGAGGGAAAGCGGGTGGGTTCTGCTGGGTTGCCGCCGCCGCCCACGCCTGCGAGGAATGTCGGAGGAGCTGCTGGAGCGGGAGCTGCGGGGGTTCCACCACCGCCTCCTCCCAGAGATAGTCATGCTTTACCCCCAGCTGCAGTGGGGGGGCTACCGCCTCCACCCCGGCCGCGAGCGAGTCCTAATCCCAACTCGGGCGGTTTCGGGGACGGTCCCCCGCCTGCACCACCTTTACCTCCCCCGAATTTCTCGCGACCCGTGCCTCCTGCACCGGGCGGCAGTGGACCGCCTTTACCGCCTTCGCTCCCGCCACCCAATGCCAGTGCTGTAGGTGCTGGAGGCCCACCACCACCACCTCCGCCTCCTCCGTCTATGCCACCACGTGGCGCGGGTGCTGGCCCACCGCCTCCTCCTGCTTTACCACCGCCTGGAGCTTCCGCTGCGCCTGCTGCGCCTGCTGCGCCGGGTCGAGATGGCTTGTTGGCTGATATACAAAAGGGAGCGCGGTTGAAGAAAGTCTCGGATGCGGAGAAGAGGGATCGGAGTGCGGTGGCTGTGCCGGGGGGTGAGCCTGCGACGCCGGCTGCTGGTGCTGGTGCTGGGGCTGCGGGAGGTGGGCAGGATGCGGCAAGTGGGGGGTTGGCGGGGGCGTTGGCTAGTGCGCTTGCGGCGAGGAAGAGTAAGGTTAGTCATAGTGGTGAGTTCTAGCCCCTTTCTTTTTTTCTTTTTCGTTTTCTTTTTCTTTCTTTCCTCTTTTTCTTGCCTATTGGGTTGGCTGACGATTTTGTGATGCAGATGATGAGAAGGATGATGATGATTGGTAGGGTAGTTCTACCATCCTCCTCCCCTTTCTCTAGCAGAGGGCCAGGGTTGAACATCAGCATTTTCCGTCAACCTAGGCTTCTTTGCCAACATCTTGCCACTTTTTTCCCGTGTGCGTTAAGGAAAACCTTTTTTTTTCCCCGAGCGGTGTTTGCGGGCGACTACGTTAGACCATGGTGAAGCAGCATGGATCTGATCTGGGCTGGTCTGGTCTGGTCTGTTCTCGGAGCGAAACGTTTCAAGAGTGGGATGGCCCTTTTGCTCTCGACAGATCAGATGCTGCAGCTCTGGAGTCTGGAGAGGTGATTGGGTACATCTGCTTTTCCTTTTTCCTTCTTGGAATCCTTGCGCAACCTCTAGCATTCGTTCTCTCTCGCTTCCGTACGTGCTATGAGGACGAAGCGGGTTCTCGCCACACTTTTGGTGACAATGGATTACGGATGATGATCTTATTCCAGCTGCTTTTCTGCTTCTACCGCCTTCTTCCGACTGATCCGCTATCGACTCGAGGTCGGCTACGATCTTGCCATCTACCCAACGTAGCACATCAGACGAGACGTCGAGCGTCGATACCAGAAGTGATTCATTCGGGGCACGATCTTGCGGAGCGCCGTTGTGAACGTAGGATCGTGGGTTGGGGTCATTCGTGCTTCTAGGCCACAGGATGCGTTACAATTGTTGGATGGTTGGTGCCAAGCAATGCATGGTGCCCAAGACGTTTCCTTTTTCTTTCGGTAAGTCACGGCTATCATGAATATACTAGCTGCCCTCTTGGTTCCCAGCAATTTCACCCGGAAGACGGACGATGTTGGCGTTGTCTTAATTCCTGTGGGAGGAATCCGATATGTGAGACCCTCTCTCTAGCTGCGTAATTTTCCCAGTGCCTTGTCCGCATTGGCGATTGAGGCGGATGGATGCGAGATCGTCGAACCCATTCACTCGGATTTTGCACGTGCTAGTGGGGCTCTGCACGGGCGCTAGTACGCGGCGGGAATGAAGTCTTGGAAGTCTTCATTCTATCGATTGTCGACCACGGGAGCATGTGCTCGCACTCATCAATCGACCACTCGCCATTTCTACGCCGCTACGTTGGTCAAGGAGAACGCCATGGGGACATCAGAAGTGAATTTGCTGGAAACACAACCACAGCCGACACGACATCGACCAAGGACTCGGGATCCAGAGCGTGCAACATGAAGTTTCTACTTGGCCTCCTGCTTCTTGCTTTCGTGGTCGCCTTCTCCCATATCCTCTCTAGTCTCGCCGGAATGACAAACCCATGGGACATCTTCCTCCCGACCGGCGTTACGGACCTGCTCGCTCCTGACGATCACAACTGTTTCCATCCTGCAAATGACTTCACGTCTTTGGCGTTTTGGGACTTACCGAGATGCATGGAAGCTCTTGCCGGGCTGAGACGTAGGGCGAAGGCATGCGAGGTTCTAGCCAGAAGTTATGCGATGTTGGAGACGGAGTTCGGGCGTGAGTAGAGGGAGGATGGTGGGGAGGAGAGTGCTGGTGGCATGGCTGTTACGAGTTTGTTTCGTATCAGGCACCTTGGGTGTGATGGTGAGAAGCTGGGCAACGATGCGGTGGGCGATGCGGGCGGAGAGGAGAAGCGTGCAGGGAAATGGGTTGCCATGGCCAAGGAGCTGAAGCAGTGTTTCGAAATCGTCGAGGTCTTTGATGGTGCGAGGAAAGTGTGGGGGGAGGAGATTTACAATGGGCTGTTTAGAAGGGCAGATCGGGAAGCGAGCGTTGCTGGGATCCGGAATCCGTTCGATAAGGAGCAGGAGATTTTGGCGCAGAGACTTGACGATTTGAGTAAGGAGGTGGATAGTGTGGTTGCAAGCGCGGATGAAGTCGTGCGAGCGACAGATCAGCGATACGCTTTCATCGAGGAGGAAATCTTTCTGCTTGGAGAAGCGGTCAGCCAGCAACGCCTGATTCTGGAGGAACTGGCAGGTTTGGCTCTTTCTGCCGACCTTTCTACTATTTACTATTCCACTTTGACGACCAAATTTGCAGAGGTCGAAGCTCGACTAGCGGAGTTCGAAGCGATGCAACCAACAGTCACTTCCCTGCCACAGCCATCCGGCACGATGATGGATTTGCTCCGAGCCTGCAAGCCTGACCACACCGATAGTGAGCTGGAGGACCTGGTCCTTGACTTTCTGGCCGGTGCGAGTGGCCACGGTGCAGGCACGTAGACATGCCATGGAGGAGACCCCTTGTCCAGGAGGCGTGACCAGGCCATGCCTTTGAGTGTACGTGGTGACAAGGAGGTTTCCAATGGACTTCAACCAGTGGAGGTCTACTTCCCTTTTTGTGGTTTTCTTTATGGCTCGTCGGAATTTAAAGGAAGACAAACTGTCTTAGTGGCGCAGGCAATTGATTTCGGAAACAGAAGGGGTGATAGTGCCTAGAATGCTCTGCAAGACTGCTAGCAAAGTCGGCAGTTTTTGAGGAGGCCATGTCAAAGGAGCTGATTATGGTGGTACTATACCCCATAGTGTTCTTGTCCTGCTCAAGGCCTACGCTACAGCTTGCAATGCCGAGGACCGATGCATAACATATGGACACAGTCCTTGATGTCGAGTGTTGGGTGTCATAGAGCAAAAGTCAGTAGCAGTCGAACCCGTATCCTCTACAAATACTCGAATGCCATGTCCCGTAGTGAACGATCCTTCTACTATATGACATGCATACATTCCAGCTTACCAGCGAGTGGTTCTCCAAATCTCATCGCGAGCATGCACTTGCAAATGCACAGACCAACTTGATACTAGTCCGCGCTAGTGCGTGCTTCTGACCACGGGATCTCTTTTGCAGCTGTCACATTCATCTTCCAAAGCTTCGGCGGTCGTAATTCAGCAGGGTAATTCAGCAGGGGAAATCAGCAGGGGAAAGCCTGCCTTAACCAGCGGTTCCACTCCTCCATCGACACAGCACTACGGCAATACAAAGACAATCACGAAGACCGTATAACTCTAATCAACTGTCACACGAAACATCCCTATCCGGCACAGAAGCTCCAACCACAACGAAGAACTTCACATCCAGCCGACACTGTTTCTTCCTCCTAAACCTCTTCGCCATCCTCCTCCTGCTCAGCGGACCGGCAGATGCGAGTAGCAGCCGCTTTGACTTGGAAGAAGAGCTTCCGCCAGCGGCCCAGACGCTCTTCCACGATCAGCACCATCTTTGCAGCCATGAATCGTTCACGGAAAAACGCTAGGATGAGTGCGAAGCGACCTACCGGGCTTTCACGGACAAGGCGAAGGAGTGCCGGGGTTCAATTGAGATCTATCGACCACTCGCAGGGAGATATGCAGAGGCTGGCGGGAAGGCTGGGACTGGCGATCACAGTGAAGGCGAAGAGGATGTAGGAATCCCTCATCCTAATAGCCGACTGCTTGCTACTAGAAAACCTGCATGCTCGAGTCTCAGGGCCGCAAGCCCCGAGCGTGCTGTTGAAGAGAACCTGGGTGTATGGTGCGCGCAGGCATCGGACAATCTAAGGCAGGAATTTCTGGATTGCGTTAAGCTTGTCGAGGCTTTCGGCTGGTCGACTGATCTGGATGTTAGTGCCGTGGATGAGATCGAAACGGGCATGCAGATGGCGGAGCGTCATTACTCGCTCGTCGAGGAGCAGGTATTGCTGCTTCAGGAGACAGTCATCGAGCAGCGTCTTCTGCTGGAGGAGCTGGTGGATCTGCTACCCATGAAGATGGCGGTTGCTGGAGCCGTAGCTATCGAGGCGAGTACTGAGGCGGACTTGGAACAGCATAGTACAAGCACCTGGGCCAGGGTCGATGCGCAGGCCCGCGATTTACGAAAGGTTCGGGAGGATGCTTTGCACAGGGCGGCGTACGGGCAAGCTGTCGAGGACTTCTGCTAAGTGCTCGAGTCACTCTGCGCTTTTCATCTCTGGTATGGAAGAGGTAGAGCTAGCGAGGACTACAGCGCATCTGGTGACGCTTCGATCTGGTGCATCAGGTGAGCATGACGCGGCGTTGAGACAGTTTGAGGAGCAGAGTAGAAACATCATGGAAGCAGTTGAAGAGGGACAGAGCTTCAATTCGGACACCAGTGGAAGTACTACTACCAGGATCGGCGAGGAATGCGGTACGCCAGGTGTCAATGCCGCTGGGTAGGAAGCCAGCGCTGGAGAGCAGATCTAATGGTGTTGATGTCCAGAGAGTCGGGTATGGCTGCTGGACACGAGAGACCGAGGTGGCCACCGATCTACTCTTGATGAAGCTTGATCGGAAGCCTGGTAAGGGTGAGCAATTGGAATTAATGGTGGTGATAAAATCGGAGGTGATATATGCTCATAGCGGGAGCGCCCAAACAGCCAGGGTTCAGCGAGTGGCGATACGTCATTAATATAGTTCATGTCCCTTCTCAAGGATCAATTGTTATTCGGGATTTGAAGTTGGTACATTTCAATGTGCGCTTGTGCGTACTTTCTAGTCGTGCTCGTGGTCTGTATTCATTGACCAAGAACATTCGCGTCGTTCTGCGACCCAGAAGCATCCACAATGGCCGACACAGTCCTTGGCAAACACCAGCTGGAGAAAGCGCTGTACGAAGAGAACAAGGCCGTCTCATCTGGTCAGCTTAAGGAAGAAAATCCCTTGGACACCAGCACAGAGTTCCGTATCTTCTGCGAAGCTTGTCGGAGAGGAGACTTGCGAGTGTGTCAAGAGCAGATAAGCAAAGGCATCAACATCAATGCTCGCGATCAATTCGATTACACACCTTTGATACTGGTGGGTTTGCTGCAAAAGGATTTCAGTGGTGTAGAACTGATGTGCTGAAAAAGTCTCCGGCAGGCCTCACTATGCGGCCACTACGAAGTCGCCCAGATGCTGCTCGAGCAGGGCGCTCGATGCGAACGGGATACGTTCCAGGGTGAACGATGTCTGTACAATGCCCTGAACGATCGGATACGGAATCTACTACTGTCATACGACTTCTCCAAGTCGACAGATCTGCTACAACCACTGGCGGCCCACATGACGAGTCTGTTGACGAGGGAGACGCCGATGACGGCAGATATCGCGGTGCATACGGGAGACACGACCTTGAATCTGCATAAGTTCATTCTCTCAGCACGAAGTCCCTACTTCGCTAGCAAGCTGGCTGCCGCACCTGAGACGACAACTTGGAAATTGGCCAATACGATACCATCGCAGAGCTTCGAGACGTGTATACGATATCTTTATCTCGGCGACGTCGGCGCAGATCTGGGCGAAGGCGATGAAGAGCAGGCTATTCTGACTGGCATTGATAAGTTGAGCAAGCAGTTGGAAGTTCCGCAGCTGTTTGACAATATACTACAATCGGGTGATAGACGACAGGCACGGCAACGGAGGACAGAAGAGCTGGAGAAGAGCAGTGAACAAATCACGACGTGGTTCCAGAGGAATGTGCTGAAGTATAAGGTGTTTGTGGATAGCGAGAAGGCGGACGGTGTAAAATGGGACAGAAACAATGGCATCTTTGCGGACGTGCTGCTCAGAGCGGATGAGGATGAGGAAGTCGAGGCGGAAGTCGAGGAGAGTGAGAGCAGCGACGAATCACCACAGATACGACGAACAGAAGGACCTTTGAATGGTATACCTATCGGCAACTTCGCACAACAGACCTCCCGCTCGCCTTCACGAAGACGGAGACCGAAACGCTCCGTCCTCTTCCCATGCCATCGCGCCATGCTCCTCCGCTCTGAGCTCTTCGCCACTATGTTCGCCTCACCCTTCCGAGAAGGCCAGGAAAGCGAGCACTTACACATCGTACCCTTGGACTGCTCACCGGAAGTCCTGGAAGTGATTCTCACATTCTTATACACCGAGAAAGCAGACTTCGGCTTACATCTAGCCCTCGACGTTCTCCACGCGGCTGATATGCTGTTCATCGAGAAGTTGAAGCAAAGGGCCGCACTGTTAATAAGTACGCTAGGTAACGGCAATGCTAGCGTTGTCGAGTCAGAGAACCCTCGCGGGGTCACTGGAGCGGAGGAGGAAGAAGAAGTGATCAATATCTACGACGTCATACGAGCCGGCTGGGATACACGAGTCCATCGTCTAGAAGAGTTTGGAGCGAGATTTATCGCTTATAGATTAGAAGGATATATCGATGAGCCCGAGTTCAGGACGCTGGTTAGGGAGTCCGCGGCCCGAATCAAGGGTAGGCAGGAAACGGATACGGTGGAGCTGGTGGACGATATTAGGTACTACCTCAGTGATCGCTTCCGGCTGCGATTCGAGGATAGTGGGTTGGATGAGATGATGGACGAGTCTACTGCTGGACCAGAGGGTGCAGACGATGGAGGGGGGCTGGAAAGTAGAGTAGAGAAGTTGGCGGTGCATGACGATGAAGGATACTCGGGCTCGTCACCGGAGAATGATGCGGTTGGGCAGGACGCCGCGGCGTGGGAGGCTGCACAGCAGGGCGTTGTTAGGACTCTGGATGGGGAGGTCGCGGGAGATGAGTTTGCGCAGGATGCGTTGAATTATCAGATCTTGTTGGCGAAGATTGATACTTTGATGGAGACTTTGGGTTTGGATGGTTAACAGCAGGACTATGAATAGATTGAGATCTGCTCAGCATCTCTTGAATTTCTTGGGCTAGACCTGTCGTCGTGCCCCTTTCTTGTCTATCCTGACCAGGGCATTGTGAGGTGGTGCAGAGTCGAGGGAGCTATACTTGGTAGCAAACCTTGTGTTTGGCGAGCGACAACAAATTGCTGGGATCAACCACCGCAACCATCCGACCCTCGTCTCCATCCTCGAACACCAGGTCCGCCCATTCTTCCTTTCGTGCCTCTTCCTCCTCTATCGCTCCTTGCCTCACAAGCACGCAGCGCCGTGATCTCGCTCCTAGCCTCCTGAGCCTCGGCCGTGGCTTTGTCGTCGGACGAAGGACTTGGCTCATTTACGACTGTGTCTTCTCCTGGACTTGGAGGCGGCATGAGCTGCAGCAGTTCCCTGCTTTCACTGGTGCTAGACGGATAATTGAAAAAGCAGCCTCCAGCTAAATCCGGAGTCGGAGATAGTAGCTGACAACACCCGCTCCATGTGAGAGGGTCTATGTGGTTGGAACCACAAGATCGGACACTCGTTTCCTTCGATGCTTCGATTGCGCACTCGCCATCTCTGGCGATTCCTCGTGGGCATCCTCTGTTGTGATATGCTGAATCCCATCCGGGTTGTCATCGTCAGTCTCTATCAGACCAGCGGCGAGATCGCCAACTGCAGTGGAGCCCGTAAGCATATCTGTGAGCTCAGACAGGAGAAGACCTTGTTCGTGAAGCACTTCCTGGATAGGGTTGGTCATGCTTTCGAGATCGTGAGCTGATGTGCGATGCGTATGACTCCTGCCAGTTTCTGGCCAGTGTCCTGCACGACCGTGTTGATTTCCTGAAGCTGCTGTTGTAGGCTCGCACCGCTCTGGTAAGCAACTTTTCCCTTCGTCGGTTGTGTTGATGTGGCCGACTGCATTCCTTCAACAGTCGTGGTACTTGTAAGACTCGAGCGACTCGGATGCGTTTTGACGGTCGACTAGCAGTCACCCTTATCGCGGCTTTCGGGTTTACTATGCTCCTGCTCATGCTTGTCGGCGTAGATTTTATAGATCTCGCAAGCGTTGTGCATCGCAAGCCTGAATGAGTCGACCAGTCCGAAGCACGAGCTTAGATCCTGTTCAAAGTCCCTCCAAGCTTTACGACAGAGGTGGTCGGATCTCGCTGCCTTGGTATCATTCACAAAGAACAAGTCGTAGCATTGCGAGCCGCTAAGGGAGAACAGGGTCTGGGGCGAGTTTTGCTTCTTGACAAGTCCGTAATGTCCTGTGAGTCCTACGACTGGCAATCCCTGGGCTCTCTCGAGGAGCCATGGGTATCCACGAGCGTACCACATCGCTGGAGGTTGCGGTCGAGATTCCAATAATCGGCATGGCAGTGATTAGGGATCGGGAACATAAGACAACCCTTCATGTGAGGAATGTATTCGGGCTGCTTGTCTAGAAAGAGCTTCCCAAGGCCGGTGAAGCGATCTGGTGCAAATGATCTGTGCAATGGGCCAGGGCCTATTTCGGATTGGACCAATACGGCGAGAGCCAGAACAGGGACGAGAGTAAACATCGTGCCGAGCGGTGAAGAGGTTTTGTGGATATGTAAAGTTGCTGTGCCTGCCAAATAACGGGTATGCTGGATTTCACAATCAGCCAAGTCTGTGTAGGCAAGCTTTTCGACGCGCGGCTTCGTGAGCGAGGCTAACTTGTCGGCGGCGGCATCGGACATGCACGTGGCAGAAGCAGACACGTGTGCAGTAGTGAGTGAATGGCGGCAAGCGACTTATGAACTTGTCAAGTCAGCTTTCGGCACCAATATCTCTGCACGTGCTCAAGTAGGCAACATTACGTTGCCAGCACTTCTGCAGTCCAATGAATGACTCATTGTTGCAGCACGAGTCAGAGGTATAGTATCTTCCCATCTCAATGTTCTTGGTGTTAGCGGAACCACGGTTGGTGTATTTGCAACAGCCACGAAAAGTCCCAGGAGTTGTATGAATATGAGGTTGTGCTCTCACAGCAAGACCTTGTGACCTTCAGACACCCAGCAACGCTTTCTTGAATCTCCCCGTCCGCTCGACGTTCGTCTTGAATCTCTGGTTTGCGACGGTGATTAAAGTGCGTAAGTAGTCTTCCGTGACCATTGGCTTCACTATTGTGTCTCCAGCCGAGTCATCACCACCCCCAATGACGGTGTCAGAGAAACCGATGATGCAATCAAAGGCCAAGCCAGAGCTTCGCACTCCGACCATAGGCGTGGCTGGTGAGGTCTGTTGTGGTGAAGTATGGGGGAGAATGCTGTTTATGCCACTCTCACGAAAGCCCGCCGACATAGCCGCGGACATTATTCTCTGTGCTGGCTTAAGCGACGAAGAGAGGATATGAAGAATCTTGGTCGAATTGTCAGAGATACAGGCAGCGGGCAGGAGAGGAGGGACGGAGTTGAGGGAAGAAGTACTGTACCTACCATGGGCTCAAACTTGAAATGCACGAACCTCGCCTTCTCAGCATCTGAAGGAGTAGCACACTGCACAGCTCCCCCCAACACGCCGAACATCTGCAGTACCTCACCCGGACCTTCAGGCACCTCAATCGGTTCATGGGAAGTGTACAGCCATTTGCCACCGCCCTTAGCCCCCTTGCTTCCTTCCAGGTAGACGGCAATACGTCCAGCACAACTGCTGGTAGTCACGTAGTCCGGTGAGTCGTTGATCTCGGCTATCAGGTCGCGAATCCCTGCGTCTACTGAGCCTTTGGGCGAGAGGTCTGTGTACTGGTCTTCCGGTGTATTGAGGCCGGCTAAGATTTTGGACTTGCGGTCTGCGAAGCTTTGCGGTGCCATTTGGTCCCTGATCTGCGACTACAACGCCTTGTCTGGCAATGTGTGCTCTTGAATGTCACCGACGATGATCGGGATCTCAGTACAGAATTGTCATGTCAAAGTGGTCCAAGCTGTTAAGCGCTGCCGCCGCGCTTGTCGCTTGTTTCGACCAGCGTTCCGTGCCGTCGTGTAGTCTCCCACATCGCTGGGACATGATATCACCGCTCCGACAACATCGAATTCCGAGCGTTGTGTATAACCGCTCGGACCGTACTAATCGAAGTTTTCTTGTCAAAGTGGGCTTAGGAAGTAGAAAAGCATCGCTAGAGAAGACATTCTGGAGACGCGCTGAGCCCTGGAACATACTCGCTTATCGGATACTATTCGGAGTTGCACATCCATTCTACGACACGAGAGGTAACCAGTCATGGCACGAAAGTCGGAGCGACTGTCCGAAAGCACAAAGTCTACTCCAGCGCACAAACGGGCTGCCTCCGCGACTGCTATACCAAGCGCTGAAGTCAAGCGGCCAAAGACTGCCAAATCCACTCCGATGGAAAGTCAGTATTTCGCAGACGATAATCCCAACAAGAAGATAACTGGAGATATTGGTGATCAAGACGACGACGACGAGAGCTCCGTGGAGGAACCTGTTTCTGCTTCTGATTTTGATGAAGACGAAAATCGACCCGAGTCTAGTGATCCAGAGGAAGACGATGACTACGACAGCGAGAAGGAGCAAAGCTCGAAGCGAAAGTCCGTGTCTCGCAAAGGCGCCAAGTCTTCTCCTGTGATCAGGACCAAGGTCTCTGCGGTTTCGAAAGCGGGCGAGAAGACTGGACTTGCTCCTGGTACTCAGCTGATCATAAAGAAACCAAAAGCTCGACCCGCGGGCAAAACGCATTACGTCGACGAAAAGTTACATCCAAACACGTTCCTTTTCCTACAGGACCTCAAAGCAAACAACAACAGATCATGGCTAAAAAGTACGTATGATCTGACGTTCCTATTATCCCGACACTTGCGTTGCTATTCATCATATCACCAGCTTCCGCAGTGATGCATCATCACTATCATCGGAAAGAGAACTGCCATGTCAACTTGTTTTCTGCTACGGACGACTTGGCGCGACCAATATGCAGCAGTCATATTGCTCACCCGCATGTGGCCACAGCAGACTGCATGCGCATAGTGGAGCGGCGCGCACGTCCGCTCATGCGATGTTGTGCCAGCGCATCGAGCACTCGATGAAGATGGTGTGCATAGGCGTGCAGAAATGTGGCTGCGCTAACCAGGGTCTGCAGTGAACGACTTGGAGTTTCGGCAAGCTGAGAAAGATTGGCATTCGTTTGTGGAAGCACTGACGTCCAGGCTCTCCGAAATCGATGATACCGTGCCCGAGCTGCCAGTAAAAGATGTCGTATGTAACAATTGAAGACGATGGTGTGAGAGCGCAATTGACAAGTGGGCAGGTCTTCAGAATCTACAGGGACATACGATTTTCGCCTGATCCGACGCCATACAAGGTACGGTTCGGCGAAACCGGCCCACTCCGCCTACAGGCCACATGTCCGCTAATGCACGTACGCATAGCCATACTTCTCAGTAGCCTGGGTAAGTGCAAGCTCGCCCCCTCCATGGACGGTTGTACGCATGCGGCCAACGGATGTTCAACGTGCTGATGCGTGATGAAAACGCAGTCACGCACTGGACGGAAGGGCCCATATGCCCATTACTATGTCCAGGTCGCTCCGAACGACGAGAGCTTTGTTGGTAAGTCGATGTGCTCCCAGATGACATGTCTTGTTTTGATGGGCATCAATGCTCGCACGATCTTGGCAACAAGATGGCCTTTACACGCATCGAAGCCAACTCGAGCAAGCTTCAGACTGTGCTCACTAGTGACCGTGGGCAATGCCCGATTCTAACAGACTGCGCCGTTGTCGAACAGTGCATATACTAACCGTACAGTGATGAGCGTTCTACAAGCTTGTTGGCCTGCAACTCTTGCGAGGTCCATCAAGCTTTCCATCCCACAGTATATAGTCAAGCGCATCTTGCCTGCTTCCCAAGCTACTTTTTGCTACGGCGAATGTCTCTCATGCTCTGTGCTTCCCGAGTGAGGTACAGGGATCGGTGGGAGATGCATCGTGCGGAGGTCGGGGACAGGATGGTGTCAGATCGACTCGTTATTGTACGCGTCTATCGATTCAGACGGTCAGTCCCTTGAGGGACGAATCTGCGATTGTTCGGCTCGATTCAAAAAGGGCAGCAACAGCTCGTTACACGATCAGAAGGTGGACGAAAGGTCTGAGGCTGAGTTATCTTCTCTTCTTCTGGTTACGGGAGAGCTGGTAATCGTAACGTTGCTACGGGACCCTATCCTGTGAGCCGTCCCGCAGCCATTGATGAGCAGCGCGGCAGTGTAGCGTGAAAGTGGATACGCGACAGGCCAGCACTCCGGAGAATGCGACAATGGCACAAGATACTGTCCACTTTGTCTGGCTCTGCGAAGGATGCCATGCGCCATATCAGCGTCGGGCGAATATTGTCCTCTTTACAACCCTTCGCAAAAGCTATGACTTCGGAATTACCAGCCAGGCGACCGAGACCGATTTGCGACATGCTCTTGTGCTTCTCATATCGCCCTGACACATACAGTGGACACAGGTCCTTCTCTTTCATTTGCACGGATCCACTGGGTGGTCAAGCTGTGTTGACATCACAGGCGCGATCTGGAGAGTGTGGTCTGAATGTCCGCTCTAAGGAGACGATGGTCAGCATGTATCCGTCTGCAGGCTCGTTACGCAACATGATATCCATCTGGATCTGTCTGGGAGCAAACGGGACTTGATTATATCGACGCCTTAACACCTCTCTCCTGTAGAATCTTGAAAGTTGGTGCAATGGGCTTCCCTTGTAGGCAATACTTTCGGACGCAAACCTTGGGATCCTGCCTTGCTCGAGCAATGGAGTAGGTGCCGTTATTATGCGGACATCAGGATGATCAATAGGAAGCGACGGGTCGATCAGGGCATGGAAGTGCGAGTCTGCAAGAGATACTTGCATGCCGCCAGCATTCGAGGGACAAGAGTCATCGAAGGACATCTGTACTCTGAAGTTCGGAGACTCTTGCCGTCTGCCCAACTGGCAGGATCGGTCGTAAGCCGGGTATGGACCTTGATACCGCGGAAAGTAGCAGTGGTGTGTACGATTGGGGCTGGAGTGTCAGCGGGCGGTACGAGTGGATTCTCGTTGCGCTCATACCACTGCATTTCCGGGCGGCCGCGACGCAGGAGCGATGGAAGATCTGCGTTTGCGGAGAGATGTGACGAGCAGTGTTGCAATACCGCTTGCAAGAAGCTGTGCTGTTCTAGTTCGCGCTCATGCTGACCAGGTCTCTTTTCGTAGGTGGAGGCCTCTGGCATCCAGACACCGCTCCGACTGCAGCCATGCGACGCAGTATCGATCGTCACCCTGAGCGCATCAAGAGTGTTTTGACAGACAACGAGCTTCGCAAGTCGTTTCTGAAGGGCGTGTCGAAAGACGAGAAGAAGGTCGTAAGAGCTTTCTTCGCGTCGAACTCCGACAACGCCCTCAAGACCAAACCCAAAGTAAGTCACGTTTCGGATTTCGGTCTTTTGTCGCGCTCGTTAAAAGCTCGAGTGTCGTTGTCCTTCTATCTCCGCTGTTCGAAGGGTGCCGTGGTCTTAGACTTGTCGCGGTCTGGTCCGAGACACGCTTCACGTGGGCTTGGTAAGACACGAGCAAACCTGGAGTGAATCTGTTGATAGTTTACCGTCGGTCGTCGTCAGGACTGGAGTCTGGTAGCATCAAAGGATGGTAACCTAACCACGAATCACCAATGCGAACTGAGGTTTGTACTCCGTTACTCGGCGAGCCTTGGTCGCGAGCAGAGATGCTCGGGCTGGGGCAGCCAAAGACCCCTGACAGACTGCCCGTCAGCGGGCCACGCCAGCTACCTTCTCTGTTTGGGTTGGTCGGCGGCCCACACGTTCCAAATCGATGCTACGGATCATCTCGACTGCCTCAGAGCCCGTCCGAGCTCCATCGACGGGTTTGATCAGACCACACTGCAGCATCGTCACATTTGGCACATGATGAGTTCTGTGCCCGATGTGACAAGCATGCAGATGTGCCACAAGCCCGCTGCAACTCACCGAAATCTTGCTGGTGATGAGATGGGACGGCACGATACTATGGTAGACTAGCTCCCTGGCCGAAAGTCAAACGTGCACTTGGTAGCCGACGAAGCTGCGCTTCCATTCGTACGGCTACAGCTTGTGAGCGAGGAACATGCCTGCCTAGGTGTACCGTGATTCGTGGCACCTTCTCCGCCTTCAATCAATCACAGCGTTACAGCGAGCTGGTAGGAATGTGCGTCGACACCAGTTGCTAACAGTTGTGCAGGGCTACGAAGCTGATCATCCAGAAATCGAACTGCTTCGGCTTCGAAACTACACGCTGGGAACAAAAATGAAGCAGGCGGATCTGCTTGGTGAGCAGGGCTTGGAGCATGTGGCGAAGCTGCTTGCTACACTCAAGCCAATGGTAAGCACCTCTCTTCGCAAAGTCTTCCCCCGGCCATTTGCTATACGCCTCTGTGGAGTATGAAAGTTGAAAGTGGAAAGTGGAGCAATAGCTTTCGCTGCGGAATAACCTCCCATTGCTCAGCGTTAATACTTCTCGAGACTGTAGAGGCGCGGAAGCCTCAATCAAGGACCGGAAGGCTTTCTTCGAACGCTGTAGCAGCTATCGAAGAGGCCGTCGATCGCATCTCGCACGTTGACTGGTGCTAACGTGCTGCTCCCTCTCCAGATTACATTTCTCAACTCGGTTGTTATGCCCGATGAGGAGGAAAGCGAGGAAGACGAGCAGGCGTCCGACGAAAGTGAGCAGGACGATGTAGATGCATGATGATCGAAGAAAAGACAGCAAGATATTCTGCAGTGGCAACCAGTAGTTAGGCAAGCATTATGCTTCAATTGTACTATAACAGATTTGTCGATCCACGCCATGGTGAGATCTCACAAGTATCTGTTGACTGCACCTTTTCGGAGGATGTAGGACCTCTCGTGCGGTCTACCGTAGTACAGAGAGAGTGTGCAGCACTGACTCCAGAATCACGAAGCAAGACCATCCTCGCCACGAACGATGTAGGCAGCTCTCCAAAGTCTACATCGTGGTTTCGAAGCCAGTCTTCTTGAAATGACAGCCATGGAGAGTCAGAAGGATTCCCCTGGCCCTGGCTACGGTTGTGAAATCTGTTCTTACGGTCTATGTACACTAACGCTGCCGGAGACGGACTGCACTACTGTGCCTCCCGTGCCTTTTTCTTACACGTTCACCAGTGCGCCTGCGATTCGGATCAAGCTAACAGCTCATCGAGGCTCTTCGTCTCGTCGACACCTATGTAGCCATACATTTGACACGTCAGACACCCATTGTGGAGGTGCCAGAATAGCAATATTAGCACATATGCAATGCTACGTCGTCGAACGTATGCAAACACATCCGAACAAAGCGTCGCTTACCCTGTGCCACCAACAATCCACATTTCATCAAAACATGACAAGACCCGATGTGTTTTCAATACTGCAGGGTCAGCCACTAACCGGCGCCCGCTAAGATTGACTCTCGGACCGCGACATGAGCTTCTGGTCATCTGACCTGGGCCTCCTCCTACCATTTTCCGATGTTATCGTCGATTGCAAGGCCCCTGCTTTGGATGCTTTGGATGACTAGGTGATCCTTGCTGGCTCGTTTGCGTGCCGCCGTATGCTTCCGTTTCGCGAAGACGCTTGCTTGCACGACCTTGAACCGCATCGAAGCGACAAGAGTTTGGGACGACGGACTCCAAGAGCGGCGGGATACTATCTGACACGTTCGGACAAGTGATAGCAACAGGAGCTTGCATAGAGCGTCGCGCGATATTACTTCATGTCATTGGGCTGCTATTGTACGAGGGTCCAAGCAGCGGTCCTCATAGCCGAGCCGGCATAACCGCCACAACCCTGTCTGCTATCAAGCGCCCACCAAATAGCATGGCCTCGCCATGCCTGCGTCGTCTGGAGCGGACTGTCACTACAAGACGCTCGCAATTTGACAAGACGGCTTGTAAGGTTGCCCAGGAGGAGCGATCAATATGAACTGTTCTTACTACCACATCCAACATACTGTAGTGCAATTGAGCGATTGAACAGTGTCAGCTCAGCGGCAGGATCGCTTCTGCGCTGATGGGGCCGAGCAGGCTGTACATTATGCAGGTCTTCGCCCTTGCTCGCTGCCATGAAGCGGCACTGCAATCGTTGTCGTAAAGTCCAGGGTAGCCGGAGTTCTGCATGCCTGCAACGTGCGAACTGCTTTCTCCAGCATATGCTTCGTACCGTGCCGCATGGTTGCTGCCGGGTACGTCGTATGTGCTGCAATGCGAAGGCCCAGGATCACGAAGAGCGTCGGTGTTGTCTTCGATGTGACAGATCACACGTCTCAAGATCGGGCTTCTCCGTGAAGATACGAAGCAATGTCTATGGTATTCGAAAAGCTTGAGCTTCTAAAAGGACATATATGACTAGACCTTCCTGCGTCGTGTATGGCACCGTCATGTATGACACTTACTTTCTGGTCCAGACATCTCTCATCAAGCTGCTCCCTGGACTACACTCATTCTGGCCGATCATTCGTCATCCTGAAGTGTGTTAGGCGGTGTATCCACAGTGCAAAAGCACGACTTCTATGCACGCCACGGGCTCGACGTATCCTCAGCAATCTCGCATCCGAGCTTTTCTCGCTGGCAAGCTCATAGACGGTGTGGCCTGTCGATAACCTTGCATGTACGAATGCAACTGTGCTACGCCACCAACACTGTCGTCGATAGTGTGAAGGTGGTCAGGCGTGCACGGCAAGCCTGCTTTAAGGTTAGGGACGGACCTCCCCCTCCTCCGAATCGGCTCGACTACGGCGTCGCCCGCACTCGTGTTGAACCTTTGGTCCAAGTCTTGAAGGTTTCGAGGCTTCGATAAGAATCACAGTTTGAATTGTCACACGAACTCATCTTAGTTCAGACCGATCGTGAGTCCAAAGAGATAATCACATCAGGCCCAAGGTGAGCAGCGATATCACCCAGCGTGATCCTGCGACATCGTTGGCCGCCTCCATCCGGCGGAAATAGGCTTTGGCAGCTTTAGCGATTGTTTTTTGTGATTGGCTGGGGGTGTTGAATTTCCAAGGACTGACAAGATCATTTCCAGAACAGACGCTCGTCATCAGCCGGTACTCGATACCACCGCCACCTTATCGCCGGCGCCCGGCGACCACTCATGTAAGTTGCAGACAGTGTGCGCCGCAAGCAACGCTCTCATTCGCAGAATGCTCGTTATGATCCGTCCCCGTCGACATCAGCCGCGCCATCTGACTCCTAATCCTGGAGCTCGCGTGGCAGCTAGATGCATGATGACGGGCCCTTCCCGTGGCCTCCGTCACAACCGCGGACGTGGGCAGTTGAGCAATGGAAGAATGCCAATTTGGCAAGCATCGAGACTTCGCTACTGGCTGGCATACCACACCCCATTGCTTTTGGTCTTAGCTGAGCGTTACCGTGCAGCTGGCGTGCAGCATCATCATTTCGCTTTGTGCTGTCCCATACATCCTTCTTACTTGCCAGGATGTTCTGATCAAAGCTGACGAATCAGCTCACGCATAGGTCGTTAGCTGGTGGCCGCCGTGTGGGCCACGTACCAGACTCTCGCTCACGCCGGCGGCGAGGGAAAATCTCGTCGAGCCACTCATCAGCGCCGCTGTGACAACACGGCGCAATATCGCGGTACGTAAGTTGTCGCTTATTAGCGTAGCGGTCAGTCGGCTGAGTGCATGTGCTTTAGCTGCAGCAAGGCGGGTTTGCCGTTCCTTCGCGCATTTCACTTGATTTCCTGGCGCGTCCCGCCACGGAACGATCTGCGTCTTGCTAGCGCACGAGCACGTCGCTAGTCGTAGTCCTGTCAGCGAGCGAAGGAAGGGAAGAAGGGCACCAAAGCCACGCTGCGTGCCGTCGTGTTTCCTGCTTGTCACGCCTTGTCACTATCGGCATCGGGCCTCTGCCAGGAAGCCAGCCCATTCCGAGTACGGAAGGTTGTTTCGATCTCACACGACAGCTGGCTGGCACTTAAGTCTCCCGTCACCCCACCGTCGCCCTCGCTTCCTCTCTGCTGGGACGCCTCGACGAAACACCTTCTCCCGCGCCTTCTGCCGCACCAACGCAACAACCATACATAAGGATAGCCGTTAGCCGAACACTTTGTGCGACGTGCGCTGCGACGACTGCATCACTTCACACAGAGATTGGCGCGTTTCTGTGTTACGTTCACAACACATTGACTGGACCACGCTGCAATCGACTTTTGTGCAGTTTGCCGCCGCGCATATCAAACGGCTTCACTCGCGACTCGGCCCGCACCTTGTGCGACCAACATACTCGACCATCAAGGATATCTGTGCCATTGCTGGCGCCGATATTGTTCGCCACCGGACTCGCAACGCTTAGCTGCAGCGTAGCTGTCGTCAGCTTATCCGCGCATCATCAAAGCTGTGCATCATCACATCGCACATTCCTACGACCATGTATCCCAATCCCAACCAGAATGGGTGGAATCCGAATCAACCTCCTCCTACCACACAACCACAGCAGCAATGGTCACCGCAACCACCAAACGGGTCATTCACGCCACGTGAGAATCAGGTGAGTTGCACTTTTCCTGCATGAGAAGCTGCGCCAAGAAGCTGTGACCACATTTACCGTTACGCAATTGCTCTTCCACGTCGAACTTGTTCTTCTACTTTCTCCGCACCACTTTTACATCCATCCTTCAATACATCCACCAACATGGCAGCCGCCATCGACCCTGCGCTGGCCGCAAACATGGCTGCTGACACGAACGGTGAGCAGCTCCCTCCGGTCTCGCAAGCCGTCCAGCAGGCACCTCCCACCATGCAGACGCTGCAGCCTCAGCACCCCGACCAGTATCGCGCGTTGCCGGCACCTCCCCACATGTACGCTCCGCCGTACCCACAGCCACCCATGGGCGCGTATCCTCCACCACAACCCGCACCACGTCAACGCACCGCGATCGCATGCAGGTATTGCCGCAGACGCAAGGTATGCGACATGAGTCCGAAGAGTCGGTCGCGTATAATGTTGACACGTGATCGCAGATAAGATGCTCCGGCTTCGATCAGTCCGAGGATGGCCGCTGCACCAACTGTCAGCGTTTCTCGCAGGAGTGCGTCTTCACTCCAGTCAGTGCCCAGACTCAGGCCTTTGTACCAGCGCATACTGTCTGGCGTGGACAGAACCCACCTCCCAACACACAACTTTACGGCGCATATGGTCAGCCACTTCCGCAGCATGGCCAACGCGACCCCTACGCCCAACCACAACAGGGTGGGCAGTATCCGCCACCACCGCAAGGCTACCAACAGCCACCGATGTACCAGCCTCAGCAAGGTCAGCCGCCTAACATGCAGCCGCTTCAAGGTCAACAATCCGGCGCCAAGCGCTCGAACGATGAGCCACATACTCCGACTCTGCCACCACCCAACCCGGCCGAGCAGGGCCAACGTGGGTCGTTTGGCTACCCTGACCCAACAGGTCTTAACCCAGCTGGTGCGTCGCCCGCTTCTTCTACTATCTCGTTCCATTCCGCACAACCACAACCATACTATCCTCAGCAGCCTGCCCGTATCTCGCCGCAGAGCTCATACTCGTATGATCCGTCGCGTGCCTCTTCCTCGCCTCATACGCTTGGTCTGTCTGCTGCACCTGCACCACCTGGCTCTGTGCCATATCAAAGTGGTCGCACGCCGCCGCAAGGCAATGCTGCTGCTGCTCATGCTGCGCGCCAAGGCGTCCAGATAAATGAGCTGGTTGGCCCTGGTGGTCAACAGCAACAGCAGCAGCAGTACCAAGCGATGCAGCAGGCTATACAGCAAGCTATGAAACAGGAAGGGCGCACGTCGACGGACTCGAGCATGGTCCAAGCTCTGAGACGTGGGCCAATGTGAACGGAAGGCTGACTCGATCAGCAGACGATCCCAACAAGGCCCTCATCGACGGTGTCACAACTGGTGCCGAGAAGGACGAGGCTAGGCGTCGCAACGGCGAAGTCAAGGATGTCGGCGTTCAGACGGATGACCTGCATCTGCCGGTCAAGGAGCAGGCCTCCTAGGCTGGTGACTGCGGGCTGCAATAAAGTATCGAACGGAGACGGGTTTCGGCGGATCTTCTCAACAACAAGTGTTACGAACTTTGCAAGGCGTTTATGACTTTTCTGGGCGGCTCGATTGTCTGTGTGGCTGTTCAGCGACCTGTCACTACTGCGTTAATGTGTCGGAATCAGTACGACTTCGAGCATGAGGGTGGGATATGCGTTGCTTTTCCTTGGGCGCGGTTACGATACAGCAAAAGCTCCCTCTCCTGCTCATGTTGAAATCGGCATGAGAGGCAAGGAAGCGCATCGGTAGATAATAGCTGTGACCAAAGTAGTTCTTGCTCGGAAATGTACGATGTCGCAAGCTTCATCATTCTCATTGTAGCTCACCTTCTCGCTTGAAACTCGCGGCTTACTGCTTGTTCTGTGTCGATGGGTTCGCCACGCTTTTCGATGAACATTGTAGATCAACGAAGGAGAGAGGGAGAGACTGAGAGTTGAGGTTGGAATTAGTTACGAGCCGTTCGGGTGCGGTCCGTTCTGGCGTTTGCGATGCCCACGAGTCGCTTTTTTGGCTGGAGGAACGGGGCGGTCCAGTATGCGGGAGCATGCGAAAGGAAGCATGGTAGGAGTGGTGACGGGAAGTGATGTGCGTGAATGAGCAAGGACAGTACTGCGCTTCTATCTTGAGTGTTACAGCCACAGGGCTGAGAAATGCAGGCTTTCCGCATCTTTGAATGAGGAGTAATGATGGTGTAGTCTTGCTCGCACACGATACCGACAGCTTGACGACCTCCACCTCTGAGAGCATCAGATCCATACCATTCATACCAAAAGGGCTTTTCGACAGGATGGCGGCTACTCTACATCAGTGGGCACTGCCCCGTCTGCAACAGCTCTTACCGCTCGACGACGACAGCCTGAAGCAGGTGTTGCAGTATGCAGAATCACTACCCAAAGATGCTGCAGCAGAGCACTTGAAGAATCTATTAGGCGATGAGCCGAAGTCGCTGGAGTTCATCTCGAGTTTCAATATGCGACGACAGAATGCCCCAGCGTCCTCTCAAGCACAGCAGCAACCGATGGGCAGTCGAAGCGCACACCCAACACCAGCAGGATCTCAGCATGACGGCATACCGAGAGGTGGGGCTAGAGGCGGCAGGGGAGGCAAGAAGAGGGCGAATATTCACGCCTTACCAGCAAGGCAGGTCGAGCGTCAAGGCCAGGTTGGCGGAGCGTATGTCAAGCACGATGAGGAGGATTACATGCCTCGAGCAGAGCGAGCACGGCAAACGCACAAAGAACAGATGACGGACAACATGGCACTGCGAGAGCGGGCACCAGATGCTACACAAATGCCACTCATCACCGACGATGCATCTGCTACTACCAAGCCCACCACCTCAAAGCTGCCACCCTCCGCAGCAGGAGCTCTTGTTTCAGACTCGTTGTCGCCACGCAAATCACAAGCCTCCCGGACAGCATACCCAGCGCCGAAGACTAAGATCAATATTACTGGAGGTACAGCAATGCATGGTGCTTCTTCAGCTTTGTCCGACCTCGATAGCGCTATTCGTACCCTCGAAATCCAGACCAACCCATCCCTGTCCATGACCGATGCCGAGAACGACAGGCGGAAGTGCAACTGTATGGCTACACGTCATCCTCTCCTGGACATCGCGCCGAACTGTCTGAACTGTGGCAAGATCATTTGTGTCAAGCAAGGTCTTGGACCATGTACCCATTGTGGTTCGCCCCTGTTAAGCTCTGACGAGGTTGGAAAGGTTCTGCGTGTCCTCAAAGATGAGCGTGGTGATGAGAAGCAGAAAGCGAACAACGCTTCGCACAAGAAGGCAGATGTTGCTCATGGAAAAGCACGAGCATTTACTGGTCGTGACTTTCTTGCGCAAGCGTCCACCTCTGCTCGCTCGTCGCCACTATCGTCCGGTCCTGGTACACCTGTGGAGTCGGAGGATGAAGCTACGAACAAGGCCAAGGCACATCGAGATAAGCTACTAAACTACCAGGCGAACAATGCACGGCGTACGCAGATACATGACGAAGCGGCCGACTACGATATACCTACAGCTGGCACTAACATGTGGGCTTCGCCTGCTGAGCGTGCACAGCAACTGAAACGGCAACAGAAGATGAAGCGAGAAATGGAATGGAACGCCCGGCCAGACTACGAGAAGCGGAGAGTGGTCGCTTCGATCGACGTAGTGAAAGGCAAAGTCGTCCGACGAATGGCGGATGTAGAGAAACCAGATTTCTCGAAGGAAGATGAGGCCGAGCAGACGGAAGACTATCAGATGCCTGTCTCGCAAGGCGATGGTCAGGGAGCTTTCAGTAACAATCCGCTGGCTGCCGGTCTGATCAGACCGATGGCTAAAGAGGACAAGGGCAAAGATGCGGTCAGGGAGAAGACGACTACTTGGCGACGTGTGCAGATGGATGCTGATGACAATGAGGGGTGGATTCTGGATGGTGGTCTTTATGGTGGGAAGGTTCCTGAGGATCGCATCTTGAGCGAGGATGAGCATGCTTTTGGCTGAGCTCGTCGGCACTCTGAGAAACATGAATTATGATTATGTCTTGGCACAACCTGATCTACATGACGTTGGCCGGCTAATTGAGGAATGCGGAACGCGGTAAACAGCTGCGTCAAGCGCGCGATCTTCGCAATCGACAAATGAAGGCCACGAAAACTGTACAATACCTGATGTCGGCAACGACGTATCGATACACAGTCTTGGCCATCTTCTCCTTGGTGTCACATATGAGTCACGTAGTTGCAGCATTGCCTACAGTTATTGGCAATCCTGGTTTTGGTTTCAGCTACATTAGTGCGTGGTGCATGAGCTCGCATCGTATGGGGCGCTGACTATCCGCTAGGTTGTTACAATGATGTCTCGAATCCACGAGCTCTTCCAGACGCAGCGCTCTTCTCGGTCCAGATCAATGTGACGATAGAGATCTGTGCCAAGTTTTGCTCGGGCTTTCAGTTCATGGGCGTAGAAGCTGGGTCGGAATGCTACTGTGCTAATGTCGTCAACAACCAATCCGCGATGGTCACGACAGAGTCTGGCCCTACGTGCAGCGACCTGGAGTATGCCTGCGTTGGAGATGTCGGAGAACAGTGTGGAGGAGATGAAGCCCTTAGGCTGTACGCTCAAGCAGGCGCAACAACAGTAGCACCAGTGCCTTCGCATACTGGCTATGTGTATACGATGGACTCGCTCGTGGTGCCGAATGTGGCCATCGAAGGCGCATCATACAACTATATGGGCTGCTATACCGACCCCGGGCCAGGTACAAGAACACTGAACGGCAACTCCACCTACTACGATGCTCCAAGCGTGGAGGGATGTGCCAATTTCTGCGCCAACTACATCTACATGGGTCTCGAGGCAGGAGGAGAATGTTACTGCGGCAACACACTTGACAACGGTGCAGCACTCGCAAACTGTCAGAACGAATGCTATCAGAGCTGCGAGGACGGTGGGTCTGAGCGCTGCGGAGGCTACTTCAGGCTCTCACTGTACCAGCTTAACGGTCCCAATTTTACCGATCCCAGCCCGAGTGCTATCTGCTCGTACAATGGTCCGGCCACGGTGATCGCTACTTCATCGAAAACGCATACATACTATGGCCCGATAACGACTGCGTCGGCTGTGACCCAAGTGGTCACAATCAACAGCGCAGGGCTGACAACGACCTTTCCAAGCTCGAGGTATTTCTGTGAAGGCGGCTGTGAGCCTGATGCCAACGACCCAGCCACGAGCATGACCAGGAACATGTCGCCTTCAACAACAGCTTCTGCTCTCCCGACTGTCCAAGCGAGGATCAACAGATGCAATTTCATTGGCTGCTACAGCGACAATGGTGGGTATATGGCACTGGATTACTTGCAGGCACAAGTGGCTAGCAATGTCATGTCGCAGGAGCTTTGTGTCAATCAGTGCATTCTCGGAGGCTACCCATACGCAGTGAGTGTACCCACAGCTTCTTCGAGATTCTTCGAGTGCTGATATATCGGCAGGGAGTCGAGTTCGGCAAACAATGCTTCTGCGGCTGGCACATCGGACCTTCCTCTTCCTTGGTCAGCAATGGACAGGTAGCGGCAGATGGACTTACACTTGCTTGCAACGATCCGCTGTACTCATGCATTGGCAATCGAACCGAGCAGTGTGGTGGCTTTGCAACGATAGATGTTTGGCAATGCCCACTTGACGCCTCGGCGAGCATTGCCAGTACGTCTAGTGCTAGCAGCACATCCACCACGGACAGCACCAGCACATCTGCTGTAGCTGGAGTAGCGATTGCGACGGGTGCATCAGTAAGTGGATCAAAGCGAGCCCATTGACATACTTCCTGCGCTGACATTGACCTAGCGTATTATCCAGCATGAACGACAAGGGCAGCCTCAGTACTGGTCGAACGCCAGCCTGTCGGATCGGATTATTCTCAAGCGAGACTCGAAACTCCACCCATAACCAGAGACACGTAGGATTCGTAGAATTGGAACCCGGTGTGGCGTAGCGGAGGCTCCAGTAGAGAGCTCTTCCCGGTTTTGTTAGGAGCACTCCTGGGAACCCGTCCTCTCGTTGCTTCTCTTCGTGCGCGCTCTCTGTTCAGAGATGTCTCTACTGAGACGCTCCCAGAAGCATAAAAATAAGAGCAGATATCCACGTACTTCGCGTTGTATGAGTCCCAAATTCGTGCGTGATGGTTTTGAAATGAAGACCTCTATGTACCTCTCATACCCATTGGTTTATCGTGGCTGAGTGTGGCGAATTGCCTGATCACACCACCATCTTCCAGCCTACAGCGTACAATAGTCTGAATGACATGTCTGAGATCGCTCTCTCCACTGATACAATCACAACCTCCAATTTGGCTTTTCGAGGCTCCTCAACGATGCTAGAGCACCAGCACTAACCTTACAATGGCCAATGTGGAGTACTCCACCATCTTTGTAGAGAGGAGTCGAACAATCAAACGCCAAGGTGGTGTGACGGTGACTTTGGGCTGTTGGATCCGGCAGACAGTTGATCGTATCATTGACAGACCTCCATCAGTCCGACGCATCTCCTACAGTCTCATGCCCGAGCCCACGCTGACTTCTCGATGTAGTCCACCACGTTCAAAGATGTTGACCATGTCTACGCCCCGTTGCCACACGACCACATCCGCCTACTACGACTGTTTCCTGGAGCACAGTCGGATCCTCTACGAGGAGAATTGTACCACATCAGACTATCAGGAAACAAATTTGACGAGTCGTTCGAGGCGCTTTCATACTGCTGGGGTGAGACGAAGCCAGAGCGCAAGTTCTACGAAGGACTGCATATTGGCGATACACCGCTACCCCTGACTGAGAACTTACATGCTGCACTCCGCCAATTTCGCCACTCACACCAACCCAGGGCGTTGTGGGTGGACGCTGTGTGTATCAATCAGATTGATGAAATTGAGCGTGCTGGTCAGGTGGAGAAGATGTTCGACATCTATGGTTCAGCAGATCGAGTTCTTCTCTGGTTGGGACCAGAGACTTTGGACAGTCCAGTAGGCATGAATGTTCTTCGTCATATACTTCTGATGCCACATACTCTGGCCAAGGCACCCTGGGAGCTCCTACCGCACCAGATGCTGCGAGATGGCATTGCAGATATCTTCGAGCGGGCGTACTTCACTCGCATGTGGGTGGTGCAAGAAGCGTCGGTCGCACAAGACATACAGATGTTTTGTGGTACGCACCAAGTCTCGTGGAAGAACGATCCTACTGCTGTGCGAAGTATCCAGAGGAACATCAAGCTTGCTGCCATATCGCCACAATGGGCTGCAGCCGGCCTCGAGCAGATCGACATGGATCTGTTCCTCCAATTGTTACAACTGCAACTGGAGTCTGGGCCGCTTAGCAAAGATCAACAACCAGTACGATCAGCACCTGACCTCCTAGATGTTGCTTATGAACTACGGCACAGGCATGTTACTGATCCTCGCGATCGATATTATGCTATACTTGGAATTGCTTCACGTACAACCGGTCAAAGCATGACAGTGGATTACATGATGCCGGTTGAGGACGTATATGCCAGAGTGCAGCGACTGGTGAAAAGTGACGGCAATCTTGACAGCAACCAAGTTAACACATCGCATACAATCAAGGCCGACTCGGCCGCCTTTGCAAAGCAGACCTCTACTGTTCAGCACAGTTCGCAGGATTCACCCAGCACCATCAAGTGTGGTATCATTCACGACAGAGTCATGACCTGGCCAACGTCTCATGCAACGGTACAGGATTACATGACCCACCACGCGCATCTCATTTCACGATCTCCGACAACAGAGCCACGCATGGGACAGCAGGAAACCCTCCATCAGTCTGTCACCGCTGCAAGGCGAGTGGAATTCGCCAGCAAGTCGGCAATTCAACTCGTGAATTCCGGCAATAGAAAAGAGGCTGCAGCGGTTTTGCGTTCTATAGCGAATGATCTTGAAAGTGCAGACTAACAATGTGCTTCTTGCTACAAGCTGCTCGCCTAAAACAAAGAACCATAACCACGATCTCGCCATGAACAGTATCATCCTACCCTCCACCTACCTGCATGCTATACAACTGCAACGCTCCTAGCGCCTCGTGAGGAACCCAGCCACCACACCAGAGACTGCCGTGACGCCAGTGACGGCCCCATTGACCACTGCAGCTCCATACCCTCCCATCGCCGCACTCTGCAATAGACTGAATGCTGCCGTCGTGCCGTGGACGGCTTGATATCCTGCAGCTGCTCCGCCTGTTCTCATGTCAGCATGTCGAAATACGATTTGAATATAAATCCGCTAATGGGGCAACCAACCAGCGGAAGGTCCAAGTGCACCAAGGCCTATAGCTGCTAGCCCGGGCGCAGCGACAAGAACAGGTACGCAGGCAAGTAGGATCATGATGAGTTGGAAGGACGTGATCCCCGGGTTCTTGCTGATGTGATCCCGAACGTGTTTAAGAGCATGGCGGTAGAGCGCTTTCGTATACTCCAAGGCGACTTTGCCTGCTTCGTCCATGGTTTTCGCGTTGCTCAGAATGTTCTCGGAGGCAAACAGTGAGATTTGAGGATGGTGTTCGTGGGAAGAGTTTCATGTTCAAGCTTAGGATAAGGCCGCAAGGCTGTGAGCTGTGCCGTAAGGCTGGTAACTGAGCCGTAGCTTTGCAGTGCAGAAGGGCTGCACTGGTGGGGCGCGCATGCAAGAGGTGGAACATGATTGGTACGGGAGGAGCTACTGCAGAGACGCAGGATGTAGTATGCCGCCTGGGATGACTGAGAGCCAGTAGAATCACGTATGGCTCGAAGTTTCGAATTCGCAATAGCGCTGAATTGGCTCAAAGGCGGGTTTGCCACTCGCGAAGGCTTCGACTTTGTATGCCACAACGTCCAGATCACATAGACTGGTGTCCCTCGATACTTGCTTGTCAAGCCCATTCTCACCTTACCCTAGATTCTGACGGTTGCGACGCCGTGAACACTCGCGGACTACTTCGTGGTCTCCTCATAATTCCTGCGGACCTACGGCGAATCAGAAGCTCCTGAGCAGACGTCCGACTGTCTCGCCAGCCCGTGATAAACCCATCGGCTAATGGAAGCCCACTGATCAGATCGTATCCGACCATCACAGCGCACTGCAGCGTGCTGTATCCCACGTTCGAGCCACATGCAACTTGTGGATCAAAGGCTGTGCTTCCTGATGGCATTCCCGACCAAAATTGAAGCTTTTCACCCCTTGTAGCCAGTTGGGACCAGTCACGTGAGTACCGGCGTTAGCCATTGGTGACGGTATTTGATCGATAGCAGAATTCACGCTCTGCTTGGTTGTTGCGAGATCGTGAGCTGTTGATGATCTCGATCGTAACAAGTGAAGTCCCCTCGTTACTATGCTAGCAGCGGGCGCTAGCGAGACCATCGAAATAGGGAGGAGCAGAGTAAAGGCAAGAGCGATACAATCATCGTTGGAGGTGCAATCGCGCCAGTCTTCAGTGATACCACAACACCATGCTAAGCACAACGAACAAGCCATGACCCTCATCTCTTTGTCATTTGCCGACTTTTGCGTTCACTCGTCGCCCTTGACACCACAGAAATCCGTCCCGAACAACCCATCCAGCCACCAGAAAAGCCTCCAATACAGACTAGCCCGCTCCCAATCAAACTTCCCATCCTCTCGTCTTGGCACAGTAGTTCCAATGAGCTCGCTTGCACCCAGCCACGCACTCCAAGATTGCTTGTGCTGTTTGGGCATAAGCGCCTGCTCAGCCGGAAGTAATGTCGCCAGCTGCGCACCACGAAGTCGCGTAGTCCCCGTACGCTGCAGCATCTGACTTCCTCCCCTTGATTGCGAACGCGTGAGGTCGTTCCCCGAACTCGCTACAGCAGTCGACCCCTGCGACCAGAAAGGTTGCTGCCCTGTACCACCTGTCCGCGAAGCAAATCCATTCACTTCCCTCTCGACCGTAGCAGAAGTCATCGTATTGGAGCTCTGCGGACTCCCCTCCACGCCCTCGATGAACCCATTCGTGGTAGCGAAAGTAGGCGGCAGCACATCATCGACAACCTGGGCGCCAGCCTGCGTAGCCAAGACCGCCTCATCCTTCCCAGGCCCACGGCCTTGCCAGGGCTCAGCGTAAACCAGATGGCCTTTGATGATATGCGGACTTCTCGCCACCGCCAACTCGGCGGCTTCTCGCGAGGAAAATGTGATCTTGATCCAGTGTTCGCCGCCGGCGTATTTGTTCTTCTTTCGTAGCGCTGCTTTGCTGACACTTCTCGTGAGTGTGGAACGAGCGTAGGAGTGTGTTGGATCGTAGGCCTGGTATTGATTCGGTGGTGTGCGGTCGTAGTCTTCGAGGACTATGCCGCCGGAGACGCGCTCGTAGAAATCTATGGCAGACCATTGTAGATCCTCTCCAAACCCATGAATCAGCGTCTCCGTCGCTTCGCCCATGCCGTCGTTCTTCACCGCTGCCAGAGCTGCTGCAGGAACAGCCTGCTGTGTTTCGCCATCGCCTCCCTCGCCCCTTCCACTATCCTCCCGTACCACCCTCCTAAGACTCCCAAACACCCTCTCCTCGCTCACCAGCTGCTCCTTCCTAGCTACATCCTCCGCCTTGTGCGGTTCAGCAGTCTTACTGCGACTCCTACTCGTATTCCTCCTCGAGCCTGTGCGTTTGCCGAAAGGGCCCTTCTCTGCTGCTTCGCGACTCGTCCGCTCGTTGCCGTCGTTGAGCGGAATGGAGGTGGAGATACTTTCGTAGGCCCAAGGCAGCTTCTTCCCAGACGCATCGAAAGCTTTCTCGTTGTCCGGAACGGCATGGATCTGGGGGCCGAGTGGGTGTCGTTGCCGGTAGCGATCCATTATTGGTATGTGTGCAAAGATTGAAGAAGAGGAGTCGTAGTGATGCTAAGAGCGATGGCGGAATTCGTCTCTCGCTTCTCTGCGGAAAGGAGCGTTACAGACCACGAGATCAGCAATAAGAGTTTAGAGCAAATCACGACGACAATAGACAAACAGTGCTTCACGTGAAATTATCTCAAATTCACTTCCTCGAACACAAAGTAAACTATCACGCGTCTGTGCACGCGGCTATTGCTACCAAGATCTATAACCATTCACCATCAACCACTCCAAAGCAGCGTCTCACCTTCGACTTCTTGAGACAGACAGAGCACACGGGTGATCATACGATCCATGAGATGGTCGTATTCAACTTGATGTCACTGCTGATGGAATAGTAAGAATCAAGACACCTATTGCCGAGGTTGAAGAAGAAGCTTTGGACGTCTTACACACGACGATACCATCACTCTTACTAACATACCGTATCAACCTAGACAACGGAAAATCTTAGTCGTTCTGTCGTAATAGTACATTGCCATCATAACAGGTACACCTCCATCCCACGAACGCACAACAATGGCAAGCGCAGTCTCCAACCTCCGGGCGCCGTCAAATGGCAACGACCGTTTCAACCAAGAAGCACTGAACTGGGACAGCCGGCCATTCGTCCACGAAGCAAGTCAAGCAGCCTCTCAAGCGATCCTTGCGAAACTCAAGACCCTCAACGCGCAGCCAAAGCAAGTCCTGGAAATAGGCTGCGGGACAGGAATCCTCTCCTTCCTGATCGCACCACATGTGCAGCACGTAGTAGCCGTAGACGCCGCAGAGGGCATGATCGAAGTCTTGAGGACGAAATTAGCGAGGCCCGAGGCGCCTAAGAACATCGTCCCCTTAGCCGTTCTGCTCGAGGATCCTGATGATCCCTCTTTACCGCCATCGATGGAAGGAGAATCGGGCGGTGGAGCACGGCAGCGTTTCGACTTGATAACATCTCATCTTGTCCTCCATCATATAGATGATCTCCAGGCCGTTCTGAAGACGATGCTCGGCTGTTTGGCCTCCGGCGGGAAGGCAATGCTAACAGACTTCGAGGACTTTGGTCCAGAGGCCAAGAGGTTCCATCCTGCTTCAAAGATGGCTGGCGTCGAGAGGCATGGCGTCAACACTAATGATATGACGAGATTGATGGAGGACGTCGGATTCGAGAACGTCAGCGTGAAGCCGACTTGGACGATGAAGAAGAAAGTGGAGAAGTTCGATGGGGAGTTTGGGAAGGAAGGGATGGTAAGGCCAGAGATGGGGGAGGTCATAGAGTTCCCGTTCTTGTTATGCTATGGAGAGAAGTCGTGAAGCTCTGCACGGTATTGCTCAAGCACTGAATGCCACTGCCACTACTAGCGCCACGGAGCGAGGACCATATGTAAAGGCGCCATAACGTCCCGCTAGTACACCACTCAGCACATAACGAGTTCTAGAGCCCTGGGTCGATGGCTCTCAGGCCGCAGTCGGGTCACCGAAATGCTGAACCACACCATCCGGCAACCCTCCCTCGGCATCCTTAAATTTCATCGCCTTCTCGGCCTCAGCAAAGGCATTATACCCATAGAAGAACTTCTGTACCGGTGCACTCCAATGCATGACGGGGTAGGGCATTGGCGGACCCTTCCAAAATTCACGCACGGCCGCATCAACCTGAGCTTGAGTCTGCCCGTGCATGCCGGCGTTGGACGTCAATTGTGCGACAGCACTTCGCGGTCTTCGGAGCTGGTTGTAGAGTTCTAGACGTTTGGAGATGCTATCGGTAGCTTGCCACTTCGAGAAAAGGATCTCGAGGGCGGCGGCGTCTTCGAGGCCCATGCAACCTGTCAACTTGTTAGCATGTCACGCTACGTCACTTGTTTCATGCGATCTGCGGCGAGAGAGGACCGACCACCTTGCGCGTGTGTTGGTAGCATGGCATGAGCCTAGATATAACGCTGATCAGCGTTCTGCAGGAAGGAAATATCATAGTCATTGCGAAGTAGAGAGGAGAAGCTTACAGCATCCCCGATTACCACCGCCCTTCGCTTCACCAATCGCGGTAAAATCTTCTCACTTCCAACCACATAACAGTTCATGCTCTCCGCATGCCTAGCAATCGCCTCAAAAGCCGGATGAAAGCCCTCAAGTACATTGACCGCGTCCTCGATCGTGGCAGGCGAATGCCAGCTCTGCTTGTCCTTCTCATGCTCCTTGGCTACGTGGAAGTAGGCGAAATTCATGAGCTTATCGTGGCGGCAGGGATACAACATGCAAAAGGTTCCCGTGGCAGAGCTCATAGTCGCCAGGAAGCCGGACGACTGATTTTCAAATAACGGTCGGATCAGTGGGTCGGCCATGAGTTTGGAGACGGGGATGAGGGTGCGGTAGGTGGAGCTTTTGGTGCGGTAGAAGGGGTCTGGAATGTCCGCGATGCTTGAGACGAAGGGGCTGTTGATGCCGTCTGCTACGACGAGCAGGTCCTTGTGCAGTTGCCCTCCGCTTTGTAACTTGATGATTCCAGCCTCACAGTCGATGTCAGCGACGGGTTGACCTAAATGGATGGCCGCTCCAGCTTCCAAAACCAGCCGTCGCATTTCCTCGTGCATATCGACTCGATGGTAAGCGTTGAACGCATGACCATAGCGTTCGGCGACCCCATCGAAGCGCAGCTGTATCTGCTCCTGCAGCGTTTTATGATCGACCGCTCGGAATTGGAGCTTCAGAGTCTCTTGAGCTCGTTCTGCGTCGAAGCCCCAACGGTCCAGGACCAAGTTCCCGTTTGGCGTGATTGTGATTGCGGCGCCAATCTCAAGCTTGAATGAGCTTTTCTCGTAGATATCGACTTCGTGACCGGCTCGACGCAGCGCAATGGCGGCCGCGAGTCCTGCTATTCCTGCGCCCACTATTCCGCAATGGAGGAGGTTCGAGGGTGTATGCTTCTCATCCATGGTTTTTGTTCAGAGTGAGTGGCAGAATTACTACGGCAGTGGAGCTGCCGTGTAAGTGAGGTTTCGTGTAGGCTGATGAGCTCTTTATGCTGGCTATGGCCGGACTTCAACGACTGTATTAAGATTCAATCTTGTCGGAATACATGGGTCGAATGTATACGTGGGTGGGGAACATCAACAGAGCTGAGCCTGAAAAGGCCCTAACACGCTTTCCTGGGCCCATTATGGACTGCATGTAGATTAGATTAGATCCTACTGATTCGAGCGACAGATCTGTATCCAGTATAGATGTCTAGTCTAGGTGGTGGTGCTGTTAAGTTGTGGCGTACTCGAATATGTGGCTCAGCTGGTGTTCGAAAATGGCAGTAATCGACAGGCAGCACCTTTGTTCTCCGCTGTCATTCGTCCATCGACTTCGCAAGTTTCCGAGGCCAGCAGGCAAAACCTCATCCCGAATCCTGAAGGATCACTAGTTTGCACCGCAAGGTCCAATATGGCCTACAACAAATTCTCTATTGCCTTGCCCAGGATTCGTCCGCTCGCTCCTTCGTTTCTGTCGTAAGGCTCCAATGGGAAAATTTCGCGACGCACCGCACGCGTTGCACTCGAGTATTAAAACATCTGCATGTGGCTTGCGACCGTTTCTGGAAATATTTGCGAGACGTCTCGTGCAGGTCTCGCCAGGCATCAGTATTGAACTACAGCGTCGGCAGATGGAGTGTTTCGTAGCTGAAGGCAGTCTGATTTGTGACTTGAGTGCGATCTGACGCAGGTGAGACGATAGGTAGAGAGGAAGGCCACCAGTTGCGCCGGTGTCTAGTCTTTCCGCGCAAGGAGTCCTCATATTGTCGCTACTGAGTGTTTCCTGGTTCACAGACTGGCGACGTTCAGCCTGGTACGGCATGGTAGAAGCACCATCCTTGCTGTCTTCCCTGATGCTCGAATGGCCAAGCACGTTCTGGTCTTCTGCTGCACTATTGCCGTTCCTTTGTGCTGTAAGATACGCTGCTGCTTGCTGCAGATATTGTATGCGAGCATTTAGATGCTTGTTAGGCACACCAGTCTTCGCCTTGTCTTTCGCCATATCGCGAATCAGTATGCAGTGACTCGTCCTTACCACGCATCTCCGGCAGAGGATTCGCTCAGCTCATCAAGATACTTCCACAGTCCTATATTCATCCACTATCGTGTTTCATTCACTTCGAGGTTTTGTGAATGATTGTGCACGAGCGCTCGGGCCTTCAGATGACTCAGCGTACCGCTCAGCCGTTCCTTCCCGCTGCGCCGCTCGCGGCCAAAGTTTGGAACGCGGACGTTGCAGTAACAATCACTTTACAAACACCCACGGACAGCCTCCACAACCTCAAATACTTCCTCCTCTTGGACTCTCACACCGCGTGAGCGACTGCAGATTGTTCACTCATCACTTAACCCACTTCTCGCGCTCAAACGCGAAGAAATCGATTTCAACAAGGCGCCAGCCTCACGCGACTGCTCACTAACACCTTTTCCACGCCGCCAACATGTCTGCCGAGGAGGACCTCATCGACTACTCCGACGAGGAGATCCAGCCCACCGATGGTGCCGCAGCAACTGCGACCGCCACTAACGGCGATTCCAAGAAGGGCGACTTGACTGTGACCGGCGCAGGCGCTCAGGGTAAAGGCTCATACGTCGGTATCCACTCGACTTCGTTCCGCGACTTGCTCCTTAAGCCCGAGATCATGAAAGCCATTACGGACTGCGGTTTCGAACATCCGTCAGAGGGTTAGTCACTTATCTTCATCCTGCGATATTCTTCAGCCACGAGTCAAGCGAGCGAGAGCGTCCATCCATCAGCGAGCAAGCGAGGAAGTATTAGAGAGCTATGAAATCGAGGCCGAGTGGGCTTGATCATTTGTACGAGGAAGGAAGGCGTAGCTGGACGACGCGGCACCCCATATTGGGCATGAATTACGGATTCATGGGTGCACACGTGGGAGCAAAGAAGCCACATGAGACTCTCCGAGTCGAGCTGCAGCTGGAGCCTATGTGGATGGCTGAAAGGCTGTTGTACAGATGAGGCGAAGATGGCACAGCATTGGCATTGAGTGAGCTCAACCAGCCTCGATGACCGCCGTGTGAAGCGCAGGCTACGACAAAAGCTCGCACTCGCGATCGCTGCTTGCCGACCATGTGCCGAGGATCGTGTGGCTTCTCACGGGACTCGACAATTAAATTGATGTTTGGATGGATGCTTCGCTCGCTTGCACGACTACTTCACGTTTTGCGATTGGACGAATAAACTCTGACATACCTCACACCACAGTCCAACAAGTCTGCATTCCTCAGGCCATTGTCGGCACCGACGTCCTCTGCCAGGCCAAGTCCGGTCTCGGTAAGACAGCCGTCTTCGTTATCTCGACTCTCCAGCAGATCGATGTTGTGCCTGGCGAAGTCAGCGTGCTGGTCATGTGTCACACCCGCGAATTGGCCTTTCAGATCAAGAACGAGTACAACCGCTTCACCAAGTACATGCCTGAGGTCAAGACAGCTGTATTCTATGGCGGTACCGACATCAAGGAGAACGAGAAGCTTCTGTCCAACAAGGAGACCCACCCAAGCATCATCGTCGCAACTCCTGGTAGGCTGAACGCTTTGGTCCGCGAGAAGAAGGTCCGCCTGGGCACAGTCAAGTTCTTCGTCCTGGACGAGTGTGATAAGATGCTGGACCAGATCGGTAAGCCTCAAGATTCAGCTTATCAACTCACACCACCCACAATGCTAACATTATGCTCAAGACATGCGCCGCGACGTACAAGAGATCTTCCGCGCCACTCCGACCAACAAACAGGTCATGATGTTTTCGGCCACACTCTCACAGGGCACTCGACCAATCTGCAAGAAGTTCATGCGCAACCCTCTGGAGATCTATGTCGACGACGAGACGAAGCTCACTCTCCACGGTCTCCGCCAGTTCTACTGCAAGCTTAGTGAGGCAGAGAAGAATAGGCGTCTGAACGACTTGCTTGACGAGCTCACGTACAACCAAGTCATCATCTTCGTCAAGAGCACTGTTCGCGCCAACGAGTTGTCGAAACTCTTGATTGAGTGCAACTTCCCGGCTACCGCTGTGCACTCCGGTATAAGCCAGGAAGAGCGGTACGTATCCGTCCTGCCTCAAGCGAACATGGACTCAAGCTAATACTGGCAACAGCATCAAGCGCTACCAAGAATTCAAGAACTTCAAGCACCGCATCTGCGTCAGCACTGATGTCTTCGGCCGTGGTATCGATATTGAGCGTATCAACGTCGCCGTCAATTACGACATGCCCGACAGCCCAGCCAACCCTGGCTCAGCCGACAAGGAGAGCTTGGCATCCGCTGCTGACACTTACCTGCATCGCGTCGGTCGTGCTGGTCGTTTCGGTACCAAGGGTGTTGCTGTATCTTTCGTCAGCAATGAGCGCGATGAGGCGGTCTTGGCGGCTATCGAGGCTAGGTTCGAAAAGAAGATCGACGAGTACCCTGCTGGTGGTGCTGGCATCGATGTCATGGGCGATTAGGTTATGACGATCCAGTAGACTATGATGGTCAGAGAGGGAAGGAGAATGGGAGATGTCGAGACTGCACCGGACTGGGACGAGACTGGCAACATGGGTAGCGAGTCAGCTGGCAACAAGGAGTTGAGCTAGAGTGGGCATGGCTGGTGTGTACTTCTAGACTGAAATGACGCGGAAATGCTTTCTACTCCAAGCTCAAACGAGCAGTGTTATCCATACCGTGAGGAAAGGAGACTCGTCACCAAGGAAACTCTCGATCGAGTCTTCGTGCGACGTACGGCCCACCGAAGCTGAAGATGTATGACTTCGCGATGGAAGAGGGATTGCCTAAACCTGACCTCGAGTTAGGACACCAGTATCATCCTGGTGCCCTGACGACGTCCGAGCTGCCCTGGATTGCACGAGTGTTCCTACCGATCTCGCCACGACACCCTAGGCTATCACGCTGCTCCTGAAACAGGTCTACTGCTCAACCCTTCGCCATGACCTGTGCGTAGTAGCGGACCGGCATGACCTCTGGCGAGTAGTGCTTCACATCCTCCATCACCTCCGGAATGTTCGCAGCGATGGCCTTGTCGAATGCTTCGGTTGACTCCCATGTCATGATTGCTTGAACGTTCTGGCCTACATAAAATTCTCAGGACGATGGTCTCGGATGCATTAGGAAGGACTGGTTCGCAAAGGTCATACCTGAGGGATCATCCTTCTGGAACTGGACCACTGTCCAGTCTTTCATGCCATATGAGGTCCAGTGCTTCTCGACTATCTTCATATGTGTGTTGAGGTAGTAGTCCATGTCGAACTTGGCTCCTTCGACACAAGGGTACGAGACGTATATCAAGGCCGGCATGTTTGTTGGAGTACTTCTTTGTAAGATGCGGTAACTATCGAATTACAATTACGACAGACGCTCGTCGGCCATGCCCTGTATATATGGTAAAATCGTGGCCCGAGGTAATCGTCTGAGCTGAGCTACTCCGCAAAGAGCTCAGATCTTGTATATGTGCCAGTTGAACCGAAAGAGTACAAGGACCGAGGGCAGGCACGTTCGCGTCTGGCAAAGGCACTAGGAGGAAAAATGATATAATGCTGTTCATGTATGCGATCAGCTGTATTTTCATGGCTCCTTCGACGTAAGTGTCATTGGAAAGTTGCAATGCCAGTCACCAATACTATCGACCCACCTGATGGTTCTGGTGTCGCAGAGGATGATGGTCAAAGACAGGTTAGGAGGCTGGTCTCAAACCATATGTATAGCTCATCAGCGGCAGCTACGGCATACCAGGAGGGCCATACTCAAGACGAAATACACGTGTATGAGGTACACGAATCGAAAATATCCCGACACCAAGATCTCTCCACACTTCCCCGCACGCTACGCCAAGTGAAGTCTAGCACGAGCCGACTACGGCAGGTACGCAGAGCGTAGACAAGGCTTACTGGCTATGACTTCAGCCTCATACATGCGTCTGCTACACCCTGGACACGCTGTTGGCTCGAATGTCAGCCGCTTGAACCGAGCCGCGTCACTCTTTGACAAGCACTTTGCTTTGCTGCTTGACTTCGACCAGTCAAAGGAGCTTGACTCAAGGCTGAGCTCAGGAACGACAAGCGAGTCGTGTAGCAGATCTTGCAAATGGCCATGCGACCAAAGTCATGATGTCAACCTACCTCCGCGTGGTCGAGGTGGCCAGTACATTAAATCAACTGCCTGAGCGAGAAGCCCGTCAGACATTCGAGCGAGTTGCTCTCCTTACCATTCCATTCACTGAACAACAAGATGTACGCAGTTGCACTCATCCCAGCGCTTGGCGCTGCCGTAGCTATGGCCCAAGGTCAAGGAGCAGGCTACCCTCCACCACCTCCCATGACATTATCCACCACCTTGAGCGGTGTTCTGCCTGTCTTGCCAACCCAGACTCCTGGCTTCTCTGGCGTCGAGACTGAGGAGGGGGCAATTGTCTATGATGGACCCGCGAACCCAAGGTAAGAGGCCAGTGCCAGACGAGGTAGTGAATGCAGTGCTGACTGAGCATAGCTTCATGCCAGTCAATGGTCCGGCAACCACTGCTGCAAATCTACCAGCAGCGACCTACATGGCCATGCTCCCGAGCACAAACTGTAAGCCACAGACTGGCCATATTACATCCCAGAATTTTGCTGACACATCCATTAGTCGACAACGGCACCGGCTCCACCATCATGGGTTCCGTCATGATCTCTTCTACAGCTGGCGGCAGTGGCGTCTCCGTTTCAGTCAACTTCACCGGCTTCCCATCTGAGAGCCTGTATGGCCCATTCGTTTACCATATCCACGAGTTCCCAGTCCCTGCCAATGGCAACTGCAGCGCCACTGTGGGCCATCTGGATCCTACGGATCGCGGCGAGTACTACCCATGTAATGTCGGTGCACCAGCGACGTGCCAAGTCGGTGATCTTGCGGGCAAGCACGGCAACGTTACCATGCCCAATTTTGTCGCCCAGTATACAGACGCCTTCTTGAGCACGGACCCATCGTCGACAGCTTTCTTCGGCGACAAGAGCATCGTCATCCACTCCTCGAACACAACTAGGCTTACCTGCGCCAACTTCAAGATGATGGGTGGTGCTGCCAACGGCACTTCCTCCACCAACAGCAGCTCCCCAACGCCATCGTCGTCGGTGACGCCGTACACGGGTGCTGGCTCCAAGATGTCGGGGTACGGCTTTGCTGCGTTCATGGCGGCGACTGTGTGGCTTTTGTAGACTGCACAATGAAAAGTTTATCACGTTCGGAGACTGTAACCAACCATTGAGTACATACGAGCCAACACAAGGCCTTTCAGACACCTCCTGTCATCGCCCCAAAAGGGGTTTGGCACCGTGTTTCTGTGATGTCGGGGCAGCCTCCAAGCCCCTCGTTGATTCTCTGAGGTGGCGTGCGATCCATCATGCTATGGGGACGTATACCAGTAGAAGGCTCGACAGTGAAAACACAGCAATGTTGTGCAAGCAAGCGATGATGAATGTAGTTCATTTCGTCGGCCTGTCCGGTTACGCTGCGAGATTTGCCATTGTTTACCGGCCGATCACAAACCATGACACACGAAATCGGACGAGGCGTAAAGACCGGACCAACGTGACGGTGCAGCAGTAAGTTTCTCATCCTTAATCGGCCGGGGTAATGTAGGAAACGGCATGTTGAGAAGCTACCTGAAGCTCATTGCTTGCACCCAGGCCGCGCTATACGACCTCCCATCTCGCAAGCCTGCCGAGCCCCTGACCAGAGTTACGGACGACACACAACCGACCCTCGTCTTGGTCGACTCTCACTTCGCCCATCATCCGCTGAACTAACAGACTGCCAATCCCAGTACCCTTTCCTTGGCCTAGGTCAAAGTTGCCAGTGGTCACAAACCCCACAAGATCCTCCTCGCCAGGACAAGTAGGATACTCATCTTCGCCCGCCCTGGTAGGTTCGAGTAAACTAGTAGCCAATCTCTGCTGTACAACATACGGCAAAGCATCCTGGGGCAAGCGCGGCAGAGCATGCTTAGGTCCTTTGCGGCCGCGTTTCTGGTTCGTGGGCAGGAGAGCTAGCCATTGCTTTCGAAGTGTGAGGTTTGTGGTGGCGGAGGGGAGACGGTAGAGCCTGGCACATGCTGTGGGCACGCCGCGAGTCACTAGATGCAGACGGACTGCGATCAGGGCAGTGGAGAGTGTGATGTGGGATGGTATAATGCCACTTGCGAGTAGAGCCTGTGCACTGGCTGGGGAAAGCTGGGCGAGTCCGTTCGGCATCGGTGGCGGTATTGTCGTTGCTGGATGTCCTGGCATAGTCTGCGACGGCTTTTCGCTCTCGTCTCCATCTGCGGCCGTAACGACAGGATCAATGTCGGCCACGGAGACATTGCCATCTAGATCCTTCTTGGCGGAAGCAGCAAGCAATCTTTCCCAATCACAAGCCCATCCCACTCCCACCTCACCCTTTTTCCCATTGCACACACGCACTTTTTCGAAACTCGTCCTCTTCCCTTTCGGCACCCTCCTCCACGCATCCTCTCTCTCCCTACGCTCCCGCATCTCCCACTCCCACCCAGCCTCCGTACCAGGGAAATCAGCAGGGAACCACGGCTGCCCTGCCTCGAAAGCTAGCTGCCGTTTCTCCTTCAATCCACCGAAACGTGCTTGTTGGCCCGTGGAGAGTGGGTAGTACGTCAGGCTGTACCAGATAGGTTGGACGCATTTCCAGGGACAGAGGAGTGTCCAACTTGTTGTGTTGGGTTTAGACCGAGATGTTCTATTCGCTGAGGATGAGGCGAAGAGGAGTATCGGGATCTTGGGATCGCTAGCAACAGCTCCAGGGTATTGACCGGGTGGTGCGAGTGCCTTACGCCTGTTCACTGCTTTCTGGCTGGGTAAAGACGAACTTGCAGAGCGTCTAGCTTTGCCGTCAAAGATGCTAGGTGGACCTTGTGCATTATCGACTGACCACGCCGCAATAGTCTCCAGTAACTCCTGTTGTTCGCTGTCTGTCTTGGGCAGTTTGATCGTCCTTGGTGGGTGGTGTAGACGTGGGTCCTGGACCTCAAAGCCTAGCATCACATTTGCAGGCAGTCCTGCAGGATTGGTCAGTCCAGCGAGCTTCGTCCACGTTCCGCCAACAGATCTGCCCGATTCGCTTTCCGCTACTTTCCCTGTCACAGGCCACAATGCGCCTAGCAGTGCTTCCGTGGCACCAGGTCCAACGACTTCTATACTGCCAATCTCAAATCGTAGATCCGCCACTTTCACTTGTGGTTTGGCTACTTTTGCCAAGCGGAGAAGCTCTTCCCAAAGCTGGCGGAAGGCAGACGGATGGACCCGAATGAGCATATTGCGCTGTGGACTAGTCGGTTGCTGGAGCTGATCATCTGTCCTTGACGACAGAGCACACCATATGATCGTGACAGGCGCGATGGGGGTGTGTGGTGCTTCTCGCTCATGTAACAACAACTCGAGGCTGCGAGTTCCTTGCCGCCACTTATGACGTTTGGGGCCTATCAAATCGATATCGCTGACGCTCAGTGCTTTCAGCACACCCAGCAGGCTATCTTGTCGTCCATCCAAACTAATAGTAGACATGTAGCTACCATCCCAGGCTACAGCGCCACGGTCATGACTCGCTCTATGCGTTGGCCTGTAGCTTTTGGCGGACGGCGTGAGCGGGACAGCAAATCGCCATAATGGGTTAGAGGGGCGTGTCATCTGTGCGCGCTTGGCATGAAACATATGAGTTGGCAGCCATGATTTGTAGATCTGGCGTTTGCGAAACTTGGCTTTGGGTACTGGAGAAGTGGCCAGAAGTGGTTTCCTAGCCTTTCGCCGTTTCGAAATTGCTTTGGGCACAACAGGCTTATTCGCCTGCTTGCCACCCTTGGGGTTGGTATGATTTACTTCTTGGCTCGGATCATGGACGACCACTTTCTCCGCTGTGGCCTTTTCCTTCTCGGCCTTCCGTCTTGAGCCTAGGGCACGTAGTGACTTTGCCGTCTCCAATCGTAAACGCATTCGCCTTGTAGGCTTCCGGGTCTTGGCATTCACAGTGGGCGTATTATCCTCAGCCATCTGATTGATATATCGTCAGCTGCGTCCCTCCTACACCATGAGCATACCCACCTCTGCCATAACATACCTCCCGCTTGCCTCTTCCACGCAACCGCTTGGGTATCCTCTTCACATTATGACTGGCAGTCCTCCTTCGCAGGTCCTTGGGCACTTGCTGAAAGGCCCGACGATTCAGTGCTTTCTTACTTCTTGCCATACCGTCTCCCAGAGCTCTGATCTCGTACTCACGTGCCTGCACGAACTGAGCGACATCGAGCTCGCCATTCTTGAAGGACTTTGTGGTCTGAGTTGAGAGTGTCCGCGCATCGCGTGCCTTCCTACCGTGGTCGAATCGTGCTTTCTTCGCTACATCATGTCGATCACCGCCGGGTGCATCTTTGCGTTTCTTGTCCTTCTGCGGTGCTTGTCTCTTGCCCTTCGACTGCGAGGGCCGATCGGGTGCCATGATGTCTCGACGACACCTAGCATTGGAAAGCACGAATCCTCCACGTCGACATGTGACAGTGGGACTTTAGACGTCTTTAGGCCTCTTGCGCGGCATTTTTCCGCGGCGCGTCTGGACTACGCGTTTCGCCATCCAAGGCTTGACTCGAGCAATCGACATCAAATCACTTCTGGCAATCGTAGAGATGTCTGACCCCGGCTCGGTCACGCCACGGCGCAGACGGCGCGAAGGAGAGGATGAAGAAGACGAGGACCAGCTGTACACTGGCAGTGGTGCGAAACGTGCTCGCACAGACGACAACGAGCACAACGATAGCAACGCCGACGACGAGTCCGTATCTGAGGATGGACCATTGCTGCCTGACAACTTCCGCCGCTCACCTCAAAGCCAGCGTCAAACTGGGCGACCACGTCAACACCAGCCTGGTTCACTGGTACGCATCGAGATGACCAATTTCGTGACCTACAGCAAAGCACAGTTCAGCCTAGGGCCAAACTTGAACATGATCATCGGGCCAAACGGTACTGGCAAGAGCACTCTGGTCTGCGCCATATGTCTTGGGCTGGGCTGGAAGCCGGAGAATCTGGGTCGTGCCAAGCTCGTTGGTGAGTTCGTAAAGCACGGCGAGAAGAAAGCAGTCATCGAGATTGAACTGGCTGCGGATCCGAAGAGACATGCGGAGAACCCGGTCATCACTACTCGAATCATTCGCGAGGGAAACAAGGCCGAGTTCGCGATCGATGGGAAGAAGGTGACCAAGAAGGAACTCGACGCTTTGATGAAGAGCTTCTCAATTCAGATCGACAATCTTTGCCAATTCTTGCCGCAAGATCGCGTCGTTGAGTTCGCTGCCTTGTCACCCGTCGATCTTCTGACGCATACTCAGCGAGCCGCTGCGCCTCCGCAGATGCATGTGTGGCACGATCAGCTCAAGGCGAGTCGCAAGGCGCAGAAAACACAACAGGTCGAGCAGCAAGCATTGATTGATGAACTCAAAAGCAAGGAGCAACGACAAGCCCAGCAGCAGGAGATCGTGGAACGCTTGCGTGAGAGATCTGAGTTGCAGAATCGTGCAGCAGTGCTGGAGCGGTTGAGACCGTTTCCGCAGTACAAAGCTGCCAAACAACGACATACCGACGCCAAGGAGCGGAAGAAAGATGCAGAGCGTGAGCTTAAGAGGCTGCAGCGGCAGGTTCAGCCGAACCTACAGGCCGAGGAGGACAAGACTGAGTATCTTGCCTCTGTCGAGGCCGTGGCGCTCAAGCGCGGCAAGATGGTGGAGAGACTGGAAAAGACTGCAGCGGACAAGAGGGCTGAGCTCACTAGCAAGCAGGAGGAGTTGGATTCATGCGAGACTCGTATTGAAAAAGCAAAGGAGACATCGAAAAGCGCCAGAGCGAACATGCCCAGACTACAGCAAGATAGGAGTAAAATTGAGCGAGCAATGCAGACACCGCCAGCACAAGTCGATTTAGCCAGCCTAAATGAGCAGGTCAGAGAGAAGACACGGCTCATGAGAGGTGCTCAAGAACGGCAAACCGAGATCAAGCAGGAAATCGGCAGCTTAGCCCAGCGCATGAAGGATCGTCAACAGGTCATGGTTGATGCCGAGAAGGATCAAGAGACCCTGCAGACGCAAGCTGGACAGCAGGCTAGCAAGCTGAAAAATGCCTCAAGGGATGCGCATCGTGCATGGGAATGGATTCAAAGCCATGATAATCGTTTTCAGGGTCGTGTTTACGGCCCACCAATTGTCGAATGCACCGTCACCGATCCTCGTTATGCAGCTGTTGTCGAGAACGCTCTTGGGCCTGGCGAAATGGTTGCCTTCACCGTCACCTCACGAGACGACTACTTCACACTCAACCGAGCACTGCGTGACGAGCTCGGGATGGACAACATCAATATTCGTCAGTCGGAGCAAGCGCTGGCGGCGTTCCGCGCACCATGTTCTGGCGAGCAGCTGCAGACACTTGGCCTGCAGTCGTGGATACTTGATCTCATCGAAGGACCAGAGCCTGTGCTTGCTATGTTGTGTGACAACCGCAACATCCATGCCATGGCATATGCCTCCCGTGAGCTGAACGGCGCTCGCCTCGATCAGCTCAAGAGCCAGAACAGCCCGGTGTCATCGTGGATCACACCCTCGGAACACTACCAAGTCACTCGTCGCCGCGAATATGGCGACAGAGGCACTTCAGTGCGTACAACGGCTCTCCGTCAAGCTAAGTTCTTTACGGATGCGCCGTCTGCGCATAATGAGGATGCTGAGATTGCTGCTCGTGTCGACGAAGCGAGGCGGGAACACGCCGAGTGTGACGAGAAGAAGACTGCGCTGAGAACAGAGTACAATGATCTTGTTAAGCGATACGAGGAGTTGCAGAGTCAGGAGAACGATATAAAGGAAGAGAAGAGACAGAAGCAGACTGCCCAAACTCATTTCGCGGCACTGCCAGCCAAATTGACCAATGCTCAGCGCAAGATCGATGAGGCTAAGGGCTCCATTGACAACGCGGCGGCCCAGTGCCGGGAGATCATGTCAGAGGGTGACAAGTACACGCTCGAGAAGGGCCAGCTTGCCATCGACTACGCTTTCGCCGTCAATATTCTGCGCGAGCATATCGTCCCGCTGGTTGAGGCTCAGATCCTGGTCATCGAAGCGAAGTCGGACCTGGAGCAGATGCAACTGCGCACGAGACAGGAGAGGGAGATGCTTCACCAGCGTGAGCAGGAAGTCCGACGCTTGGACGAGGAGATGAGGGCTTTGCTCAACGATGGTAAGCGCTTACGCGACCTTTGCCAACTGGTTGATATGGACGATGAGCTCGTCGCACAGATCTACGACAATGAAGTCAAAGACTGGGATGAAGTTCAATTATCTGCTGAAATCGAATCCGTGGGCGCCACGCTCAATCTTTCCGACGGACAAGGTAACCAGCATGTGCTGGCTGAGTACGAGAAGCGTGCGAAGGTCATTGAGCAGAAGAGGTCTGAGTTGGCGGATGTGGAAGAGGCGTTGGAGGGGTTGGATAACGAGATCAAGGAGGTAAAGGAGCAGTGGGAGCCGCAACTCGATCAGCTGATATCGCATATCAGTGATGCCTTTGCCGACAACTTCAGCAAGATTCAGTGTGCTGGTGAAGTTGGCATACATAAGGATGAAGATTTCGAGCTCTGGGCGATCCAGATCAAGGTCAAATTCAGGTGAGCCAGCTCATGTATGCTCGTTGATATAGACCAGACCACTGATATACCCAGCAGGGAATCCGAGCCGTTGACTCTTCTCGACTCCCACCGCCAATCCGGCGGCGAGCGGGCCGTGAGCACGATCTTCTACCTCATGGCCCTGCAATCTCTCGCCCGTGCGCCCTTCCGCGTGGTAGATGAAATCAACCAAGGCATGGACCCTCGTAACGAGCGCCTAGTGCATTCGAGGATGGTGGATATTGCCTGTTCCGAGGAGAGCGCTTCGCAGTATTTCCTCATCACGCCAAAGTTGCTGGGTGGGTTGAAGTATCATCCTGATATGAGGGTGCATTGTATTGCTAGTGGAGAGCATATGCCGGATGATTTCAGGAAGTTGGATTTTGGAGTACTTGCTCAGAAGGCCCTTGCTATCAAGGCATGCGGATGAAATCATGACGGTTGCGATCCATGGTGTAATGGTCCATGGAAGGCCACGGTTCGTCTCGCTGGCTTCATGGCATAAGGCGAAGGTCGATATGAGGCAGTACTGATCCTATTACATGAGGTAGCCTTGGCACGAACACTGTCCTGCACGGCACAAAGACCCTGTAATACACGATTGCTTCGCCTTGAGATTCCCCTACTGTCTATCAAAGTTTCTTACAGGAGTGTTTCGTACCTGCCTCAAACAAGCCCCGCCATCAAGGTCTTGGCAGCAATGCGGAAGCGTCACTTTCCACTTTTGGTAGCCTGCGCTTTACGTACGCCCAAACTTACCACGTCTTGTTCGTTTATACGACCATCTCTGGAACTACACAAGAAACCTGGAGAGCGGAGCATTCGCATAGTCGACCTAATGCGGCGGTGAAGCCATTTTAGCGACTCATTCGACACTCACATCCCACATCTCCAACATCAACGCGCGGCGACCATGTCACAATCCCTCCGCCCTTACCTCTCCTGCGTACGCAGCACCCTCACCGCTGCCCTGAGCCTCTCAAACTTCGCCTCCCAAGCCAGCGAACGCCATAATGTGCCAGAGATCGAAGCAGCGACCTCCCCCGAACTCCTCCTCAACCCATTAGTCGTAAGCAGGAATCAGGATGAGAGGGTGCTTGTGGAACCGAGCGTGAACAGTGTGAGGGTCAGTATCAGAATCAAGCAGGCGGACGAGATTGAGGGGATATTGGTGCACAAGTTCATGAGGTTTCTGAGTCAGAGAGCGGAGGCATTTTTTGTGTTGAGGAGGAAGGCTGTTGCTGTGAGTACTCTAAATGATGGATGAGTAGACGGAGGGCTTGTGAATGTGCTGACGGTGTGGGCAGGGTTATGACATCTCGTTCTTGATTACGAATTTCCATACTGAGGAGATGCTGAAGCACAAGCTGGTCGACTTTATCATACAGTTTATGGAGGAGGTGGACAAGGAGATCTCGGAGATGAAGCTTTTCGTAAGCTCAACGACCTCAGACCGATGCGGTACTTACTGACCATTGACTAGCTGAACGCGAGAGCACGCTTTGTGGCGGAGAGCTTCTTGACACCGGTATGTGAAATACAACGCTGTTATCATTGCGTGTATGCTGACAGTATACTGCAGTTTGACTAGAGTTACAATGCAAGACTCTGAAAGTTCATGTCATGTCACCTCTGCATCCCTGTGCTCGTGATCTGCACTCTCGAAATGCCGTAACATCGCAGCCAGCAATCGATCTGCTCCTAGTTCAGCAACAGCCTACGCGATCTTCTTTCTCAAGCTCTCCCGCTCCTGTTCCTCCATTTCACGAATCTGATCACCATGGTCAGCATTTACATTCAGCGTGTCTTTCAACCATCTGATAGTATTTGTTGCAGCGGCCTTCTGATGACGATAGCGACCTGAAACTGGTAATGCTGACATAGTTGCTGCGGGAGAGTCCAAAACAATCTACTATTGTGTGCTGTGTACTACGGCTATATGTCGAGTAACGGACAGGTGGGAAAGCGATCGGAAGGCAGAAGAGATGTTGAGAGATTGCCACAAGCGTCATGTGAGTCGTGATCAGGAACTATGCAAGCAAATGCAGCAGAGCTGCGAATACACAGAACAAACTTGAGCATAGAGAGCACTCGCTGTTGTGTTAAGACCACGCTGACCTGTCTGGGCGGCAAAAGGGCCTTGTGAGTTGGCTGCTGCAGTCATTAGTGAGTGTGGCGTATTTGCCATGGGTTACGTCTCAGGAAAAGCCAGCGCAAGCGATCCAGCAGATGAATCATAGCAACTTTCCCCCTTCGTTCAGCAGGTCAATCCACTTCGGATATCGAGCATTTGGCTGTTCTTTTTAATACTGAATGAAAGGAATGTATGTAACGTCACAAACGACCCGCAGTCTCAGTCCGTGAAGTCAAAAGCAGGAGATACAGGACGTGGGTCATATTTCTGTCGCGCTCATGTTAGTCTGCAATGAAGAGACTGATGCCGGTCGTACTGCTGCATGGGGTGACTTCGCATCGCCCGACAAGCGCGATATGGGAGGGAAAATGAAGGTGTGTCGCCCAGTCGAAGTTTCGATGTCTTGCTAGCGTGCCAAGGCTTGCTTGTTAGACCGAGCTTCGATGTTGCGAAAGCTCAATTCTGCAGCCTGCAATCGTTGTTTGTTCTGTTACAGAGACATGCTCTTTTGTACACCATGTAGCGGCTGTCATGGATACACTCGACAAGACTGAGTGGGACGTGATCATCGCCGGCACTGGACTGCTACAGTCCTTGCTAGCACTGTAAGTCTTGGCCACGAGACAGACCTTCACATACTCTCAGGCTGACTGACAAAAAGTCCACCATGAAGCTCTTTATCGAGATCCGGCAAACAGATCCTACATCTCGATCACAACACGTACTATGGCGGACACGAAGCCGCGCTGTCATTGAGTGAGGCAGAAGAGTGGGCGGAGAAGCATGCTGGCGATCCACCTGCTGGAGCAAGATCATGCTTCGCCCAAGCATCAGTCACGAAAACAGCGGAGGGGGACGCCAACGGAAGCAAGCTGGGCTTCTCGCGTGCGTACTCGCTAGCCTTGGCACCACAATTGATATATGCCCGGTCAAATCTGCTGCCTGCTCTGGTCTCCTCGCGAACACACAATCAGCTGGATTTTCAGGCAGTTGGTTCATGGTTTGTGGTAAATGGTGCTACTGAAGAAGGTGGCCAGCCGCGCATTTTACGGGTCCCAAGTGGGCGCGAGGATGTCTTCGGAGATGACAGTCTGGATCTCCGGGCCAAGCGGTCTCTCATGAAATTCATGCGATTCGTGGCGAGCTACGACGAGGAGTCTGAAGAGGCGCGATGGGCGGAGATCAAAAACATGGCCCTTGGCCACGCATTGCGCTCTAAGTTTGGGCTGAACTCTGATGCCGCTATTACCCCCCTGCTCGCACTGGCACTTGTCGAAGGCAACAGCGCAGACCTGACTGTCGAGTTCACGGTACCCAGGATTGCACGACACTTCCGGAGCATCGGCATGTTCGGCCCTGGCTTCAGTGCTGTCTTGCCGAAATGGGGTGGCCTTGCTGAGATCGCACAAGTGGCATGTCGGGCCTGTGCAGTGGGTGGTGGTGTCTATGTCCTCGGCAAAGGCATCAGAACGGCCACCGCAAGCGCAGACGCCAAGTACGAAGTCGAGCTCAGTGATGGGGAAGTTGTCACCACGACTTGGCTCACTGGCTGCCCGGACGATCTACCATCCGCAGCCCCACCGAGCACAACGAGTAGTCCGTCAAAAACACAAATCGTCAATCGGGCCATCTACATTATTTCTTCCTCGCTGGACTCATTGTTCCCTCCAACCTCTGAGGGCGGTCCCGTACCTGCTGGCGCAGTCGTTCGTGTCGACACAGGCACTGCTGGCGGCGAAGCTGTCAACGTACTCGCACACTCCAGCGACAGTGGAGAGTGTCCAAGCGGTCAATGTAAGTCTCGGACTTCCCTCTATTTCATATTCCTGACAGTGATCGGATGAACAACACAACTTGAATACTTATCTACATTGTCTGAACTCTATTGACGACATACAATCTCTGACAACCTGATGTATCACTCAAATACAAACACTTACCTAATCAATTGAGGACTTGGCTCAGCGTTGAGCTAATCACTGTCTTTCTAGGTGTTCTATATACCTCCTCGATGGGCTCCAAAGAGTCACAGGATAATGCTATCCAGTACTTGATACGAAGCGTCAACGAGCAGCCGGAGCCGCATGTACCATGGAAGCTGCAGTACCAGCAGTATATCTCGTATCCTTTCGATGCCGAGGCAGCCACGACAAGTAATATTATATGCTTGCCGCCTTTGTCGGCAGACATCGTACTTGGCGACGAAGTGCTCGACGCTGTTCAGCACGTATGGCAACAAACCACAGGAGTGCCAGCCGACTCATTCATGAAGTTCGTGGCGAGAGGAGAGGAAAGTGTTGAGGAGCAAGATACCATGTAAGAATGCATATAGTATCATCCAATTGTTGCTCTACATGAACGCTGCAGCCCTCACATTCCACACCTTCCTTCCTAAAGCGTTAAACGACTACCAACAAAACTGGGCACCAGCTTCCCAGGCATAGCCTGCTCGATGGCAAATTTTGCTCGCCAGCCTGTACAATGGCCAGTGATAAGCACAGTCGGCTCCAAAGCTTTCAGATCAGCTACTGTACTTGAGATTGCCTCTGGCTCGCTGTCCGCAAGATGGTAGCCTCCCATCACTGCATGGAGAGGAGTGCCCTTGCCCAGAGTAAGAGCATGGCGGCTGGCGTTGACCACGCCGGCGTGCGAGCAGCCCGTGAAGACTACTATACCTTTGCCTATCGCCACTCCTATCAGCGTGTGCCGCGACCAGGTGAAGAGTTCTAGCTGCTGAACATACCTTTGAGCTTACAGATCAAGAACCTCTCATCCTTGATCAGAGTATCTTCCTTCCACTTTCCCTCCGCTTCCATATACCTTACACCCCTCTTCAAGCCCCCTTCATATTTCGTTGTGCGGGGAATTTCACCGGAGACTTGGAAGAAGTTGGATGCTATGTTGTGCGCCTCATCGTGCTTGTCGACCTTGCCACCTGCTGCTTCGATCTCAGCGAACGTGGGATCTGCTTCTAATGATACGGGTGCCATGGCCATGATGCCGCGGTAGTCTGGTCGATCAGGATGGAGATCTACGGTTATGGGTGCGGACCCGGGTGCCTTCATGGCGTTCGCCATGGAAAGCACTTTAGGCATACCGCCAGAGTGATCGCGATGCCAATGGCTGAGCTGGACCGTCTCGATATCTCCTAGTGGTGCTTTGAGGCGCTTGGCGTTGAGCTCGAAGATGTGTTCCTCCGGTCCAGTGTCGAACAGGACGGTGTGGCGTCCGCCATCCTTGACACCGGTGATCAAAAGTGAAAGACCGTGGGCGGAACAGCATATGTTGTCCATGCGGAGTTCCTTGATCGCGCCGCCCCGAGTCGCAGGGTCGAGAGAGGGTCCAAGGAGGCCGAGTTCTTTCAGGCCGCCGACTTGAAGATGATCAGGTTAGTGTCGTCGATGGTGACGCGATGGTGAACGCCAGGGTGCAATCGTGGCTTACTCTGTTGAACTGCCTCATTCGGGCTCGATGAGATTGGGTCTAATTCATTGTCGACTGGAGCCATATCAGTATGGTCGTCCGACTGATAGTCAGTTGTGTCGTCTGTATGTACCTATCACCAGAATCTCCAGACAGTCCAGCTCCACGAGATCCATCTTGGCCGCTCGAACTTGTCGATATGAAAGTGAAAGTCAAGTGTCGAAGTAGCAGGGCCTACAACCGTTATAAGTTGCGTGTCGAAGGGTTTGCGATTGGAAGTCCGTGTATGTCGTGGAAATGCGAGTTCATGAGAAACCATATAGGGCTGAGATCGAGGTCGGGCACTAGTGCAGGGATGGCTTACAACTCTATGCACGAAGGCTACAGAGCAGACCAGGCAGCGAGCTCGGCCTTCTTCCTGTATCAAGTCAGTAGTCGTTTGCTTACCGGAGACTTTCAGTGGTACGTAGCAGATATCTGCATTATAATAATAGTTGAGGGTACGATGAATGGCTGATGGAAGGATGAGGCAGGCGCGTAGCAGGGTAGTAGTGCTTCAGCAGCGTCTCCATCCCTGTAGGTGAGTTCGTCTGGTGGGACATAAGAGACTGGTAGCCTCAGCCTTTGGCAACTTCCAATGCGACCGTCGATGAAACCCTTGTCGCTGTGCACAAAGGTCAGACGACGTGTTAGTGGAGGTAGAGGTGGTGTTCCAAATCTCTTGGCGGCAACACAATCTCTGGCTCACCCACAAAAACATTTCCTTTGCATTTCTGCTTCTGACACTTCCTCTTTCATGATCTTGATCGGACGCTCTGCCGCGAAACGCAATGAGCATTGTACGCACTTGGCTGGCAAGGGGTATGATCGATATAGAAACAGGCACGCAGGCTGACAAGCAGTGACATTGATGATGGGTTACGTTCGCACAACCATGCCATACTCGTTGACATAGAACAGCTAGTGGCCAGCGATGATGACCATGTGCTAGACGGAATCATCGAGGGTGTCTTGCTACATGTATCGCCACAGGATTTCCATGGGGCCCTTGTTCAAGCCTCCAAGTGAGCGCTCGCTCTCGCAAACGCGAAGTTGCGCAGCCGCTTTCGCATCCTTCGTTCAGCTTTGAAAGCTACCTCGTCTCCTAACACACACTCGACACAATCAACATCTCATGCAGCAGACACCCCCATGACCTGTGCATTTGCAAGAAGTGTCCGGCCAGCGCAGCATCCCAGCAGCGTTCACTGACATGTCGAAGTTGTCGAGCATCTTCAGCGACCAGCTTGCCAAGCTGAACTTCCCCGCCATCTCACAACAGTTGGTGCGTGATGCTTCGGATCGACCATTACTGAGCACACTCGCTGTGCTGGGATCGCTGTGGGCCGCTCGGACAGCCTACAGTATCTGGGACTTCATGTGGCTGCATTTCCTGCGGCGTAGTCAGCTCGACCGGTATCAGGGCACCCAGGAAAATCCAGCATGGGCATTGGTGACGGGTGGATCTGACGGCATCGGACATGGCTTTGCTGAAGAGCTACTTAGTCGTGGTTTCAATGTCGTGCTGCACGGGAGAAGCCAGGTCAAACTCGAGGGCGTCAAGAACGCTCTGCTGAAAGAGTGGCCGCAGCGAGAAATCAGGCTCGTTATCATCGATGCTGCTAAACTGGATGGACTGGACGACAAGCTTCAGTCTGCTGCTAAATCTTTGCAAGACATCAATCTCAAAGTCCTGATCAACAATGTTGGTGGTGACGGTGGTGTTGCGCCGCTCTTCACGCCCCTTCAGGAAAAGCCAGCAAGCGACATCAGCAAGTTCCTATGCGTCAACTCACATTTCCCGACAGCCATCACGAGAGTCTTTCTGCCACAGCTGATCCGCAACGAACCTACGCTGATCATGAATATTGGCAGTGGCGTGAGCGAGATTGCTGGTCCATACATCTCCATTTACTCTGGCGCGAAATCGTACAATAAAGCATGGTCTAGGAGTATGGCGGCCGAGCTGAAGCTGCAGGGATACGATATTGAAGTGTTATGCATCATGGTCGGACTGGTGGCGACGAACTCTACCCAGGATCGAAAGCCCGGTGGCGCGATTGCGAGCTCGAGAGGCATGGCCGCAAGCAGTCTGAATGCAGTTGGTTGCGGCAGATACGATATCTGGGCTTATTGGCCACACGCTCTCCAATTTGCTATATTATTGCATCTGCTTCCTACAAAGTTTGTGAACAACTTTGGTGCTAAGATCGTGCAGAAGGAGCGAGATATGGAGATTGCGAGGCTGAAGCAGTCGTAAATGAAGAGGGCAGCAGGAGGTTGTAATTGAACTCAGGCCAAGGTATCGAAGGCTATGCAGACATCGTTGGACGATTGGCATTAATTGCGCTAGGGAGGTAATGCGCTGATATTCAGAACGATTTCGAAGCAGCGTCCCCGGCAAGATCAGCAGGCGTGGTGTTGTAGATGATCATTTTGGCCTTCTTCCAGCACCGTGTGATCGGAAATAATGTCAAATCATGTTGGGTGGTTCTAGACATCATGTAATTATCGAGCTGCGAAGACCAGACATCAGACTTGTCATGAGTCCGTATCTAAGATAGACCTTGCTATGACTATGAGCAAGCATGCCACGCTGCCAAATGGTCGCGCATATGCTGGACAGCCCGTCTTGCAGTGCTGACTTTCTAGCCGCAATGCTCAGGACCATCATTTCTCGACAGCGCAGCTTCTGCGTAATGTAGTCAACCGGATCTAACTGCTCAGTCTCACCAAGATTGAGAAAGTGACAAGCAGACGCCACCCGAGGTTCGCATCCACGTGCCTTTTGCCAAAGAACGCTGATCAAGCTGCGAGACTACACCTCAACGCCACTCACCTCGCCGTCGCCCACGAACGCAGACACCGCAGCAATGGTCAGCCGACCCAGTACCCAATCTGCCTAGCAAGAACACACTATGTCACAACACTTCCTTGCATTCCTCCTCATCCTCACACCCCATATGTCGACCACAGCTGCCCAACTAGGTATCACTGGCACCCAATCTTCCATCTGCTCCTCCGCCTGCAGTGTCGCCACAGACTGTAACACGCAATGCCTGAACCAACCAACAGGCGATCCATATATTGCCTGTCTCTGCCAACTAAGCTGTCTAAATTTCATCGGTGTCTGTAATTCATGCTGTAACGCCACATCTTCGAACTACGCAGCCTATCAAGATCCGCTCTGTGCTGGAAACCTGGCCGGGAACCTGCAGAGCTGTAATTTTGTAGGTCTCCTAAACCTTTGTGTTGGTTTGTTCTTGCTGGAAGGCGTACATGAGCTTGAGCGAGGAAAGGCTGATGGGGAGATGTATGGTGTAGTACGGTAACGCAGCACCGAATGCGAATGCCGATATCTTCAAAACGCTATCGTATGCCGCCTCAGCAAGTCTGCCAAGTTTCCAGGCATCATGGGTCAGTATGCTGCCTAGCCCGACACTCGTCAGTCTGAACATCGTATCCTCGAATGACGTTAAAGCAACTTCGGTCTCAGTGTCGGCCTCGTCAAGCAGTCAGAGCGGCGTCGCCATTGTCGCACCATCGGCTGCATCCTCTACCGCACTAGCTGTGGTCTCGAGCCCTGCTACAGCTACTTCAACTATACACCTCTCTCCGTCTGCTTTTCCGACAACGAACTCATACTCTCCCGGCCCAGCAAGCAGCTCGTCAATGAATTCGGTATCTACTGCCGCAAGTGCGGCAACAGTCAGCTCGGCGGCAGCGTCACCTCCTAGATCCACCACAGCGGCGGCAGCGGCAGCTAGTACATCAGCACCAAGTTCGAGTGCTGGAAACAGGCTGCTGTGGTTCAGCAAGGTATGTGCACGGCGACCAGCACTCATGCACGTGTGTCTGGGCTGACTCGTTGTTCTCCCAGCTTTCTTGTGCTGTGCTATGCATTTCAATTTTCGCATTGTCTAGCATGATATAGCTTCGAGAAAGATCTAACGCTTGAACGCATCGTCAACAAGCAGGAAGCCTACAGTCGAGACGCGTACATGTGTCTATCGCTTTTCTTCGCGTCTATCGTCCACTTTTCGCATTGCCCGGCACGCCCGTGGTGAAGTTCAATGCTGTAAGCCACCACATAAACGCAAACTGCACCACATAGCTGTAGACGAACAAGAATTGAGTTCGTCGACTTCGTTGGCCGCGGGCGATGATCTGTACGCCTGGGTTTCCTGGTGCGTTGTCCGAGGGTAGGAGGACGTATTTCAGACTCCGGAGCTATCAAATCATCATTAGCGACAACTGCGATCGGAGACATTGGTATGGAGACTCACCAAGAAGAAAGCATTAGCCATGAACGTGTACGCGAATACACCCCAGCCCACCCATCCTCCCGTGCCCTTGCCGCGATTTATGCTCGCCGCCACAGCAATAGTCACAATCACGCCCACGAACTTATAACCACTGTAAGCCACGAGATCATAAATCTGGCTCTCGCTCGAAATATTCAAAAAGTACCTCCCCAACCATAGCACCAGCAACTCCAACACGATCACCACACTCGCATTACTAAACGTCATCCCAAGTAATTGCGGCTCAAACTTCCCATTCAAGCCCGCTATTAGGGTCGTGAGGAGGACGTAGGTCACAAACGCCATCAGCGGGATGTACATGTCTGGCGAATTGACGTCTTCGCGCGGCGGCAGGAATTCAGTGCCCCGGGCCGAGGGGTCGGAGGAGTGGGTTTGTTGGCGGGACCAGGGGCGGTGGCGCCAGGGGAAGAGGACGAGAAGGAGTTTGTGGGTTACGTAGGAGTTGGAGACGTTGAAGTAGTGTTTCAGGGCGGAGACGTTGACGTAGCGGTTGAACTGGTTTTAATCATTCCTCATATTAGCATGGGCTTTGTTGTGTGGTGGAGGTTGTTGTTGTTGTTGCTGTTGTTGTGTGAAGACGTACGTTTTGCTCGACATAGTCTTGTCCGACTTTCATGGCACTCTGACCCATCTGCAAGCCCATCTGGGCGGTGGGATCGGTCATGAAGCCGCCGAATTGTGCCATATATGGGTTCTGGGCCTGTTGACCTTGCGGCGGAGATTGTTGGCCGTATCCCCCATTTTGAGATGCGGGTGGAGGTGGTGAGCGCAGGTTCGGGACTTGGGAGATGTGTTGTGGTACCTGTAGGGTATATATGTCAATGCCTGATCATGAATATGAGGTTGATGGTGGACTTACGGGGTGGTGAAGAGGTGGGCTGTTAGCCGGCGGCATGCCGTACGTGCCTCGCTGCATTGTGAGTACTGATGTTCTGTTCCAAGGGAGTGTGATCCAGTAGTCAAGATGTACTTCTGGCAGTGAGATGGTCAACAGCTGGCCGGTGGCTGCAGCAGGGTCCGCACGAAACTCCTCCACGTTGCACGAATTGGGCGATTTGGCATGTGCCTGTGAAGTCATTCAAGAACAACCCCACCATCGGCCAGCATTAATTATATATACCACCACATCACCTATACTTGCACTAGCCTGGTAGGGAGAGAAGACTGTGTGGGAGACAGCGACAATGCTCGACGCTTTTGAAATCCTGACCACCTCCGGCATCGTGCTTTGGCGAAAGCACTACGCTTCCCTGTCGCCAAATATAATCGACAGCTTGGTCCGAGATGTGTTCATAGAAGACAAGAGCAAGCTATACACCCAGGGTGACATACCGTCATACAAGAAAGATCGGTACACATTACGATGGGAGAGTGCGAAGGATGTGGGCGTGGTGTTCGTGGTAGGTGAAGATATACTGAGTGGAAGATGAGGTGAGGTGCTGATGTGTTGTCCATATAGGCGGTTTACCAGTCGTTACTACATTTGAGCTGGGTTGAGACACTACTTGCTGCTGTCAAGGGTCTGTTCTTGAAGGAGTATGAGCAAGATCTGAAAAAACCACATACGACCAAGCTCGAGACACGACGATGGGATGCAACGTTCGATGCGCTACTGACGAGGTTCGATACTGGGAGCTCAAGACGGCGACAAAGCGACACGGCCGACTCGGAAGGCGCGACTGAGCTCACACCACCATCGAGCGCAGGAGATGACGAAGATGACTCTCCTGCTCCGCCTGTGCCTGCGCCCATGTTCAAGAAGCCTGCAGTGCCCTCGCGGACGACAGTGAGTGATACGAGCGCCGATGCAACACCGATACCGACGCCAGATACTTCACGACCAGCCACGCCGTCCTTAGCAGCATCGCATCTCCTGACAGCAAAAGGAGGGCCTGGCAAAGCGAGCAGAAGATCGAGGAAAGCACAGAATCTGGTCAGCTCAGTGCCCGTGTCATCAGGTGACGAGAGTACAGCCGGGAAGAAGTTGAAAGGGAAGACGGCTGCCAAGTCAAAACGAAGATGGGATATCGATGGTACAGCGATCGAAGGCGACGACGACGAAACACTAGACTACAGTGCACCAGTGACCCCAGCCTTTGACGATGCAACACGTGAACTGGACATCGAAGAAGTCGACGCAAACACCATGGGCAGCCGAACCGGAAAAGGCCAGTTCGTGCTCAAAGACCTCGACACCGAAATCGACGCCATCCTCGCCAGCTCCAAACAGCCCAAACCCACCACAACCGAAGACTCAACCCCAAGCAACGGAGGTCTCCTGAACTCCGCAACATCCCGCCTTACCGGCCTCTTCCGCAACGTCGTCGGCGGCAAAGCCCTGACCAAACACGACCTCCTCCAACCCCTGGCCCAAATGCAAAACCATCTGATAGAGAAAAACGTCGCACCCTCCGCCGCCGCCCGCCTCTGCGAAAGCGTCGAACGAGACCTCCTAGACCAGAAAACCGCATCCTTTACTTCCATCGACGCGACAATAAGGACGAGTATGTCCAAAGCCCTGACGCGAATGCTCACACCCACATCCTCCTTGGATCTCCTCCGGGACGTCACGACCACGACTTCCGGCCCCTCTGCTCGACCTTACGTCATCTCCATCGTCGGCGTCAACGGTGTAGGCAAGAGTACGAATCTGAGTAAAATCGCCTATTTCCTCCTGCAAAACCAATTCCGAGTTTTAGTTGTAGCGGGCGATACTTTCCGCTCTGGTGCCGTGGAACAGTTGCGCGTGCATGTGAGGAACCTCTCCGAGCTCTCGAGGCGGGAGAACGTGGGCGAAATCAGTCTATTCGAAAAAGGATATGGCAAGGACGCGGCGACCGTGGCGAGGGACGCAGTGACTTATGCCACTAATGCGAGTGGACAAGGGCAAGGGCAGATGTTATTCGATGTCGTGCTCATCGATACGGCGGGCAGGAGACATAACGACACGAGATTGATGTCCAGCCTGACGAAATTCGGCCAGTTGGCGAATCCGGATAAGATTTTCATGGTGGGCGAGGCGCTCGTGGGTGCGGACTCGGTGGCGCAGGCGAGGAATTTCGCCAAGGAGTTTGTGGATACAAAGGTGAGTTCTTTTCTTTCGCTGTGTTGTGTTGTGCAATTCTTTTTCCGCTGGTGAGATATGTGTTGGTGGCGGATTGCTGATATGACATAACTCTGTAGGGCAAACTTCGAAATAATGGTGTTGGGATGGATGGGTTTATTATTTCTAAGTGCGATACTGTGGGTGATATGGTGGGGACGTTAGTAAGTATGGTACATGCTACTGGTATACCCGTTGTGTTTCTGGGAGTGGGACAGCATTATGGTGATTTGAGGGGTCTGAATGTTGGGTGGGCTGTTGAGAGGTTGATGCGATAGTTCGCTCGTATATCTAATAAACACATACGCAAATCAGCCAGCCAGCAGAAAGGCGGCCGTGAGATTTGTCCATCGTTATCACGTCCGTCTCGCTTTCTTCCCGCATGGTAGAAATTCACCACAATCTACAAGATCCTTTCTCGTCTCGTACCAGCTCGGCATACCATCGTCCTCATACACGAAGAATTCTTCTAGTTGGCTGAGGACCCGCATGGTGAGACAGTCGGCAGTCACAATGTTAGCGGACCGTGCATAAGATACACGCATGAGCGTGGGGAGTACAATTTCCGCCCCAGCTGCATGTGCTTGATCTGCGTCAGCGGAGATCCACGAGAGATACTTCTGAGCTGATGTGACCATGATGTCGGGTAGTTTGTGGCTTGTCATATAGCCCCCTGGAACACAGTGCTGGGATGTTTGTGGCTGGTCCTCGAGTGCAGGATGGTGCAACTTGAGAATGAAGCTGTGGCAGCGGATATCGGTTTTGCTGAGGGTCTGAGCTGTGGAGAAGAGGACTTCGCAGTACCGCTTGAGCCTGATCCGCACATGCTTCACGCGTGGCCAGATAGAGCCAAGTGATCGGCATGTACCGCTTTCGCAGCCGTGGTTGCTCCCTCCGGTGCGAACAATACCGAATCCGAAGATATCGAGAGTCAGGTCCGTCAAGTCGTGGCTCAGAGGTAGATGCTGACAAAGAGTACGGATAGTGCTGGCGTAGATATACGGTGGTGTGATGCCCTTGGCTGGCCATGCTTCGAAAACGAAGGTTTTGAGCGTGGAGAAGTTCTCAAGGTCGGCGTACAGTTCATTGAGGGCTGGTGTTATGACCCGGGCTCGCCATCCTTTCCAAGGTTCGTTGTGCAGGACCCCCGTTATGGGTGAGATCGTGCCCTCAGGTGCAGCATCTTGGGCTTCTCCCCGCCCGGAGAAGTCGTATAAACTGGTATCTTCGACTTCATTAGTCACGAGATCTTCGAATTCCCGAGACGAGGCCTCGTCCCACCAGTAGCCAGGGATACGGAGATGCAGTTTACGAGTGTGCTCGTGCATGAGAGACCGGTCTCCCGTTGGGCTCCTTTTGCCATTGTGCAGTTCTGGTAGTGTATTTCCGTAGATCCGGATGGTCTCGAGATCATGTCCTGTTAGGAAGACTGGTTTGGCTGCTGTATACCACTTTCGGAAGAGTGTTAGTCTTGGTATGCCTTTGCCTTGACGTAGTTCGTGGCCGCCAAGTGCCTGGCAGATATATTCTAGCAGCTCGATTGGAAGTGCTTGTAGAGTGGCCATGTCCTTGATGATGTATCTTGTTGTCTGTGGCAAGGAGTCTGTGTCATCAGCTCGAGATATATCCTACCATACAAGAGCCTTGTTGAGTCATCTGATGAAGCGGCTTGCAGTGTCTTGCTCAGGCGGACTTTGTGATTCAGTATAGAGGCAGGGTTTACTTCGCTCTGATCTGCCGTGCGCAGGATTACAATGACCATCACAACATAACCATCAGATCTGTATAGAAGACGGGATAGAAGGCCCAAAGAATCATAGTGGCGGTGCTATAAATAAGGTTTGTTGTTGCACGAGCCACCTCCGCGAAGATGGAAACGACGACCTCGTACTATTATTCAGGGTCCTCAGAAGCGTCGTCAGTGAAGAAGCCAAGCGCGGATCGCCTCAGCGACCATTCTAACCTTGTCTCCTGTGCATGTCATTCATTATTCAAACATACGGCATACCTCTCTCACGCACGTCCGCCACGCTTTCCACGGCATCCGCCACTCGATATCATCTGTAGTGCTCCATCACGCTCGCTAGGACGACCGCGCTTACACCCGCAGAGTTGAAGTGCCGCGCCTTCCACCCTGATCGGGCCATTATTGCGCGTTCGCCTGCCAATCGAATATTCACGACAACAGCAACTGTGCAGCAGGAAAGAGGCAGCCACGTAAAGGCGACATCGCCGCAGGACATCACTGCAAAGAACCTCGGCGCATTCCGCGGCTGACAAGGCATCAACTTCCGCCCTGAGACGACAACATACATACAGCAGCAAAGATGAAGGTCAGAAGTAGTGCGCTCGCAGGCGCATTGTTGGCGGCGCAGTCGACGAGCGCAATCAACTTGGTTACGACCGATGTGGACAGCATCAAGACGGCCGCATCTACAATCGCGCATGGTATGATGAGCTACTACACTGGCAACCTGACGGGTGGCACGCCTGGCTTGTTGCCTGCGCCATACTATTGGTGGGAAGCTGGTGCTATGTTTGGTAGTTTGATCGATTACTGGTACTATACCGGCGATTCGACATACAACGTGAGACGCGCATAAGTTGGCATCTTTAATGAATAAGGACTAACATGAACTAGGATGTTGTTTCGCAAGCCCTGCTTTTCCAAACCGGACCAGACAACGACTTCATGCCTCCCAATCAGACCAAGGCCGAAGGAAACGATGATCAAGGCTTCTGGGGCATGGCAGCCATGTCCGCGGCAGAAGTCAAGTTCCCCAACCCTCCAGCCTCCGACCCACAATGGTTGGCACTGGCGCAGGCCGTCTTCAATTCCCAGGCGCTCCGATGGGATAACAGCACATGTGGTGGCGGCCTGAGGTGGCAAATCTTCACCTTCAACAACGGGTACAACTACAAGAACAGCATTTCCAACGGCTGCTTCTTCAACTTGGCCGCTCGCCTAGGATATTACACCCAGAACCAGACATATTTCGAATGGGCTGATAGGATGTGGGACTGGGTCACTGCTGTTGAGCTTGTCAGCCCGACTTACCAGGTCTTCGACGGTACCGATGACACTCTCAACTGCACGCAGTTGAACCATATCCAGTGGACTTACAATGCTGGCGTGTATCTGCTCGGTGCATCTGTCATGTGGAACCAGGTAAGTTTGACCACGTTTGGGAAGGTCTACAGCACAGCACAGCACAGCACTAACCGTGACATCACCAGACCACCGGCGACACCCAAACCAAATGGGAAGGACGTATCAAAGGCCTCGTCACCGCCTCGTCCGTTTTCTTCCTCAACAACGTCATGTATGAAGTCGCCTGCGAACCTTCTGGCAATTGCGACACCGACCAGCAATCCTTCAAAGCCTACCTCTCGCGCTGGATGGCCGCCAGCACAAAGGTGGCGCCCTTTGTCTCCGACCTCGTGTCCACACTGCTCACCGACTCCGCAGCCGCAGCAGCCAAAAGCTGTACTGGTGGCAATGACGGCGTCACTTGCGGCACCAAGTGGACTACGGGGACCTGGGACAATACGTGGGGTGTTGGCCAGCAGATGAATGCTTTGGAAGTCGTGCAGGGCTTGTTGATCAACCAGGTGGCGGGACCCGTGTCGAATTCGACCGGCGGGACTTCGCAAGGTAACCCATCGGCTGGTACCGGTGGTGATACCAGGCCTGGTGCTCCTACCCAGCAGATTACCACTGGTGATCGTGCGGGTGCCGGGATTTTGACCGCGATTATTTTGGTGGCGCTTTTGGGTGGTGCTTGGTATGTTGTCTTTCCTTTGTACAGGCTTTGGTGTGATGTGAATGGATGTGCTAACGGATGTGTAGGTGGATGGTGGCTTAGGGTTATGTTCGGTGACATTATGCGCGCCAATCACGATTCGGGCGGGTACGGAGTTGGTGTATATCACAGGAAATCAACGTCATCAGAATGGACTAGGTACGACACGGAGGCTGGTCTTCGGTGAGGATATCCTTTCCACCACCACATCCTTTATCAATACCAATATGTATCTCCTTCCTCCCGTTGTCAAAATCTGTATCTTCTCCGTTCACTTGCCCCGTCTTCTACCCAACCGAGAGCCTAGAATCTCCTGTCTCATATCCTCCTGCTCGGCATACTATACCTCGAAATTATCAAGGAACGTAAATTGTCACGCCCCATCCGTGTTCTATTCGATAGCGGACTTCGTGGCCCTCTTACCGAAAATTCCAAGATTGAAACCAACAAGGCGTGTGTTAAATGACTTTACTTTCTTGCCTATCTAGAGGGTGGGAGATTGGAGTCTTATTTTACGCTCACATTTTTGATATATGAGTATGCTATTTTCGATCCTTACGACGGGCCGCCAACGAATCCATCTGGTAGCCATATGTGAAAGGAGAATGGACGCTGTGATGCTAGGAGCTCGATTGCTTCGGTCTGCCCCAGTCTTGCTCTTGTCGTTCGCCACGATTTGTAATCCCCCAATAGATCTTCACTTTACGCCGACAGTCATCCTCTTTGCCTACGACTTACTGCTGCCATTCCACAGCAAGCCTCGCAGCACAGAGAGATTCAAGGTGGGAGCTCACATAAAATTCCGGCGTAGACGTGCAAAAGTGTTCCCAAATGGTATAAGTACAAAAGACTACCCACCTTCAGGCTATTGTGAAGTAAACGCAGACTCAAAAGCTCCTTGTGAACGCCATCTGATTTCGTCAATCAAGCAGGGGCGTATCGCTCGGTGTGGTGGTAATAGTAGAGGGAGGGTATGTATTCAGAGGTATTGCGTGATCGTCGCGGGCCATCTTCGCGCTTTCAAAATAGTCCTATGTTCTTCTTCCTCCTCTCGCGCCAAGTCTCACCTATCGTCGTGGCTCCTTCTCGCGGTTCTCTGGATCGGTATTTAGCGTGGTTGATCGTTTAGTGGTGCTTGCCGTAGATGACTATCACAGATGCACAGTCAGCTTCGCTTCTCTCCTCTTGACCTTACGATATTGCAATACTCACCACTAGGCACGATAATCACAATCATCAGCACGATGATGCCGATAATGATGCACATCCGCATCTTCATATCCTTCCACCACATCTGCTTCCTGACACGGTTGGCACCACGGCGGAAATTGCTCGCTTGGCCGGCTAGGGCATCGGTCTTGTCTTGGAGGTTGTCCAGGCGCTCGCCACGTTGGGATGTGAGTTGGATGTTCTTTTGCATTTGGCTGACTGCTTCGTTGATTTCCTGTATGAAGGCATGTGGTTAGTAGTTGCTCATGCGATTTGTATGAAGGCTGGAGCTGCTGCGTTGCAGAGGGTGTGAGTAGCGCGAGTGCCGTCGGAGCGCATGAAATGACTCATGTACTGCTGCGAATACCCTCGCGGTGGTGGACATGTAGTCGACCACTCAGCGCAAGCTCCTGCTCCCAACAGCCAAAGCTGCAGCCTGCTCTGTCCACCCCCATCACGCCACCACCTCATCCGCTCCAAACCCACGTAGAAGCTGGCATACTTACATCCTGAACCCTCGCAGTCTGGTTATTGCCGCCCTGGCTGTACCCCTGATCGCTCGGGTGCGGGTCGTAAAGTCTGTCAGACATGGTATCGGTGGTTGGGTATGTGTCTCTGGGTCAACAGTCGTGAGTCGTGTCAATGAGATCGTGAGCAGTGTAGCAAGCGTGTGATCGTGCAGTCAGTGGTGGTGGTAGTGCGGGGAATTGTGTAAGGTTCAGATGAGTGGTATGGAGATTGCGGATGTAGGAGGATGAGTTGGGTGGTTGCTTGTCGCAAGTTGAGTTGCTGACGCTTTTGGGTGTGCACGGCTCGGCTGGTGACGGGGGCGGCGTTGCCTCTGGAGAGTGGCTGAGGGTCTTACGCAGCACGATTTAGTGAACGAGATCAAAACTATCGTTCGCCACGACATTAAATCATACTCATCATTATATGCTTCCACAAGGCTGATGAATGCCAACACACCCTCAGATGCTCATTGATGATACTAGCAACTATGGCAATATGTAAGGGACTAATGGCAGAAGCAACAGTCTCCTGGCAATCACATGTTATATCTCCTCCCCAGCGTCAGAAGTCTACAATGGACATGTGCATCCTCGTTTACCTTTAGGCAGCATTCATCAGCAGTGAATCAGACGAATTACGTATGAGGTCGTGACCAAAGGTTCGAAGATCTATACATCCCCTTCCGTCTACCATATCTACTGTGGCCCAACCTTATCAGTAACATACATATCCATATAAGTATCCACCTCAGTCTTATACAGCTCCTCGGGACTATTCCCCAAATCCACCAACTTCTTCACATGTCCCTCGGAGAAATGCGGCTTCAAATGATTAAGGTACTTGCTCAGGATCTCCGGCTTCGCCTCCTCACGCCTGAGTCTGTGTCCCAACGGCGCCTCCACAACCACCTCCTCCAGCGTTGTGCCGTCCTTCAGTCGCACGGTCAGAGCGTTGGAGATCGTGCGCTTGGAGGGATCATGGTAGTCCTTGGTGAACGCAGGGTCTTCGACGCACTTGATTTTCTGGCGCAGACTCTCGACCAGAGGGGATTGAGCGGCTTCGCTTGAGTCGGGGTAATCGCTTGCTACGAGGCGGTTGAAGACAAACATGACGGCCACCATGTATTGCACGCAATGGTCGCGGTCGGCGTAGTTGTCCATGGGCTTGAATTGTTTGTCAATGATGCGGATACAAGCTTCGTGGGTCCGGTTGGTGACTTCCTCGATGTCCTCTGCCGTCTTGCCCATCTCCTTCAACTTCTTGTTCAAGCGCTGCGCAGCCTCGATCGCAGTTTGGGAGTGGAATTCAGCCGGGTAAGAGACCTTGAACAGCACGTTCTCCATCACGTAGGAGCCATACTCGCGCTGGAAAGCGAACTTGGCGCCCTTGAAGTTGACGTCGTAGAAGCCCCAGGTGGGCGCTGTGAGCACGGTCGGCATCCCTCCCTCGCCCTTCATCACTTTCAAGCACAGGTCCACGGCTTTCTGGCAGGCGTCTCCCGCAGCCCAGGATTTACGCGACATGGTGTTTGGGCTGTGGCGGTATGTGCGCATGCTCTGGCCATCCACCCAAGCCTGGGAAATGGCATCACGGGTCTGAGCCTCCGAGAGCCCAAGCATGTTCGCCACGACGGAGGTGCTCGCCAACTTGACCAGAACGACGTGATCGAGTCCGACCTTATTGAAGCTATTCTCCAACGCCATCACGCCCTGGATCTCGTGCGCCTTAACCATGTACTCCAACACATCCTTCACAGTGAAGATCTTGCCTCCAGCCAATTTCTCCGCTGAGCCGGATTTGTTCGTCCTGTTCACCCAGTCCGCCACGGACAGGATTGCACCTAGGTTGTCAGATGGGTGACCCCATTCGGCTGCTAGCCAGCAGTCGTTGAAATCGAGCCAGCGGATCTGGGAACCGATGTTGAAGGCTCCTAGGACGGGGTCGAGGATGTAGGGCGTTCCTGGCACACGTGTTCCGTTCGGAACGATGGTACCGGGCACGACGGGGCCGAGCAGTTTGGTGCATTGGGGGAATTCGAGGGCTTTGAGGCCGCAGCCAAGGGTGTCGAGGAAGACGAAGCGGGCAGTGTCGATCTGGTCATGTGTTAGTGCCCGAAGTATACGCAAATTGTGAAAGAGTTTCTGCGCATACAGCTAGATCACTGTTGACTTTATAATTCGTGGCGTAGCTTGCCATGTCCACGATTTCCTTGTCGAACTCTTGTGATGCTGCCGGGGCGGCCATGGCATCGGATTTGGGAATCATGGTTGTGGAGAAGGCTCTTGAGGCCTGGTTTGTCGCTGCTAGGATAGTTCGTGATTGGAAGGAGGTTTGACGAGCTGCTGATCGGGACAAGGTGGATAGTGGAGCTCCTCGTTGACGGAGAGCTGCTGTGCGGGTGGAGCGAGCGAGGGAGCGGACGGCGAGGGTGGACATTGTCCTGGTCTTCGAGGTGAACAATCGTCTGTATGAAGTCACGGGCACTGTGAGTTCTGTCGAGCTCTGGAGCTTTTTGCTGTGATCTACAGGACAATGCTCGGTGATAGCTTGGTACAGACGGCCATCTTTTTGCTCCTCACCACTGCTGAGAGCTTAAGCCGAATAGTGCCTCGGATACATACAGCCACGCCAATGGTTAGGGCTGACCAATTTCCGCGCCGATGTCGCTCATGACTCTTGCGTTGCCTTGCTCGTACTATGGCATGACAACGACAATAACATTAACTTGGCCATGTGATAATCAGCCAATACTTCTTCGGCTTGACGTCGAAAATTACTACGCTTACGGCCCAGCGAGAACTGTCGAAGTCATCGAGACGGACTTGGTGAGCGGGAGCATCAATGACGATGATTTCCGGTCGAGTAGGTAGTGCATGTAGTGAATATTGCATGACAGGCTCACCATGTGATGTAGCAAGCATGAGTATGGTTATCTTTGTGTCACATTCTCTCGCACGCTACTCCATACCGCCTGTCTTCCTCGCGCTAAAGATTAAGGAGCTGCCATCATGGCCACGACCCAGCAATATGCTCCGCCACCAGGGCTGCCTCCAGGTATGATGGGATCTCACTCGGACGACGACGATGAGGGGATTCGAGATCCAGCTATAGCGCAAGTTGTAAGCGACATCAAAGACTACCAGATAACGCACGGCAATCTGCTCAAAATCGTCCGCTTCGAAGAGCCGACTCGTGTACCAAGTACAGGCGTGAACATAAGCTGCAAGCCAACACCTTTCCCTCGAGACATGTATGACCATGCCATGGCGCTTCAGCAGAGTATGAATGAGCTCTACATCCATGCACTCTCCGACACGAACTGGCTTTATTCCGTACTGGCACCTCAGATCGAAAGCGAACCCGAAGGTGTGATGGTGAAGCTATGGGGTGTCTACTTGAAATGCCTGGAGGCCGGTCCGGTACAGGAAATGACTTGTGGTATCTTCAGAAGCGATTATATGCTTCAAGAGGAGGCTCTCAGGGGCGAGGGTGTCGACGGTGAGGCTAAGGTGAGCTTGAAACAAGTGGAGATGAACACGTTCTCGTGCGCCGGAATCTGCCATAGTCAGCACGCTGCGCGTATGCATCGTTATTTCCAGGAAAGGAAATCAGCCGAAGAGGTATGTGGTCCTTTCACCCTGTAGCTTCGACTCTTGTCTACATGTTCCGCCAGCCGATACCTATACAAAACTCCCTGAAGAAATGAGAGAAATGCTTACAATCGCTCTTAGGCTCAAGATACTGGACCAAGCAATACCCTGCCAGCGAACAGTAACATCTCATCGATTGTCTCCTGCTTGGCAATGGTACATCAAAGTTACCTTGAGCAGCTTCGTGTAGGGCCAACAGCTGCCACTGGAGCCCGCGACGAACCAATCCAGCATTCTACGTGCGTGCTCGTGGTAGTGCAACCTTTCAACTTCAATATCGCAGATGAGAGACCGATTGATTACGGATTGTGGGAAGATCACAAGATCCCATGCTACCGTTGCGAATGGCAGGAGGTGCTCTTACGTACTCGCTTGGGGCCACACCGCGAGCTACGGTACAGACCTAGTAGTACTGCTAAGGCATTCGAAGTCAGCGTCGTATACTACCGCGCCGGATACGACCTACGTGAGTACATGGACGACGCTGGTGTAGAGACTCGCTTTACGCTCGAAACGAGCAGAGCAATCAAATGTCCGGATGTTCTTGGCCACTTGATAGGCTTCAAGAGTGTTCAGCGGGCACTCACTGAGGCGGGTGTAGCGGAGCGCTTTCTGCTGTCTGAGCAGGCGCGAGATCATGCGGGAGCTTTGAGAAGTACTTCCATGCCCATGTACGCCCTGGACGACTCCGTCGAAGGCATGCGAGCACGAGCGATCGCTGTAGATCCTGCGAGAGCAAAGGACTTTGTTCTCAAGCCCAACTTAGAAGGCGGTGGGAATAATGTCTTTGGCGAAGATATCCCTGAATTCCTGGCTTCGATACCGGATGACGAGTGGCGTAAGTTCATCCTTATGCGCCTCATCACACCACCAGCCAGAACGACGGGAGTCTTAATTACTAGCGAGGATGTATACGAAGGCCCGGTGGTATCTGAGCTAGGTGTGCTGGGGTTCGCTATGTGGCGATGCCATGGTGCTGGTCGAGGCAAAGGGAAGGCCAAAGAAGGCATCAGTGTCGAAACAAACATCGTGCATAATGAGATGGTGGGGTGGACGTTCAAGTCGAAGCCGAGAGAGGTGAATGAGATGAGTGTTGTGAAGGGGTATGGGAGTTTCGACTGTCCGATGCTTGTGTGAATCGTCCATGAAGGTTGGACATGTGTACGCAGGGACTTGGTTGGGAACAATAACTCCAGATCTATTCACAAATATCATGGACGAGCAAGATCATTCACGCCATGCTAAGGCAGCAGTCGATCTATCGAGGATTCACGTGCGCCTATTCACCTCACAGGCGGGAAGCTTTGTAGCCTGCTGGATGCTCCAGACACACCGGCACTTTGTCACCACCACGGCACGATCGTTTTTTGAGCCGAGATAAGAAGATCGTTCTTCTACTCTACCCTTTAGCTAAAACAGAACGAAAGTAATTGAGCACACCACGAGGAGGCACGTTGCCCCCTACGATATCTCAGATCGTCCGAAGTTCTTAGCTAGCATGGTCTTCTTCTCAGCCAGTATCAGCCTATATGCTGAAGGTCGCGAACGTACCTGGCGCTACGAGATAGGTAATGGAGGCACGCAAGCAAAGAAACCAGCACCAATCACAATCGCACGGAAAAGGCCACAAGTACGGATGATACCTCAGGATCGTCTACAGGAGCTGGCAACGAGGGATCTGGCTATGGCAAAGGAGAAGCTTGTGCACGATCTACTTCACGGCGTGGAAAAGCACAGTGTGAACTACTGGGGGAGTCGGACATCACCTTTGGTTTGCTGTCGGCGGAGGTGCAGGAGCTGCAGAGATCTTTGCGGCAGAAGAGAGTGACCACGTCGAGACCTGGCGGCATTGTGCACGACGAGGAGTATTGGACTCGATTTAGCGACCGGCTTAGTTTGCAAATGCTGCAAGACGCATATAAGCCTCATTACCAACCCGGCTTTACGCAGCTAAAGACAGTCACCTCGATTGCTCGTGGGGATGCCGGGATGGGTGGGAGCTGGGTGGAAGTAGAGACGGATCCGAGACATGCTTCTGCAATAGCAGGTCACGCTGCCGTTCACCGTGACAGACATTTTCGAAGACTACCTCAGATGTTTGCCACTCCACCAGAGCAGATCTCTCTGTCGAGCTCTTCAAACAGCTCGATCACCTCAGAGCTCTCGGACGAGAGCACAATGCGACCTGACTGTTTGGATGATCCTTTTGGTCCGCAGCCGGTCGTGCAGAGAGTAGAAGCAGAGTCGAAATTGCGTGAGTCGACTGCAGAGTGGAAGAAGTCACAGGTCGAGTCTGTGCATGCTTTGTATGAGCATTTGAGGATCAGGGATCAGGTTCGAGAGAGGGTGGCTGCGAGTCAGAGTTCTAAATGCCCAGCTGAGGATGGAAATCGAGCGGTTGTGTTTGATGAGTCCAAGGAGGTTCTTCATACAAGCGAGCACGAGTCCGCTTTACTGGACGGAGCTGCGCGGTCGGGCGCAGAGAAAGAGGAACTTGCTCTTGCTACATCGACCGTTTCTATTGCGGATGTAATCGAATCGTCCGGGATGATCGACCTGCTCGGGGGTACCAATCGTGGGAGTGAGGATGTCATGGACGAGGACGACGAGTGGTTGATCTTGTGATCAGGCGGCGAGGATGTGCTTTACGTACTGTATGGCCGAGCTGGGCCACATACTAAGCACACGGATTATGACAAGATCGAGTGTGGCGATTGGAAAAGTGGTTGAAGCTCTCAAGCATTGGAAGTAGGTTTGAAATATGATATCGATCATGCGCATTAGCTCTATCTGTCCTCTATACTCTCTTGACATTGTACTGCATATTGACCTCAACCAATCCAGTGGTATCGAACCTCAACCTGAACGCCATGCCTCCGCAAATGTACATAATTCAAAGCATATCTACAGCCACCTAGCAGCCATTGTAGCCCTTCTGCTGCCACATCTTGACACTCTTGACTTGCATCTCGCCAGCGCCTTGCTTCTGCCAGGTCGGGTACCACTGATTCCTGGCGTTCCAGAAATCGCGCTTGGCAGTAGGTGAGGCATCGACCCACGGCTTGCCCTCAACACCATCCTCGAACCACCCGTTAGTGCCGCCTACAGCGACGTTGAGGATGAGATAGAAGTCCTGGTCGAACGGTGTGGAGTCTTCACCAGTCTGGCTCCACGGATCGACGAGACGGGTGCCATTGGCGTCAGAGGGAGGGAAGTTACCCTTCTGCCAGAACGGCTTGTTAAAGTTGACGTAGGCGACTTGTAAAAGGCGGGTGTCGATGTAAGTGAAGAGATACTTCTCCGACCATTCGAGACCATAGGTGTGGAAGCCCTTGGCGAAGGTCGTGTGCAGAGCTTCGCGCTTGACGTTGTTCTGGTACCAGCCATCGTTGCTGGAGTCGGGACCCCAGTGAAGAGTGGAGGAGACGATGTTGTCACCACCTTGTGGGTAGGTGTAGTTGTTGCCGCGAGACTCCATGATATCGATCTCGCCTGACGTGGGCCACGGTCCGTAGGTGTCATTGTTAGGCAACATCCAGATGGCGGGCCAAAGCCAGTCGCCAGCTGGAAGCTGGGCTTCGACTTCAACACGGCCGTATCTGATGCTTGCGCCAAGCTTGGTGCTGAGACGGGCGGACTTGACTGGGTTGACAACGGTGCCGTTCGTGATATTGGTCACGGCAACACAGTCGAGCCAGTTCTTGGTCGAGCATGAGCCGTCTGCGAGCAAGTTGATGACATTGTTTGTTTCCATGAGCTTCTGATCTTGCAATGTGGGCTTGATAACCAGCATGCCGTCTTGCACGAACGCGTTCTCGTCGGTGTTGGTTGTCCATTCGAATTGGCCGTTGCTATGACAGGTCAGTATGTCGATTGATCGTCTCTGATGGGAAATGCATTCTTACCCATAACCACCGACCTCGACTTCCTTAGTCCACACCTTGGAGTTGATACCTTGAGAGAAGTTGTCATCCAAGACCGAGCAGTAGACGTGGTTCTGCACGCTCGAAAGTCCATCGTAAACCAAGAAACCGGTGAGTGCAAGACCAATGAAGATGCCGATAAGTGGAATGATGGTCACCCACTTCTCCTTGGGGTCCTTTCGATCCAGCCAAGGTCTCTCCTGTTGGCCCTTCTGTATTCGACGGGAGTGGAAGTATCTAGGTGCGGGAGCGACCTGGAAACCGCTCGAAGAGCCCATTGCTGAAGCGGGCATGGAGCCATACGGGGATGAGAAAGGATTCCTGACTGGAGCCATCTCTATAGGATCGCTGTCTGGGGTGCCAGCACGGGGCGTTGTGGCCGCCGTGGTGGTTGTGGTCGCAGCATGGTGGCCGTAGTCCATCACTAGTGAGAGCGCTAAAGGCGCAAAGAAGTCGTGTGTCGGCGACCTTTCTGTTTGTTCAACGTCGTGTGTAGAGCTGGAAAGAGAGGTGGAGGAAACGCAAGGCGATATGAGCTACGATGAGGGCAGGGCAGGAGGAAACGCCGACGAGCCACGGCTGTGGTCACTATATCACTTATCTATCTTGAGTCTGGTTGGCTCACAAGTGGAGTAGCGTGCCTTATGGACGGGACGAGCTGTCTGAGATGAAATGTCTCGCCAAGCCTAACGAGACTTCTACGTTGATTACCAGCTCCAGCTGGTGTGAAGTCTATGATCTGTGACAGGGGTGCCGCGCCGGTAGACTGCCCAGCAATTAGTGGTGGCCTAAAGAAGAGATGGTGGATCTTGCCATGAGACCAACGCGGCTGCTTTGGGTCGTGTTCCCACTGTTCAACACAAGCGAACATTCTATTGTGGCGGGCCAGGCAATAACTGGCATGATTGGAGTCCGACGCTCCATGTCACCGATTTTGCTCGGAGCTAGCGCCTATGAGAGTTGATATCGGATCCACGAAGTTCGCCTAGCTTTGGTGATCTTTGGGTGAGGGGTGCAATCGCTCCGATGCTGTTCCTGGCTTTGCATCCCGAATCAAGTACAGCACAGCAGATACCATGCGGCTCTAAGCACAGGGGTCTTCCGCTCGGCAGCGGCACAGGCGTGGCAACTGAGATCGTGGCGCAAGTGGCTTGAAAGCATGAGTGGCCTGCATATTCTTGCAGCGTTGAAGCCGAAACTCATAATATCATGCAATATAGCGATAACTCAACGCTGCCCGGTCGCTTGCGAGGGGCTATGGAGCTGCCATGTCATCTATCACTTCAACATCTCGACAAGACCAGTCTGGCTGCTGTGGGTGCAGGGATGCCGAGCTTGAAAAATGGACATCCTGACAGATCTGCAGGAACCACAAGGACAGATCGAAATAGCGCTTCGTGCATTGAGCCTGCAGGCACGAAGGTTTCCGTGTCCACATGGATAGTCGCACACTGGTGATACGTCTGCAGCACGGGATGCTATCAATACTTTTGACCCTCGACAGTGTCGATCATACGACAAGCTCAGCAAGACAATCTTTCAGTATCGCAGCTAATCACTATCGATATTAGGTGCATATTGCGAGAGTGACGAGCCTGTTACAACGGTTTATGCAGATGTTCGAAGCATAAATCATGAGTAGCGTCAATATAGTAGCTAGCGCCTCTGTAGCGGCGAAAAGACTTTGCACGGATGTACGGTGTAGCCGGGACGAGACGGAAAGTCGAAGGATCTGAAGTCAGGTTGAGGGTAGCGCAGTGTGGCGCCGTTAGCCAAGACGTTTTTAGAACGTCACTCTATGCTCCAGACATTACCAGCGATAACAGGAGTCATGGTAAGGCTGTCAACATGCAGAGCATCGCGTCCTGCAGGCTCGACTCCTAAACACTGATATGGTTTGACATCAGCATGTTGCCTTTGGACCCTACTGGCCCGCGAAGGTTGCCAAAGATAGTGGCGGCAGGATGATCATGCAGGCACTGCACGACGTCGACCCGCGTGCTGGCCATACAAAGCAATGATCAGATCTTTGGGTCTGTCCCACATGCTGCAGCCTATGCAGACTGTCACTCCCCGACCATAGGAATGAACGGCCGATTATGTGCCGGATCGAGCTCGACCATTTGCATGACGGCAAATGCAAATTGCATTTCACGCCAATTCCTGGCTGTTGAGTTTGAAAGTGTATGTCGTGAGCCAAGTTCTGGCAAAGAGTTTACTTGCTGTAGCAGCGGCACGTTGCGTTGGGTGGGCACTCTACCTTATCTGCGCTGGCCCGACAAGTTCGTCAACGTTCCGCCCGAAAGCTCCGCAATTGCGAAATCTGGCATCTACTTTCGCCTTTGCAATTGCGTCTACGGCGTCAAAGACCGGTTGCGCGACCATACACGAGTTTTGAGCCGTGTCGTGGAACATCGCAAGGCTGGCCAGGGACCACAAATTTCTGCGGGATCTATTTATGTAGGCGCGAGCATCTCCAAAGGTTACTGGATTGTTTGGGCCGCGGTCGCTGCACTTCTGCTGCATAACATCGAGTGGACGTGGACAATGTCTCAACCATGAAGAACTTGTGGGCCAGCGGGACGTCTGCGGAGCTTCGTATTCATTGCACACTGTCGGCGGGGATGCGATATTGCCACGGATCCGATATTGGGTTCAATGCCTCTTATCAGCGGCTGCAAGATCACAACTTCGCTTCCTGCAACGCATAACAGCCACCATATATGCTACATAAAGTGAACGTACAGGAGGGCACTGCGCCGTTATGTTCTTTGTGGCTTGTCAAGCCTGAAACAGCCTTTGGGTTGCTTCCACGAAGCAATCGATACTGTGACTACAACTGTCTACTAGGTGTGGATCCCAGATGGAGTGGACTCTACGTCGTTGGCCAATGCAGCCTCGCAACCTTTCTTGGCGCTCTTGCATGAAGCCCGATACGGCACTATCTTGGGCTCGTTTGGCATTCGCCCGCTGTCAGTTCTGCAACAGGCGAGTCCCAACGACCAATATTTCCTGTTTTGGATCCGATATAAGCAGGGTCGTACAGTGCTGTGCCGTCTCAGTCTCGACCCACGGGCCAACTGATAGATCGTCGTGCTGAGGGAGCCGGTTCGGGCACTCGCATACTGCCACATGGCAAGCATGCCCGTTGCACAAGCTCGTGGCACTTTAGAGCCGCTCGCCACCAGAATTCCACCCCATCAATATCATGGCACGGACGTTGTGGCTATTAGCGGTATCTTGGTCACTCGGATCGTCCCTGGCGCCTGGACTTGGACTCGAAGCAAGTGCATTGTGGCATATCCTTCCGTTTCCTTCCCAATGTTCTGGTTCCGCTGATTCTGTACCACCTTCGTTGCACCTCACTTTCGCTGTCAGCCCTTGTGGCATCATACACTCGCTACTAACCTGTTTACACAAGGACTTCTACAAAATTCCGGAATCAAGTTCATATCATTACACTGAGCTTGCTGTGAGCTGTACTGCCCGCCATGGGCATCGGAAGCTACTTCAAAGCCTCAAAGAAGGCAGGAAAGGATGGCCCACCACCAGCATCGACTCCTGTGGCAGCAGAGCCAGCTTTCGACGAGAAGCTACCAAAGCCATATGGACCATACGGTTATGGCTCATCACGAGCCTCGCTATCACAATCAGTGCGCTCTCAATCAAGACCGCAGTCATTGATGGAAGATATCAAGCATGAAGTCATGGTCAACTACCTGTTCCAGCAAGGATGTGCTCGAATGTGGTTTGGCGATAGCTCGGGTGAGACAGAGGGCATCCTCATTCGCAAGACCAAAGCCAGCTACCTGGCCTGCCCACCCGACCTCATCCAAAGCGCTCTTGCTTCTGGAGTGCGCGCTCTCAATCTACCTTGCGCCATGACTGTCAACAGCAGAGTCATCAAGACTTACCTTGCTTGGGCACCTGACGCTATCGACGTTCCACTAAAGGGTGGCCTTCGTGTGCAAGTGCTGCCATCGATGGAGTATCTTGGTGCAGCAAGGAAAGCACAGTCGGCAGCTTTCATTGCGAATGAGGGCCTACTTGTCGTGTGGGATGATGGTAGGCAAGACATTATCAAGTTGCCATTGGAAGGTACTGACCTTTTCTAGATACCAACAATCTTATCCCAAGAGCAGCGGCCATCGAGGCAGAGCTTATGGACCTGGTACGCAAGACGGACGAGATCAGTGTCGATCAATGCTAACACAGACACAGATCTGGCAGACTGGCAGCGATGCTCAAGTTGAAGAAGAGATGTCGGACGAAAAGAAGCCACCGCGTGTCACAGCTCTTGAAGTTGACGAGGAGAGCGGTGAACTTCTGCCAGAGAAGCGACCAACCCATCTCCAGAACACAGTCCTGGTGTCTATCACGCTCTGCCTGATCATTGTCATGCTGGGCTCGGGCTGGAGACAGCTCGTAGTCGAGACTGTGGTCGACAAGAACTATATCCGCCTCGCCTTCATCCTTTTGACGCCAGTCCAGGTCTTCTTCACCCTTTTCTTTGCCCAAGTCATTATTGGTTGCTTGGCACAAATCGTGGGGCCAATCAAACAGATGAAGACAAACAGCCGCTTCTACTCTGCAATGCTTCCGCGACGATTGACGCAACAGGAACTGCCTCACGTTACCATCCAGTGTCCAGTCTACAAGGAGGGTCTTGCTGGTGTCATCATGCCGACCGTACGATCGATCAAACAAGCCATCTCAACCTACGAGCTCCAGGGTGGTAGCGCCAACATCTTCGTGAACGACGACGGTCTCCAGCTCCTCGACGAGGAAGACCGCCAAGCACGCATCGACTTCTATGCCGACAACAGCATTGGTTGGACCGCCCGACCAAAGCATAATTCCGATGGATTCCTCCGACGTGGCAAGTTCAAGAAGGCCTCGAACATGAACTTTGGCTTGATGCTAAGCTGCAACGTGGAGACTAAGCTAGCAATGCTCGATCGACCTGAAATGTGGACACAGAACGACGAGGCTTTCGAGTATGAGCGTTGCTTGCGCGAGGTGCTTGAAGAGCATGGCCGTGCTTGGGCTGATGGCAACATCCGAATTGGCGATTATATCCTTATCATCGACTCCGACACCCGAGTACCTTCAGACTGTCTGCTTGACGCTGTGAGTGAAATGGACCAATCTCCTGAGGTCGGAATCATGCAATTCAGCTCCGGTGTTATGCAAGTCGTTGGTGACTTCTTCGAGAACGTAAGTACCGGACAGCAGCAAAGCAACTCTCAAACTCTTACTAATGTAATGTGATTAGGGTATCACATTTTTCACCAACTTGATTTACACTGCCATCAAATACACCGTCTCCAACGGAGACGTCGCTCCCTTCGTCGGCCACAACGCCATCCTCCGCTGGTCCGCCATTCAAGAGATCGGCTACTTTGATGAAGATGGCTACGAGAAGTTCTGGTCCGAGGCTCACGTCTCAGAGGACTTTGAAATGTCGCTTAAGCTGCAAACCAATGGCTACATTATCCGTCTAGCTGCTTGGGCCGGAGAAGGCTTCAAGGAGGGTGTCTCGCTCACCGTGTACGATGAGCTGGCTCGATGGGAGAAATATGCTTACGGCTGTAACGAGTTGCTCTTCCAACCGATAAGGACATGGCTATGGAAAGGGTAAGCTACCATGCTGGTGAACTCTGGATTGAGCGTATGCTAACACAAATTCGTCAGACCTTTCACGCCCCTCTTCCGCAAATTCCTCTTTTCCAACATCCGCATGACTTCGAAAATCACCATCATCTCCTACATCGGTACATACTACGCTATCGGCGCTGCTTGGATTCTTACAATCGCCAACTACTTCGCTATTGGATGGTACAATGGCTACCTAGACAAGTACTACATCGATTCCTGGAAAGTCTGGTTCTCCATCGTCATCGTCTTCAACGGTCTCGGTAACGTGGCACTGGCTACCATGCGATACCGTATCGGTGAACGCAGCTGGTTCGGTAGTCTGCTCGAGAACCTGAAGTGGACATTCATGCTCGCTGTTTTCCTTGGCGGATTGTCCTTGCACGTCTCGCAGGCACTGTAAGTCCTTCCGCCTTCCAAGCAAACGTTCTTTGCAGTCACTGACAAATGCTCATAGTCTCTCACACATGTTTGAGGTCAACATGACCTGGGGTGCTACCTCAAAGGAAGCGACCGAGACCAACTTCTTCCAGGAGATCCCTCGAGTGCTCAAGAGCTTCAAGTTCAGCATCATCTTCTCCCTCCTCGGCATGATTATGATGATCATCCTGGCCTGCGGCAGCTTCATCCCGTATAGCTGGCAGATTAAGGATTTCATTGCCATTCTGCCTATGGCGACAGTGTGCGCAAGTCACTTCTTACTGCCGATTGCGCTGAACCCGGGTATGATGCAGTTCACTTTCTGAGAGGGATCAATTGCGACAACGATTCGTTGTCGACTGTTTGCTCGCTTCGTTTGCGTCGCATGAAATGGCGTTTTGGTTTGGTTTTGTCTGGTTTGCTCCAGGCCACGATGATATATGGCTAGAAAGGATAGATCATGGCTGGACTCCTTGCTGGACAAATAGATACCCACGCTCGTTTGCGAATTTGTATAGGCATGACAGGACAAGATATTGTACAAAGGTTTCTACAACATGGCTGGGCACTCTTCTGCTCCACTGTTCCTACACTCGCTTCGACACACGACATATCCTGAAAGACACTCAGAATGCTTTCGTCGAGAACGTCGAGGTCACTGATTGGATGTGAGCGGTCTTCGACAAAAGCTGCGTTCGTTGATCACGGTATTCGCCATGATGCAGCTCACGCTATGGCCATCATTCACTAACATACGTCCGTGCACCAGGCCCAAGCTCCTGTTCCTTCCTCTGCAGTCACCAGCTGCACGTTACACAAGCGCAAACGCCGTATAAAAGACACGACCGAGGACTTTGAACCTCCACTCACACCCACACACTACTCTAGGAGATATCAATCTGGAAGTCTTCCATCCAACCATGTCGACCCACTGCAACGCAACGATGTCGAACGACCAGGGCGAGGCAGACCACGTCTCCCCACAGAAGCGGGAAGGCAGAAAGGTCTACCATCCTCGCTCCTTGTCTATGCCAAGGATGCTCTGTGGCGACTCCTGCCATTCATACCCCAACGATCCGCAGAAGGAATACGAAGAGTAAGCAATCATCTGGCCCTCCGCATCTCCCACACCGATACACGCATACTGACTTCTCCTTCTCTTGTAGACGCAAGTGGTGCAATCACCCAAAGATCTTCCTCGACCGCCGGAACGGCACGCTCGACAGTTTCCACCAACGGATGGTGAACTGCACCTACTGCGATCCGAGGCGGGAACGCCCTGAGCTCAGCACTCAGAAGTACCTCGCCAAGATGGAAGAGGAAGCGGCGAATGGGCCACCCCTCACATTCACCGAGCGAATCCTGGCATCCGCCAAAAGGAAGACGAAGCGAGCTATCACTCGTTTCCTGGATGCTCATCACAGTCTCAACGGCACTACGGCACCAGAAGCCGGCATACAGCCTACTTCAGGTACAGCTCCGCCACCCAAGACGGAGCAGAAGATCACCCACGACACTCTTTGCTTGGACCAAGCGGAAGAGGGGAGAGAGACGGTGGGGCGGCCGAGCACAGAATCCAGGAGGAGCCGGACGAGCTTCATCAGCCATATCGGTATTCCTGAAGATGCGATTGATTGGCAGGCTCGTGGGGATGCGGACAGGGTCCCTAGCTTTGGGACGTGGACAAAGTCGAGGGAGAGTGAGCAGTGATATGTCGCTCTGAAGCGAAGGAAAGTGCCGCAGTGAATATAGTGGCCGTTGGATGGATCCAGCGATAGAGGTGGTTGGGGAGATTCACAGCGATCGATCGGTGTGATCGAAGGAATCGGTTGCAATCGCAGCGCAAAACGTCCCAATCCCAATTCCTTCCCAAGCAGTAGCACATGAGCAAACCAGGCATAGAGGTCCTCGCTGGAATGCGGGGACCATATGTTCCAGCGGATGGTTGCTTTCGCAATGCGATCAGTAGCAACCTATCTCTCCGCGAGAAGTGAGCCCACAGCTAAGACAAGTGGCGACTGGTGGTGTTTCTGCGGAAGCCATGAGCCAGGGACTGGATGTTTGTCGTGATATGGTCAGTAGCGGAAGATGTCTTCTTCAGCTGAAGGACTAGAGCAAGCATAATGGCGACCGATAGTGTATAGCGATCATATTGGCCCGGGGAAACGGGTTTGTTGGCGGATTAAACAACGACAGGTGATCTCACCCTTCGAGATAGGCTTCGAGCCAGCGTATAGGCCATCGACTGTTTGTCACCAAGGTGTCGGGTTCGACAAGTCCGGCAGCCGAGCACAATGAACGATAGTCGGAAACTCGGTAGAGCAGTCGCCTAAGACCTTCGTATGAACAAGTGGTGAAATTCCCTGCTTTCTGTCCAACACAGCGCTATATACAACCCCAAAGTCGTCACTACACCCGCACCATCTCAACCCACCCCTAAGCCCCACCCTCAGCCGCAGCAAGCAACCCCTTCAAATCCATACTCTTCGGCCTCTCAATCGGCAACCCCAACGCCCGATCCCAAATAAGCTGAGCCAGCGGCCCCAGCCCCCTACTAACCCCAAAAGTAGCCGTATAATACAACGTCTCCTTAAACCCATAATGATGGAATAACACCCCACTACTACTATCAACATTAGGGAACGGATTCTTCGTCTTCCCATGCTCTGTCAACACTCCGGGAGCAATCTCCGAATTCTTCTTCACGAGCTGGAAGACCGGATCGGCGGCTATATCTGGCCGGGCGGAGGCGAAATCCATGAGCGCTTCAAACCGGGGGTCGGGTTTGCGCAGGACGGCGTGGCCGTAGCCTGGGATGACGCGGCCGGATTTCAGCGTTGTCCAGAGGTAGTTTTTCACGTCTTCTTCGCTGAAGTTTTCGCCGACATGTTCTTGCATTTGCAGGATCCAGCGGAGGACTTCTTGCGCGGCGAGGCCGTGGAGCGGGCCGGCTAGGCCTTGTAGGCCGGCGGAGTAGGAGAGGAAGGGGTCCGAGAGGGCGGAGCCGACGAGATGGGTAGCATGCGCCGAGACATTTCCACCTTCGTGGTCGCCGTGGAGGGCGAGGTACAGACGCAAGAGGTCCTGGAACCCTTCATTTTCCTTCCCGCCTTTGCCCAGCATGGCGGCGTAATTGTAGGACCAATCCTGACTCTCGTCGATCTGAGCCGGGAGTGCTCCGCCGCCACGATAGGCGTTCTGGTAGATTTTGGCGGCTACGGTGGGGAGTTTGGCGAGGAGGGAGATGGAGTCGTCGAAGGTGGGTTCCCAGTAGTCGGCTTTGTTGAGGCCCTCGGCGTACATTTTGGCGAATTTGCTCTCGTAGTTGAGGGCGGAGACGGCGCAGGCGAACTGCGTCATGGGGTGGAGGTCGGTGGGGAAGTCGTCGAGCATTTTCTCGACGAAGGCTGGGATGGCGGCTTTTTGGGCGAGTTCTTTGGAAAAGGCGCGGACTTGGTTTACGCTGGGGACTTGGCCGGTGAGTAGGAGCCAGAACATGCCTTCCGGGAGCATTTCAGTCCCTGAGGTGCCTTTGGGGAGTTCATTCTGGCAATCCTTGATCGTCTTGCCGTGGAACCGAATCCCTTCGTTGGCGTCTAGGACGGAGCCCTCCCAGACCATGGCTTTGAGGCCACGCATGCCGCCGAGGGTGTTTTCGATCTTGACATCGCCGATTTTGGTGGAGGAGACGGCCTTGACTTTCTTCAGTAGTTCTCGTTTGGCTGGGATGATCTCTTTGAGGGTGGTTTTGAGGTCGGGTTCGCTGGTTGCGTAGGCGCGGGTGGAGTTTAACGTGAGGTTGGAGAGCTGGCGAGGCTGTTAGTATGGCGGCTATCCTGTGTTATCCACTTCCCTGACATACTCTCGAGGCTCTCAAGGCCCTTGTCGCTGTTCTCGTGGACAGAGACATTGTGGACTACTGCTGCTCAATGGCTAGTTCTCTACCGACCCCGCTCCTCTTCTACAGCACTACAGTCCACACAGCTATTGCAGTCAAGGTGTTGGATGGAGTATGAGAAATATCCTGACTATTCAATCGCCCGACACCGGCATACACAGTCTTAGGAAAATATTCTTGAAGCTCTATGCATAGCTGCAGCATGATGGTAGAAGCTCTTACTTTCACACCCCACCCCATTATTATTGACTTTCCGACGCCCGAACAGACACCTCGGCTAGCTGAGTCAAACCGCGTCTATCCGTGCAATGGAAAGTTGCTGCCGATGTCGCTCACGACCATGTATCTGTCCGACGCGACAAGCACATGCTCGTCGACACGCGAGGAAGTGGACGGTCTTAAGCGGATTGGTAATTGAAGGGAAGCAGAGGCGAGAAGAGGAAGAGAAGGATGATGTAAAGCGATAGCATATCTTCCCATCACAGTATATCACTATTCTCCAATACCAACCACCACCCCATCGACGACACCATGTTCCGCCCCGCCGTCCGCGCTTTGAGGCGACAGCGACCATGTCCACATAACCTCATATCAGCCACTCGATCACAGTTCATACCCATACTGGCCCACTCCGCACCCATGTCGACCTCCACCACCATCTCCCCACCCCTCCCATCCACCCAAACAACAGATGCCTTCCAACTCCTCCCCGAAGCCAACAAACCTTCCTCCGAAGACCAGATCTACGCCGATCAGGTCAAGCAAGTAGAAGAATGGTGGTCCACACCCCGCTACACCGGCATAAAACGGCCGTATTCAGCAGCAGACGTGGTATCGAAACGAGGCACCCTGAACCAGACATACCCCTCTAGCTTGATGGCGAGGAAGCTCTTCGATCTCTTAGAAACGAGATTGAAGGAGGGCAAACCAGTCCACACCATGGGCGCCATCGACCCCATCCAAATGACCCAACAAGCGCCCCACCAAGAAATCCTCTACGTCTCCGGCTGGGCGTGCTCGAGCGTGCTCACAACCACAAATGAAGTCAGTCCGGATTTCGGTGACTATCCCTACAACACCGTGCCCAATCAAGTCCAGCGACTCTTCAAAGCCCAACAACTCCACGATCGCAAGCATTTCGACGCCCGACGCTCCATGTCCGCCGAGCAGAGACAGAAGACCCCATATATCGACTACCTCCGGCCAATAGTAGCGGATGGCGACACCGGCCACGGAGGCCTAAGCGCAGTGCTGAAACTCGCAAAACTCTTTGCCGAAAACGGAGCAGCGGCCGTCCATTTCGAGGACCAATTGCACGGAGGCAAGAAATGCGGACATTTGGCCGGCAAGGTCATAGTCCCCGTCGGCGAACACATCAACAGACTCGTAGCCGCACGCTACCAATGGGATTTGATGGGGTGTGAGAACCTGGTCATCGCGCGCACCGATAGCGAAAGCGGGAAACTTTTATCTTCCGCTGTGGATGCACGGGATCACGAATTCATCCTCGGGACTACCGAGGAGGATCTGGAACCTTTGGCGGAAACGCTCCAGATTATGGAAGGCTCCGGTGCGACCTCAGCCGAAATCGACGCTTTCGAGGCGAAATGGACGAAAGAGCATAAACTCGTCACCTTTGACGAAGCAGCCACATCCCACATCGACGCCTCCGGAGGCGATAGCGCGGCCTACCTCTCCAAAGTAAAAGCCGAACCCAACACCCCCCTCCACCGGCGCCGCAAACTCGCCACGCACCACGCCAACGGCAAACCCGTGCATTTCAACTGGGACACGCCGAGAACGAGAGAGGGATTCTACCACTACCGTGCCGGCCTTCCCGCCGCGACCAAAAGAGCGATAGCCTACGCACCCTTCGCCGACCTCCTCTGGCTCGAAACAGCCGACCCCAGCGTCTCCAAAGCCGCGGCCTTCGCTCAAGAAATCCACGACGTGGTACCCAACAAGAAACTCGTCTACAACCTCAGCCCCTCCTTCAACTGGTCCGCCCACGGCTTCTCGGATGAGGATCTCATAAATTTCATCCCAGATCTCGCAAAACATGGTTTCGTTCTCCAACTCATCTCCCTCGCGGGTCTGCATAGTACGGCGACCATTACGGCGGAATTGGCCCGGGAGTATAAGACTAGGGGAATGAAGGCTTATGTGGATTTGGTGCAGAAGAGGGAGAAGGAGTTGGGGTGTGATGTTCTGACGCATCAGAAGTGGTCGGGGGCCACTTATTTGGATGGGATTATTGGGAGTATTCAGGCGGGGAGTTCGGGGAGTCGGAGTATGGGGAGTGGGAATACTGAGGGGAGTTTTTAGACTTGTTGCTTGGGTTTCAGTTGGGGTGGGGCGGGGTTGGGTGGGATTGTGTAGTTTGTGTATATATCATGCCAATGGGACAGATTGCTGCCCAAGACCTTTTCTTCCTTGCTTCTCGGCCTGAACGTTTCGGGGTTCTGTTGACGTGGTTTTCGGGTTCCCCGTGGGCTATTGGACCAGACTGAATCAAATCTCATCAGATCAAGCGTATGCGTCGGTCTTGCTGTCCAGCCCATGGGAGTGCATGCTCGGCCTCTGTTAGTCGGCACGTCTGATCGGCGCAGTACTTCATCTGAGCCGCGTAGACGAGACCAAGGCGTCGGTATGTCTGCGGTGCACTGATGCTGGTGGCGCTCTCCGTTTCATTCTCGTTAGCAGCGCCGCTCTCGTATGGGATGTCAGCACTCTCTACTCGTTCGATCGCGAGCCCGCAGAATTTGTATGCTCGGCGGGTCGTACAGTGGAGGAGTGGGAGAAACGATATCGTTGATGCTTGGTGGGTGGTTATGTCGACCCAATCGTTGTAGTCGGGGAAGAAATTCGCTATGCTGTGCCCGTCTACCACGGCATATGTTCGATCTCCTTGCTGGCGTGTCGAGAACTGCATTAGTGGCCCTTCGAGCACGATGTCCGCTCCTGAGACCTGGCCATAGGGGTCTAGTCCAGCCTTCGTAGCGTGGGCATGCAGGATGCGGATGAGAGGATGGTATTCGTGCTCGCTGCTGAGGTAGTTCATGGTGAAGAGTGGGTGGTAAATGGTCGGCTGGTCGACGCAAGCCCATGACCACGAGGGAGCCCTGTACACTGCTGCGCGAGGCTGAGTGACGGGCTTTTTGACGAGCCATTGTAGACTGTACAATAGGTGCTCTTCCCATAAACCAGCGAGGTATCGATCATTCATCAGTCCCGCGCACCTCCTCGCCAATCCAGAAAGCGCTGGCAGACGATCTGATGAATGGGTGAGATCGCAGGAGGAGTAGATCTGCACGATGGAATACCAGATCAAGTATCGCTCGCGCGCGTCCTCGCGGTCGAAGTTCAAGATGGGTTTCGGATCGATGTGGTTTTCCGCCTGCCCGCTGTTGATGGGCTGCCAGATCGACTCGAAGTACATCTTGGCATTGCATTCGAAATAGAGCTGTTGGGTGCCGAAGTAAAGGACGCGTGGGGCTAGGAGACGTTCTTGAAGGATCCAGCCACGACTCGAGAGAGGTGAGTTGGGTTCGCGGTGGGGGGAACGATCAGATGCTGTTGAGAGAGGAGAGAGGGTGACGAGGATACGATCGTCGTCTCCCTCCCCATCGTTCTTGGGGAGATAGCAAGGCGGTAGGGCGGGCGGAGGTCGTGGAAAGTAAAAGCCGGCTGTTGAGGAGCCGGCTCCAGGTCCGGCGATCACGGCGGCGGCATCGGAGTAGACATCCTGCATGAGTGAGCACTCTGTTTGCCAGTCTTTGGAGCTGTCTTGTATGATGCATAGAGAGTCTATCCAGAGATATTGATAGCCTAGGCAACGAGTGGCGAACACGGCATGTTGAAACGTAAGTGGTAACGAGTCCAGGGGTATGCACTGTAGATGTTGCTCCAGGTTCGTTGTAAGTGTCCGAAGTGATTTGGCATTGCCCCAACAATGGCTGAGTGCTATATACTTTCCCGCACGTCCTGATGTGATGTCCAATCGCACGTTAGATCCCGTTGATCCGGATACATCGATCACGCGCGTGGGAAGGGTGTTGTCATATGCAGCCGGACAGATACTGTGCTCATCGGAGCATGTTCGTATCCATTCCGAACACAACTCAATGTTAGGCTCCAAAGTGACCTGCCGACCTGTGACCCAGCTATGTCGTGGATTAGCCGCGATTAGGCCCAGCCAAGGACGAAGATCTTGTGAGTGGCGATGCAACCCGGATTTCTTAGCCAAAGCGGCCTGCGGGACATCTGCCGTTTTCCACATGCTCAATCGTTCCTCTGGGTCGTCGGGTGGACGTGTGTGTCGTGTATAAACCAGTCCATCATAGCGGTTGGGATCCGTGGACCAATTCTCGACGTGCACATAGGTCAACTCGATGGCGAAGACGAACTTGCCATCGGGATCATTGTCGTCCAGATCACGGTGGTAGGCTTCGACTTCTACGATTGAACAGTCGCAGAACTTTGCATACTCTGTCAGTAGAGCATGACGGAACAGGGTGCATAGTCTGCATCCCGCAGCCACGCTGGCTTCGAGAACTCGAAAGGAAGGGTGATGCGGTTGCGAGTAGTGGCAGAGACGATTTTGGTTGTCTGCTGTCTTGAGCAGATTACTAAATGTCAGCTCGATGCACAGTCTACACAGGCGATCGTTATCGTCTGCTTGAGCACTGTGGCTGAGAGCAAGCAAAGACATGGTAAATCTGCAAGGCCATCACGTGTGTATCGTGTCGAAGGCCAATGTCTTGAGACAACCACAGCAGGCTCTCTCTCTCAGTACATTTTCAAATCTTTGAAGGAGGAGTGTCATTGTTGAGTGAAGTGGGACGTCATGTATGTATATAGATGACTTAGTGCACAGGCCACCCAAAAGCAAGCTCCGCTCGATCGTCCATCAGATTCACGCAAGCTCCAACATTGCCCTAGCTTCACAACTGATAGCCATTGACACTAACGATTCTTCTGACGCTACTGAGGCTCTGCCACCACCTATCTACAGCTCATACACCCGTGCTGTACCCGCAACTCACCCTGAAACGCCCTACACAACCAGCCAGAATCTCTCCACCCTAACTACAGGCACCAATACACATAACCCCCTCCTCTCCGGACAACTCCCCACCCACCCACCGCCACCATGTCCCAAATCCACGCCATGTCCGACGACCAAGTCAACACCGAACTCCGCAAAATGACCGCCTTCATCCGGCAAGAAGCCCTGGAGAAAGCGCGCGAAATCCACCTCAAAGCGGACGAGGAATTCAGCATCGAGAAGTCCAAACTCGTGCGCTCCGAGACCCAACGTATAGACGAGGAATACAAGAAGAAGAACACCCAAGCCGGCATGTCGCAGCAAATCACCAAATCCACCTTGGCCAATAAGATCCGTCTGCGTGTTCTGTCCGCCAAGCAGGAATTACTAGACCAGCTATTCGAGGATGCGCAGAAGCAGTTGGTGGAGAAGGGGAGTAAAGGGAAGGGCGAGTATGAGGGGGTGTTGAAGGGGTTGATTTTGGAGGGGTTGTATGCGCTGAATGAGAAGAAGGTGACGTTGAGGTGTCGGAAGAAGGACGAGGAGGTCGTCAAGGGGGCGGCGGAGAAGGCGGGGAAGGAGTATAAGGAGAAGATGAAGGGGAAGGCGTGTGAGGTTGTGGTGGATTCGAAGGAGAGGTTGCCGGAGGGGTCGTGAGTTTTGCTGACGATTATCCTGGTTTGGTGGGAGAAGTATGCTAATTTCGATGTGTGCATAGGGCCGGCGGTGTAATTATCCTCAACAGCACAGGCAAGATCGACATCAACAATACTTATGACGAGCGACTCAACCTCTTATCCACCGATGCTCTACCTAGCGTCCGAACGACGCTTTTCGGCGAGAACCAAAACAGGAAGTTCAAGGACTAGGAGGGACAGCGAGTTGTGTTGAGGTAGCTGCGAGATGTAAATACTGATTGGCGATTTCTTTTTTTTGTTGTGCGTCTGGTCATTTTGCTAGTTGAGATTTAGACAGCATGCATGTATCTGAGCGAGTTTCCCACAGGACATAAAAGTACCCTCCTCTGCACAGATTGCGCTGCATACCCCTCCGTTGCATGTATTGCCGCAAGCCCTACTCCCACGTCCGGAACGATCAGAATTGATACTATAAGTCGTCTAGTTTCGATCGTCTTCGGTGATAACCCGGTCCAAAAAACTTACATATATAGTTTTTACAGAATTTCCAAGCATCATGACTTGCTCAATCTAGAGTAAGACCAGATGGGCGCATGGTTTAGTGGTATAATACTTCTTTAGCAACATCACGGCTCTCCCCTGATGGCGAATAGAAGTGGTCCTGGGTTCGATTCCCAGTGCGTCCATTCTTTTTGTTTTTACTACGCCGCGATTTGGGCATCGTCAAGCAGCATATCGTGAACCTTTTGCTGTTGTGGGATAGATCTTGATTCCGTAGGGACGCGAGGGTGGGTACCATCGAAAGCAAAACGCTAACATTTGACTAGGTATTTGAAAAGGCTGAAGATGGAGCCTTGGTTTGCCGTCTTACTGGACTCATAGCGAATTTCACAGTGGAATAGGATTCATGGCTTGTTCTTTTGCTTACATACTATGCCGGACGGACTCTCCTCTTTTCATGCCGGGTTGAATATCAATGTCTACGCAAGCCAAAGACAACGACCACCCATCTTGACTAGAAGCAACTCTTGGCCATTCCGCTGCTCAAATGGTGATTATGGGATGTCGAACATCAGACTCCGCAACCCGTGCGCTGGATAACCCTCCACCAGACCTTCCCGATTACCCAACCAACCAACGCCTCTCCCACAACTTCCCGGTAACCTCAAAGCTGCATGAAACCCTACCCCGACTTCCCCTCCACGATCCTTATACTCTCCTGCTCGCTGGCTGACCCTTCCTGGCCCAACTTCATCTTCACATCCTTTATGTTGTTCGATCCGAGCTTGTAGCTTCATAGCCTGAACCGCAAGGGCCCAGATTGGCTGTGTTGTAAGCTGTGTTGTAAGCTGTGTGGAGCACTCTGGGCCATTCTTACTCGTCAAGATCCGTGTGGGAGATTTTACAAAAGGAGCGGTGACGTGGGAACATTCCGTGGTCCTAGTATAGCCTGGCTTGGCCTAAGGGCTAGTGGATTGGTGGATCTTGAGTGCTCTGGGGAAAAGGCTAGTTGAGGGAGCGGTGGCAGGTACCTGGAACGATGTAAGCGGCGGAGGGTTGCCGACCTTGTGGCGAGGTCGGCAAGACTGGTTTGGTTGGGTCTTGCGCGGACTTGGTTGTCGCTTGACACGATGGTTTTGGTAACCTCTGGCGTGGCTCGGGAATCTTGTCTTGTATGTTGCCTGGTGGTGTCTTGCGAATGGCTAATAACCCAGGCCGGACAGAAGTTTTGGAGGGCGCACTACAAGCTGCATTGCTGAATGGCCTAGTGAGGGTAGGATCGTGCACTCTCGCAGTGATGGTTACCACGTACAGCGGACAAGCACGTGCTATAGCTGGTTGCCTTAGAAGAAAATTTTGCTGTTGCTAGTAGTGGTCTCTAGGATGGTAGTGCTGCCATTACTAGGGGAGTCCTCTACGATTCTTAGACCTAAGGGGGTGAAGTCGCCGATTACTATGCTATAGCCTCGTAGCTACTATATGCGAAGTAGGGATAATCTGCTAACCCTATAGGTTAGACGGAGACAACTAGATAGTAGACGAGACTATACTTAGGTATATACTTCCTATAAACATTATACTCTTGCGTCCCCGAAGACCTTTACTTACGCGAAGTAATGCGTACCACGGGTACATTCAACGACTCTAGCCCGGGGTCGGTATAGTCTAGAAGAAGCTCCTTTCGATCCCCCTAGCAGATAGATAGGGTACTTAATCGTCTGTCGTCCGGGGTTGTCCTAGAGTCGTTCGGTTGTTGCTAGATAACCTTTTAGCGACTTTCCGTCTCGTTCCTAGCGTACCTATAGCGTAATAGCGGTATACTCGTCGAAGCGAGCGGCGAGCCGTCGATGCTACGAACGGGAAAGTATCGTTACTCGGAGCCCTTACTTACATCGCTTACTTAAGTCTAACTTTACTTTGTCTAAAGTTATCGGTGCTTATATCTGCTCTTACCGCCGACAAACCTTCTTTCGTCTCGAACAAGATAGTATCTATCTATCTTAAACTAAGACGAGACAAGACATTATCCCGAGAGCAGGGAACAAGAATCTAAAGCCCGAAATCGTCCGTCCGAGGGTAGAACAGGCTATTCTAAACCCCGTCTAGCCCTACCGAAATGCTAACCAAGAGCACATAGCCCATCCCCTATAGCCGCCTTACCAAAAAGGATACCCGCTACCACCGCCCTACGACCCCTAATCTCCCTCGACGAGCTGAAAGCCCTCCTGGACTTCCCACCCGGCAGCCAGATCTCCATACTAAACACCACCCTTTTCCAACGCCCGATCTCCGACCCAGACCTTAGGGACGCAATGGCCTATGCCCTTAGCCTCCTAACGGAAACGATAAAGGGACATGCTGACGTGCGGCGAGAAGCCGCGTATGAAATCCTTGTAGATAAAGCGATTGGGATTGCGGAGGAGGTTGTGGGGTTGGGGGATTGGGAGGGGAGGTGGTTTGAGGAGAGTGTGACGCAGGGGCAGTTAAGAGATGCGTCTCGGAGCTGTATCATGAGGGCGGTGAAGTTGAGGAGGAGGGTGGTGCATATGGCTGGGGAGGTGAGGTCGAGGATGAGGAGGGAGGGTGGTCGTGGTCGTGGTGGTGGTGGGTCTGGGCGGAACGCGGGGAGGCGTGGTTAAGGTATGCCAGGGGCTATCTTCGGGATGCGTTGGTGCTGGCTGCATGCCAAGCTAGGAAAGCGGCGGGCGGAAGATGGGAGCAATCTGGCTTTGGTGGCCAGGAAGTGCGGAGAGGCCGTATCTGTTTCTGCCTCTTTTTTTTCTCGACAGGGTGGCGAAGTTTGGGAGGGTTGGATCAGTAGGCCGGGAAGCTTTTGGTCTTTGCGAAGCGATAGCCCAGAAGACCACGGTCGAGTGTTTGAGAGTTCCCGATTTCGTGCTCGGGGAGTGCGTGCCACCCGTTTCTGTTTCTCCTTGGTTTGGAGAGAGCAGGAAAGCTCGGAAGGATTTACATCAGTAGGCCGGAGGGCTTTTCTTCTTGATGAGGCAACGAGCCTTTCGAGACATCCAGGATAGACGTCCAATGGGGTTGCGGAGAAAGCTTTCCTTTCGTTTTGTACAGAAGACTAGGGTATACATACACGGTCATTTCCTACCCTCAAAGCACACCTGACACACAACCTCTCTTCTCTTTCTTTCTTTCTTTCTTTCTGTCTTTCGTTGTTTCGTTCTTTCTTTCTTTCTTTCTTCACCTCATCTTATTCACCGCCCAACCCGCCTAACAAACTCCCCCTCCATAACCCCCACACTCCTCTTAAACTCCTCCACCTCCTGCCAACAATCCAGCGGTCTCCGGTCGTTCTTCCGTAAACACTGCACCACCTTCTCCTTCGCCTGCTCCACTTCTTTCGGCACGGATTCCACTTTCTTCCTCGACTCGAGTTTCTGCTTTAGCTGTGCGATTTCCATTCTTACGCTGTCGGATGTCCGGTTCGAGGATTCCGGGGTTGGGATGGCGGAGTTGGGGTTGCTGGCGGATTGGGGTTGGTGGTTTTGGTAGAAGGGGGAGGAGAGGTGGTAGGCTAGGCCGGTTTTGTCTTGTGTTGGTGCGGTGGTTGGTGCGGTGGTTGGTGCGTTTGTGGGGGAGGAGGTCTCTTTGGGTGGAGAGACGGTGAGGGAGTCGGTGAGGTGGGAGAGCTGCTGGGATTGCTGGTCCCGGAGCCGAGTCAATTCTTCGCGGACGCGTTGTTGGACCTTGAGGTCTTCGGTGTGGGCGCGGGTCGAGTCGGTCTGGTATGTATATCAACTGCAGTCCTCATAGAGAGTACTACTGTGAATGGCATACCTCAGGGTTATTTTGTAACGAGTCGAGGACGGATTGGGAGAACCTCACGGGCACATCGCTGCTTGTCGCATCAGTATTCTTGGCACATATATATCCTGCTTGTGGCGGTCGGACATACGCGGTAAAGATGTGTTGCTCCGGCTTCGAAGCCCCGTTCCCCATTGGCGCTGGTTGTGAGCTAGTTGGTATATCAGTATAGGTAGCACGAGAGCTTCAGCAAAGATTTGGTGATTGACGTTGCAGCAGCTTCCCAATGCCGGAGAATGCTCGGCTCGTTCGGCGATGGGCCGGAGATGGATGTGCCTTCTGTATTCGACGACGATGACGATGACGATAAAAATCATATCAACCTCAGATCGACCACGAAAGGGTTGTACCTGCTATCATGTCGAGGCCGTTGTGGAGGATCTTCAATCACCGTAGAGCTCACATGTTGCCGACAATCTCACCCAATGGGGCCATTATGGACTGCACCAAAGAATTGATGTACCTCGCTCGCTACGATACGTGCCACGCAGGCGCATACGCAAGCGAACGAGCTTGGCGGGTGATCCACGATAAGGCCTCGACTAACTGGCATACTGACACCATGGAAAGGTGAGGTATAGGTGTAGCGCCCGCGACAAGCATTTCTGGACCTTGCTTGGTTTATGCTCCAACATGCTTTTCTTACAAGGCCTCCTCGTACCGCTTGCCGTCACCGCATCGGCACTATTTGCACCCGATCAACTACAACAACAATCACTACAACAACGACCACTACATCAAGAACGCATGAAACTGTCCCCTCCTTTGCCACGCCCACATTCCAATCTCAACTTCTCCTCCCCCTCCCCATTAATCCTTCACTCCCTCTCCACCCTCCTACAACAATACCCCCAAACCTTCCACCCCAACTCCCACACCATCGCCCCCTGCTCCATCTCCCCAAACACAAACCTCTACCACGCCCGCCTCGACCCCCACACCCCTCCAAGCCCGGAATGGTTCGCCTTCGACCCTGAGATGTCGTACGCTATCGCCGGTCTTGCACAAACGAGCCGGATGCTGACATACCGTACGACGAGGAGGGTGCGGTGTCTCTACTTCGACGGCACGAGTGCGAGTTTGGCGGGGGCCGGGAGTATGGATGCGCAGATGTTACTTCTCCACAATACTTCTGCGAATGTGCCGGTGGATCCTGTGTTCGGACAGCCGCCGCCTTATGGTGGCAGTGGTGAAGGAAATGGATCGTATCCCCTCAGGCCTTGTCCGCCGGGGTCGGAGAATGCGACGGATTGTTCGCGCTGGAATCCGTTGAAAGCTGAGTATGATCGTGCCAAGGGCCTTTGCGGCTTTATCAAGAATCATGGGTTAGGTGGGTTGGGATGGGGCTACGAGGGTATAGTGAGGATGAATACGGGGTTTGAAATGATCTGGTGTAACTTCTCCTCGCCTTCGGCAAAATTAATCTCGAATATTGCCGTCCGAGCGCCGTTGCTGGCCGACTCAGACGACGCTAGGATGGAGACTGCGGCGGGTCACGATCTAGATTATGCAATGGGAGATTCCGAGCTGCAGATTGGTGGTATCGATACACGACACCAGCCCACACTCGCTTTCCTCAAGTCCGTCCCGGGTACTTCGCCACCTTCAGATCGACACCGTGGCCCGCCGGGTATACTCACACGCCACCCATTCGTGCTATACAGCATGTACGAATGGTTCCACGCAGCAAGCAAACGCTACGGATTCGCCGGCGTCGGATCCCCAGGCCAAGGGGAAACCCGCGTGCGGATCGATAGTGCCGCGATCTTCACGTTCTATGATCCTCGCTTGACACATCAAGAGGGTGTGAGGGTGGCGGAGGAGAGGAGTAGGTTTAATTTGACTCGGGAAGGGTTTTGGGACGGAGCGGGGTTTGGGGGATTGGGGTTGGGGAGGACGGAGGAGGAAGAGAGGAGGGTGGTTCTGAGGGGGTTGGAGAGGAGGAGGACGGGGCAGAGGGTTTTGAATGTTAGTGTTGAGGATGGGGTGGTTATGCAAGAGGCGGTGTTGGAGGGGATCAGGAGGTCCCTCCAGGCTGGCAAGAATGGTGTGTCCAGTGGTAGTGAGGTTGATTGGGTCTCTACCGCGCGGGAGATCGTGTTGGAATATGGTGGACCGCTTCTTGATCTTCGCACGCTTCTATCCACCACACCAGATGAAAGGGGGGAGGAATATACGGCGGAGTCACTATTTAAGCTCACGAGAAGTGCGAGGGATGTGTTGCATGGACTGTGGATGCCTTTCTACGAATACCCGCCCTTCTCCCGGGAGAATCTGACTGAAGCGTTCCATCCCTCTGCTCCGAACCCCGGAGCCGCATTCGAGCGTTGCAAGACACAATATGAATCAGACGACTCGTCAACAATGACGGCAAGCGAGAACGTAACGTACACCGCCATCTCCGAAGTCCTCACCTCGATCTGCCGAACTCTACTCCCGCCTTTCCTAGAAACAGAGATAGTGTGGTTGGAATACTACAACAACTACACCGCCTCACCCAGCAGCCCGAGCGACCCACACCCACACCCACAACCCCATCATATGAATCCAGAGGATCTACGAACCATCCACACCACCTTACTCCAAATCTTCCACACCATCCAAATCCTAATGGCCTACCTAGGCTGGTCCGACCAATGGACCTCCTGCTCTCCTGGCTGCGAGATAGGACAAGTCTGTGCGATTCCGATGTGGCCGGTTATGGGTGTTGTTGTGCGGGATCCTGGGGATGAGGATGAGGAAGGGGGTGATGGGGATGGAGATGGGGATGGGAATGGAGATGGGGATGGAGATGGGCGTGTGAATAGGACGCGGAGGGGTTGGGGAGAGGGCTTTGAGAGGGCGCTGTGGGAACCTAGTTGTGTTAATGCGGGGATTGTGGGAAGGAGGTGGGAAAGAAGGAGGAGAGCGGGAGGATGATAGGGAATATGGAATGGGGTTTGACTATGTCACGTTACATAATGCGTTCATGGTGTGAAGGGCGCTGTTCGGGGTGTTGGACTACGGCACTCGTCCGCTCTTGCGAGACTGTCTGGCCCTTCGTGGTTCTAAAGAGAGTAGCACGTCGGGGTGCGAATTGCAACGCCGGAGGTATCTTGTGGTTCGGATAATGGGGCGGATGGAGCTTTGCTTACCTACGGCTTCGCACAACTGGCGCAGCATCAGAGCTAGGGTCCAAGCTGCATACTCACTTCTTCCGACCAATTACGATATCTGGATAGATCATCGTGAACCACAAGACGTCCGAACACGCCAAGCTCGCACAACTTACAGCCTGGCCAACTTTTCTTCCCCGTCGGAGGTGGAAGATGTTGTGGTGTTTGCTTGCACTTCGCGCCCTCCTCTTCTGCACTCTGCTTTCGTGATTTCCAGACTTCGCAGCCACTGGGTCTACCACCTACCTTTCGACGCCATTGGTGACAATGGTCGAAGGACACAGATACTGACGCCAGCCAGACTACCTACTCATCACATACCACAGCCATCATGTCATTCCGCAAAGCACCTCTCGAGCGCCCCAAGCCACAACCCCTCTGGGATTCAGGCACACAGCCTCGCGAGTTCACCTCTACACCACCCTTCCACACCTACGATGGCTCATACCAAATGTCACGCGGTTGTGAAGACAAGAGTCACTGGGCGGATCACGCGAACGTGCTTGAAAGGTACGACACCTTCTACTTCCCTTCCCCTCCCTTCCGCTGCTCTCTGTGTGAGATCTTCGCTGACTCCGGTGCGGATAGTCGAAAGAACTGCTCGGCTGTACGAGCCTATGGTTATGATAGCTTCGGGCACATCAAATTAGTGCATGCGGATAGTGAGGAGGCACAGGAGGTGAGGGATGCTATCGTATGTGTTTCCCCTTGCACTTCAACCCTGATGACTATCCTCGGTTCCTCGAGCAGCTCGCTGTATGTGGTTGTGACTAGAATGTCAGTGCTGATGATCGATCAATCTAGTCGCCACCAAAGACTCGTGATGAGTCGACGTACATACCGATGCCCGAACGAAGACGCCCCTCCGCCAGATATTCGGACGCTCTAGGACCTGCTGCAATGTCGCGGACGAGCCACCTCACCACCGCAATGGACGGGAGTCTGTCGCCGGGGGGCACTAGTACATCGGTGGAGTATGCTAGATTCCCTGACCCAAGTCCCTGCGAGCCAATACTGAATGCTAGCGACAGAGCCGAGCTAGGAAACTTCTGGAAGCAAGTCCCATGGTCGGGAGGCAAGGAGGATCAGGTAGGTGGCCGTTATCTATCGCAACTCTTCGTCGTGGACAGGGCGCTGACGATGATCTGCTATAATCACAGTCAGGCCCATATCAAGCCGAATCTTCACAATCACCTTGGTGGCACCACGGATCTCCTTTCCGCAGCTCTCAGCCGCAACACGAGATCAACGAGCTCTCCTCAGCTGGATGCTCCATGCCCGGTGCTTTCGCTTCCGATGCACCGCGGCCTTCAGACTCCTTCGCACCCTCCTCCCTCACATCTCGCACAGCCACGATGGAGGAGATCCGTCAACTGCGCGCCTCAGTCGAGAAGCGAGATGCACAAGAGAAGCGCGAGACGCGAGAGAAATTCCGATCGCGCGAACAGCTCACATACCGTGAGAGATACCAGGCCGAGAAGGAGGCGGTGGCGGAGAAAAAAGCCGCCGCTGCCGAGGAGAAGAGGAAGCAGGAAGATTTGAGATCGGCGACTGTGCGGTTCGCGAAGATGGTGCTGCAAGATGGTCTGGGAGTGCGTCGTACTGGCAGGTTCCTCTCGCAATTGAGGAAAGAAGCGGGGGAGAAGACCTCTTGTGATGGGGGTGCGAGGATGGGAGCGCGGGGATCGGAGACTGGGGAGGTGGTGCCGAGTGAGTCTATTAAGGAGTCTGTAAGGAATACGATGCAAGTACCAGTATCCAAATGTGATGCCCCGACGAACGCCAAGCTCGGCTCTACTGAACGAGTGAGCGAAAGCCCGCTTGAGAAGAAGAAGACTCCACAGAAGTCTACCGATCAGCCGCCGCCAACGAACCAGGCGGGTGGTATAGCCAGGCTATGGACGCTCGCCAGGGAGCGCCAGCAAGATGTCAAGGACTCTAGGGATTGGGTTCAGGTTGAGGATGAGGAGGATTTCGTGGCGGTTAGTAAGGATGAAGTTATGGGGGATGCCGAGGAGATGTCTGGAAAGGGGAAGAAGTGGCAGGTTGTCTCTCATGATGGCGAGGATATGGCTGAAGAGAGTGAGCGGGACATGGATATGTCGTGATTTGTGGTGAGGGTGTCAAGAAGAGAGGGTGGGCTTGTGAACTAGATTGTTAATGGTGTTTCGGGGTTGAGGGATGATACCCATGAGCTGAGATTGACTCGGTATGTCTGGCGGTGGATATGAATTGCTCTTGGATGTAGACCTCTGGGTACTGTTCGGAACAGAATGTCATAGTGATGATGATTGTATTGTATTGTATTGTCTTGTGTTGTATTGTAATGTGATGTGAAGTGATGCAGTGAGAGACACGCGATACGCGACCAGATGACCAGCTTAGGGCTTGCTGCCGACATCCGAAGCCCGCGGGATCAGCCGCCAGAATTCGAGGGCAGCCGCGGTCACGCACGATGCCAAGACTCACGAACCAGTACCCTCGTCAACCGCTGCACCGCTGAGGACCTTGCTGCCGCTCCGCCCTGATATTCCAGTAATTGAGGCGCCGACCACATCCACTTGATCGCCTTTCTACCGAAGACACGCTCAGGAATCGTTGTGAGAGGATATAGCAAGCCGCAAATATGGATCATGAGAAGTTGGCTCGCATGCAAAATGCGGTGCGCATTGGTATGTTCACCTTTACATGCTCCATGAGCCCAGAAGATGGTATGGAGAGATTGATTGAGCTAACATGATGGTTTAGGGTAAGCATTGAGACTTCCTTCTTACGAATCCACCCACAATCGCAAAGGAGCACAGCATAGCGAGACGCTATCACAAAGCTCAATCAGCTGGGATACTGTATCACATGATCTCAGCATACTCCTTGTGCCGCGCCATGAGAAGGAATTGAATGTGAAGGTACTAATTGATGATACAGAGGCAAAGGTACACCCCGAAGAAAGGTCAAGAAGGTCCACAAGTCCTCCGGCACCGACGACAAGAAGCTGCAGACCACCCTCAAGAAGATGAACGTCCAGCCCATCACTGGCATCGAGGAGGTCAACATGTTCAAGAGCGACGGCAACGTCATCCACTTCTCCGCACCAAAGGGTATGTCCGGACAGATCCCAAGCCCCATACATAAATCCCACGGACAATCCATTCCATGATACTATTATACACATACACATGCTGACCGGTCTGCTTCATACAGTCCACGCAGCCGTCCCCTCCAACACCTTCGCCCTCTACGGCAACGGCGAAGACAAAGAGCTCACCGAGCTCGTCCCCGGCATCCTGAACCAACTGGGTCCTGACTCCCTCGCCTCCCTGCGCAAACTCGCCGAGTCCTACCAGTCGCTGCAGAAGAGCGGCGGCGAGGGCGGGGAGGAGGGTGGGAAGAAGGAGGAGGATGATGATGAGATACCGGATTTGGTCGAGGGGGAGGAGTTTGGTGGGAAGGGGGATGTGGAGTAGGTGGTCCCGACTTCTATGCTTGACGGGGTTACTATAGGCTGCTCTGTCGTCGTCTCATATCATGAAAGAGGCGAGAAAGCGTGCTTTTGCCAAATATCCAACTTCTGGTGCTGTTTGCAAGGCGGATCCATGGAATCGGAGGCTCCTCCTTGGATGTATGTATCCAATGCCACAAACCCCTGCTGCTAGGCCGGCTGAAAGGCGATGCTCAGCTCTCGTATGTATGTACATGCTTGAACGACTGTGTACCATATAGCTCGGGCATGCGTTCCTTACATTTTCACGACTTTGGTCGTAGCACTGTCAATGCGGGCATTGACCGCAGATAATTTACCGGTTTGAGTGTGAGTCCAATTGACCAGGAATGATGGGATGGTGGTATGATCAAGCCATGAATGGTAGAGAGTCTATCGACTATCGTACCTATGCTACACACACCCTCGCAGGTTCTCACGCAGCAGGCAAGCATGTAAGGAGCTGCGTGTTTGCTGCCTGGCACTAATCGGCTCTGTAGAACGAAAGCGAAGTGATTATTGTCCGACGGGGATGTCAGAGCAGCGAGGCTCGCGCAACATCTTCAGTCCAACGAGCAAACGGTACTAGCTATGCTTGGGTTCTCATCCCTAGATCGCCAATCCACGATCGTTGCTGCAACTGCAGTGGCGAGCGAGCAAGCGGCGAGGGCTCTGTTCCTCGAGCTATGCGGTTAGGAAACTCGGTGTCATGTCGGCCCGTATTCCATATATATCGTGCTGCCGCAAAAGAAGCCGGGTCGATGGAGGAAAGTCAACTCACGACTGTACAACAGGGAGAAGCAGTTGGAGTCGTTCCAGACTACGAACGTGGAACTCAGGTATCGTGTGGAAACTGTGTATGTGTGTGTGTGTGTGTGTGTGGAGAAAGGTATTCATATCGACTGTATTAGATAAGAGAGTGGTCCAAGAACACAGCAGATGCTGATAAAGGTTTGTAAAAAGCCCCAACGCCACGACCCGCCCGAGAAGTAAACGTCTCAATGATGTCCTCGTTGCTACACTCGATCGAGACGGTGTTCTATCCATCTACCTACAAGCCGCCGAGGAGGTCGAGGTTGACCACGGAGCAGGAGAGGTCGAGGACGATGAGGCCCTGGTTAGGATGTTAGCTTGAGCATGGGACAGAAGTACTGGCGGCGGTAGGAGTCTACGGGGTCAACTCACAGTGTCACCGCCGCCGGAGCAGCAGTTCACGGTACCCGTGGTGCAGGTATCAGTGAGAGGCAGATCGACTGGAAAAAGAAGTGTGTTAGTCCTGGCCATGGCATTCGGGCTTTCGCCACGGAACTCACGGAGGTCGATGAGGAGGCAGTCCAGGCCTAGAAGCCCGTCCTGGCAGCAGTTGAGCTGCTGGTTGGCGTTGCAGGTCTGCGCAGCCTGGGTGCCGGTGCAGCCTTTTCCGCCATTGTTGCCGGTGGTGACGGCCGTGGGCATGGCGGTGGCGAAGGCCGCGAGGGCAATGATGGCGAGGGACTTGAAGGCAGACATTTTTGTTTTGGTTTGGGGGTTGGTTGGGTGGAAAGTGGTGGAGCGAGTGAATTTAGTTGGTTTTCGTTTGTGAAGTGAAGTAGATTGTTGTGTTGGATGATAAGGAGGATTATTCTTACTTGGTTGAGGTGGAGGAATATATACCTGTTCTTTCATCTTCTCCTGGCCGAAGTCGCCAAGATGGACGTTGTGCTCGTTGTATAGGAGCTTATGAGGATCTGCTGTGTGTTCAGCGCGTTTGCGATGCTCTGTTGCATCCTGCTGTATTTCCGTCTCCCCCCAGACGCAGAACCACGAGGCTGCAAAGACATTCGCAAAACAGAGCCCCCGATGATCTTCATCACGGGATGTCTGAGGTGGACGAACTGTCCGATGTCAGGTGACAGGGGCTGCAGTGCAAGGTCCGTCTTGCGTAGGCATCTACGTCCTTCCACCAAGAGGCAACGGTCAATGCCAACCACGATGAGATTAGTTGCCCTTATTGGAGCATTCCAAGAGACGCTGGAGGGTTGGCGTAGCGTCTTATCGGCCATAGATGTACTCCCGTATTCGAGCTCAAATCATAGGCATGCTACAATACGGTGGTATCAAAGTGCACATTACCTGGTCAGTGGCTCGTCTCCAAAAATCTGATGAGGAATGCCGTCGCTGTGCTTGGCAAGCATGCTCACTCCCCTGTCGAGAGTACCTGCTCATTTGCATGACAGTCGAATGTCTTGCTATTGGAAGTCTTATTCCTGAGGCACCTATTCGCGTAGAAGAGAATCATGGACGTAGCTTGTGGCGTGGTGGACAAGGCTGCATTGTTGTCTCCACTACACTTGAGCTGGTGACACGACGTCGGCGTCCACTTTAGGCTCCAGAGGGACCAAACTTTGCTTGCGCAGTGTAGAGTTGTGAAGGTGGGGTGAGGTAAGTGTTTGGATCAGGAGCGAGACAATGTCTTCGACAAAACCAAATGAACCCTGAGGTCCGTGAGTTGGGGCGGAAAAGTGGAGCGACTACAACCACCGTCTTCAGCCCCGACCACTCATCGCAAGAGCCGTGTCACTGACGGTGACTCTGATAGATTCAATGCAGACCAGTACTATTTTTGACAGCAGACGCCTTGCAGTACGAGCCCTCACAGTGCTGTGTAGCGACAATCCTGTGCAGTGGCACTGGACACGATTTCCTTGGACAAAGCTCGAGTTTGTCATGGCATCTCATCTACGCCTCCTGGAATACATTCTCGCCACCCACCCGAGCTGAGACACTTTTCTCATTCCTGTCGGTACACCGTGAGACAAAACCATGAAGTGTCCTCACACGCGCACGAACGGGCTTCTCGAATTTTGCTTTCAGGGCTCGTTGAATTCTGACACAGACGCTTGCACACCTTCCATGGCACAAGGCTGTTTACTGCTGACTGTGTGCGCATGAAGCCATGAAGCAGTCGCGTCACAATGCAACACGCTGTCAGGGAAGTTTTCCTGCCAGACTGGCCATGGACCAGATGACCTGCCGCACCTGTCAGTCGGACGGGCAACCAGAATTTGCAAAACGATGTCAAGACACTTCACCCTGATCTGAACCTAGACGTAAGATTTCCGAGATGGACTCAGAACATCATCTTCCAGAGCAAAACGAACCTACTCCATTGTGCGAAGCCAAGAGAATGACGCTCAACTCCGCCAGGGCAAGGTTAGATTGGTTATAGGCCGCTGACATGTGGAGTTCGTCGACCACAATCAGCCAACTGCTAGCAACGTCTGACATGTCTCGATGATTATGGCGCTTGCCATACCGCTGCCAGCTTTGACTTGGCCGCTACCTGTGCAGTCCAATACTTCATTTCCCAGTATACTCATCGGCGTCTTGCACGATCCGCCGATGTTACGGCTGTTGATATGTTTGAAGACGGTCTGAGTGTATAAGACAATGTTTGCGAAGTCTCTCACAGTCTTCATCATTAGTCTTTCATTCTTTCCTTATGTTTTTATACAACGCCTACAGTAATACTAATCTTCTAATCTTTCTCGACACAGCGTTGTGAGCTGTCTGACCTACATACTTCGACAACTGCTTTACAGTCTCATTGACGGCCTGAGCCTCTTTCCGAGCTCATCTAGTATTGTTTACATCTGATCCTCGTGGCCATCACAGCCCGCCTTTGCTCAACGACGGCTCTATTCGCCATGGCAGCTATCAAAGAGGTTCAACAGATACCGAACAAGAGCGACATGCCTCCATACCAACAAACAGAGGGGCAGTATCCTAAGAGGACCACCTCGAGGATCGCTGAGCTTCGCAATGCCTTCAATCAACCAGTAAAACCATTAGGCGTATCTGATGCAGCATACGCGGAGACCAAGAGATTACAAAGACCTGTCAACCCAACTGGAGCTCTGTCGACTTGGCTTGAGAACGATGGTCGTGCTGACAGGCCCGCCGCTGCAACTGCACGACCCGCAGTACGTCCAGCTTCCAAAGAACCAACGCTTCTTGACGGAGTCACGGTGATCTATGCACCTGTGCCGAACTTTTCGATACCCACACCGCGGAGCTCACCCACAAAGACAAAGAAACCGAAGACTCAACTGACTGCTCTACCACCCGTCTATCGACCCGTCGGGCCGTACAATGGTAGTCCTTACGTCCACGGTAGCAGAGCCACAACAAAGACCAAGAATATGCGACGACGAACCCAATCTAGTGAGTTCACTGTGCCTGAGCAAATGGTGAGACAGCACGATACCATATCGCTCCTGTCTAGCAGTGCTTCGGAGTGGGCCAGAGATACGGAAGCCGAGCATCGTGAAGTCCTGCAAGCAGGATACATGTGCGAGACGAAGATGGCTTTTGTCGAACGCAAGAAGCGCGAACTTGCATCCATCTTAGAGAAGCTCGAGGAAGTCGAGACGCAGCTCGGTCAGCTCGGTGATGTTGACGATGTTCGTGCTATCAAGCCGAGTCTAGCATACAGGCCGGGCAAATCTCCTCACAAACGCCATCGGGATTCAGGTGTCCATATCAGCCCGACGCAGCGTCGCAGGAAAGGTCATCGCATTAATAGATCAGCTTCGTCGCGGATGTCGTCGCTTATGGCTCGCGCAGCGGTGGTCACACCTCAGATGTCAGCCGCCAGCTCCGTGATGTGGTCGCCCCGGACGTCTACAGACGAAAGCATGCAGTCAAGGCTTACTAGAATGTCCTCGCGAGGCTGTCAGTCGAGAATGAGTCTACTGAGCCTGTCCAGCTTCAGCTCATTTGATACCGTGCTTACTGTCAGCTCCAGGACAGCAGTCTCGACGGCGGTATCTGCTGCCATGAAACCAGTGCCGTTATACCGAGGCATCCCAACATTGCAGTCTGTGCCTGCTCGCGGCAATAGTCGGGTGATGGACGACTCCAGCCCCATGGATCACAACTCCCCCGAGTATAAGCAGTCGCCAGCCTTGATAAGCTCCGAGGCACGCCCAGCCAACGACGTATTCCAGATCCAGCGATTATCAGCCCCCGAGGACAAAGGCAGACTTACTGGACCTTACCAGGACATCGTGATTCTCACGCCACCTTCTTCGACTGCTCGAGTGACGACTAGGCCCTCTCGACCACGACCGACCACCATTTCGCCTGTCACACCTCTGCGAGATCTACCATCAGAGAGCTCGAGCTACTACAGCAACGACAACGAAGAAGATGCGGACGACTACTTCGAAGACCCACCGTCGCCGCTACAGCACTACGGCACACGCAAGCATCATCACCACCACCACCACCATCACCACCACAACAGGACAATTTCTGCCCGGCCAAGCCCAGAGGCCGAGAAATCCTCCCCAAGCAAGCCACTGCGTCTCACGCTGACGCCCCCCATCTGCGCCGAATCTCCACCTCAACTCGCAAACAACAGTGGAAACACAACGAAGCGCTCTACGCCTCTCGTTCGCGCCTTCAAGCGCTGGATTACACCCAAGTCTTCCGTCGCCACTGTCCCAACAACAGCAAGTGCTGCTTTGCCTCAACGAGCGTCCTATGCCACGCAACCCACGACCTCACCGACGAAACGCCGCGGCTTCTCATCTCTATTCAAACGCAGGAGCTGCGCGCCACGGAAGTCGTCAGTTGAGTCGCAGACGCAGCAGTATCAGAGCGTGGCACCTCACTCCGTGCATGTTCACGGAACACGGTTCAGTATGACGACACCACCGCAGCAGACTGGACCGTACGCCAATCGACCTTATCATGAGCTTGCGGGATGAGCGTGTTGTAGTACTACATATTCTTGATCCTGATGGCTTGCGTTCGTGGCCTTTCGTGTTCTAGACAACTGCGTTAAGGCTGGGACGCAGTACCTGGCAACTTTCTCGGCTTGCACACGTGCGCGTTGTTTCAACAAATAGCGTATATACATGGTCTTCTTCCACATAGCTTAATGTATTACTAGTAATGCCCAGTATCCAGCATTGGAACCAACCTGATGATGTCCGAGCCATGACATCGATGATGCATACAATCAGCCCTTCCGGAGAACCTCCAGCTTCTGCTTCACAACGTCCAGACTGCCAGCCATACCATGCAACACCCCGACCATCCTCGACTGCGAGCACTCACTCTGCACCCTCGCTACAAACCCGCCTTCGACCTCACCATCTCTCTTCTTCATAGCAGCGCTCGGTGCCAAACAAGCATATTGACTCTGCGCACTCCTCAACTGACAAATCTCATTAGTCTTACAACTCCCCTCACAAGGCCCGTACCCTTGTGGAGTCCAACCACGCTGCTTACGGTCGTAGTATTGTTGAAATACTGTATCGCTGTTTTCGAAGAGCATCGTGACATTATGCATGAAGGCTGGTGTTAGCTCAGCGTGGGCGTCGGTGTAGGGTGGATCGAGGAGAGGGCCATAGGCTGCTTTGAAGGAGTAGTACTCCTCCCATTTAGGACCTAAGGTGTGGTAATCGGGTGTGGAAAGGTTGGCGGTGTAGACGGTGTAGTCTTGGATCGAGAAAGTGATTGGGTCGACGCTGTAGACGCGGAAGTTGGGGTTGCCACTTGTCGGTGTCAGAGAAGGCGCTATGAAGCCTACCATGCGTGCTCCAGCGGCTGTCTGATTCATGTAATCAGCGTACGAGATCTCGAATTGGTCTCTGTGCGTATGGCCCCAGAACATCGCAGCGATCGTGCCTTCGTACCTCTCGACAACCTGATCGAGGTATGCAGAATAGTCGTACAAAGCATCTGGTCTTCCCGGTGGTATATGGCCTATGATCCAGGCACGCTCGTCATTATCCTCTGCTAGCTGAAGTTGGGAGACAAGGAAAGCTAAGACACCAGCTGGGTCACGAGGCATGGTCGTGTTGTAGATCCACCAGTTCACGCCCTCCCAAAACATGGTGTTTATGCTGATGATGCGGAGACAAGAACCAGTGGATGGCGAGGTGTAGGTCGTACTGTACATGCCAGAGTGAGCTCGGACTTGAGCTGCAGCGGCAGAGCCGATCCAAGGTTGCCAGAGCTGCGCGTCGAGGTTGTAGTCGTAGGTGTTGTTGTATGATGTCTTGAGCTCCGGTAGTGGAAAGCTGTTTACAGGGTTGGCATCGTGGTTACCTTGAAAGACTATCAGCAAGCAGTGGAGACCATCGTAATGCTGATGCGTGCTCACCAATAGCTGGGAAGACCAATCCGAGACTCTTGCGCATCCTATGGTAGATGTCGCTAATGTCATACTCTATCTCAGTATCGCTAGTGCCCCAGGTAAAGCCCTCAACCATGTCACCAGTGCTGATCGTGAACGCTCTATTCCTTGCGAACTCGGCGACACCAGAATACTGTGCCTCCTCCAGATCCACAGGCGTGTCACAGTAGTACTCCCCAAAGGGTTCAGCAGGATACAACTTGGCCAGCTCAGACCCGGCGGCAAAACTGGCGTTGTAAGAACGACAGCAGATACTCTTTGAGCAATTGTAGCTCGAACCAATGGTGTACGAGTGATCGACATGCATATCAGATATATGCACGACTTTCAATGATTCGAGGCCGCTGGTTGGAGGCCAAGTGTGCTTCTTGGCTGGCTTCGGTTTAGGGAAGGGTACTGTATAGTCCAAGATCGCAGGCTGTGGGCAGAGTCCATAGAGTGCTTCGCAGAAGACCTGCGCCGTCTGGCTCGGGATCACCATCTGCCTCAATGCCCACGACACAGAGGGAGCTTCCAGAGTCTCCAAGCCGGCGCAGACATCGGGGTCTCCTTCGTGAGCGGCATTGCAAAATGCTATGCTGAGTTCGGCAAAGGGAGCTTCGCCCAATTCGGCGACGGATTTGAGGACGCGGAGGATGTCGTCGCAGTCGTTACAGGTTTTGGCGTGAAAGGTCGTATTCACGGTGGCGAGGAGAGCTTGCTTGTATGCTGGAGTGGAGTTGAAGTTGGCATTACTTTGGTTGTGGAGCTGAGAGATCAGTGTCTGCGCCGTACCAAAGGTGGCGAATGTGAAGAACTGAAGAAGAGAGGGCATGTTTGCTATGTAGCTCTGCTTGGAGAACCATCCTGCTGCGTATGGCAGAGGCTCATATGTAAGTCCGTTTCCACGAGTCATGTGAGTCTGCTGCTTGCTGCGATGACCAGAGGCTGCAGCAGCACGCCTTTTACCTTGCCGCTGTAAGTGGCTGTCGTTCCATCATGTTTGCCGCATCGAGAGGCGCATTGAGATATGACTTAGGCTGTATTAGGCAGGTATATATTGATTCGTGAATCTGCTGCGTTGGAAGTCGGCAGCGGCATAGTAGACATTCGGATAGACGGTCCAATGAAGTCGCGTAACGAGAGCATGAAGTCGGATGTGCAGGCGATTGCGGAGCAGGCTTTTGACCAGGGTATATACCCAGGTAGATAGGTAGATATCTGGCAGCGGCGACAGTGTCGTTGTTACTGAACTCTTGGAGTCTTTATTGCTTGTTGCTTGTTCACCTAGTCGTGCCTTCCAAGTTCGGGCAGGTGGGTTGAGGCATGTCTCCACGTCACTGCTGCTCGAGGGAGCTGAGATATGAATATACTTGCATACACTGTACATGCTATGGAAAGCAAAGAGACATTGTGAGATCTGGCTCCTATGCATGAAACTGCCCAGATTTTACTCGAAATACAGCCTCTCGATGCTGTATCAAGAGCTCCACACCCCATAGTGAGATCTCACCACCCACAAAATAGCTCTGTCCCTCTATTTCGTCTTCTCCACACTTTCAACAACCTTACCAGGATGCTTAATAACATCCACAATCTCATTCACGCCCTCCTTCGCCGACTTCTCAATCTCAGCACCCATACTGTCACCCTTCAGACTCTGCTGGTACATCAACACCCTCGTCGTCTGCGCAGCTCCCACACAGAAGAGCAGGAAGTTCACGGAGGCGAGGAACAAGTTGCGGGGCTTAATGACGAAGCACCAGCGGGTCCAGATCGAGCCGGTGGCCATCAGAGCCATGTTCTGCGAGAGGGAGAGTTGGGAGGCTGGACGCAGGAAGTCGGAGGCGCCGGCTAGGACTACGCCCCACTGTTCGTAGCATTGTCAGCACTGGCTCCGTCGCTCAGCATGAGCAGTAGTGTCCAGATTCGGATATACAAGACTCATGCCTATAGCTCTTTCTCATCGCTTACCTTCATGATCGGAGCCCAGAAGTGCACAGTCTTCGGTCCAACCGGGCTGTTGTAGAACTTCGTAAAGCCAGACTCAGTAGCTGGCTCTGCGATCGTCTCAGCCGTTGCGTATGTCCTGCGCTGGGTGAAGCGGAGGTTCTGGCGGAGGATGGGCTGGCGGGCGCCGCGCAGGCCGAGGCGCATGGTAGTGGCCATTGTGATCGAGGAACAAGGGTATGTACCAGAGGGGAGAAGAGGAGTAATGCTATGTCGCCCAGTTGGAGCAGTGTTGCCGACGAGGTAAATAGCTCATAGTCAGATCGTGGTGCCGGAGCTTGAGGGGAGGAAGTCCGCAGGCCCGAGCTTTGGCACGTGATCTTGAGAAGCATCGAATACTTTGATCATTGCCATACTCTCAACACAAGTCTGTCTTCGACCCGCCCCAAGTCCATCACAGCCAGATAGAAGTCGCCGTCGCCGCCATGTCCGGCAAATACGTGTTCACGAAAGGCCTAAAAGAACTACGATTTCTACACTGCCAGACCAGCGAACACTCCAATGCTGTCCGGTATGCATATCAATCAAGTCCATACAGCATATACGATGATAGACATGGCACAGACTAACGTGCATGGTTCTCCAGATCATTCCTCACCCGCGCTTACCCAACGATGAAGCACCACAACCCACACACACCCATTATGATCCGGGAAGCATTAGGCATCGAGCCAAGAGTATACGCACGATATGAGTTTGGCAGGGAGAAGATGGCGGATTTGAGTGGTACGTGTTACACGCGGACACTCACATGGAACACGAAGCGAGGGGTTGGTTCGGATCGAGTCATGCTAACATCGCGCAGGCCTGGACGACAAGGCCATCGAGGACCAAGTCAGTGGATTGGTGAGGGAGTCGCAATGACCACTGCCTTGACAACCCTGCAGCCAAATCACGTTGCACGAGAGTATGTACATATGTACGATAAGTCGCTCAGAGTCGGCATACCCTCCATTTCTCGAGCTGGCCGCGAGCTGGCCGCAGCGTCAAGCTCTAATCTGTTCGATCTGTAAGGCTGTGTGGCAACACATCTCGCGATATCCCCCGTATGTTCGTGTCTTTCATCCTGTGCAATTCGGTGACCGGACCTATATGCCCCTGTGTCAGTGGAGGGAAGCTTTTGAGTGGACTTGGCTTTTACGAGTAAGGTCTTGTCGACATTGCAGAGACGGGTCATCCGCCGCACGACCAGACTCTAAGCTTTTGAGAGCGTAGCAGTGTTACCGTGCTGGGTTTACGAGGAGAGTAGAAAGTCTGCATCGCACGCTACGAACCGAGACGCCATACCGCTACATTCTCGTCGCTGCTCAAGACATCCGAAGCGGGTAGTCCTGTAACTTGACCGTGATGCACCGATGATATCGAAGAGGACGGCTCATTATCCACAGAAGATTGGCCACATTTTTTCCCCTTGCCGCATCTTTCAGACCGTGATATCGACCAAGGACCTTGCCCTGCCTGAGGTGAAGTACCTCAGATCGCCGAAATGTACCGAAAAGTACCGGGAAACCGAACTTCGCCGCATAAGTCCGAGGAAGCTTTAGTTGACAAGGATTGATAGTTCCTTAACTGTGCCATACAGGAGGGCACCTCGGCCAGCCCAAATGACCCATGATTGTCGCTCGGATACAGGGTCCTATGGATCTGTTCTCGACGCCGATAACTCGCTAGATTGCACCACATTGCCGGCGCCAGGACATCTTTCGTGCATGTCACTGCCGCGGAATTGACCAGAGCATCAATAGTGGTTCAGTCACTCGGCTCTTTTACCCAAATTTCACATGGAACCCACCGGTGCTGAACCTACAGCCTGAAGTTCGCGTCGACAGTTGTTACGTTACATATAACTGCATATGTTCTAGTAGGCTATGAGCTAGGCATCGCGTCCCGCCGCACTACGACACTACGGCGCGGCTCTTGAGGCCCGGGAATTTGGGTTTCTGGAAGCGGTCCGCATTTTCGATGGTAATTTATTGATAGCGTCTGCAAGTGTGTGGCGCTACTAATGTTCTCTGTCAGTCTACCGACTGAACCACTGTAGTGTCTAGATACGTTTCCGGTATACGATCCACACGAGCATGTGCGTGCGGGACGCATGTGTAGTCCTGGTCCTCGGGTGGGTTGGGAAGAGCTTGAAGGTGGCGGATCTTGGGCGAAATGATCTTGTGGAGTGGACTGCTGCGCTAGCCTGCTGGTGTGCGACCGGCTACTCATGTATTGCTCAATTCCCCGTATCCGCATCAGGAACGATCGCGGTCTGAGACCCACGTCTCGGTCTCGAAGACTGTGCCGCGCTGTCGTCGTCAGGCTAGCGGAGCAGGGCTGGGACGCCCGGCATGGCTGAGCGAGCGATTCTCGAGAGGCTCGAGCCAGAGGACGTCACTTTCACTCGTGGATGCCCAAGCATAATTTGCGATCCAGAGCCTTTACGGACGGTAGTGCTACGCCGCACTTGTGCAGGCGGCGATCTCCCAAGCACCACATTTGTACATGAGCGGACGGTATTCGCTGTTCGTTCGCGGCAGGATGGCGTCAGGTTGGCTCTCGGAGATTTTCACTGCTTTCTGATCAGTACGTTGTCCGACAGCGTTTGTTCTGGAGGTACACGACCACATAGGTTTATCAAGAGCACCATGCTCGACGGAGTGTAGGGTATTACGTCCTGAGATGCATTGACAGTGTCATATACAGACTGCATGGACAGTAGCGACCTTACATGTCGCTAGACTACCATGAAGTAGACAGCATTAATGGCCACCTATGTCACGCAGGCTAATACCAAGCCGCCTTGCCCTCACTCCCTGTAGTCAACGCTCACAGAAAGCGCAAAGCTCGCGGAATTGTGCAGCATATATGGATGAGCACTTGATGGACTTCTGACCGGGGAGAGTGTGTCAAGTATTGGAGAAGCCGATGGAAGATACCAAGATTTGGGAAGCAACCGCAGTACCTTAGGATTCAGCATATGGTCTGCTGCGCTTCATGGCCGAGTAAGAGAGCTTCCCAGGTTGTCCAGTCATGGATATCCAGCGTAGCAGTGAGATCGTGAGATCGTGTCCGTTCTGCACACGTATCTATCCTGTGCTCGGAATGTGTCGACGCACGTGGACTTACTTGGCCGATCGAGCACTCCAGGAAGATACTGTATTCGTCATTGAGTTTTGGGGACTCATAGCTGATAACCAGAATCTGCATTCCTCTCTATGCAGTTCATCGCACTGCAGCATGCGATAGCATGGTCCCAGTTATGACCTCACCTGCCGACCGTGGTCGACGAGTCCAGGCCCTCATATCGAGGGTCGTAATCAATCGTTGTGAGTGTATGATGATGCCATCATAGCTCGCCTGGAGCTCTGGTGATCTCATCCTTGCGATGTAAAAAAGCGGTGACAATCACAAGCTCGAATGTCGAATAAGCTCCATCGCGGCAAATGATGCACTGCTCTGCCATCATATATGAGCGTTCAAGCAAGCCTGAGGGCGGTCAAGATAAAGTTTGCTGATGTGTTTGTGGAGTGCATCTCAGGTTGCACAGCACACCGTTTGTTTGCGCAGAAATTGCCACGCAATCTGCGTGGTACGCTACACCGCAGCTGCTGATCATCTCTGATCCACGTGGTGGCGATCCTGTCGCGATAGTCGTGGTTGGACTGAGCCGTCTCGACCACTACCCTGCATGACAAAATTGCAGGCAAGAAGCATGACGATGTGCCTACCTATCGGTTGAGATGTCGGTCATGGTGATTGCTGGGAGGAGGTTCTGTAAGCACAGCCAAACCCGTGGCTCTCCGGCAGCATAGTAGCTTGCCACCTACACGAGATGATGAGGATGAAGGCTGTCGACTCTGCGCACCCTGGCTGTTTGGCTTGCCCTGCATCAGCACGACAACAATGCCTGTCGAGCTGTCAGACATGCGCCTCACCCACTGGTTGTTTTAGTCGATGCTGAGAGTCTGGGGCACATCCGAACGTAAGGCAACTTCGAGACACGGAGTTCATGCCAGAATGGTCGCGTGAGGTCGTGCTTTGTGCGACACCCGACGAGCTGATAGGCCACGAAGCTCATTGGCACTTCAAGCGATCGACGCCGACATCCAGTCGATTCGCATTAGGCGTTGCCTCGGATTTCGCTAACGAGCTACTCCATACGCGGTTTCCACCGTGCAATGTGGACTGAGTGATTCTGCGCGACACGACTATGGCTTAGCATCCTGACAGCTCCAGCACGTAGGGTATACCATAACAATGCGTGAGGCCCAGGCCGGTCACTGTCGGCGAGGCCTCTGATAGTCGCATTGGTGATCCGGTCATAACGAGATTCCAAATTGTGCTACAGACCAGACAGGAAAGGTTGTCAGCAGAGGAGAATGATCAGCTCGATGCTCTGGCGGGTACCGATCGACGCTCTTGCCCGTCGCCGAATACCAGCACTCCGGGTGATCCAGGATGCCCCTCCGCGGGCCGTGTTCGGCATGCCGTATGCTACAAGGCAACAGTAGCCGAGTCTTGATGTAGCCCGCAAGAGTGCTAGAAACCCCCCTGTTGTACTCTTGGAACTTGCAGGGAAGATCTGTGAGACAGTGGCACGACATAGGCCAATGAAGCATTCTGGTCCCTTCTGTGGTCTCATATATTGTCAATGGTGGCCTTCAAGGTCCGAGAAATTCCCAAGTCAAACCCGGTTGGGTCACATGCCCCACAAAGCTAATTGCGACATGCTTTGCGGGATGTTCAGCCTCCCGCAATGGTGCAAAGACGGCTCGCTGCGGATGGCTTACAACCCAGGCCAGCGGGTGGACGTGATATCCACTAGTCCGGTGAGTTGCTAGTACATATGGCTGATACAAGTGCTGGCGCGATCGTTCATTCATCAGCCGGCCAGTGATAGGTCTGCTAGAATGTTAAATTGCAGGTTGCATGCAGGGAGAGTAATAGCTCAAATCGGACCGTTAGGGTCGGCACGATTCGACGTTTGCCTATGCCTACGGTGCTAACTTGTAGCCCCCAAGCAAGCGCTCGGTAACCTAGCTTCGTGAGCTTGTTCATACGGTCTCGGCTCCTCGGCCTGAGTCGCCGGTAAGGTGGCCTCGCACTGCTAGATCTGAACTCAGCATGGCATCAGCTCAGGGAGTATTGGACTGCACCATCGAAATACGAAATACTGGAGTCGGAAGTCCATGCGCGCGTGCACAGCGGCGATCACCGCAGACTGCGTCAAGCGTTTCTAAAAAGACGATCGCATTGTGTCGCTAGATACTTCTCGATAGTGACGCAAGACACGGTCTTACCAGCGGTATCGAAAGTCACGAGTGGTGTAGCTAGGTTCCCAACGACTGCTCATAGCTCATCCCATGTGGCCATCGCTATATTGCGACGATGCCGCCCTTACCGCTGGTAAAGAAGCAGATCAGCATCAATGGTCGATGGAGCGATGTTAACAAAACTCCATCCATTTGTCGAGCGGGCCTGGGCCGTGGCGCGAAGTCCCCGCTAGCTGCCGCTGTCGCATTGCGACTGTAATAAAGCAGAAACTCCATCGGTCCACGTAGTCGCGATGCCGATTCCGATCTCGACCATTTCGCTCCACCCCAGGGTACGAGCGATATTCAGGTGTGCATGAAGTATCTCTGCTAGTACCGTCCAGCCACCGAACGACTTGCCGAACCGTGTCGATGGTAGACCCACGATGCTGGAACCAGCCAACAGCGTGAAGGTGATCTGCGCCGATGCAGGTCCGTTCGTCTTCATGTGAGGCGAAGGCCACGCGAAAGTCATGATGCGCATGCCGATCGTTCTACATCAAGAAGTCGCTGTTAGACAGACACGAGGATGATAACGACACCTCAGATGAAGCTCAGATCTGTAGTGCCGACCGGAGACGATCGGTCGAGGGTATCTGGTGATGCAAGCGATGCGTAGAGTTTGCCAGGGGCCTGCGATGGCGCCTCCCCGCCCGCGCTCTACTTTCCAGGATATGGCAAAGTAGATCCACGGGCCGTGACAGCGGACTCAGCTCCGCCCACAAAAACTGTCAGCAAGCCTGCCACATGAGTTGGCGAGGCAATCTGTATCCCTCTGGTTCTGTTAGATGAATTCCAAATAAGGAGTCAAGACCACAACCGCTCAGGACAGATATGACATTTCTGATCGTGGAGAGCATATGCAAGTCATCAAGGATGCAGTGGCGCTCGCCCTCTGCCGGACCAGTGCGAGGCTCGACAGTTCTGCAGCTAGATGGCAACTTTCGTGCTCATCTGCCAGCTTTTCAGATGCAGTCGATGGCAGGCTAACCGTTTGAGAGTACAGTATGGTCCCAGGTAGGCCGTGAACCCATGCTCCTGGCTGTATCACTCATGCAGCTTGCCACATTCCACCTTCCTACCCTTCGCTTCACTTTGCCCCACAGACGGCGCCTCGCGGACCTCAGTGTAAGGTATGGCAGAGCTCATCACGTCCAATGCTTTCGGACCTGGTTCTTGGCGGTGGACACATGAGCGAGGCTATGCCGTCTGGCCTCCGTATCAACTGTACTACTGCATACCCTGCAGCAGTCCGTCTCTCAGGAGAGTCTTGCCCCGTCCCGTACGCAGCCCTAAAATAGTGACCTCATCCAGTGAAACACTTGAAACGCTAACGGGTATATCGAGTTGAGTACACGCAGCGACGTTGCGATACGCCTACTGACTGACCCACCTTTGTGGGTAACCCACGAACGAGGTTCGATTATGCGAGGCGCATAGGAATGTGCAGCAGACTGGATATCACTACTAGCGCCATCATCTCGAGGACCTGACAGTTCCCTCTCTTTGATTACTATATCTGACCCGACAAGTCGGTCGTCTGGAGTCCGACCAAACACCACCACTTTAATTGGCCAGCGAAGCACAAGTCATGGCCACACAGACTCAATCATTCCATCAATCCTTTGGTTCGGGTCACAGCGATCCAGATTATCATGACCATGTGGAACGTCCCGACCGCTTCTCGAACGCAGCCATGAGCAGATCATATTCTCTGGATTCAGTTCACACCCCACCACACCCGATGGCGGTGGACTATGCTCTCGCCGCCCATACGCCCTTCATCCCTCCGCCACCACATCACATGCTCCATGCACAGCAGCCGATGGGACCGGTACCGATACCTGTCAACCCAAGCTCTCAGCCACGAAAACGTACGATGCGAGCAAACCAGGTTGGTGACCTTCTAACCTCACTCTTGGAAAATGTTACTAATGGTTGTCAGGCCTGTACTCAATGTCGGCTTCGAAAGCATAAATGCGACGAGCAAGTCGATCCTCATCGATGAGTCCATTACCTCAACTAACATCAATGCAGAGGCAACCCATGCACACCTTGCCAGGAAAGTGCTCTGCGATGCACTTACCATCCCAGCACGCCATCGCGGTAAGTTTGGAGCCTGCGCACGAGAGCATATCATCATATGCTAACCGATTCCAGGGCCGACAAGAATATGGACAAGATTATGCAGTACATGCAAGCACATGCCTCAGGTCTGCAATGTATGACCACGCAGATGGCCAACGTTGAAGCACGCCTGCAGGACATGGAAGAGATCAGTAAATTATTCCGAGCCAGGCTCGAAGCAGATGCCATAGCAGAGGATCACGATGTTGTGAGGCCACGATCGGAGCTCGATGACCACCGAACAGCGCCCCATAAGCTCATTCGGTATTGGCCGAGCATACGACCAATTCTACAGGCGGCGGGCCTCCATTATACTGACAATTACGTCCGGGATCTGGAGGATCGTGGTATACTGTCACTGTATACCGCTGGAGGCTTGGACGACCATGCTACACAATCAAGCAGTCGATCACGCACGCAGACGAGCGATGTCGACGCGTATGGATCTCCGGTGAACTTTGTCGAGCCTCTGCCAGTACTGTCCCCGATATGGGGCGATCTGAGACCTGACGACTCACTCCAGCTCGACGTGGAGACCATCAATACACTGTACGAAAGCTACGTTAAGCATATACATATCATGCACCCATTCGTCGACGTACGCAAGCTTCGCCGGATGGTCGAGGATTTCATCGCAGTGCATGGCACGAGTACACAAGATGCTGATGTCGTCTCCGCGGAAGCGCAAGCAAGCCAAGGCTCAACGAATCCTCTCAAGCGGAAACGTAACGAACGGCCAGCTGAATCCCCAATGCCGATGCCGCCGCACGGGAGCTTTAGAAATAAGGCGAACGAGAGACAGGCGCAGCACGCTGTTGTATATCTTGTGCTGGCTCTTGGAAAGGTGTGTCTGCATAGACATGCCATATCAGGGGCCCGATATGACACACCTATGGACAATGGCATGAATTTCAGCAGCAACGTTCCGACGCGAAAGCACTCCACCGCTTCCATGATGACAGAGCAGATATCGCCTACCTTGAGCTTCTCATCCTTGAAACAGGGATTACAAGGCCGTCCCAATTCGCCGTCGACGGAGCTTCGGATACGCCGTCCGTCTGTTACTAGCACGATGTCTGTCGCTTCAGCCAACGTTCATCGCCTGCCTGGCTTGGCGTACTATGCCAAGGCAGCGGAGATCTTGGGCGAGCAAGGCGACGGAAATGACCTTATACATGCACAGATGTTCTTGCTTGCTGGGCTGTACAAGGGCCAGCTGGCTCGGGTGGGCGAAAGCATGAGCTGGATCACGAGAGCCAGCCGTGTCGCCATGACACTGCTCGAACGCTACAAGCTCTACACGAATTACTGGACTGCGCATGGCGACATTCGTAAGAAGCTCGCCAGAGGCCAAGCCCGCATCACCAGCAAGAACGCTAATCTAATTGTTCTTGTATCCTGGTCATGCTTACAGTTAGAAAGCGACATCCTTGCCGATATTCGACTGCCGTCAAGTGGCATTCAGAGTATCGAGAACTCACTACTGATGCCACATAATAGCCGCGAAGACGATGATGGTGTCTACGAACAATTTCCACATCACGAGAAACGGGACGATTATGACAACATCCTCATCTATTATACCGCACAGCTATTCCTCCGTCGGAAGCTCAACCAGATCCACCGAGAGATGTACGGATCTGATTGTCTCAGTCAACCGCTGGAGCAAGTACGCGGAACACTGGGTGGCTACGAGCTCCTGCTACATTCCTGGCGGGAGTCTTTACCGGATGGCTACAAGTGGGACGACAAGGAGAAGCCGGTGGAAAGTATCCTCGCCGCCAGGCTCCGTGCGAAGTACTATGTAAGTGTTGCTCCTGTTCAGAAGCTTGCGACTCTGCTAATGTGATGTATAGGGTATGTCACACTTCCGCGCCTCATGTTCTTCGCTCTTCTTCCTCAACTCTGACTGCTTGAGCCCGACATCGTGAACTCTCAAACACGCCGTGCACTCATGGGCTCCTTTCATCATATCGCGTTGCTGACATATCTGCTGAACAGGCGCACGCTACTTGGTCAACCGGCCGTTCCTTGACTATGCTCTGCACATTATGCCAGCCATCAAAGACGGTAGAAGTGTGAGGGAAGCAGCACGCGATGTACATGGCGAACCGCGCCACGAGGCCGACATCCACATCTTCGAAGCAATTCAAGGCATGCCGGAATCTGAAATCTGGAGAGCCTGTAGACGCTGCATCGAAGCTGCTATCCAGAGCACTATCGCCTTCGATGGTGTCCCTGAGCACGACCTCATCGTGACTAATATCCACGGCACAGCTCACGCGTAAGCTTTCGTACCTTGATCTGCCACGAGAAGCTTGCTAACCTCAATAGACAATTTGGAAACATGCTCGTTCTTTCGGCAGCATATTATAGTAAGGATTTGAATTCGATGGTACCCTCGGATCGTTTCAAGGCTCTGCTGGAGCGGACGATCGCGTTTCTCCGCCGCGTAGCATCTATATCGCCTACGTGCAGAGTGGACAGCGAAATATTGGAGGAGCTGCATTGGAGGTCTTTTGGAGTTTCGCATCGCACATGACACATCGACGACACTGATGGCATGTTTCGGATTGGGAGCTTCACGACGACATGGTGATCACAGTATAAGCACATTCATTGGCGGCATAACAGGACGTACCTATGGAGGATTTATGAGGACATGGCAATCATCGGAAAGCAGTATTTAGGCCGCATAACAGGACATGCATTGGGAGGGGACGTTTCGGATTTTGTATAATTCACTGCCACCGTAGCTCAGGGGGCTACCTTTCCGGATTTTGTCAGACATTGCTATGCTGGACATGGCTGTGTACAAAGGCGCTCGTCTCCAAAAGCCTAATGAACACTTGTTGTCTGACTGCCTTTCCCACATGTAGTGGCTAGATGTGCCCCAAATAGTATGGAGGCAGGAGGGTGCGAAGTCGGCTCCTGAGTCTGATCGTGTAGGCGACGCGCCAGATCAGGGTCTCCATCGGCCTCACTCAGGAGCTTGAGGTGTAGCTGTCCAGCTGTCCGGGGCCTTACGGGCAGAGAAATAGGTCCATTGCGCAACGACATCACCCACCCTTGCGATCAGATCACTTGGAGAATAATAGGTTATGGTCTGAATATTCAAGCAACTGACTATCACAATGTCGAACATAATCGTGCTGAAAGAATGTAGGAACACATGGTACGCTTTCATCGGATCTGTCCGTGCCAAGAATTGCTCGAAGTCAATGTGTAAGGCTTAGAAGAGGAGCCAAAGATAGCTTTCGTAGGATTCGCGCTTAACGCAAGGTTCAGGCGGCGATGATGAGAGTGGGCAAGTTCACTGGTGTCGTCGAGATTTTAAATGTGATTCGGAGGACTATCATGGTAAAAGAATGGCATGTGTGGGTATATACATGGTAGGCTGAACACTTCTACTACCCAGGTTGGCTATGATACAAATGGCCGGAAACTCCATCAGTCTAACGAAAATGTGTTGCTTGATTTCGAACAGTTGAACTCGTATCTCTTTCTCATTGACAGCGATAGTGTATGGTCGTCGTCAGATCCATTTTCATACAGCGCTCAAACCTTCGCTGACTGAGGCGACGCGACGAAACGATACCGCATCTGCTCTTTGCGAGCATGGCGAGCTGAAGGTTTCCTCCGGTGAGATGCGTGTGCATGTTCCATCTCTGCTGCGGCCTGCAGTAATGTGAGCAGGCCGGGCGCCTGTGCGTTGGCCTTCATGAAGTCGTCATCGAAATTGTCAACACGGAACGCGCTGACATAGGACTGATCGATGGTTGTGCGCTCCCTCCATGAGTGTGAGCTCCATGAGAACGACCCGGCCAGCGGTAATGAGCGTCGTAGTCTTGGGAAAAGGGGTAGTTGTGGTCGACGATGAGCTGAAAGGTCTTTGCTGTTTTGCGGTCGCACGACCTTGAATGTCCTGTTGCGATATGGTCTTACTGGACTGGCGACAGGCTTTGGCTTTGGTACTTCTGGCTCCGTGCTTGCCTTCTCGATGAGTGCTGTTGCAGGCAGGGCAAGGAGCATGTCGTATACCGATACACGTCGGTCGAACACCGAGTCTTTGCGCCCGAGATCTGCCATTGTCGATGTGATTGTTCGTTGAAGATTAAAAAATGAACGATGACTTAGAGATGCGTATGACCTGCAGCGAGTGTCTCTCGTAGTGCGTGGATGTGGGACAAATGTGCCAGGTACGATAGACAAAGAGGGAGGAACAGGTAATGTTGATGCCGGCACCGAAATCCCTGGAAGATGCGGCTGCACGATATAATTAATGATTCGCAGTAAAACCTCTGTCTCGGGCAAGGTACGTCCAGCTCTGCCCCCATCGTGTGCAGATTCCAGAATCTGGACGACACCCAGCAAGATCTCACCACATGAAAGACACACGCTCGCTTCGGGTGTACGTCTGACCAAGTGGCAACGGTCGCTAGCCTAATGGCGAACCCGATGAGCTACCTTCCCGGTAGCTAGAACGATGAACCACTTCAGTGAGACCAATGGCGTGGTTGGTGAGCTACCCGTCCACGACATTTGTGCGAAAGGCAGGGATCTTGTCTCGAGAACTCCGCATTACCATTGTTGAGTTCGGCGGGCCGCGAGCTGTAGTTCAGTCCTCCACCAGAAAGTGGCTCCTAGACGAAGTTTGGATAAAAGCCAAGATCGATCCAGTACAGAGAGGACGGCGGGGACGACCGCGGCAGCGCGGAATGCATCTGGATATCGTATCGCCAATCGTGCCCTACACGATGTTGATTTGCGATCTGGCCCAGATACCATGGAATGTTAGTGTGCAGTAACGCATGGCGTGCAGCGCGTCTGAGTGGCCGGGCCTATCCGCTCAACCAACAAAGAGGGTCCATTGAAGCCAGCCGGGGGAAAGTTGCCGCCTGTCGATGCGCGGACCCCGCAGCGAAGGTTCATGCACGTAATATGTATGGTGAGCTTGGCGTCGACTACACTTTCGACTCAAGCTCTGCTTACTGCATATGAGATTCGCAACTCCATAAGGCTGCGTCACCGGGCTCCCGCGTGCCCGCATACGGTTGAACATCCGAGCCGTATCGATCATGTGCACCTCGTTGATCTCCCGCAGAGCACAGTGGCCTCTCCGGTTGGCATCATGTTTAATGGTTCCGATCTAGCTGCTGTTTGCGACCCCCATGATCGGGAGCGGCCGTGAAACATTGGGTGCGCGTATCTCATAGGTGCACGAGTTACGCATGGGCGAGTCCGAGACATCAGCGTAGGCAAGCACGTTCGGCGTGATCCACGTCCAGTCTTTGCAGCGGCGCCACCCAAATATTGCGCTGGACATCTTGGCGCGAAGCATCCAATGACAAGCCATTCGGTTTTTGAGAAGCCAGGATGGCGGCTTTTGTGTTCCGCACGACGTGCAGCTGGATTCGTCCGCCATGCGTATAGCGGAAAGAGGACGTCGGACCGTAGTTCGGGCTGGTAAAAGGACTGGCTTACCACCGGCTTTGCGGCTCCGCGGCTTCGTGTCGCTCTTGCATACTCGTTACCAAAGTCAGACGCTCCTGCAGATGTCCAGGTCCCCAACCGCATTAGGTCGTGACTTGTATGTAAGATTGGACATGAGGGTCTGCGGTTTCTCATCCGCGGTCATGACTGGTGATGTTGCTAAGATGTTTCGCATCATATCCTGCTCGGATCCAGGCACTGCTGAGATCGTGCGAACGCTCTTCCTGCCTAGTCGTCGGTTCTGTTCCACCTACGACCAAGTCATGCTCTAGTCCAATGTCGGTATCATTTGTTATGCTTTCAGGGCAGCCATTCTTGGGGCATAGATGCCGAGCATGCCATACGCAGAAGCCAGGAGTATATGATGATAGTCTTTCCAGCTTACTCCCTGTGCACCGAGCTTTGAGTCGATCGCGAGCCTTCATCGATTCGCTACTGTCGATAATGGCCAAGGGAGCTCTAACGATGCCTCAACCAAAGGGGTCGCAATCTTCTTCCAAGCTCCAAGCCCGCTCTCATGAAGACGAGAAGCAGGAGGTTCGCTGCTATCAAGACCTCATCGGCGAAAACGAGAAGACTCCCACACAACAGCCACCCACGCGGCTTCGTCGCACTCAAGCATATCCCGATCTGCCCAGAGAAAACGCCTCATACGAGCTTGCCAAATTTCTGCGTGATACTGGTCCCGAAAGACCAGAGGCTCGCATGTCGACCGAAGCCACAGAAACCCGGTCAAAATCTTTGCCTCGTCAGCTGATGCAGCGATTCGTGCGCAAAAGCAAGAGCGACATCAGGCAGGAGAATTCGAGCAAGTCCAAAAGGTTAGTAGCATCTTCGAGATTATTCAGACATGTGCTGACCATACCAGCTCCAGGTTCACATACGATGCTCTAAAAGGGCATTGGGTTGCACTTGGAGCAGAGCAGACTTCACCTTCACTGCCTGCGGGCTTGCCCGAAGGAGTAGTACAAAAGACCACTTCCGACGGTAAGAAGTACCTTGCGCTGCGGCTGCCACTGGAGATCAAAGGCGATGGCTGCATTGACTATTCGTACACAACGTAGGTTGGCCAAGCATGAGTTCGAGTGGCACCTTGCTAGGCTGACGTTCTCATAGGCATGATATACCTTTGGAGGATATCCAGCCGGAAGACCTGACTGGCCTGACCTCCGACCAGGTGATAGATGGCTGGTTACAGGACCTCAGAGCAAAGTCAATCAAGAACGCTCGCTTGTCGACAGCGTCTTCGATGGCTGTCGGCCAGCTAAGCGCTTTTCTGCCAAGTGAGAAGTCACAACCGAGCGTACACCCTGCGCTTCGTGGTCTTGAGGATGGCACACCGACTATCTCATCGGCAAGCGCGAGCGACTCGTACTCGCTTTGCAGCGAAGGTGAGCATTCAGAAGAGCGCCACGTGGCGTCGACGTCGTCTGAAGACCTGCTCGCGACGCCCAAGGCAAGAGTGACTTCAATCACTGTGACTGAGTGCCCACCAGACGTTCCAATGCGCTCTCCGGCACGCGATAGCCATCGTATTGAAAGCGAGCCTTTGGTCCAACCTGTGAAGACTACGCCACCGCATGTGAGCATAAGCAAGATGTCGACTGCACGGCCAGACTATGTGCGAAGCAGCAGTGCCGGTGATCTGCTGTACGCACCCTCAAACAAGATGCTTACTGGCCAAGATGGCAGATGTAAGAGCATGGCATCGCAGCTCGATGTAGCTGCGATGGAGAGCATCATCAACTCCATCAACTGGACTCTTCACAAGAAGACTGCCGGTCTGCCAGTATCGAGGTATGCAGATGCTTCGAACAATGATGCATCAACGGAAGATCAGCGACGAGACTCCGTCTCTCCTCTCTCGTCGACGTTCAATGCGATCTCTCGGGGCAAGCCAGCAGTAGCCGAGAATATCAGAGCCGTCATCACACCAACATACTCCAGCAGTCAGAGCTCACATTCAAGAGGCAACTCTTCAACTTCGTCCGTAAGCCATCCCCTTGCTCTCAACGTGATTCCAGAACAACCGACCTCGGACTGTCCATCTCCAAGATCACTTTCGCCGATGTCAATGAGAAAGCCAGAGGCGAGGAGCAAGCCAAAGTACCGAAAGGATCCTCGATTCGGAATACACAGCCAAATTGCGGGTGGTCAAGCTGTTTCTCCAATCGAGTGGAATCTGAATGGTGCTTCATGGCTGGCAGAGCCAAGTGATGATTCGGAGCGTAGCCACTCCGTGACATCCTTGACAGAGACTGGTCGACCAGTCGAGCAGCCTATAAGACGCCTACATAGCGCGGCTGCGAACAGCCATGCGACCAAGAAGCCAGCACCACGACGGGCACGAGTGAATGCAGGCTCGACAGGCTCGCCACGGCATGCAAATCGCAAATCCGATGACTCGCGCTCCTTGCAGAGTTTCATGCCAGCGGGACACTTCCCAAGCGCGCCCTCACCAGCACCTAACAAGGCGCTGCCACCACTACCTGCCATATCATCGCCGACCCACATCAGCTCCTCGACCCAACGCTCCCACGTCAGCGTCCCACGCAGGAAACCAGTGCCGCAAGCCGGCAACGCCTTCCGAGGCAACGGTGCGGAAAGCCCCCAGAAGCGCACCCGTCTCTGGCTGACCCCAAGCAACCAGGACTTGAGTGAGAGCTATGCGGTCAACTGTACACCACCACTATCCTCACCTTTGACCAATATGGTTGACCTGGAGGTCCTGGAGGACCATTTAACAGAGCTCCAGTACAGAGCTTCCCAGCTCTCGGCTATGGTGATTGATATGTACAACCATGGTGGCCTGGACCGGACACCTGGTACCAGTCTGTCACATGGCGGGCAGAGTGCGAGGTTGTTGTTGTAGGAATTTCGGTTTTCTGTTGATGGCGCAAGGATGATGTGAGGTATTGTTGTATTTGCTTGAGCAACCAAATCAGCGACTTGTACATAGGCTGGGAGCGAGCATGTATATCAGCTCTTGCAATCACACCATCGCTGGGACTTCCATCTCCTCGCGACTTCCCGTGGATACAAAATCTGGTCAAGTTTGAAGGTTATGCAGCCTACTCCTGAGAATACCTGCCGAGGCACCTACCTGATTGGGCCAAGTCAGGAACATCGTCCAGCACGGCACTTGATATGGCCGTCTTTGCTCGCTACTTTTGAACCTCTTTCAGCGCAGGGTAGTATAATAGCTTTCTTGGCGAGGTGAAAATGTCACCTTCACCAGCATGAGTGGGCTTAATATGTTTCAGAATTTGCAATCTGGCGATTGCTCAGAACCATACGTGATGGGAAACGTGTGCTGAAGAAACTACTGTCTGCTTTCGTCCCGCACCCTCACAACCGGGTGAACGCAAATGACGTGCAGATCCATTCTCCGCGGAAATGAACGGCTATCGTTCTAACAGGTTTGAAAGGCTGTAAGGGTGGTAGCTTGGCCGGATGGACTTACACTGGATGTAGCGGACGCCTTGGTGTGACTTTATTATCTTCTCATGGAGGGAGAGATTCTATGTCCCAGCATGAGAGATGTTTCTGGTCGACGAGGGTGATTGCCATGGCTTACGATAGCTCCTGCATCTCCAGCATCACGTTGCCGAAGCGGAGCACATGAGAGGTCTCCTGCAAGTACAGTCCAATGAAGCACAATAGCAATGCCCTTTCCCTTTTAATGTTGTACTCTGTCTTATCCACACGATCAGGACTATAGGAGGTAAAGGCGAGAGTCGTTTCGTAGTGTTAGCCCATCATGCCGCAGGACGAAAGAGTACTAACGAGATACCAACTCATCACGAACAACAACAAGAACAACCATGGCCTCATCCACCTCCGCAGTAACGAAACCGAAGAACCGGTCGATTTCACCTTCGAGGCTCTCCGTCCAGGCCTTTTCCGGACGACCTTCTCTTCGCCATCCAATCCCTTGCCACCATGCCCCAGTGCCCGGAAACCATCTCAGGACATCCCAGACCTCACCACCTCCAAAGAGTCCACCACATCCCAGACCATCATCTCCCAAAACATCGAAGCAACACTAACATGGCAAGCCGAGCCTCTCATCTCCCTGGGCTTCAAAGGCAAACCACCGCTGCACGCCGACCTCCCGCACCGCTCCTACTGCCTCGACGGCCGTGGGACAGCCCACTATACCAACTATGCTCGTGGAAGCCTGCACCTCGGCCTGGGCGAGAAATCAGCACCAGTGGACCTCTCGAATCGCCACTTCACCCTCTCAGCCACAGATTGTTTCGGCTACGATGTCCACCGTAGCGACCCCATGTACAAACACATCCCGCTCCTGATCCGTGCAGGTCCTGAGGGAGTGGTGGCGAGTTTCAGCACTGCTCATGCTCGGGGGTATTATTCCGTAGGTAGCGAGATGGATGGCATGTGGGGGTACTTTAAAGTATATCGGCAGGAATACGGTGGGTTAGAGGAGTATCTCATGATTGGGCGGACGCTACAGGAAGTCGTTCACCTCTACGCCATGCTCGTTGGGTTCCCGCAGCTCGTGCCGAGGTGGGCGATGGGGTATCTGGGGGGTGGGATGAAGTATTCCATGCTTGACGACCCGCCTGCGCACGAAGCGCTCATGGCTTTCGCTGATAAGCTCAAGGACCACGAGATCCCTTGCTCCGGTTTCCAAATGTCGAGTGGATATACGGTCGCGGAACAGGAACCCAAGACCAGGAATGTGTTTACCTGGAACCGGCATAGATTTCCTGACCCGAAGGCTTTTTGCGACGAGTATCACAAACGCGGCATCCGACTCATCGCCAACATCAAACCCTACGTCCTTGCCTCGCATCCGGCCTACGCCGAACTAAAGAAGAACGGAGCTTTCTTCACCAACCCCAGGACCGGAGGAACAGGGATCGCACGTCTCTGGTCCGCAGGCGGCGGCACGAGTGGCGAAGGCGGCCATATCGACTTCACTTCCCAAGCAGGCTGGGACTTCTGGTACCAAGGCGTGCAAGCCCTACGAGAGACGGGAATGGATTGCATGTGGAACGACAACAACGAATACCTCCTCCCATCCGACAAATGGCAACTCTCCCTCACCCACCCAGCCGTGCACTCCGGCCTAGACCCTAACACAAACCTTGTAAGAAAAGATACCGGACTCTGGGGTCGCGCCCTGCAAACCGAACTCCACGCCGCTTGCTCCCACGCAGCCCTCACCGCCCTCATTCCTACGGAACGCCCCTTTATACTCACCCGCTCCGCAACAGCAGGAACAATGCGCTACGCCTCCTCCACCTGGTCCGGCGACAACATCACAAGCTGGGCCGGCATGCGAGGCGCCAACGCCCTCTCCCTCAACGCGGGCCTCAGCCTCCTCCAATCTTACGGCCACGATATCGGCGGTTTCGAAGGCCCTCAGCCGAGTCCCGAACTCCTGCTTCGATGGGTGCAGATGGGATGTCACAGTCCGCGATTCGCGATCAACTGCTATAAAACTGGCGAGGATAGTTTGGTCGGGGATGTGATTGAGCCTTGGATGTATCCGGAGATAATCCCACATATCCGTGCGGCGATTCGGAGGAGGTATGAGATGGTACCTTATCTTTATGGGCTTATGCTCGGTAGTACACGGACTGCTATCCCGCCACAGCGCTGGACGGGGTGGGGATATGAGACTGATGCGGAGGTGTGGACTAGTAAGCTGCTCAAGGACGGGGAGACGCAGTATTGGCTCGGCGACACCCTCCTCGTCGGCGGTGTCTACGAACCCGGGGAGGTCGAGGCAGAGATCTATCTCCCTCGCAAAACCGCCACGGACCCAGGCTTTTTAAACACAAACGCACCTTATCAGTCCCTCGAAGCAGGCAAATGGCACACCATAGCCTCAAATTGGGAAGGCAGTATCCCAATCCTCGCCCGAATCGGTGGCGCAATCCCCATAGGTCTACCAGAACAAGTCGTCTCTCCGGGCGATGCAGTCAACGAAGCAAACTTACCTCCAGACAACTGGCGCGGAATCGAGATCTTCCCGCTTCCAGCCGAGCGAATCGTGGGGGATGGCGATGGCGATGGCGCGGCGGGAATCTGGCACACTAATACCTGGCTCGAAGACGACGGCGTCTCACCTGCCTCCTCGAACCAGGTCGCGAGTTTCACGGTCGAGTATTGTGCTTTGAAGACTCGGGTCAAGGTCAAGTTCAGTAGGGAAGAAGGTGCTGATGCTAGTGCTTTCGAACCGCCGTGGCTGAAGCAGGGTCTCAGCGTCATTCTGCCTGTGGGCGATACTAGACAAGTGGTCGTTGATGGGGGAGTCAGCGCAGCAGATGCAGGCGAAGATGCAAAACGTAGGAGACGATGGCGTTTGCCGCATCCTTCGCACATGGCGGCGGAGCAGTGAGCAGCGTTTTGATGTTCATAAAACATGGGGTGGTGTTGTAGACAATGTCGTGTTCATGTCTGGTCAAGTCACACATGGTCATGCCTGCTGATGGTGGTTCCTCACTTGTAGCATGAATGTTCGGGTATGACAAAGCGTGAGGTGATGGGATAAGATGTGTTCGGAGGATGGTAGCCATATCACCATGTAGCTACGGCACACTAGAACGCCATGCAGACTGCGCGCTCATTGTGCTTGCACACCACGGCCAATACTGCAATGAACCACCACCATCATCTCGCGTGACTTCCTTCCTCGACCCGGTAAGCTTAACGAGAAGTAGCCTTAGGCTTCGGCGCGGAGCCCTTGGCAGCCTGCTTGCCGACAACACTACGCATCACACCACGTCAGCCAACCATTCAAATCCCAGCATCTCACCCGTAGACTCAGTAGAACGTGTTGACTCACCGACCAGTGCTCTGTCCACTCGCCGCCTTAGCCGCCCCCTTCGCCTTCTCCGCCTTCTTGGCGCTCTGGGCCGCTGCCCTCTTCTCCTTGCCCGCCTGTGTAGCCTGCGAACGCTGGGCCGCACGAGCCTCGGGACGCTGCGAACGGCGCTCCTTGATCACGTCGAGGGAGGCACCGACAACGGCACGCTGGGATTTGACTTGCTTGCGGCGGCGGGTCTTGGCTTGCTCCTGTTGTGAGAATGATCATGAGTCTGAGTCCACTGTGCAGCAGAGTTGGTATCTTTGGGGATGATGCGTACCTCAGAGATACCCTTCCTCCTCTGGCGACGGCATAGCACGGTCCATGCGATGCGGCGGGGGTTCTTGCGCTGGAGGAAGAGGGATTCGGTTTTGCCGGTAGCGAAGCGGAAGATCTTGCTGTCGCCGCGGATGTAGAGTTTGCCCTGTGTAGGATGTCATGTCAGCATATACTCCTGATTCTCCCTCATCCCCCTTGGCTCATCCATGGTGCTGTCTGTCTCTCGCTACTTGTTGACGATGGGCGATCTTGAAAGGCAGCTCTTTGGCTATCGTCCATCTTTATCTTGCCACCCTGCCTCCGTGTGCTTTTCTGGCGACAACGGTACCGGCACTTCGAACCTTCGCCATCGCCATTCACATCCTCATTGCCTGATATCGAATCCCTCTGGGCCATGACCTCGCAGCGGGCACCCGCACCGCCCACAGAAGTGATATTGATAGTGTGCCATACCTTTCCAGGGTAGATCTTCTGACCGGAGAAAGTATCGTCGTAAGTCCTCATACTGGCGATTGTCGTGTGTAAGGTGTGTCTGCAGTAATTCTCGGCTTCGTCGCCTGTATCTTCAATTCAATCAATGTCGTCGCGCGCAATCATCAACTTCGAAGTGGGAGCGTCTTGGCGTGCGCTTCTCGAAATTCCTGCCGAAAAGTAGCCGAGCGCACACCACGAACTTCGCAAAGCCGCCTCCACAGAGCGCAGCAGCGGAAATTCGAGATTCGAGCCAGCGACTTCTTCCCACGCCCATATCACGACATCCACGCCGCCTTCTGGTACGTCAATCACTTCCCACCGACCACGAGTCTACAAGCACGAGAAGCAAGGGGCATTGCATCTAACAGTTGTGCCTGCGCAGATCCGAGACACACAGACACACACACACCACAATGGGCGACGCCAACGTAACAGCAAGCAACTGGCGCAATGTCGAGACCGGCCGCATAGGCATGTTCGCCAAAGGCCCTTACACCGGCCGCCTCGCCGCCATCGTCCAGATCATCGACCACAAGCGCGTACGTTCCTACAAGAAACCCATCCTAGAAAAGTGCCAAGACATCCACGATACTGACACAAGTGATGATATATATAGGTCCTAGTAGAAGGCCCCTCAGAAACCGCCTCGGCCAAAGTCCCCCGTCACGCCGCCCCCCTCTCCTCCATCTCCCTCACCAGCATCGTCATCCCTCTTCCCCTCGCCATCGGCCACACCGGCCTGAAGAAGGTCTGGGAGAAGGAGGACGTCGAGGGCAAATTCAACAATTCCGCCTATGCGAAGAACAAGGCGCGGTTCGCGCGGAGGAAGCAGCTGTCGGATTTCGAACGGTTCAAGGTCATGGTGTTGAGGAAGCAGGCGAGGTTTGAGGTCAAGAAGAGTATGACGGGGAAGGCGTAGGTCGGGATGGCTGAGAGATAGATAGAGAGAGAAGGGGAAAAAGCTGTGTGTCTGTTGGAGTGCCAGTGCCACTCTGATACACGAGCAAGTCGTTGTCACTGGGCATGGAACGAGATGTGGCTACACCGGCGCCTCTTGCTGTACGTGATGGTGGGCTGGCGTATATGGAAGGCTGGCTTGCATGCATGCTTGAAGTGAGAGCCATAGTACAACCCGAATCCAAACATTGGCGAATGCAAAGCTGATGGCACAATTACCTGCTTTCACACTTCGTGCTAAGATGTTGTGTAGCCGAAACCAAAGTGTCACAACCCTAGTCTCCATTGCACTGACAGCGCTAGGCATCCTAAGGTAGCCGCTTATGAGACGTTGTAAGATGATGGAGCCCGGCGCGATCCACACCGCGCGCGAAGGGCAGTATAGAAGCGCATATGCACAACGCTGACAGAAAATGAAGTACATAGCCACATGCACGATACATCAGCGCCAAAAACACCAAGAACGCCACACCATAATTATAACTTCTTCGTGTCCTCCTCATCGCCATCCTCCACTATCCCCGTCCAACCCTCATCATCATCATCCTTCTCCGCCTCCTTACCATTACCACTCCCATCCCCATCGTGGCTGCCATCCGCAATATAGATAAGCAATGTACCCGGTCCACCCGATCCCCGAAATGTACGCCTAGCGTCAAAGACACTATCCTCGATACCGATCCCACCAAGCCCGGCAGACCGCAAGAGGAGAGCAGACCTACCACTTGGTCTCCTCCCGCTCGTCATAGTCTCAGCCTCACCTCCAACGACAACAACGTCACCCTCACCCTCTCCCTCCCCCTCATCTTTCTCCTTTGCTTGCCTTTCACCCTCAGCAGATGAAGAAGTAGAAGAATCAGAAGACTTAGTAGCACGCTTCCTATGCGCATGCTGCCTCTTAGCCATCATCCCCCGGTTCACCGGCGCCGTAACAAGACCCGAGCCGCCCTTCTTCTGTAATTGCTGCTGACGGGCCGCGATCAACGACTGGACTCTACTGCTAGGCGAGTCAGCAGAACTCGAGGCAGCGGCAGTGGAGGGGGGAGTATTATCACCCGACGTGTCTGAAGGCCGGCCGAAGGTATGGGAGCTGGTTGCTGAGGCTGCTGTTGGCGAGAGTGTCGTGTGATCTTCTGATGAGCTGAGTACTGTGGATGTTTTGTTGGCAAAAGGTGTCGAAGGCGTGGTCTTGTCCAGGCCGAATTTGAACATGAAGCCCGGCGCCTGAATTAGTGTTATTGGAGCAGGAGTCGTGGCGGATGAACAGGCTGTAGTTGCACGGGTTTCGGCTACAGTGACAGTGCTCTGCTGGGCGGAATCCTGCTCAGTGGGCTGCTGCGACTCTTCTTGGTCGTTATCCGCCTTCGACTTGCCCTTCTTTTTCTTGTTACCGGACTTCCTACTCTTCTTCTTCGCCTTCTCCTCGCTCGGCACTTCATCAGCAGGAGGATGCTTATCCTCCGTCATGCCAGCACCAGGTATAGCAGGATCAAGGACAGTGCCGTTGCCGCCAGTCGGATCTGGAATTGCTCCACCACTATCGCCACTGTCACGAACACCAAGAGAGGCATCGCTCTCACGAAACGAACGAAAAAGAGTCTGATCTGAACCCTCTGAGCCCGTCGTCGCTGCAGGCGCCGAAGCTCCCGAGGAGGATGGAGACCCATCGGTTGAACTAACAGCGCCCTTGGCAATGTCAGCGGAACGGCTCTGGTTGGGATCTGATTCGGGACCAGGAGACTTGTTTGACGACTGCTGTGGGCTTCGGGTAGCGCTTGATTCGTTATCTGCCGACTCCACAGGCATTGTGTTAGTCTGCTTGCGACCTAGACAGGCAAATGAGTCAGCATACACTCGGTTCAAGGGACGTAATCGGAGCAACAAACTCTGTAAATCAGGCCGCTGACGTGGAAGACCACCTACCCCTTGGGCCGACTGCAATGTGCTGTTGTCCACGGGCCCAGTAGACTGTGTATCAGCAGACTCCATCACTGTATCTATGCTCGCACGATCTCCTCCCATAAAATCCTGATCCAACACATCCTGAGGAAAAGTGTCTGCGGCAATGCTGGCAGCGCGGCTCTCAGATGGGCTTGCCGTACTTGAAACACCATCATTGTCGAAGAGCGACTTGTCTCTGATCGAACCTTTACCCTTCTGCGGTTTCGACTTCTTCGACTTCGACGTCTGCTGTTTTTTAGCAAACATGCTCAAAGATTCAGTTTTGGCAGGACCCTTCGACTTATCTACCTTCGTCTGTGTCGAAGGTAATGACAACGCTGCGCTAGAGTCCTTCCTAGCCTGCTGCTTTGGGCTCGCCATGGTAGCAGCAGGTGTGGTTGGCGAACTAGGCGAATTCACAGACGTTGGCGTTACCGGATTGTCGATCTTGGGGCTAGCATCGTCGTTCGTGCGGTTCGAATTGGTTTTATTGACCATTAGCAGAGGTATCGGGACTTTCTTGCCAGTAGTGGACGCCGGTGATCGTGCTTGACTGCCCGGTGTTTGGGATCCAAGAGAAGCGACAGGGATATACTCAGCTGGAATGGGCTCGGTCTGTTCGGTAGCGACGGGTTTGGGATCATGAGAGATTTCGAGCGGAGTGCGGATGGTTGTAATGGCTGTCACCGCAGAGGATGTCGTCTCATCGGTTCCTCGATCCTCTGTTCTGCTATTTATGCTCAACAGGTGATGAGGCACGTCAGTGGTATGAGCCGGCTCAGCGGTGGTTGACTCTGGCCTGCTTTTTTGCTCCGCAATCTTCTGTTGCTTCGCACTCTCGTTCGACTCAATCGCTGTATGGAAGCTCTCGTCCACGCCATCATCATCATGTTTCTGTGTAGCAGCTGGCGTGGCCACGGGCGAAGAAGCAGTGACGGATGCTGTCGAATCAGACGACTTCATGATCAATTGGACATCTTTGGTTCCGTCTGCCCCTGAAGACGACTTAGTTGTCTTTTCATTCGAATCCAGTGAGATGGCTGTGGTGGGTTGGGCAGATTCGGTAGAAGCGGATCCTGAGACTGTTGCTTTCGCCTCGGCCGGCGTCTGCGCACGAAAGGGCTGCTGGGCGCTACCATCAGCGCCTTGTGACTCTTCAGAGGTCACGGGGTTGGTGACAGACGGGACCGATGTCATGTCTTCAGCTTGCTTGGCTTGGGATTCTCCATACTCTGCACCCAACTCGTCTTTGCCCTCGAGACTATGAGCGTTTACCTGTGCAGAAGTAGTATCCTTGGCCAAATCAGTCGATGTATGCGCAGCATAAGGCTTTGGTGTTGTATCGATCACTATGCCCTCTTTGATAGTACCGACGTGCTCCGTGGTAATTGTCTCTTCAGATGCTGCCTTGCTCTTTGCAATAGAGGCCGGCGCATTCTCAGGTGGCTCTCGTCCCTTACTCTTCTTCGGCTTCGACTTCTTCTTAGGCGTACTCGGACCCGAAGCAACAATAGTGGAGGCCCCCGAGAGCACGTCTTTGGTCAGATTCGGCACATTTGTACTCTTTATCGTCGGCGTCTGGACATCTGCGACATATTTGAGGTTACGTGCGTCTTGTGATGGATGTTTCGGCTGAGGGTGTGGCCCGTAGTGCTTTTCGAGGTCCCTCGAGCTCTTGAATACGTGGCGTCTGTTCTCGGGATGGTCGCTGCCTGGGAACTTGTGATGGCTGGGATCCCAGTATTCCCTGGGCACCTCGATGCGTAAACGCTGATTCGAACTCGGCCAGTGAGTACCATTGAGTGCCAGCGCCTTGACCGTGGTCGTGTGATTGCGGAACGTAATCCACATGTTACGAGGGGCGGTATTGAGCTGGTTGGGGCCCAAGCTCACCAGCTTTACTGGTCCAATAGCCTGGAAGTATTGGTGGACATCGGCTTCTGTCATCTGCGGTGGTACGTAGAAGACGAGAAGCTTGGCAATGTACGTACAACCTGGCGCGATCGTATACGGTGTATTTGCGCCAGGATCGTACCCAAGCTCGCTCTCGTGCTCAATGTACTGTTGACCCTCAGGCCCAGGTGCTTCGAACTCCTGTTGAGTGGGAAGAGGTGCATACACTGGAGTCGGCATGTAGGGTGATTGGCCAGCTGTATTGCCTTTGAAACCTCCACTCGACTGATGAGATGGCATTCCTGACTGACCGTAGGTGAAACCTTCACGCGAAGGAGGAAGATTCTCGCCGGAAGGCAGCCAATCACCCGGCGCCTTTGCACGCCAGTCATTGCTGAAGTTGCTGTTGCGGCGGCTTTTGTCCTCGGAGACAAAAGTCGCGGTGTACCGTGCATCGTCAGAGGCCTGGATAAAGGCTTCTGAGTTACGACTACCGCTGCTGAAGCTGTTCCTACCGCTGTACGGCTTGCCGCGGCTGACTGAGAATGTACGAGGCTTGCCACCGCGGGTGGGGTAGCTGTCACGTCGATTATTTGCGTATCTGATTGTACCGCGTTTGTCGTCAAGAGGAGCTTGCACGGAGAATCGTCCCTCATCGTAGCGGTGCCCAAAATATTGCTCATCACCGGCATGTCCAAATCGGCGTGGCTCAACTTTAGGTGGGAGATAGTCAGATGGCGGAGGGGGCCCATTGACGAGATCCACGTATGGTCCAATCTGTTGGCTCACATGTGGTGGAGCAGCAGAGCCTGGCACAGCTGCATGACCTTGGATGAAATGAGGGCTTTTGGGAATTGGATGAGCATGCTCGTCTGATGACAAACGGCCATGCTGTTGCGCCATGTGTGGATGAAGATTGCCGCTTGTAGGACCCGCAGAGTTGAAAGGCGGAGGTTGCTGAGCATATTGCATATCGACGTGAGGATATTGCTGCTGAGATCGCGGCATGAACGAACTGCTGCGTGTTGTGTTCTGCTGCACCCTACTGAAGCTATTGCCACGTTTGCGAACTTGCACAGGCGGGAGCTGAGGCTGAGTACTGCTCTCGGCGCGAGGGCGATGTATATCTTCCGGGACAGGCGACAGACTAGCCACAGGCCGATTCGCAACCACAAGACCTGCTTGCTGCTTCCTAGAGGACCGACTTGTGCTGGAGCTCTCCGAAGGCGGTTCACTAACGGCAACGTCGATGTGCTTTGCTGTGGTCGGATTTGCCAGAGCGGCCTGAGCTGATGGCGAGGTAGATTCGGTAGTGGTTCGAGATCCAGAAGCTGCGTGCCAAGGATGAACGTCCGCTGTGAGCTGCATGACGCGGTACTGAATAAGTCCGATCACTTGGCCCAGAAGTTTCTCTCCATATGTATAAACATCTGGTGGAAAGAAGAAGGCCGACACTTCAGCCTTGGGGGACAGAAGGTGGCTGCGAAGCGCAGTACTGGTGATGATGTTTTCGTGCGCCGTCATCCATTCATCAGCGACCTTCGGTATCTTGATCTGGTAGTTCCACAACGCGATGCAGTACCAGACCTGCTTCAGGAAGCGGTAGCCACCTGGATCGCCGCCCTGGATGTAGATCTCGCGTTCTGTGAAGTAGTGCTTGAGAAACGCCTCCTCGACCTCCTTCGTTGCACTCTGAGGAAACTCCCTAGGTAGTACATCGCGCCATGTGTGATACTCGGTGTTGTAGATGCGTCCGCAGTAGGGCTCAATGTCTAGGTAGCGATTGCTACTTGCGATGACTGGACCATATTCGTGCGCGTTGGCCTCCGCCATGGCGGCGGCTGGGGGAGCTTGGTAGATTGTGCCAGCGTATTGTCAGTCTCTCCAATGGTGACGATGAGAGCGGTGATGTCTAAAAGTACTGCCACGCGTTTTATGGTTAAAGTGGAGAGATAGGTTGTTGTTGTTGGACAATTGGAAGTGTGCGGCGAGGAAGTTTGTGTTTGGTCGGAAATGGCGGCGCGGTGATGCAGGTGCAAACGACGGCGGAAGGCGCGACTTCAACGTCATTGCTACATTAGTTCGCTCAGAGCATTCACATGTAGGGAAGGTGCGATTCACAGTCAAGTTCATTCAAGTACTCACACTATCGAAAGACCGAGCTCGAGTGGTAGCGATGTACCAAGCCATCTTTCGTCGTTCAACCTGATAATGATCAAGTCTCCAAGACAGGGCCACCTCTTCTCCATCAAAGCTTTTGTCTCCCTTTTACAGCTGCTGTGGATCCAGGAACCAGTGCAACCTCGAATCTGGACTGATATGGTATGGAGTAGAGAGCTTTTTGTACACATGCGGCCTCCTTTATCAACATACTTGACGCCGTTCAGCAGACCATCTTGCACAGCAAATCACTCAGGCCGAGCCTTCTTTGGGTATCGCTCGTATGAGTTTTATTAGCTCACTCTCGTCGTCTCCAACAACTGGGAGTATAGTTAGTACACCTGCCATGACCGCCAATACTGCCACACCTCGCGCTCATACATACCTGCCCGACCGTTTGACCAGTCCACCGCAATAGGCCTCTGGAAAGTGTTTGCTGAAGCGTTGAACTTCCTCATCGCATCGCTGCTCCCTGTTGCGTCCTTCACAACATTGCCTGCCTTGTTTGGACCAAGATATTCGAGCACATTTGTGAGCTGATCTGTTGTTGGTGCGCCTTCTACCACATCTGCACCGACTGTCAGCTTCCTCCCGTGCTCCACTAGCCCAACCATTCCTTTTGTCCACTTCACGTACCAAGCTCGAAATCTGTGCGCCCAGTCTTGCTCTGCTTGGAGTGGTCGGCGGCTTGGTCAATCGTCGCTGTGGACTGTGCGTTGCCCGCAGCTTGCTTGAGAATGGTATGCGCTCGTATCGAAGCTGGACTGGATGGGCTGTGGAATAGAGTGATCACATCTTTCACGCCTCGCTAGGCAATCGTCAGTATACTGGCCATGTGGGTTTGCAGAGAGCCATTTCAGCTCGATAATGATGCTGTAGAGGACGCGAGATCATGCCGTGACAAAGCTGTAGGACCAATGCTCACCTCCTTGAACAGATTCTTGAAGACGTTCATGATTGCTCGATGTTGTCAACGAACTTGGTGTTGCATGTGATGTGTCAAATCAACCTGCAGTGTGAAGCTGCAAAATAGACTTTGAAGCTTGGGCCTTCAAGTGCATGCCTGCACATCATGCGGCTCAACAAGGCTTCATACAGAAAGGCTATCTATCTCATGCCTTGATCTACTCCGTACAATGAGCCCACGCGATGTGAGCCTTTGTTTACGAGTACGGTTCACCATACCATAAATCAGCTGTGTGACATTTCCTGTACCTTGGGCCAGGTTGCTGTGTTCGGAAAAGCACATGCTCAAAATACTCTAGTCCTGGCTGGTGATCATTGCAGTTGGCCCCATCGAGAGAAAATATATCCCGCCTCGCTTCAGTAGCAAGCGAGGTCCTCTTCATGACAAGGCGGTAACCACATTCTACTTCATTTCCGACGACGACGACGACGACGACGACATGGGTGCTGGTGTTCGTGTCAACACCTCGGTGCTCCCTTTAATGGACCTCGACGATCATTCGGCTCTGGTATGGACACTAGAATATGGACCTGAGCTTTGTTGCTGAATCGCGCCAGACAGAGCTAATCATGTTTGATCAACGATCAGTGTCTCCCGAACGTCGACGTTCCTGGAGGTAGAGAATAGTGTATAGATCCATCACAGCGGGCCACGTTCCTGTAAGATACTTGCAAACTACTGTGGTCTGCAAAGCGAATATGATAGTTTTGTTGGTGAGAACGAACGGTGCACTTCGCGCAATGACGAGCCTCACGGTCTCCCATTCAATCTCGGTATTCGCTCATCAGCGTACTTACGTCTTTTCATTGCACAGATTGACGATCTCTTTATCGAGGTCGAAGCACAAATGCCGAGCCCGTCTGCCAACTTGATGATCGTATAGATCAAGGATGTCTAATAAACTCCTCCCAGTCGAGGGCATACCTTCGGCACTGCAAGCCCGACCCGTCGAGAGCCGCGTATAGCGGGCCCCCGTCGAAGTTTAAAGCTCCTCGACTTCACCAACGTCTGCAATTCAACTTTCAGACAATCATGCACGTCGCGTGCGAACGCGTACTCAGTCTGATTTGGAACAGATAGCTCCCAGGTCGCGGATTACTTTCTGCTCTGCAGGACAATCATGAGCATCTCGCTTGTGGATGGGGATGTATGATGAGTCGCGACACAGCTCGCTCGGCTGTTCAGACCAGAAAATCGCGCTGACGATCTCGTCTGCACTGTTCTCGATATTTCTCATAGCGCCGGCTACCAAGCACTGAGCACACGCTAAGGAACACGCCGACTGCTCGCTTGCACTGCGATCCTCCTCATACTGTGGGGTAATCTCAGGAATAGCTTTGTGACTCAAAGTGACAGGCCTGCGATGTCTCACTTCGCCTTTTGACGACCGGCGGATTCTACTCCAACCATACGCAGCTAAGGATCGGGCAGCGAGTCTGATTGGCGTAGGGAGGCTGAGGGCCATGGCAAGGTATACTTTTCGACTCCTTACTAACATGATCAACGCTTCGACAAGCAGTTCAACGGCCGTCGCACCCGCAACGTGCGGTACTCGCGACCGAGGGTACGCTCGATAAGCAAGTATCTCGCGCAAGTCATTGATATGCACCCAACTGCGCCCTCATTGTTGCGATCCCACTGTCCGTCCAGATTTCCTACCGTCAATGGCAGTGATCAGCATTTCTCTTCAACGTCGAGCATGACCATCTTCATCTGCGCCGCAGAAGCATGCCACCTTACACCGATATTGCACCAAACATTGTGGGCAGCGTCACCACACTCGCTGTCCTCGGGACCATCGCCTTCGCTTTGCGCATCTATGTGAGGTCGTCAAATCGTGCTTTTGGATGGGATGATTGGTGTATGACAGTGGCGGCAGTAAGTTGTGGGCAGATCTATACTCGACGTACATTTACTTACACGTTTGAAAGGTGCCGTGGGCTGCTCTCTCTCTCGTCTGTATAATCGGCGCCTTCAATGGCGTTGGCGTGGAGGCAGATAGGCTCGACAAGGATGAGCATACGACGGCAATGTTCGTGAGTCAGACCATGCATCACGGCCATTTTCCTGCTATCTCTGACGTTTGCAAAGTGGTTTTGGCTGTTCGAAATACTATGGTGTCTGGCTATAGTGCCAGTCAAGCTCGGCATCGCGTTTATGCTTGGCCGCATTGCAGTGGCGAAGCGCCCTTGGGTTGTTGCCTTGTACACAATCTGTACATTGCTCACGGTGGTGACCCTAGCTGGAATGGTCTACATCATCTTCCGCTGCGCACCGATTTCGTAAGAGACGCGATCAATCATGTGTCAACAATACAGCTGACTGACAGCATCACAGATATGCTTGGGACACTAGCATACCCGATGGAACCTGCCAGCCGGTCCTCGTGCTGACATATATCTTTTATGTGACGAACGCTGTGAACATAGCTACTGACTGGTTCTGTGCACTACTGCCTATCCCACTACTATGGGACGCGCCTCTGGACATCAAGTCGAAGATATCAGTTGGAGTACTGCTAAGCCTTGGCGTACTGGCGAGCATTGCTGCATGTGTTCGGCAGCGATACACTTCCGCTCTGACCAGTGCACGATATGATGTCGCTGATCTTGGGAATATCGTGGTCTGGGGTTATGCAGAAGTTGGGATCGGATTTCTGGTCGGTTCGCTAAGCACATTACGGCCATTGCTTGCGAAGAGGAATCGCAGCCGCTATCCGACGACACATCACGACGACGACGAAGATTCAGAGGAGCTCTGCGACAGACCTACGGCTGATAGTGAAGAGACGGCACGAACATACAGCATACAGCGACCACGAGAAGACAGTGTGATGTCGGCCATCGCCAAGGCACACACCAAGCCAATTAGCAGGACGTCTTCCGAGTATGCAGATATTGCTGAACGTACGCCTCACGAGACGGCGGAACTCTCTTACCGAATTTCGACTGTACCAAGTCAATCCATCTCGACCGTTCCGATGCAGACGATCTCAGAGGGACCGATTTCACCTTCGCGAGGTAGGAAGCCAGCCACTCTTAGCGCCCCAAAGCAGGTTGCTTCACCCGTTCCAAAGCAGACCATTGGTTTGGCGTACTGAGAGCCACGATCCGTAGCAGGAACAATATACCGCCGCCAAAGCTTCGCCTGAGTGGATTGTTCTCGAGCTTCCTGCATTTCACCCCGGAAGACTTCCCGATATCGCGGCGACGAAGTCAGCATGAGCCACGGTGGACTCACTACGTTGTACACGGGAAACTGGTCCAGACCATGACATGCAAGCCTATCCTCTCACCAGTAAAGTTGCGTATGCGGCGACCGTACAGTAGCACGTCCATACCGGACAGCGAAGTTGCAATTCAACAATCTGGTATCCAGTAGAGCCACGCAGAAGAGACCACAGAATTAGACGATGAGGCCGACAGTACCAGGCGCAGCTGGAGAAGGTAATTAATGGGCGCCAAGGCATAGACCGGGGCGTTGCGATGTCTTCGCCTTGGGACAGCCAAGGTCAGCTATACAGCAAGGTGGGGGAAGACAGCCTCGTGGAGTGCGCTCGTGTTCAGGAAAAATTTACGGCTGTCTACGACAATGACGGCAAAAGAGTCCGAAATTCTAATATCGATGGTAGATCTCTATCACGAGCCTCATATATTACAATTATCAAATCTACCTTCCAGTGATCGACTGTAGACCGTATCGGGCGTGAGACCAAGGCACAGAACGTGGCACTTGACTTTCAGCTAGACTATCTTAAAACTCACACTAGCTGTATAGAGCGGCTCGATCCATTCGACCGCGGCATCTGAGTCCAGACAAACTCGTCTCCACGTGAAGCAGCTAAAGGTGGTGTGTCAAAATACACGCGACTCTGTATACCATTCCTCGATCGTACTACGATCCATAAACATAATGTCCAGCTTCCGCAAAGTCGTCGGTAAGGCTTGACTAAGACAACGCTCCGGTATTTTGATCATCAGACGACTGACATGCCACGCAGATGCAATCTTGACATCGAAATACAACAAAGTAAGCCGAGTTTGACCCACGTCCGGCGCACAGCAATTGAGTGCCTTGTGGATATAGTCGTGGGCTTGAAAGCACTGACACGCTAGCCAGCCTTTTCCTGTGACGCTCATACCATCGGCGATTGGATATTATCTTGGCCTCAAGCAAGGCGAACGACAAGTACAGGTGCTGAACGAGATCCGTGCTCTGGGCGAGGGCGACATTGCTCAGGTGGAGAGGATAGCAGACCAGCCTAAGTAGGCCTCCTCGAGAGCATAGCAGTAATGGTGATGGCGGCGATTGCTCCTGCGGCGTGCCTTTTCTAGTAGTGGAGGGACGCATGCCAGCAGTGTGGAGACTATTGCCCTTCGAGGGCGGAGGAAAACGGCTGTAATTGTCCTGTTCATAGCAGTCTGTATGTTTGTGACAGCTACATGCAATATATTACAGCTTGACTAAATCTACATCCCGGACTATATGTCAGGTAAATCACACTTCTCTAAATAGCAGACGCCGACGAGGCTTCGACCGAGCACGGATTTACTCATCACTCAGTTCACTCTCGTCATCTTCCGCCAGAGCCTCAGCTTCAGCAGCCTCGCCAGCCTCCTCCTCAGCCGTTCCAGCAGCGACCTTCGCCTTCTTCCTCGCCACCGCACTAACACCACCCTTCTTCGCCCCGTGTCGCTTGACGAGGTGTTCGATAGGGCAGCCTTCTTCCCAGCCTGCACTGCTCTGTCCAGTGATAGCGCGACATCTCGGACAAACCTTACCGTGCTTGATCAGCAGTTGATGGAGAGCGTATTTGAACTCGTCCGGGATCCTGGCATCGCAGTGCGAGTAAGTCGTGTTGCGATCGACCTTGGGTTGGCCTTTCTTCGTGCTCTTGGGTACCCAGCCGAGGTATTGGCAAAGACGGAAGACGTGGGTGTCGACCGCGAAGCTTGGACGCTGCAGGCAGAAAAGTGCGACACAGGACGCAGTTTTGGGCCCTATACCTGGGAAGCTAAGCATCTTGTTGATCGCATCGGGTGTGCTGAGCAAGTGGAGGTGATCCAAAGAGATGATGTTCTTTTCCGCCTTCTCGATTTCTGCTTCCTTCTCAGCAGCTGGCTCGTTTTCAGCCCCTGCTGCTGCCGATTGGTCGTTGGAAGTGAGAGCATTCTTGCGTTCCTGATTCTCTTCATATGCTATTTGAAGAATTGCTTGAATGTCCCTCGACTTTCGGTCAGCGAGACCACCTCTCTCGATCGCCTTGAACACTTCCTTCTGAGGTGCCTGGCGGACAGCATCCCAATCAACACTGCCCTTGCCGACGCCTTCAGTCAGAGTCCCGAATCTTTTGACCAGCCCTTGGAAGGCGGTGCTACTGTTCTTGTTTGTAGTATTGGCACTGAGCCTTGTTCGCACAAGTGCATCTACTACCGACGGTACCTCACCACATCCTGAGACATCAAGTGACGGTGGCGGGACGGCCTTGGGTGCTATTACCTTGCCATGAACCTTCTCCAGAAGTCTTACTACTTCGCGGCATTCTTCGGGCGTAGGGCGAAGGTAGTCAGGATATGGTGACATGCCCGGCGTGAGTCCATAATTCGCCTTCTTTGGCGTCTTCTTCGGCGTCGGCTCGGCTGCCTCCTCGGCTTTGACAACAGCGTCGGTCGCAACTAGTAAGTTTTCCTTGAGGTCCTCGGTCGCTTCACTTTTCATCGCCTTTCGTGCCCGCTTACGGGGCGGCGAATGCTTCGCATCGGCTCCATCGTCAGCACCAGGAGTTGGCAAAGCTGTACCAAGGTTGTGTGGCAGTTCGTTCACATCGCCATCGTTCTCAGCCTTGATTTGTTTGCGGGCTCGCTTACGGGGAGCTGTGGCGGGTGTCGATGGAGGGCTCGACAGCTGCTGAGGCTCCTGCTTCACGGAGCCTGTAGCTGATGCAGCCTTTGCGGCGGCGGCGCGAGTAGTGCGAGCCATGATAGAATCTATTCTAGATATGTTGGAAGTGCCTCTTCTCCAGATGTGCTTCAGTGCGGATAGCTGTATAATTGGTGGCGTTGTCGTCGTGGTCAGGGGTCGCCAGATGAGTCACATGAGATAGACGCCCGAGTGAGCACAGTGAAGGCGTTTGCTTACGACAACGAGCGAATACCGAGTGCGACTGTAATGGCAGGAGATGGGCAACCACGGTGAAGTAGTAACGGTGTAGATGGCAAGCTCACATTAGTGAAGTGGTGACGCAGGTGGATCGGCGCCGCGCCTTCCCTGTCCCTGGAATCTGCAAGGTACGATCGATTGATCTCAGATCTCACAACTTCTTTTATGCGAGCAGCCTCTCAAGACAACGCAGCCTGTGCTCCTTACCCATCCATTACTTTCATGGGCGGAATCGGAAGGACTATGGCGATGGGACTATTTGTATAGGCGCTAAAGTAGGTAAAATCATGGTTTTGCTTAGAAAAATATCGCAACGTACAATACCACAGCGGTCGCCATGGCATTAAAGGCACCAAACGCCTGGCAATGCACAAGCGCAAAAGCCAGAAACCAGCAGTCTACTGAAAGTCGCCCGAATCTATCGCTTGTCGTGAACCAGGAACGCCGACGGAAATGCACGACAACCTATCCATTCAACACAACGCCTAGGACACCATACACAACAGCGCGACAGCCATCATTACCACACCACCACCACTCCTCTGTCTATCTCTTCCATCCACCCATCATCTAATCATTATCACTATCAACCGGATGCGGCGTTCCCTTGGGAGAGTTCAACCACTCGATATGCCTCAACCTCCTCCTGACCTCCTGGTCCTTGGCCTGCTGCCTCGTCATCTTCTTCTTCTTCTTAGCCTTGAACTTCATATCTCCACCTTCATTCTCCGAAACCTGTGCCGAACCAGCCGGCGTCCCATCCGTGCTGGGCGCAGCCGAAGAAACGGCAGAGGATCCGGCGAGGGACGAAGCCATGGAGGAACCGGGTCGGGAGTCCTCGAATCGGTCCATGGAGACAGCCAAGTGGCCTTTCTGTGTCAGACGGCCGTTGTCAACATGCCACTGTTCCGGGCAAAGAGCGCCAACGAATTCCTCATTGTGAGAGATCATCACCACACCACCCTTGTAGTCTCTGATCGCAACAGCCAAACCACCAAGCGAATCTCGATCCAAGAAATTCGTCGGCTCGTCCAACACCAATAGATGAGGATTATTCCACATAGCACCAGCCAAGACAACCTTGACCTTCTGCCCTCCAGAAAGACCAGAGATCTCATTGTGATTGGCGATCTCAGGATCCAATCCCACGTCCTCGAAATGCTTCGAGATGACTTTCGGCTCTAGAGATCGGAAACCCAAACCTTCACGCGAAGCCTCATGGTCATCAAACTCTTGGATCAGCTTCTGGAATCCCCTTTCCATGAGCGTCTCGCGTGAGCACATAGTGTTATCCTTCGGCAGCCATCCGATCCACTTGACCTCATACTGGAAAGTCTTCTTGTACTTCTGCCTCCCAATGAGGGCCTCGATCTGTCTTTCACCTTTACCCTCGCCCGTGTCGATGGTGACTAGCATCTGTGCTTTGTCCGCGTCGGACAGGATACGTGTCTGCTTCATCAGAACCTCACGGTCGTCGCCGTTAGCGTAGCGCCACTGAAGGTATTGGTTTGGTGTTTTCTCAAGATGCATCTCGACGTGTTCGAGGGCGTGTTGTTTGATGTAGCCGATTCGCAAGTTAGGATGTTTCTCGACTTTCCCGGTCTGAGGGACAGTTTCGCCAGTAAGGACTTTGATCAAAGTGGACTTGCCGGCGCCGTTGGGTCCAATGATCGCCACACGACTACTGAGGGTGAGCGAGCCTGAGACGTTAAACAAGTTCGGCTTCGGAGCATTGGGATAGGTGTAAGTGCAATCTGTCATGCGGAGGATGCTTCGAGTGTTACTCTTCACGCCAGTAAGAATTCCAGGAGGTGGGAACTTAAACTGCACCTGAGCAGCGCTGAGGGTGTAGTATGCCTTTGCCTCCGGCTTCTGCTTCACGAACTCCGATAGGTTACCACGGTAGTGGATGAGCTTCTTGTTCTCGTAGTTGTAGACATCTGTGCAGACTTCGTCCAGGAAGCCAGAGTCGTGGGAGACAAGGAGAGAGGTGATGTCGGTGTGTGTCTTGAGATAGTCTTGCAGCCACTTGACGTTGCCCACGTCGAGATGGTTGGTAGGTTCGTCGAGGAGGAAAACATCAGCACGCATCAACATGGCACGAGCCAAAGCAAGCTTCATTTTCCAGCCACCGGACAAGCTGCCGACATTCTGTTGCTGGCGGCCTTCGGGTCCAGATGTGAAACCGACTTCCTCCAGAACTGCCGCGATGCGCTCCTTGCCTTCGCTTTGCAATTCAGGATCCTGTAGACAGTACTCCAGAATTGTGAGATCAGCAGCTTCGCCCTGGTTGTGCTCTACGAAGCACGTTCGAACCTCATCTTGAGGTGGAAAGCCATCAAGCTTGCCACTGGCGATAGATCGCATGAGGGTTGACTTTCCGGCACCGTTGCGACCACATAGACCGTAGCGATGGCCCTTAAGCAGCTTCAGGTTTGTGTGCGACAGCAGAAGCATACCACCGTATCCAAGAGAGAAGTTAGCGTTCACGATCTCAATCTCGCCGTCGTCCACTCTCTCAGGTACACCATACTTTCGCTCGTCCTCAGCGAGGTAGAACTTATGCATGGATTCGGCCACAGCATCCGCCTTGCCATCGTCCATGAGAGGCGACAGATACTGCACAACGTTCGGCACGACACGCTCGATCGCCCGCTGGTTCGCGACCTCCGCTACGCTCTCTGAGATGAAAGTCTTCGCATGTGTCCAAACCTCTGCATCGCCTGGGTAGTTGACAAGTCCACCATTTTGCTTCACCTCTTTCTCGAGCACGACTAGCACATCCTCTGCCTTCGCCTTCTCGAGTACTGCATGTGTGTTCGCGTCGCCATTTGACTGCTCGCCCATCGCCTTGACAATGACATCGAGCGCTCTCTGACCAATCTCGCGGACTTCTGGCAAAGATGCACTGTCTTTAACTCTTTGTACACCAGGCTTGAGCTTGGGCAAAAAGGCGCGGGCTTCTATCGGGTCGTGTACGAGCTTGGTCAAGTTCTCTACCACCACCACTGTTTGTCTGATGACTTCTTGTGTAGTTGTTGGTGTGTTCAGCGAACGTTCGAGAAGTGGTGTGAGAAGTGCAAGGACTGGCGAAGTGACGACTGTGACGAAAGTGGTCTGGCTGAGTGCGTGGATGGCCTTCCTCTGCGCCTCGGTGCTCGGGTCTTCCATGCTCTTCACGAGCAACGGTATTCGTGGTGCGACATCATCGTTCTGTAGGAGTGTAGTCAAGCTGTTCATGGACTTGATGGCCTGCTTCGAGACCTCGGACTTCAGATCGTGCATGCCGCCCTCGACGATCGGGATTAATCGATCGAGTCGCTTGCCCATAGCGTCTCTAAGTACATCCTTGTCCTTCTCAGCCTCCCGGCTGTCCATGCCCATCTTCGCCTTGTCGGCCATGCGACCGATCAGCTCGAAAGCTCCAACAGCTCCTTGCCACTTGCCGGTCTTCTTGGCCAAGTACTGCATCAGCGTAGGTAGAAGTCCGAAGACCTTGGCCTCGGGCGAGAGATGGGCAAAGAGTGTGTCCAAGGCATACCGGCCACCCTCCTTGACGGCACTCTTCTTATCTGCTAGTGAGTCGAGGGCGCATGACACCAAGCCTGGCTCTTGTAGGAGGAATACGACCTCGCTCAACTTCTGCTTTGGTGGGAATTTCTCGAACATAGCACCAAGCGCAAACATGGCGCCCTCTCGCTTGCCCTCGCTCTTCTTATCGGCCGCAGCCTTGACAATCTCGGGTAGTATGCCATAGGCGTGGAGGCCTCGAAAGCCAACGCTGTTGATCAGTACGTCCGTGAGCGCATAGGCGGCGTCCAGAGATGCCTGAGAAGTTTTTGAGCCGTAAATTTCTTTGGTAAAGGCAGAGACGTCTTCAGGCGTTGGAGCAGCGCTCTTGCTGGTGACCACGATGGAGGGAGCCATGGTTGGAGACTCGGAGTGTGGCATATCCTATGCCGGAAAGATATATGTGAGAGATCAGAGACTTTTTTGATTTGGTGGGCGCAGTCAGCTAGAAAGGCCGGTGGGATATTTTTGCTAGGAATCACACAACAGAAACCTGCTCTGCTGTGGGAGGGCGATGTGTGGTCGCAAGGGAGTGCAGAGTGGAGAGTCTTATATTCTACTCTATCAAAGAGCAAGAAAATATCAAGAGAAATGCTGGGCTGAGGATAGCAGAATAATTATTATCCTCAACTCCGACCCACACCAAAGCGTAATCCTGCATGGCCGCTTTCAGAAAAAGTGTTCCAGCGTTTGGGCCAGTCAAAACCGCACGGGCTCGAGCCAAATTCATCTCGTCCCACCGATTTTGCCACGGACAGATCCGAAAGCAGATCCGCCATGAGGCCCATCGCCGCCCATGACGGTGTCTTTGAACATGTGAATCGCACGTGACAGACGCGGACCCGCCAAAGGGCAGGTATCGCCTTGACAGCTTGACAAGGAGAACGACCTCTCCGAAGTTCCATTGACTCCCCAGTACCTTCACTACTCCGATTGTCCAACAATCACTGGACTGCCTTACGCCACAACCGCAACATTACATAGTGAACAGCTGGCAATTTGAAGTAGACCTCCTGCAGCAAACACTTTTTGCATTATGAGTGCCTGAGACGCTGGATAATTATTGTCTGATTTTCATGATGGACGACTCGACGAACAACACCTTCCTCGCCGCCGCCATGGACCACTTCACTGCTGTGCGGCCGTTCATACCAATGTACATTCATCTGCTCTTCTCGGCCTTGGCCCCGATCTACACAGGTGCCCATGCCTCGCTGTCCCGACCATCATCCGCGGCCAAACCAGTCAAAGTGATCAAGGATACGACAGATGACGATGATGAGGACGAGGACGAAGACAAGGTCCAGAAGATGGAAGGTCTGTCGCCGTCAGACGCCATCGTCTTCCCCATCACGGCTGGCTGTGTCCTTGCTGGGTTGTACTTCCTAATCCAGAGATACGGTGCCAACCTCATCAACATGGTTATGAGCTTCTACTTCGCCGCGGTCGGTATCTACAGTGTAGCTACACTCTGGAAGGACGGAAATGACATTGTTAACAGCTTTGTCTTCCCAACTTGGTTCGCCCAAGGCAAAACATTATACAAGGTCGATGGCACAGCACGCAAAGCCGTCGCGCAAGACACCACATCCGAAGCTGTCCAGAGCAGAGACTCACCGATCCCATACATACCCGCTTTTACCAAATCCTTCTACGACAACATCTGGGCTCTCCGCGCAGCCGTCAAACAACGCTACACCACAAGCCTCCACATCCCCTCAATCATCACATACAAAGGCAGCCTAACCCTCAACAACCTCATCTCCGTCTTCGTCGGCCTCGGCACAATCTTCTACGCCAACATCATCTCGACCACGAAACCCTGGTACCTCACAAACCTACAAGGCTTCGCCGTCTGCTACCAAGCTCTACAGTTCATGTCCCCCACCACATTCTTCACGGGCACACTGATCTTGACGGGCCTGTTCTTCTACGATATTTGGGCTGTGTTCTTCACGCCACTTATGGTTACCGTGGCGAAGAATCTGGATCAGCCGATCAAGATGGTGTTTCCGCGGCCTGACGACCCTGGTGCGACGATGGGCAGTGATGGGAAGATGCCGCCGAGGAGTTATAGTATGCTTGGGCTTGGCGATATTGTGTTGCCTGGTTTGATGATTGGGTTGGCGTTGAGGTTTGATCTGTATATGTTTTACTTAAAGAAGCAGAAGAGAGTGGCGGGCGCGCAGAAGGCGGTTGAGGAGAAAGAAATCAAGACGAAGCACGACGATGGCACGAACGTGAAAGCGCCGTACATCTCACCTGCAGGCTACATCGGCGACCGCTTCTGGACTGCACTCCTGCCGACCTCTGCACGTCCGGCACGACTCAATACCTCCTTCCCAAAACCGTACTTCCACGCCTCGGTGGTGGGCTATATCGTCGGCATGATGACCACGTTGGCCGTCATGAGCATCTGGAACCATGCTCAGCCGGCTCTACTGTACCTCGTCCCCGGAGTTCTGATTAGTTTGTGGAGCACGGCACTTGTGAGAGGCGAGATCAGCGAGATGTGGAATTATAGTGAGGGTGTCAGTGGTGAGCAAGTCGAGGGTGAGGACGGGAAGGAGAAGAAGGAGGAGATGGTGGAGGAGGTAAAGGGGTTGTGGGAATGGATGAAGGAGGCTCTTCTTGGGTCGTCTTCTGAGCCGGAGGCTAAGATAGTGGAGAAGGCGACTGCGGCGGACAAGAAGAAGACAGAAGACAAGAAGTCGGCGGAGAGTGGCAAGAAAGCTGAGAAGGACGATGTCATTATCAGCTTCTCCATTGTGCGCTATGACCCGAAGAAGAGCAGATCTGACACTGCAGCCCAACCCTCATAGGCGGAAGAATCTCCGAGGGCGAAGCCCACGATTGAGGGCTCCGAGTCGAGTCTCGAAGACACTCTTGTGGTTGGAAGGAACGAGTAAGCGCGACATCTATATGCTACGACCAGAAATATAGACTTAGAATTGCATTGTGGTACGGAGCACACGAAGGGATAAGTCTGCGGCATTGTGATGGTATGACTTGTGAGATATGATCGATGGCCACAAGCACTACTGTACCATATTTATCTTATGGCTTCGGGAGGCTGTAAAGCAAGCATAGCGCAACATAAGAAGATGGAATGCACAGATCCCTAGAACTAAGTGATTTCTGTTATCCCAAATGCATGCTTAGTAAGCGATAAGTGACCTGGCTCGAGACGAGGAAGATACGTCATTCGCGTGTCACTTTTGTGAGCCATCGGCGCAAGGGGACGTGCCTGCAAGGAATAGGTCTAATGGTAGGCAAACGTCTGCTTTTCTATTATACATCATGATCATCTCGACAACGAAGCGCAACACCTGCGCAGTCTCTGGCCTTTCGATCATGTATTGCGCCATAGAGTAGGGCGTACCGACAATCGGAAGCCTCTCTATCAGCAAGAGATAAAGAAATCTGCTACTGCTGCGATACCACATACACCATGTCACAATCGAACGTCCAGCGACGAGGCCGTCCAGACCTTTACTCTCGACAAAGCAGTACACTACATTACCAAACTTTTCCTCATGCACCACCACGCTACCCCGGCCAGCCAACAAACGACAAGAAAGACGTGAGCAGATCCCCCGACGCAGAAAGACAGCCGAGATCAGAACAGAATGGAAGACCCTCATCGCCGGGCGCACCCCACCACCAGGAAGAAACGCCGCTTCCGAAAGGCCAACTAGCCATCCTCGCCATTATAGCCCTCGCGGAACAAACAGCCCTCAACAGCATCTCCCCTTACATACCCGAAATGGCCGCTACCTTCCCCGAAGTAGGACCCGGGCAGGTCGGTCTCTACGTCGGACTCATCGCCTCCGCCTTCGCCTTGGCACAATTCACCACCAATTTCCTCTGGGGCTGGTTAAGCGATCGGGTGGGAAGGAAACCCATCGTGTTGACTGGGACGTTCTTGACGGCGTGTTGTTTTGTGGGCTTTGGATTCAGTCGGAGATTATGGCACGCGGTATTGGCGCAGGCGTTGATGGGTCTGGTCAACGGGAATCAGGGTGTCATTTCGACTTGTTTGGGAGAGATCACGGATCGATCGAATCAGAGTAGGGCGTTCACGTACTTGCCTGTTATCTATGGACTAGGTGGGATCACGGGGCCGATCGTGGGCGGTTTACTGGTGTTCAGGAACAATCCTCTGAAGCCGGATGAAGCCAACCCGTACCCCTACCTTTTGCCGAATCTCTTCTCTGCTGCGATTCTGATTTTGGATATGGTGTTAACGATGTTCTTTTTGAGAGAATCGCTGGAGTGTGCCCAGGATTTACCGCCGTTGGGCAAGAGAGTCGGGAGTATGTTCTCTTGGATCTGGCAGTTCAGTTCTTCACACAAGCCTACCTATCTACGCCGATCTGCGAAGACCAAGAAGACTGCGAGGAATGGTGGTACTGAGCACTCAGCACTGTTACACAATGGCAATGACCACGAAGACGAAGAGGACCTAGACGGCGAAACAGCAACGTCCTTCCTCCCAACCCACGACCAAGAAGATCAAAACCTCCGCATCCGCGACGTCCTGAACCGCGACACGATCCTATTACTCGCCACTTTCTTCCTCTTCCAGCTCTCCAACATAAGTTTCAACAGCTTATATCCAGTCTTCGCCCAAGCCGCGCCACCAACCGGCAGACATTTGACTCCGAAGGAAATCGGTATCTCCCTCGCCTTCGCAGGCGCTATCACAATCATCTTCCAGGTCGGTGTCTTCGGGACTTTGAGGGAGAAGATAGGGAATCGGATCACTTATCGTGTGAGTTTGGCTGGGTTTGTGGTGGCGTTCTTGTTGATGCCGTTTGTAGGTTACAAGTCTGGACAAGGCAAGGGTGAGGGTGAGCCGACTTTTGCTGGGCGCACATGGCTCTGGGTCGAATTAGGCGCTGTTTTGATTATCAAGACTGTTGCTGCAGTGGGTGGTTTGACTTCTGCTTTACTGCTCATCACCAATTCCGCTCCCTCGCACGCGGTGCTCGGGACGCTGAATGGGCTTGCGCAGACGCTTTCGGCTGCTGGCCGGGCGGTGGGACCATTTGTCTCAGGGGCTTTGTTTACGGTGGCGACAAAGGTACAACCTAAGGGAGAGGCACTGGCTTTTGGCGTCTTTGGCGGAATCGCTTTCTTGGGCTGTCTGTTGGCTTTTGGCATTCGTGGGCAAGAACTCGAGGCCGAGGGCTGGGATGGTGACGACGGAGATGATGAAGATGAGGAGGAGGAACAAGATCAGCGGCCTGGGTATGATGGAAGATGAGTATGTAGCATATCTGTATAGCTCTGTATATTCGCAGAAGCATACACATCTACGAGTCTCAACAGTAACAACTTGAGCGTGGGGCAGATCTTTCGCCCTTATACAAGTACAGGAGTTCAATGTACAGCTCTACCTACGCACTCCTAGGCACAGCCAGTCTGCACAGTTGTAACACACCTGATTCTCGTCTCGCTGCCCTGCTTGGCCCAATCCGCCCACATAACGCCCAAGCATGACACCATCACCCAATTCCCTAACCACGCAAGCCTTCCCTCTCCTTCTTCTCCTGAGCTTCACGCTTCCTGCTCTCTCGCAACCTATCATAATGACCATTGGTAAGCCTCTCTTTAAACCTAGCCGCATATGTCTCCCTTTTCCTAGCAGCCTCTTCCTTCATATCATTCAGAAGATACGCTCTGGAGTCTTCCGCCCTCTGACATTGAGCTTTGACCTTAGCACACTCTGCTTCTGTCCTCCTCGCTACCGCTCTCAGTCCCTCTTTCTCCGCCACAGCTTCCTGCAACCTGTCCTTCAGCTCCCGATGCTCGATCGCCTGCCAGTCACTCTTGTCTTCTGCCTCCCGCTTGGCTTTCTCCGCGGTCTTAGTCTGTTGGTAGAACTTTTCGTTCTCGACTTTCAGTCTATTGCCCTCCGTCCTAGATCTCTGGTCGTCCACTCGGAGGATCTCATTCTCTGCTTTGAGTGTCTCGTTATCGTCTCTCAGCTTTTTCTTCCGCGCTTTGAGTCTCTCATCATCTGTCTTGAATCTCGCAGCCTCAGCTTCGGCATGCTCGCGACGGTGCCTCTCTACGGCCGTCTTTCTAGCGATCTCGTCGTGAAGCCAGCACTTGTCAATGTCAGAGATGAAGACTGTGGAGCGATTCGCTGGGACTCTTGAAGTGGTATCCTCTGGCTGCGATGATAGCATTGCGGTTAGTGGCGGTTCACGTAGCTCGGTGGATTGGACTATGTCTTTGTTTGACTGTCTGAGTAAAGTGAGTGGCGTGTGCGTGGAGGCTGATGTATCGTTGTCCTGTTCTGCTGTTTTAAGGCTCGGCGGATCGTTCGTCTCGACGTCTCTGGTCGCTTGAGTAGCTATCGTGATGTCGGTGTTAGTTTCTGCTACAGCCTCGCCGTTCATTGTTGGCACTGGGACGTCTCTGGCCGTATCAGTGGTTTCTGCAACTTTGACAGCGCTCACACTGCTCTGGTCAATGCCTGTCGCTGTGAAAGTGGCGGTCTGGTCGTCGGCTTGCTGCTGAAATGGACTGTAGGGCTCGGTTACGATCATGGACCGAGGTGTGTCTGGAGTAAGCATTCCCTGGCCGTCCCGTTCACCATTGTAGGCGTACTTGTCCGTACTGGACCGCCTTGAATGATCCTCCGAGCTTGACTTTGCTGGGTGGTCGTTCGCCAGCGGGATCGTAATGGCAGGTGCACGGTGTGGGCTTGTCACGAGCGCTTTGCTCTGAGAAATCATTGAGTCAGAGAGAAGCGCTTTCAAGGCCGGCGGTTGAGCCAAACCACCGTCCTCGATGAAGGATGTCGCACCAAACGGCTTTCCCATCACAGTACGTCGGATGAGCCTAGGACGCGAAGCAGGACCCTGGCCTTTGCCGCTCTCGTCGTCGCTCTCGTTTTCACCGTCACTTTGGACAGTGGTAGCCGGAGTCTTGCTGAAGAGGTTGCTCGAGAGATTCACGGTTGAGACGGTGTTTGTGCCTGGGAATTCCAACTCAAGCGCGCTCGTGGGATTCGGTCTCGCACGCTTCGCGCGACGCTCGAGCTTGTTGCTTTGCTTGGTCCGAGTAGTGTGGCTACCGACACTGTCCACATTCTGCGCGCTGGGTGGGCGCAGTGTCTCGATTCCAGTTGAGCAAGGAACTGCCTCGACGCTCTGCATGACATTCTCTTCTTTGTTGCCGTCCTGTGACAGCCACCGTGAGGTCCTGCCATTTGATTCATACCTGCCAAGCCTCGTACCAGGCGATTGCACGTCGATCGGACCTTTACCTGAGAACTCACTTCCGGCTTCAAATATCTGCCGGTTTCTCGTGCTGGGTACCCAGCCATTCGACATGCCAACCTCTACGAGCCCGGCTCCCACTCGTACCGATGGTTTCCTAGGTATAGGAGTAATGTTCTCACCGTCAGAGATATGGTCTTTTCCGTCACTCGATGTTCCCGCCTCAAACACCAGGCCTGCCATGCGTTTCCGCATCCGCCCTCCAGCGTTTGTGGGCGTAAGTTGCTCATTGCTTGCTTCCTTTGCGTGTACCGGCTCATAGTCACCGTCCAAATACTCCGCCTCGATGCTCGAGCTTACCTTCCGCTTCCTCAGCTGCCTATCAGACCTTGGCACGGAGAACCGCTTGTGATCACCATCTTCCTCCTCATCTTCTTCTTCGCCCTTGTTTTCGTCACTGTGCTCGTTACCATGGCTGTCAGTGACCATGTCAGTTGCGTCCGCCATAGACGCATCCCCGTCGCTTCGTGCAATTGACTTTCTTACGTTCTTGCCACCACGACCAGGCCGACCACCGGCATCAGCACCGAGTTCGCCCTTCCGCTTCAGAGTCCTTCTAGCCTCGTTGACCAAATCCCTCTCAATCTTCTTCTTGACCAAGTCGACCTGCTTCTCGAAATCCTTCGGCTTCATACCCGGCTTATATCTCTGGCCAGCCAACAGATTCCCGAATTGAATTCCAGTATTTAAGATCGCCTCCCACATTTTAGCACGAATCTTGCCATTGGCGTCGAAGTCCGCAGGCAGCTGTCTAATGATCGGCTGGCCGTTCACTTTGATCATGGTCATCTTACGCCTGACCTCCGCCTTGAGGTTCGAGAGTTCTTTGTCGTCACAGTGGAGTACCCTCTTCATCGTCACGTTGTCGGTGGCCACGATTTGTGACGACCCGCATTGCTTGCTTGTGCTTGGTGGTTTCGAGGGAATACTCGCAGTCTTGGCAGATGATGGTGCCATGTTGGAGCATAGAAGACTGAACATGAAGGATTGTGAAGACGTGCTTCCTTGTGATTGTCGCGTACCGGAGGGACGGTTGTGTTGTTAAGTTGTTCCTCTACAAACCTCTTTAGCTCCTTCGTCGGTGTTGAAGCGTCGAAATTCAAGAAGATGTCCGAGGGAAGAGCAAGACTCATATAGTGCCTCATTGTCGGCGTTTGCTCATCAGTCATGCACGTCGGAACCTTGATATTGGAGTGAGTTGCGTTTCTTCCTAACACGCTTACCCCTCCCTCACTTCAATCATATCCCAGCACATCTTGAGAAACCGCTCTCGATACTCAGGTGCCGTAGTAGTGATACTCATGTGCCCCTGCTTGTCAACGACATTGTATGCGGAAATCAATCCCGTCATCGCCTTAGCGTACACTTTATGCTTGGACCAGAAGAAGTCGAGGATCGCAGCACGATATGCATATTTTCCGTCTGAAGAGGGGATGCCGGTGCGCCAGCTGGGTGGCGATGGTGGTATGAAGGGACCGGCATGTGGTGGCGATAGGCCGTCTGGCTGTTGTATAGTGAGGTTGCCATCGGTTCCATTGCCGTCGGATGAAGCATTGGCCTTAATGGAGACCAGCGGGATGCGGACGAGGAACAGGGAGTAGTCTACAGCATCGCAATCACTCAACAATTTCGTGTCCTTGGCCAATTGAGCCTTGAAGTCCTCTGCTTGGTCGAGAGTGAGGACCAGCTTGTCCTTGAACTCATCAGCGAGCTTCTCCTTCGTCTCATCATTGGTCAACGCTCCACCAGCTATATCTCGTTCGGGGAAGAAGTACCTGAGCAAATCAGCAGATGTCATTTTGCTACCAGAACATACTCACGACATAGGCTTCAGATCCCAATTCTTCCATTTCCCACTCTTCTCGCCCTCCTCCTTCCCAAACATGATGTTTTCCATAACAAGATGATGACTCGGCGCCGTGCCTATGACACTGCCAAGACTATGCTGTGAATGTTCGAGAAAGTCGGTGATCCTGATCAGAAGGCTGGTCGCATTATTGAACATATAATCTACATACTTCTCTAGCAAATCGTCCTTGAAAAAGCTGTGCTCAAACTGGCGCGGCACACTTTTCACCAGATACTTGCCGTCCTTTGTGTGGAAGAAAGTGGAGCCGCTGAAGCCAATGTCGCCCATTGCCACCAGGCTGTCGTCTGCAGTGAAGCTCCCCGCGTACGACTTCTCCGAAACTTGCCATACCTGTCTGAGCGACCTGAACAGGTCAGGAGAGATGCAATCAAAGGTCAATGTGGTCGTGTTGAAGGCAGCTGGTATTTTACCTAGGAGACCGGGCTTCTCGTTCCGTTCGAGGAGGCTATGTTGGATGGAGTGAGCGATTGCTTCTTCTCTCGACAGTGCCATATCGCTGTAGGCTGCTGGGCGAGGAAACCCCAATGGTGGTTCTACAGCCTGCGGCTGACATGGTCGCCTAAGGAGAGGTGTGATGGAAGGGGAGAGACTGAGGTACGATGCGTCATCCGGCACTTTGAGTTCGTGGGGGTGCATGGGGGCATGGGCGCATGACTCGCAACTGCCACATTGAGCCAAGCTCGACCAAGCACATGATTTTGATGATCTTCCTTAGATGGATTCCCGACTTCTCAATCACACGCTCACATCTGCTGGACCGCTACCAATTCAATGGCGAAGGAACGGTCGATCAACCCAGCTGCGGCTCAACGCAAGGCAGACAAGCAGAAAGAAATCAACAAGTCTCGCAAACAGCAACAGTCGCAAAAGAACGAGAAGCTCGCCAAGCGCAACCCAGATCGATCACAGCGGCAGGTTGATGAGCTGAAGGAGCTTGAGGCAGCCGGAACTCTACGACCGAAAGACAAGGAGAACTTGGCACAACTTGAGCGAGATCTGAAGGGCGTGAAGCGGGCACGAGAAGCGCTTGGAGTAAAAGACGACAGCAAGAGGTTTAGCGAGCGCAAAGACGTACGACAGGAGCAACGAGAGCGAAGGCAACAACAGCAGCCTTCGCGCCAACCTCAACATCTCGGCAAGCGAAGACGAGACGACGAAAATGACAATGGAAGCGATACCGACCCGGAAGTACGAAGCATCCCCATGCCTCGCGACACACCGCCACCCATACCGCGCCAATCGAATCGAGACCTTCAGATCGGTGTAGACGGCCAAAGAAGACCTCACGCTTTGCCCTCCAAACCTAACATCCCACCTCCACAACTCACATACGGCGCGGCACCCCAAATCCGCGACCTGAAGAAGGAAGCTGTCAAATTCACGCCGTCTGTAGTCTCACAGCAGAAGAACCGGATAAAAGGGCAGGGGCGACTGTTGGAGCCAGAGGAGGCGGATAGGTTGGAGAAGAGTGGGTACGCCGATGTGAAGAAAGTGGAGGAAGAGGTGGAGAAGGAAGTGCAGCTCGATGAGGCGGCGGAAGATGTCAGAATGCAGGGCGCAAATGTCGATCAGCTCGAAGAAGAGGCGAGGAGGTTTGAGAGAGAGATGGCTGAGCTAGATACTGTAGAGGCAGAAGCCTCAACGGCAGGCGCAAGAGGTGTCATGATGGAGGAAGTGGAAGACGATGGCACGTGAGCGGATGTCTCATGGTGATTACTACCACGTGATCATCGTCAGCATCAGCCTTGTACCAGCATATGCGCTTAGCAAACACAAGATCCGCTTGTGTGTCTTAGTCAACGGCTGCGTGCGTGCGTGCATGGGCAGCAAGCCTAGGATACAGCATGAGACTCACAGATCTGGGACAAGCTTGACTCAGACACTTCTGCGTGTCACCAGCATCTATCACGATAAACATAAAGACGACCAGCATGGCCTACTCAGAGGATCTTTCCTACTATGAAGATTATTACGAAGACGACTCTGGCACGGATCCGAACAATAGTCACAACGACATCGCCGACTGGATGGATAACCAAGACCTCACCCGCGACCTCCGAGCTCAACTCCTAACCCAGCACGCGCAAGATCAAGCCCAACTCTCACCCCCATGGCTCGTAGTGCGGGCACTACATCAGCTCCTTCTCTCACTTCTCTGGATCCTGTTCTATCCCGTGCGCTGGACATTACATCTCATCGATGCCCGTCTTAGCTCCAGCAACGGCAAAGCGTATATCCTCTCCATCCACGAAAACGGTAATCTCCCGCACCGAGCCCCATACCATCGAATCGTGGGCGTATTCACAAATCTTAATGCTGCGAAAACGGCTGTCGCGGAGATGCTGGCGTTGCCACAGTATAACGGGAGATTGTTCTTGGGGCTTCACACGCCGGAGTGGGCGGAGAGTGAGATGGGTTCTATGGTTTTATGTGTTGAAGGGCAGGAAGGTGGGGGGCGACATGGCCATGGTGGCGGCGATGGGGGATTCAGGTTTATTGTTGAGAGGATGTGCGTGAAGTGGCGATGACCGGAACCCATCTAGCAATGCGAAGCCTCCGCGAGGCACGTTGAAAAGTATGCTCCATTAGCAAGATACACGTTCGACAATCCGATACCATTACCATGACCGCGAACCTGACCTCGCAGGTTGTTGGTTGGACAATATCTGGACAACACACCAAGTCTAGCACGGAGAGGCAAGCAGCGCCAAGTTTCGGCCCCGAAGAGTTCGATAAGTCAGGCCTTCTTCTGCAGCCTAGAGTTACTACACGGGCTGCGACGAACGCCCAATGCGAATCCGGTCTTTAGTCAGCCCGAACACCGATGACCGATCGCCTTGCCACACGAAAGACAACCACATGAACTGCACGCCGCTTCCGAATACACAGCTACGTACTCTTGGCGCTCATCTCTTTGAGCTTCCAATGGCTTTACTTTATCCTTACAACGTGGGTTGCCTGCGCGCAGCCTGTGCAATGTGCACGCATGGGGCCGATACACCGACCGGTGAAGACGCAATCTTGTCTACGACGTACCACGCAAGCGGTTGACGGGTTGCTTTTCGGACGAAGATGCATTCTCGCTGTGTTGGTGGCGTCCGTGTGTGCGTGTAGACTGATATTTGAATGAGATGGTGAGGCAGTGCGGTTCAGCTGTAGTAGATTGTGATGTGGATGGTATATAGGCAGCTCAGTATCATTTCGCCCACCTCTTCACTCCAAAGCAACAAAAGATCACACAATCTACCCATACCAGCTTGACGATTGTCAGACAGGTCCCTACGAAACCACATTAAAACGAAAAGCTCCATACAAACCTTAGACAACAATGGCAACAACCCACATCCCCTCAAACGTGGACGTAGCAATAGTGGGTGGTGGCCCTGCCGGCCTAACAACGGCCATCACCCTCCTCCAGTCCGGAGTAAAGACCATCGTCCTCGATGCTGCTCCCGCCCCGAACCCAGCCTCTCGCGCTACGGTCATCCACTCTCGCACGTTAGAAGTCATGGAAGATCTCAGCCTGGTCGACGAGATCCAGGCGGCAGGGAAGCAAGCCGATCAATGGTTCATCAGGTCTGGGAACTCGGTCCTGGCCAATTTGAGTTTCAAGGAAGTGCCGGGAAAGTATAATTACTTCGTTACGATTCCGCAGGTCAAGACCGAGGAGTTGTTGCAGGCGCGAGTGGAGGCACTAGGTGGGAGCGTGTTCAGAGGGGCGAAGGTTGCAGATGTGGTCGACTCTGGTGACAAAGTGAAGTTAGAAGTTGGGCTGCAAGATACGAAGGCGACGATCGAGGCGGCTTACGTCGTGGCGGCGGACGGGCTGCATAGTACCATCCGCGAAGCCCTTGGGATCGAATTCAAGGGCGGCGAGTACAAGGAGTCGTTTGTGACGGCGGACATGCATCTCTCCTCTCTTGGAGGCCTCAACGAAGCGTTGCACCTCTACCTTCATACTTCGGGCTTCGTACTCCTAATCCCAGAACCGAACGATATCTGGCGGATCGTGGCTACAGTCGCCGAAGCTCCGAAAGTGCAAGATGCGGCTTTCTACCAGAAATTGGTGGATGAGAGAACGATTCCGGGCATCGAGGTGAAGGATTTAACGTGGTATAGTCGCTTCCATATCCATCATCGACTTGCTGCTGGATACCGCAAGGGTCGTGTCTTCTTAGCAGGAGACGCCGCACATGTGCACTCTCCGGCTGGTGGGCAGGGCATGAATACTGGAATCCAGGATGGCTATCGACTTGGTCAGATCTTGTCGGAGGCCATTCGAGATGGCAAGACGGATCCGGCATCTCTCGATCGATATCACAAGGAACGCAGGCCTGAGGCACAGGGAGTGGTGAAGATGACGCATAACATCACGTCCAGTGCCGCGATCACCTCGCCCATTCTGGCGTTTGTGAGGAACTGGATGATCTGGCTATTGATGAATTTTGCTTTTGCGAGGCAGTATTTGACTGTGAGGTTGGCGGAGTTGGAGCACTTCTAGTAGCACTTTTTTGGAATAGGAGCTGCTTAGCCATGGGTCGCGCGGTCGCAGGATAGTACACCACTCTTCCCAAGCCTGATGTAAACTTCCAGTTCTTTTGATGGTCATTTCTTCGGAGTCTGTTACCTTGGCATTTGTAGTACTGTTGAGATCGAACCGTAGACAAAAAGTACTCCATGCACTCCCGCCCACAGGACATGCATGCTCTAAAGCGAATGGCACTTTGCGATGCCAAAAAGAAGACGCTCCTCGAAGAAGGCTTTAACCCTTCCGTAGCAATGTGTGATCTCCCGCGGAGAGGCTCGAACTCTCAACCTTGAGATAACATTTCCAACGCTCACTTCCGTGAAGCAGAGACGATTTAAAAGTCTCACGCGCTAGCCAATTGTGCTATGATTTATTAGTTTCGCCAGTAATTGAACAGATCGAAACGATTGTCACTTACCCACGCGGGACGGAGCACGCTTTCAAGAAGACCCTACGAGTTAAACATAATATATTCTACAGAACATGACGTGCCGAATATCACCCGACTGATCGTATCCTGACGCAAGATTTCCTGAATACCATATGGTAGCTGCATCATTTTCCGCCTTATCTTCCATGTCGTCTTGTAGATCCCCGGGTGGCGTTCGGTATAGGTCTGCCATCTGATGAAACGACGGCGACACGGCCGTGAACGACGCATTTTTGATGTCTGAATCCGACCATGACCCCTGCTGTTACTCTACGCACCGTCACGAGTGGCGTGCCAGATTCATATCGATGAAGAGATGTTGGAAGATTCGAAGAGGCCCGGTAGAAGGCGTGGGATTGAAGGAGGATGTCAATCCGCGAACGCGAAGCTATAAGCCCCTGAACAGGATACGAGCAAGGATGGAGTTGGTCACTGTGCGGCGTCTATGATAGATACTATACTTGCGAACTGCTAGACTGCACTCCTAGTCAACGTGATATGGAGGCGAAAACGACAGAGACGACATCGTCGAGCACTGAGGGAAGTCGCAGAGACAGGACGTTGTCCTACCTGGGATGTAATGAGGTGGATTCGAAGTATCGTACATCTGCTTCTCCATCTGTCATTCATACATAAATACACCTACACAATCTCTTGCAGTGACACTAGAGTGGAGTCTGCCTCCCGATAGCTTTTACGTAGCATCTACAAATCACCCTTAGCCACATATGGCTCCAACCTCTCCTTCAACCCCTCAATGGTCAGATCCTCACCAGTCCAATACTCAACCTTCGCGCCCTCAAGCTTCTTAGGCGGGATGATGACATCACTGACCACCTGTATCACACCATCCTCCGCGATACCATCCTGGACGGAAACGCGCGAGAAGGCGTTGATCTTGATAGTGATGAAGCCACCATATCGGGCAACATCCACAGCCAACTTCTTGTCCTCGAGCAGAGTAGGCAGATCAACATGATATAGGCCCTTGGGGATATCATTGTCGCTCTTCTCCGAGTGATCGTGGTAGTAAGCATCGCTGTACAGAGTATGGTCGGGAACGACATGGTACTCCAGCAACGCCTTCAGGTACTTCTGTCCGTAAGACGAGAAGAGGAAAGCGTTGATCTTCGGCCCGAGCTTCTGGAACGCAAAGTTCGAGGGGGCGAAGAGTGTGCCGCCTGCATGGTGCGTGGTGTTCAGCTTCTCGAGGAGGCCGGTCTTGCCGAGGCCGAGCTCGAGTGTGCTAAATTCGGTGGGCAGAAGGTCGACGATCTTGATGACGTTTGGTGGGGGGATGATGAGGCTGTCGACGCCATGGATCACGCCGTTGGTGCCGAAGATGTTGACGGCGATGATGCGGGAGTAGAAGTTGACGGTTAGGCCGCGGAGGGTTATCTTGAAGGCCACGCGCTGCGGCTTCTTCTCCTTGGAGAGGTGCTTGCCTTCCAGGAGAGTTGGGGCGGTGTGTGTTACGAGGACACGTGCGGCGGGGTAGAGACCGTCAACTACGTGGTAGGAGAGGATAGCCTTGAGCTGTTCCTTGCTGGGCTCGGGAGCGTGGTCAGGGATCTTCTCGAAGGCCTTGTCGGTGGGAGCAAAGATGGTGTAGTTGGCTTTTGTGCTGTTCAAGGTCTCGACCAAGTCATCGTATTTGTTGATCAGCTTGGCCAGCTTGGTTGTGTACTTGCTTGAGCTGATCAGCTCGTAGACAGTCTCGTTTGGTGGGCCGCGGCGATGCGGAGGGCCGTGATGGGGTGGGTGATCATGGTCTGGCGGGCCGTGATGTGGTGGCTTTTCGTGGTCGGGAGGACCATCATGTGGTGGGTGTGGTGGAGGTGGTGGAGGTGGTGGTGGGCCAGGGTGAGGGCCGTGTGGTGGTGGCTTTTCATCATCGAATGAGTCGTAGAAGTCGTCGCCCTCAGTACGAAGCCATGCGTCGATCTGAGCCGAAGCATCCTCGAAGCTGTTCTCAGCGGCGTATAAAGCCTTTGTACCCTGCTCGAATGCCTCGTCAAGAACGCTCTTGGAGGTCGAGGTGACCTTGTTCCATGCGTTCTTGGCCTCCTCCGCAACCTCGTCGAAGCTGTCGACGATCTGCTTCTTGGTCTCCGCAACCTCCTGTTGCCACCCGCTCTGGCGGTGGTTTTTCTCGATGGAGATCTCGGCGAGTACCTCCTCGGAAGGTAGCACGAAGGCGGTGCTCAATGCCGCAAGTGGCAAAATATGTGAGAACCTCATCTTTGTTGATGGATGGTAGATGAAAGAGAGGGTGAGGAGGAAAACAGAAGGTTATGTTGATGCCTACCGTACTGACTAGAGCTTCCACGAGCACGTTGTGAGAGTGATGATGACGACTTCGATGGCAACGCGTCACTCGGGCGCCTGTTGCCTTTGGAGCTCCGTTCCACGAATGCGAGCAGCAGTAAATGTATCATTGTGCCCGCTACTCATTGTACATGATTTCCCATCCTCTGTATGGTCGACTGCTGTATTGCACCTTGGATTAGGATGATTGTGGTCCCATGGTGAGGTTCGTCTCGTGCTTGTCCTCGACAACTCTTGACGATCAAACAACTCAGCCCCGCCTCTGCCAAGCCGCTGTGAACATCCACCCGAGATGCGCCCGAGTCAGGAGGAAGAACAGTAACGCGTGGCTTCTCATCTTCCTCTCTTCACCGTTCCTGGATCCTGACTCGACCTGGAGCCATCTCACCAGCAGTAATCAATAAGGCCACGCGGCCAAGTCTACGAGACCCACCTAGCAGTCCTGCTGGAGCAGAAGTGTACAGGACGGGTGCTTGGCCAAGCGAAGCCTTGTCAGATAGCATCGACCCACCGTCCAAGTCGGTAGAACAAATGTCTGAGAGGTTGCTTCAGCGCCGTCTACCTACTTTGAGACTCCATCCAGTCAATGCTCCTCGGAACATCTGAAGGCTCAGGATCCCATGAAATCTGCAGCAGTGAGCCTCGAGATGAAGACCCACATTGGCCTGACTGTGAAAGGGCACCAATGCACCAATGGCAAATTGGGGCCCGGTCTAGTCTAAATACGTGACTGGTTCTCGCCATTGATCACGCCACTGTCTATCCGGCCACAGCATCGTCCTACCTGCTTCGTTCGGGAGTCAATTGAGTACGCACATTCGTCGCCAGCGGATCCCTTGGAATGCTTTTCTCTTAGTACCCTTGCCTGCGAGAGCAATTCCAGCCGACAACGGAATGCCTTTGTTCAGAAGGCGACGTTGTATTCGAGTAGCTGTGTGAAGACGGCGTGTAGGATTATCGACATTCTGCCCCGGGAGGGACGACTACGCCCAAAAGGTTGGTCGCAGTAATCCTCTAGCCCCCTTATCTCATCCCTAGGCCCGAACGTGATAGTTCTATGAGGTGGGTAGGGATCAGTCTGATTGTCATGGCCAGCACGGCGATGAATGTCCTGCCTCGAATCAGTCAGTAAGTGGGCATGAAATCGGGTATCCTCAGCCCTCCACTTTGTACTCGGCACAACTTTTGCTGAGCAAACATGACCCTTGAGAATTACTCGATGTCTCAGTCAAAAACATAGCGACCGTCGTCTCCAGCCTTGCAACGTCGTACTAGGAAGGCACACACGGCTCGTCCGCTAGCCGAGCTTCTGCGGCTTCCAACGACAACAGTCTAGAATCTGTCAAGCGCACCAACATCGAATACTACTGGTCAGTCACCACCCTCTCGCGCTTGCTGGCTGTGCGCTTTCGTCATCCGTCAACGTCCATACACGGACGATCGAACAGAAATGTCAGGCGCACACTTCAACGTTGCTCCGACCAGTAAGCGCAGAACACGAGTGCCATTGACACACTGCCGTAAGTCTTTCTCCCTGTCAGATGACGCTTCCCATGAACTAAGCAATCGTTTCAGCATTACAGAAGAATTGCACTACACTGCACTGCCTGAGCTACATATTAGATAGTGATTGAACCTTGACCTGCGAATCATTTTCTTGCATTCATTTTCTGATCAGCCTATGGACTTTGTTACCAGTGATAACGGTGAGCACGCATGACCTTGAGAGGGTGTCTTAGATGAGTGACGGCTTTGCTGATTGTGTTGGGCTTTCCTTTTCGTCTAGGCTTCGACTTTGTCAGACACAATTCGTGAGTTGCTCGCGATACATTCAACTCTTTCGCATCCGCGACAAACCATCGATTCGACGCCTATCCCTGTAGCGAAGGCAAGGCGACCCACGCGACATTGAGCAGATACATCCTTGCAACGAAGCCCAATCACGAGCCCGACCTTTCGCTTTGCATTGCATTTCGACTCCGGCTTGTTCTCGAACACATTAGAAGCATCACCGAGCATGAATCCTCATGTCAACGAGTCTCTCTGCCGCCTGTTCGTACAAGAAGAATGATCGAAAGCACATTCACAACACCACAGAACACAACATAAAGCATAACACCCTTACGTCATACCATCAACCCCGCGCTAAACATTAATTAACCCCCTCCATCGCCTGCACTGCTGCAAGCATCTAAATAAATTGCTCCACCCTAACCGAATTCACCCAATCCTGCTGCCCAGGCTCGCCAAGCCACCAGCCTTGTCGGCGGCATGGAGAAGCTAATCTTGCGCAGCATCATGTATGGTGCCGACAAAATTCCCGACTCCTGGTTCGAGCGAGTCCCCGGCGGCTTCTACAAGACCAAGGACGGCCGGACTGTAGCTGCGGGAAGTGGGAGTGCGACTGCAGCTGGTAGTGGCAATAGTCGACCGAGTACCAGCGAAGGAAAGAGTAGTGGTCGTAGTCGACGCCATAGCACTGGTGAAGCGACACGAGGCCCGCCGCCGGACGCTGAGATGGATTCCGGGTATAGGTCGAGTGGGGGTGGTGGTAGTGGCGGTGGAAGGAGACATCGAGCGCAGAGACGGCAGGAGCGGAGTTCGTATGATGGGATGGAGGACGAGGAGGATTCTTATACAGGCGATGATAGGAGGAGGAGACGGAATCATAGTAGCTCAAGGAGGACCAGGCGCAGTCTTGAGGACGAGGATCGTGGGTATGCTGAGTCACCACGCGACGACCGGCAGGGTAATCGAAGGGGCAATGGGTACGGTGCTGCGCCGTATCCTGAACGCGACTTTGGTCCTACGGCGAGATCCCATCACCCTGGTATGGCAAGCGCGGCTGCGATGGGCGCTGCTGCTGGCGCGGCAGCTGCTCAGGAAGCACCGTACTCTCCAAGTGAAACCAGGTCTCCTCCTCAATTGTCTCCGCAGCCACAACACGCAAATACTGACCGGTCACAATTCTCTGGAGGCTATGTCCCATACGCCCACATCTATGGCTCGAACGATCGACAAGCACCAACTCAGACCTTCTCACCTGCACCACAATCCACATACAGCGGCTCAGTCCAGCCTAACGAAACGAATCGCGTCATGCATCCTGTCGCACCTCCACCAGACCGCTACCAGCAGAACGCTTACGCCCAAGATGGCGCCACCGCAGCCGCAAACGGAGCCGGCGCAGACTATAGTGGCCAATCAAGCTTCTACCCACCAGAGTACGACACCCCACACGACCCGCGCTACATGAACCGTCGCGAAGGCGATCGTAACAACGGGTATGACGGCCACGGAAACTCCCACTCCCCTCCCTCCCGTCGTGACTCCCATCGTAGACATGAAGAAGGAGAAGAAAGCTCGCACGATTCCGCCAGCTACTCCCCACCCCGCAACCGGGACAAACGCCCTCGTGATCACGACCGCCGCCGCCAAGAAGATCCCAGTCAGCGCTCGAAATCCCAGGGCGGACGCCAAGGTAAGTCCCAGCAACTCCAGCAGAATCTCCGGGAACACTTCGACCCTTCCCAGCGTGGTCTGGGCTACAGCGCCGTAGGAGCTCTCGCAGGAGGACTAGCGGGGGGTGAGTTGGCCAAGGGGCCATTGGGGATTGGATTGGGTGCTGTTGTTGGTGCGTTGGGTGCTAATGCTTATGAAGCTAGGGAACGGTATGTACCATCTTCTTTCAAGTCTGCGAACGATGCGGAGCGGAGAGGGCCTGGCGGTGGTATGATGGCTGTTGATCCGCGGCGGCCGCTGAGTGCGCAAACGCGTGGTGGTGCTGTGGATGATACGCTGAGGTGAGAATGATTGATGATGAGTCGAAGGCGTGCGATACAGCTACTTTTGGCTTGATTCGCGTTGGCACGCTTGCACCTTTGTCTTTTGTTGACGATTCACACAAGGTCTGTTCGTATAGCTGACATGAATACCGCGACCACAGACGCAAAGACACCCACCGCCCCACCCGCGACGAAGAACCTTACACCCGTCGCAACAACGAAGACCGGAAAGGTCGTGAAGGTGGACGGAGCGGATACTACTCGGACTAGCAGTCTGAGCACGGGTATCCGCTACCGCCACCTCCTCCGGGTCCTCCGCCACGCAGTCCATTCGGTAGTCCTTTCGGGGGCAGTTGTGCTGATGTTCGCGGCGCTTCCGATCAGCGGCAACCGGGTGATCTGTGGAGGGAGAAGGCGAAGGAGAGGTTGAGGGAGAGTGAAAGTTGGGGGGATGTGCTGTGATGCCGTGCTCGCCAGCGTGGTAAGTAGACGGCTGGACGCATAACCCTATCGCGACTTGTTGTGATGAGAAACGAGAGACATGACGAAGACGGAAAGATCGAAGCTTTCTAACGATGACTGTTACGACGTATGAGACCTACGATCTTCAGTTTGAGCAGCATTGCGTTGCGTTGCATCCTGCTTGTCTGCGAGCGAGCGAGCGAGTATGACCATTTTGCGAGCGGCATTCATATTCCAAGCGGGTTTCGAATTTTGCTGTACCCGGCATAGCTTAGCGATCGGTTGTCCTGCTGCTGCTTCTTTGCATAGGTATGTACGTACGTACAGAGCAACCCTAACACAGTACGGCACAGCATTACACTTTCAACTGGCGGTACCACAGGGGTTCGATGTCATGTTAGTGGCCACTCCCTGGTTTCTTCGCTAACCCTTCAGCTCGCCGGATCCAGTCCTCGCTCACGGTGTTCAGACTCCTGCTCAGTTCCCTCTCCACGAGATCCTTGACCACTACCTTTCGCCTGTTCACATCATGATCACCCTCACCCTCGCCCTCCTCATTCAAAAACCCAGTCCTGTTTCCTCTGTCGTGACCTCTTGCCTCTGGTGCACGATAATATCGACCAACAATACATAGATTTCGCGTACTAGGTATTCTTAGCACCTCCGTCTGAGGCCGGAATCCCGTCTCCTCTGCCAGACTACCCACGTAAGAGCAAAGGCTTGAATAAGCTGAGGGCATTTTCTTCTGGGCTGGTGTGCGGGATAGGGAGCCGGTTTCCGCTGTTCCTGATTTCGTGGGTAGAGCAGTATCGACACGGCTATGTTCATTCTGTAGTTTCTGCTGCTGTTGTGGTAGTCGTGTGTCTGGTAAGGCTTCCCCTTGCACTGCTGGGGTCGTCGAGATGTTCTTCTCCTTGGCAAGAGACTTGGTCGATGATGGTGCTCGGAATCTTGCTCCGGAGAGGTCGTGGCTGCAGCATGGTATTGCTATGAAGGAGGACTTGTTCAGGTAGGCGAGGAGTGGTGTCCAGGCTGTTAGCTCGTCGGCGTGGTTTGAGATGATGAAGGTTTCTGGTGGGAATGTACCGTCGTGCCAGCTTGATGTGATATCGATGGCTGATGAGTTTGGGTTGGTGCTATTGCCATTGCTGTTGTTCGCGTGGTGGTCGAGCAATAGTCGCGGGACAAGAAGTTGCTGCTTCAGATGCTCTTGAATGGCCTTGGGAAAGATCGACCATGTTTTCCGCTCTCGAGCATCGAAGCCCCAGCCTTTGTAGCCTTCGGATAGGAGGATGAAGGTTAAGAGGCCGTTGCCACAGCCTATATCGACGAAACCGGGAAACTGCGGCTTTACACCCTCCTGATCAGCCTCTTCATGCCTATCCACTTCGTCGCTGTCATCATTACCCTCCTGCGAACGAGGAGGACAATGCATGTTCCTCCACAGTTCCACCAAGAACGCCGCAATCCCGATGTCCTCAAAGACATGCTTACCGGGATCCGTGACCTCGACCCATTGCTCTGCTAACAGACGTCCATACTTGGTTTTCAGCCGGGTATACGTATCCTGATACCGTTTCTGTGGAACGATTCGGTCGAGATGGACTCGTTTTTTGTAGCCGGCTTGTTGGCCTTGGCCGTGTTTGTGTATGGTCTGGAGGAGGCGGAGGGCTGTGCGTTGGAGCTTGGGGGTGAGAGATGTGTTGGGGAAGAGGGCGTAGGAGAGGGATAGGGCTCCTGGTGCTGGAGGAGCGGGTGTGTCATCGCCGTTGGAAACAGCGGCTTTCTTCTCGACGGCAGCGTGGTTCCAGCGGTGGAAGAAGGCTACTCGAGATACTGCTGGGTGATAGAAGGGCATCTCATTCTCTGTCTGTGCGTGCGGGATATAGAGTACCACGTTCACCTCCTCATCACCGTCCCATCGCTGGAAGAGATGACAAGTCTGTACCAAAGCCTTGTCGAGCTGGGGATTCCGTGGTATAAGCTGCCGCACCATCGTCCTTCGAAGGTCGTACCCTGGCAAATGTGCTATAAGGGGGCGGTACTCTACTTTCAAGTGCCGCAACAGCTCACCATACAGAGGTTTGCCATCATGCGAGCCACTTTCGCCACTATCGTAGAAGATGTCTGCGCGGAACAGATGGCTTGAGGTTATGTTTGGGTTCTTGATCAGGTTGAGCATGACTTGCTCGAAGATCTCGGGCGGGAAGGAGCAAGGGATTTCCAGTATGGTCATCCATAACTCGTCCGGTAGTCGTAAGTCTGGTTGTGTTGTAGTCCGATCAATGGCTTGGGATTTGTGAGGAGGTTGTGGTGTAGAAACAGGGTCATTTGCGACCGGGTCCTCGTTATGGTCGTTGGCCATGTCATTTGGGGTGCTTCCGTGGCGAGGATCCCAGTGTACTGATATGCTGGGCGTGTGAGTGCCAGCCCTTCAGTTCCGATTCATTATCATGTATACACTGATCAATTCACAAATGCGCGCTTTGTACTCCTGTTAGATGTCTTCTAATAACATCCGACCGCTTTTCTCGTGCTGGACTTCTTGAACCTTTATGTGACGCGAACACAAGCGAAAGACGAGACGGAAAGAAGTTCTTGACGAGTAGTGAAAATGTGGCTTGGCGCTAGTGGGAACAGGAAGGCACGTTTTCAATGCCACTGACAAGTCCTTTCGATGTTGTGGCAGTCCTGTTGTTGTAGAACAGAACATCTATATGCTTGATCTGCTATTGCTCGATATCTGAAGCCGCCCTAATGACCTCGAAACCCTTATCGACATGCCAGACCACAGCAATACCGCTCTTTGAAACGTCGAGGCAGGCCATCTGCATCTACTTGATGGCCTTGAACACCTCTTTGAGTGGTGGCCTTGAACACCCTCTGAGCTATCGCTGGCGGACCCACATGCGTCATGCTCATCACTCAAGTCTACGAACCATAATAATGCGCCATCTCTAGACCAGCCCTCTTGAATCCACACTTCACGTAGAAACCCTCGTTCGCCTCCGAGCAGTCCAGAATCGTCTTGTAGCAACCTGTACCCTCTGCCACATAGTCCAATGCCTGGATAATCCTCAGACCTAGCTTCTTGCCTTGCTGGTCCTTCGCTACCGCAATGTCTTCGATATGGCCGACAAGGCCTAGGTGGTGTATACTGTAGTCAGATCACAGTCAGCTCTCCACTCGATCATCGCCATCGCATACTATCTAGCACAAAATGCATATGACATACAACTTCCTCTCCACAATCAAAGCGCCAGTTCCCACGATCTTCTCTTTCTCGTCTAATATGACCAGGATATGATATCCACCAGCACCCGCCTTCATCTCATCCCATCGCTTCTCAAACTCCTCTTTGCTCACATCACCCACATGTGTCAACACCCTCAGCACATCGAGAAACCCTTGATCGAAATCTCCTCGTTGTAATGGCCGGATTGTGTATCCTTCGGGTAGGGCAGAGACGACAGCGGGAGAGATCAGGGATGGCGCGAACAGTGACTGGGCAGGTACATCGCCGTTTGCTGTTGCCATTGTCGCTGCTACGCCTAGTGTTATGGTAGTGAAGTAGAAAGTTCAAAAAACAGCTCTACAAGCTTCAGCAGAGAGCTTCGCGCGAGGGAAAGTGGAAATAAGAGATTGCACACGGCCTTACCGCTTGGACGAAGGCATTGAATACAGCATCACCTGTAATGTAATACCAAATATCAACATGAAACAGCGGTGACGCCAACTATGCTACAGTCCATGGTGCACGATGTCGTCCTTCCTTCTCGTTCCTAGCTTGGTCAAGCATCTTCACACAGCCCCTCCACGTATTGGTGGACCCTGCACATAATGGCACTATATTTCTATATTTGGCCGAGAGGATGAATGTAGAATATGGCGTCGTCAGAGCAGACTTGAAAACATGAACTCGAAACTCCATAAATGAATCGTACATCGAGATCCTGCTCATTGGGAGAAGCCGAAACCATTGCGTTGGTACAAGGTCTATCACATATACTCCGCCTGCACTGCTTTTCTCGCAGACACTAAAGATGGCCCCATTTGGTATCAAATACTGCATGCCCACAGCCAGAAACGCCTCTTGACTCGCCTCGCTAACGCCATCGAGAACATTCCATGGCTCCGCACAAGTACAGTGCCTCATCTCCGGCTAAAGATCTGCTGTTTGGTCGCCATCCGTACGCACTGACTGCATCACTAGTAGAACTTGCCCCTCGGCACGGCGCAGAAAATGCCCACGAAGACGCAAGAAAGGACGAAGCTGGCCAAGAGTGCCTGCAAGAAAATCGTATCCTGGATCTGTCTGAGCGCGGGCTCCTCGATCCAGATCTGGCGGTCGAGGATTTTGCGGAGGATGTTGCGTTTCTTGTATCGTGGGACCCATGGTTCATCCTCAAAACTGTTGGAAGACCCAGATGTGAGGCTCTCTTGCGAGACGAGCTTCTCGTTGATAGCATCCTCTGGCTCATCGGCGAAGAGCTCCCATGGTCGAAGATGGCGGTGGTGGAGACCGTGAAGCACGACACACATGCCCTTCCATGCGGCAATGAGAGTGGCGATACCGATGAACCACGCAGGGAAGGCGATGAGACGCCATGGTCGGCTGGCATGACTGAGTGTGAGTAAAAGGTCGACGAGGAGGCCGGTGATGATACCGAAGATGCCGAGGCCGCGAGCGAAGAAGACACGAGGACGGTTGCCGTTGCAGATGGTCCAGCGGATGAAGTTGGGGTGAGATTGCTTGCGGAGCGTGTACTCGACACTAGTCATGATGAAGCGGAAGGCGGTGGGGTGAGTAGTGTTCTGGAGGGCGTGCAGGAGAGCGCGACGCTCACGAGCAGAGAGGTTGAGTTCTCGTGAGCTACCTTCGGCGATGTAGACGCTGATGACACGGCTCATTTCGTCGCGGTAGGGTTGCATCGTGACTGCTTAAATGTTAGCGATGTGACTTGGCTAGGGCGAGGTGGTACTTACAAGGCTTCCACTTCATGCCGGCCTCATCGAATGCCTGACTGGCAACCGACTGAGCAACATAGCTACTCGCCAAGGTCTTCTCATCGGCATAGGAAGAACCGTAGTCAGACATTGGTCCACGCTTCTCGTCCACGGAAGAGTGCTCAGGTGTATCGAACGGATCTGCTCTGTCGTTGGTAACTTTAGGCGCACCATCCGCAAAGTCCGTGTCCTTCAGAGCAGCGGCGACGTGGGCGTTGACTTGCTTTGGCTGGCTGTGAGCAGTATTGCCAGCCAGCTCGGCTTCTGCTTGCTCAGCGGTCCAGATAGGTGCCAAAGCTCGCTCGCTCTGCGGAAGTGCGTCCCATTTGGCGCAGTAAGCACGATACCAGAGGAAGAATTGCAGGTTCTCGGCCGAGTGTTCGATGTACTTCAGGTAGTTCATGAAGTCGCGCACGGTGCATGGCTGTGATATGGTCAGTACTTGGCGACACACTCGCAATACACGACACATACTGGGCAAACACCGCCAGAGATAATGCGATCGAACGAAAGTGCTTCCGGGATACCAGCGCTCATGCATGAGCTGCCGGACGATATCGACTCATCGATAGACTTCTGCTTCTCGTCGCCGCTGAGCGAGTCGCGAGAGCCATTGTCGGAGTCCACATAGGCAGGTCGACGATAAGTGAGAGGATAAGGCATGGTGCTGGAGAATCCAGAAGTCCAGATGCCCGTAGACGATGGCGCTGGATGCCGTGCAGAGATCAGATGTGAGGACGATGTTTGTGGATAGCAAAAGACGAGGTAGAGAATGATAAGGTGGAGCGCCCAAGAAGCCAAGAACCTAAATGTACAACCACATCGACACGGACGGCGTTGAAGCTCAAATAGCCTCTTTTGAGTTTGGAACCACCGTTCGTGACGGACTGCCTGTACCGTATCGCAATCCGTGCTCGGCCTGCCAGTGGCGTCGTCGTGGCAAGGAATCGACAGCAAATGCCTGGTCTTCGCTACGCTTGTCGTCCTTTGTGTTATGTGGAACGGACCATCTATGCTAGCTATGTGAAAGTGAGCATGGCAATCTATTGTACCGCGTGCCTGCAAAGACGGACATGACAGTGTGGCTACCTTGATTCGTAGAGGCGACCACTCATAGCGGAGCTTGTCCCATTGCCCCGCCGAACGCCATGCTGCCGGCTGCTGGAAACAGATGCATGGTGGCGAGACCATGGAACGCACATGGGAGGGATACTGTATATACTTTTGAGATGTTCCGACTACCCTTGTCCCTAGCCTACCGATCGATTTGGCACTTTCACGAGATCGCCATGGCTATCATGCATGGTTGCGCTCGCTCAGCTTGCCACCATGGCAGCTCTGTGTCTTGTTTGATGCAAAATGCCTGTCTCGTTTACGTCTTGTCGTGGAAGTAAATATCGGATTTTCCTCAGTGTGTCTCGCCATCTACTTGGGCTTGCAGCTCTTGGGTCCGCAACCCCATCAGGCCCAATCAGGTTTGCATGATGAAGACCTATCGAGTGGTTCAAGATAGCGCCGTGATTTTGCCATAACGTGAGCCAGCCAATAGAAAGTCGTCAGGTCTCGGGTAGGGGAAGCCATGCCGGAGGGGTTTCCTGCAAGGTTGGTCTTGGAAAACCCTGCACTAGACGCTAATGCTGCCAATCTAGGCGGCTTTTGACTAGAAATGATCGGTGGCTTGCGGTCTAGCCGTGGCATGAGGAGGTGGACGTCGTCTCAAGACGTTGCATGAGATGATACATCGCATACAATTACCTCGAGGTTCTGCACAAGAGGATACCGTGGAGCCTGCATTGCATCGCAGATATCTCGGCCTATGAACATTTGAGGTGGTCGTATGCACTCCAAGGACGGATTGAATTGATCGTGCTTCCGTTGCGGGTCTCGCTTACCCACGCTGGCGGGTCGAAGGATCGGATGCAATTTGTGCATGTCCCGATCACTTGGATGAACGTGGTGCTGTGCGCAAACTGACCTGACACAAACAGCTATACACGATATAACGCTTGACAGCTTGCTATGACACATACTGGCACGTATACTAGAACAAGGAACGATGCATGGACCTGCAGACCATGCCAGAAGAGCGGACATGCACACCTGACCCCCCCCAAGCGTGCCCGGTCCGCAAGATTACCTGTCTCAACACCCATGTCGGCGACAGTGACCCCCTGGCACGCGTTCTGGTCTCCCATGTGCAAATCGAGACCACGAACCCGGACTCATCGCAATGATCATTGGCAAGCATGGCCCAGACATGACTTCCTTGCCAATACCATTACTCATGTCATCTGTTAATCGTACCACCACGGCGTATTGCACAGGAAACGACAGGCCGCTGTCATATCACGGACCGCTGCGGTCTCCACCACGTTCTCGGAATGCTTTGCATGATCCAAGAGTGCCGTACATACTGTCGTGCGACCAAGATCAAGGGTAGCACGATCGAGAAGCCCAGTTCCGTACTGGATTGTCAGTCGACGGGTACGCGCAAGCGCAGAGACGTCTGTATGTGACAAGTTGTACTTTGGTGCCTCCCCCAAAGGCGACGAACCACCACCCAGCTCTCTACACAGACTGCACCAACTGCAAAACTCTTTGCGACTTCCTAGCTTGTCGAAACGTCTCGGCAGGGTTTGCTCGCTCACACGACATCGGCCACTCAACATGGACATGCTCGAGCTCGTGTGTGCGCGGCGTACAGGAGTCCGGGCAGTACACGGTTGCTTTGGGTGCTCGCTCGCCGCTTCACAACACCACACCTGGAACGCCCATGATACCTAGCAGCGCAACGATCAAGACCCGTACAGCCCGAAGACACCAGCTCGCTCGTATAAGCTACGACTCCCGCTGTGCCCTAATGCCGCCAGTCAGAGTACTGGGCGTCACGCTTTTACTGTAGGTCTGCGGACATGTCAGGGCCTCAAAAGCCTATTTCGCAGAGGTGTACAAACCATCTGCTACCGGTAGTACTTCTTCGTCTGATTATTCTTCTGGCATCGCTGTTACATTCATCTCTCCTTCCTGATTAGGCTCCAAATGCAGCATACGGGCTTATCAGCAGTAATGTGGGGCAAGCATCATGCCAAGCCAGCTTGGACGAACATCTCCACCTCGATGACCAGACATGGCAGCAGAACATCACTTTCGTGAAAACATTACTCTTGTAATCACTTCGGCCGCATGCCTTCTGCAGTCAAAGAGATTAAGACTTCTTGGAACTAGACTTTCTCTGCTACTCAACAACATGTCTGGTTCTGGACTCGGCGGGCTGAACAAGTCGTCAAGTGAGTCTATGGTGATTGGTCTGTGTCAGTCTCAACTATTCGAGGTTCAGACGCCGCAGCAACTCAAAGACGCAGTACAACACGTCTGCTCATTGGTTCAGAAAGCTCGAAAAGGCTATGCTTTGATGGACATGATCGTCTTCCCGGAGTACTGCATACACGGGCTTAGCATGTCAACAGATGAAAGCATCATGTGCAAAGTCGATGGACCTGAGGTCAAGGCGTTCCAAAAAGCGTGCGTCGACAACAAGATCTGGGGCTGTTTCAGTATTATGGAACACAACGAGCTCGGCTTGCCGTGGAATACTGGTATAGTCATCAACGATAAGGGCGAGCTCGTCAACTACTATCGGAAAATGCATCCCTGGGTGCGCAGTCTGACTCATTCCGATCCACTGACAATTACTTGCTAACTTCAGATAGATACCTGTCGAGCCATGGTATCCTGGAAACAGAGGCTTACCGGTCTTCGATGGTCCCAACAATAGCAGAATGGCTCACATCATATGCCACGATGGCCAGTTCCCAGAAATGGCGCACGAATGTGCCTACAAAGGAGCCGAAGTCATGCTTCGAACAGCTGGCTACACAAGTCCCATCAAGAACTCATGGGAGATCACGAATCGATCGAACGCCTTCTGTAACCTTATGTGGACTTGTTCCGTGGCGTTAGCTGGCAGCGATGGCACTTTCAACTCCATGGGTGAGGCTATGTTCTGTAATCCGGAGGGTGAGATAGTCCGGCAAGGCAATGGCACCGCGGACGAGATCTTTGCTTGCGAGATACGCAAAGGCGATGCACTGGAAAAGCGACAGAACTGGGGAGTAGAGAACAACATCTACCAGTTCGGTCATCGTGGCTATAGTGCTGTAGCGGGCGGTGCGACAGACTGTCCGTATACATACATGGAAGACCTGGTGAATGGGAAGTACAAGCAGGACGGTGAAGAGAACGTCAAAATTACTGACGGAACGAGCTGCGGACTACCAAAACCTACTGACCACTACACCGTAAATTAAAGTATGATACATCGTCGACAACACAACAAGCTCCACCATATCTCTTCCATCGTACTCAAGCCTTCTTTCCCGACAAGGTGGTGTTGAGTGGGTTGTTTGTGATCTGCGAACATGTCAGCGCCCATCAGCAGATTTGGAAGCCTGTCTGCTCACCTCCAAGAACGTAGGACCAGCAACCACACTCGAGTCAGACACAGTGTCGTTGCAGTTAGTAAGAAGCAAGTAAGACTGTCCATTGACACCAATAGGCACAGTAACCTGGAAGTTCTCACCATCACCGGATGGCGTCAGAGGCGCGAAGTCTGGGCCCAGAGCAGTAATGAAAGCGGCATAGAGATGTGCCTTGCTGTCAGCTGGTGCCAACGCAAAGCCGGCTGTTGACAGGGCAATAGTCATGCCGGAGGTGATCTTGCCCGTGGTCGTTACAGCCAGGCCTGGGAAGGCCTTCACACCAAATGATGGGTTACCCGCTGGGCAAGACACAATGAAGCCGTGGGCCATGGTGTGGACCTCATCGGGCGTCAAGGCATCGTCGTTGGCCTGCGGAAACGGAGACTGGGACAGAGCCGCACGTAGGTAGGCGTCGTGTCTCGCCTCGATGGTGAGGATGCTGCCGGCCGCGCCCAGGATAGTCTTGCTGGATACTTGCGGTGCTGCTCCAAGGTATGCAGCTTGTCCCACGCCTTCGAGGATACTGGCTGTCGCTACGAACTGCTCAACAGTGCTGATACCGAACGCGTAGGTACATTCGACTGTCGGTGCGTAGCCAGCGGCCTTGAGTGCCGCAGTCAAGAACTGGACATGGGCGGTCTCGTGGGCGCTGATGGCCTGAACGTTCTGGTAGAAGGTGCTGTCGAATCCCGCTTGCGCGAAGTCGCCCTGGGTGAAGTTGGCTAGGCCTTCGCGGTAGAATTTGTCCTCCAGGTGCTCGAGGGTGAGAGCGTAGCGCAGGATATCGACTATCGGAAGTTTCAGCTTGCAATAGCACGACACTCTCAGATACCCACGACGTACTGTCATTCATCTGGGACTCTACCTGCCGTTTCCCGACTTTCCACGGTGCTGAGACCAATGGTGCTGCAACAGCATAGCTGCTGAGCGCAAGCAGGGCGAGCTGGTGTACGTTTCTCATTTCTGCGAAGCGGTAATGACTGACTGTATGGGTCTTCAAATGGCAGCGAGTGTGTTTGCAACAATGTTAACGACTTTGAAGTCGAGTCAATGAAGTTATGCGTGCAGCCGAAGGATCAACAAATACGACCAGCGGAATGCTTCTGAGATTGCAGACTCGCCTGGAATGTTCGGAACGCGTGAAGACGCCGGCTTTCCGGAACATTTCGTCGAGTATCCAACTATACTGTGAGTACAAAATATATATGTCGCAGAAGCCTACTCAGTGGTGGCCATCCTCGGTGGCAATGTACCGTCCGACAGCCAATTCGCCTAGGAACAAGCCGCCGAGGACAGACAGGAAATAGCCAACGTTCATCGTCATGACCGCAAGCATGCTACAATAGATAATCAGTACATGATCGCGTACGCAAAGAGTAGGACGCCACTCACAGCAAGTACTTGACACCAGCATCGACCGTGTACAAAGAGGCACGAGGCAGATCAGTGGTGAAGCGCCATGGCTTGCCCTCAAGCCCTCGTCTCGCAGACTTGATAACCTTGACCCTCTCGTCTAGCCCGTTCGCGGTCAACACAGCCTCCTCAACCTTCTCCCCGCCCTTCCCAATAGCCTGCCTCTCACGATCCGGCTCCGCCTGCTGCCCAGCAACCATGATATACCTCCGATTCATAGCCTTGTCGTGCCATGACTGCTCTAGGCGAGCTCGGTAGGCGACCATGAGTCTGCTGATAACGGCTAAGACGATGAGGAAGATGCATGTTCCGGCGTAGCCGCCTGTACTTGATGGTGCCCACGATTTCGAAAACAGAGGCGTGTTGCGTGCGTTGGCGAAAACCATTTCCATGGTCATGGACATGCTGCTGCTGTTGTCGCTGGACATGCCGTCCATGCCGCTCATGTCCATTGTGAAAGCCCTGTTCTCAGCTTTTGGTGATGATTGCTGGGTAAACCTAGATGCTAGTCGTGATATCGAGCAAGTGGGTGCGTGGCGACTTTTGAGATAAATCGTGATGTATTCGCTCGAGTTTCGTTTTTATATATACAGTGAATTGGGCACGCGAAAAGAAAGTGGGAAGTCAGATTGATGTACTTTACCTTTGCGTATGAGCACATTCGCTCTTGCGTTTGCGCATGTTGTCTTCAAGTGGAGCTAAAAAATGAGTGAGTTTTGACCGGATTCGGCTGAGCAGGTTTTGTATCGCAGGCCACGGCAGCGCACGTGACTGAACGTGCCTTACGGATGTTTGTCTCACGAGTAGATCGACTTGCTGGTCTACCTTACCAGACACTGCTGACACTATTGTCGCACTGAACACACTGCTTGGTGACTGTGCCGATTGAAATTGTACAGCACTCATAGACATTACTACACTACATTTTGAGCCCACCAATGCACAATGCCTTCGAACATACAATCCACCAAGCAAGCAGATCCTATCGGTCCCATCCAGCAAATCATCATGCGCGTCACTCCTAGTACTGCCAGTGCCATTCCAGAAACGCTCACAATGCATCGTAGCAGGAACAAAGTCGTCCCTCTCCAAATCTACTTCATGTCCAGGAAGCGCGGCTAGCCAGTCAGTACCGAACTCCTAGCCATACTTCACTCAACCCCTTCCAGCCATCTCCCATATTTCTGCTTCATCAGTACAACCCATTACACCCCGACAACCTCACTCAAAGCCCTCCACTTCTCCTCCTCCTTCACCAACCACCCTCTCCCATCCATAGATCCATGCACAACCTCAAGCACCCTCCGAAAAGCACTCGCAGCACCTTTAACCTGCACGAATCGCGCAATGCTCAAACCAACCTTACGACCATGTTCCAGAACGACGAACATCTCGATTCGGAAACTGATAGGTTTGATCCCGAGAGTGTTTTGACGATCGACACGTGCGCTGATAGTGTTGGTCTCGCGACTGTACTGTAGATCCCTGATCCCGTGTTCCTGCCATGCGCGGAGCAAGAGCACAAGTTCCTGTCGTGCTCGGCCGCGTGGGATGGAGAAGCAGATGACCTTGGCGATGGGCTTGATGTTGAAGAAGCGTGCGAACCATGAGCGCTCCTGGCCGTCCGGGACAGGTGCACCATCTGTGCTTGATGCGGTCGCTGAGTTAGAAGAGAAGAGCGAGTCCTCTTCCCGGGTTCTGTCGTTGCGTGTCACTTCTGTTGTGTCGTACAGCGTAGTGTCGCCTGGCATATGCGCGTCAGAGGCGTACGGCAGATCATACGTGGAGTCTGAAGACTCACCTAACATAATCTCCGATGCCTCGCTTTGCTGCTTCTCTCCAAGTTTGCGACCCAGCCACTTACCGAACCCTGCCTTCCCACCACGGAAACGGGTCTTGCGTAGAGGAAACTCGCTCGACACTCCAGATTGAGGAGGGTCGTCAGGAAGTACTTTATCCGAAATGACCAGGCGAGATGGCCGCTTCTGCAGACGGTGGACATCTGGCAGATCAGCTTTTGGAGTTGCCGGCTCGTCCGTAACGTCGATCTTCTTGGCCAGCCCAAACCAGCCAGATCGCTTCTTGCGCACAAGTGTGGGTGTTCCCGGAAGCGTACTGTTCTCGTCGATAGCAGTAAGGCCACCAATGTTCTCCATGGTCCGCTTGTGTGTCAGCCGTCCAGCGGAGTCCTGTGCGGCCAGACGACGAAATGTCTCGTCACTAGTTTCGCTGCCATTGCTGCGTTTGCGGACATTGAGCGGCGCGACGGTGCCTGGAGATGATGGAGGGACGACCCTGACACTATTATCTTCAGCTCTCCTCTGTCTCGGTAATGGAGCAGTAACAGACCTGTGCCAATTGAGAGTACCCTCCCGGCTACTGCGCTGGTTATCACTCTCCTCTGAGATCATGGGCAAGAAACCTGTAAGATGGTCGGGGGTTCTAGCTTCTGGAGCAGTAAACACTCGCTTCTCGGGTGGTGGAGGTGTGATCCCAGTGGGCATAAGCTCCTCGAGCATGTTGATCACATCATCGAATCTGTGTGCATCATCCAGTGGCTTGTATGCTACAAGCTTCTCACGGGTCTCCTCGAGCATCCTGGTAAGGTACGTATTAGGTGTGTCCTTAGGCACCTCGGGAAGTGGTCGACTGACAGTGGGCTTTCGAGCCAAGGGTTGCTGTGAAGACGCCGAGCCTGGAGCAGAGACAGACGACGGCGGCGTGTCCGGCGCTGAGCATCGATCTGATGTGGTGTTGACTGTAGCTGCCGTCAAGCCCGAGCCAACAGAGCTGCGGAAAAACGCTTCTTCGCAGGCTTTCTCAAGCTCAGCGCTGTGCTTCCTTATCTCACTGCGCATGTGCTGATGTGAAGAATCTGGCTTTCGCACCTTGATACGAGGCACGTCGATTGCAGTCGCCTTCTCTTTGCGTGACCTTATAGCCTGCACTGCCTGCACGGTCGGACTGTTTGCTGGACCAGGAGTGCCAGCTTCCAAAGCACGCAACGTCTTCAGATCTCGAGCGTTTATTGGAAGACGTGGCGTAGCAGGTGTAGCTTTGGTCGAAGTCTGCGAGTTCAGAACACTAGTCGTAGACGTACGTCTTAGATGGCCGAAACTGACACCACGCTTATGCAGATCAGACGGCCGCATGGTGGCGATAGCTGGTGGACTGCTCGGCCACATGGAGCTGGTCATGGAGTTCCGTGAAGCAGAAGACCGTTGCATGGAGACTCTGCTACGATGAGAGCGAGTAAGACTGGAACTCGAGCGGTGAGAGGATCTCCTTGCGCTATGCTGCTTAAGCATTTCTATACGTAGACCATTCGGATGACGGAGATGTCGGTGGGTGCTGCCTCTTCTCGTACCTGCGCTGCCCCGACGATGGACAGTAACGTTGACATACTCACCGCGTCCGGTCACGATAGGATTCTTCGAAGCCCGGTATGGGTCGTAACTGCTCACTGATGGCGGAGGCTCGGTAAAGCTGGGGTTGGGCCGCAAATGCTCATCGTTCATGATAGAGTATTGCGACTGGGATCGAGGCGCACCCGGCATGGGCGGTGCCTGAGATGCTTCTGGAGGTTGGCTGTGATGATAGTCGCTGGCAGAGTAGTCCATGTCGTCCATGTTGCCGACATAGTTCTCGAATTGCTCCTCTCGATGCTTGATCAGTGCGGCATAGAACAGCTTCTCCTGGTTGATCTCGCTATTGAGGAGCTTTTGTATCAGAGTCTGCTCGGAGTCGCTATGCCATAGCGTTCGCATGTTGCCCAGTATCTCGCGGTCGATGTCTTGTACACGCCGGATCTTCCATTGGTCAAGAGTTGGTGCTGGACCGATGGCAGTGTCCTTGCTACCTGCTTTCCCGCCAAAACCCCATTCTTTGTCGTATTTGCGGAGCAGTGGATGCTCCCAGATTTCGTCCATGGAGATGCGTGTACTCGGGTCCGGCACGAATATGCGCTGAATCAGATCCTTTGCTTCAGGACTGAGTGTAGGTGGCATCCAGTACCTCGCACGGGCGATGTCCCTGAACAGCACACGAATGTCGCCATCCGCAGAATAGTTGAAAGGTGTAGTACCAGTCAACATTACGTACAAGATAACACCACTGCTCCAAACGTCCGCCTGCGTACCATCGTAAGGTTTGCTGCTCACTACCTCAGGCGCCGCATAGTGTGGGCTGCCACAGGGTGTGCTTAGCAACCTGCCCTTAGGTTGTAAGCCTGCCATGCCAAAGTCGATCAACTTGACTGTGAGGTCTTCTTTGTTGAGCAGTATATTCTCCGGCTTGAGATCCCGATGGCAGATGAGTAGGCGATGGCAGTATAGTAGTGCAGACACGATCTGGCGAAAGATGTATACTGCTTCGTTCTCCTCCAAACCCTTTCGCTCGTCGACGTAGTGAAAGAGCTCGCCACCGTCAACATACTCCATGATAAGATAAAGCTCGTTTCTGTTCTCCCAAACATCGTATAGACGAACTATGTTTGGATGCTCCATGAGCTTCATGACAGCGATCTCTCGCTCCAGGCCAAATGGTATTGGCTTGTGCCCGGATGGTGAAAATGTTGCATGACCCTTCGTGCTCTCGATGAGGTTCGCCAAACTTTGGGCACGCGTGCTCTCGGCTGTAGAACGCGTAACGATCTTGACCGCGCCAAGTTGATCCCGGAAACGATGCCTCACGATACGCACTCTCGAGCACCCGCCCTTACCGATAGTCTTGCCCAGCTGCCAGTGACCGATATACGTCTTCCGCTTCTGGCCAGACGCTGTCGTGGAGGCGGTCGAGATGGCCGAGTTGCGCTTCGAGTCACGTTCATATTTGCTTGCGATCTGTGACACGCGCTTATGTTCGGGCGAGCTCGCTTGGCTGGCCCGTACGTTGAGGGAGCCATTGGGCTCGAGAGACTCGTTGTGTGGCAGATGTTGTGGTTGTGGCGAGAGTGACGCGGCTTTGAGGTTCTTCATTTGGCGAGCTGGGGCTGAAGGCGTGTTTGCTCCAGTTCGTATCTCGCCCAAGGGTTGCCGGCGCGCCGCCTGTCGATTGTGTCTGTATCGTTCTGCCATCTTGCCTTCGCGTTCACCGCGGACTCGTGCATGTGGATGGCGGAGTCGGGTGGGGACTGAGATGTCCTCGTGCTCGATCAACACGTGATAGTGGTTGTTACTACACTCACATCCGCGTCTATCCAAAGGGTTGCAAGTTCGTGTTTGCTGCTTCGCGAGTGTGATCGGTCGAGTTGAATGAATATGTTGCCGGAAGCGACAGGGGTCTGCAGTAGCAGAAGCAGAAGCAGAAATGAGAGGACCGTTGGTCGGTGGCGGACCCGTGTGTGCAACGCGCAAAAGCACGTAATAGCAAGGCTGGCAGCAGGGAGCAAAGCAAGAAGATGCTGTATATCGAGATGCCGTAGAAGCTGCTGCAGAGGATTATGGTAGTGGCAACGAGATGCTCGCGCTTGGCTGTTGAGCTTGTTGTTTGGGCCTAAGAAAGGGCCAGATGCTTGCCAGGGAAGGCAGGAGCGATGCAAAGCACGAGATCACCTGCTCCCAAAGGTCGTTGCTGATCGAATACTCGGTCGCTCGAGCGCTTAGCAGCGTGGAATGTTCATTGTTTTGCGCCTGCTATTTCGGTGAATGGAATGTAGTTGAGGACTTCACAGGCCGAGAAGAATTTACAGAATCGACTTACACTTCATACAATGTACTGCCGTACATACACGAGCGCACACCATACAACCACAAGAACCCTGAGGTACGTATCAACACCATATGATGAGCTAAGCGGCAGTCGACTGCTCGCAGGCCTAGATCGCCACAGTGAACGAGCTACACGCCACTCGCATCGTGCAGGCTTTAATCAGAATCAACCACATTGCCTGAGGGTAAATGACCGCCGTCGGTGGCATTCCTTTGCACCCTGAAACGAGGCCATGGCAAGCTGGCACTCCTGTCGTTTGGTTGCCTTTCGTCTCCCTACGCACTCCGCGCCAAAGGCCAACTGGAGAGCGAGATAGAGACCATAAGATGTGGACTGCAGGTTGCTAGCGCGGGACCCATGTGGTGCAATTGCAGAGCCTGATACGCGATGGTATGCCTGTTCAGTGATAATGAAGAGAAGAGTAGGTCAGAGTCAAGACGATCCGTCGCGTCTTGCCAAGCACGCGCCAGGAAAACTCTGCTCTCCCGCTTGCTATTTGGCATGCTCATCTGGATCTGGCCAGCTGCAGCTTCGGGTCTGGAGCATGTACGACATGACATACAACCTCATCTTCAAGGCAGATTAGCGGAGATCAAGCAATCAAACGAAATTTGAACACTTGATCAAATTGAAATATCTTTGGAATGGGACCAAGAGCAGCACGTAAACGATTCGCATGACTACTGCCTCCAAAGGCTACCCCAATCGATGCCACTGCGTCTGCACAAGATCTCCTATCAATCGCTCATCACATCATTACGCCCATGAACGCCTTGCGTACACCATAGCCATCTTTGGCTCTTTCCCTGCCATGCGCTAAAACAGTCCATGTCTGTCGTGTTCAGAAGGGCAAACATGCTACCTGATATATCAATACAATGAAGCGAAAGGGTATCGTTCGTCAAAAGAAGAAGCATCGCAGGTTGAAGCAGGTGATGAGTGGTTTGCGGAGCCCTAGGTGGTCGCGGATCGCACTACTGGGCTGGTATCTGATGAGCCTTCGCTCTTTGGTGAGACGGAGGGATCGATCTCCTTGACGTCTGTGACTGCTTGTGCTTTGCCGCAGCCTTTGACAAGGACGTGTCTCTGTAGATGTTGTTAGTGATGTGATTGAAAAGAGACTTCGATGACAAAACGTACCTTAAGCGCATCCTTGCGCGAGAAGCTCTTGTCGCAGTGACCGCATGGAAAAGGCTTGACTGCAAGATGTATCCGCTTGTGCCTCTTCAAGTCGTGATTGCGGTTGAAGCTTTGAGGACATTGGTCGCACCTGAATGGGCGATCGTTCTGTGGATTTGATGCAGGCGGGTGGCCGTACATCTGATGCATCTGTGCTGCGTGGCCGCTGTTGTAGCCGCTCATCATGCCGTGTTGCATACCACCGACTAGAGCAAGCTGTCCATTTGGATTGCCAATGTTGGACAGAACTGGCCCTGGTAGTGGATAGCTATGCGGTCGATATTGGCCGTACTGTGGTGGTGGTGGGCCAATCGGTGGCATTGAGCCTGCCCCATTGATAGGAGACATTCGTGGGATCGATGCTCCTGCGCTGATTGGACTTTGCTGGATTGGCGACGGGCCAGAAGTGTATGGGTAGGTCGGTTGTTGAGGCGTACCTGTATGGTGTGATCCACTGTAGTAGGTTGTTGCTGGAGGTGGTCGGAAAGCCTCCTGTGAATGCACTGGAGATGGGTGCGTCATGGATGCAGAGACTGGTGTTGATCCGCTCATCATCTGTTGCGGTTGTGTGTGTGCTGTTTGTAGAGGCGGTGCTGACATTGACATCGTCGTTGAGTACTGTGGAAGCTCGTATGGTGGGGGAGGCAGGCTTTCGCTCGCAGTAGGTGAATGTGTCGCTCGCACAATCGAGTTAAGCGAGGGTGAAAATAGTGTACTTCGGCTTCCAAAGGGTTGCGGTGCTGGTGCGGACGCATACACATACGAGGATGCTACGCTTGTGCTAGATGGTGGCCACATACCACCGACGCTGGATGCGTACGGCTGCACACCTCCGTGACTGGACGCGGACCCAGTCGTAATGGCTGAACTGGGGCTGATGCCGTCAGCCGAGCTGTTGCTTGGTGGTGTAAGTAGATTGCCGACGCTGGTCAATGTAGTCGGCGCTTGCTGTGCTGCAGAATGAGGATATTTGGCCTGGAAGCCAGGATGCGGAGGTGGAGGTAGCTCGAAGGATGGTAAGTAAGCCGCGTTGATCCGCCTTGACGTGAAGCTATCCGTGCCAGACATAGGGTGAGGCGCGGGGACCATCGAAGGCGTATACGCTACTGCTGCAGCCACGTTTGCGGTGCGGTGGTCGTAAGGAGGAAACTGTGGTGGAAGGTCTGCCGGAGGTGTCGGCAGGGGATGAACAAGAGCAGATTGGTAATGCGAGATCTTATCGCCTGACCAGGAGTGTCCTGGAGGAGAAAGGATGGAAGCCACGAAGGGCGAAGACCTCTGAGATTCTCCCAGGTAGATAACGACAAGATGTAGCTTGACTTCGACGTCAATTCACTTTTCTGATCCAGGAACCAACAACCTGGATTTGGGAAGCCTTTGTACTCAAGCCAGCGACCGAGTCCTTGGAAAGCTGGCGCTCGGATGATTGGCGAAGGCGTTTTGGAATTACGAATGCGCGACTGCCGATTCGGTCGGTGAGTGACGCAAGTGAATGCAGGTGGATCCAGAAAGCCTCGTTGTGGTCACAATCGAATCTCGTGGGAGGAGGGCGTTACCGAGATCGCGGCGAGGCCTGGTGAATGATGGGATTAGATCGTGCAATCGGAGCTTTGTGTTGCTGCCAGTAGGTGAAGCAAGATCTCGAAACCCGGATGTGTGGTCGTGCAGATACTCCTGTTACACTGCGTAGCACAAGAGGCGCAATGGCTGTAGTAATGCTTTCTTTGACCAGGACCGACGATGAACAGGCTAGGCGGCTCCGGAGTATGGTATTGCAGTGTAATTAGTCGACAACACTGAACGGCGACGCGAGTGTGCCACTGCTTGGACAGATATCAGCTGTAGTGGAGGTCAACTTGCTGAAGTGAGGTGCGGTATGAATGGGGCGTTCAGAGGAGCCGCTTTCTTTGACGTGGGAGTGGCGATCCTTTGTTAAGGTGCGTTAAGCTTAGATGCGGATGGCGGTCGAGGGCTGGACGCTTCGACCACTCTCCCTCTGCGGGCGCAAACCATTATGTACATCCACCAGACTAACGGGGTCAGACTAGGGAGGAGAGAATCTAGCGTGGCTGACTGGAGGACCGGCCAGTAGAAAGCCCCAGCGTCTGCTATTGGAGCCAGGCCAGATCTGCCGGGATCGAGCTGCAGCGCAGTGGCCACGCGGGACGGATGTCATTAAAAGACCTCGCGCTGCGTCTAACAGAACTGAAACGGGCTCGACTGGCGAGGGAGGTGTGATAAGACCGTATAAGGCGATCGGGAACGGTGCGCGCGAACTATTGTCCACAACGACGAACATTGCTGATAGCGTTGCACACGTTGGTCGCTCATCGCCATCATGTCTCGAAGCACAGTCCCGGCCCTGATAGACCTCCATCCGTGGCAGCCAGTCGCTGTACAAACCTTCCTCTCTACCTGTCTGATACATGCTTAGACGACGATGCTTTTGGCCAACTCCTGCTTCCCGCGTCCTGATGCGGGAACGAGTCACTTACACGGACAGCTTGGTGGCCTCTGTTCGCGCCGCAAGAGCATCAGACAACTCTGCAAGCGATGCTGTCTGCTTCACACGCGCACCCCACCTGGTCGCCCGTCTCGCATGCGCTCAGCAGGCCTGCGTAGTAGGAAAGCAAGTCAATCACATCTTTGCTGGAGCCGCCTTCCCCAATTCGTGCAGCGTTAGGTTTCCAGTTTCAGATTAGCCTTCAGACCCCTGCACGACCCGAACATTCGGCTGCCACTCCAGGACCATGGCGTCGTGGCGGACCAAGGTTTCACCACCACGACAGCACCTCTTCGTACTCACGAGCCACTTGCACTGAGTTGCTATCGCAGTCGAACAAAGAGCTTTATCACTCAAAGCACCGACTAAGCGAAGCAGTATCGCCAGCCAACGGACCCCAAGATCAGGCTTTGAGCCGGGTCAGTAGGCTGCATTGTTTCGCTTCGCTAAGGCTAGCCAATCCTGAACCAACAATCATCAGATTGCAATCACGAACTTCTCCGGCCTTGAAGGAGGATGATGAGAGCCTCATTTCGCATGCAAAAGCATATTTGATCCACTATGGCGTGCAAATCAGTGTGGAGTTGCCCTTGTCACTCTGCGCATGGCGGTAACAAGGCGAGACAAGCGACCACCTGCGAAGGGAGTAAGATAGAGTTCAAGCCGCGGCTTGTCGGATCTTTCGCCGGATCAACAGAGCTTCATTTTGGTGCCGCTGAAAGCGCAGTACCAGATTTACGGTGTGCATGGCCACGTGCTTGCTGCAGTGTGATAGCTCGCCCACAGATCAGTCTCCGACTAGCATCTGCACGGGCTGGGTTCACGATGAATCCAAAGATCGCATCAGTCAGTCGCTCGCGTGTTGGGGGCTTGCCGACCCTGCCGCGATCATACAGCAGACAGATGGCAAGCACTGGATATGCCTGACTCGACCGACGATTTTCCTGCTGTCGGATTCAAAAGGCTCGCGGTCGAGAGTCGAGACTTCACATGCAGGCTGCAGCTAGCCTCTCCCACCCGCCGACCTCCGTCAAGCCTGGAGATCGTGTTTACACGGGTGGCACCGTGTGTCCGCAGGCACCGTGTTGGTGGCTTGCGCCGCAAACCGTTCTCGGGTCTGCTTCTCCCTCGAGTCGGTCGGACCAGACGCACGACCTGCCAGTCACTGCTGACCATAGTGCTCGATCGAGCACCTGAGCGACCACCATCGCTAGGGAAATCATCTTCGATGCTAGCGCATGTGTCTGCCTTCTTCTGATCGAGCTCCGCTTTTCCAATAATGCAGGATCACTTTAATCCCGGGGAGAAAGTGCACGTCCAATCAGAGCGATACATAAGCGAGAAAGAAATACACGAGTAAAGTCAGACAGCTTTGCTGAACGACTCGGTCCGACCTGCCTGCGGAGAATGCTCATTGACGCCACTCTCCCTGTTGCAGGACGCCTTGCTCCTCAGGGACGGTGCTCTCGGTAGCTAGAAGTCTAATTGCAAGCCGTCATCTGTGCAAATGCTTTGGGAGACCAAGCCCTCGCGCCACAACAGCAGCCGCAGCCGCTCTTCTCAACTGCTGCAGCAGTAACACTAACGACCGTTAATCAGCAACTGCAACTGCTTGAATGCTAATGCTGTCGGCATCGCCGAACGCTAAGCTTCTTTGGCTGGGACAAGCATGCTCATGTGGTTGAAGATGCCTTGGTCTAACCTCTTACGATCTGATGAGCCCACGGATGCGGTCAAGAACCAGAATTCACTTCCATCTACCCCACAAACCTGGCGGCCACGCAGAGTACAGGGGCTAGAGTCAAAACAATGCACCTGCAGCTGGAAGAAGTTACCTCTACATTGACTGCTGGTGATAACGACAAGGTCATCGGAACAGCAAATTCCCCCGGACCGGGTTCTCGATCATAATCATCAGGGTCTCATCCTCCGGATCTGCGATAGCTGAAGGTGGGTTGTTCAACGTTCAGGAGTCGCTCGTTGATTTGTAGAGATCAGCATGCAGCCAAGTCGTCCAGATCATGGCACCAGCGATATTCGTGCATCCGAGACATATCACTTTCGAGCGAAGACGACATGGTCATCAAGATGTACAGAGCTCCAGACAGGTATGCACCGATTCGACCGGCGGTGAACACATTCCTAGTAGCGAGTCACGATGGCTGTACAGGCCTATCCACCAAGATCGCGATCTACATAACTGGCGTCAAGATGTGCAGACCGGCTTCGGTCGAGACTCGGAAGTGAATCCAGGCACATCTGGCTGCCACGTGAGGATTCTGTGGCTTGCTTCAGCATGGCCTTTTCCGCAAGCTCGGCCAGGTTCAACGCTATAGCGTGCAGGCCCATACTCTATCAAACTTAGACTTTGACTATCCAAAATTCCATCATTGTTGCCAATGCTTCGGTGTGCATGTGCAGGCCGTCCTCGACGGCTAGGTCTATTGATAAATGAAGCTGCGGTTCCGCGCTACTTGCTTTTCTTCGAGGAGACCACGGCAGTCTTGTTTTCTCTTGGTAGAGTGTCGACACGTCGGCGCCACGCTTGCCACTGAGACGGCAGATGGTTGTCGAAGTGCAGGGAATAATTGTCGAAGGAGCATCCTTCATGAATGTAATCGCGAACGAACAGTCCTTTCGAGATGATGATGAACACGGGGTCTCAGGTGAACACAAAACTTAGGACAGCGAAGCTTTCCGACAGGCAAGTAGCGCGCGGCTAAAAGTACAAGAAACACAAAACAATTGCCCGAACACGTTGATCAGCATGCTGCCGACAGCATCCAGGCCTGACGGATGTACTACCTTGGATTGCTTGGCTCGAACTAGTGCTATCTTGTTGATCCCCTTGAGCGTTTGCAGCCAATAGTGGTATTGATCTCCACACCTCAGCTGGCCACCAGCACGCTCCTGAACGTCGCATGTAGCTGGCCACAAGAATAGGAAGGACACTGCTACGCTGTCAACAGACTTGCGTACACAGCGCGTATCGCTCCTGCTTACATCAGTGTGGACCATCTCTCACGATCCAGTATTGAGCTCGGTGTAAGACTACATGCTGAATGCGGTCTTCCACCACTCAAGTCTGATCGATGGCATGCTCTTGAGGCCTTTCCGAAATCATGTTACTATCGGCAAGCTCCCACGCGTGAGATTGAACGATTCGAACTCGCTACTGAGCGTAAAACGGTCCGGGTGTGTCCAGCCAGCATCGTTGGCGACAAAACAATCAGATCACCCGTCGATTCAGACCCCGCGGTTATTGGACTTGCTTCTTGAATCACCGCGAGCTGCAATATGATACCATGAAGCCCACTTGGTCATGTCTTGGTACATATATGAGCGCTTTCCGGGGCCAGCTCTGAGTGCTATCCACCGGACATCTTGCGGACCAAGGACTCCGCCTCCCACAAGCTGGTACCAGGCTGCGGCTGCGACCAGGAGACAACATCGCAACCGCGAGTGGCCGACTATATCGAATCCGTAGACGTACGGTTTACAACGACAACGGAAGTTCTGTCCATGCTATCGCTCCCGACAACAGTGTTCCGTGGCAATGGTTATGTCCACCATATTGACTACTCGGAGGCGGGTCAGCTGCTCATGAAGTCTCTCACTCTCGTTGATAAGCAGCAATGCATGTGCCAATACTTTCTTTACTCGAGTAAGTGTAAGAACGTTAGGTAAATAACCTAGATCCGACCAGAAGTAGAGCCTACAGGCATCTTTACGACCCCGCTGATGTAGTATGTACACCAACATACCGAGGCAGACTTGTATATTACCTCGCCTTTCTTCATGATCGATCAGAGCGTGCTTCCATCTAAACATCTGCTCGATCAATCATGGCATTCATCAACCGTGACCATGGAGTGAAGGTTTACTACGAAGTCCACGGCAGCGGCACACCGCTCATCCTCACACATGGCTACTCGGCCACCTCAGCAATGTGGCGAGGTCAGATCAATGCCTTTGTGAGCAAAGGCTACAAGCTAATCATCTGGGACATGCGTGGCCATGGCAAAAGCTCGTATCCTGACGACCAAGCACTCTACAGTGAAGGCCATACCGTTGCAGATATGGTGGCGATCATCGGTCATGTGTGTGGTCAGGACACTCCAATCATTGTCGGCGGGTTGAGCTTGGGCGGGTATATGAGTCTGGCCTTCTACCGTGTACACCCCGAGCGTGTTAGGGCGCTTCTGATCATCGATACCGGTCCTGGTTTCAAGAATGACAAGGCGCGAGAGAGCTGGAACGCGACTGCCCGTCAGACAGGCGATCGATTTGATAGGGATGGTCTCTCTCACCTGCAGTCTTCTGTGATGAGTGCGGAACGGCGAATCTCGACTCATCGTGATGCCAAAGGACTCGCTATGGCTGCGCGAGGCATGCTAGCTCAACGCAATGCCGCCGTCATCGAGTCGCTTCCAATTATCAAAGTTCCCGCTCTAGTGGTGGTCGGAGCGGACGACACGCCATTTCTGGCAGCATCAGAGTACATGGAGAAGAAGATTCCTGGAGCGAAGAAAGTTGTGGTGCCGAATGCTGGACATGCTGCGAATCTTGATCAGCCCAAAATCTTCAACGATGTTGTGATAGACTTTATGTCGTCTGTTGTGCAAGCCGGAGCCAAGGCTATGCTGTGAATGACGTCCTTCACGGGGATTGGTACTGGATCCCGAGCTCAGGATTATGAGGGACTGGCCTGAAACCGGCATTGTTCATCATGACAGAGCGGTCTGCGCTGCCAGTTTCCAGACACCGACGAAGGACAGAGTATGATCATGAGGGGTGGAGTGTGAACTACGTCCGAGCACCGAAGGCCGGAGACTACATCTCTCTCTTCCTAAGAAAGACCTACAATGCTTTATCGTGCTGGGTCGGAACCGACTCATGCTGTGCAACATCACGACATCCTTTCTCGTGGCACAGCGCCTATTCTTAGTATCGATAATGTCAGAGGACGGCTGCTGACGTCGCTCAAACATCGACTTTTACTACCTTCGACTGCTCTCGTGGAACGATCATGTAAATCTAAGTCTCTGCAACTGATCTCCAGCAGTCTACAGGAGTACTTTCCCGTGGGAATCTTTGGACACCAGACATGTTCCAGCACCAGCCACGAGCATGACTTGGACGGTAACACAGCATCTCCGCCGCACGATAACGCTGCCAGGTACACCCGTCTCCTCGGGCAAGAGAATGACAACTCCAAGGGTTTCACCTCTTGCTCCGTGGTTCGCAGCGTACCTGAATGGCTTGCAGACAGTCTGGAAATGTCTCTCTTTGTCAACACAACCTCATCGTACAAACCTGGCAGCATCTGATGGAAATACTACAAGACTCACGAATTGATGACTGTCGCTTCCCACAGCTATACCTCGTTGGCTCCAGCCCAAGGCGGAAGTTCTGATATGTCGTGCTGCCCGACTACCAAGGCAACGAAAACCTATTGTCGGGACGATCTTGCATATGTTGGTATCCGTATAGTGGGACGTCGAGTATCGTCTGGTTGCCGCAATGCCAGTCTACCCTGTCCTTCGGGCTTTCGGTCGTCGTGAAAGGCTCCAGAGCACCGGCTCCCCAGCCTCGTGAAATGGAAAGCGATGACTGAGGATGGACATAAGAGTGATGGGTTGTGCTGGTTCGTGGCTCCCTCCGCTACCTTCCACGAGTTACCGTTGCTTTCATTTATTCTTGCCTGACATCACTCTGGCCCTGTCAAGCACGTGAAAGTACAGACGCTCAGTCACTTACTACTTGACACGAGCTGAGCGCACACAACGGACTGCACAACGAACCGTACACAAGATTCAACACCCGTCGAGAGGCAAGATGTCACCCATCACGCAATACCTAGGCCTTGCATGCCTCATCACAAGCATAACCGCCAACCCGATCAAATCCTTCGACTCAGGTTTCAAACACGACCTCCAATCACCAATGCCGACACCGACCGTGGAATTCCTACCCAGACCAAACATCAATGCCACGCCTTCACCCGTGCATACGCCATCTTCACCCATCACATTCGCCCCCGTCACCTACGCATCCGACCTGAAACGCGACGTAACCTCCATACCCAACCTCGTCCCGACCTCCCCGGTCGACCTCGCCACCGACACAACCGGCACCCGTACCATCTCCCCCTTATTCATGCCCACCAAAATCGCCACCATCGGTTCCGCAGTCACGACTGCCGGATGCGAGGTCAGCATCGTCGATTACGAGTACGTGACTTCCTGCTCTGATGTCAATGGTGCGCTGTCGACGACTGCGGCTGGTGTGGTGCTAGGCGAGTTGGAGACGACGGTGGGGATTGGGTGGTGTTGTGGTGGGGAGGAGGATCTGCATGCTTGTACGGAGGATGGGACGATTCCGAAGGGGCCAGCGGAGTGGACGTGCACCTTGGGGAGTACGACGTACGTTGGCGTTACGACTGCTACGGCTACGCTTGGATGAAGTTGTTGTTGTTGTTGGGTGTGGAGGTGGAGGTGGAGGTGGAGGTGGTGCTGGAGATCAGAGTGTGGCGGATGGGTGAGGGTGGAGGCGGGGGAAGGTTATCAGAAGGCAATGCATGATGGATGTGATCCGAGACGAGGAAACGGCCGTATCCAGCATTTCCATTGCCATAAACTCTTCCCACCACTAGTCTGTCTTCGTAGCACTGGGCAAAGTGTGGATGGAGTATGTGTGTCCACTGGTGGCGGTGGTTGTTGAATTTGTTCTCCCGCCAAGACCGTGACATTACATTACCTCTAGGGTGTGAGCCCATCCATCTAGAACATTCGACGTCCCGATGTCGAACCCAAAATCGTAGCATTTTCCTTGCGAAGAACTACTACTCTGCCATGTAAGCAGTCGTCGCACCAAACATTCGTCACGTTCCGACATTGAAGGATATCGCGACTAACGTGTGTGAAAAATACGAGACTCCGATTCCTGGGGCGAAGCAACGAGTTGTTCGTTCATGCTTGCTGAGATGGATAGATAGATATCTATTGGGTCTGGGGATCGGGTTGAACGCATGTAGGGGACAGATCCCTCTAGTCTCGAGCAGTGGGGATGCCTTTCCCAGCAACCCCGACTCGCTTCAGCCTTCCTCAACTCTCATGCTCTCCCCTCTCCTCATCATCCCCTCACCTATACCTCTCTCCCCCCCCCCTTCCCACCTCCCTCGAGCTCCAGACCCGACTTACTTGACCTCCCCTCCCCCCTTCTCCCCTCCCCTCCTCTTCTCCCCCTTTCCCACCACCTTCCACCTCACGCCGGCCCCGCTACGACCGCCAAAAACATCTCTCTTCGGCTTCGGTCTCGTCCGCACACCACTTTCCAACCTCACAACCACCCGCTCAAAAACACTCTTACACTCCACCCTCTTCAAACTCGTCGCGCCGCCGTCTTTGATCCGGGACGCCAGGCTTTTGAGCTGCGAAGAGAGAGCGTCGATGCGGGAGTTGAAGTTTTTTTCCTCCGGGCTTTGTGGTGGTGGGAAGGAGAGGTGGCGGTTGTTGAAGAGGGGGGCTATGCCGGGTTCGGGACAGTCGTTGTCGGGGTCGTGGTTGTCGCTGTTTTCTGTCGTGGCGGTGGTAGGTCCGGGCATGACTGACTCAGACCCAGACCCAGACCCAGACCCAAGACCCGAGAAATCTTTACAAAACCCCCCATCCACAGCCAGATCCAACACCTCCACCTCCCGCCTCAGGAGTCCATAATCCGTGTTCCCGTTGATCCTATAAACCTCCGCCGTCCGAAGCCGTTCCAATATAGGACTATAACAGTCCTCTATCCTCAGCATCTCCTCCCGCCAGATATCCGCGCTATATCTTAGAGCCAGCTGCCAGCGTAGGTAGTGTGTGCCTTCTGAGATCGCGGGTAAGGAGGTGATGACTTGGCAGAGGAGGGTCGGGGTTAGGGTTTCCATGGTTTTTAGTCCCGTTGCGACGGCGGCGCAAAGGGGAAGGAGGTCTGATGGGGGGGTGTTGGTGAGGAGGGAGGCTAGGGTTTGTTCGATTTCGAGGTGGAGGTCCGTCTCGCGGGCAAGATTGGTGTCGATGTTGAGGAGGGCTAGGTCGAGGATTGTTGTTGTTAGGGCTGGCAGGTTGGGTTTGGGGAGGAGGTATGAGAGGGCTCGGATGACGTGGCGGAGTCCAGGGGCTTGGGTAGTGTGGTGTTGGTTTGCCTCGCCTAGTCCACTCGTGTCCGATTGGGCAGCCGGTGTACCAAGTCCAGTGCCTGACAAGGCTGTCGAGTAATAGTCCCGTAAGGATGTCTGCTCATACTCTATCCCCATCGTTCGTGCAAGACTCAGCACTTCGACATACGCCTCCCTCAAATCCTCCCGCCGTTCATGCACCAGTTGCGACGCCGTCCACTTCACCGCAGCTTCGGGTAAGCGGCTCATAGAAGCGAGATCAGCGACGAATCCCATAATATAAGCCCGCTGTCGTTTCCCTACATCTCCGAGAGTACTCATCAATGCCGTGCCCTCGAGCCACTTTACCGGGAACTCGCAGTCCTCGACTTTGACTCCCCCGCCAGAAGCAAAAAACGAAAAAGTTTCCTCATCAAGCAACGCCTCAGTCCTCACCATGGCCCTCTTCACACCCTCCCCCTCCTCACTATCATCCGCATACTTCTCCACCAACATCTCCTCATCCATCGTCAGCGTCGTTGCCTGCCGTGCCCTGTCCCGCCTCTCTTGGGCCTCCTGAGCTTTATTCTCCGCCTCCGCAATCCTAACATCCTCCCTCACCTTCTTCTCATTCGCCTTCACGAGTTTGAGGAGGGAATGCTTGTACTCTGTCCGTGGAGGCGAGAAGGGGAGTTGTGGTGTATGACTCCCACTCCTACTACTCTTGCTCGACTGATCGGAAAGCCGCGCACTCTTCCGACCAGCTATCTCCAACCTCTGTGTCGTCAAAACTTGTGGTAGAGGTGGTGTCAATCGCACCTTCTTTCTTGGGATAAGAACATCGATATCATCCAAATGCTCATCACTATCCTCCGCACTGCCAGAGTCAGAGTTGGTGACTGCCTGCATCCCGCCCTTCATGACCCGTCGACTGGAGCTCTGCGAGCTGAGGAGTGACGTAAAGGATGTATTCAGGGCTGGTGGGGGTTGTGGCAGCATGCTCGTGGCCAGTGGTGCTTGATATATCAGCGTCGGAGTCGGAGTTTGTTCTCGCCGCGGCGATGGGACCTCCACAGACATCACCGCTCGTTGGACTGAAGGCGTCGGGCTGGAGTGGTAGAGGGTCTCGTCATCGTTGCTGCCGTCTAGGGAGGACACAGCCGATCGCTTGCTGCGGGGTGATTTGCGTGGTGAAGCTTTGAGAGGTGTCGCTCCGAGACTACCCACACTCGAGTCACGAGATACTTGACTCTTCTGCGGCAACAACTTCGTCCTGACCTTCTCTTCGTGTTTGCCGGTCGAAGCATGATCACATGCTTTCCGTGCACTGCGACTGGGCTGCGCCTTCCTGCTCTGGGTGGGCGAGCCCACGATGATCTCATCTTCTTCCACTTGCTGCACGGGAACTAGATTTCGAGGGACGATGTATGGTTTGAAAAAGTCCTTGACCGCGCGACCCATTTCGTTCAATCATCCGCATAGCATAGCATCACACAATCGAACGCATTCAGGCTTTACGATGAGATCAGACCAAGTCGCGGATCGCGTAAACGATGCTTAGTCAGATGACGCGCTAGTGACACGAAACTTTGGGTTCGGCTCTTTCGATGGCTCGAGAGCTCAGCAATCCATATTCAACCTCTAGGTATCAAGATCCTTGACCGTTCAGACGCCAACCTACATCATCGCTCCCCCATCCTCCCATGCATATCCATCCCCCCCGCATCAACCACATCCCCCCCTTCACTCCTCCTCCTCTGCCGTCGCCGATCAGAAGCACGCCACCAATCCGCAGTTAACATATCCCTAAACAGCGCCCCACTCCCCGGCGCCGCACTAGTCCCATGCGTACTTCTCCTCCGCCTTCTTCCGCTATGCGAGCGGTGGTCTGATGGCGCTGGTACAGTGGGTGGGAGGGTATTTGCGTGACGAGGATGAGGATCCTGAGTCGGCAAAGCTTCATTTTGGTTCAAGCCTGCTGTGTCGCCGTTTGTGAGATGGCCATCATTTGGCCGCGAGGGAGGCGGAGGATTCTCGAACCGAGCATGCCGGTTTTGGCGCGTGATATCGCCTGCGCTTGCGGGTCTGCGGCGCTCATGAGGAGGGGGGAAAGTGCCGTAGGCTTCTTCCTCCTCCTCATCACCTTTGCGATGATCGTCACCCAGTTCCTCCCAGATATCGAGGACGTCTTTGAGCGTACTCGCTCGTTTCCGCCGCTTACTTGTCGATCGGGGTTTGTGCGAACTGCCGTTGCTCTTGCTTGTGCTTGCTCGTTTGAGTGCTTTGGTGATGAGTGGTTCTTCTTCGTCTCGTGATCCTTCTGCATCAAGACCAGTTTCCAGATCGCGGTAGTCGTCTTCGTCCACGATGGCCGAATCCGTCGTCTCGCTATCATCTTCATCGTCCTCGGGATCTCCCACAAACCCTAATCCAGGCGTAAGCACCGTCTGCGGGATCTCATGCTGCGCCATCTGGTGCCTATGCTCTGTATCCCCCGCCTCCCCACTATCTTCCAACCTCCAGCTCAACGCCAGGACACCCGCGAGCAAGATCACCGTCCCCAGAGCAATGAGCCCAGCATGCAACGGCGGCAACCGATCCATCTGCCGGAAATAAATCAGGCCGTCCAGAATCGCAACGATGTTGTAAATGCAGAAGACGAAAGGGTAGAGTACACTCGTCGAGATCAACCGGAGACCAAGATGGAGGTAGTACAATTGACTCAACGCCAGGACCAGGAAAGCCAAGACCAAAAGCCAAGACCGATAGTTTCGAAACTGGTTCTCCTTGTCCGCGAAACTCCGCACGATCAATTCTACTGCGCTTTTCGCGAGTAGGAGGCCGTGTGCCGAGAGGATGCCGGAGATGGCTCCATAGCCCATTCCTCGAACCAATAGTAAGCGCGGACTATCCCTCTTCGACTGCGAGAGCAATCTGCGCATCGTGAAGTCCATAGCCAGTAATACTAGTACCAGGACTAAGGATAGAATAAACCAGAGCAAGAAGCTTTGGTATCCCAGTAATGCGATAAGTTGATCCAGATTATGGCTCGGTTCCGGCAAGGCGGAGAACAACGAGATCAGGACGGCACCGCCCGCTACTAGTAGAGTCCCATATCCCGTCCGTATCGTGAACTGTTCCTTTAACAGCAAGCTAGCCAGTATAGAATTAAACACCAACCCGGACGCTTGTAGTGTACTCAATAGTGGTAACGGCAACGTCGTGATCTGGATGCTGGACCCGACGATATTCGCGAGCAGGAAGATGAGCATGCCGACTTGCCATCTTCGCCGCCTGTATGCGGGGCGGGCGGGCGAGGCCGAGTGGTTGTTGTGGGCTTTTTCGTCCTCGAGGATGTGGGATTTGCGTTGGAGGGTTAGGCCCAGGGATTGGATGCAGGTGCTCAGCAGGCCGACGAGGATGCCTATTGCTACGCTTGCGCTCGGGGAGAGGGAGGGGAAGGCGGCCATGGTTGTGGGTGTGGAGGGGTTGGGTGGTGGTCGGTCGCTATGCGGTGTGCATGTGGTGTGGTGTGGTGTTTGCGTATTATCGATTCGCTGTTGGTGTCGCCATCCTCGTCTGGCAGTCGTGCTGATGCGTTTCAGGCTGTGCTGCTCATTGTTGTCGTCGTGATCGTAATTGTCGTCGTGACGTGGAAGGGGCGAGATGTGGTTGGATTTTGCGATCGTTCGCTTGCACGTCCACTGGCGCGAGCAGCCATGACGCTGGCGTCTCGGAGGTGTGCATCAACGATTGCCGAATCGGGTTTGAGCTTCAGCCGCATGCATAAATGGATCGAGCTTGGACCATATGCATGTATAAGAAGTACGGGACAGAGTGTCAAAATACAAAGATTCGCCTTCGCAACAGTCGCGATGCAGTCGACGCGAAGAGTGGACTGCTCAGCCTCAGCACTGAGCGCCGCATTGTGTGAAGGAGCCAAGCATCGAGGCGTGCACGTGTCACTGCGCATGACAAGAAGGAATTCAGTCAGGTTAGAAGAGGCGTAGGAAACTGTCCTATCGGTCGTGACGCCAATCACTGCCTGTTCCAGCTTCGCGCCAACCCATGCCATGTGAAAGCAGACGTGACGAGATAATCCGACCCGACCCGACCCTTTCTCGCCTTCTGAACCAGGAACGAAACGCCACTCTCCCGCTACGACTACGCAAGCTACGACCATCATCTCAACAACCTCCCCTTCTTAGCCAAGAACGGACTCGGCATCTCCTCGCCCAACCCTACATCCCACTTCGCCGGACTAGGCAACAATCTCCTCCCCTCCGCCATCAGGGCATCTTGATCCAAGCCCAGACCGAGATCAGGTTGCGATGTGAATGCTGCTCGAGCTTGGGACAATTCTACCAGGGTTTTGCCCCGGGATCCGGACTTGCCTGGGGAGAGGAGGGCGAGGCGGGCGAGGTTGGATGAGGTTGCTGCGCGGGGTGGGAGGCCGGAGGTTGTAGTTGCTGCCGTGGGAGGTGGGGGTGGTGCTTTGCGGGAGGGCGTGAGGACTTTGCCGTCACGGGTTGTGTTCGAGCGTTTCGGCGAAGTGGCGTGGGCGAAGGAGGGGATGGGGACGTTTGAGCGCGAAGGCGGTCGATTCTCCTTTTCTTGCGATTGGTTCTTGTCTGGTGACGTAGTAGGTTTCCTGCTGATGAGGCCGCCGAATGGATTACTGCGTTGGCGGGAGGCGATGGCCGGTTGCATACTAACAGGCATTGTCTGCTGGCGCTGGAGACTGGGTCTCGACATGCGTTTCGGTGGTGCCTGCTGTTGCTGACCCTGCTGTGCTGCAATCGCTTTGAACGGATCCCCACTAGCATTCGACATCCCACTCGTCGGACGAGAAGGCGACTCCGGCTCCTCACCCATAAGATCCTCGTCCGCGAAACTGGAGTCGAGATCGTCCGCGTACGATGGCCTCAGGTTAGCATCAGCGAAGATGTTTTTTCTCAGCCCTCCAACCGCACTGGACAACCGATCCTGCCCAAGCCCACCATGTCGGCGGGGCGACAGACTCAAACCCTTAATGCTCATAGGCGCCGCATGCTGACGCGGCATAGGCGACGGATCCGCCATCTGGACATCCATCGGCGAAGCCGTCGCACCATACCCCTCCAATCCAAACACGCCCCCATTAGCAAAAGTCTTGGCCTTCATAAAGCCCTGTCTTGTCCTCTTCGGTGGCGGCTTGGTGCGTTGAGCGAGCGGTGAGACGTCTTCGCCTAGGGCATCCTCCATGATAGACAGGCTTGAGAGATCCGTATCCAGCGTCGTATCCACGTTGTCCTGCTGCGCGGCATTGGAAGACCCGTCCGATCCAGCCGTTGTGGTCGTGTAGGCAAAACTAGTACTCTGCGATTTCCCAGGCGGCGGTGTACTGGACCTCACGTGGCTCGCTACGCCTGCACCGTCTTCGCCGGCTAGGCCGTGGCTTTGGGGGAGACTGGCTAAGTGGAGCTTGAGTTTCTCGTCGACTTGTTTTTCTACTGCTGCTTCGAATTGTTGGAGGAGATGCGCTTTTTGGCGTTCGAGCTCGTTGTGGTGTTTTTGGTCGGCGTCGGCGGCGTGTTGGTCGATGGCTAGGCGTGCTCGGGCTTCCCAGGCCATTTCGGCTTTCTTGCCTGCTTCGCGGAGGATTGTGATTTCGGCTTGGAGTTCTTGGATCTGCTTTAGCGCGGCGTTGACCTTGGTGAGTGCGCTGTCGCGTTCTTGTGTAAGACGCATCCTCTCGGTGTTGGCTGTCTCCAGCGCTTGAACTTGTTCGAGCTTTAGACTTGCGGCTTTGATCTGAGGGACGTTGAGGAGTTGCGCGGTATCGGGTCGTTGTCTTGGGTCGACTTTGAGGCACGAGCTGATGACTTCCCAGAGCTCACGACTGTAAACGTCCGGTAGAGGTTTTATGCGGCCCGCCTTGATCTTCATAACGAGTTCGATATGTGTTCGAGCGTCAAATGGCACATTGCGGGTCGCGAGTTCGTAAAGGATGCAGCCTAGTGACCAGACGTCACTGTGATGGGAGTATCGTTCAGCTGCGCATATCTCAGGAGACATGTAGAAGGGTGTGCCAACGTAAGTACTGGCGAAGTCGTGGGAGGCGATGATCTTGCTGAGGCCAAAGTCGCCCAGTTTGACTGCGTTGTTCTCGCCAAGAAAGACTGGAATCACTTCGTTAGCACCGGCACACCGCATGCATCTCCCTCAAGCATTGTCGGACTCACCATTCTCCGGCTTCAGATCCCGATGCAATATCACCTGCCGCATACCCTGCTTCGTCTGAAAGCCCTTCGTCTGCCTTATCGGCACCGACTGCCCAGCAACTGGCGCATCCTCACCTTCATGACACCGATACAAAGCACTAACCAACTGCGCAAAGATCTGCCACACAAATTCCTCTTCAGCCAACACATTCTCCTTCTTCATCTTCTTGATGTAGCCTCCCAGATCTCCATTGCCGCAGTACTCCATGTACAAGTGGATATCAGACGAGCTTTTCAGATGCGAGCGGTGGTAATACTGCACTACATTGGGATGGCGAAGGGTCTTGAGGATGTCGAGTTCGGCGCCTAGTTGTTGCTTTTCTTTGTCGGACATGCGGCTGTAGGATATTTCTTTGCGGCAGAGGATAGTTCCTGTGGACTTGTGGCGGACTTTGCGAATTATGCCGAAGGAGCCTTGGCCTGGGATGGGTTTTAGTATATGTATACACTTTTGAGTGAAGGCGGCTTAGTGGAGATGTCTTACCTATCTTCTGAAGTACCTCATACTTCTGATCTTCTTCTTCCGCCATAGCGGAGTAGCAATCACTCGATGTCTACTCGAGTGATGGTATTACAATCTGTACGATCGAGCGTATAGCTGTCGAAGTGTTCTTGCGCGTGCTGAGTCCAGTACCAGACTGTATGTCGTGTCGTGTTCGTATCGCTGTATTGGTAGTCGTTCGTCGATGATCGTCCAAGCCCAGTATGTGCTTCAAGCTCTCTTAAAGCTGCTGTCGCGATGACAATGTCATACCCAAAAGTGACAGACTAATGTAAGCTACCGTCCTGCATAGGTATCCAAACCACGACGAGGGGTTAGTGTTGTAAGTACTGTGTAACGATATAAGGTATAGCAAGGTGCATGCATGTAGAGCTCACTTTCTTCGGCGAGTGTGTTGATCTGCACATAGCAACGGTGGTCGCTTCGCCTAGCAACCATGCCAGCAGCGGCCGTACCCGATTAGGACGATTTCACGATCTGGAAAGGGAACAACAACAATCGCAAAGTACAGCACACTGTCATGCTGTGGAGGCGCCGTGGTTAGGTAATGCTGCACGACCTGGCATCGAATTGCGGCTGGTCTGTTAATGCATTGGGCGACGACGCCTTGAGCTCTCTGTTGAAGGTTCTACCACATCACAACTCACCAACGAACATCACCGCCACATCCATACAACCACCCTATCACGCAGGTCGATAGATCTCCGCCCTGTATATCAGAGTACGAACGCACCAGGTGACAGCAAGCAGAAACTAGTGGTGTGATGTAGGCAGCCTGAGAAGACTGCAATTCGCCACTTGTCCTTATCCTTGAGGCCGCCCGTTTGCATTCTACGTTATCACACTCGCCCTGAAATTCCTGCTTCTCCTCTCTTCTTTTCTTCGGCGTACTACTTGTATATCAACCTTAGTTCCCACGATACGACGCTCCACTGCGGTGTCCACCAGCTACACTGAGTCCAACTGCTTGTCTCCTCGCTATGGACGTACTGGCTTCACCAACAGCCCGCATCCGTCCTAATGTTGCAGACGATCCGAACTTCAACCTCGTTCCACGGGTATACACAGCGCTCACAGATGATTCGGACCGATTGTACTGACTGAATACAATTGCAGAGCACTCTTTACAGGCTCCAGCTATTCATGATGGACATCGCGAGTCCATGGTCACGATTCTGCCTCGATGCCGCAGGCCTGATAGCTCTTGCTGACATCAACACCGTCGCCCGGCGAACAGTCCTGACAGGCAACTCTACCTGGCTTGACATCTTCGTCTTATGTCCTGGCATGCACAAACAGCAGAACGCTACAGATCTCAATCGTGGCGAGTACCCTGCCTGTGCCGCCATGACGACGGGTTATGTCTTCCGTGTTGAGAACCCTGCCGCGGTCTGCTTCTTGCAGAGGGTCGGGCGAACAGGTCATCTGACGACCTTGAATGTCGAGGAGCTTCCGGCCATGTCGTGGTGGCAGAAGACTATGCACTCCTTCTTCGATCTCAATACAACAAGTCTGGTGTCGATCACAATGTACGTCTTAGCAACTGGACTAACGTTGTTGGCTCTCCTTGGTCTCTTCCACCTGCGCGACGTCTGGGGATGTACAGCGATCCTGATATACATTCTCATCCGAGCTATAAACGTGTACATCATACGTGCTCGCGCCAGTGTAGACTGGAAGGGAGCCAAAGAGGACAACGAGGCTGGTAGTCTGATGATACTTCTGAGCCAAGATCGCTGGATCAGGATGAAAGGCTCCGTTTCAGACCTCAAGGCTGTGACGTCTGGACAATGGCTTCGAGATGTGACGGCCACCGAAGACTCTCTCTCTAACTGCTCTACCTTGCTGATATATCTGAACGTCATCGTTGCGGTAAATGCGGAGCACCACAGCAAAATGCTCCTCATTGTCTTGCTTTTGTGTTCAGCGGCATTGCTTGGCATAGCAAACCTTTCCGTGGAAAGTACTGGCTCCTTTACCATGGCTGGAAGGGCCATCAAGACCAGTGGAAAGCCCAAGAAGTACGAAAGGAGGCTTCATATGGCGGAAGAACTCATCAAAGAGACTAATCGACGTGATTGGGCAGAGGGGCTTGGAATGGTCAAGCCTGAATCTGGTCACTACACTGGTCAGCCTACTATGTAGAAGAGATGATATTACGAGATATTGTGCCTCATATATAATGCCCGTTACTGACTACAAGAAGAGATGGAACGATGAATACGAAACTTTTGCGCCTCACCCGCCACCACATCCATGCCTGCTCCCTCTCCGTGTCGCGATATACATCTCCAACGCACTTCCCTCACTACTACTTGCCGCATGACAGGCACCAGCACTCGCGTCCAACGAAGACGAGTGCTGCTGACTCGCAGCACTACGTCGCGCAATCCTGGTCTCCCACTGCATCTGCTTTGGACTCTCCGGCTCCTCGCTCACAGGCGCGATAGCAGCAAGAGGACTATTCAAGGTGCCGTTGGTGCGAAGGACGGCCATCAGGGCGGCCGAGAGCATGGCGTTCTGTTTCTCCAGCGCGGCGAGGCGTGCATCGAACTTGCTGGTGTCTTTACCGTTGCTGGGTTTGCTATTCGAGGACTCCTTGGATGAGACGCTTTTTCTTTGGGCTTGCGTGGCAACGTGGTCGATTCGATTGGGTGGCGTACTGTCTTTTGACAGAATCTCGTAGGCTGGAAGCGTCGGCAGGTCCTTCTTGCACATCTTGGCTGAACGCTCTGAGCCTGATGCCGGCGGCGTCGGTGGCAGAGCTCTGTTGGGTGGTGGAGAAGGCAGCGGAGGCGTGTCGTCTTTGCCTGCCTGGCTTGGGCTGTTTGGCCGAGATGTCTGGGTGACGGGTGTCTGAACTCCGGATGGTGGGCCACTGGCTCGACTTTGTCGCTTCAGTGAATTGTGTGGGATCGATGCTGACCGTGGTCGGGGTGCGTACAACTTGCTATCTTTGACGATCAGACGGGCTGGCTTGGGCGTCGGTCTGGACTTCTGCAGCGGTATCTCCTCGGCGACGAGCATGACTGGGCTGAGTGCCATGCGCGTCAAAGCTGTCATTGCACTTTCGTTGGACGCAGTGGGTGAAATTGGCGTATAGCCAGTCTTCTCACCACTGCTTGTTGGTGTGCCCTGCGAAGGGACTGGTGAGACGGGTGAGCGTGTGCACTCTGAGATCTTCTTCCAGCTGGCATTGCTGGAAGCCGATGAGGAAGCTCGAGTGACTAGAGGAGCAACATGCAAGTCTGGAATATTGATCTGTGGTCGTGCTTTCCGCAATCGCTTGGCGGGAGCCTGGCTGCTTGTGTGGACAAGGGTGTCAATCGCACGCTCCAGTGTTGGCTTGTCACGAAGCTTCCGGCTCTTGATACGATCCTCTCGCTCTCTGCGTGAGATTGGATGTGCTCTCTGAATCATCATGCTGCTCTTCTCGCCTCGAGATCGAGGACGTTTGATCGGTCCGGTACATTCCGTCACGACACAAGGCTTCATAGACTCGAGGACATCGTTGTACTCTAGCACAGGCTCAATCATAGGTGCGATCCTTGGTGTGCTTTCACGGACGTGCGTGATGTTGTGCGTGGCGATGATGCTTTCGATCGTACGAGGATCCTGACGTAACCTTAGTGGACTTCGTGGAGGTGGAGGGCCAGGACTATCGGAGAAGCTGCGAGGGTAGAGTGAAGATGCGATACTCGAGGCTCTTTGCAACAAGACCGGATGGCTGGCAAAGCGTCGGGGAGATGGATGCTTGATCTCTACCTCACGTCCTGGAGCCGGGTGCTTGACTGGGAACTCTTCTTTGGGCAACGAGATCTGAGGCAGAGCAGTCAGCGTCTCCGTTTGTCGAACTGGATGACTGCTCAATGCTGCGCCCGTCTCCAATGATCGGACGGCGAGATGGTTCGTGAGGTCACTGCGATATGAGTCTGCCATGGACACAGCAGAGCCTGGGATTGGCGTTGGTGGCGCGGGAGTTTTGGCTCGAGGTCGTATAGGCGATGAGAAGTTCTTGACGGACCTCACAGTACTACCAGCCTCAATCGGTAAATGAGCAGACGACATTCTAGGCTGAGGCATAGGACTTATCGCCGGCGAAGACTTCTCGTGGTACGCTAGCCAGCCATCGTAATGCTCACTCGAGCAGTGCTCTTCTGGGAGTAGCGAGATGGACACCCTCGAGTCCACTACTTCGAGATCGTCCGGAGCGGGTGGGGTGCACGATGGATCTGCCCCGTTGACACATCTCAAAGGCGGCAAGACATCTTCCTTGTCTTCTTCCAGTTCGGGTTCGGACTCTCTGAGCTGGAGAGCTAAGTACCTCTTGCCTGTATCAACACGAATCAGCTTCTTACGCTCACGACGGTTGCCAAATTGACATACCCGTTATTGTCTTTCGTTGATCGACACATCTCGGTATTGGTGGCTGTAGCAAGCCACCCTCATCGTGCAGTACAAGACTGTTCCTGGTCAAGTATCAGTCGTGGCTGATAGTAAACCAAGCTTCGGAGCAAACCGTACTGAGCAGCCAAGTCTCTTGCTCGCTTACTGCCTCGCTTCAGAAAGCGCAGAGTTTTCCTTGGAGCGTTGAGCCCACGCTTGGGAGGCTCGAGCTTGCTTGAACGACGATGAGGTTCCGTTGGTCCATAATAACGGAAGAAGTCCGTAAGCTCTCTGGTCACATTGTCCCTCGGCAACCGCAGCATACTCGTCGAGGTCGTCATCTCGTCGTTGTTTGTTGTCGCATACGGAGCCTGGGTACTATCCGTGTGGTTTAGTGAGAAAGAGTCCAGGGATGCTTCCCGATGGACGACGATGCTGTTTGCTGGGCTACAAGTACCAGAAACACCATACTTCTCAAGCCCACGGCCACGATCGAGTTCTGATCTATTATCACGGACTCGCTGGAACGCTGACGTCGATTGTCCCATAATGGCATTCGTATACAATGGTCCAGATGCAACAGCCATCCCAGCAGCTGCAAATATAACAGGAGATTGCGAGGGGCTAAAAGGCATAATTTCGAAGTCCTTCGGCGTATGGTTGGTGAAGGCCGGTCCAGCAGGAGGAGCTGCCTGCCGGCGACGCACGTCGGAAAGCTGCATTGGATACGGAATGGCCTTGGCTGGTACGCCGACGCTGTGTTTGCTTCAGCGACAAAGACTCGCATAGGGGACACCGGCAGCAACGAGGCGTCGATGGAGACTCACCAATTCGCGTTGGCCGATAGGTAGTCCGATATATATTAGATCCACTTCCCTCTTCTCCACTACACCAACAGAACAGAAGCAAGATGGAAGGAAGCTGTAATGTGGCAACGGGCTGAGGACAGTGCAACATAAGGGATAAATAAAAGCCTACTACACATGAAGCAAAAGCATCACAAAGCCGCAAGGAAAGGTGACTGAGCAACGGGTCTTTGACGCCCTGGCAGCGATTGTACAACGACACACCCGCGCTTGCAGTAATAGCCAAGGTGTACGGTGAAGGACTGGTGCAGCACGACTCGAGCGGATTCTTCTCCGCAGCAGAATAGGTGGGATGCTGAGCGTGATTGTTGTGTAGCCTCCCGTGAGGCGAGGAAGTAATGTGTTGTCTCGTGTGCTGTGTGATGTATAACACCATCGCCATGCTGACAGAACGATGTCTTCCCTGCAGCAGAGATTTCTGTCTGAGCTTGTCTCGTCCTCCTCGAAGATGACAAAACATGCTTCTAGATGCTATGGCAGAGGGTAAGATAAGGCGAGTAAACGGTGCGCAAGCAAGCAAGGGATTTGGGCATGCAAGCCGTAACGATCCAGCTGCAGTACAGGTTGCACAACATAAGCGTGGGCCGCCGTACCTGAAACAGGGGATAGATCAGCCATTGATTACAAACTTAGCAGGCCATGCTGGTCGCAGACCTTGAAAGCCTGTCGCAGTCTGTGACCGTCACAACAGCAGTCGGCATTGCACCTTTGTGTCGCTACGGGCTTATCAAATCGTGTCTGGGGATTGCGCTCGACGATGGACAGGTCATACCACGAGCATTGCATCTTGTACGAGCACGACGAAGGCGTCCAGGCTGTCATCATGTCAGTGTCCGATGCAGCGCGTGGCTATAAGCCCGCACGACGCTTGAAAGCGCCATCGTGGACACGACCGTCACGGGAAAGTGAGAATGACAGCCACACTGCTACCTATGTTCTTATATAAGCATCGAAAGTCAACGTGCCGGTAGGTGGAGCAATGGCTCCCCACTTGCATCGTAACATGTTGTTTGGTAATCAGGCACAGACACAGGGGAGTGCCGGAGCCAATGCAGCCGCAAGGTCCAGGTACACATCCACCCGATCTGCTGTACCTGTGCCTGGCGAAGAGAATCAGATAGTCCGTGCTCGCCAAAGTAGCAGAGCACAACTACTTCCTTGCTGCATCAATCTCCGCACCGTATGTTCCCCCAGAGAGCAAAGCAATTGATGATCTGTGCCGTGACTACCGCGGAACAGGTTTCATCTTCTTCTTTTGCAGCAAAGGATTAGCCGCAGGCCTCTTCTTCGCCATAGGCTGTGATACAGGCGCAACCACACCGTGCTTGACAGTCCCATCACCCCGGGCAACGGCCTTATCTCCTCCTCTATCGGAACTTTTGGAAACGCCAGAGGCGCTGGAGAGGGGTGTTTCAGCTCGAGACTTCCGTCCCTCTTCAGAGCGAGGTGCAGCGCCTTCGTGTTGCAAAGTCTTGTCGCTGGCAACTGACTCTACGTCTTCGTTGTCGTGAGGAGCATCTGCCATTTCTACGTCGTTGTCGATGATGTCCGGCGCGGCGCTTGAAGTCTTCTTACTCTTGATTCGATCTTCGAAGCGGTATCGTACGCCGTCCATCCTGTCCGTCTCGTCAGACACTACCAAATCCTTCTTCATATGTCGAGCAACGGGCCGAGTCGGCTCGTTGCTGGCAGCTGCTTTGGCTGGAGCGACCCCTGACATCGTTGTTGAAGGCACTCTAGTTGGCGGTGCGGCAGGAGATGCGCGCATCGTAGGTACTGGAGTGGCAGACGTCATTGCTTGACGTTGCTGTCCACCAGCAGCAGGCTTACCGGCTGGAAAGTCTCTCGACGACCTCGAAAGCATTCCCTTCAGATTACCACCAGTCAGCACATCCCTCGCCTTCGCATCCTCTACCAACTTCCTCCAGAATTCTCCTCTGACAAGACTCTCCTCATTCCCAAGCACCCATAACGAACTCTTCGCTCGTGTCAAGCCCACGTTCATACGTCTAACATCCCTCAAGAACCCAATACCGCCGTGTGGACTGGCACGCACACAGGAGAAGATGATGATCTCGCTCTCCCTGCCCTGAAAAGCATCCGTCGTATTGAACTCGATCGTGTCAGATATCTCGGACCCATATCGCTGCGAGAACTTGTCTTTCAGGAGGCGAAGCTGAGACTTGTAGGGTGTGATGACGCCTATGCGGCCAGTGTAGTCGTAGTCCCTGAAGTCGGTTGTCAGACGCTCATACAGCATCATAGCGATCTCCACTTCTGCCACGTTGACCAGCGAGTGGCCCTTTGGAGCAGATGAATGCTGACCCTTGACGTCGAAGAAGCGGTAAGGTGCCAGAAGCGAGCTAGCATGCCAAGGTCTCTCTCGCATACCTGCCAGTCCATCGCCGTCTTTAAGAAGACCATCGTAGAATGCTTGTGCCGGGAATTGCGAGATAGCGGGATGCATGCGGTACTGCGTGTCCAACAGAAACACCTCGTTCGGAGAATTCCTCTGCATCCTCACGAACAGGGACTGCTCGTACGAGAATCGAGCTGCTTCCTTCGAGAAGACGGTAGGAGGAAGTTGCTTCGGGTCTCCAACCATGATGCACTTCACACATCCATATTTGAGAGGAATGAGCGACGACATCTCAACACATTGGGCAGCTTCGTCGATGATCACGGTCTCGAACTCGATAGACAGAGACTGGAACATGTCGTGTCCCGATCCAGAGAGGGTGGCGCAAATGACATGAGCTTCATCCAGAACTGCCTGTTGTGCTCTCTTGCGCCCCAGCTCCGCTTCACGACCAGCATTACGCTCGCTGTCCTTGACACTGTCGATACGCACACCCATCTCGTTCTTCCTCTTCCTCACGCTCACGATATCGTTCTCCAGAACTGTGAGCTCTTTGCCTTTTAACTCGCCACCATCTCGTTGCTGGTACAACTCTCGTAGGCGTGCAGAGACCTTCTCATGCTCCTTGAAGACTTCGGCATTCTTGGCTCGCACCGAGTCGTCTTTACCGTTGCCTCCCATCCGCTTCGCCACAAGCTCGTCCATCGTCACGTCAAGGACGTTGCTATTGATAGCGTCACTGCGGCCGATGCGCACGATATTGATAGCGTGATGCCGTCCGTTCCTCGTCTTGACACCTTCCTTCAAACGCATGACTAGCTCATCAACAGCAGCATTCGATGGTGCACAAACGAGTAACTTCTTCGCCGTACCTTCACTCCCACCGCCACCACCCGTGCGACCCGGAACAGTGATCTTGGTCGCTCCAGAACCGGCAGCACCGAGCACGCCAGATAGCAACCCACCAACAATTGCAACAATCGTCTTCGTCTTTCCCGAACCAGGTGGACCTTGGATCAAACTGAACCCCTCGTTCTCAAGCGCAGCCTGCACAGCTTCCGCCTGCGCCCTGTTGACATTCCATATATCCTGCACGCCCGCCACCATCTTCTCCGAGGCAGCCGACCTCTTACTGGGCGCAGCACGAATAATCTGCATACAAAGATCATAGTACTGTAGACCCTTTAAAGCACCATACTCGCGTTCCAGCGGCACAATTGACTGGATCTTCTGTGCGAAGACGACAGTCTGTGCCGTCAGCCCAGGAGCTAATGAAGAGCCAGGTACAAGTTGGTATACGATTTCGATCTGCGCTTTCTGGCGTTTGAGCTTGGATAGGCGAGCGAGGCAAAGCGGAGCCGTGGCATCTTCGGCTGGTCGACGGGCTTTGGATAGGAGGATGATATCACCTTCTTGCAGTCCTAGATCGCGGTTCTCGACTTGTGAAACAAAGGAGGAGATCTCGATCAGAGCGTCGACATTACTCCTGTTCTGAACTTTGACTTCATAGGTTTTGTTGGCATTTTCTTCTCTACTCTTTACCATGCCCTGCCATGCCTCAAGCGTCAGAAGTGGTTCGAAGGTCTCCTGATAGCTGTTCGGATCTCGGTATGAGTCGGCAACGGGCTTGAAGAGGTTCTCGTTGCTGGCAGGAGGGTAGTCGCCCGAATGAAAGTAATCCCATCGAAGAATCACGGTATGTAGGTTGCGCAGATCTGGCGCCAGACGAGCCCGCATGTCCTTCACACTTCGCTGTGTGCGCTGGATCCTCACTGGGCCCTTGCGCACATCTGGTCTCATGCCAACCGCACCATCAGGTAGCAGAGCGGGTCGGTCAATCTTCTTACGCTCTTTCTTGGGGCCGAAGAGATCATCGTCCATATCGTCATCGTCGTCCTCGTCACCACTCTCTTCGTCCGACGAAACCATGACGTTCTGACCTTTGAGCGAGTGATCTTTGCCCATATCGCCCAGGCCAGCCACTCCACTCCCAGCGCCGAGCTTGGCCACAGCCGCAAGTCTAGACTTCTTCGCAGCCTCCTGCTCCATCTTCCTCCTGGCAAGAAAGTTCACACTATCATCCCTTGACTTCTGCGCCGCACGCTGCGTAGCAGGCATTTTCTTCGCAGCCTGCATCTTCTTGTACGCCTCCCCGGCCTTCGTCGAGCCATTCATTAGGTCCCCATAAGCTTTCTCATGCTCAGACATCTGCTGACGACGAGCCTTGTCGGCCTCACTTTGCTTGGACCAAGCGTCGACGTCGATAGTGCCTGCCTTAACCTTCGAGCCAGCACCTGGGATGGGAGTACTGCGGCCTGAACTCCCAGGTGTAGAGGAGCGGAAGCCCAATGTACCCTGATTCAGCGGCTGAACCTCAATGACAGATTCTAGATCCGCGCCAAGATGCTTTTCCAGCGCGCTCTGCAGCTCGGCCTTCTGGTTCATGGACAACTTCGTCCTGACCCTTGCGTTCTTCTCCGTACTCAGAACGACATCCTCGACGAATAACGCTGTCTTCGAGTCGACCTCGATACCCACAGCCTGTAGTCGTATAAGCATCTTGGATGTGAGCGAGACGGCCTTCGTGATCAGATAGTCGTCTCTCAGCCTCAACCACTTCGTGATACTATGGAATGCCTGTTTCGGAAACTGCAGCAGAGCCTTGCCCACGTGTTTCTTGTTGGCATTGTCACCTTGCGCGTTTTGGAGTGTGGTGGCAATGATGCTGTATTGGTCGAAGGCACCATCAGCGAAGTCCATAGTCGCACGACAAAAGTCCTGAAGCATCTGCTTATCATGGCCAAGTTGACTCCACTTCTCCGTTTGGCTAAAGATGGTCTCGAGCGCCGTCCAAGTCATCTCCCAGAACGATGCCAAAGCCTTGAGATCTTCATCGTCTGTCAAGGTCATCTCTCTTAGTAGACCGTCTTCACTGTCGCACAGGCAGGCGAAGATATCACTGCTGATCTTGAGGAAGATAGGACATGGGCTAAAGATGGCGGTCTTGGCGATTATGTCCTGGGCATTGGCAACAGAGCTCAGCGTCGTGCCAAAAAAAGCTCTGAGGAGGTGCATCAGAGTATCACGTCGATTGTCTTCTCCTGAGAGGGTCTTAAAGATGTCGAGCGTCGCCTGGTGGGTAGGCTCAGAGCCGTTGAAAAGCAGCGACATCAAGCCGCGAGCAGCCTTCTGCTCCTGATATAGCTCGATGAGCTGTTCAGGGGTAGAAGTTTCGAGGCGGTCGAGCATGTCTTGGTGCACGTGCCGTAGTAGTCGGCTGAGAGCACTGTTCCATGCTTCGGTCGGCTTACTCGCAGCTTCAACCTCACGTTTGGCAAATTGTTCCAGACGCAGGAGGCCGGTCGTGCCAGATAAGACTGCCGTGCCCAGAGCAGGATGTCCGGGTTTGACAAGCCGCATGGACATTTTCCAAATGTTGAGGCCGGAGACAGAGACTTCATGATCGAGCGCTTTTGTCTTGACGAGCACATCCCGGCTGTACGAAAGAGTCTGCACGTCCAATGCAAGCGATGCCTCCACGATGTCCAAGCTAAGCTGCTCCGTCTCGTCGATAGACATTTCGCGCTTCTTCTCAATGCCATCAAGTTCCTGCAGGATAGAGCCAATATGCTCCTTGGAGATCAGCTCAATAAGGTTCACCACTACTGGACCACCGCTAAGCTGGCGAACACGATTTATGGTCTCAAGCAAAGCTGTGAGGCCAATCTTCCAGCAGACCGTTTGTGCGTACCGAGAATACTCGTCTTTTTGGAACGTGTGCAAGAGTTGTCGGAAAAGTGTGCGGGCTGGTGGGACAAGATTGGCAGGCTTGATGGAGCGAATGAGTGGAAGAGCCCATGCGAGCTTCTCTTCCAATCGCAAAGGTTGGGTGTCCTCCTTTGTCTGAAGCATGCGTTGCAGAGCTGGTGACTGCGTGATCTGTTCGGGGAGCGCATGTGTAGGCATACCACCCATTGCATCCCAAAATGCAGTTGGGTTGAGTTCCAGTAATCGTTGGTAGCATGCGATCTGATCTGCGAAGTGTGTGCCGTCAATCTGCCAGTGATCCATGCCAAGTGTGTAGATGTTAGCCTCCATCGTCCGGAGGTGACTGCTGATCAAGTCAGCTGTGAGCTTGTCGAGCATATGCCTTATGGCACTCCAGAAGATAGGCAGGAAGGCGGCATCCAGCATAGTAATGTTGACCCGTGTGGTAGCGGCCTGTAAGTACTTCTTGACACTGTGCTCGAACTCAGCACCAGTCAACGGACGCTTCAGTGCTGCGATGTTCCGTTGTGCCCAAGCCCTCCTTGGCTCAACCTTGGAGAACAAGAATGCGGCCACACCAGGCGCACAAGAAGGCAGCTTCAGCTTTGTCTTCGTCTGCACCAGTCGAAAAGGTGTGTCGAAGTACCGCTCCAGAACCTCCTCCTTCTCCAGAAATGGACCACAGTTCAGTGCTTCAAAGAGAGCGTACATGCCAACATCGCCAGCGGCTCTTATGCTGCGCTTGTCGATTGGTAGGTCTACCAGACTCTCCGTCATGCTGTTCAGCCCAGCTCCGATGCAAGAGATATTCATTTGATCGAACTTTTCCATGAATGAGTGCACCTCGGCGGCCTCGTACTCGCTCTCCAGCATCTCTTCAAGCTGACCACGTGAGCGATGATATTCGCGTACGCATATGTCGCAGCGAATGAGCTGTGCTTTCAGGCCTCTCTTGAGCTTCGTCTGGTACTCTTCTGCATCCCCTCCATCGTATGCAAGAATCTTGCAAGCATCCAGTATCTCACTTTTGCGGTCGTCGCCTTCTTTCAACTTCGCTAATCGCACCGTCTTCTCTTGTGCTGATTCGGTGTCGAGACTGCCGAGACAGTCCTCATCGTGGTAGACGCCGGAGTCGTCATCGTAAGCGCGTGGGCAGAACCAGTGGATCGAGTCGTCGAGGTTGATCAGTTCGCTATAGTATTGTCAGCATGGGTATCACGGACGATAGCGAGTACATAGGGTACGTACTCGATCTTCTGTGCGATCTCCGCCATGTTGGCAGAGATCAAACGACCAGTGGCCGCTGCGAGACTTTGTGGTCGCCACACACAAGTGAGACCAAAGTCTCGAGCACTTCAAGTGGCTCTGGCAGACTCGGCCAATATGTAAAACTATTTAGGTAATAATGCACCGCCCATAACCAGCCACAGCATGCTGCACTGCCCTTGGCCTCGACGAGATATTGTTGGTGTCTGCAAGAGAGTTTAGTAGTGTGCAAGAGCTGTGGAAGTGTGGGTGAGTAGTCAGTCACTCGAAGAAAGGTTGTTGATCAAGTGAGTGAATTGGCATGTAACGCTCTTTGGCCAGCGACGGAAACGATCGTAGCAGGACCGCCGCCAATTCTTTATGCTTCCCTATCCGCGATTCTGTTACCGCTCGCGAGTTTTCCAGAAGTGCCGAGTGGGCAAGAGGATGGGATGGTTATAACTCGAATGTAATGAAGAAGATGCACTCGATGTGTGTGTTGCTAGCTCATGCCAGCACTTCCGAGATTCGACCGACGCGTTTAAACGCGCCGACGTCATAAGTCGAGTCACATGATCCAAACCATTCACTTACTTTCGCTTCGTTGCTCCTTCTTCATCAACATAAGCGTAGGACGCACGGGCCGGTAAGATCACTTTCACCTTGCAATCTCCTACTCGTCAAAGCTTACAATTGGCACGTCGTCCTAAGCAGAGTCATCGCCATTAGCCTGCCCAGCTAGGCTGCAGCGTCTGGCAAACAACTCCTGGACATACTACGATACCGCGTCGGTATGGCCGCCACACTACCCAACATCATGTCTGCGTCTCCGCCGTTGCTCAGCCTGCCCAACGAGCTGCTAGATAGGATCTACAGCTACCTGGACTGGGATCGCACGTCCCTCCTTGTCCCATATAGTCCAGACATCCTGAACGTCAGTCTTGTGAACAAGCATCTCCGTGCCTCTATCCTACCACGTCTTTTCCGAAGCATGGCATTGTGTCTTCGCTGGGCAGACGGCATGTTACTGGAGCCGGAGCTTTACCGGCTGAGAAGGGATCGACCGGATCTGGCCAGGCACATACGATGTGTCTTCATCACTACGAAATTAGGCTACCAACCTGGACAGAAGAGGAAAGAGGTCTCGCCAGCATTCGAAGCGCCGCGAGAGAGAGAGGACTGGCTTAGTCTTGGAGGAGACGATGCCAAGACCTCGAAGCACTTTATTGAGCTTACAAAAGCACACAGGGACAGAGTCGATGCAGAAGTCCACATCTTGGAAGAAAAGCTGGATACCCATCAGCCGAGCATGACTGACTTCGAACTATTTAATGGACCTGCAGCTAGTAGTAGCCAGCGACCTATGTCAGTGAATCGTAGCACTGCAGCTGGTTGTCAACCAGACACAACAGAATCACGAATGAGAAATGTCCTCGACAGAAGCAGAACGCTGGTCGCCACACAGGCTCCTGCTTTGGCGAAGAGGATGCCATTTAATAGAGCAACAAGCAACGAATCTGACCGCAATGTCGAGGAAGTCTGGTCCACAACCTTGCTCGGCTCCAATCCTGGCCCATCCAACGACTTCACCTACTACCGCGATGTCTACGCCCTCGCCAACCCTTCTCAACGCTCTGATCAACGCCTGAAGCTGAAAGTCGATGCACTCGCAGCATTGATGCTATGCCTTCCGCCAACCCTGAAAGACCTCATCTTCGAAGCAGGCGTCCATGGCCTAGAGGACAAAAGCTGGTACCACTTCGCCCTCATGCTCATGAACAGCACCCTCACAATCTTCGGCCCTCGCCTCGAAAGTGTGACAATGGCTACAGGAACGGGGTCCCGCCGAGTACGCCTCCAAAGCGATCATAATTTCGAGGCCGATGTCGTTGAAATCTCGAGTGTTGCTGTAGGAGCCTTGACTGCGCTCAGAAGGCTGGTGATAGGCTCTACATCTGATAGGCCGGAGAACTTCAACGTACACCAATTGCATATGACATCCGACCATTTCAAACCATGGGGCCACCCAACTATCGTCGCGAACTTGACACACCTAGAGTTTTCGCACATGAGTTTCATCGACACCGACTTGACAAAAGTCGTCAAATTCGCCGCCACCTTCACGCAGCTCAAATCCCTGAGATTGAAACATATAGGCTATGCTACGCGAGGAGCGCCCTCGAGGATCTTTCCGCAACCAGGACAGCAGCACGTCCTCGCTGAGCCAATTTTCCTCCAATTCTGTATCGATCTCCGTCGCTCTTTGCCAACTGCGGCTGAGATACAAATGGACGATATCCACGTCAGCATTCGCAGTCAACACAGCAAGCTCTGGGACTCGGCATTGCGCTGGATCATGGATGAAGCGGTGCCGTTTGGTGCTAAGATCGATCTGCAACGAGAGGAACGGCTGCTGGAGGACTTTGAGAGTTTCCTGTGTTTGTGGGAAGCGGAGGATAGTGAACGGGGGAGACTTGCAGAGGTGGCGAGAGAGAGTGGCGATTTGGTTGATACGGCGATGTGTAATCGATCGAGACAATTTGAGAATGTGAGGAGGGATAACGGGGAGTGGACTACGATGTGATGGGGTGATGTGGTATAGGCTTGATTGGCTATATGAGTATAACGAGCGATGACAACGATGATACGATACGATAGCAGGAAATCGACAACAGGAGACGCAACGCTGCATCACAGAACGTCATGAGACCAGCTCGGAACTTTACATGCACAATCTATGGCTAGATGGTCCATACTTTTGAGAGAATACGCGTTCGTTTGCCAATCAATGACCTCGTAAGCCCAACAAGGTCACCACAACCAAAGAAGACATAACGAAGCTATCCATCATAGCTCGTGCCTTGACAGCCAAGCCAGTATGCATGACAGGGATCGGTGGTGTCAATGTGAATTTCGAGTTATCGTGCCTAGCATGCTCTTACGAAGAGCCCCGAACTTTACGAGGTATCGTTGATCGTCACTATGTACGGAGGTCGCTGCCAGACGGATACTGCGGATGCGGCATCGGAAAGGTCGGGTGCTGCGGCGAAATCACCCGAGCACTTAAGCCACCAAGCATCGTAACGCTTTGGCAGTTTTCTTGCAGCATGTGGACTGAGATGAGCAGCACAGTCAAGATGTCGGTACCTACAAAATACGTTATGATATCTCTAAGAGGAGAAATGATCGGGTCGGAGCTGAAGTGGTGTTGTTGTGCGTGAGAAGAGAGACCAGACGAGGGTAAGTCGTCTGGTGATCTAACAGCTTTCCCCACATTTTCACGAGCCCCGGTCAAAACTCCAGTGAGCCGAGCGATCAACTGCACTTTACGGACGATGACGGCGGAGGGGTTTTGGAAGTATCGCTATCCGATCCGCAATACACTCACCCTCGGCATACACATGAAGCTCTAGACGGCCGTGTCTCTGTGACGACATATAACACGGTAAAGGTTTGAAGTTAGTACTAGTCTTCGAATCTCTACACTCGTCCTTCTCCCTCACATCAACGTCGTGCAATCGCATCGATATCACTACACATTTCACTAGCAAGAGAAGGTCTACAAATATGTCATACACACCGGTACCATCTCTCCGCGACCAGGGTCGCCATATCGGCCCCGTGAACGTCGAGCAGACATTGAAGGACGTTAACATCCTCGGATCTCTCAATGACCAGACCCGCAAGATCTTGAGCAAGGAAGCTACTGTGTTCCTTGCCGTACTCCACCGCACATTCAACAGCACTCGCAAAGCACTGCTACAACGACGAGAGGTCCGCCAGGCAGAGCTGGACAAGGGCAATCTCCTTGACTTCCTGCCAGAGACTCAGCACGTCCGCGACAACGACGCATGGCGAGCTGCGCCGCCCGCGCCTGGTCTTGTGGATAGGCGTATCGAGATTACCGGACCCACTGATAGGAAGATGGTGGTGAATGCGTTGAACTCGGACGTCTGGACATATATGGCAGATTTTGAAGGTGAGCTTCAGTGGAGTAAGTGAAGCAGAGACTGTACTGACTCTCTGCAGACTCAAATGCGCCAACATGGGATAACATGATCAACGGTCAAGTCAACCTCTACGATGCGATCCGAAAGCAAGTCGACTTCAAGCAAGGCGAGAAGGAGTACAAACTCCGCACAGATCGCGTCCTGCCAACTTTGATCGCTCGTGCTCGTGGCTGGCACCTTGAGGAGAAGCACATGACTGTCGATGGCGAGCCGATATCTGCCTCTCTCTTTGACTTTGGTCTGTACTTTTTCAACAATGCGGAGGAGCTAGTCCGACGTGGCACCGGTCCTTACTTCTACCTGCCCAAGATGGAGAGCCACCTCGAGGCCAGACTTTGGAACGATGCATTCAACCTCGCACAAGACTACATTGGCATGCGACGCGGTACTATCCGTGGTACTGTGCTGATTGAGACCATTCCAGCAGCATTTGAGATGGACGAGGTATGCTCAGGCTACTCATATGACCGTGCGCAGCTACTAACAACAGTTGCAGATCATCTACGAGCTTCGCGACCACTCTTCGGGCTTGAATTGCGGCCGCTGGGATTACATCTTCTCAGTAATCAAGCGGTTCCGCCAGAATAGCGCCTTTATCCTGCCCGACCGCAGCGCTGTCACCATGACCGTGCCATTCATGGACGCCTACGTCAAGCTTCTCATCAAGACCTGCCATCATCGCGGTGTCCACGCCATGGGCGGCATGGCAGCCCAGATTCCGATCAAGAACGATGAAGAAGCGAATGCAAAGGCCATGGATGGTGTGCGCGCGGACAAGCTTCGTGAAGTTCGTGCTGGCCACGATGGAACATGGGTCGCGCATCCCGCTCTCGCAGCCATTGCGGCAGACGTCTTCAACACGCACATGCCCACGCCCAATCAGCTCTTCGTCCGCCGCGAGGATGTGCACATTACTGGCAATGATCTCCTGAACATGAACGTCCCAGGCAAGATCACCGAAGACGGTATTCGCAAGAATTTGAACATCGGTCTAGGTTACATGGAAGGCTGGCTCCGTGGTGTAGGCTGCGTGCCGATCAATTATCTCATGGAGGATGCCGCTACGGCCGAGGTGTCTCGCTCCCAGCTCTGGCAATGGGTCAAGCATGGCGTCCCCACCTCCGAGGGCAAAAAGGTGGACAAGCAGTATGCGCTTAAGCTTCTCCACGAGCAGGCAGATGAGCTGGAGAAAAGTGCTGGCAAGGGCAACAAATACCAGCTTGCGGCGAAGTACTTCGCTACCCAGGTGACTGGAGAGGATTATGCTGAGTTCTTGACTTCGTGAGTCCAGGATATGACCCAGGACTCCGTTTCGACCGTGCTAACGATCCATTACAGATTACTCTACAACGAGATTACGAATGTAAGCGACAAAACCCCGGCGGCAAAGTTGTAGGGGGAACAGAAAGATGTCACATAGTGTTGGAATTGAGCTTGTTACAACACAAGCTGTAATCACAAATCACAGGCTGACGGCTTTTCGGTGTAGGCCGGATCGCCGACGCCTGCCGTGGAGCTTTGATGAAGAATGAATTGAAATTATGATATGAGTGTCATCAATAGTACTGTACATATTCCATTCCATTGCACTTTCCACATATAGAATACCTGCATCTCCCCGTCAATCTTGTCCTATCTTTGCAAGCCGAGAGTATGCCTTCCGGAACTGCTCAGAGGCCCCAGCTGCTCTCTGATGCCTTGTTACCACCTGCATCCAACAGATTCGCTTGCGTCCGCAGCGCATCAGCCTGAAACTTCCTGAACGCCGTCTGGATCCTCTCCCTCGAATCTCGATCAACGTTGATTTGACTCCTCGCTCTGAACGTCCCCGTCAATAGCCCGCTCTCGCCTCCAAAGAACAATCCTCCCGCGCCCAACAGTGTATATGTAGCTACGTCACCCAAAGTGCTCGGTCGCAAGAACGGCGTGATGTCGGGTAGTGCCTCTTCGCGACCTGATGCGAATCGAACAGCTGTGGGTTTCTCGGAGGCTTTGAACGCGGTGAACATGGCTGTGCGGTTTGTTCGGAGGCGGTAGGCGAGGAAGAGGGACAGGCCCAGGCCTAGCACGCTGCCCACTGTCGCGTGGGTTGATACTGTACCGGCGGCCTTCTGGAGTGCGTCGCGGTCGGATTGACGGAGGCTACGTTACATCAATAAGTCGAATTGTTCAATGGGAGTAATGGCAATCGCGTACTCATGCTGCATGTGTTCCTCTGCAAGTTTCGCAAGATCTGGTCCCAAGGACTTGCGAAACATGGCTAGAGAGTCTGTCGACATGATTGCGGATGTTGAGGGACGGAATGGTCGTTGGTCCGTTAATTGTGAGGTGGGTTTAACGCTCCTACTTGCTGGGGATCGATTTTATATATTGTGGTTTGTGAGGGAACATCGTTGCCATGTGCCAGCTCCAGAAGCTCACCATTCGTTCACAGTTGCGTCAGCCGCCTGCAGCCGAGGGTGCGCGGGGAGCTTCTTCCCCATCCTTTCCGGCTCTTCGATTCCAAGACCAGATCAAACGGCCGAGAAGCATCGTATTCAGGTGACAGCGGTGTCGTTGCGCGCCCAATCGTGGATAGCGTCTATGTGTTTTGATGGTGGCTAACATAACAATCAAGAACGACGATATCAGATCACATCGGAGAGACCAGCGTATGGTCGGTTGTAGCATTAACATTCAAACTCAGATCAACGAGTGTTCTGCGCAATCGACTGTCGACAAAATCCGGCTTGGAAATACTGATAAGAACAAGTATATGCCATAACACTGTCAATCGTACGGCAGCGGCATCGTCCAAGTAACTTGATCATTCTCTCTTCTGCTTCAGTCCATGCTTTTCAGCACGGCGTAGTAAGCAGTAGGTTAGCAGTAAACAAGATAGATACAGGCATCCTCGAAACAATGATCTGTGGACGTTCGAGAGACCAACCACCTGCCATGACAGCAGTTACCTGCAACACATATGTAAGTTAGCGCCTTTGGATAGGTGCGCAAAGCCTAGCCCTGCATGGCCTGTCCGGTAGCTTTTGACCCGACTTTCACCCTATCACTGCTATCTTGTGATCCACGCCTCACAGCACGACGACTGCGTGCCCCTCCACAGTCGGCAAGATCGCAATTGAAGGCTCGATTGGCGGGAACCTGCATGCTTACTTCCCCGTATGCTGCCGACACGCGATGAGGAGGAGGGGCAATCAGACGGCGCGCCCGGCGAGATAGCCTGACCAGCATTGCGTTGAAACTCTGATTGTCCCTCAGTTGGACATTTGATGACCCGATACTGCAAAAACTTTGACGACAGTGCTGCTGTGTGTATTACACCATCCTGCTTGCATAGTGGATTTGGCGATCGCGTCCGTCGAGTGAAGAAGAAGCTTTGGGCAAGACCGTCGCCTTATGGCTGAGGCCATCGAGATCCCTTCTCCATCCGTTTTCTTGCGATCGTCTCCCCCTTCGACTGAAGAGCCCAAGGCAAAACAAGATGTTCGACGGTCGGGTGCGGAGAAGAAAAAGACGGCACGAAAGAGCAGTGCAGTCGCCGGTGATAGTAGCGCTGTGAAGCAGAAGCAAACCAAGAGTCGTAATGGTATAGCCTCTGCGCTACCGATAGCGGTAGGAGACAATGATAGCGAGGCAGACGACTGACTGTAGTGGCGTACAGGATGCGTCACCTGTAAGACGAAGCGCCTCAAGTGTGGTGAAGAGAAGCCAGCATGCGAACAATGTAAGAAACGGAAGGTTGAGTGTGGAGGTTACAAGAAGGACTTCAAATGGCGTCCCTTCGAAGAGACCAATGTCAAGCTCAACATAGACCGTCAGATGCGAGGTAGATCCTCGATTCAGGCCGTATGCTGCGTACTTGCTGATGCGCATTGACAGTGTCGCCACCTCAGCGTCCATCAGGAGATTCGCCGAAACCAACAACGCCCGTGTCACCGGAGACTTCACCAACCGCGACTTCGCCCACTCAACCACAGGAACAGACTCGGGAAGACAGTGCTACGCGCAAGGACAGTAAGCGAACGAGCACGACTTTTGATGAGCATCGGGTTATGCAGCTTGTCGAGCGACCTATGAAAGCGAAGAGGAAGGCCAAAGCCAAGGTAGCTTCGCCGGTCCATCGCCCATCTTCACCTCTACAGATTGCGTCTGTCCCGACGCCCGAACTCGAGGACACGCCCAAGCCCTCATCTCCTGTACTGCGAAAAGAGTCGAGTGTCTCGCCTGAGCCGGCGACCATCCCCATCAGCTCTGCTAACGTTCCAGCTTCGCTACGGGCGACCTATATGCCTTCTGCTGGCCTATCACCAACCTTGACCGAGATTCTGCATCCATTCTCGGACGACGTACCGCCAGATGAGGACTATGTCAGCTTCGAATTGCCGGAAGGACTAAATCTTCCTTTTACACCAAGAGAGGTACCAGATGATCCATCTCAAGATGAGGACGTCACAGAAGATGAATTCGAAGACGTTTTCTGGAATGGAGACTTTGATGACGCCCTCACTTTTGGCAGAACAAACAGCTACTCACCCAGCCCGATACTGACCCCAACCAATATGGCAACTCTGTGGCAAGGTCCAGTGACCTATATGTACAACCAGCCTTACTTTGCCCCTAACAGTCCAGAGATGCTCACATTTCGCTTCGACAGACTCACGTGCGGCATCCTTTCTGTCATGGACGGCCAAACCGAGAACCCCTGGCGCAACCTGATCTGGCCTCTAGCGCAGGAGTCACCAGCACTTTATCACGCGGTCATGGCCATGACAGCATATCATTCATCAACCGATGTGCCCGCACTGCGTGTGTCAGGTCACGAGCACAAGCAAGCCAGCATTCGCTACATTCAGGAAGGCATCAGAGATAATAGCATGAACGACCAAACTGCCATTGCCACAGCCCTTGCGTTGGGGTTCTCCGAATCGTGGGACCAGCATACAGCGTCGGGCAATACCCACATCAAAGGCGCACAGGCTCTGGTAAAACGTGCACTTTTCGAGCACCAGCACAGTCCTCTACAGGGCGTTGAGCTTGCGCGTCTGAAGTTCTTGTGCAACGCTTGGGTTTACATGGATGTCATTGCCCGCTTGACATCGGTCGACAGCGATGAATCGAACGATTTTGACAACACTCTTCTCTTCGCCACCGAGGGTCCAAACATGGTGATGGGGAACAACGCTCTGTCAGGCTTCGGCATCGATTTTGGTATGCCTGTCGATGCACGACTCGATCCGCTGATGGGCTGCGCCAACACGCTCTTCCCCCTCATCGGTCGTGTGGCGAACTTGGTCCGCAAAGTCTGCCGCTCACAAACGAATAGTCCTGGTGTCATCAGCGCGGCGCACGATCTCAAACTCTCGCTCGAAACCTGGGAACCACCAGCCTTCATTGAGGACCCAGAGGATCCGACATGTAATGCGCAGCATGCTTTGCAGACAGCCGAAGCGTATCGGTGGGCAACGCTCTTGCATCTGCACCAATCTGTTCCCGAGCTGCCGAGTGATACATCACTTGAGCTGGCACAACGGGTACTGCAGTACTTGGCCACTGTTCCGCTGGCCAGTCGGACTGTCATCGTGCAGATCTACCCCTTAATGGTGGCAGGCTGCGAAGCAAAGACTATGGAAGATAGGCAGTGGGTGCGTGATCGCTGGACCGCCATGGGTCAAAGGATGCGGATCGGTGTGATTGACAAATCTGCTACCGTCACCGAGGAGGTTTGGAGAAGGCGAGATGCATATGATGCTCAGCCACGAGATAGAAGGAAATTGGTCGCCACTGCGGAGCTCCAACCAGCAAGACAGAGAGGAGCGCCGCTCGTGAGGACTGATACCGGGTTTCGGGACGCTGATCCAGGCAAGACAGGAATGGTGTTCAGCTACGTCGAAGCCGATAGTGAAGGCGGTGGCAGTGGAGGCGGCAGTGGAGGAGGCGTAAGCTCGATCCCAAGAGATGAGCGCTTTCCTCCTCGACCGAAGGGACCGGACAAGATCATGGGACCTATGGATGCGGCGTATACTGTTCGTGGCCATCTACACTGGGTGGGTGTGATGTGGGATTGGGGTTGGGAGGGTAAGTCACTACTACAGGAAATTATCTGTTTGTTTAGAAGGATCTGGTGAGCTAACGGAACAATACAGTTCTTCTGGGCTGATCGAAGTAGTCAGCGAGGACGAATGCGCGGGTGTGTGTTGACGAAATCTCTGATCGTGTTCCGTGCTTTGGTATCGGACGGATGTTCGTCTCCTAGCGTTTCAGCGAGTATGGTGTTGGTCTGGTTGCTTTTGGAATGGACAACGACATCAACTGGTACGAGCAGCATCGGACGGTGTAATATATGTAGATGAATCGGCATGACTTCAACACGCCTCTTATATTCATATCACGTCCAGCATCAAAACTCTGCAGCTGCAACATATGACTTTGCACACGGTCACGTGTGAACCCGGGAAAAGTTGTCCTATTCGAGCTCTGTCTTCTTGCCCAAGCTCTCCACTTTCTACCTTCATATCCTCCTCATGCAATCAGATATGTACCCGCCTCTGTCCTACACGTCTACCCGAGTGTCGTAAGGACTGGTGGGTTGACACGTCGTGGTCGCGTCCCACTGGAGCTCTTGTAGTGGTACTATATTGCTGGAAGGGGACATCATAACCTACAGCTCTACCTTGTACCAATGACCCCCCCAGATAAGTATGTAGACACAGTCAAGTACTATTGCTATCCACCTCGCACATCTCTGGCACTGAATTGTAGACTCCTGCGTCCGATTATCGCACAACAACAAAGCAGCAAGCCAAGTATCTCAAGTCAACGAAGCAAGACAACATGGGCTCCATCGAACAAGACGGCCCCGTAGCCATGAATTACTTCCCTCAACAACAGCAAGACTTCAAGCCTCCACTCATCGCCAACGAAAACGCCTTTCTTGGCGACGTCGCCACGTCCGAGAAGGAAAACTCCAAGTCGCCAATCTCTGCAGGCTTCTACAGACTCGAGAAAGGTCCGTCCGTACCGCGCTCCCTCTCACCTTTATTCGCCCACGTACTTTTCGAACCTTCTTACTGACCTTGTACGCAGGCACACCTCTGGTCTACGAATATACCTACGACGAAATGAAGATCATCCTAGAAGGCCACTTCGACATCAGTGACGAAACGGGCAAGAAGGTACATGCAACGAAGGGCGATGTCTTCTATTTCCCGAAGGGCTCGAAGATCACTTTCACGACCGAGGATTATGGGTTGGCATTTTATACTGGGCAGAGGAAGCAGGGTGCTGCTTGAGTCGAACGGATGTATTCCGTGTGGACTTGATCTGTATAGCAACCAAGCTGTGCCTTGGTGCATAGCCATAGTAGTCTTCACGTCTTGATCTCCAATCAGATTCCGCACTGTCAGAGGACTCGCCAGCCATGTTCAGTCCATGCTAACCGAAACGGAATTGTCCCCAAGCCATACTCCCCTCCGCCATCGTCCAAGTCTGTCTTCCCTCATCGTCTCCCGCTGCCCCTGCCGCAACAAAGACGGGCAAAAGATGATCAAATGTCGGATGCGCTTGTCTAGCATCCGGCCGCTTCAACAACTCCGCCATTGCCTTTTGTCTCTCCTGCACCGGCTTCTCCACGGCCACCTTTAATGCCTCATCGAAGGTCGTGGCATATAATAGCGACGCCCCTGGTGAGCGTGCGGAGAGCATCATGGCTTTTCGCATATCGCGCAGACTATGGACGGACATGCCGGAGCAAACGATCTGGACGCCTTCGGAGCGCAGAGACGAAAGGGCGCGACCAAGCGCGTAATGTTGATCTGGGTCTTCGGAGTCGAAGAGGGAGACTTGGACGATGGGAATATCAAGCGGGTTTGTGTCTGGGTCGAAGGCACATCGAAATCCCGCAAAGACGCCGTGGTCGAGGCCTCGACGAACACCCTCTGCTTTGATCCCGGCTTGGCTGAGGAGACCTAGTATCTTGTTTGCTAGTTCTGGCGAGCCGCGGTTTGGATATTTCACTTCGTAGTACTCGGGCGGGAAACCGTAGTAGTCGTATATCAGGCCCATACCTTCAGCGGTGTTCACTTCGATGATTCGGGGTTCACCTTGCCAGTGGGCGGACAAAACTACAACGGCTTTTGGCTTGACTTCGTGGGTGATGGCATAACCGATTTGTTGTAGCTTGCTGTAGGCTGGGTGTTCGGTCTCGAACATTACGTTGGGGCCGCCGTGAGAGAGGAAGAAGACAGGGGTGCGGGGAGAGGGCGCTTCTGTGGAGCCCATTGCTACGGATGTATCTGCGGCTGGATCTGTGGACGTGAGTAGGGCCGTCTTCCGTGGTCCAGATATCTTCGTGGAAGAAACAATGTCGTGTTCTTGCTCCTTGGGCAGGCGAAAGGTTTTTCGATAGATAGGTCCAAGTCTCCTATTTCGCTCTGGTATGTCGAGACGATCGCAGACGTAGCCCCACGTCCTCACAAAACCAGTGGCGGCGATGACTTCGTCCGTACCGGTGCCGGAAGGGTATGGGATCGAGAAAAACGCTACGAGAGCTATGATGAAAGCGGTATGGTAGGAGATGAAACGCAGAGGCATTGAGGAGGTGATTGGGAAATACTTACACTGGATGAGGTCTGGGCGGCTACAGGTTAGAGTTGTTGCTTGGTCATGAAGGCGCGGCACAAGGCCGCAAGCAAGCAAATGCCAAGAATACCGCGGAATGATGCCGGCGCCACATATACTTTATCATTCGTCCTTCGAGGCCGCGACCAACTGTCGCGATTCGTGTCCTCATCATGGCGAATTCAGCAGCAGCTTTAGTCGTACCGGCTCTCAAACGGCATACGTCGACCGTCATCGTCGCCCATGGGTTGGGAGATAGGTGAGAGACACCTGCTCTCCCACTAGATAACATGTAGATCTCGCTGACAGCTATGCCAGCGGTGCAGGATGGTAAGCACAGAATCGCCTCACGCACCGTTAACCTCACACTCATGCATCAAACAGGATGTTTCTCGCCGAGCAATGGCGCATGAAAGACAAATTCCCCGAAACCAAATTCATCCTCCCCAATGCTCCACAAATTCCCATAACAATCAATATGGGCATGCGAATGCCCGGCTGGTACGACATCGCCGACTTCTCCTCTCTCGCGGAAACACGCAGCGAAGACGAAACGGGGATTATGCGGAGTCAAAAGGTCTTTCATACCCTGATCGAGGAGGAGATCAAAGCCGGGATCCCATCCGAGAGGATCGTGCTGGGTGGCTTTAGTCAGGGAGGTGCTATGAGTCTACTAGCCGGTGTCACGAACCCGACGAAATTGGGCGGCATATTCGGGCTTTCATGTTATCTGCTTCTTCGCGAGAAAGTGCAGAGCTTGGTCCCGGCGGAGAACCCGAATAAGGCTACGCCCATCTTCATGGGCCACGGCGATGCGGATCCTGTGGTGAGGTATACATGGGGTCAACAGACGGCGGCGAAATTGAAGGAGTGGGGTTGGAATGTGGATTTTAGGACGTATAGGGGACTTCCACACAGTGCGGCGCCGGAGGAGATTGATGATTTGGAGAGGTATCTAAATGAGAGGATTCCACCGCTTGGGGAGAAGAGTGCATGACTGTGGTTAGCTGGGCGGGACGGCGATGATGGAGAGGTGATGTTAGGGGAGGTGAGGGAGCCGTACGATGCTGGGGAGATCAGGCTGATACTTGGATTGGCTTTGACGGTGATAATATGGGTGGCTACGGTGGCAATGTGGAGGCGTTGGAGACGCTAAACGGCGCCAAGACCAGAGCTTTGACAGCGCATTGTACGAACCAACAACTCACTCAGTCCACGGTCAAGCGCCTCTGTATTCATGTCTGTTGACTTCATATCCCTGAGTCTGTCCTTCACAGGCCGTGTTATCATAAAAAGCTGCCAATGCTTCCTGACCAAGTGTTCTCAATGTCCTGTATGATATCCGCCAGTAATAGGGTTGATACAGCTCAACGACCTCATAGAACGAAGTTCGGGACCAATGTTGTCGAGCGGCAGCCTGTAATCACTGGTCGACTCTTGCGTAACATCATGGTCCTTAGTGCCAACCAGGTGCGCAAATTTGGCATGCCTCCCCGGCGATGCTATGCGCTCGTGCTATGCTTTCGAAGGCGGCTCGTCGCTGTGACCAATGTTCGGTGTCTGATTGTAGGCTCTGCGGTCGGTACTATTACCGAATTCGGAGCCTTGTTTCTCTGAAGGTCGAGTCTATGGCTCGTGGCGTAGGTTGTTGGCAGTCCTAGGTTATGCCCGCCGCCTGGTGATGGATAGTGAATGTGTCAATCCAAGTAGTCGGTGCTTCTGCCTGTTCAAAGGGCAAGACTTCTTCGACGGGTCATTGCACCACAGTCCTCAACCAACAACCTCATCAGGCGTCCTGACCCTCCGCCGAAAGATCGTGCCTTCTCGGATTGGCGACAACACAAACCCAACACGCTTGGATTTCAGCTCACTTCCGTCCGGACTTTGCGTAACGCCATGCTTAGTCGTGAGCCATGTGGAGTCTACATGCCACGGTAAGATGAGGTCTGCTGCGACGTTCAGCAACGTCACGACCGGATCCGCAGGTGAGACGACGGTAGGCTGGAAAGCGTGGTTGTATTCTGGTGAGTCCATGATCTCTTCTGCAGACGGTGCTGGTGATGATATATCGTGTAGTATATTGTGAGTCTCGTGGCCTGGTGTCCGTTTTGTGCAGCAGTCCATGAATAGTCTCTTTCTTGAATTTGCGTACGAGTGAGTTGCGAAGTAAGGTAGTAGAGGGAACAAAGAATGCAGCAAACCACCTACCTTACCCTTGCTTGCTACAGTCAGACTTAGCGAGGCGTAGAACAAAGAGCATTCGGACGTTGCCGCGTGACACAAACATTTCGCACGCTGGCTAAGATGCTGACGGTGGCCTGATGGCAGGGACAAGCATCGTGCACGCGCGTGCTAGCCTTATCAATTGTGAGGTAGAACAGATAAGGCTAAGCTTTACCACTATCAGCAAAGCGTACAATAGTAGAATCAACGCTTATCGAGTCCATTCGCCCCTCCACGTCTGTAGAATGCAAGCTTGTCATGCACCTCCGCCTCGACGATAGACGGTGCCATCACCAAGCTGTGTTCAGATCGAAAGTTCAGGTGAGGTGCCATGTGGCTTCCACAGAAGCTTGGGTTTTGCCGATGCGCGCTAAGGCCAGCCGGGCTTCGTGACCCACTGGTTTAGCTGCGGCTTGCGCCATTTGTTACGCGTGCTAGGACGTTGGCTACGCAAGTCGTGCATGCTGCTACTGTATGTCTTGCCGCTCATTCAAGGCTAAGGTTGGGCTGAAATGTTGTCTGTCATTTGCGTTGCTGACGTCGATATCGAGCTCGCAGCAGCTTGTTCAAGCGTCACAAAACACTGGAGTGTCGCGATTGGTGTGGTGAGCTTGATGTCGATCAAGCGTCGTTGTCTATCGTCGACGGACATTCGAGCATTGAGCCATTTCAAGGCCTCTGTCGTGCCTGTGCCGGTCAAACCTGTCTCCTAGACTCCACGTCCAGCATGTAATCCGAAGCAGCATATACACCTTCCACTCTCATATCATGCTACAGCACATCCCATCCTCAAGCCAACAAGCCCCACAACCCAACACCACCTGCAGCAGCCACTATCACCGCCCTAACACTGTTCAGCAACCCCCACCTGACCAGAAACTCTTCCGTGTTACTCTTCTCCATCTCCCTATCCATCGGTGCATCCTCAAACGGCTCGACCGGCGGCTCCTGTCCCGCTATCCTCGCAATTTTATGATCCAGCGGCACCATGAATCCACCCGTCAGAGGGAAAATCGCTGTCATGAGTCCAGCTACGGCTGCCCATTTACCCCAAATACTGGCAGGGAGAGAGAGTGACCGGTAGTGGTAGGCCAGGAAGCCTGAGCCGATAATCGTGAGGAGCTCGGGTGGGACTTGGGTTGCGAAGGCTGTTCTTGACATGAGGGTGAATTGCATGGCTGCGATCTTGTAACCGCTGCTCGCGCTCAAGGCATCGGTATTTAATGTTCCCTTTAGTGCTGCCGCGGGTGTCAGGTTGATCTGTTTGTTCTCTGATGCGCTGGTCGCTCCTGGTGTCAATCGACCGGATTCTGTCTTGCCAGAGGTTGATCGTCCTGAGTCGCGCTGTTGGGTGGCCAGGATGAGAGAGGGCATGATTTGTAGTGATGTGGTGGCCATGCTGCCGGCAATGAAGAGGGTGCTGCCTACTGCGAAGCCTTTAAGGGCTAGTAGGGTTGAACTGTCATGGTGTACGAGGTGGCTCCCTAGGAAGGCCATGGTATATAGATGTGATGCTCAAGAAGCCAAGGTCGAGAGATCGGATGGCTACGATGTTATCTAACTGTCAATACTTCCTCGACGACAGATAAATGATCAGGAGAACCATGGCTTATCATAAGCACAGGCAAATCCAAAAGGAGAAGCTAACCCGCCGTTCATCCCGCAAAGCTTCATAAGGTGAACTTCAGCACGATTTCGCCCTCACAGGCTCGAAACCTGCTATCTGTATCTCGGACAAAGCCCTCGTTGCACTGTGCCCTGAAGACCTCTCTCGTATACAATGATCTGAGAGCAACACGGTCCTGCATCTCCCAAGCGTTGTTCCAATTCACTTCGAGATTCAGCCTCCAAGACTGATGCGGGTGCTGCTCCTGCGCGACAAGGTCATGGTACATCAATCCTGCATAAGCGAATCAGTCCAACCCCACCTTCATTCGAGGCTGTCGAACGCAATGGCAGATCTGAGCGACCTCGCACGCCACAGGCAAACGTATATTGCTTTCATTACTCCCTCTCCTTTCTTTCACCCTCTCAACTTCCCATTCAACATGCCTGCAATAACAACTATCTTGCCACCTGCAGGCGCGGTGGTGGCGCTATTACTGCTGAGTGCGTACTTTGGCATTAGTGCTATACTCAGCTATCGAAAACTCAAGCAGTTCCAAGGACCTGTATTCGCTGGCACCTCGAAACTATGGCTCTTCTGGCAGTCGGTCAACGCACGTGTGGTGCAAGCAGAGTGGGATGCTCTGGCTAAATATGGTGGGTCATCTATTTGGCCTTGAGGAAGCGCAGCTTCTGTCTTGCTAGTATTTCCGTACTTACATGCAGCGTCAAGGCACTCCCGCTCGCATTGGTCCATCGCTGCTGATCACGGACGATGCGGATCTGGTACGCCATATGAATGCTCCTGGCTCGAAGTGGACGCGAGGGGCGTGGTATGATGGTATGAGGCTGGATCCTGGCCACGATCACGTCTTTTCGACACGGGACGAAGCGATACACGCAGATCTACGTAGCAAGGAGATCGGCGGTGTGAGTACGTCGAAAATCGATGTTGGTGGTATCTATGTCACTGACACTTAGCTCCAGTATAACGGCCGTGACGTTGACAACCTGGAGTCCGACCTCGACCTCCGCATCACAGACCTCCTCGAACTAGTCCGCCACTCTTACAAAGACAAACCTTTGGACATCGCTGAAGTCGCTCGATACTTCACTCTTGACGTCCTGAGCACCATAGCATTTGGTAGACCCTTCGGCTTCATGTCCGCGAACAGCGATCTCTGGGATTACGGCAAAGCGAATGCCTCTTTCCTTCCAATGCTAGAGCTCATCATCAACCACCCTACAGTCCAATGGCTAATCGCGACCCCGCTAATGCAGAAGCTGGCGGCTCCAAGACACACAGATACGACTGGTATTGGCGCAGCCCTGGGCTTCGCACGTAGAGCCGTTGCCGAACGATTCCAGAACGTCAAGTCGGCACGTAAGAAGGACATGCTGAATCATTTCATGAATAAGGGTCTCACGCAGGAGCAATGCGAGAATGAAGCCCATGTGCAAATTATCGCTGGCTCGGACAGCACTACCACGATCTTGCGCTGTACCCTCTTCCTGCTCATCTCCAACCCTGTCGCGTACGGCAAATTGCGAGCGGAGATCGACCAAGCTGCCAACGATGGCAGTCTCTCATATCCGATAGCGAACTACGCTAGCGTCCAAAAACTTCCCTACCTCTCCGCCGCGCTCTGGGAAGGTCTGAGGATGTTCCCACCTTTGGCTGGCCTCAAGGCTAAACTCGTTCCACCCGGCGGCGATACTTTCAAAGACGTGTTTTACCCCGAGGGCACGGAGGTAGGGCTCTGTGACGATGCGATGTGTCGCAAACGCGAGATCTTTGGAGACGATGCGCAGTTCTATCGGCCAGAGAGGTGGATCGAGGTTGGGCAGGACGAGAGAGTTGTGTTTCAGCGGACTGTGGACTCGATCTTTGGCACGGGGAGATTTCAGTGTTTGGGGAGGCATATCGCCATGATGGAGTTGCATAAGACGCTTGTTGAGGTATGTGGCAGTTGAGTCAAACTCTCCAGTGATTCGAGGTTGTGCTGACTGCTTTGTTTGTTTCTTCCAGCTGATCAGGAATTTCGACTGGAGTATTGCTGATCCCTTTGCTGGAGTGCCCACAACAATCCATGCTGTCACGCTCCATCGGAATATGAACGTTATTGCTCGGGCGAGATAGTAGTGCTATGGAGTTGCCGGATTTGGTGTATCTGAAGTGTAACGTATTCATGAAGATCACGATAACGAGATTCCAGCACTACATGATCTTGTGAGATCCATAAGATAAGGTAAGAAGTGACGTCTCGTCTAGAGAGGAGAACAGCAGTAGTACAGTGAGGCTATAACGGTGCCAGAACATGAGCAGAAAGCTTCTCGCCACTACTCCAAGCAAAGTAAAGGTTACACACCCATGGCCAAAAGCCAGTCTTTGACCCGACTTCGATGTCCAGACACTGGCCACCCACGATCTCGTTTGCGTGACTATGCAGCCTCCTGGTTACGCAACAAGGGCGTCTGCTCGCTTGTGGGCGCCGCCTCTTCGCGTATCGCCTTTAGATGTTCTCGTACAGCCCAAAAGACGGTCGGGTAGAACAGGAGGCTGTATGTGATCATGTCAGCACATAGATTTCGCGGTTGATAATGCATGACACGCACGCAGTAGGCACGACTGTAATGACCGCGACCGCTATCCTCCTCCCTCTTCCGTCATAATACCCATAATGGCTTTCGGGCCCGAAGATGGCGTCGAGTAGCAACCACAACCACAGCAACTCCGCACACAACGCTTTGCCGGCCTCAAAATTGAGTGTCTGCATGGTGGTTGTTTTCGAGGCGGGCATCTTGCGCTGTACTAGTACGAGGAAGATAATCGTGCCTGCCAGCAAGGAGGTGCAGAGGTGGGTGATGAATTCGTAAAGGGTCGTGTAGGTGTGGAACATGTTTATTATTGCCTGGATCCCTAAGATGACGAAGATCGGGCTCGCGACGATAGCTTGGAAGAGCCAGATTGTGCGGAGGCAGAGAGATGCCGTGCTTTGATCTGATGATTGCTGATCGGCCTGAGGCTGGCTGGCGTGTTGTGGCGGGTGCTCCATCTTTCCCACTGACGAGAAGAGCACTTTTGACGGAACTGAGATCTTGTTTGGACAATGGCGATGAGTCTGTGATGTTTGAGGTTGACCTATGGTCTTGCTATATGTTGTGGGGCGAGCAGCGTCTTCTACTGTGCGCTTCTACACGGCAGCCTACCACCCGCCATGTACGAAGTTTGGCCCAGACCTTGTCGTGGGTGGCCGGTAATGCAATGGGTCTGCAAGGCTGCGACAGACCGGGGTCGTTGACTCATTGTGTGGCGGCTGTGCAAGCGAAGCGAATCCTTCGATCCTGTGGAGGCGACAGGTCAGGCAGCAACCAACAACAAACCATCAATTTGGATGACATGGCTATCTACTCCTGCCACATCCTGGGAAGGATGGTAAAAGTGAAGCAAGGCCATGGGCACCGACAATACTGCCTGTCAAGTCCTCAATGCGATGGACGTCACGCAAAGACCGGACAAGAACCGAAGGAAGATCCAGCCTTCCACAAGAGATCAAAAAGCACGCTCATCAGAACGAAAGCCGAGCCATCTCGCCCACGATTGTCTACCTTGACCATTGTCGGCAGTGGGCCAAGCACTGTTGGCAGCCGACTTGGTAATTTCGCACTCGTCGTCCGCCTCGTAGCCACCTACCATTCCAGTAACGACTTCTTCTTCCAACAGGTCCCAGTCGTCCATCATGTCGATAACATCTATCTCGAACTTCCCTGGGTCTTCTCTATCATCTCCGTCTCTGTCTGATTCATCTTGGTTTGCGATACTGCCTTGCTGGCCTTTCGTGATGATAGGCGTCGCGATGAAAGTGCTCCCTACTGAGGTCCGCCGAACCAAGCTCAGGCGTCTAGATAGCTGGCTGTGTTCGATAGTATGGCCAGCCTCTCCTACAGCTGGCCAATGTTGTGCTGTTAGGATCTTCGGATCCAGGGAATCGTCCGCTATTGCGAACAGGAAGTTCTCATCCCGATCTAGCATATTTCTGGCTTTACGCGTGTCGTCCTCCGATGACGACGACATTCCGCTGTCGACGGACGAAGCGAATGGGTTTGACGCGGACGAAGACGACATCGCCGGCGAACTGGCCCGAGGATGATGGCTGGGAGCCATGTCTTTCCAAAGATGATCCATCGGTCCCGCATCACCACCAGCTTTGCCCACTTGAATCTCTAAGCAGCGATCCGGGCTATATTCTGGAGGCGAAGACCGGAAATCTACTGTAGGCGCTGTCTTGGTGTGTGATTTCTTCGCTACGAAGTTGAATGCTGGTGGCTCAGAGAGGTTGTCATCTACTGTTGGCTTGATTTCTATGGCTCTACGAAGCACGAAGGTTGGCTTTCGAGCGTAGAACGAACGACTTCGATGACTTCGTCGCTAGAACACTAGACCTCTTCACAAGTGCACCAATCGGGTGGTCCTCAGCCTGGAAAACTTCGCCACCACCGTCGGCCATGATTGTCGCCGGCACAGCTGGCTTCATAGTGATGCCGTTGCTAGCACCGATCTTGGCACTGAACTGCTTAGCCTGAGCAGCCATCTCCTCATGCTGAGCTTCCAGACCATGTGAGAATGTGGAGTCTTTCTTGACGTCGATGTTAAATTGTCCAGGTACCAGAGTATGCCTGTTGCCACGGTTGGGACGTCTATGGCGATCGCCAGCGTACCGCCCTTGTCGAGATGCTTGCTTCCGGCGATTGTTATACTGTCTATTACGTGGCACAACCCAATGACCATTGGCGTACTCATCGACACGATCCTCCTTTGGTAGGAGGTCGTCGTCGAAATCAGCTAAGTTCTCAGGATCCGGCAAGTATGGCGGCATTGTTGGTGAGATCCGTCCTCGAAGTAGGTATATCAATCTGCTATGGCGGACGGTGACACTGCTTGATGGAAGAAATAGTGGTGCTGCTGATGGCCGTGTTAGTGGAGTGCTGATCGTGAGCAAGGACAAGAGGAGGCAACTTATATGTAACAAATTCGCACAATATTGGTGACTATCAGTGACACTCCAAGTTATAGTGACTACGCCGCGCATGAGCGTTGAATACGTCTGGACCAGTAGTGAATGCACTGCCGTCCCCTTGCGGTGCATATTACAGTTTTCTTTCCCTCCCGTCGTTCAAGTCACCTGTTGATATTGCACATCGAGTTAGCATGACCGGTTGAGCCTGGACTGTGACTACGAGCCGGCGTCAGCATCACGCAGTAAGTGTCCGGTTGGGAATAGCGATCACAGCTTCAACCACATGATGTCGTTCACTGTGTATCAGACAGCCGTCAATGCGTGAGAGCTACCGACACCAGTCTTCGAAGGCCTTGACTATGGTCAAAAACTTTGAAGGCTGGCACCACATTCGGCCGGTCTACCGCACATCACATGTCCATTGACACCGCAATCATAAGAAGTTGGTTCAAGAGTCGTTACCTATGTGTAAATCCCAGCCCAGGCCGCGGTGGAGTAATGGCATGCTTCACACTTGCATGCTTTCAACGCAGAAACATTCCCACAGCACTGTCGTAGTTGATACACGATTGTCGTGAGAAGCTACATCCTTCGTCCGAACCATCTCGCCAACGACCACCAAGATATCGTCTCCTGGCCGGACAGTAGCGCTGCCTCATCCGGACCTGGGATTTCCGTGAAGTCGAAGTCGTCCTTGTTATTGAGCGGGTCTACTTCAGAGACCATGACCCAGCCGCTCGCTTTCCCGTCTTCCTTGCCTCGGTCCGCAACGATTTGCTCTTGGACTACTGCATGAGCGGTTGGCTCTTTGGCTTCGACAGCGTCGCTCGCTGCTGCAAGGCGTAGGAGCGTGGGCACGTCGAATTTTGATGCGTTACCTTGCAATCGTGCATCGCTGCTACTTGGAAGGACTATGCCACATCTGTAATTCTGACAATGTTCGCATTCTCGCGTTGGAGCTGCCGTCGTGCGGACCTCGCTTCCATGCGGGCCCTCTCCCCCACGTGTGAGTGGCACGTTACTGATCGATTCGGAGAGCTCGTCAAGACTGGCCTTTTTTATGGGCTTCCGGCTGGAGTCATCCTCGAGTGGTGGAAGTCTGGTAGCCGAGGTCGGAGAGTCTGCAACATCAGCCGATGTACAAGATGATGCCGTCAATGCTGCCACGATACCAATTGGCGGTCTGGTCTGCGTGGTCAAGGCATGTATCCCTTCATCAAGGAAAGCCTCAGCGGTGGGTGACCACGAGCCAGACATCGTTGTATCTAGTTCGAGGCTGCCTTCTTCCTCCTCCAAAGCCGACATCGTGGGCGGACCTGATGCTTGGCTATTGAGCCACTGCAATGTATGAGCCGGGATGTCGTGGCTGACCGCTACTTTGGCAGTACTGGAAGCCAGAGCAGCATGTTTGGTCCAGACTTCCGCTGAGGTCACAGGCTCGTCCATATCCTCAGTGATGGGCCAGCCATTAGTAGCGTGCAATATGCTCTCCTCTTGCAGCCACGACTTTGCAGCCTTGTGTCGAGCTTTCCTGATCTCATCAGAGCTAGAGTGCTGTACTAGTGGAGTAGTATGTTCGAGGAGACGACTCTGGTAAGCGCTCGGTCGCCACTCTGTCGTGGACGCATCGTGAGGTCGAGTGCCAGCTCGAGAATTGCCAGGATCTCGATCGCTCTCGTATAGCCTAGGAGAGCAAGTCCTGTCCCTGGCTACAAGATCATCATATCTGTAGCCCTGCCGCAGAGCAGCAGGGTCTTGCTTGACAGTCCGTGGATGCTCACGCATGTCTGATACGTCCACTTGCCCGCGCTGAGAAACTTCGTTGCCGGAATGTGAGTGGCTGTACAGGAACGGTCCATCATCACTGCGCGATAGCTGGCCTGGGTACCTTGCCTTGTAAAGTCGCGGGTCGAGCGGGTGCTGCCCTGCCTGCACTTGTGCACGTGGCCGACGTCGATGAAACTGTTGAGACATTGCCATATCCTCTACTGCGCTCACGCAGAGGTTGTCGAACCCAAGACTCATCGGAGTCATGATTGCAAGATCCGTCTTACTCGGCTGTTCGAGGTCAGATATGTGGGCCTCAATGAACCTGGAGGTCTAGAACTTTGAGCTGTCGTTGAAGCTGGTAGCGGAATCCCAGGTCCCAAGTGTGTTGACCGGATCGTGGCTGCTTGGCGAGATGTCTCCAAATTCGTTGGCGTAATTGGTGTAAAGTTGAGGATGCTGTAGAGTCAGGTGCGGGTTTGCTGGTGATTTTTACGTGAGAATTTGCGGATATGGCAGACTGTGGTGAACAGAATAGATACTCTTTGTGATCACCAGTCAATCGTGCTAGTATCATGGACTGCCATCGTATACGAGCTTCCAGTGAATGTAATTGATGTTCTTACGTTGGCTAGCTCCCTTAGTTAGCCACTAGCTAAGGACTGCCAGGGAGATGCTGTCCCACTTCTCAAGTCGATATTTGGACGATCTGCTCAGTGTAAGTAGAATAGTCAGATGTGCTGCTTGTCTCGTATACTGTATTTGAGTGCTCTTGACAAGTCAGATGGTGAAGCCACTGTAAGCTCGAATTCAGCAGTAAGAACTTCATTACTTGTGTCATGAGTGCAGGGCAAGATTTTGCTGTCATACTTCGATACCTGACCGGTATCTGTTCATACGCCATCACAATTCATCCTCAGTCCGAGCGCACGAGCATTATGTTCTTATTCGCCACACGTCCATAATTTTCTCGTCCGAACCCTGCACCGCTACCTTCCCAGGTTGTTTGGAGGCGCTGGAGCGGGACCCTCAGGCGTGACATAAGCCTTGGTCAACCCACCGTCGACCACGAAATCCGTCCCGTTGACGAAAGAGCTCTCATCCGAAGCAAGCCAAAGCACAGCCTGTGCCTGCTCGATCGCCTCGCCAAAACGTCCCATAGGGAAGTGCACCTCGCGCCTATGCCTCTTCTCCTGATCATCGCCCAGCCAGTCCTGCAGGAGTGGCGTATTGAGAGGTGCGGGACAGAGAGCATTGAAGCGGTAGCCTTCACGTGCATGCACGATGGCGAGTTCGCGGGTCATGGCTAGCACGGCGCCTTTGGAGGCTGTGTAGGCTAGCTGTGGTGTGGCAGAGCCCACGAGCGCGACCATGGAAGCTGTGTTGATTATGCTCGCGACTTTCTTGTTGTGCCTGCGAAGGGCGAGGACGGCGTGTTTGCTGCCGTACCAGACGCCTTTGACGTTGATGTTTTGTGTGAGGTCCCAGATCTTCTCTGGGGTATCGATGGCGTCTTGAGAACTGTCAGTACAAAACTTACAGCATAAGGTTATCAAGCTTCGACATACCTGCATCGTCGCTATGCATTATCCCGGCGTTGTTGAACATGACATCCAAACCACCCCAAGCATCTAGATGCTCGACAGCAGCCTGGACGTCAGACTCTTTGGAGACATCACATTTGATCGTCTCAACCTTGCCTGTCATATGAGGTGCAGCTTTCTTCGCGATGGCGATGGCCCTCTTCAAAGCTGGTTCCGAGATGTCGCACATGAGCACCGAAGCACCTTCGCGAAGGAAAAGAATGGTCGTCTCCAAACCAATTCCACTACTCCATCGTCAGCAACGTCTTCAGTCGACTAAAAGTGTTGCACCGGATGTGGTGTGGCATTGCGTGGTGGCGATAGACTTACCCAGCTCCTCCGGTGATGACAGCGTTCTTGCCGGCGAGACGGCCGCGAGGAGTTACGCCGTTGACTCCGTTGACGCCATTCGTACCATTCTGTGAAGCGTCAGTATGGCGATTGAGCTCGTAATGATTTCTGTCACTTGCCATTGTGCTTGTTGTTGTGACTGATCAAGAATTCTGACTTCGATATCGCCCAATGCGGAAAAAGAATCCCTTTGCTCGAGTGTTTTCGATATCACAGTGTGTGAGAGACCAAAAAACTGCTAGCAATCTTGAAGTAATGTGAGTTAGAGCACAATCGAGGGGATGAGAGGCGAATGCAAGGAAGAATCTGTTGTGGTGATGTTGACGCTGAGAAATATGGTGGAATCTCTTACTCATGCCATCGGCGGCGGGCCTTCACCGCCCGATAAGCAACCTTGAATCTATACGCGGCTGCTCTACCCGATGACCCTGACTATGGCAATCTGGAGCAAACATCTTCGATAACGCGTAGCTAAAGACACTGAGCTTTGGGTGCAGTCGGACAGTCTCCCCGTCTTCAATGGTCGTTTGTCGCTGTGGCAAGTAGAATCGCTATGGCTTTGGTTGAGCACAAATGGCAGAACTATGACGTCGCTCTTGGCATGTGTCATGTCGAATTGGTGCTTGTGGATGTCGTTCAAACGTGTAAGACGGCAGACGAGTACAGTCAAGGTCGCCTTTGCAAGTTGCTGCGCGATCGAAAAGCAGGCATGTGTGGATATGAAGGGAAGTAAGAGGAGCGGCAAAGCAAAACGATGCATATGCAAGCTGCTCGGTTGGAAGGCAAGCATTACTAGGGCAAGCCACGCGACAGTTTGCAGGCTAGCGGACGATCATTGCGTAGCTGGCCTGGAGCTCTCGTGCTCCCTTAGTCAGTCTGGTGTTCGAGACGCATTGATAAGGACTTGAGTATCGCTTGAGCCAGGCCTATTCACTCACAGCCCGTAGCGTGCCTGCCTTCTTCGTATCCGTGCTAGAACAGCATCGACCCAGTGTCAGAACTGGATAAAGACGACGGTCACGCGGACACCCGGCCCACCATGGCCATCACAGAAGATGCCTCGCAGCTCACCCATGCCGACCTCCCAGAGCTTCTCAAGAATGATACGAGCATTAAAGTTGGCGGTACAGATATCGACGGCATCATTCGTGGCAAGCTCATGTCCAAGAAGAAGTTCCTGTCAATAGCCAAGGATGGATTCGGGTTCTGCTCAGTGATATTTGGCTGGGACATGCATGATCAGACCTATTTCAAGGAACTCAAGATCAGTAATGCAGAGAACGGATATCGTGATATAGTGGCCAAGGTGGACTTGAGCAGCTTCAGGAGAATACCGTGGGAGAACGATGTGCCATTCTTTTTGTGCAGTTTTCGAGAGCCCGAGGGCGAGAGTCTGAGTGCATGTCCAAGAAGTTTACTCGAGAGGCAAGTTGCAAAGATTGACAAGAGAGGATGGGGTGCTCTGGCAGGAGGTATGTGTGATCTTGATAATAGCAGTCTTGCAGTGTTGCGCTCCGCCCGACCAACCATCTGAGTGCCATGTACAATGCCTTGAAACGCTGCAAAGGCTGACTTTTGGTCCATCTCACCACAGCCGAGTACGAATTCTTCACCTTCCGAGCTCCGCAAACGTCAGACAATGGGCCAGGCAACTCCGAGCGCAACTCGAGCGCAACAGCAACGTACCTTCAAACTAACCCGGTCAACGATTTGCCCAGTCTTGAGCAGGGCATGTTCGGCTACTCGTTAACCCGGCCAACGCACAACCAAAACTGGTATTATGACATCTACAACACCTGTACCAAGTTCCGCTGCGACATCGAAGGTTGGCACACCGAATCAGGACCAGGCGTATACGAAGCAGCACTCGAATACGGTGATATCCAGTCGATGGCCGACAAAGCCGCTCTCTTCAAGCTCGTCGTCAAGAATACAAGTTCCAAATACGGTATAACACCCTGCTTCATGGCCAAACCACGTCAAGGCCTGCCGGGAAACAGCGGCCACATCCACGTCTCACTTTGCGACAATAAAACCGGCGCCAATCTATTCGCACGAGCAAAACCAGATCCTAATTCAGAATATGACGATCTCAAACATCTCAGCGACCTTGGTCGTCACTTCCTCGCTGGAATACTAGATGGTTTAGCGGATGTAATGCCCATAGTCGCACCAACAGTGAACAGCTACAAACGCCTCGTCGAGAATTTCTGGGCTCCTGTGACTGTCTCATGGGGTCTCGAACACCGCGCAGCGAGTATCCGCCTCATTGCACCACCGACCGCACCACCAAAGGGCACAAGATTCGAAGTCCGAGTAGCAGGCGCAGACACGAATCCTTACCTCGTCATGTCCGCCATCCTCGCCCTCGGCTTCAGGGGTATCGAGAAGAAGATGGCTATCTCTGTCCCACCTCTCGGCAAAGGGCAAGAGGTCGGCGATAGTGCCGATAGGGGTGAGCGGTTAGCGAAAAGTCTCAAGGAGGCTACCGAGAAGTTTGCGAGGAAGGGTAGTGTGGCGAGAGAAGTGTTTGGCGATGATTTCGTTGAACACTTTGCTGGGACCAGGGAGCATGAGGTAAGGTTGTGGGATGAGGCTGTTACTGATTGGTGAGTTATTCTTGAATATCGCTTTCGCTCCTCTTGAGGGATGTCTTGCTGACTGTAGCCTCACAGGGAGGTCAAACGCTATATTGAGACCGTCTAATCGTCCGTGTGGTTGGGAGTGTGCAGTCTTTGATGGTAATACCATATCTAATGGTTGCCGAATCACCATTCTGCTTCACGCATTCTTTTGTCAAAGCGCCAAGAGTCCAAGGTTGCCATATTGTACTTCCCCAGAGATTTCTCTGACGGTCATGCTGTCATCATCAAGAGTTTCATGTACGCGCTGGAGGTTGACAGTGGTCTTGCAAGGCGATAGCGACCCTGGTATCGTACCTTCCCGATTCGCCTGGAATTTTCTGAGCACAGACAACACTTCAGAGGCTGCGATACCGCACTGTTGCAGATGCAACTTCAATGTCTAATGAAGTCTATACACTCTGCTACGAGCTCTATCCCAACTACCACGAGTCTTATACCTCAAGCGCCCGTCGTCCCCTCAACCGGCTCAACAATACTCTCCCTCCTAACCGCATGCCCATCAACAAAAACCTTCTTCCACCTGAATGCCAACAGATCTCTGGTCGTCTCCTTCGCATTCGCCGCATTCTCCCTCACAATTTCCATCGTCGGCCGCTGGAAGATATCGTCAATCTCCTCCAAGGTCTTGTCCGACGTCTCCGGCATGAAAAAGATCTGGTAGAACCACCCGAGCACCGCAATCCCGCCGTAGAAGCCTAGTGAGAGGCCGGTGGGCGTCATGGCTTTTTGCATGCCGGTGAAGTTGTATGTGACAATGAAGCTGCTGAGGAAGAGCCAGCCGTCTGAGGTCGTCATGCCGTAGGAACGAAGATATGTCGGATAAACCTCTGCCGGGATGACCCAAGTGAGGCACGCATACGAGCCGAAGAAGATCTCGTAGATGATCAGACCCGTGAGGTAGACGGCTTCGGTGCCCTGGAAGCTGTTGACGTGGTAGCTGACTCCGACGAGGACGAGACCGATGAAGAAGCCCGGTAGCATGGCGATGGCCCAGAAGCGACGACCGCAGCGTTCCATAAGGAGGATAGCGGGGATGGTGCCGATAAGTAGGGAGCCACCACCGACAAGGGACATGTAGTTGGCGTTGTATTCGTTGAAGCCGATTTGGGACATGAGGACGGACATATAGTACATGCTGTGGTAGGAGTGTTAGCTGGGATGTTTTAGATGGGATGTTGATGGAGAGACTCACATAGCGTTGATGCCAGTGAATTGTCCGAGGAAGATCATGATGTTGGCGTAGATGATAGCACGACGGGCACGAGGCTTCGTGAAGAAATCCATCCACGGGAAGCGTCTACTACCAGCCCCAGCAGCGACTTCAGCTTCTTCTTCCTCGGTCGAGACCTTCATGACGAAGAACTCTTCCCTGGACTCGATCTCATGAACACCGCGAATCCGCTTCCAGACTTTGTAGGCGTCGAGTGGGCGTCCCTTGTGCATCAGGAAGCGAGGCGATTCAGGCATGAACAACATGCCGATGCCCATGATCGTGCTGAAGATGAGCGAAGACCCGAGGATGTAGCGCCAATTGCCGGGTACGGAGAGGAACATGGCTGCTACTGCGTATCCTAGTACTTCTCCTAAAGCGATGTTGAACTGATAGAGTGAGACCATATTGCCGCGTAGCCGGCGTTCGACCGTCTCTGCGACGTAGACTGGTACTGTTCCGCCTTCGAGACTGAGTCGATGTTAGCGCAGAAGAGTCACAAAGAGCATCGTGCTTCTTACCCAACCCCAAGACCCAGGATGACTCTGGCAGCAACGATCATGCCGAAATTGATACTTCCAGCCTCGAGCGCAGCTCCGATCGTGTACAGGACGCAGGAAATGAGGATAGACCAGCGACGACCAAGGCACTGGTTACATGGCGACAGGATGATCGCACCGCCGACGGCACCAAGCGGCATGCCGGAATTTACCAGACTGTTTTGCGAAGCCGAAAGATCCAATTGACCAGGTTTTGGCAAAAACAGGTTGGCTCCAGAAATCAAAGATTGGTCAAGACCAGAGAGCAGTCCACCCATCGAGGCGAAGGCAACGAGTAGCCAAGTGAAGTGCTTCGGATTCTGAAACTCGAGATCGAAGATTCCTTTCTTGTCGCCGCGCTCAGCGAGCTGCTTCTCCATACTGTCGACAAGAGCATCGGCCTCCCATCCTCCAGCCTTGGCAACTTCCAGAGCTTCCTTTCTGCTGCGGATCGTAGGCACCGAGCCCGAGCGGATAGCACTGTGAATCTCGGAGACAGACATGTTGCGGCGCTGCTCATATGTGGCGTCCTCGTAATGGTGCTGGGCTTCAGCCGGAGCTCCTGAGGATTTGAGGTCTTTTTCAGCCATGATGGGTATCGGGTTCGTTCACCAGGCACGAATGAAGGAGAGGTAAGCAAGACTTGAAGCTACACAGTCACGATCGTCGGCCCTGCGAGATACTCTTCAGACTTTATACACGGCACACAAACTCCATACCATCGCGGAGAACTGCCCGAGGGGACTCCATACAAGGCGTTTCTGCTGTCATGATCGTCAACGCCAACCTCCAAGATGGGGCACGCATATAATGCACTGGCCTGTACAGCAGTCGTGTCATCCTGTGTGGTCCATACAAACCAATCATGGGAATGAAGTCAAAGTGGATAGACAAGCATTTTGCAGGCGTCGTGGTGGAGCAATGAGGCGTCGGACCGATTGCTTGTGGATCTTGATGTTCTACGGTTCTTCTAGTGTGGTTGTTGAAGAGGAAGTGAGGGTGCCGATCTTGAGAATCGTTGCTACTTCGTTACGAGGAATAGCCGTGATATATGTGTGTTCTTTGCTGCGATGGATTGGTGGCTTATCATTGGAACGATCGGCAGGTGGCTCGGAGACGCTGCATCATACGCATACTCATACCATGACCACGGCCAACAAATGACGGTGATCAAGAATGCGATTGTAGACGGCCAGCATGACCTGAGACGGCACGAAGATGCCGCACGGATGCGGCGTGCCGAAGAAAAGCCAAACGACGAAACGATCGGGAAGTGGCGGCATAATACAAACCTTCTACACGCGTTTCATAGAGATGCACATGCCTTCACAATAATGCCGCTACTGACAGGGCCATCATGACCCATGCTGCTACACGGATGACCACTTATTAAGCACCAGTACCATACAGTGGACATGAGAAGCCCATACCGCAGCAGACGATCCTACTCGTCCTCGTGCTTCTCCCGCGGATGACTTCGACTTCTCTCTCTCATCCCATCCGCTCCCGAAGGACGATGAGCTTTACCCTTGACCTTCCCAGCTTTGCTCCCGGGCACATCCACACTAGCTGGCAGCTCATCACCCAGCATAGTGAAGTTTCGAGGTTGCAGCCGAATGCGGAGTGATTCGACGGGATACAAGCGCTTCTGTACCTGACCAACGGACCATGGAAACACGAATGTGAAAGCGGCCGACGCTATGGCTACTGGTATTGCTACGTATAGGTACCAGATGGGTGGCCATGTGATCGTCGTTATGCCGAAGACCGATGCCAGGTAGGATAGAGGAAGGAAGAGCGTGGCGATGATGGTGAGGAATGCCGAGTTGTCTGACTGCACAGCACTTGTTATATTGAATTCCAGCTGGATGAGATTGTTGAAGCCTGCAAAGTGTCAGCTAAAGCATTATCCGTACATGGGCCATCACCACATACGCTCTTTCATCGAGTCCAGTGTGGAATCGTACTGCTCGAGATCCTCTACCGCATCGTCCATATCACCCCACAGTGGGTCTTTCTGTTCGCGCTTTGGTACATCGTCCTTCAGCTTCTGCAGCTTTTTAAACGACCTGTTCTGAAAGTGTAGGTACTCTTTGAATTCGTAGAGCCGATCGACTTCTTTATGCATCATTCTGGTCCGAAGCTTCACTGGCAAGTTCCTACCATGACTGTTGGCCTCGGCCTCGTCAAGACGGATCACAATTTCCGAGATGATGTTCTGCCAATCAGTTAAGAGCCAGTACAATCGAGAGAACAGCCAGCATATGCCTTCTTCGTCCTCGCGCGGCTGCGAGAAATCGCCGTCCTTGTAAAAATAGTCGAACATCAATTCGGTCACAACATGCTCGGAAACGGCATCAGGCCGGGTGAAGATGATGGCGACAGGCACTTCTCGGTCAAATCGACAAGCCCCACGGCCACATTCCCATGCACCCACGCGGAAGCGATAGTGCTCTATTACCGGCAAACCTTCATCGTCCCAATATGGTGGCTCCATGTCCACAGACCAGTAATAGACTTGCGGCACATTCAAGTGGTCAAGGATGAAAGTCCACGGTACGTCTTGGCCACGCTTGCTTGCTTTCTGCGGAAATTGCATGGTATTCGCATACTGGACTTCGCGGCCTAGATCCGAGATATCCGACCAGTAGTCCTCGATGCAGGCACTCAAGATCTCTTCTAGCCAGGATTGGTAGCCATTGATGGAGATGATGATTGGATCTTGCGGAAAGGCTCGTACTTGATCATTGACCAGTCTGGCGAAGCGTGGCGCATCTCGAGGGCTCGCTACGGAGATTTCGTGAAAGTGTCGTGGGCTGCGTCGGCTGCCAACTCGAATGTTGATTGTGCTGTTGCCGATGTCCCATGATTTGCGTCTTCGAACATGTCGGCGGCGAGGTGAGGAAGCCATGTGCAGTGTTAATGACCTGGTGGCGTGTTACGCAAGCATTGGCGGTGAGGTCCAACGTGATTTAAAGTGGGTCGCCAAGCTGCCAAGGTTCTGTTGGCAGGTAACTGTCCTCTTTTGGAAGGCACGAAATATGTCGAGGTGATGATCGAACGTATTCGACGTGAATCGTTGGGGAGTGTAGTCGGCGAGTGTCCTAGTGAGCGGGCTGTGAATGATGTATCTCGAGGTCGTATCGTGTCCCTCGGCTGGCGTGATAATACTCAAAGGCCTGGACCCGAGTCCGAACAAGACTAAAGATTTATGAAAGGATGAAGTAGTCCTGCAAAGGCATTCCTACGTCTCACTGAGGCGATGTGTAGTCGTCCCACACGTCATCTTACCACAATGTTTGTTGTGGACGTTGCTGATGAGATGAGATGATGTCTTGGCGCTGGAACCTCAGCTCGCGTGGCTTGAGTCTTGAGTGCACAGACCTTACCAACGACTGCAGACACGCTACAGTGGCCCTGACGATCTAAACAAGTCCATGAATCTGAAGATGAGGACAATGTCAACTACTACGCTCACAGAACTTGACAGTTGTCCAACGAGTCACTACCCAGGAGAATCGAGGCAAATGACAAGGTATACCAGGTCTCAGCGAGAGCATAGCTCTAGATGCAGTGATGAATTGAGCAGAACATTAGCATGGCAGTAATCATGAATTCAAAAACGTTACACAGCGAGCTCCAAAGCGCCTGCGCTAATCGAAAAATCAAACAGCCAAGCCACATCATGCCTAGGGTGCTCGATGACCTCCGAACTAGACATCCCGCCACGTCCCTTGTACCGGCTTTCTTCCCATCCCGTTGCCCTGCGGTGGCGGTGGGCTGAGAGGACTCACGATCCCCTGTGCAGTGGTGTGATAGCTCGGCGCAACACTAGGCTCATAACCACGATATTGCTGTCCTGTTGGTGCGTAGGCATTGCGATCCGGGCCGGAGTGATAGGTGGGTGGGTAGGCCGATTGCTGGGCTGTTAATGCTATGCTAGGTGCGTACTGCTGGTGTTGACTGTAGTCGTGGTAAGGCTGGGCGTGCATCGCACCGAGATCTCCTGCGTGTTCTGGCTGGTTGTTGTAGTAGCGGCTGCTGTCTTGCTGAGATAATAATGATTGCTGTTGTGCTTGGTTGTGATCTAGCTTCTCCATTTCCATCTCCTCTTCTTCGACGTGTCTACTCGCTGCGTTGTCCCAGCTTGGCATGGCTGGAAGCGCGTCTTCATTGTACTTTGCTATCGGCGGGGCCTGCACAGCAGCAGATCGGGTCGGCCCATCAAACGTCGCTGTCTGGGGAGTGGATTGGCCTCTGTATCCTCCCGCAGCGGCTCCTCCATACATCGGCGGCGCGTGGCTCTGATATTGAGGATAAGGTTGCTGGTAGATCGGTTGTGGAGGAGGTTGCTGCTGGTATCCATCATTTCGTCCTGACCGTCGTGGTGAGGGACAGCAGGAGTTACAGCATGAGAAACAACCACAGCAACACTCCATACCACAGCATAGACATCGAGCGCAGCACCAGAGTAGCGAGAGGACGATGAGAGAGCCTATGATGATTCCTATGATTGCAGGCCATTTACTATGCACGTTGTCAGTCTTGCGCCTTGTTTGTGTACTGTGCAGTAAAGTCTCACCAATATGCCTTTGTCATGCAGCTGTTCCAGGATGAATATGTATTCTTGACCCCGTTGACGTCCGAAGCCAGATCGCGCTGCCATAACAACGTCGCCATGCTGTTCTCGCGTGGTGTCTCGCGGTCTAAATCACTTCCAATATTCGGTGTACGATTCGGACTCGAGTGACGCTGGAGAGGAATATAGATTGCTTCAATCCAATGCGCCGTTGGTGTCAGCCGCTCACTGCTTACGATTCTTTGTTGGATGATGTGAGATGCTTCACGCGACAGCAGATATGTAACGATACTCGATATTGCTATACCAAGACCTCCTTGCGCCTCATCGCCGTCGACCAAGATTACGCGTGCCTGATCCGCAGCAGTGGCGGGGACGATGAAACACCTCGGGGTTCAGCGCTAGGCTGAAGAGAGAAGTGAAACGAAGATCTGCCAAGTCTGGTGGAAAGTGAACATGAAAGGCCGCCGACGACGATGTACTCGTCCCGTTCAGCTTTTCTCGAGACGCAATGTCAAGAAGCACGATCGCAGAGGAAGGCAGGTTGCTTCGTACCTCTGCACAAGTCAAGCAGTTTTGGGATGGAGATGGACGGTGATAGGACGTAAGGCTGACAGCAATATCCGTGGACGATTACATCACCACGAAGCATTAAAGGTAGGGGAAAGGTACTTAAATACTATTTAAGATACACAATCGTGACCGAGCCAGCAATCTTTCATCATCCAACACCCAGGAACGAACATGGCACGCATCGTAATCACAGGCTCCTCAGACGGCATCGGCGCAGCAGCTGCCAGGCTTCTCATAACACAAGGCCATACGGTCACCCTCCACGCTCGCAACGAGAAACGAGGAGAAGATGCCCGGGCCGCTGTACCTGGTGCCAAAGATATTCTCATAGGTGACTTGACCACCATCGCAGGGACCAAGGACCTTGCGAGTAAAGCCAAGGCTGCTGGACCGTGGGATACCGTAGTCCACAATGCCGGCCTCGGACCCTCGAACTCGGATACCAAGACAGCAGATGGCTTCGCCTCGACGTTCGCCGTGAACAGCCTTGCGCCTTATATCCTGACCTGCCTGATGGACAAGCCGAAAAGACTCCTCTACCTCTCCTCTGGCCTGCACTCTGGTGGCGACGACAGCTTGAAGGACGTGACATGGCAACAGCGATCCTTCTCTCCCTTCCAAGCCTACGGCGACTCCAAACTCCACGACATCCTCCTCGCGAACGCAGTTGCACGCAAATGGCCGGACGTCCAATCCTGCTCTTTGGATCCGGGTTGGGTGCAGACTAAGATGGGTGGAGGTGGGGCACCGGGGAGTGTCGATGCGCCGGCGAAGGCTATTGCGGATTTTGCTAGTGGGGAGCGGAGGATCTCGGGGGAGGAGAGCGGCGTTTATCTTGGCGTGGGCGGGCCTAAGAGCCCGCACAAGGCGGCCGGGGATGTGAAGAAGCAGGATCAGTTTATTGGGATTTGTGAGGAGTTGAGTGGCGTCAACTTGAATTGATGCTGATAGTCTAGCCATCTATCGAGTGTTCGGCGAGATTCCTTTTCCATGCTATCATCACTCCACCCAATGGAACGGCACAATGGTTCCAAAATCCTCCCAAGCTCAATCCGAATGCCGAGGACTCTGGACAGTGGCTCTTTCGTGTATACCGATGCAAGGCGCGAAGTCGATGGGCTATTCATCTCGTATAGTGTCCGTATGCCGAAGGAGAGGTACAGTGAGTATTTCCTTCGGCGAATGACGACCCGGTCGCCACGCCAGAGTATTTATTCACAAATACCTGACGAAGACGAAGCTATCAGCTTCTGCATGAGCTAGTGATACTCACAAATAGACGCGCTCTGAGACAGTCTCGTACCGCTTGCTTGCTCTGTTGCCTACATCGGAACACTTAAATGATCAGCCTTCTGCTGACTCTCCAGTCGGTCAAACAGAACAAGCACCTTACGTTCATATATACATCTCCGATATTTAGGCAGTTGCGGAGCTCCTCGTTTGTCAGCATTCCACAGACAGACAACACCTCCATGACCTCGACAGCTAGTAACCCTTCGACGACGACGACGACAACACCCACTACCTCTAGGCTCTACCGTCTTAAGCCTACTGCCAGAGCTCCGTTTGAAGATCTACTCAGCTCTGGTCCTCCAAACCGAACCCATCCAGCCCCTTGGTCTCCCACTCGACTACGACGACGACCAAGAATGCGACACAGTGCCCTCCATCGCCCAAGTCTGCACTCTCATCCGCAGGGAAGCTCTTCCACTGTACTACTCAAGCAACGTCTTCTCATTTCGCCAGATCTGCTATTCAGAGGAACTTGACAGATCGTCCATCGACGGTCGTTGCTCTTTCAACTACGAGCACAGTCAAGATGTAGGACTGTGTACTGATGGCTCTCGCCAGTGGACGGCCGATGTAGGTGAGGACGGCCTTGAGTGGATTCGATCATTTCGATTCGAGGTGCATCATGGTGAGGACTTGGTACGTTTCTGGATCGAGCGCGAGATTGACAGTCGACATTTCAACCTCAAGCGGTCGGGGATCTGGGATACGGTGGCGGTGAGCTGCTGAGAAGATTTTCCCGAAGAGGGTATCAGTCTTACTGTGGCGGATGTGGGCCAGATTGATGTGATTCTGAGGGATCAGGAGGAGGACATCGCGAAGCAGGCTCTGACTTGGGAATTTGTTTGGCGGATTGTTGATGGGCTATTTGAGGCTCTTGAGGGGCGGGATGGGGAGGAGGAGAGTGAGGGAGATGAGGAGGAGGACCAGGGAGAACAGGAGGACCAGGAAGGGGTTCAGGAGGATGGTGAGCTGGGTGCCGACGAAAGCGAATTTGAGAGTGAGGAAGAAGCCGAAGACGCGGAAGGGTAGAGTGACTCGATATAACGAACCAATAATTCTGAGATGAATCCCCGTATGAAGACTGGTCCGAACGAGCACTTTCGATGGACACAAAACTTGAATGTAGTATGATATTGAGAGCGCTCCAGTCTCTCGCAACTTGCTCTGCAAAGGATTGCTCTATGACGACTTCTTCAGGCTGGCCAGTTGTACGAACGTGGTGAGGTCGATGGGAAAATACGCGCGGAGATGCGTAGCGAAGCACTGAGCTTGGGTCTGGGCTGCTGAGACGATCAGACTGCGGCAAAGTAAAACCCCTGGGCTACGTTATCCGGAAGCTGATCAAGGAATAACAATGTCGGGTCGACTCGAAGCACAGATACTCCAATTGCACTATGAGGAGGCCTGGGAGCGTGAACTGCGTGCCTGCCCACAGCCAAGGTCAGAGTCCTGTTCAACCACGGAGATCCATGATCAAGCAAGAAACGTCCTAATCTCGACCACGTGCTCTCTTGCCTCAAGTCGTACATCTACTGATAACGGACGGCAAAGTCCCATCATGTCGTGCATGGAAACTCTCGCTCTCGTGTAGGTGATTAGATACTCTGCCTCTACGATAGGCAGGTACGTACTCCAGATATCGCCATCAACCTTCCGACTGACGTGCCAGGATGCAGGGCTCGATATCAGCGCACCGATTCGCCGTCCCTGGTCTCGTATCTAATCTGCGGGCGTGTTTGCGGGGAGCGAAAGGGCATCAGTTGCGATAGATGTGCATGTGGTTAAGATGTATAAGTAGGGCGTCAAGTCCATGGTGCTCGCGGAGTCTCTTGAGTCCTTCTCGAGCTCGCGTGCTTCTTTCGTCTTGCTGTCGTCATCACACACGCGAGCATCTTTCTTCCTTTTCTTCAACACGGACAATCTACACCTGACATACCTCTGCCGGCGTGGGATGTGGCTTTCCCACTCCTCGCCTCTGCTGGAAAACGTCTCGAGATCGAAGTCGCCGCCCCAGATCCGCGCCTCGCCACTTCTTCGGCAACCGCGCTAGGAGCTCTGTCTACCCCTCCCGATCTCTCCACATCGAGTCAGCACTTTGTCGTGTGAGCTCCGGGCTCATCTCAAGTCGTTGCCACCAACACAGCTGTTTTTCCACGATCGAATTCATCTATTCTCGGCACTGCTTTTAACCGGCACCATCTGCCATTTCGTTAGGCGATTTACCTGAAAGATGGGATAAGAAGTGGCCCGGCCGCCGCCTCTCTGAAGGACAACGAGCACCCCCACGGCACAGGCACATGTCAGCACTGTCCCTGCTTTCGCTGTCTTGCCGACCTCACGGTCCGGTGGTCTTAGCGTTCGGCATCTCCATACACTTTCCTTTGAGGAAGGCGAGCATGTGACAGCGGAGCTCAACGCCAACGCGAGGTTCACGTTAGGTCAACGGGCTGGCCTTAATGATGTAGGACCGCTGTTACCCTCGGATTGAATCGTGCAAACACCCAAGATGACAGACGACGAGTTGGAATTACCGGACCAGATTGTCGCGAGAGCTGAGAAGACCCAGCAAGCTCTCAGCTACCTTGCCTGCGTGCGACCATCGATCGCGACTCCACGACAGCTCTTCTAGCGGGACCTTCGGCTCGAGGCAGCTGAACATTTGCCGCCGGTGTACCTTTGACGCAGCTCCACTCGGGCTTTGCAACCTACAGATAATGGCTAGGAATCACTGCGACGACAGGCTTCGTCACCAGCATTGCGCTGGTCTGAATTCGGGCCTTCATGAGAACCCCGTTTGTGGAAGGCAAGATCACATCGTTGAAGTCGATAATGGCAGGCGGATAGATTATGCGCATGCCCCTCGAGAGCTTTTGATTGCGCGAAAGCCATGACGAAGCAGAACGAGGCATATCTACTCAAGAACAATCATCTTGCGCGACGTTTGCATCGGTCGCTCGAAAGTGCACATATTGCTCGCACCAGAAAAGTTAGGGTTGAGTCTCGGGCGCAATCGGAAGGACCAGATGCGGTCGCCCGTTAGCAGTCTCCTAAGGATCAGACCACCATCAACTCTGCTACAGCCTGTATCGAAAATGTATCCACTGTAGGACTTGTAGTAGACTCTCAATTGTCCACTTACACTGCTCCCCGACTCCATATATCAAGAGCAATTGCGTGCATTGGTGCATTGTTGAGTAGTGTCACAATTGTACATCCGCCATTATTTTTGTGAGGGCAAAGCGAACCTCCAGCGAAAACTCAATTTGACAGAAGCTTTCTGGAAGTGAGGAGGAGTCGAGACCGACTCGTTTTATAACGCGAGCTCGACCTCGTAGGGTTGAAGTGTATTATTGAGCAGCTGAACTAAGCCACAATAATGTGCTTATGATCAATTGAATGTTTACCAAAACAATCGTCGTGCCTCTTCATAGCGATCCAGCGTTCTCCATCCGTTCATGGCGTTTGGCTGGGCCTTGACTCCACAAGTTTTGATTGAGATCGAGCATGGCGATGGAGGCCCTGCATGCGAGCGTCACTGTGCGCATCCGGTAGATATTCGTGGCTTCAGGCTAACAGGCCTCATCATCTCATACGAAGCGAGAAGGCCGTCTGATGCCGAGGTGGGCTCAATGCGTACCAGATCTCTAGCAATAAAGTTGAATATACGTGGCGGAGGGACCTCGCAGGTCGTTCGCGTGTGAGAAGTGCGAAATGCTGTGAAAATGATCGTCTTGATCAAACTCACACACCCGGAAGAATCACGGACGGCTACGCGCACTTTGCAATGGGGAACGGCAATGACTTGCAGCGCGGCCGACGAGGGTGATCCATGGCGTGCATGTGCTCAGATGCCATTCGCGTGAGCCTCATTGGCTGACCCACTCCCCATCCCACGCTCTCATGCGGGAAGAAAGTAGCTTCCAAAGCACACCGAAAGGACCGAGCTACTTCCTCAGCGTTGCGCGCAAGCTGGGAAAGTTACCAACAGGACGCTGTCGTAGTGGGTGGATTATCCCGGCGGGCAGGGCATTTTGAGCCGGCTTTCCACCCTCGATTCATATTATTGCGCCCGTGTGTGTGTGCGTCTGTCGTAGCGCAGGTAGTGGGCCGCCGACAGCTAACCTGTCAACCTGTGCACCGTTGTATTACCTATACCTCTTTCACCCGGCGTGCCACTCGCCCACCAATTTGCTTACGTCTTTGGAGCAAGATTAATTAAACATTTCCCACGGTGAGCAGCAGCGAAGGGAGATTTGGTAGTCTCTGGCCTTGGAACAACCATATGTCGGAGGGCCGAAGGACGCAGGACGCAGGCCTAGAGCAGGCTAGGGCGTATCGACAACCGCGTGGGGTGATGATAGACGAGCTGCGGTCCTCAGACGTACTCTCAGACGATTCGACCTACACTGCCGCGGAGACCTCCCAACTCGAGTCCTCACCACGTCATGTGCGCATCCCGCCGGGACAAGCCAACGACGACAGTTCTGGATCGTCTTCCGCCCTGCACTCGCTGACCTCCGCCAGCACGCTGAGCACGCTGGAGGGGAAGCTGGAGCTGTCGCCACAAAACGCGGTGGCGGCGCAGAAGGGCATCCTGCGTGAATCACTTTTGGACGGGTGGAAGGACGATGCGAGCGCGGTCATGGAGTTGGAGTCACCAGAAGAGATGCAGAAGAAAGATCCGCTTGGCACGCAGATATGGAAATTGTACCACAAGACGAAAGGGCAGCTACCCAATTCGGAACGCCTCGAGAATCTGTCATGGCGCATGATGTCTATGAACCTACGTCGCAGAGAGCTGGAGAGGCAAGGGTGAGTGATATGAGTAGTTTGGTGACGTGACAGTGTGATGCTGACAAGTGGGCAGACTGCTCTCGCAGGCGCCTCAAACCACAAACCGACCTAGCGGCATTGCACAGCTTCGGAAGTCGTCTGAACAGTCCAGTGTCAACCAGAAAGATGACCAGATGAACCTGGACGATTTCATCGTGCCGTCTTCGATGGGCACACCCGCTGGCATTTCACCCGCGCCCTCAAGTGCGGCAGGCGATCTAGACTACCCTTCCTTGGTAACAGCATCTGCCATCCCTATCAAACAACAACACCGACTGCAGTCAGAGGACCTATCAGTCGCACGTGCTTCCGCACCCACAGTCGGACCATTGGAACAGAGCCGAACCAATCAAGAATTCAATTACGTACAAAGGCACGTGCGCAAGACGAGCATAGATGAAAGAAGGGTATGTCGTGGCAAGTCTGTACTGTGTTGTCTGATTATGCTGATCGAATGTAGCCACCGAAGCGAAGAGCCGAAGCATCGCCGCAAGTCCCTCCCGTCAACAACAATGTCATGGTATCCCAAGATCCGGCGGAAGAGGCTGCGTTGCACAACTACTCACTCGAGCCAACCCCGACTGTTCACCCACAAGCCCAGCACCCTAACATCCCATTCAACCTCAACACCTTTGACCTCGAGAATGATCCTATCATCAACTCCGCAGGGCCACTGCAACATAGCTTTGGCTTCTCTCCCGTTGGATCGCCCATGTTCAGCAACGGCGCTTTTAGTGGAATGTACACACCTCAGACCACGATGCCGCCGCCGATGAGCATGTCGAACTTCCAGTCACCGATCCAGTCTACCTATCCTTCCACGGTCTCTACTCCACAACCCATAGCAGAGACGCATGAGAACATGTTCTTTGGTGGTCAGTCGCAAATGCAGCACGGCCACGCATCCATGCCAAATTTCAATCACCTGCCGCTTCAGCAAACGCCAAGTCAACCGCAGGCACAGCAATTCGTCTTCAACCCTACTGGTGACAGCATGTTCAGTGCCATGTCTTCTAGTGCACCTACGCACAACTTCTTACAGCCGACCTTCCAAATGCCAGGACATCTTGACATGCCTGGTGGCTCTCACGACTTCATGCAATCTGGCAGCTTGCCGCTGTCTCACCACGACAACATGTTCACGTTCGGAGGAGATGACGACGATGAAGACGACGATACCATGCAATTCAATGACCCAAACATGATGATGCCGCAAAGCTATTCACCAATGGAGGACATGAACAACGGCTTCCAATGGGATCAAAATCTGTCAAATCAGTTCAATCCCACTGCTGCACGCTATCCGGCTGGTCCGCCAAGGAAGGGTGTTACGATTGGTCATACCGAGATGATACCTTCGCCGCAGGGCTGGGATCAGTCTGGTCTGGGTCGTGGACATGGATCAGCTGCATCAGTCAGCGACATGAGGAATCGTGGTGGTGATCCGAGGACGAAGAAGATACCAAGGACAACGTCTACACCGAATACAGTCGGGATGGCAACTGGAATGTTTTCGATACGCACGCAGTCGTCACCTTCGTCGCCGCCAGAATCGGGCTTTGGATCTGCTGCCCCATCGAGGCCAGGCAGTCCGCGGCCGGACAGTGGAGTCCCTACGACCTGCACGAACTGCTTTACACAAACGACACCGCTCTGGCGTCGTAATCCCGAAGGCCACCCTCTGTGCAATGCTTGCGGGTTGTTCTTGAAGCTGCACGGTGTAGTGCGACCATTGAGCTTGAAGACAGACGTGATCAAGAAGCGCAACAGAGGCAGCGGCAATGCTGCTCCTGTGGGTACAATGCGAGGTAAGAAGGGCGCAAGCCGTAAGAACTCGGTAGCACAAACAACAGCCACCACCCCGACTTCAGCCAGAGGCTCCAACAACGACGCCGATTCGCCCAAATCACTTGCCGGATCAGCCGGAAGTGGAACTGCGGCCACGACGCCTACGAGTTCCGGACCTGCCGAGAAGCCAGTGCCGAAGGTCGTCGCTATTGCTCCTGGACCGCCGAAGCCTGTCTCCCAGCCGCCTGCTTTGGTCCCGACACGAACAATGGCACCCCGCAAAGCAAGACGTCAAAGCAGAGCTAGTATGCCGACTGCACCCGAGGATACAGAAATGGTAGACGCAAGCACCACGAGTCCAGGCGCGGCTGGTGCGAGCAGGAGTAATGTCCCGATTGCCCCCTCGGCACCACCTCCCTTGGCTCCAAATATGCTCTCGCAAGCCGATCTTGCAGCTATGCAGAGTCAGATGATGGCTGCGCCGAATGGTGGGCCGATGCAAGGACGTCTTGTACTGGGTCCGAATGGCGAGCTCCCAGCTGGAGTGCATCCGGGTATGTTGACGGGTCCGCAAGAGTGGGAATGGTTGACTATGAGCTTGTGAAAGTTTCACAGCCACCAGAGGAGGAGGTTGGAGAATGAAGGCGGGGCTCAAGTGGAGACATTATTATACGCCGATCTGTCTGGTATGATTGCTTTTCGGTCTTTTTGGTTATGATACCCCTGGAATGTGCGTTGTGCGAAGCTTTATCTGGACGTCTATTCGCTTTATTCTAGTGGCTATGCGATAGGTGCTTTTGCTGCTATCATTGTAGGGATCTTCATGTTGTACATAGATGGCGGTTCTGTTGCGGGTCACGATTCTGACGGGGATGTCGTTGGGCATGGGGCCAGAGTCGATCGTATGGAATAGGCTTATGAACTTTTGTTGCCAGCTATCTGAGGTGGGGCAACTGATAGAGATGCTAGAGCGGATACAATGCTGTAATGCAGACGAATTTTCTACTTGCGTCTTCTGCATCTGATTGCTGTGTAGTGTGGTTAGTATTGAGAAACCATTGCTACCACCCACAATCATCTTCCCATTGTGTGCTAATGCTCAGGGGTGGAGGCATGCAATCCATTTCTCCCATGGGCCGCAAGTCTACAGCAGAGTGTTTCTCGATTGATGGATCGGAGGTCTGATATGCCAACAGCAAGATATACATAACAGTGGTGCTTTACCCATGAAGCAAGTCCGTAACCCTGACTTCTCGCTGCACGACCACCGCGCCACTGGGATCTAGCTTACGGTAGTAATTGGCTTCTGTTCCGACTACTCTGAACCCACGCTTCGCATACCACTCCAAGCCTTCCTCATTTGCTTCCCAAACATGCGCCGCCACGCTTGTGATGCCGTAAGCGTCTACCGCTCGAACGAGTAGCGTGTGCATCATGTGCGATGCTACGCCATGTCCACGGTAAGGAGACAGTAGTGTGAGGGTGCAGAGGTAAAGCATGTCCTTCTTCTCATCCATGTCTTCGAGGTTGGATGTTTGTGGGGTCTCGGGCAGTATTCGGCAGCGTATGGCTCCGATCAATCGTCCTTTCTCCTTGCCAGAGTTGGCGGGATCGTCGTGCCAGAGCGCCAGGAGAGTGAGGTTATAAGTCACTGGGTCCGCAGTGATGGCCTGGTAGAAGCTATCCGGGTAAGGAAGAGGTAGTAAGACGCTATTGAGACGTTTCAGAGCGGGTATATCTGCTTTGGTGCATGCTCGTATCTCTACATTCTGCGGGAGGTGTGGCGAGGGTGCTTTCCATGGCTTGGCTGTCGTGGAGGGCGTGACAGTCTTCGGTACTGAGCTCCCTGAGGGCTCAGCCTGAAAAGGTGGCGGTGTGTTTGTGTGTCCGCTGGGAAGTGGGTTGGTCTCTTCAGTCTCAGTGTCGTGTTCAGGGGTCGGAGTCGTAGTGACAGTCTTGTTCTTCTGAGCCGTGATGGCGGGTTTCTGCAGCCATGCTGTGAGCGATGACTGTGGCATTCTTCTCAACCATCATGAGACGATCAGACTGCCTTTCGTACTGACAGAGTCGCGCGATGGTGGTGACATGAATGACTGAAAGAGTATTTGATGAAGGTCCTGCGATTTGTGCCGGCTTGCGCTTCGGCCGAGACTCAATCTCAACTTCACTTCTGCTTCGCTTTCACCAGACTCCTGCATTCGCGGCCATCAACAAAACCATAACAACGGCAGGTACAGAGGACCGCGCTGCCATGGAAAGTAAGAGTACGAGAGAGTTCTGCGAGGCGAAGAAAAGACTACGGAGCACTGAGCATGATTCAAACTGCTACCAACGATCACGAAAGATATGTAATGTCTATGTGACACAAGCCCGTCAGAATATTGAATGACCTCAAAAGCCATTGGAAGTCACGGTTACTAGACCGACTGCACCGAAGTAGCAGCCAGCAAAGTCAACCTGAGCCTTCATCTTTCTCATCATTCAGGGTGGTGCTACCGTCTGCCCTCGTCTATGTCGTCACCGCACCACGTCAAGCAACGAAGGCTTCACAAACTCCGTAGCTTAGACAAAGCACTCAGTCGGCTGTAATGTCATGACTCCCACGACAGACTATGCACGATGCCCTCAAAAGAATCCGTCAACGAGCGAATGCCTGTGTTGGAGACTTCCGGTGACTGCCTCAGCCTACGGCTTACGGCAATACCTGCTCCAGGCAACAATAGCCCAAACCATTGCGAACCCGCTCTCGCTGTAGATGTCTGACTCCGCGACAAGCAGCTCACCGAGAACGGATCATAGCAAGCAGAGGGAACGGTAGCGAACCCAACGACCCACCTCGAGTCAAGCATGAGCCGGCTTGCAGGAATCACCCTGACAGCGAGCGCTGACAAGAAAGCAGGTTGACCACCGAGCGGAGAAACAACTGCTAGCATCCGTGAACGTCACTCATTGCCGAAGCAAAGGATCTGCGCGGCCATCAGAAGTTCAGGGCTCGACGAGAACGCAACCCGAAAAGCGAAGTCTTGGACGCACAAACTTGCTGGACACCCTCGACCACCTCGGAGGCACTGGGATTGGAGTAGGCGTGTCTTCTGAACATGCAGATTGGCTTACAGTCGCAGTCCCAAAGCACATGTCCTCCAACAGGAAGAGAGATGGTGGTACCACGATCTCAGATCCGGGTCGTCGTGTACTGTCCGAGAAGTCAGTCCTACTCAAAGGGGGTCGGAAGTCGTGTAGGTGGCTGTATGGCATGCCTAATTACTTCACAGCCCGGTACTAATGAGCTGGAGTGGTGTCTTCCCGGTACTAGGTTCCGATGGTTAACACGAAGACAGATTGAGAGTTCTCGACGGCAGTCGTACTTGCATACCGTTCCCACCAACGCCAGCGCCGTGCACCCCAGCGAAAGAGAGTAAACCGGTTTCTTCCTCACCGGTCTGAGATCACCATCTGCTGCTAAAGACTCTCAAGATTCTCCAACATAACCGCCCGTCGGTAGAGATGTTGCCACAAAGTCGAAGAAAGGTGTGTTTTGTGTATCTGCTACTGTCAACAAGAGCTCGAGGAAATGTTTTCAGGCCGTGAGAAGGGTCTGTGCTACCCCTTTAGCACTAATGCATGGCAAGATTGCGCTTCACGACGAGTACGCTTGAAGTGGAAGGAACGGTGTAGGTCGCGACTTCCGATTTTGCTGCAGTCGGATTCCGTGCAGGAAAGAGAGCTTTGCTGAAGCCTTCAAGCTGGCTGTGGTAATCGCTTATCGCTGTTGCATCAGCACAGAACGGCGAGCAGACTAGTAGGCCTGATTGCGTTGAATATGAATGATGCGGGAAGGAGGCGAAGTCATCAAGTACTTTTCATTGTCATAGTCGTGATACTAGAGCTATCTGCGCACCGTGGACGTCATCGTACCTAGAGCTCAGCCATACTACTTCGACACGGTAGCCAGCTTGCTTCGCACAGGCACATTGTGGTCCTTGCCCGCCTGGGGGAACCCCTCGATCTTGACATGCTTCCTGAACAGCAAGCAATGCGAGCTTCCACCGAAGTGGAACATGCCCGTCTGCTCGCCCTTCTTCACATGCTGACCCTCCTTGACGGTGATATCACATGTGCTGACCTCGTCCATACCAATGCCGATGAAAGCCATGAGCCCGATATCCGGGTTGTCAGCCTCGATGAAGATGATGGCACGGGTGGCTAGAGCAGAGAGATATCCCTGTCCGACGGAAATACCGGCGGCATCAATCTCCTGCACTGTCGGGTCGCCGAGGCCTTCGAAGAGGGGCTCGGAGAAGTAAGTGCCGTCTTGCACGAAGGCCTTCTTGATCGTGCCGCTGACGGGTGCGTGCCACCTGTGGTAGGACAGAGCTGAGAGGAAGGCTTGGTAGACGGTGCCACCAGCGAAGTTCTCCGCCAGCTTGTCGTGAGCGAGCATGTCGAGGATGCTGTAAGGTTGACCTTTAATCCAGAAGTGGTCACGGAGCTTGACGTCGTGCTGCACGGCGAAGGTCTTGCTCTCGCAGCAGTTGTTGATCACACTGTCATCGTCGGGAGATTCGATTGGGCGGACTTCAGGCTTGAATTGGCGCTGTAAAAGAAGTTAGCAGCTACCGTTTTCATACACTTTACTCCCAGTTTACAGTGAAGAACTCATCCCAGCTCTTGTAGCCCTTGTGCTTGCCCTTGGGATCAGGTGATACGAAGAAGTCGTCGAAAGTGTGGTTGGTGCTATAGGGCCCGTTGGCCACATGCATCATGTCATTGACGCCATGCTCGCTGAACCACCCCTGCTTGTGGGAACCGAGAACCTCAGCAGATTTGGGAGAAGCCAACAGCTTGCCCCACTCGTTCAAGATCTTCTTGAAATGAGCGTTGACCTCTGGGTCGAGGAAGGCGGCATAGCCACTAGCAGTACCCATTGGGTAGTCGAGGATGGCGCACATTGGCACACCGACCATACCGACATGAGCGGCAGCATCACTCCAGTATGGCGCCGAGCCGAAGGTGTGGTTCAGGACCTCCAGCATGTGATGGTAGTCACGGATCTGCTTGTGGCCGGTTGGGTCCTTGTTGTATGGGTGCTTCACCGGCACTTCAGTGAACATAGAGTTGAAGTACATGTAAATGCGAGGGTTGCTCTCGATGAAGTTCTTGAAGTCTTGGAGCACGGGGACGAGTTCCTTCTTGTTCTCGCCTGCTTGCTTGACTTGGTGACCGAGCCATTCCTTCTGGACGCGGTGGTCTGCTGGCAGCCAGGCGCCGGCACTGTCTACATGTCAATACTGTGGCGATTGCTTTGGGTTAATGCTGACTTACTTGGAGCGCTCGTGCTCCTTGGGGATATCGTGCTTGTCTCCGTGTTGATGAGACATGATGGCTGTGGTTGTTAGATCGGTGTGGGTGGTATCAGAATAAAAGTGAGAGCTTCAAATCGTTGTTGAACAAAACCATCAAGCCTTTGCCAAGAATATCACATTCAATGCAGGAACGCTTGCATGCAATGACGAGGTTTACGTCAGAATTCAAGCTTTCATGCATGTGCTGCCGTGTTCCAGGCCTTTGAGCTCTTCCGCTTGGTCCGTCAAGCAGGCATTTCTTCAACTAGTGAACTGGAGACGCTCTTTCGTCGGCAACACCGCTGGTGTCGAAGCAAAGCAAATCATGCCTGCCCGTACACGTGAAGGGGTACGCAAGCGTGTCGTAACTTTGCCACGTGGAGCCATTGCGGACGGTGACGGCAGCGCTGTTGAATGTACAGTGTGTCCATATAGTCATCTCCGTCAAGCGACCAAGGTACCTTGTTCGACCTACGGATCGAACTGGAACATGTGGTGGGTGAAGTCGGGTGGGCAAGGAGGCGGAGGATGAGAAGAGGATACACCTTGACTTGAGGCTAATGCTCGCCATTCTTCATGTTTGCTTAGAGGGACATGCCCACAGTACCACGGACTCAAATGACACGAGCAGGTCCTGGACGGATGAGCGCGACCAGTGGACCAGTAGTCGCAACAATTACCGTGAAGCGATACTCCGACTCGAGCAACTACACACTTATACAGCGTCACTGCAGCACAGTATCCACAATCTTCATCTATGTATGCGAAGCGATGGCGTTATGCCAAGTCTCCAACTGATGCTTTCTTACAAGAGGAAAGGCCACCCTGCAACCAGATGTTAACGGAAGCGCGATAGATCACGTAGAAACAACATCAGGGTTTCGTTGCGTCTCGGTTAAAATGACAGAAGCCATATATACATATTCCGTCGACTAATCAGTGGCCTGCCTGCATGTCTCAGTGTTTACCATCAAATTCACGACCATCTGCCAATGATTTAGTCTGCACCTGCAACACTCCTCGACACCTGGTCAAAGGCTCAGCAGCAGACGGTCTGGTTCATTCAAACGCCTGTACCCAAGGATATATCGTGCACGGTCATTCATTCATTCATCATTGCTTCTCAGTAACCTTCTGCTGCAGCTCATCCTGCATCTCCTTCTTCTCCCGGATAACTTCTGGGTCTGAATTGGTTGCTGGTTGTTGGCCCGCTTTCAGTTCGCTTGAGACGACGGGGTCGGGGAGGAGTTGTCGTTTCATGACATCTATTCGACATATTATTAGCGTCTAGATCATTCCCGGTCTGATGTGCTAGTGAGGGCTGAAGGAGTGCTTACCTGTGGGCGATATGGGATCAGCTGATCCAGGTTCTGCCTTGAGCGAAGGGTCGAGGTCGACATTGACATGAGGATTGTCTGGCGTCTCCGATAATGTGCGATGGTCCCTCATCATTGCGTCGTTGATGCTTCCTTGAGTTGGCGATCCAGTAAAGAGTTTGAGGCTGCCAAACATTGCGATGATTGATTGTTTGATCTCGTATATCCTTGGAGTGCTGAGAAGAAGTGGGAATGTGAATGCGGTATCTACGTTTTCGATTCACGACTGCGATGTATATATGTCCATCTACCCACTCAGCTCCCTCCTGATTACCAGCAATGTAAGCGTCATATGGCGGAGAGCCGAGAGGATTCGCAACAGCTTCAGAGATGAATAGATGAGATTGGGGGGGGACGTGAGACGGGTGGCAGCTCTGCTCAAGCACAGGAACGGTCAATGCGGTTGATGATCTTCAATTGCCCGTGCGTCAGCGGCGGCGCCAGCGGTCTTGGGAAGGCCGATGATGGGCGTGGAGATGGAGAGGTGGAGAAGGGAGTTTGCCGTTTGCGGCTGATTGTGATGGTCCTGATGAAGGCATTGGTTTTACTTTGGGTCTTATCTGTTTATATCATAAGCAAATTGCATGACCGTGTTGTGTTCACGTCCGTCGCAGATGTTCGTCATGGCGGTTTCGTATCTTCGTGTCACGTGTACAAGGCAGCATTGTTGGCAGCATTGTTGGCAGCACGGCATTTGCGCCGGCTTGCTTGCTTGCTGGATAGCCGAGAAGCGAGGGCCGCCAACATCTACCGTGCTTCGTGAGCTCTCAATACACAGCAATCACGTCCGTGAAAATCTACGGAAGTCTTCTGTATATGAACCAATAGCCAGTAGGTGTTGTGCTATCGATACGTCTGCGCAGAATCGTTTCCCACATAAATGAATACAGACCATATTGTTCTCGATTGACAGACAAGGCCAAAACGACCTTACCACGAGCTCCCGTCCTTCTCACTTATCTGACAACAGCAGCCGCCAACCTCCCCTTGCAGAATCATGGCTCTAGGTATAATATCACTTGTCATGATTCTCCTCACTACCAGATCCTCCCTGACTATGATAAAAACATAGCCCTAGCAGCCACCACAACAGCCGGAGCAGCAGCAACAGCCGCCTACCTAGACGCCCGCCTCCACCTCCGCAAAGACCTCGCCGACTACCGCGAAAGCCGCCACCTCGCCCGTCTAGGCGCACGTCTCGCTCGCGAGAACAAACGCTCCCTCTGGTACCAATTCGAAGAACAAGCCCACAAACTCCCCAACGAGCAAGCGATATGGTATCGTCCTTCCCCTGCCGATACAGCGGTGCAGTTTTCTTACAAGCAGGTGTATGAGAATGTGTGTCGTTGGGCCGGGTTCTTGCAAGAGGTTGGAGTCAGGCCGGGGGAGCTGATGAGTTGTTATTTGGTTAATTCGCCCGAGTTTATGTTTAATTTGTTGGGGTGTTGGGGCGTAGGGAGTGCGCCGGCGATGATCAACTATAATTTGGCTGGGGATGGACTTGTGCACTGTTTGCAAGTTGCTGGGGGGAAGGTTTTGGTTGTGGATGCTGATGCTGGGTGTGTGGAGCGGATTGAGGCCGTACGTAGCCGGATCGAGAAGGAATTGGGGATGAGGATTATTATTCTGGATGAGGCGATCAAGGCCGCGATATATGCGCGCGACCCGGTCCGACCGCCTAATTCCTTCCGCGATGGAGTGACAGGCACCTTTCCCATCTTCCTCTTCTACACCTCCGGCACAACGGGCCACCCCAAGGCCTGCCCCTTCGAAACGCAACGTTCCTACGGTCTCGGCTTCCCACGCCATCGCACTACTGGCCTCAAACCCGGTCAAACTGCCTCTTTACTCCGAAGGGGGAGGAAAGCAGATGTCTGGTACGACTGTATGCCCCTCTACCATGGTACCGGCTGCACCGTAGCGATCGGCTGTCTGATCTCCGGCCTTACACTCGCGATCGGGAGAAAGTTTAGTGTCAGGAATTTCTGGCCGGATGTCCATGATTCCCACGCCAACGCTTTCGTGTATGTGGGCGAGACGGCCAGGTATCTGCTTGCTGCTCCGCCTTCCCGCTTAGATCGCGGACACAAGTTAAAGGCTATGTATGGGAATGGGATGAGGCCTGACGTTTGGCTGAAGTTCCAGGAGAGGTTTGGGATCGAGACGGTGAATGAGTTTTTCAATAGTACGGAGGGGATGTTGAGTCTGCTGAATGTGTGTCGGGGCCCTTTTCACGCAGCGCATGTGGGGCATCATGGGTGGTTGAAAAGGAGGGAGTTGTGGGGAAAGATTGTGCCGGTGGAGATTGATCATGAGACGGGGGGGATGTGGCGGGATGGATTGACGGGTTTTGCTAAGAGGACGAGTTATGAACTTGGGGGGGAGATTATCATCAAGTGTGCGAGTGAGAGGGAGTTTGTCGGCTATTACAATAACCCTACTGCTACGGCTGGCCGCTTCGAGCGCGATGTTTTTGTCAAGGGGGATTTGTACTACCGGACTGGTGATGCCTTGCGCAGAGATGGGGATGGGAGGTGGTTCTTTCTTGATCGGCTGGGCGATACCTTTCGCTGGAAATCGGAGAATGTGAGCACCGCACAAGTTGCCGAACATCTGGGTAGATTTCCGGGAGTGGTAGAGACGAACGTCTACGGCGTGGAAGTCCCCTCCCATGATGGCCGAGCGGGCTGCGCCGCGATATACATCCGGCCCGAAGACCGCGCGAGCTTCAATTGGAAGGGTCTGCTGGACCATGCGCGCTTGGGGTTGCCGAAGTATGCGGTGCCCGTGTTTCTAAGGGTGTTGGAGAGGCAGAGTCCCATGCATAACAATAAGCAGAATAAGGTGCCGTTGAGGAAGGAAGGGGTGGATGTGAGGAAGATCCGGGAAGGGGAGGCGGGGAGGGGGGATGTGATATTTTGGGTTAGGGGCGGTGGGGAGAGGTATGAGGAGTTTGGGGAGGGGGATTATGCTATGTTGGTTGAGGGGAAGGCGAGGCTGTAGGTGATTACTACCGCTACTTGTCATGTGCTTTGGCCATGTGCTCCTGTATACATATATCTCGTACTGTAGATTTACTTTTTAACCATGTGACTTTGCAGAGCCGCATACGTCACCCAGGGAGGATTAATTATTGGCGCCGTTGAAGCGCCGAGGTTAGGAAAAAGGAAACAGCTCTCAATCGGGCTTCCAGTATCACAGTTGCTTATCCGCCACCGGTCAAATGCCATTCATCAATATTTGGATAAATTATGTAAAGTATGTAAAGCCGTAAGCTCATGCTATAGAGGTGGCATTATTGTCGAGCAGCGGGTGTCGAGCGAGCATTTATTATTACTGTACTTCCCATCTCGTAATAATAATCCCAGTTGTGGAAGGAGCGGGCCAGAACTCCACAGCGGCCCCGCACTTTGGCTGGCTGGCTGGCTGGCTTGCTCGTCTGATCTGCAGCAAGCAGAGCAGAGCAGAGCAGAGCAAGTCGGTGTGAAGCTTCGAGCTGCTCGCTGCACTGCTGCACGTCTACTCCGCCCGTGGAAGCATCCTTAACCAATTCCTCTCCCCTCCCCCTCCCCTCCCCCCTCTCGTGTTTTCCTACTCCTCCCGCCACGCTGGCCGACCTTGGACCTCCTCCTCACCGCCCTACCATTCACTCCCGCAGCTCCTCCCTCCCACTCATCACACCAGCAACAGCAGCGAGGAAAGGCCGAGACGAGGAAGAGCTTCCTTTCCTCCAGGAATTACACGGCAGCAGACATCACAAGCCATCCCTCTTCACCCTCCACCGCCTACCGCGAACATCCACCGTCACCGCTTGCCTCGTCCTCCTCGTCCTCCTCGCCCAGCTCATCCTCCTCCCCCGCCTCGCACCCTACTACTTTCACCCCCACCCTCCCCTCCCCACCACCTGTCCCGTGCCCGCCACCCACAACCCGTTCGTCCAAGAACTCTACTGCCGGCCCCGCGAACACCGCTCCTCCTACTTTGGCAAATCCCAACACAGCATGGCTCTCGCCGCCGCCGCCGAGCGCGTGGCCGCCGAGTTCGAGTACTCGGCCCAAGATGTCCAGCGAGGTGTGAAAGAGTTTATCCGACAGATGGATGAAGGCTTGGGGAAGCAAGGGGCGACGATGAGCCAGATCCCGACCTATGTCACTGCTGTCCCGAACGGGACGGAGAAGGGTTTGTACATGGCGGTCGACCTGGGCGGGACGAATTTCAGAGTGTGTTCCATCCAATTACATGGCAACAGCACCTTCAGCTTGACGCAGAGCAAAGTCAAGATCCCGCAGGAATTGATGGTGGCCAAGACGAGTAAGGAGTTGTTTTCCTTCTTGGCCAAGCAGATCGAGACTTTTCTCAAGACCCATCATAATGAGCATTATGTCAATCATGTGGAGCGGAGGCGACGGGGGAGTTATATCGGCGCTTCGTTCCATGATGAGGAGGTCTTTCATCTGGGGTTCACTTTTAGTTTTCCCGTGCAGCAGTCCGGGATTAACAAGGGGACATTGATCCGTTGGACGAAGGGGTTTGATATCAAGGATACTATCGGGAAAGATGTCTGTGCGTTGTTGCAGAAGGAAATCGATCTCCTCCATCTTCCCGTCAAGGTCGCGGCGCTGGTCAACGATACGGTCGGCACACTCATGGCCCGCTCGTATACCAGCCCGGGGAAAACGGGGACTCTTCTCGGCGCCATCTTCGGCACGGGAACGAATGGTGCGTATGTGGAGAAACTGGACCGCGTGACAAAACTCAAGAAGGGTGGGAGTAAGGCTGCGGGCGATGTGGACGATAGTACGGGGGAAATGATCATTAACACCGAATGGGGTAGCTTCGACAACCAGCTCTCCGTCTTGCCTAGTACATCTTACGACAAATCCCTTGACGCCGAGTCCAATAACCCTGGTATCCAAATGTTCGAGAAGCGCGTTTCAGGCATGTTCCTGGGCGAGATCTTACGCCGAGCGATCGTCGATCTGATCAAAGACCCTTCCGTCCCGTTATTCAGCGACGAGCATAGTAATCAGAATGATATCCACAGCACGACGAACATCCACGACCAGAGCGCTCTGTGGAACCAATGGGGGCTCGATACGAGTTTCTTGTCTATCGCCTCGGGAGACACCTCTGCGGGACTGAAGGTCACCCGACAAACCCTCGACAACGACTACGGCGTCTCCGCCGCCAGCGCCGAGGATGCCGAAGCCGTCCGTCTCATCGCCTCCGCCATCGGAAAACGCGCCGCTCGACTCTCCGCCGTGGCGATCGCCGCCGTCATCTTATCTACCGGCAAGTTATCTCATCCGACCGATATCGCAACCACAAACGACGCCAAACTCGAGGTTAACGAGGATGAGATTGTGGATGTGGGCGTTGATGGGAGTTTGGTGGAGTTTTATCCGAATTTTGAAGAGTTTATCCGCGAGGCGTTGAGGGATGTTCCCGAGATTGGTGTCCGGGGGGAGAGGAGGGTGAGGATTGGGATCGCGAAGGATGGGAGTGGGGTTGGGGCGGCGTTGATTGCGCTTGTCGCTGATCGGGCTGGGAAGGGTGAGTTCTTCTACCTTTCATCTCTTTTCCCCCCCCCCTTCTTCTCTCGAGCCTTTCCTTGTCTTCCCTTTGACGCGCGCGCTCGATGGGCTCTGGCCGGGTGCTTGGTTTGGTCGCTTGGTTTCCTTTGTGTTGCAGGAAGATTATGTGCTGACTTTGTGTTTCTGTGATGTAGGTGCGACGGCTGCTTCGTCCTCTACCTCCGCTGGTGCGGCCAATGGTGGTGGTTTAAGCGGGTTCTTGAGCCAGTTCATGGCGGATTTGAACAGGAATTTGAGGATGAGGGTGTAGGGCAGTAGGGCAGTGGCAGAGGGGGTGTATTGGCCGGGGGCATATCGGACAAACTGGATAGGAAGGTCGGGATCGGGTAAAATGGCTTGTACATTGTTTTGTCGTTGAGTGAGATCTGGATCTTGTGTATGTACGTTGTTGTTGTTGTTTTTTGCATCGTGTGTAGGTAGCTAGGCGTACGAGGGTAGGTGTGTGGGCATGTCTTGTATGAATGCTGCTTTCATATTCCTTACTACCACGATTTCTCTCAATTCTTCTGGGCGCTCGGTATCATCGGGTGAATATGGCTCGGTTGGAAGTCAGGGGAAGATGGCCCAGCGCTTGAGCATGATACATCAATCATGATCGCGAGAAGAAATGAGTTAAGTGTCAATGGTGGTGCGTTTTTGATGGTCATAGTACTACTAAAAGCCCAAGAAAAGCAATGAAAGCGACTAAGAACAATTCCAAGCAAGTAAGTGACGCCATCGATGATCGTATACGGGCATGCCATGCTCGTGTCATTATGCGCTCGCCGCTCCAGCGCATTCCATACCATGCCATGCCATTCTTGGACTCATATGCTCCCTTTCACCAACCCACCCGACTCCCGGAAAAAGAACGCCTGCCTCATCCTCATATCTCCCTCCGCCTTCAGACAGCGTCGTCATCTCTCTCTAGTGAGAAGCAGCGGTAGCGATACAGTCTCCGTCGTCGAGACCTTGGGTTGATGGAGATTGAAATTCTCTAGAAGATCGTGCCAAAGGCCTCCTCCGCCACATTACTCAACGGCTTCCGCGGACTAGCCGGTTTGCCTGTCTCGGCGTCGGTGGCGGGTTTCCGATGTCTGTACCGAATCAAGTCAGCTGTCGCCCACCTTCCAGCACCGTCTCTCGCAAAGGAGCAGGGGAGGAAACATACTTGAAAGTGAACCCGACAAACATCTGCCTCCCATTCTCCCCGCCCGGCCGCTCCGCCATCCGTTCCAACGCCTCCTGCTTCTCCAACACCTCCTTATACTTGGCCATATCCTTCTCACTCCCGAAATCATCAAAATATCCCGCGTCCGTCTCCGAGTCCAACTCCGGCACAAAGGGAGCACGTTCGCTTCGCAAACCGGACCAAGAGACCTCGCGGAAGTAATCGTGGGCTTGCACTGCTTTCATCCCGCGGAGCCGGTTGGATTTGGGTGCTATGAGGCGGGTTATCAGATCCCAGGTTCGGCGGGAAAGGAAGTAGTTCGGGTCTTCGTATTCTGGTTTGCGGAGAACAGATTGCCAGCGCTTGAGATTCTGCCATGTTTCGTCTACGGTCGCGCCGGCGAAGGGTGGGTAGCCGGCTAGGGCTTCGAAGAGCATGCAGCCTAGACTCCAGTAGTCGACGGTGAAATCGTATTCGTCCCCTTTCAGCACCTCGGGGGCCATGTAGTCCGGGGAGCCGACGATGGATTTGGCGTAGTTTACATCGCGTTCACGGAGGGAGCGGTAGCCTTCTCGGCGTTCTTTTAGTGAGCGCTCTTCGATTGGTCGGCCGAAGGGGATGGAGGAGGCGGGCATGTCGCCTACGGAGGAGAGTTTGATGCGCATGCTTTCGATCTTCGCCGGGGCGAGAAAACCGGCGGCGAGGCCGAAGTCGGTGAGTTTGACGTGGCCGGTGTTGTCGATGAGGAAGTTTTCGGGTTTGAGATCGCGGTGGATGTAGCCTAGTTGGTGGAGGGAGTCGACGCAGAGGAACATTTCGGAGATGTAGAAGCGGGCGTGGCGGTTGTGGAGGACGCCGGTGTTGTTGAGGAGGGTGCGGAAGTCGCCGCCGGGCACGTATTCCATGGCGAGGTAGATGGAGTTGTCGTCTTGGAAAGAGTAGAGGAGGCGGACGAGCCAGTCTGAGTTGGCTGTGGTGAGGATGTCTCTTTCTGTCAATACGTGTCTGACTTCGTCGAGTTTGTAGAGAAGTTTCTTGGACATGACCTTCAAAGCACAGATTTCACGAGTGTCCTTCTTGCTCGCTAGGTAGACCTGTCCATACCCACCCTGCCCGATCTGGGTCAGGATCTGGAAGTCTCCATGCTTCATCCTCGTACGCCTCTGTCTCAGCTTCGCCCTCTCATGACCGAGATATTGTGACCACAGGGCGTCGTACTTTTCCTTTTCTGCCGCTGGTGTAGCATCCGTGGGAGCAGGATTGTGTTGCTTAAACGCCTGTAATCTATTCTGACGGCCATGAGTGTAGGAGAGAAGATCGAAGTAGTAATCCAAGAAGTACAGCTGTGTCACATTCGCCAACCTCTTCACCGCCGGCTTGGTCAATTTCTCGATATCCTCGGATGTGAGAGCTCCAGTCATGGTACCCGTCTTGGGCCGAGTGGGCGAATGCTCGTCTCCCCGCGTTCTATACGGCTCCTGTCTTCGCTCTGCTGCTTGACTCTGGTACGAATTGGTTTGCTGGAGTTGTGGGCGATTGGTTGGCGGGGTGTTTTCTTTGCCCTGCTTGCGGAGGGGACTGCCTGGTGCGCCACCTTTGGCGTCTTGCCCGCAGAATGGTTCTGAGTAGACATTGTGATTGTTGTTGGTGGAGGCGGCCGGCTGTAGTGCCTTGCTGTTGGGTTGGCCTTGGGTGGGGACCAGCTTCATGGCATTGGAGAAGACGTCGGGCAGGTCGAATGCACCAGGTGGCATCTTGTTCTTGCTCGGGCTACCATGTGGTGTCTGAACAGGGGAGATAAAGGCCTCGGCATCGCGAGTGGGTGTGCCGGGAGCGCCATGGTCGAGGGTGTTGGAGGAGCGAGTGTGCAACAGTGGTGGGGGGATGGGCAGGGCGAATTCGTGGTTTTGCCCGCGGAGAGAGAGAGGAGCGCCGGCAGCCATTGTAACCTCACTGCCTTCGATCACTTGTCAGCAGGATGAGGCTCAGTGGCAGCAAGATACAGTATCAAGTGCTGTGGTAGAAGAAGCGAAGGCGTTGGCGTAGGACTAAATCGAAGCCACCACAATGGAAAGTCGGCGTTCTTGAGTCGTGCTTCGCGTGTCAAGCGCCGAAACGGCAATGGCCAAACACCGCTGTCACAGCAACCGCCACTAACCCACCACTCCACCCTACCACTGTTAGATATCGTCATGCCTACCAGGACGGTAGGACCACGGTGTTGTACGACACGCTGTATGCAGAAGAAGCTTTCGATTAGACATCTGTCGCTCATTAATAACACTGCTTCGTCTTCACGAGGCCGGGTCTGCTGAATGTGATGTCATCGACAATATATCAATATACGAAATGATCGTCTAGCTACCAATGAAGCGATCATGAACCGTGCTTTCATCTGCCATGACTTGATACAAAGCCGATAACGTCGTCTGGGAAAGGGACCGACCTACCTTCAGAAACTACCAGTGTATACTGTTGGGAGACTCATCTCTAAAAGGCAAGACTGCACGGCGTTCATCAATTCGACAACCAATACTACCAACAAGCACATCTACCAACATGCCCAAAGCAAAATCAGAAAGCAAAACCAAAGCAGCCCGAAAAGATCCCATCTCAACCAAAACCAAACCCCCAGCCAAACTAAAAGACCCAAAAGCATCACACCTCTACACAGACGACAACCCCAGCACAACAATCCACGGCACCGGCTTCAAGGACTCCGCAGCCGCCATCAGAACTCTAGATCTCATCAAGGACCGCTCTCTCATCTACCAATGGCAAACAGTAAATACCATGTACAACCGCGCCAAGCACCATCCAGCTATGAAGAAAGCCGTCGATGGGGCGGCGAGTACGCAGGATATGCGGAATGCTATGGAGGTTTTCAAGACGTGGTTGGAGGAGACCTATCCGGCTTCCAAGGCTGCGTTGAGGGGTTCGGAGGGCTTTAAGCCATTGTTGAGTAAGAAGGTTGTCGAACGCTACCTCTCCCGTATCGAGGAGAGTGGGAGTGTTGGTGAGCAGGCGAAGGCGTTCGCGAGGATGTATGTTGCTTTGCCCAAGGGGAAGAAACTGGGCAATGTGCTGGTAGATGATGGGAAGCCGACTGAGGCTGATTGGGACCGGAAGCGGTATGATGTTTTGTGTGGGATTGTGGCGGCGGGGAAGGATGAGGGTGGGGAGGAGGGCTGGAAGGTTTCTGAGCTTTGGGCGGACGATAGGGTTGTTACGGGGCAGCATTTGGAGTTGATTGCTTTGGCGTGGAGTCCTGTCAAGGAGGCGAAGTTGCCGTGAGCTTTCAGATGCGCTCCGCGTGTGACACGGGCGGCGATACATGGGATCTGATCTTGGTCGAAGAAGGCTGGACTATGAGGCACGACGATTTCGTCATATCACCGAGATGACCTTGGATGAGAGAGGGTGGATCTTGTCGTCGACCTCATTTCGTACTGAACTGCTACTTCTCACACAACCGTTGCTGCCGTGAGATGCTGTTCTCCAAGCTTAATCTTTGCGGACATCCACCCTTCTCCACCTCACACCGCCACTGCACCTGGAACCACTCACCTGGAACACGGTCCACACCCTTACAGCCTCCCCAGAACAACCTGGCTCCCCATCCCGGCTCTCGGACCTGGACCAGATGGTCCCGTCTCATGAGCTTCCACAGCCGCAGCACGCTGCTCAAATAGCCTCTGACGATCGCGAATCCGACGGTAGACGAAGATGGTGAGGGTTACTAGGACTATCAAGATCATGGCTATGGCTATTCCTGCTCGGGCGCCTGCGGAGAGGGTAGAGGTGCGCTTGGCTAGGTGCAAGGAGGTGGATGTTTGGGCGTTGGTGGTGGCGGTGGAGGTGGCTAGCAGGAGGAAGCCTACTGCGATCCATTTGCGACTTTGCGTACTGGCGATGTGGTCCATGGCTGACTCTTGGGAGGAAAATTCGAGAATTATGAGGCGAAGCCAGGGAGGATTTCTCGGAAGCTAGGATCGTCCTGTGTTTCTTACTGTGTAATGAAAGCTTGGCTTCTCTTTTCATGGCGATTGGCATCGTACATATATTGCTCATGGCTCTACGCAGTCTTGTGGTGACAGCATGCGAAGCATGACCTGCCTTCACAGCCTCGAGATCGACCGCATACAAAAGGCCATACCGAAGGTCAGTAAGTCACGCAGCTCAGGTCAGGTTAGCAAGACGGCAGGATGGCAATCGTGATGGCGCAGTGGGAAAGTCCTGCCACGTTCGACGATCTTGCCGCAGTCACGCATCTCAAAGCCCTTGGTACCCCGCGCTGTTATCATGCGAAAAGAAGTCGGGTATGCTACTTTGCGGCGTTGTGTGCGTATTGCTTGATTGCACTTCTGCCGGATAGCCGTGTCGATCTTCGCAACTGCGCGACACAAAAGTGGTGTGCACTCGCAGCACAGCCTCTACTGTGTATCGCGCATGGTATAGATACGGAAAGCTGTCAGCCTGTCATGATATAGATCTGATCCTAAGCCTCACGCACAAGGCAAATCTATTCACAGAAGCGACAAGCTCGAGCCAAGCATCCCCAGCATGGCTTGGCTAATTCGTACCTTCCTGTTTGGTAAGGGCACCCATGAGCTGTGTCTCCTCTAGCGGAACACGACTTTGCTGTCCGACTAGTCCTTGTTCACCCTATACGAAGGATGGCTTGGTTGATCTATCATTAGGAGCATGATCATGATAGAAGCGCAGTAACCACCGGTTCTGCTGCAAAATAGTGGCTGCCAAGGATCAACGCGACCATCGCTTTCCGCAGCACCATGGAGATGGACATCGCCTTCGTTGTCGCAATACCAAGCGGAGCTCGCATCTGCATATCGTGCTCCGGACTATACCGCCAACACGCGTACATGCCAATCGAGCTCGAGTCCACTTGCCGGCTGCTGTAGTGTTTACCTGGATCCAGCCGTGAGTGTGGCGAGAGACAGCGATGATTGTCCTGTGATACCTGCAATGTCCGCTGCTAGTCTAATCACCACTGAGTACTTTGCCCGTCAGTCGCAGGCACGACATTCATCATATGAGATAGCTAGCATAAGAGCAGAAACACTGATCAGCCGTGTAGTCATGGATTCATGGCACTCTGGCCATGTGCTGCATACAGCTCACCGAGGACGACAAGGGAGGCTTTTGTGCTAAACGGCCGGACCCACGCTTACAACGCCACGCCTGTATTCATCCTCGCGTCATCGGTCTCGTAGCTTTCCGAACCCCTGATGTGGGTCGCCTCAAAGCACAACTCCCACTAATACCATCTACATGCCCTTGAACCCCCCACCTTGACCTCCTAGCGCCTCCCCTTTCCTAGCCTGGGGATACACATCCGCAAACCACGGATGCGCCAACGCCTGCTGAGCGGAACACCTCATCTCCGGTCTCACCTGCAACATCGAATTTAGCAACTGGATGCCCAACGCATCGACCTGCGGCAAAATCGCTCGTAGTTCCTGCGTAGCATACACCGGCCAGGTAGTCTTGTACTCCGGAAACGACGTAATCCCTGGCCAGGACCTCTCGGACGGTGTTCCCATAAGACGGAAGATTTTGAGCAGTTGGTCTTCGTTTGTCGTGCCGGGGAAGAGAGGCCGGCCGGTGTACATTTCCGCCATGATGCAGCCGGCGGACCAGATATCGATGCTGGTGTTGTAGGTACGGGAGCCGAGGAGGACGTCCGGGGCGCGGTACCAGAGGGTTACGACTTCGTTGCTGAAGGTGTTTACAGGGATTCCGAAGGCGCGGGCGAGGCCGAAGTCGGCGAGTTTTAGTTGGCCGGATGTGTTGGTCAGGAGGTTTTGGGGCTTCAAGTCTCGGTGGAGGACGCGGTTTTCGTGACAGAAAGCTGTTCCTAGGAGGAGCTGGTACATGAAACTTTTGATCACGTCTGGATCCAGGGCTCCTCGGGGCGCGGATGGGTTGGTGGGTGATTGGTAGCTGTCCATGTACTTTTTGAGATCCTTATCCATGTACTCAAACACCAACATCAACTTGTTCTCGGTGTGAATAACATCGTAGAGGCTGACGATGTTGGTGTGTTTAAGTTCCTTCATGAGGGAGATTTCGCGGATGGCCGTTGAGGGGGTGCCTTCTTCGCTGTCGAGGTGGATTTCTTTGAGAGCCACGAAGGCGCCGGTTTGGCCATTTCGGCCTTTGAAGACCTGCAGACATATCATATCAGCATGGTCTGTCATGGTTTGATGTTTTGAGGCAAGCATACCGTCGCATACGTTCCCTCGCCCAACTTCTCCAGCTGCTGGAAGCTATTCGGATGTCTCTTGTCCATCTCGTCGACTCTGTGCTTCTTCTCGCTGCCTCTCTCACGCCCTTCTACTGTGCTGCTGGCGGTGGTATTGGTAATCCCGTACCCCGCCAAGCTCTGGATGGAGATGTTGCTGTCTGTCCGATCGCCAATACTCAGTGTTCCCACATGCGTCGGCTGCAGTCGGATATCAGGTGGTTCGCGAGAAGTGAAGCGGCGGTCCCAGAGCGTCGAGCGCGCAGTCGTGAGGTGGTCGATCACTGACAATCGTGCTTCCGCTGTTTCGGCGCGGGTTGCTGTTGGTCGTGACAGCGGCTTGCTGGAGGGGGTTGGAGAAGCCGTGGTTGATGTTGGGGTGGAAGGTGTCGGGAAGGGATCCTGGGCTGTTATTATACGGTATTGCTTCAAGTGTCGCTCGTGGTCGCAGCAGTGGATATGATTGACCTTCGACTCATTCGCTGGCGCTTCTCGCGTGTTTCAAGCAACGGGCGCTAACTTGTGGTGCAGCCGCGCGCATGGCGACGGGAAGAGATTCGGCCAATAGTTATATCGAGACCGAGACCTCCTGCTATCATCATCGACTAGCCGTATATCAAAGACCATCGAAGAAGCTCCACGCCACCACTACACAGTACACGTACAACACAGATTGGACTTCCGGAATTCTCTACTGGTCTAATTCGACCCCACTGACAGGACACGATCAACTGTTCGCCACCCGGAGCATTGGCAGGAGTCGAGATGAAGACCATCACCTGGGCTAAGATGGCAGTGGCGTGCGTCCTTCCTATCGCTGTTAGCATGAACGTTTACTGAAGATGATAGCGGTGGTGTCATGTGCATTGGTGGACCCGCACTGATATACTATGTAACCCCAACAGAGGAGGAGCTCTTCCTGGTATGCCATTCATCATTCTACGAAAGGTGAAGTAAGGTACTGACGATCTGCCCAGCGATACAACCCAGAACTTCAACGCCGCTCGCTCGAACGACGAAAGGAGAAGCAGGAAGACTTTGACAACTTCGTCAATAAATTGAAGGAGTACTCCAAGAGTGATAAGCCTGGTATGTACAACCAAATTAACACCAACCCCTTTTCCCTTTTACCCATCCATACCTCATCTACTTGCTATGCTGACAGTTGTGACTTCACAGTCTGGACAGTCTGGGAAGAAGAAGCCGAGAAGCGACGTCAACTTGGTATCACGGCTGAACTCGATAGGCGGCGAGCAACGGCTGCGGAAGCTGAGAAGCTGAAGGAGGAGATGAAGAACTCGCTGAGATGAAGCGAGGGCTAAGTATCATTACTTTCACGCAAATCATGTATTACTACTCGAATTGTGACTTATCCCTGATCGCTATGCTTGAGTGACGAGATCTGCAGTATCTTTTGCTCGCCACGCAGCGCCGAATTCAACTGCATACCCTTCACCACCTCTCTCCGTAGGTAGATCTCCCTTGCTCTGGATCGACACACTCTCAAATCCGCTCGAATGCTGGCCACACCACCATCATCCCATTCACCCAACGCCAATGTCTCCTCTCGCTCCGGATCTCGTTCTCGACGATAGCGTTTGCCACGCAGCCTCGCGTGGCGGCCGTCAGCTTACAGCCTGCCGGCTTTACGTGCGCGAGGGACCGGTTTCTACCAGAGAGGAGGGCGACGCTGCGGCTGCAGGCAACACCCAGTGTCGGCTTGACCTCGCCGGCCGTCCTACCCTTCATCTCCCCGGCGCTGGCCATTCGCACGCGACTTGCGCCATCTAGCGGAGTGTCTTGCAGGATGTCGCTCATGAGCTTCGAGGGCATCCGCTTCTTGGCCGGTCCAGAGTGCTGTGATTCCTCTTCTGAGTCTTGATCCTCATCATAAAACCCAGCAGGCAGGGCACGTTTCCGAGTTCCAGTCGTGATGCCAGGCTCATCGTCATCGACACCCTCTCCGTACCCATATCCACCATACCCTCCAGCCGTGGATCCACCAGCACGTCGCTCATCTTGTCCGGGCGCATATCCATTCAGCTCCAGCCTAAGCGCGAAGACCTTTCGTATCCATCTCTTATCATCGGCTGGGTCGCTCCTGTTTGGATACTCCGAACGAGTGGTGCCTAGGCCCTTTCTTTCACGCTCAGTCAACTTCTTCTCGAATTCAAGCATGAGGTAAGTTTCGAGGTCGTTGGAGGCCATCATGTGGGTCTTTGGGTTCGCGAGGCATTTGTCTAGGTGAGCTCTGATTGCGCAACGTTCATTCTGGCGGATGGTGCTGTAGTCTTTGGATGGTAGCCTGCGCTTAGGTCTCCTGTACTGCTGCGGCTCTTGGTCGTCCATGTCGTCTTCTGGTGTTGGAGTTGGGATGCCAGATTCCGGTGTGGCGAAGATGCCGGCCATATCGTTCGTGGCTTCGAACGATGTTGAAGGGAACAGAACTGCTGGAATCTCGGTAGCAAGGTCTGGTCACTTCTGCTCAAGCTGCCGACTGTGTCGGGTACGGATTGTCTTCGAACCCCTGCTGCAGTGGATGAGATGATGATGTGCTGTGTGTTGCAACCGAAGTGTACCAAGAGCGGAGGATGTGAGCATGAAGAATATATATGTGCAATTACTGAACACATGAAGCTCGAAAGTGAAGCAGCTAGGGGCCAATATCTGACGATTCTACATCTACTGCTCGACAAAGATGTGAATTGACGAGCTCGGTTCGTACTTTCGCGACATGCCTCGAGTGAGGAATCTGCTGGTCTATTCCTGAGTGATTTATCACTGTGTGATCCTGTTCTAGGCGCCAATGAGCATATGGCTTCGTCGATACTGGGCTTGCTTCGAGGTGTTCCAGTCAAGACATAATTCAGTCGCTTTGCAGGGCTCAACTTCCGCGCCTCCGACAACAGCAACATCCTGGAAAGCAGGTGGCGAGTTCTGCTCGGTATGTCAAGCTCAACACGCAGCCTCAGGCACAAGCGGCATGGAGGTTCTTGACGCATGGATACACTCTTTTTCGTCCACCCACCTCATCCCCCAACATCTCCATCATCCCAAACACTCCTATCAAAGAACCCTCTAATCATCCGACTCTTCTCCCCACCGACAAAACCCGCCAACTCATCTCCCTCAGCATTCGCCACAGCCATCACGTTCTCATACTCCAACGTCAGCCTCTGCAACGCCTTCCCCGTAACCCCCGGCACTGCCCTCAACATCTCCTGCGGCGTCTGACTGAACGTCCGACCTTCGGTGTCTTCGCCTGCTACTAGGCCGATAGAGACGGCTTTGATAGGATCGGGTTCTTCCTGGGTCTTTTTCAGCTCCTCGAAAATCTCAGCTGTTTGGTATGGGGACGAGGACCAGATGATGCGGAGTTTTGGGAAAGCTAGACACAGGATCACGAGTTTCGATTGTAGATCTGAGCCCACGAAAGATGAAGTGCCGAGTGTACTGCTCAAGTCCGCGAAAGGCTCCAGTGTGAACGCTTTCTGAGCATCGAACTCGATCAGCAGCATTGGGCTGGCATAGTGCTGGAACATGCTTTCTGCTTGATTATACAGACGGCCATCGTTGAAGGAGGAGATGAGATCTTTTATGCTTTTACGTTCGATGCAGATCTGTGGGGTGAGGATGTAATCGCCCACTGTCAGTTGACAAGGGACTACTACCATGTTTCGCCCGTGCAGAAGAGATGGTAGGGATGAGCGGAATTCTCGGACGTCTACCACGACTCGTGGTGGTTCTGCTGTGGCGGCGAGGCGACCACCCCCAGCTATACGGGTATTGACCGTGCGGAGGAAGGACTCCTGCGGGTCGAGGTTCGCAGCTTCCTGGCCAAAGGTGAGAGCCATGTTGCCGCGTTCTCGAATGAGTTTCGTGAAGGCATCCTTTTCTCGCCGCACGGAGGACAGATAGCGCTGCTCTTCGACACTGCCACCATAGTACATGAAGTACACCCGTACTTGCCGATTCCGATGACTGCTACGGTACGTCTCCACGCGTCGTATGAAGGCTGCATCAGGTTCATACATGATGACATATCGTGGCTTGATCTCGTCTAGAAGGTGATCATCCGTGTCCCCATCATACGGATGTACAAGGACAACATCCTGCATCGGATAGAGCTCATAGTAGTCCTCCATGTTGTCCAAGGGATCGGCACCAAGATCAAGCTTGCTCGCCGCGGCGGTGATGTCCGAAGTCTCATCTGGTGCTAATTCGTGCATCAGAGCCTGCACATGTGCATCCTTGTCGCCTGCGACATGGATACTGCCTCTCGCTGTACGTTGAACAGAGGACAGGTTGCCACCGCCTCGCATTCGTCTTCGCTTGTTTGGTGGTGCACGGCCACGGCTGGATTGATTCGAGCCATGAGAGCTCGTGCCACTAATAGCCTTCTGGTTCTCTGCGAATAGATTACTGCTTACTCGCGCAAAGTCACGCTTCCACTGCAGATAGTCCCGCAACTTGCGCTTCATCATGAAACTGGCATTGCCGGCTTTCCTAGCCTCGATCGGATTATCGTCCTCCGCTTCGGCTGCAGCATCATCGCCATTCATTTCGGTCGAGTCGCCTTCACGGCCGATATGCATAGTCTGCAGTACTTCCCTCAGCTGCCGACAGGTACCTTGGTCTCCGCACATGATCAAGATACTGCCGTTACTCTCGTCTTGCGCCGTCGGGTTGAAGTACATATCTTGCTCGATCTCTTCCAGAATCTCAGCTAGCAGACTCCACTTCGGCATCTCTTCGAGCACTGGGTGTAGGCCGTCACTGCTATCGGCGCCTTCTGTGATCTTCCCTGTATAGACTCGTCGCTTGGCAGAATCGAAAAGTGTATGTGCTGCATCCAGGAATAGCCATGGCGATTGCGACTGTCTTGTAGAGCCTGGTGGAGGACTGGAAGCAGCTAGCACCGTGTCCAAATACTTGTTGAAGCTTACAGCATCGAAAGTCAAGAGAGAGTGTAAAATGGTTCGCAGTAGACTTAGATCTCGGACAATCTGCTTCGTACGGAAGGATGTCCGGTGCCACACCGGATCAAGTTGACGCCGTACTATGGTGTCAAAGGATCGATGTAGAGCACTATCCAAAGTCCAGTCTTCCATCTCCAACCCAAGATTGCCTTTCTTCAGCTCAGATATCGAGACTTCGACGCACTCCAGGATGGCATTCTGGATGGCACGCATGGCATTCGTCATTGGTACCTCGAGCTCGATGACTTCAGCTTTTCGTTTGCCTTCCAGTGATTGTGCTACACTTACGTGGAAGCGTGGATACAGTATAGGCTTGCGCAGGAACAGATTGCGCAAGATACTTGTCAGTGGTTGGTAGCCCATTGTGAATGGCTCAGGCTGGTCGGAGAAAGCTTTGAGGAAGCCATTCTTGTTCTTCTGCCGGAACATACGCACAATGAAGGCCTCCTGTGACGTTGCACCAATGCGCTCGGCATGCAGGACCAGCATCCCAGTGACGGTCGCAGCGTCGAGCAGCCCAGACAAAAAGTCCACAATCAAGATCCGACTTGTGATACTGAAGATACCTCCGCCAGCATACAGCTTCTCTCGCGTGCCCACGCTCATCAGGTCTGTGTTCACCAGCTTGAGACCTCGACATTTCGGTGAGCCACTGACGGCAGCCTGTTCCGCCAGCGCCTCGCCAATCCACCCATTCTCGCGCTCGTCCGCACCCACGAGAAGTATCAGGTTGTTCCCAGCAGCATCGTACGAGTGGAGGAGGTTTGTGACCAGGCGCAAAAGACCCAGGCCACGGGCAAGAACGACGAGCGCATCTTCTGCTCGGAGAGAGTGGAAGATTTCCTGCTGATATTCTAATGGCAGCGAGAGGCGGACCAGAGGCTCGGAGGAGGCGGCTTCATCTTCTGGCGCAGGCATCAAGGAGGAAGAAGAAGATGTGCTGGTCACGATCACGGGAAGGTGGAGTGTTCATGCCGAGGGCGAGCGCGGAATGCTTCCACATCAGCGCGAAAGCGTCACGACATCACGAGCTCGTCTTCGGTCGTCCGGTAAGCTTTCTTCTTTCCATTGAGCAGCGTCTAAGACGGTGCAGTGATTACCACCCGGATCAGTCCTATGGCCTTGATCACAGCGGTATGGCTGTACCATGGCTTCATGGTGCGGAATATCACCACGCACAAGGCACGTTTGCCGCTGCATGCGCCTAGTAATACGCCACGAGGCGCAGTCAAGCTATTCATATAAAAGACACATCTTCCCACATCAGACATTGCACCGTTCGTTTCCTCAAGGTGACCAAGCTGATCCATAACTACCTACAGTGTCATCGGGAGGCAATGAGCGAAGATGCGTCTACTGAACACGACAACACTAGAATTCGCGAACTTCTTCGATACCAAGCACCTCTCTTATGCCATTCTATCGCACCGATGGGGAGCTGACGAGGTGACGTACGAGCAATTCCTGCTCACGCAGTCCACAGACGATCTTCTGACCAGGCGAGAAGCACTCCAAGCGGCAACTGTGAAACGATATGCCGGATACGCAAAGATTCTTAACTTCTGTGCTTTCGCGCAACGACTCGGCCACCAATATTGCTGGGTCGACACCTGCTGCATCGACAAGCGAAGCAGTGCCGAGCTTACCGAGGCAATCAACTCGATGTGGACTTGGTATGCACAAGCAACAATATGCTTTGTCTATCTCGCAGACGTCGCGGACTGGCGTGATACACAGGCTCTGGACGCAGCTTTTCGTGCAAGTGAATGGTTTAACCGCTGCTGGACACTGCAGGAACTTCTGGCTCCGGAAGATCTGCTTTTTGTAACCCACTCGTGGTCTCCGTTCCTGCGATTTGTGAAGTCCAGGACTCTCGACCGTATAGGCGCTTGTAAATATCTGGACAGAAGCCAAGGTTATATCAATGCTCTGGATTCTCTCGTAAATGCTTCCCGAGTGCCAAACGATGTTTTGCTTGGCGGCAGGCATGGATTGCGTAATGCTTGCATAGCCGAGAAGATGCATTGGGCCGCACATCGGCAAGCAACGCGAGCAGAAGATGTTGCGTACAGCTTACTTGGGCTTTTCGAGATCAACATGCCGTTACTATATGGGGAAGGAGATCGAGCATTCATGCGCTTGCAGCACGAGATCATCAGACAGGTGTCGGACGAGACTATCTTTGCGTGGCAAGCGCCCAGATGCGGTACTAGTCCTTATTGCCATGCACAGACCAAGCTCATTCTGGCGTCGCATCCGTCGGCTTTCATTCACTCAGCCAGGACGTTGCGATCACGTATCGACGATGACCGGACCATCCTTGTACCCATGCATCAAAGCATATTCCGAGAACGCGAAACGCCGTTCCAACTCACGAATCGCGGCCTCCTCATGACTGTGGTACCCAGGATCATCACAAAACAATTAAATGGATCTGGAGAGTGGTTGAACTGGCTAATCATTCCTCTTATGTGTTTTCCAAGTAACTACACGGAGCGACAGTGCGAGATGATCCTGAAGGTGGGCAACATCTTTACTACAGAGGGTTCCACTCCTGGAACCGGTGGCATCACCGTGGTGTCGAGAGTTGGCGCATGTAGAACGATTGCCAGTCCAGACCATCTCCCATCTGAGCTCGTCCCAGCAGACCTTGAGGAGGCTGAGCAACTCGAGCAGACTTTACGCATCTTCGCCCCGATCGGTCTTCCGGGTGAGCCAGAGTTGAGGTTTGGGCCCTAGCATATCTCTCAACCATACAACCTCCTAGAGAACCAGCTAGCTCATGGATGTCCAGGGGCGGGTGCTCGCTTAATGATTGCATGTTTGCTTCCCGGAGATTGTCAACGGACAGAAATGTTCCAGCTCAGCATCATGGCATGCGTCTACGTCACGCCGTGAAGTGACGTTGGCAATGCTTTGCAATGCCCTATGCCAGCACATCGTACCAGCGTTATGGTTAGAGGAGGCCCTGACCTCACAATGTGAGTATCTGCAAACATCTACTATAAACCATTACATATAACCTCCTACCAAAGGCTTCTCCTTCTCTAGCCTTCCCACCAACGGCCGTCATAACACAGCATTTACTAGCTCCTTCGCACGTGAAAGATGGCGATCATACTTTTGGTTGAGACTGGTGTGGCTTCACCTCGATCCTCATACTCGCCACCAACGCCGCCACCCAAAGATACACCAAAGCAGCGCAAGAAGAAGCACCGTAAGAAAGCTCACTACGCCTCGGTCATCGAAGCGAGCCCAGTAGCAGCAAGAAATCATCCACTTAGTGAGGAGGTCATGGCATCAGCGTTCGAGAGGCGCAGGCGCAGGCAGCATCCCTCATCTGCCGAGCGCGAAGGGGACGGAGTCCAAAATCTCTTGCAAGGTGAAGCTCACATCACATGGCCCATAGCCGAAAACGGCCTATCAGACCTCCCTGCTAATGCTTATCCGATAGTACCCAGCTCTACACCTCTTCATGTCCGACATCCGAGACCTTCGAGAAGTGAGTTGTGTAGATTCATTCACTCGTCTGTGTTGCGATCATCGGAGTGACTAACATGAAATCCAGTAGCATCACCATCTCCTTTCGCGAGAGCATCTCCATCGTACGCGGACACTACCTCGCACGCCAAGTCAAGTTCCAATGATGGGGGGGCTGTCATGGCCGGTGATCTGCTCACTTCATTCCCGGAGACTAGTCTTGCGATCCTCGACACAGCTTCAATGGATGATCATGGCAAGGCAAGGCACATACCCCGTGATGAGCTGGGATTGGAAGGTCCTGATCTGAGAGCCCTATTGAGGGATCTAGACCACCAGGAAGAGGAGAAGGAGCTTGCTAGTACAGTGCCCAAGTCTTCAATGCAATGGGATAGTGAAGACGAAGAGCGAAATGGAGCCGAGGTCGAGGTCGAGGTGGATGGGAAGCGTCGCTGGCGCAGCAAGCTGATGAAGAAGCCCAAGCGCAAGTCCGACGAGTCTAACGAGTCTTCACGCAGCTTCACGGATCCAACCAAGATCGCAGCCAAATGGAAGCAAAAAATCTCATCTGCGAGATCGAAGGCGTTTGCGGATGCGCCGGGCGACTCACTCACTGCGCCAATGCAGTTGGCGAAAACATTCACTTTGCCGGATCACATGCTCAGCCCTGCTACCTCGAGCTTCTTGAATGCACAGTCCGACAACGCTGAGGTGCCTGGTCCCGAAGTCACGCCTTGGATCTATCAAGAAGAGCTCGCTCGTATCACCAGTAGTACTACAGAATTCATAAGGCTACATCCACCTCCGCCCATCCCTAAGACCAACACGACACCTGCCGAACGTGGTCTGCGATCTGTCAAGTCTGACTGCTCGATCCGCACTACAGCTGCCGGAAACAAGATCGCGGCTGAGATTGGTCCTGCGAAACGTGCTGTTGCACTCTCCACTGCCAAGTTCAAGCACAGTCCGACTTTCCACATCACGCAAGCGGTAGAATCGAGATTGATAGCTGTACCAGCATCAATCAAGCACGAGTGGGAGGAGGCGATCCAAACGACCAGAGCTAAGGTCAAGGCGGCGAAGCTTCAGATGGAGTCTGCTGTGAAAAGCGCACACCAACATCTCGACAAGCATGACGTATGGCGCAAGAATGGCGATAGACTGATTGCACGTGCCAGCCGCCTCGGCTACGCTCCAGTCGTGGACTGGGACAAATTGACCACGAAAGAGGTTGAAGCTTTTGGGTATGCTCTCGAACGAGACTCAGATGATGAGGTCAAGCAGATGTTCCGCCATGTCGGTGAGCAAGCTGCGAAGGATGCAGTCATCAAGCACTCATACTTGAAGAAGCAGAAATGGCTTGATGAGCGCACCAGGGCAGCCCGAGCGGATGGACGCCTAAGCGCCGAGCAAGATAAGAAGTTGAGGACCGCGTCACAACTCATCAGTAACGCTATCATAGCAGTCGAAGAAGGTCGTGAAGACGATGCTGTGGCGATGATGAAGCATGCAAGCGACGAGCAAGGTAGCTTGCTCGACACGCCAGAGAAGCGAGACCATACCAACCACAACCACAGGCGATCGGAACGCGCTTCAGCCGAGTCGGAGCGTATGCGCACATACGAGGCTTTGTGTACTGCTGGTCAAGATTACAGTCATGTGACCACTCAAGCGGCAGCGGCTGGACTCGGCATTACTCTCGATGAAGATATGGGTATGGCTGGAGCGATGAACACCCCACAGCGGCCACGGGCAGTGTCATACACACAATCAGAGCTTGACGATTTTATGGCGTCAGCAGGCTCTTCAAACAGAAGCTCCTTCCAAGTTTCAACGCACTCTGTGGGCGCCGTCTCCCCGACATCACCGCTTGCAGACCGACCACTCAAAGTGCAGAGATCTCCTCTGGCGCCACGAGACAAGTTTGGAAAACCAGTGTTTCACCCGCACAGAGATGGTGATTTCGTGCGGAAGATCCAGGCGGAAGCAGAACGTGCCAAGGCTATCAGAGCTATGGGCAGCCATCCTGCTTTGCGTGCGACCTCTCATGTGGAATTAGAGCTCGGTCCAGCAACAGCGCCGATGCTCCAGCTGAACGACGTGTCTGACTTCCGGCAGCAGCTTCGCACCGACAAGCATGATAGTAAGGAGTACGAAGACGAAGAGCTTTATCTGCTTGAGGACTACGGCTCCGACTGCGAGGATGATAGTCTGAATGGACGAATCTCGGCCATGACCTGGGACTACAATAACGAGACTGAAACGGCCCAGCTGGAAGAGCAGTTGATTCAGCTGGAAGACCAGCATGAAGGGTCCACATGGAGCCCTCTCGCGTACCAGATCGGTCTGAGTCGACTGAGCAAATTCATGGATTTGCAGTATCCAGGATCTCCTCAGCAGCCGCAGGGAGACGAGGAGGAAATCGAGTACGTTGATAACCCGGACTACGATCATCACACAGTAGTCAATGCCAAGCAAACTGTCAGCCTTACTGGACTCGGGGTTCAGGAGTTCGTGACTCCTACTAAAACGGCCAAGTCTCGTGCTATCACCACCACGCAACATAACTCCAACAGCGTTGGGCTTAGAGCTCAAAAACTCACAACTCCTAGCAGGCAAACAAAACAACAGCCAGTTCCCAGACCAACAATGAGTGTAGACATTGACGATGTGATCGCACAATGGGAGCGCAAGCCACGCCAACTCCTAGCAAGCCGTGGCACAGACGTATCTCCCTCGAATGTTCCGGCGATCAGAGGCGCAGTGTCGGAGACGCACCTCCTGCGCGTTTCTCTTGGTCTCCTGCCACTGAAGACTCGGAAACCAAGTTCAGGCCCGAAGCATCCCCATCATGACTACGAATGGGACACCGAGAAGGTAATGTGCTATGGTAAGCATACCGGGAGGTCGAAGATCGTTGAGCTCAACCCTGTTGTGCGAGAGCAGCTTCGCCAAGACGAATATAGAGAACGTGGGAGAGCGTTCGCAGAGCGCCTCACGATAGCGAAGCCAGAATCGCCTTCTCCTCATTTCAAGGCACTCACAAAGCTTCGCATTGATGACTATCAGCAACGACTTCGAGATCCTTCGCCCGAAGTAAAACAGAAACTCCAGCGTTGCGCGAGGTGCGCGAAATTCTGTTGCCTTTACGCCTCGTGCCTTCTCACATCCACCATCTCTGGCTCATCGGCTGTGGAGCAGAAGATTCGTGCTGAAGCAGAGGAGAAAGTGCTAAATCTGCGGTCAGCGTGGCCGGCTGGAGTGGAGACCTTTGAGACTTTCGTGAGATGCGTCGGTTGTGAGAGGGTAGTATGCCCGAGATGTGCGAAGGTTTGTCGAGATAGTCTGTGTGGAGAGATCGTCTGTAGGGGATGTGAAGGTGGCGGTTGTGGATGTAGTGGAGGCAGGTAGTGTGGCGGATTGGTGGAAGGGTCTGGCTTCGAGGTGTAGCTCATGCGGGTCAGGTGAAATGCCAGCATATGATTTGCAGGCTCAGTCTAGAAAGAGAGATGGTGATGGCACGCGGCCGGAATTGAAGACTCGGGACTTGGTCATAGTATGCTATTTGGCTGGAGACGTAGTTCAGATTCCCCGAAATGAACACCTTGCTTCCGACGTGGACTGCCGTTGCGCCATAAAATGCTCCTCGCTCAAGATCTGTACGTGTTCGTTGCCATGTCTATCGCATCTCATCCGTCTTGCATTCGTCATGCATGTTCTTACCGATCTGACCAGACTGCTTCGTACCTTGTCTCTCAGCAAGGCCCGTCATCTGTGCACATGTGTTCATTGGACGCCAGCTTCATACCGCGTGGCCGTGATGTATGCCTTGGCTTTTGCTACAGAGGCTCACTTTTTCTGGGCAAATTTCTCCGTCCATTCCCTTGCCGTCTTTATTGCCTCTGCTTGATTCTCCTTTACCCAAGAGTCAGTCCGAGAGCGCATTTACACGATCACTTCTAGGGATATGTATACACACCTTCCACTGCTTCGCCACAGCCTCATTCAACGGATCCTCGGGGTTTGGTGCACCCAACAGCGCTTGTATGCTCAACAGAATCGTCCGTATCTGCAGTGCAGGCGACCAATTGTTCTTCAGCACGTCTAAGCAAATTCGGCCCAGACGATCGATGTTGGGGTGATATATGCGGGTGAGGAAGCGGATTCGTGGTGGACACATAGGGTAGTCGTCGGGGAGGAAGAGCTCGAGGGAGAAGACGCCGCCTGTATCACGAGTCAGTGAGGTACTGTATGGGATGTTTGCAGTCAGTGTTAGGCATACCTTCATAGCAGCTTCCTCCTGGTCCTTCAACGTTCACATCGAAGTATCGTGCGTTGTCGTCGTGGGGTACTGCGGAGATGCCAGGCACAGGTTCTGATTGTAATCGCTCTGTCTCCTTTATAATTCGTTTGGGAAGAGGCGTCGTCATCGCTGCGGTAGTGGGAAGAGATTATAATGTGATCGATCTGGTCCAGCTAGGCAGGCACGCTGACAAGCCGATGGTTCGATACGGTTGGTGAATGGTTTCGACTCAGTGGTATCTTGCTGGTGCACTAGCAAGTGAGTGAGCAATATTCTGATAGTGGTGTTTACTTCAGTTAATCAAGAGTTCTTGATACTGTCGAAGCAGACACGAATGGTGCTCGCTTCACTGGTGTCAGATGCTCCAGATGCCACCACAATCATGCCCCACTCTACGATGTCACGACAGATCACAGATAGACTTCCGCGCCGGTCCGCTGCCAATTCCGTAATCCGGCATGTGCTCTTCTTGCTCCAACTTCACCACTGCATGCCGCGTCCACGTTTCATCGCCTCGACATATCACGACCAAGCCGTACCCGGTGATTCCTTCCTGCTAATTCGGCTCGGTGACATGCCATTGCAGCAATGCGTAGTCGACGAATGACAGTCCATCAGACAAGCATATTCGGCTCCTATGCTAAAGTGAATGGAGTCCGATGACGACTTATCCACAGAAAACGACACTATCGTATCATCTGCTCCGGGACCGTGTGCTCTCAGCCAGGATGGCGTGTTTCTTGCAGCAACAAAGGTGAACGACGACACGATCACTGTCGGTCAACAATGGCCCACGCACGGCATCAATGACCCTACACTGTATCGACCTACGGCTGATTCGAGCGGAACTGCTACCGATCATGACTTGCCTTATCGCACGCTCTGGCGTCTATGCCTTTCTGAACGGCGTATGATGGCGGGTAGAAGGACATGGGAGAGGCAGGCGCCTGCAATCCATGCTTTCGCATTCAGCCCACAGCCCAATGGGCAGCATGAGCGAATTCTCGCTGTTGCGTATGGGACTATGATCCTACTCTACAATACCATTACTGGACGATGTCTCGCTGGCTTGAAAGGAAACGGCCGGGTGGTACTCGACTTGAAGTGGTCTACTCTTGCCACCCAGAATGCTGAGATTTATGACTACTGGTCCAACGACGACTCGCCAGATATACTTGTCTTGACCGCGGTGACCATCGATGGCGCAAAACTCGTTCATGTACAGCAGCCAGATCACGATACCGATCAAGCGACGTTTTTCCGGAGTTACAGCGACGGTCTCGAGCTTACGGCCTTTATATCTCAAATATCGAGGATGTCTTCCTCTGTTGGTAAGGCTCGTCTTGAGGGACCAAAGTCTGCTCTGCGTGGAGCCAATCAACCCAAGGTCTCCAAGATGCGAGCTATCAGCGTCGTGACCGACAGGATCCGAAAGTCCGGAACAGGCCTGTCATCTCGTGTAAGAAAGGACGAGCCGATAAGGCTTGATCACCAAGAACCGAATGCTGGCCGTCCGCAGTCACTTTTGCGAGACTCATCAGAAAGGGATCTTGATGTCGGCAGTGGACCGACTTCACCAGCCACGGTAGTGGCGGATGAGAAGATGGTGTCGAGTCTTGAGCTGCCCAAAGCCAAGGCAGATGGGTATAACAGCTCACAAATGCCATTCTTATCTCCCTCGATTCCTTCACGGCGTCTGCCGCCTGTCGACGAGCATATAGACTTGGTCACTGATGCGCATAAGTTGTTCGGCGAGCAGAGCCAACCTGGAAGCCCGCTGCTATATCGAAGCCGGGAAGCCTCCTTCACATCTATCCGTCAACCAGACAGTGACTCTGATGATGAGACTTTCGTCCCGGGTACTATGCATGGAAGTGCGTCCTTCCTCCCGGGTGGTGTCAATGTTCCTTTACCCAAAGGTTGTGGAGCAGTGTTCGCGGACAACGGAACTTTAGTCACCTTCTTCGAGCGACGATCTGCGGTTCGTGTCGCTGACGCCTCTCTCGTATCGAGTAAGATATCTGCATATCGCGATCGCACAAGGAGGATGGCAAAGCTTTTTCCGAGCTTTGCACGAATCGAGGATACCGATGATGATGCTGAGCCGAGTGCTAGCGATGTGTCGTCGGACTCTGATGTTGAAAGCGATGACGAAACACAAAAAGATGATCTGAAGAGCGGTGCAGATCTCCTTGAAACGATATCTTTACCGTTGGACCTTGCCGAGAATGCGAAAGTCTTCTCAGCTGTGTACGATCTGGGGGACATCCTTGGGTCACCTCGTCGCCTCGCTCTCTCTTACCACTTCTCTCGAGACCGCGATACTAGTCTGGCTGCGGTATGTGAACGCAACGCCAAAGTGGCGAAGGCTGCCGGACAAATTCAGCAGAGTACCATCTTGCATCTCCTTGCCATACTAGTAGATGACGATGAGTCCGAAGATGTAGTCAACAAGGCGAGACCGTCGTTTGTGAAGGCTCTGCCATTACAATGCGCATCAAGCAGGGAGCCGGGATCTGCTGATGGCATTGATTCCGCTGAATCGTGGATCGTGCGGCAGTGTTTCCAGTGGGCGGAAAATAGGGCTGATATGCAATTTCTGGCACTGATGTCTGCCCTGCTGGTGCAAGCATCTCCATCGAAAGAGACTGACATGATTGAAGGAGCACGGACGGGAAATATCGCGAATCCACAAACTTCAGTCCACCAGTCGATTGACGGCCGCCCCTTGACGCCCTCGGAGAATGTCAATAGCAAGGTATCGCCCAAGAAGGAGACACCAAGATCAGTAGCCTCGTCTCGCCAGTCTTCGAAGCCGACCACACCATATCTGGAATCAGGCGCCAATACTCCACCACTTCCAGCTATCTCATCGCGGCAAAGCTCTTCAAAGCTGTCTACATCCCCCGGGCTACACCGCAGCAGTTTCGGTGCGGCCGCTCGGCAGTACGCTCAAACTATCACGGACAGGTTCGCAACTTATGGCTCCTCACCGCCAACAAAGAAGATCAGTCCTGCAAGTGCTGAGGAGCTGGCGGGGAGTCTGAAGAGCAAGATGGGGAGTTGGACTAAGTCAGTCTCTTTTGCTAAGACCGAGAGCACGGTAGACGGTGCTGGGGAGAGTGTCGCAGGGGGTGAACGTGGGTATGATAGTGATAGGACGATCGAGGATGTAGCTATGCCGCAGACACCTAGACGCGGTGTAGCGATACCTGTCACAGTCAACGTGATGAATGCAGAAGCTTTTGGTAATCCTGGCGGCGACACAACAGACTTTGAGAAAGGGCCACTGCCGATCGACCTTGCGCAGAAGGCTATTGTGTGGCGAAGACACTACGCTGAGCAACTTCGCTGCTGGGGTATGCTCATCGAGGCTGCCGAGATGGAGAATATCGGGGAGTCCACAGCTTACACCAGCCATGGTTCACCGTTGCTCGCAGAAAGCCATCTCGTCCTTGTAAAAGCTGGCGGAGACATGACTGCTTGCAGCATCTGTCAAATCAGTATGCAAGGCTTGCAGCAATTTTGTTCAGACTGTGGGCATGCTACGCATCTTGCCTGTGTGCGGATGTGGTTGCGGAGTTGCCTTGAGGCAGGCGAGGACTACATTTGCCCTGCTGGCTGTGGAAGTAAATGTCAAGATTATATAAAATTGTAGTATAGGCCGCGAGATATGTGATTGCCTTGCGTTTCAATGTTGTCGTTGCAGCACAACACAGATGACTCGTCCTTGCATCAAATTCTGTCCAGGTTGTCGTGGGACGGGAGCAGCGGCTCATAAAGAGTTTCAACACTGCCAAACGCCGTGGAAGGATGCGTACTGCTTGGCCTTTGCATGGACATCATCCAGCTAGAGTGTGACTCCTCTTATGCATCGCCTATCATACTTGGCACTCGTATAGTATGTAATATAGATCAAGGAGGTAGGCATTCTGTCGCAGTTCCGCGACATCGCTTCATTCAACATCCTCAAACAACTCGCGTGAGATACCTGTAGACGACGATTACAAGCACTATGCCTTCTTCTCTTGCTCGCTTCACCCTCTGGGCCCTTCTTGGTCTGGCGCAGTGCAAGGCTGCGACCTACTCGCAGAGTCCGCTTGGCTTCAACAGAGATTCCTCCATGACGGTCGTTCTCAAGGACACAATCACAGTCAAACATCCCGCTGATGTGGCGAATGTCAACATACGAGTCAAAGCGAGCGGAGAGACTAAAGCTGATGCCTTTCGCCTCACGAGAGAACGGCTGGCTAGTGTTGAGGAAGCACTCAGCTCCTTCATGCCCGCGAAGAAGGGTGGGGTGGGTGAGGCTGGGTGGAATGCTTCTGGTGTCGAGATTGATTACAGTCACCGATGGAAGGGCGACGGAATTGAAGATGACATGGATAGTGAGGACGGCGCGAAGAAAAGCACGAACAAGACCATCAAAGCGGTCGGCAGACTCTGTGCTCGCTTCCACGATGTCGACATGCTGAGGGCGTTCGCCACCGAGATCGTAAAGAGACAACAGGACGTGACCTTCGGTGAGATCGACTGGGACATGTCCAAATCCGCTAGAAGAGGTGCCCAGGTGGAGCAGAGGCGTAACGCCCTGATGCAGTTCGTAGAGGCTGGCGAGGACTGGTCGACTACGCTCGGGTATGGAAAGTCAACTGTGGTTGAGCTCGAGGAGATGTACTCCTATGTTAGTAGCTCTAGCGAAGAGCGTGGGCGGTGCGGGAGGTCGTGGTATGAGTTCGAGGATGAAGAGGAGGAGGAGAAAGAGAGTGTTCTGGCCAAGTTGTTGGGTAAGGAGTGGGAGGTTCCGCTCGCAGAGTTGAACACGGAGATGAAGTGTACATTGAGGCTGGAGTGAGTCGACGAGCTTCACACGAGAAGGTGGGCGTAACCCCATGGCTGGTTTGGGTACTGCGTGGTTGTTGAGATGCTTAACATGCTCGAGCAAGCGAAGTGAAGCACAAGGATGTTACTCGTCGAAACATGTCACTGCGTATTATGCTTAAGCTACACGAAAAGTGATGACTGTCAACACTTTGCAGCGATGTATCTTGACTGGTTGCTTTGATGTGACCGATTCGTACTCGACACATTGTCACCAATATGCGGTATTTGTAGAACTGCTCCAAGGGGCAGCAATGGCTATGTTTCGTTTCAGGTTCAAAAAGACTCTACTTGTTGAGATTGACGAGGGTAGGCCGCAAGAGATCGTGCTATATGGTCCGAGAAATAAAAGAAGGCATTGGTGTCTTGGGCCGGAGGATCAGGTGCAGATGCGGGCGGTGAAGCTGGATATCAGACGCCGATGATTGAGACGAGGAGGACTTTGCATTGTAGGCTCAAGTTGGACTGAACGCATGGGGTTGCAACAATTGGGTGAGGTAAATATTGGCGCAGAGAATGGCGGCTATAGATACATATAGACATATCCAGAAAATCGAACAGACGTTGACTTGGTGTGCAGATGCATGCTTATTGGAAGGCGGCACTAGAGATCGACTGCCATGCCAAGGCACAACATGGCCAACACAGCACCCTGAAGCCACTTGAAGTTGCTGTACAGAGCGGGCGCCGAGGAGGAGGACGATTGCGAAGCAGAGGCCGAGCTTTGAGCAGCCGTACTGGGTGCGGTCGACACATCGCTAGAGACTTTCGAGCTTGCTGCGGTGGATGTAGAGGAAGCAGTTTGCGACGCTCCCGCTACAATGGTGGAGGAGTGCGCACCAGAGGGCGAAGCTGTGGCGTTGGAGGCGGAGCCTGTCACGGAGATCGTGACCTGTTGGGGTACGTCTGGGCCGGTGGTGAGGTAATAGGACTGACCGGCGACTACTGTCTCGGATGCGCCTTGGGCAGATGATGTGGCAAGATAGATGGCACCGCCGCTGGTTGCAGGTATCCAGTTTGTTTTGCCATTGTCCAGGACTTGGCCGAGGATGGTCGCAGTGCTTACGGCGCTTCCGCTAGGAGTGAAGGTCACCGTCAGAGGGACGATTTGGCTGGCTGACATTTTAGCGTGTTCGATATGCGAGCTTGCTTATTGTGATTCCGAGTCAAGGCGAATGTGTGGTGTGGTTGATATTGTGCTTGTTGTAGACGTGAGAATGCGCCGAAGGGGAAAGTAGGCATGCCATACTTGCCAACACGCGTGACCATTACATTGCCGTACGTCTAAACGAGGACGGAGGATTGGCTATACCAAGAACGGCGTTGTGCTAATCTTACGCGTGAAGTCAAGCGAGGCTGGTTCCTATCCGCGGTTTCAGTTCGCGCAGCCACAAGCTTCTGCATCCTCGGCATGATCGATGGCCAGCCATAGTAGTGGCAACAAACCACGAGCATGAATAGGTCCCTTTGGTAGGATGGCGGTCATGATCAAGCATGATGAGGTGTAGAAGCTTGTGGATGGCTTCGAGATCCCGACTCGGGCCGCTGATGACAAGCACTCGTAAAGTCGCATTGAGAAATGATTCAGCAGCTGACAACAACGCAACGTGCATTGGACGATCTAGGTCGCGCTCTTTGGCATGAAGTGCTGTAGAAGAGCTTTTCAGAGGTAGCGTCTCCTTGTCTTCTCAACACGGTATGTAATCAGTACGACACCACGCTCTCCACTCCACATACGAACATGGCCCCTGCGGACGACATCGTCTTCTACGACATTGCCTCGAAGCAGCCATTGACCACGTTTGGACCAAACCCATGGAAGACACGATTGGCGTTGAACTTCAAAGGCCTTCCGTACAAGACACAATGGGTGCAGATGCCAGACATTAGCAAGGTGCGAGAAGAGCTTGGCATCCCTGCTAATCGGACGCTACCTGATGGCACTCCCTACCACACACTGCCTGCCATGAACGACAATGGCACATTGGTTGGCGACTCGTTCGAGATAGCTCTTCATCTTGATGCTGCTCACCCTAACACACCACGCCTCTTCCGTCCTAACACATACGGTCTCACTGCAGCATTCAATGCCTACGTCGATGGCATCTTCACCAAGCATGTTGGCTTGAGCACCAAGATGCCCTTCGATGCTGCCGTCGAAGAGGAGGTCATGGCGATCTTCGCCAAGAGAGCTGGAGTGGAGAAGCTGGATGACGTGCAGCCCAGTGAAGAGGAGCGCAAATCACTTCTGAGCACGTTCGAGTCCGCTCTTGGCGAGCTGGCAAAGGCTTATCAGCATACTGGTGGCACGACAGACTGGATCTGGCGGCCTAATGGCACAGATCAGGCTCAAAGGCAGCGCCCGCCGGCTGGTCGCAAGGGTACCGAAATCCAGTTGGATGGCGACGAGTTCGTGTATGCCGATTTCATTGTCGGTGCTTGGCTTAAGATGATGGAGGGGAGTATACCGGATAATGAGTGGCAGCTCGTGAGAGGGTGGCATGGTGGCATATGGGGGAGGCTTGTGGATGCGCTTGAGCCATTGACGGTCATGAGATGATGCTCCACCCACATCGATGGGAACGAATGTCACCGAGCGATTGCGGTCCACCGGGTTTCGCTTTGTTATGGCCGCAGTCTCACGAAAAGGCCAAAAATTCGTGGAGCATCTGTTGGGAGAGTATGCTTCTTTAACAACCGGATCGGTTGTATGACGAAATTCTAATCGGCTAAAGGCCATCCTCCTCAGTAGTACTTGTTGGCTACCCTCCGCTTGCTCTTGGCACAAAATAGCACAGGTAGCCAATGTCGCCTCCACCTCATGCCATGCGCATACAACTATCGACTGATGGGTCTCGCTTCCTCTTGAAACCCTATGGCCAAGCCCCATCAGTCGGGTAGCGGGCTGGGGTAGTCCGTTGGATGCTGTACGTCTTTTTTGATGTGCAGGCATAGAGCACGAATGTTCCACCTCGTTGATGGAAGAGGATGGGAAAGTTCCCATGTTATCCAGCTTGGCACGGCAATGTGGCTTCATTGTCACCTCTCAGGTTGCGCATACTTCGTCAATTGATCAGGAGTACATTGTGTTCTTGACATGCACGTGGTCGCTCACACGCGTGCAGGAGCGCGGATCTTGGATGCGAGTTGGCTTGATAGGCCCAAGGCTGCATGTACCTGTACATGTACTATATCGTGCCGCTTTACAAAGCAGCTTTGATCAGCGCCACCGACAGCCAAGACATATCGCGGACCGCTGAGTAGTAATACGCTATGCACTAGCCTGTTGTTGGTTCTACGACTCGTTCACCAATCATGAGTTGGACTTTTCGAGCCAGTATCGCGCTTGACGACTGATGATCATCGGGTAAAGACACTACAACGCTTGCCATGCTCGTGCCTCCTCAAGAGATCATGGTCAGGTGGAATATGTGTCGGAAAGCCTGTTCATAGGCTGGAAGAACCAACTTAAAAGCCCGCTCCGTCCCGAGCATGGAGGAAGAAGTGCCTATGATCTTGCAGTCATGGCTGTGCACTAGGCTCTACTAGAGCCCAATGGGCAACATGAAGTGCAGTGGCTGGATGCGTATCCTGGGCATCGCTATCACGCTGCGACGGCTGTTCGATCAGCATGCTTGGAGCTCAGCCTGAAGTCGTTTCTTGCTTGGCATTATTGACGTATACATAGTCTGCAATTCTTCCTGGAGTCTTGCAGTCTCAGCTAGTCAACCCAGCGCACAGTCAGGAACTCAAGTGCTCTACCGCAGCAAGCCACAACAATGCATGTCACCGCCGTAGTTACAATGCTGTTCGCAGCTCTCGCCTTTGCTGGCCCTATCGACGAGAACGTCAAGGTCCGCTAGCCTACCAGCGGTCTCGCAGCAGAAGCTGACATACGCAACAGAAAGCCATCCGTGAAGCCGAGCCCATCCTCAACGAACGCGCTCAAGCATGCGGTGCTATCACCTGTAGCAGCATCCATGAAAATTGCCCGAAGCGTTGTAATGCTGGCTGCATCGTCGGGCAGGGAGGTACTGGGTACTGTGCTAAGACCATTTGATGGTGACGCCATGGGGGTACGTTGGTGTCCATCATTGGACAGAACGTGTAACGGAAGTCTGGTTATGTGGCGTCCTCATATCTGGAAATCTGCAAGTCTCAGGCTGGTGGCTGTGTAGACATCGTTCAAAACCAAACGACGCTGAGAAGCCCCTCCAGGATGTGATACTCATCTCATTGCCCATTTGCCTAGATTAATGTCAGCTGTCCTGTAGCGACATTGGAACGTATTTAGACCATTGAACAGCTGCTCAACAACCGGTGGCTGATCTGGACTAGTCTTGAAAGCCTGGTGCGTACGTCACGGGATAGCATGCTCTTCAGTAGGTCGCAGTGTAGGAAGCGCTGTCCTGGATACGTGCTCTTCATGCTGGTGCCTTATCCGTGTTCAAGATTGATGTATCGAAATGGTTCCATCTCGACCACGGGAGTACCGCAGACGAGTTACTCAGTGACAAGGCAAATAATAGAGGGTTGTGTGGAATTCAACATATAAAGAAAACGAAGCGAATGTGTCGTATTTAGCTAAGAGATCACTACGATTTTGTCAGCTTGTGCATTCGGATGACCGGGAAATGTTCAACGCAGACATCACGTTTACGAGCCTTGAGGAGGGGATTTGCCCGTAGCTAGCTCTATTGTCTATCGAGGACTACTGTACACTACTTTCCGAATATTTCGAGAAGAGGCCAAGAACAAATCGCTCCGCGTTCACTATCCTCTTGCTTAAGCTACTTCGTACTTTGGCGCTCGAAATCCGACTACTGGTAGCCTGCTCCTCATGACCAGGCTACTACAAATCACACTGATACTGCTGAGGGCCATGGCCAGGCTAGCCCAGACAGGATCCAACCTTACATGCGTCCCATTGCTCTTTACGGGATAAAGAACTCCTGCAGCGATAGGCAGGGCCAAAAGATTGTACATGAGAGCCCAGGCGAAGTTGAACTTGACTCTCCGGAAGACTGTCCGGCTGAGACTGACTAAAGTCAGTAATGTAGTCATGTCGTGGTTGACGAGGACAAAGTCGGCCGAAGATATGGCGACATCCGATCCAGAACCTACAGCGATACCGATATCCGCCACAGTCAACGCAGGCGAGTCGTTCACACCGTCGCCAACCATTGCCACGATCGCTCTCCCAGCCGAGCTTGTGCTTTGCAGCCCAAAGAAGGAGCGTGCCTTCTTTGCGAGCTGACTTCGCTGGAGATACTGGATTTTCTCCGCTTTCTGCTCCGGAAGCACGCCAGCAATTATATGCTCGCCCGGAATACCGACCATGGCACCGACCGCACAAGCAGTCTTTGGGTTGTCTCCTGAGAGCATCCACACATCTACGCCTTGACGCGCAAGTGATTGGATGACAAAGTGGGACTCTGGCCGGATGGGGTCGGAGACTGCAAAGATCATCGCTAATTCCCAAGAGCTATCCGCCAAAGGTGAAGCACACTTTACTGCTACGATGACCACAGATTTTGCCTGGCCTTTCCAAGTGTCCAGAGTGGCAAAGATGGTGCTGTCGAGGGATAGTCCATGTTCGGATATCAGCGCCTCATTCCCAACCAGTATCTCCGTAACGTGCGAAAATTCGACAATCTCGAAAACACCTTGCATCCCCTTCCCCGCTAGCTCCTCGACGCGCTGGGACTTGATCGATACTTTGGGCGTCGATTGGCAGAACTCAACAATGGCTTTGCCAATTGGATGACTGCTGTTCCCCTCGAGACGCTCGAGTACGGTCATCAAGTGCTGCTCCTTCAAGATCGAGCTTGGTGGTAGAAGGTATTGATGATTCGTAACTCTGGGATTACCACCTTGCGTTATCGTTCCGGTCTTGTCGAAGACGACAACGTCCACACAACTCGCCTCTTGGAAAGCTTCTCCGCCGCCCTTCACAAGAATCCCATGCTTAGCTGCCAAACCACCACCAACGAACAGTGCGGTTGGGGTGGCCAGGCCGATCCCGCAAGGGCAGGCAATGACGAAGACGGCAATAGCGAATTGAAGAGACCACAATGGCCATCCGCCCGCATGTATGTCCAGGTAGCTTCGCGGCAAGGTCCCAGACACACCAAGCCCTAGCCAGATCAGCCACGTTGCGATGGCAACGAGGATAACAAACGGGACAAAATAGCTAGTGAGGGCATCGGCAACTCGCTCGATCGGTGCTCGGCGCGCCTGGCCCTCACGTACCACTTTGATGATTTGGTCCAACATCGAACTACCCGACACATGGGTGATTTTGATGGAGACTGGCCCGCCTTTGTTGATCGTGCCAGCATAAACAGAGTCACCCTCGACTTTTAACACAGGCTTCGATTCACCAGTCAAAGAAGATTCATCGAAGAAAGTGTCGCCAGAGATGACAATCCCATCCCAGGGAGTGGAGCCGCCGTGGACTACTTTTACGACGTCGGTCGGGTCGATCATATCGATCGCAACAAGTTCGAATCGAGCCTCCGCTTTCTGTTCATGATCAGGTAGTACCAGGAGCGCTTCTCTAGGTCGCAGATGCTGCAGAGATGACACAGCGTCGCCTGTCTTAGCCTTGCTATATGCTTCAATCAGGCGGCCAATGAGCAGAAACATTGTCAGAAACACTACCGAGTCGAAGTATGTCGTGTTACTGCTGGAAATATTTGTTCTGGGTGACACCGCCGCGATTATCAGCTCGGCGATGGATGAGAAGTATGCAATCGTCGTGCCAAGGCATATCAGCATGTCCATACTTCCGAAGCGGTAAAGCCTGCGTAGCACAGGAACCGCGCTGCCAGGCCTCCAGGTAAAGTACAGTTCCTTGACTGTGCGACGGTGGAAGACGTCAGCCGCAAAGAAGTAAACGGGCGTTGCCATCACGAACGTTGCCCATTCTGCGCGACTGACACCGTGTAATTGCTCCATAAAGTAGCGGCGACCAGGGCTATCGCCAGGGACCAAAGTCATATAGACGATGCCTATCATGAAGGTGGGAATGGCGACAATGATTGAAAGGAGGACGCGGTAGAGGACTTGCCGCTGAATGCGAGCATGCATCTGCTTGGCGCGCTCCTCGAGCGTTGGGGGGTGATAGACGCTTGGCGTGAATACTAGATCCGCTGTTGAGATAGAATCGAGGATGGCTCTGATGGTAAAGTTTGGTGCGTCCGGGATGTATGAGATGGTGGCAATCGGATTTTCTAGCGTCGGGAGGTCCTCGATCGTGACCCTACCGTCGAATCGATCGAGTGTAGCAGCAACCCTGGCAGGACAACGATGACAATACATTCCTTCGATCTTGATAGACACCGATCTTCGCCCACCCCATAATCCAGTCTCCGTAGATGCGGGGCTAACATCATTCAAGATGGCTGTATAACCGACATCCTCCATTGCCAACGCAACCTCGTCCTGGTTCGCCGCTCCTTCGAAGAGAATTGTTGCGCTGCTGTTGATGAGACTGACCTCAACGCTCTGCACCCAGCTGATATCTTGTATGGTCTCTGTGACAGTACCTACGCAGGAGCTGCATGTCATGCCTTGGATCGAGTACGAAGCTTTCCAAGCAGTCGAGCCCTTCGGCGGGCCTGACTCTGTCTTCTTCGGAAGCTTCGCGACCTCTTCCAGCGCGACCTCGTAGCCAAGGTCGCTGATGATATCGGTGAGCCGTGCAGCATACGCCTCTTTCCCTGTGAAATCGACAGATGCACTCTGTGTCATCAAGGCGACTTGGGCTGAATCCACCCAGGACTCCTCTTCCAGCGCGGCAACAATTTTGCTGACGCAGGAACTGCAGCTCATGCTCGTAATAGTGAAGGTCGCTCGAAACGCGTCGGATTGCGAGGATTGAGTATCGATCACTACAGCCTCAGGGCTGGCCAGGTCCTGGGTGTCGGGCGCGTGGCTGGAATAGCTGTCGTCCCTGGAATTCGAGGTGCGGCAGAGCTCGCAGTGGATCTGATGTCGTTTCTTCATCGTCTCCCGGTCTACTGGCGTCTTCCGTCGAATCCAGCGCATGAAGGCTCTCGATAGAGCGTTCGATCCAGAGTTGAAGCCATGGCCATGCCAGCCGGAGTGGGGTTGGGCATCTGGCATCGATGCCAGACTCGTTGATTCCACCTCATAACCTGCCTCGCTCAGTGCCTTGGCGATGGTGCGTAGCTTGAGCGACTGGTGATGCCATAAGGTGACGGTGTGCGAGACAATTGAAGTCTATACGGATGCTGGACGGGGCTCTAGGCGGGCGAGCCAGCCATCGATGAATGCAGCACATGTGGGGCAATGTGCGTTGGAAACGAGCAGCACTGTCTGGATGAGCGACTGAGTGGATGAGTGATTTTGGGTAGTCATTGGGGGCGACGACGGGCAAAGGCTGCAGGGGATATGTCAAGAGGCAAGAGGAAAACGTCGCTACTATGGTGCGCGACCACATATAGCGTCTTTGAGGACGATGCAAGAAGCATTTTCTTCATGAAATCGACCGCCGGGACAAGTGCGTGGTGTGGCGTTGTCGAAAGGAGAGGGTACGCACAAATCGCGCTTGCTGCAGGCCGCACAAATCGCGCTTTCCTCGGCACCGCACAAGTCACGCATGGCTTAGAACCATTGGCCATTCTTCTTGCAGGGCAGATGGAAGGCTTCGCCACCTCACGCTCTTACAATCTAACGCTGCCAGCATATAAAGTACTCGTATTTAGACTAGTCTATAAGGAAGGTAGATTTAATATATATTAAGGCAAGGTAGCTATTTTCGCTTAGTAGTTAAGGTAAGGCATATTAAGGCAAGCTCTCCGATTAGCTAAGGCGTTTAAGGTACTATACTATACCTTCCTTAAACGCCTTAAGGTAGATATAAGTAAATGCTAGTAGTCTTACCTAGACTTTAACCCTAATATATAGCGCGTTTTAAGGATTATCTATAGTAGCGTAGTAGTATCTAGCTACTTAAATACTCTACTTTAGCGGCGCTAGCCTCTTATACCGCTACTATAGCTAACTAGCGTATATATATAAAACTCTAAGCTACTTCTATCTAATCGCTATAGGTAATAATAACTACTTCTTTTTACTTTTAATATAGGCTAATTAATTAAGGCGTTAAGGTAAAGGCAAGGGCTACTAACGTTATTAAGGCGTTAAGGCAAAGGTAGAGATAATATATAGCTAAGGAAGGTAAAGGCAACCTCGGAAAACGCCTTCCTTCCTTATGGACCAGTCTGCTCGTGTTCCGGTGGCCCTCGCACATGGACACTTCTGCAATGCCCACAAATCGGGCCCTGTACACAGATACGACTCCGAGTCTCCTGTGGAGGCCTCTAGTGTGTCCCAGCTCTCCAACCAGTGCTTCACCACGACAAGCTGTATAACGCAGTGCGATATCACGACCGCCGGACGACATGGCCGATAGTGTATGAGCCTGTCCTCACTCCACGCAGTCGCCTGCACGCCGCTTATAGTGTTCAAGCTGGGCTATAACGTCGACTCTTTTTGCGCCAATCACGCACAGATGCACGAATACACAGCTTCTCTTTGCTTACGATACCTGCAAATCGTCCCAAAGGCTGGCTCGCGCTTCATCTCTCCAATGCTGCCGCGACTAGCAAGTGGCCCGTCTCGCTTGACGCAAACTCTAAATGGAGCCTTTCGCCGCTGTTGGATTGTTTGTAGAAATGGAGGAGGTTGAGGCCGACTCGTCACACCCATGACCGGACATCATCTGGACCGCCAACACGACCTTTTCCAGGCCATCCAGGTCTTCGTCAACATCACTATGCAGATTGCAGAAGAGTCAGTGGACACGGTAGGTGCCAACCCTTAGTAAGCCTGCTCATCGTCCTCGATGCTAACAGTTGTGCGATGGCAGATAGGCCATCCAATGCACCCACATGACCATAAAGTCTGGATTTTTGACCGAACATTGCTTCACGACCGTTCTCGCCTGCGATGGACGCGCCGGCCTCTTGTATCAACATGGATAACCTCTCCCTCCTGCGATACAGGTGAGTTACAGTAGCTTGGTCAGCCACAATAAGGTAAGTACGATCGAATCCGCCAGAGACGCGCATGGATGTGATACAACACTGTTCCAGATAAGCAACAATAATCCGGGCGGCCAGGTTTTTCCCTTCCACACATAATGGCATTCATATTCTGACACATCGACTTTGTGTAATATTCGTCCAGACACAGGCTAGTGAACCCTTGAGCAAAGAGAATGGTAACGGGACCGATGCTTGTGGATGGCGATTCCCTAATTCCTGAATCAGCAAATCATCTGATCCAAGCCCTCCGAGTATGGATTACAACATGAGTACGCCCAGCGTACCTCTGCCTTAGGTAGCCCCGGCTTAGGCATCCACAATCAAAATCGCAGATAGCCTAGCTATTACGAGGAATAATCCGTCGTATGTTCTCGAAGTGTCTATAATGATTGTTTCGCATTCGTATCGACCAAAGATTTACTTATGACGTAAGTAGTTTGACGTCTATTCTGTTTTAGCTTAACCTTCCAGTCATCTTCTGCTCAATGATATAATGTGACCGCATGTAGTGATGTCCTCGCATAACACGTTCATGGTTGCAATCCGCATTTCGCTTAATTTTCCAAAATCTTGTGATTTCGCCAATCAAAGCCACCGACCGAGCAGGACTGTTGCAGCCTTTTGATAAGCCGAAGAAGTGGTCGCGCGTAGGTCGTAGTTATGCCTTTCGTCGTGCTCTAGTGAGAACCCTTTTGTGACATCACTATTTGCCGTAAGATTGGTACTTTGAAAGTATGATGGCTAGTGCGCCCTACGAATATCGCCTACTAAGCGTGGAGACGCCTGAGATCCGACTCCTACAGCTTTAGCCTGGTGAACACGCCAATCCAATATGTGCCGAACCACTGCATGTCTCTCTAGAGCGGCCACTTTGGTATGGGACGATCTCGTGCCTATGGGGAGAGCCGGAGCGTACGGAGCTCATCTTCCTATCAGACCAGGAACTTTACGTACCTAAGAACACCGCGGCCGCCTTGCGTCGAGTGCGAAAACGCGATGCACCGCGTCTGCTCTAGATCGATGCTGTATGTATCAATCAAGACGATGCACCGGAGCGTGGACAACAGGTCGGAATAATGGGACCCATCTACGGCGATTCCATATGCAATCTCATACACCGTACAGATGACGATACAATGTCGTCTCGCATTTTAGAGGCTATTAAGATGCTTCACTATGAGGTACATGCAGCGACTGATGGGTTTCATTTCTTTTCAGCAAGAGGACGTAACCTGCTTACGGGTAACTTCAGATATTCACCGCAAGATTCCGATCCTAATCGGGATGTGGAGGCCATGCTACATCTGTTTGCATTACCGTGGTTCCGGTGAGTCCCCATATCAATAAAGTACCCCCAGCGATGTAGTGCTTACACTTCATAGTCATTTGTGAGTCCTCCGAGAAGCTAGAATTGCGCCATTGAACGTCTACTTCCTTGGGTTTTTCACTGTCTCGCTTGAAGTCGTGCTCAGAGCTGATCATTGGGTTGATCACACAACTCAACTTCTCGAAGCGAACGGAACTGCCGCTGTGGGCACGCTTAGTTGAAGCAGCTTCTGGTCATCGTGCAGAACTTCGAGAGCACTGAGCCGAGGGACGGCATATATGCCTTTCTGGGTCTGATCAAGAAGCAGCCTATGCCACATGATATCTTTCCAGCTTGGTTCAAGCCTGACCATACTCGTCCTCTTGGCTAGGTCTTGCGTGACGCTAGACGGATAATCATCCTGAAGCATAGTCTCGGCATATTAAGATTAGTCAACCACTGGGATGAGACTGAGCTAGACCTAGGTGATGCCATGCCATCCTGGATGAGGCGCATAGACTGGACATATAGCTCTGAGGTCCATGCACGCCCCCTTCAACATAAGTTTAATGCTGATTGAGGACTCAGTGCACCATGTCTGTTGTTGCTTGAGCCAGAGAATCCCGCCCTTCTGCCACTGCAGGGGTTTGTTGTTGATCGAGTCCTAGCAGTCACCGATCACTGTTCAACGGCTACAGTCGCTCAGCAGTCATGGCTAGATTCATGGCTAGCGAACGCTGCGATGAGCCTACTGCATGTCGCTAGAGACAGGCTGCCAGCAGGTGTGCCGCTGCGATCATTACTAGTCATCGCTACAGCAGCTTGTGCCTAGCAGTCGCAGTCAAGTGGACTTACGGATGGCACGATGATGGACTCAGCAGCTCTTGCAAGTTACGCTTGACTATCGTACAGCAGCTCAAACGAAGTATGCAAATGCCTCCACCCCATCGCGACCTTTCCCTTGCAAGACCACCCAGCTCATACCAATGCGGCGGATGCATGGTATCCCATCCTTGACACGAGTCTTGTAGGCAAGGGTCATATCCTTCGGCCCCGATGTGTAGGGCGTCGTCCAGGGGCGTCCAGGGGCTTTCTCGATGAGAGATAACCTTCGATCTCAAGCAGCGATCGGCTGCACTTACGCCGCCTTTCAAGAAGGCAAATTCTGGCGTTCTTTGCTGTAAGCGAAGGTACCAGTGGTGATATTTTCGGCGGGCAGATTGGACAAGGTTACTTGCGTTGTCTTGCTCTAGGATTTCTGAGCATGATTTGGATGTCGCCAAGCGACTCGACGTCGTCCAGCTCCATACCATCGCCGGCTGATGGCTCGGAGCTAGGAAGCCCACTGTCGACAGGCTCACCACCAATATCATCACTAAGATTTGCGCTTGCCCTTGACGGGCGACTTCTCCGGTGAAGCTCGCTTATTTCTGGCCTTTGGAAGTTCTACGACCTGTTAGCATTTCCGATCTATTTTTTCTCATGGTCTGCAATGCTTTCCTCTTTAGCGACTTTGACCGATAAAGCGGGTAGAGTAGCTATAGGACATAATTGCTTTAACACAAGACAATTAGTAAAGCTATAGACACCATGAGGGACGATATGTTCAACGAGTTTGTCACCATTTCATCGATCATAGAATCGACGAGAGGCATGCTACGAAGAGGAAAACCTGCTAGGAGCACAGATGAAGTAGAGAAATTCTAGCGATAACAATCTGACCCGAAGTTGATTACCGTCGCACGCCCATCGCAGAGAGTGACGCTCGCCAAGGTCTGGACAGCCTTTCCGAATTCATGCTCCGGACGAGCCATCGTCGTTCTACGCGTGGCTCGCCACAGGCGAACAGCGCGATCGATAAAGGCGTACTCGCCTCAAAGTATCGGGAGGCGATACAAACCGCTTGCCTTCACGGCCGTGCGTTTTATTACGAGAACTAGCCGTCCTGGGCACGGCCCCATGACCACGAAAGGGATGTCGTCGCCGTCCTGTATAGGTGCATGTGGCAAGTCATTCTTAGGCCAAGGCAGGGACACGGACACTACGAGTTGCCCGACGTAGCGCATGTCTACGGCATTGTGGACGGCGAAGCAGCCCGCAGGCACAAGGCGGCAGGAGAACCCAACGACATCTTCCACATATATTGCGCGTTCTAATCTGGGTAACCTTATTCGGTTCATGTTACTTAGCGGCAGCACATAACAACGTAGGTGTAAGGCTAACGTGTGCTCGCAGAACAAGATCGTGTGCCCCACCATATAGAGATCGGATTTCCTACCTCACGGTACTTTGTGTTTTAATATTTTTTCTATCTACAACAACATCACGAGACTACATGTATCGTTCTATGCTCATCTCTATCTACGCTGCTGCATAGTCGTCACGTTCGGCGCTGGCCATAGATGATAATGTAAGGTACACGTACCCTGACTGAGGCTCCGCAAGATCGTTGGGACCGGGACGTGGACGGTAAATTTTTTACATTGGCATGTCACGCTATGTCACTGTACTGTGCCAGTTGGAAGGATCGTGAATACTCGCAATTTGCGCGATTTTTGTCACGTAGACGACACGGACCTGCATATTTCACGTGAAACGGCTGGAGCTAGTTCTAAGCCTTCGGAAAAAGCTTGACCGGATGCTTGTTTCTCTGTACACATCATCAGGAAGTTCCTACTTTGACCCAATTCGCCCGCCTCCCACCTGAGCAGACATCAGCACAGTCAACCACCATATCAGGCCCAACAGCCTGCGAGCGCTTCCCAGAGCACACAGCACACAGCATACACATATTGATGGCAGAAATCTTTGGAAGAACATTCCGCAAGTGCTCTGCTCCAGCAGCCACTTCACACCCACCGATGAACAAAGGCTTCGCAGCTCTCCGACTCGAGCCCGAACAGCCACCATAAATACCCAACTCGCTATCGACAACAGACGCTGCTGCCTGACAGACTGGAAAACAAGATCGTGTTCTGGAGACAGAGCTCGCAGCCATGTCCGTCTTTGCGAAGCTCGCAGGGTTACTCAGCGCCCCGGGCAAGAAGCGTGAAGTTTGTGCGTCAGCTCTAACACAGGCCAGCCCGACACTCTGTGAAGACGAGGCCGCCGTTCAACACTCTACCTCCGTCACAGCTCATACGAATGGAGGTGTAGGCTACCAGGTTAAAGCCAAGCCTCGCCGCCTCGATCGATGGCTTGATGCTGTTGTTGCTTTCTCGGGATCCAATTTCACTTTCTTCTTCATTTTGACGCTCCTGCTTGGCTGGGCATTTGCAGGCATCCGACTGGCCCACGATGAGAACTGGCAAGTTGGGATCTCAGACGTGCAGGCCATACTGAGCTACATCTTCGACTCATTCCTGATGCGGCAGCAGTTCAACACCTATGACGAGGCGCTGTCAGCGGCTGCTCAGCTCCGTTCACGAGCAGCAAGTCATCGACGAATAATACTGCAGATCATGGCCGACAAGGGTGCAGGCAGTTTGACACCCGACTCTGGGGCCAATGTGGCACCAGAGGACACCAGATTCGAGCTCGACCTCCCACGAGAAACGCTATTCGGCCGCTTCATTACCCGCAGCGCCATTGTCGTGGGCCACATCGCAACAATCTGCCTGTACTGGACATGCATGGCTATATGGCTTGGCTTCGGACCGCTCAACCACTGGAGTAACGAGTGGCAGCTATATGTCAATTCCGCTACGTCAGCACTCATGGTGTTCGTCTTCAGCTTTCTAGCCAACATCCGAGAGCGCCACTCCGACTATACCCAGATCTGCCTCGACGCTACGTTCCGGGTCGACTCCCATCTAGAGAGCATGCTCCGTAGAATCACCCGTGACAGTCTCTGCAACGAAGAAGTGGTCATTGCTCCCCCAACGGTCAACATCCTACAACGTGCCATCTATTATTACGCGGATGTCGTCGGAACTTTGGTCGGCATTGCTCTGCTCGTTATAGTTATGATGACATGGCTAGCCATCGGCCCAATCCTGCACTTTAATAGCAACTGGTGGTTGCTCATCGGCACATACGCAGGTCTGATCGGTCTAAATGATGGTTTCGTGCTCCGAAACGTCCAAGCTAAACTGAAGGATTACGAAAATGAGCAGTTCGAGCAAGTAATGCTGGAGGATGAGAGCCTCTTTGCACTCATCGATCAGCCGCTCGCAAAGGTCGAGCCGGAAAGACCTTCGATCAGCTCAAGGCTTTCGCTTGCCGTGGGCAAGTTCTGCGCTCACGAGTTCACTGTCCTGGCAGGAGTCCTCGTCATCTTCGCACTGATTGCTGGTGCCAGCGCGCTACGTTGGGACACATCCGGTAAGTAACCTCTCTATCGCGCCGCCAGCCATGTGTTTTATTGACCGACCGACTGATGGATTACAGGGCAACTGATCTGCAACGTTCCGCCAAGCATCATCGAATCCTTCTTTATGGTGATGCTTATTGCAGGTCACAACTCTGCCGACTCCGAGCGCCGAGGGCAGATCAAGGCAATTCACGATAGGCGTCTTAAGCTGTTAGCGTGGGTTCAGACGGTAGAGTACTAGTAAGCTGTAACCGCTGTTACTGCTAGTACATGTAACTTAGGACGTTCTTTCGCTTCTAGGCTTATTACTATCGTTATACGTAAATAGAGCTCCTAGAAGAAACTCGTACCTTTTAGACGAATAATAGGGAGGTATATATACTATCGAAATAGTATAACAAAAAACAAACTAATACCTATATAATAATTACTCTATTATTATCTTTAGAAGTAAACTTTAGCTTCGGGGCCTTCTATAAGGCGGCTAGATTAGGTATACTAGGCTACCTAACTATATTTAGAGGGCCGTCCTCTTTAGTAGATAAAGACTCCTCGCTATACTATACGCGCTATACTTTTCGGACGTACTATAGGTAAGGCAAACTATAGTAGTAATACTATAGTTATAGAGGTAAGGTATAAAACACCTAACTAATATAAGGCCTAGGAGGCAACTAAACATTAGTAGGATCCTCCCTAAATCCGGTAAGGCGCGAAGCTATATAGTCTAGATTTTAGTAGGATCCTATTTAGTAGGATCCGTACTTCTAGAACTACCTATAGGCGCCGTTCTATACGCTAAAATAGGATATATCTTACTCGTAGTACTCGATTATCTATCCGGTATCTTTTCTAGTACGTCTAGATAGTATTTCGTAGTACTAGGGTTAGGGTATAGGTATACGCTAGTAGTCGTTAGACGCGCGAGGGCGTGCGGATATACGCCTATATATATAGGAGCGCGGGGTAAAGTATAGCCGCCCCTGCAAAGTTCGGCTACTCCTAAAGACTACTATAGTAGTAGTCTTTAACTCTACTTACCTTAGCCCTCCCTACCTTCTATAAGCTATATACGGTATATATAGCGTTAGAGTATATACGCTATAACTCCCTCCGACGTATTCGTACTTAATACCCTAGCTCTAGCCTCTATATTATATAACTTTAGCGTACCCTCGAAGCTACGATATACTATCTACCTTCTATATTCTATAATATAGGTAGTAATAATAGAGTCTAGTAATACTTATACTACTCGATAACCTCCTCTACTCCCTTCTCCCTTCTCTCTACCCTCTACGCTATTATTACGGACATAAGGTCCGCAACAAGCAGACTAACCAATTGAGTTTAGGGAGCTAATAAGCTAGGTCTGCAGGGGCGGCTATAAGAGGGTTACGTAACACCGCTTACCTAGACCCTTAAGTAAGCAGCCTACTTA